TAGATAAAGAGGCTATATCGGAAGCGCCCGTATAATAACTAAAAATCACCGCTAACCTCTCGGAACGGTTATATTCCGAGGTAGCGTAAGTAGTGTACCTTAGTTCTACTAAAAAAAGATTGTTGCAGAGTTGTCGCTAAAAGCGCACCGTACAACGCCTAAAATCCGTTGGCCTATCGGCCAATTCAAGGCATTCGGCAGAAAGTGACGAACCTTGTCACCTCGTGGAGTGGACAGCCACTTCTCACGGTTGTGGGGATGATTAACCTGCCGGCGGAGAGAACACATCTTGGCTGCAATGGAAACCCACCAGACGTCAAGACCAAAATTACAGAGAACATCCGCTCCGGAGGCAAGAAAACGGAAACGGCCGCGGGTGCCCTTTGAACAGCGGCAGAGGGCCAAGATAGCGTGTGCTCCCTGCAGGCGTCTCAAGGAGAAATGTGACGGCTGTGTCCCTTGCCAACGATGCATGCGCTACAAGCGAGAGTGCGTTGCTGTGCCGTGTGCGGATAATGCTGAGGGTGACTTGCCTGGAGACGAGCGAGTGCACTCGGCGGAGAGAATCCGAAATCTTGAATTCATTGCTCGTCACTATTCGGATGATGATTCTCTCTCAGATGAGACCCTACGACGGATCGTGTTAAGCCTCAAGAATGAGCCGAACGGTGCAGACGCTCCACAACGTCTCCAAGATGAAGAGGAACTTACTCTGGACCAGGAACGCTTCACAGTCAAAGCGCTGTCGCACAGCGTTGCTCATTACTCCGGTGAGCTATCTCACTGGAATTTCTCGGAGCGTGTTCGAGCGCAAGCGAACAAGCGCTTGAGCAATGTCACGCCCGTGGGCAATCAGCAACAGTCCAACACTGTTCTGGAATACTGGCGTGTGAATCATCTCAAGAGCAGGAGTACGGCCATTAAGCAGCTCATGGCTGGTCTCCCGCCAAAACCGGTCGCGCTGTACTTGGTCAAAGTGTATTTCCAACATGCTCAGATAAATACATTCTTCGTCGAGGAAGCCTGGGTCCTGGCAAAGCTTGATGTCATGTATGGTAGTGGCGAGGCGTTATGTGGCGACGACGCAGCATGGCTGTGCACGATACTGGGCGTTCTCGCGGTTGGAACCGAGTTTGTTCACATGGAGGGCAATTCCGAGCAGACGATAGCGATGGGGGACAGCAATGGGAGTTCGGCTGCCGTCGCCGCAGGCGTTTCTCTTTACAAATCGGCAGCAGAGCTGGTTCCCGATGTTATCACAATAGCTTCGGTCGAGAGCGTACAGGCTTTCTTATCTCTAGCACACTACGCCCTGCCATTGGATGCACATGGATTGGCGTATACTTATCTGGGTCTGGCCCTGAAGATGGCGGTACAAAATGGTATGCACCGCAAATACATTGGAAACCTAGGCCCTGAGATGGTGGATCTGAGGAACCGGCTGTGGTGGACGGCATACAGGCTTGAGAAACGCGTGAGCATTCTCCACGGCAGACCGGCTTCCATCTCCTCCAGCGAAATCGACGCTGAGTACCCTTCAGACGTCATCCTAGGAACCATAAACACATCGAGGGTATTGGAGAATGCCATGACAAAGATTACAGATTGGCTAGGGGACATTGCGGTAATCATCCATATGCTTCGCCGGAGTCCGAGGCATCTCCGTCGCGCATATTTTGAACGGATGATGCAGGTCCGTCACAGGTATGTGCAGTGGTGGCAAAATGCAAATTTCCCAGCGCCGGCGTCGAGTCCTCGCGCGATTGCCCATATCCATATGTCCCACCACCTGAATCTTATCTTCCTTGGCCGACCGTTCATATTCCATTCACAACGACCAAATCCACCGGGCGAAAGCATAGACAGCGCCGGTTCTCCCCACGATCAAATTGCTAAGCTCGTCCACGATGCAGTAGACTCCGCCGAGCAAATCGTCAACATAGCATCGGGCCTTCGCGCTGGCGTCGGATTGGCTAGGTCCAGCTACATGGAGTTTTCTTCCTGCAGGGCAGCTGTTCTTGTGCTTTTGGCACAATGTCTCAACGAGCAGTCTAGCAAAGAGCTTCGCGTCAAGCTTGCGGATGGCATGAGGTTGATCAAGCACATGGCACCTGCCAATGAAAGTACTGCGTCCGAGGCATCCCTCATCATCGCAGTTGAAGCTGCTATCCGGCAGCTTGATTCTCGTAGAGAGGCCAGGACCAGCGATGAAATTCCAAGATCCCAAGACAACTTTTCAAGCTTCATGGAATGGGCCACAGGGTTTCAGAACGACGACAGCAGCCGCATCCCAGCCTTGCCAGCGGACAATGGCAGCTCCAAGACTTCGACGCGAACCTGTGAGATCCAGGAAACCTTTGCGGAAGTTGGATGGAGTCCTCTAGATCTTTCGATATTGGAAGGCGAGCCAGGATCTGCAGGCTTTGACTCTTACCACTTCGAAGATGCGTTCAGCATTGCTCATACCGGGGAAGGCGAACTGTTTGGTGAATCTTCCGCATGGCAGTGACGCGCTCGGCGTCTCTTCGAATCGCGCATTTAGCCCTTATCATGCCATGCGTACGGAAGCTCGGGTTCTCAGGGCTTCGGTGTAGGTGGCGCCATTCGAGCCAGGTCTTGCTTCCAGCAGATCACTATTTAGCATTTCTACGCATCGGGGCGAGCTTCGCAGCCTTGAGGACTGCACCTAGCCAATTTTCCGGCCACTCCAGACAAAAGCGGGACGGCAAAATGTCGCTCTGCTTTTGTTCTATATCACCCCGATTGCCAAGGGCTACCTGGTATGTATGCATACATCGACCACCGGGCCGGTCACCAGGCTTGACCATGACTCATCAGTTCATCGATGCATGTCTTGCTATAACGCGTGGACAACGTCTACTGGATCTCATGATATAAATACGGTCTGCTCCTTCTCCAGTATCTGTCTTCAACATCTTCACATCACCTCCCTCAGCTTTCGTATACAAGATGGCAAGTTCCAAGAATGTTGTCTTCGACGTTGTCGGCACACTTGTCGGCTATGCAGAACTGTTCGATGCCATTGACGCTCGGCTGGGCGACCGACTTCGAGCAGAAGGCATCAAGCCGTCCCTACTCGGATACTGTTGGATAGAAGTGGCGGAGAGGGAATACACCTACCTCTCCATGAGCGGACTGTACAGGGGTTACGCCGAGGTCTTCACGGCCATTTTCTGGCGCATGCTCTACAAAGCTGGAATAGAAGAACCTCGCAAGTTTGCGGATGCAGAAGATCTCGCATTCATAATGGAGGGATTCAAGAAGATGGGCTTGCGACCTGGAGCCAAGGAGTGCATCTCCAAATTGAGGGACGCTGGATTCACTGTGTGGGCATTCACCATGGAGGATCTCGGTCGAGTCGGGACCTGCTTTGCTAGTGGTGGAGTAGACATGCCTGCAGAGAACCTCTTATCCTGCGACACGAGCGCGATCGGGAAGCCAGACCCGGAGGCCTACAAGCCGTTGCTGAAGCAGCTCAGCACTCCCGGGAAACAAGCTCCATGGTTTGCGGCGGGACACATGTGGGACGTGAGCGCTGCGAGGAGGAATGGGTGTGTATTGGTTGACGCGACTGTAAGACCATTGCTGACACATGGTGTAGATTCAGGGGAGCGTATTGTTCCGTATGGGAGCAGGAACCACTCACAGATTTGTTTGGCGAGATGGATGTCCTCTCGGACACGCTTCCCGAGATGGCTGACAAGATCATTGCTGCAGAGTCCGCCAGCTCCGAACGTAACAGCTAGTGGGTTAGAAAGAAGCAAGAACACGGCGATAACTGTCAGCTTTCCCTCTCGCACTGGCTCCAACTCTTGTGCTCAAATTGAGCATAGGGCTACAGTATTGCAAACACTCAAATACATGGTGTGAAGCTTGAACACATCTCTCAGATCACAATCTTTCTCGATTTATCGCGATATTGCCGGATCCTGTACCGCCAGTTTCTTTTGTTAGTAAATCCAACACTCCCGTGGAGTTCGATGTTGCAGCTGCCATGTCTTAAAGTTCTCGCCCTGCATCCACTCTCTGCTCATAATTCGAAACCTGCAGAACATGCACTCAAGGTACCTCCCACCACGCGTGGCGCCACGATAGGCGTGTGAGTCTGGCCGCCGGCCCGGGGCACATCATGCCATCCGCGATGTGGAGAACGATTTGTGGATGTGGACGTTATTTACCCAGCGTGAACGCAACAATCGACATCGCTGGTCACGACAACTGATACCAACATTCACCATCATGAGTTTTCCAGTTTCAAACGCTACGGTCCCATTCTGGCGCACGCAGCTCGACGAACTAGACAATCATCGCACTACATCTGAACTTCCATCAGAAGCCGATATCGTTATTATCGGTGCTGGATACAGTGGAGCTTCCCTTGCCTACCATCTACTCGAGCAACAGTCAAAGCCCTTGAAGATAGTCATTGTCGAAGCCCGCGAAGCATGCTCTGGTGCGACGGGGAGAAACGGTGGTCATTTGAAGCCAGACCCATATTTAAGAGCTGCCWCGGCTCTCAGGACCCATGGAAAGGAGGCGGCTGAGGAGGTGGCCTCCTTTGAAGCTCGCCAAGTGAAGGTGATCAAAGAACTTGTAGAGAAGGAGAAGATCGACTGCGATTTCGTTGTCACGCGAGCATCCGATGTCTGCTTGTTTGAAGGAGCTCGAGCAAGCCTGAAAAGTGGACTAGATCTCCTGAATGCTGCAAATATCTCGACAGCGAGCGAAGTTTTCTACAGCGATGAGCGTACTGCAGAGGGTGTAAGTCTTGTGTAATCTGCCAGATGAGGTCAGATTCGCTGATATGCAGAAGGTGTCCGGCATCAAAGGTGCCAAAGGCTGCTTCACGTACACCACAGCTCACCTCTGGCCTTATAAGCTTGTTCTCCACCTCCTCAAGAAAGCCATCTCCTCAGGCGTCAACCTTCAAACCAATACGCCGGTTCAATCAGTCACTTCGAATAGTGAATCTTCTCCGAGACTATGGAAAGTGAACACTTCACGAGGAACTATCAAAGCTTCGAAAGTCCTCTACGCCAGCAACGGATACACTTCCGGCTTGTTACCAGAGTTCTCAAGAGCCATTGTACCCGTACGCGGGCTTTGCTGTCGTATCGTAGCTCCCAAGGCTCATGCACCTTTGCTGTCAAACAGCTACATCCTCAGGATAGCTCCTCAAGAGTACGATTATCTCATTCCGCGGACCGATGGAAGCATTGTCGTTGGCGGTGCTCGTCGAGACTTCTACACTCAACTGGATCAATGGTATAATGTTGTGGATGACAGCAAACTGATCGAACCTGCTCGGGACTACTTTGACGGATACATGCAAAGACACTTCAGGGGCTGGGAGGAGGTAAGTTGAGCTTCGATGTTACTGTGAATCGCGTCTTCTAATGATGTCTATAGAGCGGTGCCGTGACCGACAAAATCTGGACAGGCAGTGAGTCTCCTTCATTCCGGTTCAGTCTCAAACACGACCAGGCTAACGTATGGTAGTAATGGGATATTCAAGCGACGGCATGCCTCATGTCGGTGAAGTTCCAGGCAAACCCGGCCAATTCGTCTGTGCCGGCTTCTCGGGCCACGGAATGCCACAAATCTTCCTGTCTGCGAAAGCAGTGGCATGTATGACTCTTGAAGGTCGGAACTCAGAAGATGTTGATCTTCCCCGGTTATACCGCACGTCTCAGGTACGTCTAGATTCCAAGCAGGATGCGACGCTGGAAGCGTGGAAAGCCGATGCGAAGGTCAGGGGGGAGGAGGTCAAGCCAAGATTGTGAAGGCCCGGGTAATCGTGATCTTTAGGAACTATGGCACTCTGAGTGAAAACTCCAAAATAGTTCAAGGAGAGCATGTCTTCTGTTTCTTGGTCAGGTAGGTTGGTCCAGAGCAAGCTCGTTGTCCCGTCCATGCGCCTTGAGTGGACGTACGCGATGAGTTTTCCATATGCCCAGTCAACACGTACACGTAGGACCTCCTTATGGATGAAGCCAGGGCCCAGGTGAGTGGGCGATCGTTTGCTTCATCCATTGTATCTATCCGCCTCTCATAACTCGCTGCGCACATGGATTGTGGTCTTGGAAGCTATGCGGACGTCGGTTGAATGAATTAATAGCTGTTATATTGAGGAAGAATTGCCTTTGCACGGACTCCTGTCTCGCGTCGATGCCTCAACTCATGTCTTTCAGATGCATGGTTTCAAGCCAAGGTCAGCCAGTTTGCAGCACGGCGACGACACCTGAGTACTTCTCTACATCGAGGCGCGACTGTTTCGGACTGGATCAGCGTAGTGCGCTTGTCCTTGCTGTCGAGCAAAACTTCGGGTGCTCTGGTTTTGAGGGCCGCACGTGGAATCAGGTTGTGGAGATATCGACGCGACACTGACATTTCCTCGCGTGATGACGGCGACTTCTTCCTTAATCAATGGAACCGCGTAGAATGTCATCTCCGCCGAGCAAACAAAAATCGATCCGAAGCCGCTTCAGCATTTCGAAGCGTCGTCATTCTCTCTTCAACTCATCAACAACATCACCCAACCTCGACCATCACCTCTCCATCACCTCTCCATCACTTCTCCATCACTTCTCCATCACCTTTCCATCAACACTTCATCTTCTGTTCGCTGATTCAAAAGTTCCAGCCGCCGAACACCATATCAACATGTCTCTCGATTCCGCTCGCGATTGTGCCGACTTTGCAGGGCACATCATGGAGACTGACGCTGCTGATGATGCCATCACCACCGACACCGTCCATCCGCTAGAAGTAGACATGAATCAGCTCGGCCTCGACGCTGTCGCCGTCGCGGCAACCACTCAGCCTCCCCACACTCCGAACAACCTAGCCCCTGAGCTCAAGCTGCAGATCGCGTCCAACCTATCGATGGCCCAGGTCATGAAGCTTCGACAGATGAGTTTGAAATTCAAGGAACTCGTCGACGAGCACCAGGACACGATTGCGCAATCTAGAATTAAATCGTCACTCGCGTACATCGACGACTTCATCAAGTCACACATTACCTACAGCGCCAAGAATGTGAACGGCAAGAGCGCCTTCATGACCGCACTCACTGCATTCATCAACTTGCGCGGTGTTGTGAAGCCTAGCCTCTGCTTTGAGTGGATGRAACTCATTGAATGGTTCATTGCGACCTGGAAGATTAGACTCACCCTGGAGAACGAATCTGAAAAGGATGAGGTCCCCGCTGAGGACTCTGAGGAGATCGAGTCTCAACAGCCTGACATGAACGACGAGGCTGAGCATCGCGAACACAAGATGGATCCGCTTCAAGTCGCCATCTTCAATCTCGCGCGTCTCCACGCTCACTATCATGTCAGGGGATGCGATTTGGAGGAGGAGAGTGTTATCTTCTACCAAGACAAGTGGCTGGCGATCCCGCCCAAGATTGTCGGACTGCAGTCTGTTGTGCAGATGCACGTCGTGCTCCAAGACATCGAGGCCGGCGCGTGGATACCTGCCAAGGTCTTCCAGCAGTGTCCTGTCCTGAGCTGTGAGGTAGACGCACCACCCACTCCATACGGCATCTACGCAGACCCATTCTGGGACGCCATCGAGGAGGATAATAAGAGAGCGAAGGCGGAAAAACTGGCGCGTGAGGAACTGGAGCGCGCCGCCATCGCGGACGCTGCGGCTGGGTGGACTCTTGTTGCGAAGCCACCCCGTCGCAGTAAGAAGCAAGTGGCCAAGACCAGCGCTGCTTTGGACCCTCAGAACCTGGCTCCCAGCAAGCCTGTGACGGAGTACCCCGAGGGAATGCCTGACCCCGACAAGGAATCCTACGATGAGTTCAATGACCGGCCCATTTTCTGCCCCGAGTACGGCATCTATTACGAGCAAGAAGACTCTGAGGCTCTGGCGTCCAAGTTCCAGAGAATCTTTGGCGTTTCTGACTTGCTGGAAGGTACCCCTTTTCGGCACTTCGTCAAGTCAAAGTGGGCATACGAGATGGTGGTGGAGGTTCTCAGTGGGCAGATTGAGCCGAGCTTACAGCAAAAGGCCGCGATCTTGGAGGATTTGTACATCTATTGAGGAAGGACACTGCTGCGTGGGGTGAAACTGGAGTCTGGAGGGAGGGAGAACCGAAGACTTTGCTTCATTCAATGGGTGGAAAGTACATGGAATCGGGAATTTGGTTGGAGACTCTTGCTGGTGAATAGGGATGCGACTGCCAGTGAGGGACGTGGAATGGGAGATTGCCGAGGTTTCTCATTGTGAATCGACGAGGCCGCTCGCTGTCAGGTCTCCATTCATAAAAGCGACACAACGTATGGAGAGTGGAACCGGTGAAGGGTCGGGCATCTTTGATTTTAGCGGATAGGGTAGCAATCTTCGGATCCCACAGTTTCTCGAAGTGGCAGTCGCAGTCGTGATTCGCACACGGACAGCGTTTCGGACGAGGCAAACTCCAAGCGAAAGCCGTTAACTTTCACTCGGAAGAACGCTCAATTTTCTTTCCAACTCTTCCACGGCCCATCCTTCATTTTTCTTCGTCTTAGCGTCCATCTTCATAGGCTCCACACAGCCAATCGCCCGTATCAAACCTTCTTTCCACTCTTTCTTCTCTTTTAACGAATTCACAATTAATCTTGACAACCTCGGACCCATTCCCAGATCCAAGAAGATCAACTCCTTTCCCTCATTGCTGTTGAAATGCTCTTCATATATACCTTGCACGCATTGCGTGAAATGGATTGGCTGCCGAATCATCGTCGCCCAATACTTTGCGTTCAGGGGAGTGTCCGCACCGAGCTTCACTCCAAGACAAGACCAGTGATTAATGCCGGATACTACTTTTGCTTCCCGCCCATCACTCGAAATAGTAGGCATAAAGTCTTCAGGTCGCTCACGTATGCGATCCGTAACGGCACCAACATGCGAAGAATGCATGCCAAATTTCATGTCTCTCCGCTGAGTATCAATGGATGCCTCCGCCAAAATCTCCTGCGCTCGGTCCAAGATCTTCGCGGTTCCTGARAGGATTGTGGAATTTGGGTGAGGGTATCCTGACACTTCTGCATCGCCCGCAGCACCGCCCTGGACGAGGATCCTAACTGTCTCGGATGGAGGCGCTTTAACTGTGAGCATACCACCGGGCTCGGGGACCAAGGAGGTATCTTGATAAAGAGCCTCGCGGCGCGCTTGGAAGTCGATTGCAGATGATAGAGACAACGATCCCGTGAAGAGAGCTGCGATGAACTCTCCTAATGAATAGCCAACGACGCTCGAAGGTTCAATGCCCCGTGCTTGGATGGTATGAGCGAGAGCGTACTGCGAAGCTTGGATTACGTGGGATGCCAGGGGTGTGGTTGGTTCATTGTCTCGTGACTCACTCGAATCGAACCCGGGAACGGAAGCTGGTCTTGGAGCAGACTCTGCGAGGTAATCCGCCAAGGATATGGTGGGTCGGCGTGTTCGCGTCTTTGTGTAGTGGGAAGCTATTGCATCCTCAAAGTCGTGGATTGAGTTTCGAAAGACAGCGGAGGTCCTGAACAGATCTCGGGTTGCCTCGAGCGGGACATAGCCTAGACCTGCGAAGCAAAAGACCACATGCGAGCTGTTGGCGGATGTGGTTTTATTAGGTATACTGATCGAGCTATATTGACCGCGATGCTGTAAAGCTAGCCATGGTCCGCGTGTCACGTTTGGTCGTATGTGTAATAATGCCGAAGTACTGAACATTGGGAAGGAGATCTCAGTGCATCAGAAGCGAATTGAATAAATGCCTCGTTAGCATGGTAAGTGTTGCGTTTACGGCTTTTCTGGGTCCTCTGGCCGTACCAGAAGAAGGCCATGACTTCACCGCCCGTGACGTCAAAAGTCCTGCCTCCTTCTGGTGTAGTTCGAATGTGCTCAAACTATGAAGGGAACCTCCAGCTTAGATTGAGATTCACATAGCATCTTGTTATTACCACGCCAGAATGCCTCTCCGTTGAACTGCTGCGCAAAGACATTTGCCGTTTTTTCTCGTTTGCTGTGTGTCGAAGCGGTGCTTCGTGCCATCAGGAAGTCGACGTCGAGCGGACAGTCACGCGATTCAGCATTACCTCCAGCTAGGTTTCCATACTGTAGATCATGGGTCGGATACGTTCCTCGATACTTTTCTGTTGCTCGTCTCGATGTCGAGAATTCTTCAAACGTGGRTCTTATTGCCACACCTTGGCCTTGCGTGACTGTGGCGTCCTCGAAAGCGGAGCTCGCGTGCTTTGCAAATAGGAGCCGGCGCACTACCCAACATGTGGATTGATTGTCTGGGGCGTAGTTTGACGGCGTAGACCAAGGGAAGGGTAGGGTAGGTGGAATGGACTGAAAGCGGACTGAGGCTTTCGAGTGGAAAGGCCGAGGGTCACGCAAAGCCGTCGTCCGCTCTGCCACGCCTTCTTCTCTGTCTGATGCTTGAAATGATGTTGTCAGCGGAGACCGGTATGCAGTCGTATGTGGATGTCAATTTCATGGTACAGGGATGGTTGCGTACCCCTAGGTCCCGCCGGGAGGGGTGGAGACGGGTGGAGCGAAGTGGATATGTATTTGGTTTGGTACGGACAGGGCCAGGCTCGGTCGACTACCCTAACACCTCACAAAAACACAGGGCGTTGGGGATAGTGAGGATTGAGAGATTCATTGTTGTCGTTGTTCTCCTGCTCCATCGTCCATCGTCCCTTCACTTTGTCCTTCTTCTGTTCCTGTCTCACTTTCCGCACGATTGCTCGTTTTGATTGACAAAACGCCGCCTGCATCATTCACCCCGCATCGCATCCTCCCAGCACCGCATTCTCTTGCACAAAGCATACACGACTTTCTCTTTTCTCATCCTCTCGCGCGTCCCTGTTCTGCTCTGTGCGCCGGCGTCCATGCAGGCATGTTGAACACCGTTCCTCCCGACTCGGCATACACCGGCGGCTCCGGCTCCGGCACCGGTTCCCGCTCACGTTTGCGCGGACTTTCATACTCATATCTGAGAACCCACCTGCATCGTTCCGACGCCCCTCCACCTGCTCTTCCGCCAGCACTCACGCGATCCTCTTCGTCACCGGGATACACCAGCATCCCATCGTCAGCGGTACCGGGAACGGCACTCGTGAGCGCCACCAGCACGAGCAACGCACGGGGTCTGGCGTCTGCAATACAGATCAGCGAGCCCGGTAGGGTTAGCAACACAATCCCCTCCACCTCGAATCACACCTCCGCTGCTGCTTCAACCACCACCGAGGCTGCAGTGCCGCATACGACCATACACAGTACCGCAGATGAAATGACTCGCAGTCGCAACGTGAGCACCATGCCGACTCCTTTACAGTCCACCGACCAGCAGGTCGTCGAGCCGCTTCCAGCCATAGCATCATTACCTACGGCATCCAGGGATCCGCAGCCCAGCATCCGTTTTATCCCACATGTCGAGGCTCGATCCTCGCGACCATCTCTTCAATTCACCGCCTTATCGCGCACACTCAAGACGCCGACTTCGTTGGTACGCGTGGGCCGCTATTCCGAGCGAGACCAGAACAATACGGCTGCACACGGACAGGACGCGGCCAGCCTACCTGTGGGGTTCAAATCCAAGGTTGTTAGCAGAAGACATTGCGAGTTCTGGTGTACTGCAGGACAGTGGTATATCAAGGACGTCAAGTCTTCTTCCGGCACATTTTTGAATCACGTGAGACTCTCAGCACCGGGTGTGGAGAGCAGACCCTATCCCGTGAACGACGGTGATGTCGTACAGCTGGGAATCGACTTCAAGGGTGGGGAGGAAGTCATCTTCCGTTGTGTGAAAATCCGCGTGGAGTGCAATCGAGGGTGGCAGAAGAGTCTGAACTCTTTCAATACAACCGCCCACAAGAAGCTGTTCAAATCCGCAGGCTTGACCAAGAACGCAAAGGCCGTGCGAGACTCGGATGCAATGTCCATCAACTCTTCCTCGGAATGTTCGATATGTCTCAACCCCGTGGCACCTTGCCAGGCATTATTTGTTGCACCGTGCAGTCATGTGTGGCATTACAAATGCGTGCGAAACCTCATTCACGGGCCGAACTGGCCGAACTTTCTGTGTCCCAATTGCCGATTCGTGGCGGATTTGGAGGCAGACGTCGAGCAGCCGGAAGAAGACGATTCGTGGGAAGTGGCGGCGGGCGAGGAAGACTTACTGCGAGCTGTCGAGGGAAGTGATGGTGGCAGCTTTATTGAAGCAGAGGCGGCGCTGAGTTCACCACTGGTGGTCACCAACGGCAGCGCACATGACAACAACGAGAACGGRTCAGACACTCCTCCCAGGATCAGAAATACACAACGCGTCTCTTCGGACGATGACCTGACGAGACTACTCCGTCAAACCCATCTTGCATCTACCGAGCAGGATGCCAAGACATCTCCTCCACTGCACACAGAGTCAACAGCCTCTCGGACACGACCAATACGGATAGCAAACCGTTCGCAGGCATCATCAGACGACCCAGTGGGTGCAAGATCCACCACTCCGACATCTCACACCCAATTCGCACTCTCAGCGGGAGCACACAATCCACTCGTCGATGGTCCGATGACTCCGCGCAACGATGCGGGTCCCTTTGTTTTTGATGGAAGCGCTGGACGACTAGAGCAACTCGACAGCAGTATTTTGGGGCAGCCTGTGGCTGAGGTCAGTGAGCCTGCCACTCCCGAGGACGGTGCAAGGTGACGCTTTGCATAATGATAGAGAAGACCAAGTTAGGAGTACGGGGTAATGTGTAGATGACTGTTTGATGGATTGGTTTTGTTGGCATGCACGTGCGGGTTGCATATGATATCGTGTCAGTTTAGCGGATGTACGGACGAGGTGATTATGATGTACGAACAGATGAACGATCGACTATTACTGTTTGTATCGCCGTGCGTGTAATAGAGTGAGAGGCTGTGTGATGATAATTACTTGCTCTCAAGACCGTGTTGTGATATTGTAAGGCGCAAGGCGCAGCTACATGGAAGATCCGGCAGGCGAAGCGTTAATGGACATCAAGGTCTGACTGCACATTCTGATAATAGGATAACGATGAAGTAGCGAACGGGCCATTCCTCTATAACACTCTAGATTCGTTCCCTTCAACAGCGACATCTCATGATCTCCCTCGCATTTACCAACTCGTGATATTCTTCAGTATCTCCGCACTACTCTTTACTTGTGGCTCCTTCTCGACTGCCAGAATGAGAGCAGCGTGCTCTTGACTTCTCGGTCTGATAGCTGCTTCAAAGTGGTGCGGATGGCTGACCAGACCAGGGTCAAAGGAAATCGGACATCCTTCCCCCTGTTTGGGTCCAGCAATTTCGAATACCGATAGGACTTTTGCGATTGTCAGAAACACGGACTGTTCTGCCAAAAGCTTTCCGGGACAGATTCTTCGGCCGAATCCAAAGACGAAGTTACGGGGTTCCATCTCTGGGGTGTCTCCGAGATATCTCTCCTAATGAAGAATGCATTAGTACGGGGCGGTGAAATGCGCGGTGATTGTGTGTTTACCGGATTGAATTGGTCCGGCTCAGAATATATGTTTTTGTCGTGGCCCATGGACCTGTTCGAGAGTCAGCCATGCATTGTGCTCTCCTGAAGCACGTCCCTCACCAGGCAGCCGCGATGATGATGGCACCCTCCGGAATGCGATAGCCTGCAAGTGTGGTCTCGGCAGTCATCAAATGTGGTACGCCTTCCGGTACGAATGGATGCCATCGAAGTGATTCCTTGGCAATCGCTTCGATGTATGGCATGGACGGTCGATCACTCAATTCTGGCAGTCTGCCGCTGCCCACGACTCGAGCTATCTCCTCGCGCGCCTTCTCCTGGATTTCTGGATGCCATGTCATTGCCAGAAAGAATGAGGCAATCGCAGAAGCGGACTGTGATGAATCAGTATATAAGCACGATTCAAAGATAGGGGTRACACTCGCTGTATCTGCGCCACCTAGATAAACTGACAGCGCAGTCCACTTGGCGTAAAAGGTTTCCTCCTGCGACATCTTTCCACCCGCTCTCTCGAGCAAGTCCGACACGTACGAGGGTGTATGCTGTCCATCGGCCATCTGTGCTTCAACGAACTTCCACGGCCTGACGGCGCCTTCGTACGCCGTTCGTTTGAACTGTAGTGCTGTTTGCTTGAAAGAAGTTCCTGGGAACCAACTAGGTAGATTCTTGACTGTGTTTTTGAAATGAGCGGACAGCACCTCTCGCAACATCGTCTGTCACTCACGAGCGGGGATCAAATCCACGAGCCATGCGCCTACATTTGCAGCCTCTCCAATCTCTCTGACACAAGTATCGGCCAGCTCCACCAGTGGATCCGAAGAGTCTGTGGCAGCGTTGTAGCCGTAGGTGATCTTCAGTATGATAGCTCCTATCTCTCTGGACGCATTGTTAGGAGGAAAAGTGCTGTCGAAATCAAGCACACATACGTTCGGATGTGATGCAGAAGTGACTCTGGTTGCTTCAAAACACGAAGGAGGAACCTACGAACTTCCAAGTCCTGCATATCTAAAAGTGAGAAGTAAAAGGGTCAGCGATGTCTAAGACAGGTCCAATGCGACCCAAGACCCGGATAGCTCGAGCGACATCTTCAATATACCCTGCATCACTTCTGCCTTACGATTTGCTTACGGTTGAACTTGGTTAGCAACTTATCGGAGCCGAAGACTGAGGCGATTTGCTTGCGCGAGTTGCGATGTTGTGTGCCGTAGGGAATCAACGCAGTGTTTCCCCACCATTGACACCTGCAGAGGCGATGTCAGTGAAATCGACTGCTCTGTGCGAAATGATTTCATCTTACATTTCAGCCAGGAAGGTTGGCTGGGCACGGTCGGCGCTGATTCCCGAATTCTTCTGTAGCAGCTCCACAGCCAAGTCGTAGTCACTGATGATGATCAATGTGGTACCAAAGGTTGTGAGAGCGCCGATGGGACCGTAGAGCTCCTTGAACTTTGCCCAGTGTTCCCAGGTACGACCGCCACTTGGCGGCATGTCTCGAATGTTACCAAGTATTGGTAGGGGAGGAGGTCCTGGTGGAAGCCCCTTTGGCGGTCGTGTAAGTAGTATCAACTTGGCAAGGCATCCTGCTATGACAAGAAGGAGGCCATACTGGATGAAGCTAACAGCAGACATTGCGAGGAAAACTTGATGTGACGGGAGAGCAGGTGAAACACAAAGAGACAAAGTTGCAAGATTAATCAATGGCTATGTCTTCCAAGTAGTCTTGGAGACTGTAGCTGACTGTCGCAGGGGAGCTTACAGCTGAACACACTTGTGTCGCACATGCTATGCAAGCAGCTCCTAGCCTGCAGGATAGAGTGTGCTGTTGCTCCATACTTACAGGCCGAGCATACGTGTGAATAAGAACATGCGTCGCTCTCCTGCGGCTGCAGCGTGTAAGCCCGTCGGATGTCCTTCCGGATAATCACATGGTCACTGCTACTGCAGCAACTGTGCAGTATCGCGAGGCGTGATTCGGGATCATTCTGTTGAACTCATGCTACTCGGGTGTACTGCGTGAATAGGAAACAACCTCCGGCGTCAAGAGATATTTGTAGTGCTTGCGAAGCTGTCTTGCGTCGATAATGATATGCAAGCATTCCAATATTCCCAGGTGTAGGAACGACTCCATCTGCTTTCACCGGACCAAACGATCGGGCTCTGGCCTGCAGCAGCGTTAGCCACGAGCTTTGATGAGACTCGCTTACCGTGCATCAGGTATGCTCAATTCTCCTCAGCTGAACATCATCTGTCCTGTGTGGAGAGAACGCACGCACGTTGAACATCTCCGGTTACACTTGGTGACGACTGCTCCACATTCATCAGTTGGGGTGGGCAGGAGCAAACCGCAGTGCTGGGCAGGGGAAGGGGGAGTACAGCAGCTATGGCGCACTCTTTACAATGCCGCTTCCGAAAGAACAATTCAAATGGCATGATGCCGTCCGCTCCACATGTATCGTAAAGTATGACATGTGCGAGAAGATGTCGAGCGGGAGGGCGAAGTGAGGTCGAAGGAGAACCCAACGTTACACTTCTGTTCGAGTCATGCAAGTGCAAGTGCGGCCCTGGTGTCACAGCTTTCCCAGGTCGCCAACTTTTCATAGATTGGGACCTCAAACAAACTTCTCTCGCGACGCACGCGACCATCCAACACACGACGTGACAATGGACTCTGTGGTTGGATTGACGGTGTGGGTCAAGCTCAAGGATCAGGTCATCGTCTACGGAGTCGTTGAATCCCTCACGCCGGGATCGCATCTGACACTCGCCAATGGTATGAGAACATGGGACTGACGAGCATTTCCACAGCACCAACTGACCATGTGTAGTATTCTTTCCCGCCACGAACTCGCGCGTCGCGCGCTGGGACATTCAAGTGACGGCCATTGTGGACCTGCAGGTGATGCCAGATGGTGGTCCACCGCCGCAAGCAGCAGCTCCACCACCACCGCCGCCATCGACGCACCCAAGCCACCAACAACACCAACAACAGCACATCTTCCCGCAACGGCAGACATCCAATGCGGGTGTTCCGCAATCCCAAGTCCACCAGCAATCCCATTTCGCCCATCAAGCCCCACCACCCGCCCATCATCACCACCCTGCCGTGGAGTTGCCTGCCTTCCGCCATGTTTCCGCCGTGGAAATCCCACCAGCTGCGCCTACTCCGCCGCCCCGGAAACCGGCAGCTTTCATTGATCCCGCGATCGTCAGCTTCGCCAATGCGTCGCCCACGCCCAAGAAGAGCTCCACGCAGCCCGGCCCGCTGGACACACCCGTCAAGTCGATGCTGGCAAGAGCGGCCCAAAATCTTCCTAGCTCTCCCGGATCACCCTTCATCGGCGACATGACTGGCGGCAAGGCCAACGTGCAGAAGCCGACGGCGACGGCGAAGCAACTTAGTGCGATGCCACCCGTTAGCCAGCCCAAGCCTCCAGCTCCCACCGTTGTGGAAGCTCCTGAGAGCAGCATTCAAGACGCTGCACAACCGGACGGCAGCGCGAAAAAGAAGGTGCGGCGGGGACAAAAGTCTAAGAAACAGGCCCCCACTGCCATAGACACGGCCGACCCGCCTGCTGTAATGAACGCGGAGGTATCGCGTAATGGCAATGATATGAATGGCGGCGTGAAGCGAGGCAAGGGTTGGCGTAGTACTCCACTCCTGCAGCCCTCGCCGCAGACTAGCAGTCCATTGGATCAGTCCAACACCAAGAAGAGTCGGAGGAGGGAGAAGGAGGAGCTTGACTTTGCACAGGGCGACACAACCGACATTCAGGACATGGGAGACTTTGACTTTGAGACGGAGCTCAAGAAGTTCGACAAGAAGACTGTCTTCGATGAGATTCGCCAGGGAGATACCACCGCGGACGAGGACCGTCTTGTCAGCCACAATCGCGCACGGCCAGGCACATACGGAGGCAAGAATCTGCACCCAACAGAAAACGTACTCTCTCCCAAGTTGGAGGCCAAGTACAACAGCCATGACCACCTCAACAGCTCTACCAGTGATGCCGACACCGAGCTGAATCTCAACACTGCCAATGGGAGATCCTCCTCAAAACATTCCGTTTCGCGCACCGTCTTCCCACGAACGAAGCCCGCAAGACAGAGCAGCGGACAGCACGTCGGTCTTGGTGTGGAATCGAGACAGCATGGGCTCGCAGCGTCGATCTCGACCGACCGAGCGAGGACCAGGTCGACTGCCTCACTTGTCAGCAGGGCCAAGAAGTCCACCTCTGTGGCGGCCTCCTCTCCACGTCCTGACCGTCCAAACTCCCCACATTCTGCAGTCTCCGCTGCACGCAAGTCGGAATACACACTACCGGAACCATACTTTGGCATCCGGCCGCACTTGGCGGCGTGCCCAACTCTGCTTCCGCGAGCTTTGGCAACATTGGAGGCTGCAACGATCGCCACCTTCGGACTTACTGTCGACGCAATCACGGAGAGCGCAGCACGCGGCATCGCTGAAGCTGCGCTGCAGCTGTCAGAAGAGAGCGGCGTTAGACGGCCATCACGAACAAATACCTTACGTGGAAGCATGAGCATGACATCGAGCGCTGTCCTCGAGAGTAACAGCAGTCCACCGCTTGGAGAGCAACCTACCATCGTTGTGCTCGCAGGAAACCACGCCATCGGCGCTCGTGCACTGGCGGCGGCACGTCATCTGCTTGGCCGCAACATCAAAATCATCGTAGCAGAATCCCTGTTTGAAAGCACCGAGACACAAGATGCACATATCAAGACTCAGGGTACCATCCTCCGTCGTATGGCGCGTGGCGGCGCCAGCCTTAAGCGTGGACTGTGGAAGAAGGCCTCGGCATACATCAAGGCTCTTCCATCGCCACCTACGATCATCATCGATGCGTTATTGGCGGGCGCTACATACGAATCTCTCCTCACACCAGACTCGGGCTATAGCACCAAGGTCCAGGCCGAGACTAGGGACATGATTGATTGGGCGAATCGCTCGCGAGCGTCAGTGCTGAGCATCGGCTGTCCGTCTGGCGTCAGTGGAATTGATGGCTTGGCCACAACGGTCGAAGGAGAGCCACTCGCTGTCCGACCGGCGAAAGTGTTGGCATTGGGCGCGCCTTTCACGGGTCTACTGAAGGCTACGGAAGCCGGAGAGAAGTGGGAAGTCGGCGTGATCGACATTGGCATAAACATTGCATTAAAAAGCGAAGAAGCAGTGGCTTTCGGAAGGCAAGGCTGGCATGTCGATCTGGAATACGTGGGTGGGGAGGCATGATGAGATACCCCTTTTCGAGTTCCTGATGATAAGTTATAAGCGCAAAAATGCACGAAGCGTGCTGATGTGACTGATCCATTCACTCATACTAGTCGGCGGACCGCAGTCTTCACACTCCGAACATGTGTCGGCCACGGTCGTTATGAGATGAGATTAATCAGAAGCGAACGAATCACGAATCAGAGCGTAGATCTTGTGATGCGAGATTTTGGGGTTGTAACCGTGATGGCCAGCAACCCGGCATATTGCAACTTTGTGCAATCACCGTGGTGGGTGTCTGTCCATCATTATTCTCCATCCAGGTCATTGTTCTCTTTAGTTCTTTGTGGATATACACACACCTTAAGATGTAAGTTTATCTTCCGTTCGAACTATGATTTGCCTTTCTCCATCGTGTGCTATATCTTTTCAATTGCGAACCGCCGCCCTGTGACTATTGCGGCTCTCCGAAGGTGCTCGAGGCACTCTGCTGGTCAGCTACGAGCTGGCGCTACAAAAGCCATTCCTTGACAGCAGACTCCTCTCGCATCCATCTATCCAATCACGGTGCCCAATATCTAAACAAGAACCCACGGAATGGCCATTTCGCCGGCCCTGGAGACCTCACCCTTCGGTCGACTCTCCACCGAGTTGCGCCTTATGATATGGGAATTCGCATTGCACAGAGAGGACGGCGTTCGGTTCAATCACCGCGCAGCGAGCYACGCAAGGAATGAAAAATCCAACGGGAATACATCATCAGAAACCACAACAGACGGCCTTGAGTTATCTGTATATCCATTGGATGATGAACCACTCACTGCGGAGAGAAGTCCTTCAATCATGTCCCTAGCACAAACCTGCAAACAGATCCGTTACGAAGCCACGCCCGTCTTCCTCGAGATGAACTCATTCCACGCACTCTGTCCCATCTTCGATAATTCCAAAGGACATGGCGAGATCTGTCCTGAGGCCACCCGATGCAATCAACAACAACTCCAATCATGGCTCCAAATTTTACACAACGACGATGAGAGTTGGCCATCACGAATCAGACGCCTCACTATCGACCTCGGAGTTTGGCGTATCTGTGGCTGCAAGTCCTCCTCTCAAAGTTTCGTGGACGCAGTAACGGGATTCTCCGCCGTGTTCCCTCCGCTGAGGAATAGGATATTGAGAGTCCAATTCCAGGTTCAGTGGCGGGCGATCTGTCCCTGTTGCGAGAGTGATACGAATGATGAGAGTGTGTGGCCTTTGGCTTTTGAACTTGAAAGGGGAAATCATGACAAGTTCTTTGAGGCTGTGATGGAAGTGTGTCAGGGGAGGGCGAGTTGGATTCTTGAGAAGGCGGGACTCTGTGGGAGGACGAGGATGGCTTGGTTGGTGCAGCTTGAGAGAGCTAGTGGAAGGTTGGTGGAGATTTTCAGGTTGTTGGAGAGGAGTGGGAGGGAGTGGGAGGGTTGTGAAGATGTGGTTGAAGAGGTGGAGGTGGAGACAGCCTCGGAGTGATGACGTATCTAATGAGACGTTTGGTAGCAGATGCACATGTGAATTGAAGTCAGATTGACGAGACAGTGTTTGGTGAGATGACAGTGAATTGATGGCTACTTTGGGAGGGTAAGCAGCGAAATTATGCTGAGTGGTAACACGCTTTCTCACAAGCGATGATACCGGTCTCTGTTGTGTTTCTTCCTATAGCTTTTGCTGGTTTTCTCGAGTTCTGGCAATCTAGATGTCCTATTGTTCACATGCTTGAAGAGCAGAGAGTAGCGTTGACATACAATCCCATAAGCCTAAACAACTTACTTCATGCACCAACATGAGAAGAAGTGAAGACTGCATTCCGACAAGTGAGTGCAGGTTTACCTGAATTCCAATCATTCACCCACATAATCCCCGCTTGCCCCAATCCGGCAAGGCTCTCCTCGCCCTTCCTCGCCAAATGGACGTCTTCCGCTTCACTTGCAACGACAACATTGCACCAACCATGAGATTTCTCTCGCGCCTCTGCGACCAGCAGCGGTGCGCGACGAGAATGGCCTCCACAAGCCTCGACACAGACCTTCCTTTAGGCAGAAGCATCGAGGAACCATTCGCCACGCCAGCCGTGTTATGTCGCACATGTAGCAACTCACTTTGTGAAGAGCATGGGACTGTCAGTCAGAACAAACGCTGCGCAGTCGCCCTAACGGACAACGTCAACGACGAGGCGGATCTCTGGTGCCACTTTCTTGCTAGCACTAGCGAAACTGTCGGACCGTATGCCTTCCTTCGCCTCGTCGTCACCCTCGCCAGTGGAAAGAGATCACTCTGTACTTTCGATCAAGATCAACGAGCAGAGAGATCAGACAAACATGCAACTTGCAAGCTCCAAAGACGAGCCAAGATCGAAAATCTCAGAGCTGTCTCAGACTCACACGCCGCAAGACCAACCACCCACCTACGCAGGAAGTCCAGAATGGGAGATCTTCGAGCTGTCGCGGTAGCACACAGTCTTGATCGGCAGCAGATGTCCATAATCGACATCTCGACCGTCGACCTTACGATCCACACGGCCAATGATCGCACAACTAACACCACGATTCCCAAGAGCCTGAAATGCGAGAGGCAACATCGTCCCACTCGTAGATACAGCACGCAAGTCCATGAGAAGGTTTGCGACGTCTGCACGGAGGGCTATGTGCCAAGCGGCATGCAATGGATCAATTGGAAAGCGGTGCGTATGCCGAATAAGCCAGGCGTGTCGGCAACGTTTACTAATGAGTTCATCTGCTGTAGGCTGGCCTATTCTGTCCGAAGTGTGTCGGGAAGGCTTTCACGGACATTATCGCCGAGGAGGAACAGTACGACGAGGACGGGATCCCGAAGTCAGGAGCTTATGAAATCAGCGAAGACTAGCCCTTTGAGTAGGCTTGGAGTTCTTCTTCACGCATGGATGCGGGTCATCCAGGATGATGGAGAGGTGCAGCCGAGAGTTCAGAGCTGGCTACCTTGTCAAGCCTTCACCATAAGAAATACCACTGAGTAGGACTTCAACGTTGGAAGTCGCTCCGTTGTTTCCTCAATCACAGGCTTACCGCAGTGATACGCGAGCGATACGCGGACACTATCAGCAAGTACTCGAGAGCAGGAAGCGATGGTGCCGGTGTACTTCTGTATTTCTCTGCCAGATTTCATGCTGCTTAGTTAGTATATTCGTATTTCGGTTCTTCGTGCCACAGCAATCTTGACTCAAGCTTGACGCTTCTTGGCTTTCCGAACAGCCAAGATTGCATCTAAGCAAAGAAGCTTTGGGTTGACACAAGTATGCAAACCAGWGTCATCCGATGTAGAAGGAGGTAGGGGTCGGCGCGTGTTTCTGTCACTAATAAGGTGCTATACATGAAAGTACTTGGGGCGTGCGAAAGTTCGGCTTTGCKATGGTGTAGGTAGTGAGCGGGAAAGTGTCACCTGCAATGTCCTTCGCAGCCCAAGGTATCACAGGTCAATGAGCCCAGGAACAACAAGTTTTTCTCGCTCAGGGCTGCCAACGCAAGACGCATCTGTCTGTCGGAGACCGGAGACCGTGGAGTCGGATGGAGTAGGAAGCACCTGTTTGTGGGTACGAAATGTACATGCAGGGCTCACAGGCCCCCGCGGAGTGAATCGGATTAGGCAGCTTAGCCTTTTACTAGCGTCAGCAACATCCATGCATCTGGGCTCGGCTCGGAGTCGGTGGATCCTCACTTTGACTACATCCACCCAGGCGTGACTCGCTGTCACCGATGAACATTCACTCAGTGCCGGCTACATCTACTCACCTCCACTCCGCGCCGAGTCCCTACGCCGCTGCGCATTCAATGCAGCCTCCCTGAGACTCGAGCCTCTCTCGGCGCCCTGCGCGCGCTTCACTCTTCACGGCCTCCGCGACTCGAGAATGGGATCCGATGTACGGCTTATTGCCCGCCAACTCTGGAACTTGCCCTCGTCCACCACAGCTCTCCAAGCCCACTGCACTCCGATCACCCTCCCGTCACAAGGCATCTTACAGCTGGCCGATGCGGTCATTACACTCACCACCGATGTCATCTTCCAGCCCGAATGCACGGCCACCGTGTCTGGCGATGTTGTCCCCGTGGCCAACCTGCGCGACCCCTTCTACGCCTCCACAATTCCCATGGTATACGTGATCGCCGCGACGACAGTTATTGCATGGGTTCTGGTGGTCATGTTGACTATTGCTTCTCGCACTTCCTACTTGGGCGCACCGCACGCGGCACCCGCCTTCAGCAACGGGCACGGAATTATAGGTGGCGCAAATGGGGGGAACTCAGGTCTTTCAGGAGCGGGATCGCGACCATGGCTGCAGAAAGTCGCAGCGCTGGCCGTGGCCATTTCCCTCACTATTGCGACGGCCGACACGCTGGAGGTGGCCGAGAGACAGTACGCTCAGGGAATCATGGATGCGCCTGCGCTTCGCCGAGAGGTCCTGGGATCGGTAGAAATCCGTGTTACGCGAGTGGTCTCTGACGTTTTCCTCTGGCTGGCTCAAGTACAAACACTCGTTCGCTTGTTCCCACGACACAAGGAAAAAGTGCTCATAAAATGGATTGGTTTCGTGCTTATTGTGTTTGACTCGGTCTTCTCCTGTCTGAACTCTTTCCTCATCAACGGGGATGCCAAAGGACGGAACTTTGTGGATGCGATCCCGGCATTATCCTACTTGTTTGAACTCGCCCTGGGACTGCTGTACGCCGCTTGGGTTATGTACTATTCGCTAACGAAACGCCGCTACGCTTTCTACCACCCGAAGATGCGTAATATCCTGCTGATCGCGATCTTATCACTGGTGTCAATTCTCACGCCAGTGGTCTTTTTCATTACGGATGTTTCCAACCAGGATGTGGCAGGCTGGGGAGACTACTTTCGATGGGTCGGCGCGGCAGCTGCAAGTGTGGTGGTCTGGGAATGGGTAGAGCGAATTGAGGCCTTGGAACACGACGACAAGAAAGACGGCATACTTGGAAGAGAGGTGTTCGACGGCGACGAAATGCTAGATGTCGTGCCCAGTGGTGGCGACGAAGCAGCATGGACTCAAAGTCGAAATTTGAGGCGCAATTTCAGAAGATATAGACGGGATGATGACAACCAAGGAGGAGGCAATCGGTCGAGCATGATGGAGAATGGCTTTAACAATGTCGCCCAGCGCTTCCGGTCCAAACACCAGCAGTCGCCGCAACACTATCCCCTCGGCCGAGCACATACTGGCTCTGCACYTCCCAATAACGACCAGGGACAGAGCGCCTCTCWCACGAGCAACGAGAATCAGCAGTCCGTAATGATTGGCGGTCCCACTCCCCCTGCTCCAGCCGTGAGCCCCGTAAACAGAGCGGATACAACAAGCGCCGCAAGTACAGTCTATGTTGTTCGTTATCACCCCATGGCCGATGTTGCAGCCCCAATCAGGCGAAGGGCGGCCACAAATCGCAGCACCAAMGGCAAAAATCGCAAGGGCAATGCRACCTCAGAAAAAGAGTTTGGCGATGCCGAGGACGTTGGTCACCATCGCGAACAAAACAAATGGCACCAAGTGTCAAATCCATTCAAGCGAAAGCGAACATCTCCCCCACAAGAAGTGCAGCGGGCGAGAGCTGCTGCCACTGAGCAGACATCTAACACAACTCACTTTTCCAAGTGGGATGTAAAATCGCGGCTGGGTGTCCTCGCGGCCGAGACTGGGGACCGAATTCGCGACAGAAACGCTGCTCGTACACAGCATATCGAACCGACTCCAGTGACCATCATCCCGGCACAACCTCGAGGTGCCCGGACTTGGACACCGGCGCCAACCGACGGCGACGTCCCAACCATTCAGACGCCGGCGGTAAACACCACGAGCGACTCCCCAGACGTGGCAAACGCAACGAGGAACTGGGCTGGCGAATCGACACGTGCAAGACCATCACCGCCTGTGCTACAGCTCAGCAGAAATGGTCCGCCACGGGCGGACGATGTAAGTCCAGTAGCAGGCAGGCAGCGAGGAACCGTCATAATTGCTGCGCCACGCCGATTTTCACCTTCAGATCGAAGTCAACCTGAAAGCGGACTGAGCAGCTCAAGTACACCAGCAGAAGACGGGAATAGAGCTTCACCACCCACGGATAGGTTGTAGAGCATCGGAATTTGGCACAAAAGCCTTGGATTGTTATTTAGCGCGGCGCTGGTGGTGTTGAATTGGGTGGCTGTTTAGAAAATCACATTGCATGCTGCAAGCAGGACGAACATTGACGATTAGAAGCTGTAAATAACACAATTGAAGACATTGCATAATTCCACGGCGCGAGTTGGGCGGCAACCGCTCCGCCAAGCGCTGAGCTCGTCCAAGCTTGGAGTTCTTAGGCTGGCAGAGTACATCATGTACTTCCCAGCATCATCTGCATTCAAGCCTGACTTGCCATCCACCCGTTCGATCGACTACGTTGCTTGACCGCTCTTCCAATCGATTGTTTGGGGCCGGGTTGCCTGCATCACATCTGCATTTCCTTGTTGCAGCGGCTTCTCCACCTCGAGATCCCTGCCTGACAGCTTGATCGCGATGAGCTTGTTCGGAGACGACGACKCGCCTGCACGGCCAAAGTCATCTCTCTTTGACGATGGTCCCGGAACGCCCAGCAAGACTACATCTTCAATCTTTCAAGACGAAGTCGACCAAACCACGGACTCGTCGCCCTGGGGATTCACGCCCAAAAAGAGCCCGGGCAAAGCAAGAGGAAGCTTGGTCAAGTCGCTGTTGGCGGATGTGGACGTTCCTGACTTGTACATCGATGCTTTTGACGACTTACAAGCGGCGGGGGTTGTCAAAGCGCATGACTGTCAGCAACTGCTCAAAGACTCTGGTGTGAATGCGGCGGATCGAGAACGGATTTGGAGTGTAGTGACGAGTGGCGGCGAAACTGCAGTGCTCGGAAGAGGCGAGTTCAACGTTCTTCTTGCTCTGGTTGGTCTTGCGCAAGAGGGAGAGGAGCAGCTTGGATTGGATGAAGTGGACGAAAGACGACGGAAGTTGCCACTACCTGTCCTATCAGCTGCGCAGCAAAAGTCGCAGTCGAAGGCACCTTTCAAGGCGGCACAAATGCCACAACCCAGCGATGTACAGACTGGAGCGCAAGCCACGCCGGCCAAGCCAACTTCCAGTCCTCGCAAGCCATCATTTGGAGCTGGATTTGGAGAGAGCGACCCGTGGGCAAGCCCAGCTCTGCACAAACATCACCAGCATAGCAACGGTATAGGAGCAGCTCAACGGACCACGAGCACCTTTACGACCACCAGTAATTTAGAGCCGTCGGAGACAATTGATACTTATGGCAATGGCCAGGTTGCTAGCAGCGTTGGCACTAGCAGCTGGGGAGCTTCTGCTGCGTTCCCTGCCGATATTCCACAGGGATTCGGAGACGCGAGTCCAGCTGGCGATGGTTTTGGAAGCGGAGGAAATTCCTCTGCCACACCCCGACGGCCGCAGCAGCCTCGTATCAGCACTACCCAGGGCGCAGAGGAGCTCGTCACCGTGAACCTGCTTGAGGAGAAAGAGGGCATGTTCATGTTTCAACATCGCAACTATGAGGTTGCCTCCGTTCGACGCAACAGCAAGGTAATACGACGATACAGCGACTTTGTTTGGCTGCTCGACTGCCTACACAAGCGCYATCCCTTCAGACAGCTCCCGCTACTGCCTCCCAAAAGAGTGTCAATAAACGGGAACCATATCGCATCTGATTCGGCCTTCGTGGAGAAGCGGAGAAGGGGTCTGGTTCGATTCTCGAATGCGCTTGTGCGCCATCCAATACTGCGAGAAGAGCAGCTTGTGGTGATGTTCTTGACTGTCCCTACGGTAGATGCATGTCTTCATATCATGATTGCGAGCACTGGCTGATGTAACATGCAGGAGCTAGCGGTGTGGAGAAAGCAGGCCACTATCAGTGTTCAAGAGGAGTTTGTTGGCCGATCCCTTCCACCTACTCTCGAAGACAGCTTGCCACAGAACTTGCAGGACACCTTCGATACGGTTCGRTCTGGAGTGAGGAGAAGTGCAGACCTGTACATCAATCTTTGCGGCGTGATTGAGAGACTGTGCAAACGAAAAGAAGCTCTTGCCGGCGAGTATGGTCGGCTGAACCTGAACCTCATCAGTCTCAGCGAGGCAAGCAGTGACACCTATGCTATTGACCWAAATGATATTCCGCTCCTCAACGAGGGCRTCAACGGCACAGCGAAACATGTTGAGACCTCGAAGGGCCTAGTCGATGATGAAGCACGAGCCTGGGATCAAGGAGTTCTTGAAGACGCCAAGACGATGCGAGACTGCCTGGTCAGTATGCGGGACATGTTTGATCGTCGGGACCGCTATGCACGGGACAATATTCCACAGCTAGAGCGGAAGATCCAGGCCAATGAGCAGAAGTTGCAAAACATTCGAGCCAAAGGAGATGCTGCCAAGCCTGGTGAAGCAGACAAAGTGGCCAGCGCCATAACCGCGGTGAGTATATGTCAGAGGGTTCTGGTGCATCATGAGCTAATGAATGAGCGCTATAGGACAAACAATCTATCGTCACGCAGCACGCGCGCGGCGTGTTCATCAAGGAGTGTATCAGGGACGAGTTACTGTATTTCCAGCATAGCCAGTATCGCATTTCCCGGCTCCATCAGGATTGGGCACAGGAGCGAGTGAAGTATGCTGAGTTGCAGGCGGACAACTTTCGGGGCTTGGTCGATGCGGTCGAGAATATGCCCGTCGGGGAGTGAGTGATGCAATGCCATGAATCCGCAAGAGGTCTCTAGCTAGCATCTGTACATTTGGAGCAGCATATGAACATTTTTCGTGCGTTGGCAAGCAAGGCAGGCGCGCTTTGACCACACGAGTTCTCGTCGCTCCTGACCCGCCGCGTGTGAATGGGGACGCATGACCCTTCTTCACTGCTGCCTTCCACGCCGAGCCATCCATTCACGTTCACATCCATCTCCTGCTAGATTGTTGCTCAACAAACATCTGCAGACTTGACATCTTCAGGTTCTTCGCTCGCTTCTGTACCAACAAAGTCYATCACTCAGCGCGCCAGGGAAGTTTGCATACACCATGCCGAAACGCAAGGTTGTCGAAGAGGCTCCAACGGCGGCGGTGCCAGCGACTCCCAAGAAGAGGGCCAGAAAGACGGGGGTGAAGGGGAAGAAACATGAAGGTCAGTCAGTGTTTCATCAGTTGGTCGTTCATGACAGTCCAAGCTCCAATTTGTGCGACTGCGGGGTCCGAACGACAAGATCCTCCTACGTCGTCACCTTTGCGGATGTTCAATCTGCCACCAATATTTGCACTACCAGAGCACCACTCGTTCATCATTCTCACACTCCAGCGCACATGATATCCACGTGCTAGACGACTCTTCTATCTGGCCGTGCAGCATCACCATTCGCCGCGGTCTCTGTCCACAAACTGACATCACAATGCCGCCAGCATATACCTCCCAGCAGACCAAGGCCATCTCCGATTTCGTCAGTGTCACGCAGGCCAACACCACCACCGCCGCAAAGATTCTCAAACAGCACAACTGGAACGTTGGCGCTGCAGCAAACGCGTAAGTTTATATTGCCCTTCACATTTCGGGCAACCGCGCGACAGTCCACAGCACTCGAGGGAGATCGAACAGGGATGCGGCTTCGCAGAGCGCGGCTCATCCACCTGCCTTTGTCAACTTGCTTCAATCCCCCTCAACACCCCACTACTTTAATCTCACCAGAGCTGACATGGGCTTTGTCTTCAGTTACTTCAACAATCCCACCGGCGGCTCCAACCCACTTCGCACCTCCCTTAGCAAAACCTTTGACAAATACCGCGATGATCCAAAAAACACTCCAGATGAGATCGGGGTCGAAGGCACTGGCACCTTGTTGCAAGAGCTAGACATCGAAGTGGCCGACGTTGCCGCCCTCGTCTTCTCTGAACTGGTACAGTCACCTTCACTGGGCACGATCACGCGGGATGGCTTCGTAGATGGATTTTCGGACGTCGGTGTGGATAGCTTGCCGAAGATGCGAAACATTGTTTTGCAACGCAGATCGCAATTGCCCACAGATAAGGAGGTGTTCAAAAGGGTGTACAACCACACATTTGTGCTCGCGTTGCAGGAGAAGCAAAAGGGACTTTCGATGGAAATGGCGATGGAATTTTGGAAGGTGCTATTCGAAAAGCCCGCATTTGAGTGGCGGACGGCGTCGACGCCCTGGCTGGACTGGTGGTTCGAGTTCTACGAGTCCAAGGTCAAGAAGGCCGTCAACAAAGACTTGTGGAAGCAAATCCTCAACTTTGCGCAGGAGACCATGAAGGACGATACCTTGAGCTTCTGGACCGAGGAAAGCAGCTGGCCGAGTGTGATTGACGAGTTTGTGGAGTGGGTGAAGACCGAGAAGCGGCCTGGTGGTGATGCAATGGAGATCTCTTAGGAAGCAGAACTGGCACTGCGATCACTACAGCGTGAACCAACACGTTAGCGAAAGGTCGCAATATGATGCCGGAGGCATGATTGTTGCTTTGATGCATTTGTTACTTAGCGAAGCGGAGCAATAACGGCGGAAGCGTGATTATTCGTTCACTGTTTTCATCCTGGAGCATGGAACAGCGTTGCTCACAAGAGCTTCATTCACTGCAGGGATGGGCTTAGCTAAGGCCGGATCTTGACTTCAGTTCCGAGATCGCTGGAGAATCAATATGATTATGTTCCCTAGGCGTTCACTCGGACATGAGCTGCGTACATGACAGGCTACAAAAAAAAGAGATCTTCTTCGTTGTCTGCATTCGGCGCTTTTGTAGTGTGATCAGGAAGACCCCTGACCAATCATGAAACGTGTAGCGACAACATGCTGCTTAACACGCTGACCTTGGTCTGCTCGCTAGTGTCATGCTTCTGTTGTTGAACAGTGATGGTGTGCAAGCGGTGTATTTGAAGAGGGCGTGCGCGCCTTCCCGCGAGAAACCCTTCCGCCTTTTTCACAGAGAAGACAACAACTACATGTTCATGACATACTCCATCGCCAATCTTTGAAGGAGCCGGCACTGCAGTACTTACCTATACTTCCATGCTAGACTTTTGAGTCTCGAAGCCCATTTCATTTCCGCGCCAAGCAGTGAGACATATGAAGAATAACGATATCTCTGGACAAACCAACCGGCTTGGAGAACAGAAATAGACTCGCGATCAGCAACGGCGTCCTCAGACTTCCTCCGATTCGATCGATTGAGATTAGAATCAAGATCCGAAGCAAGATGCTGCCAAGCGGCGTCAAAGCTATACACTCTCCCGCGGAGAATGATGCCTACAGCGACACTTCTTCCACAGCAGAATCCCGCGAACATCGGCTCGAGAGATCGCGAACGATTTGCGAGCGAATGTTCAATCCTCTATTTGGGATGAATCAACGAAAACAAGAACGAAAGTCGGATCTCAAGCACTTTGGTTCCTCGCGGGAACAGCTAGCAGATGGCTGGCTGAAGAAAGATTCGCATCTGCCAGCAACGCGAAGAAGTTGGCAGACAGGTGCATTCAACCTCGTCATGAAGACATTGCTCATTCTGCCGGTTGTTTTGCTGTCGATATTGTCAGTACTCCATGACGACATCAACCAAAGCGCTCAATGCTGACGGTGCTGCAAAGCGGGCTATTACACATCTTGCAGGTCCTCATTGGTAGTGCACGTGTTTTCTGGGATCTGAACGACGACGACCAGTTCCTTCCAAATTGGGGGAAGTCTGGCCATGCAGGCGAGGGTCTCGTTGACTATCCCACGGATGCGACCCGAGACGTGCGGCCGATCAATTGCCATTCCCATAACGATTATGTACGAAGAGTTCCATTGTTTGACGCGATTCACTGGGGTTGTACTGGCGTTGAGGCCGATGTGTGGAGTTTCGGTGATGAGGTATGGAGTTCAAGAAATRTGTTTCATCATCGTTCTCTCATACTGATCAACGATGTAGGAGCTCTATGTTGGGCACAGTACTGCATCGTTGACCAAGAAGCGCACCTTTCGCAACCTCTACGTCGATCCTATTGTGAAGCTTCTTGACAACATGAATCTGGAGACAGGTTTCGCGAACGTCACAGTCAACACAACCCAGCGTGGGATTTTCGAAGAGGATCCCAGCCAGACTTTGGTACTGCTCGTCGACTTCAAGACTTCAGGGAGCGACACCTTCCCACTCGTTCATAAGCAACTGGAAGCTCTACGAGAGAAAGACTACCTAAGCTATTTCGACGGCACACAGCTTCACTCTCGTCCCGTCACCGTTGTCGGGACTGGCAACACGCCCTTCGACCTGATTGTCGCGGAGAAGCAGCGACGAGACATATTCTTCGACGCTCCCCTAGAGAGGATGTGGGAAGCGCCCTCTGAACTTGAGGGGAGCAGTGCTTTCCAGCAAGAGGCGATATTATTTTCGAACCAGAAGTCCAACCAAGGCTCGGTGGGAACGCAGGATACCGCAATCGACGACTTCAACTCTACAAATTCGTACTATGCTAGCGTTAGCTTTGCGCACTCCATTGGTTTCGTGTGGCGGGGACGTTTATCTGCGAAGCAAATGAGTAAGATCCGTGGTCAGATCCAGGGAGCTCAGCGGCGAGGCTTGAAGACTCGTTACTGGGACACGTAAGTCATCGCTCGCACTGCCGCATGTCTTTTGCTAACCGTTGCTTTTAGTCCATCGTGGCCGATTAACCTAAGGAACCACGTCTGGGACGTATTGATGAAAGAAGGAGCAGACATGCTGAATGTTGATGATTTGAAAGGAGCAGCTGCGGAGAATTGGAAGATTAGGACTCACAGATTCTGGTCATGACCGAGAGATTGAAACGTCCGCAAGATACCCATCGTTTGACGAGACCTAAGATATGAGATAGAATATACAGAATTACCCACTAAACGCCATCGTTGCCGACCTGAGAATGACATCAAGCCGAATTTTAGTTCAGCGCGCAAAATGGCAAAAGGGTATCAATCAGTCAGCCCCGTTCATCTCTTCATCCAGTGGCTCAGCGTTGATCACGTCTTCGTCCTCTTCCACGTCGGGTTGCGCTCCCGCGTCCTCGTCCTCTATTTCGTCAACTCCATCCTCAATGTCGTCGACCACGAGGGCGGTGCTTTTCGCATTTGCCTTTGCTTTTCTCGGCGCGGCCTTGCCATTCAGTTTTGCGGATTTGCTTTTGCCGGTTTGTTTCTTGCTGACGGCGCTCGTATCAAGGTAGGCGACACACTCCCTGAAATTGGGACCAAGCTTGGTTCTGTTACGCTCGAATCGCTTCCGCGTAGTCTTGTCATCGATGACACCTGCCGTAATTGCTAGCGCCAGCTTACCAGCCAGTGCGCAGAGTTTTTGCTCGGCGATCAATGGCTTCATTAGCTTGAGATCGCGACTTCGCTGTGCATCCTGCGTCTGCGTCTGCGTGGCTTCATCTTCAGATTCCGAGTCGGAGACAGGGTCGTCGTCGATGGGATCAGCGTCAACGTCTTCGTCTGCCTCTTCGATTGTCGCTCCTTCAAGTTTCTTGCCACTGAGCCTGGCAAACTCCTTCTCATGAGCGATGAAGACTTTCATGACTGCATTTTCGTGCTGCGTATCCATGTCCATGACGAGCGCTGTGTAATCGTCGCTTGTCCCCGGGCGAGCAGTTTGTGTTCGTAGAGACGCCGACGCCGTGTACAAGTCGAGGATGCTTGCCGCCATGACCAAGGAGATCTGGTCTTTGGTTTTCCTCGAATCCAACACGGCAGCAATGTTGGTAGCAAGCGTGTCTCGGCGTGTCGCAAGTGCTTCTAATGATTCGTAGGCTTCGCTGGAGTTTGTGCCTGCCTGAATGGACTCGCAGATTTCCAACAACTTCCAGCGCGTATAGAATAACGCGGCTTCACAGGCGCGTGCTGCGACGAGATCTTCAAGAGTCGCCTCTTGTGGATCAGGTGATGGACCATTGGAATGGGTAGCTCGTAAGATGAGACCGATAATGAAGTCAATCGGGCCGCTGTACTCTTTGTCGACAGCAGCGTTCGTACCGGACACCGCAGAATCTTCCAGGGGCAAGATGCAGCTGGCAACCTGAGAAAGCCGAATAATTCTCAGTAGATTGTTGCTGAGCGCTTCCAGCTCCTGGATGCTGGAAGCTCCGCGAACCTCGATGACATCCACGTTGAGCAGCTCGGCCAGGTTTCCCACAACATCATCCCACAAGGCTGACAGCTTCTCCATTGCCGTATCGTCCAACTCTCCGTAAGATTTGGCATGTAGGATAGCCGTGGCAGCGGGCGCAAGAACCTCGTCGGTCGAATGCGACATGATTTGTTTGCGTAAGTCATCAAGGAGTGCGTTGTTACTCGTTGGATCTTGTCGTAAGCTCTGAAGCAAAGGTAGACCGAATACGCCTTCCAAGCGTAAGACAGCAGCCGCGGTGCCTGGAGAGTCTCCGAACTTCTTAAGTAACTTGGGGAGCATATCGGAAAGGTTGCGAACTGCCTCTTCGAGGTCATCCTGGAGTTCGTCCTTCTTGCTTGCCTTGCCTTTGCCCTTTGCTGTTGTAATGGCGTCCGCGAGATCCGTCAACGACCGTTTGAGACACGCGTTAAGCACTTCCAGCAGGGTCATCTCCTCGCTTTCGGACAATGTGCACTCGTGCTTCAACGAGGACAAAGTGTCGGATGTGGATGCGTGTGGTCGGCCTTCGGAATGATCGAACAGTAGATATCCTGCAAGAGCCTGCCAGTCCTTCAATTCGCTGATCTTGTCGTAAAGAGCGTCCACTGCAAGAGTGAATCGAGACTCTGTACCTGCGGCAAGTAGAATCAGGCTTCCATCAGCATCACTGCGTTGCAGCTGATTAGGAATCTGATCGTGATGGTCGTAAGACAATAGCACCTCGGCCAACGATTTGAACTTGAGCCATGCTAAGCGAGGCGCTTCGAAGTTATTCTCGTTGGCGTCTGGTAGCAACTCCTCCAAGGCCTCAAGGCCTTCAAGGTCAATCACCTTTGAGTCGTAGAGATCGTTGACATTTTCGGAGAAGAAGCCCCCTACGGCTTTCCTGACCCTTGACTCCTCGTGAAATACCAATCGACCGACTGCGTCAATGTCGTCAGGTTCGAGAAGATCATTGTTGCGTAAAACACCCAAGAGTTCAATGCTTGCCACTCGAACATTGAGGTCTACGTCTGATGTTCCCATCTCGACAAAGCGCGTCCGAAATCGCTCTGTGAATGTCTTGAGGCCCCCAAACTTATCGCTGTCGTTGTAAAGGCGTTGCAGCTGATGTACGACCTCTAAACGGGTGGCACCACTGTCATCGCTGAGCAGCCACCCAAGATATCGGAGATGATGACCGTCGAAGAATGTGTCGGGCATGATGATGATCCAGTCTCCGAGAGCTGCAACGCAATCGCGACGAACAGCCGGGTCGATATCTCGGTAGCGGTGGATGAAGATGGTCTCAAACCAATCCCTCAGGCGCTCCTCCGTGAATTCCAAATTCGCGCTTGCCTCTTCAGCTTTCCGATCGAAGTCCTTCACTCGCTCCTTGTTTGCTCTTGCTTTCTTGCGCTCGGCGTCGGCGGAGCGCTTGAGATTMGCTGTCTGGTCTACAAGTTCTCTGGCAACCTCACATAGAGCGGTGATAACGCTTAACGAAGCTACTGCCGCAGTGTGTCGGAAAGAGCGGTTTGAGGCTGTGCTCATGGTGGATAACCAGACCTCGATGTTCTCCATCAGCTGCGGATTCGAGGTGAGGAGACCACTGGCCCCGATAGCCTTGGTCAGGCGGTGGAGGAAGCCGGTGACGCTCTGCTTGAAGTTTCCCCCAGTCTTTCCCTTCGCGATGAGTGGATAGTCGGTAGGTTCTGTAGCCTGGTGCTCGTCTTGCAGATCAGTGAGCCTCGCTGTAGCTCCGTCTGGGTCTTCGATATCGAATTCTGTGAGCTTTCCATTGCAGCCTGCACTCTTCAGGACAAAGTTGATGACATCGGCCAACGCTCTTGATTCGTGTTCTTCAAACGCCGCGAGCCACTCTTTGACGACTTCGTCAATCGTCTTATCATGGGCGAACAGGTCCGCATACAATCCACCTGCAGCTTCCGCGTCTGCCTCATCGAGCACCTTTGCCTTTTTCGGGATTCGTTTCTTGGGCGCAGCCTTTACGGTACCTCTTATAGGTAGGGTAAGTCCGTTAGTCTTTGACTTCTTCTGCGCGGGCTTCTTCGATGCAGCGCCCTTCACCGCAGTACTTTTAGGCTTGCGTGCCCTTTTGGCCCTTTCACGCAACTCCTCCTCGGCCGGCTCGTCGTCCTCGGGGTCGTCATCCTCTTCGGATTCCTCCTCGGCTTCCGCATCGTCTTCATCCATGTCGACATCACCGTCCGCTCCATCGTTTCCGGGACGCTTCCGCTTTCCATTTGCTGTGAAGGTGCTGGTAACGAAGTGTTCGGGAGCGCGACGTACTCTAGCTGATGCGCGTGGCGCAACTGACGCGTCCGCCGCTGATGATGCAGGACTTTCCATGGTTCAATGGGTGGTGCWGTGTACGGTGATTTTTGGAGGAAAGAGTGGCGATCGTTCGACGCGTCTCACTGCCACTGCATTATCTGGCGTCGCGGTCGGAACGAAGAATTGTAGGTAGAGACGGGAAGATGTTTCGCGAAAGATGGAGCACGCGCAGAGTGGGGTCATGTTTGTCGCGCAACCTCACCTCACCTTGGTTTTGCAATGCTCCCGTCTTTATCATGTTTGATCGATGACACGGCCATTTGGGACAGCAATGTTCAATCCCTTCTCTGCACCGGCCTCTACACCTGGTCGTGGCACGATTCACCTGGCCTTGCTCCCGCCCAACACACCGCGTCTACGCACAGTACAATACCAGTATCCGTTGAAGTTGGTTTCTCCTGCGCCATTGAGGACGGAAAGCGAGGCGCAACATCTCATCCACACCGTCTACCTTCTCACCTATGGCGGAGGTCTTGTTGCTGGAGATTGCATCGATCTGGCAGTCATTTTAGAAACCGCAACACGCCTTATCCTCCTGACTCAAGGGAGTACCAAACTTTTCAAATCTCCTAGTAGGAATGTGGTGAGCAAGCRACGTATGACGGTAGACGTGGCTCCAGATTCGTCACTGTGCTATCTTTCAGACCCAATCCAACCTTTTGAGAACAGCTGTTTTGAGCAGCAGCAGATCTACAACATCACGGTTCCATCCAGCTCCGAATCAAAGCACGGGAGTCTGTGTGTGCTGGACTGGGTCTCCAATGGTCGTCCGGCTAACGGCGAGAATTGGTCTTTCCATCGCTATGCAAGCTGCAATGAGATCTATCTATATGACTTTAACAAGGCTCGCCGGCTGCTTCTGCGCGATAACATGCTGCTCGACGAACATTCTTCCGGAGGGACTGTCGCCCGAAAAATGGTGGGAATAGCCGTCTACGGTACATTGATCCTATTCGGGTCGCTGTTCGCGGCCCTGGGACGTTTCTTTATGGAAGAATTCAAAGCTCTTCCCCGAATAGGTGGGAGGAAGTGGGACAGTGGCAGTGAAAGCGGAGATGAAGAGCTCGACCATCTAGAGGCGCGCAGGACTATAAGACAACGGACTGAAGCTGCGAATGGCCTGCTCTGGTCAGCTGCATCAGTACGAGACTGTGTCGTCGTCAAGTTCAGTGCACCGACACTTGAGGCTGCCCGAAGCTGGCTTTATACCATGCTGTCTGAGGAGCAGTCCGTTGTTGTTCATTTCGGCGAGCGCGCTCTGCTGTGCGTTCGATGAAATACTACGTAAATCGAGAATTTGTAGCCGCCAGTCCGATGATGGCTGGCAAGTGTATAACAATATCCTCTCGAGCCCGCATTCGCACGCTGGAAGAAGTCATCAATACCTGTGCTTCCGCTGCATCGGTAAGGTATTGACCCAATCAAATGATAGTTCGCAAGTTTGAAGAAATTCGAGACGCGGAACAGCACATTCAAATACATTGACGCAAGCTATCTAGGTGTTCAAAGATACAATAGGGGCGCGACAAATTGGGCAATCACTTCTAGCTTCTGTATCCCCTTGTTTGGTTTCATGCTCTTCACGTCAGCAATCACTCATCCTTTCGCGTATTGTAGGTTGTAATCTGCGATGGAAAAAACCCAGAGCAGCTGGCTGCTCAATATCTTTCACACTAGCAACAGGAAGTCCACCATTCGCGTTCAAWCTTTGCGAGTTCCACTTATTGTTGAATGTCTGTGCGAACAGCACATGATGCATCCATCAAATAGTGGTACAGGCACGACGATGAGGTGTCGCGATTGTGCTCGTAGACATTCTGAAACAGGAGGCCTGGGGAAGTCGCATTCAATTGCAAGAGTTGGAAATGATTGGATTCGAACTTGCATTTTCTGTCTTCTATCTAGACATTTCTAACAGACGGGAATCGTAAGCATTTCGTAAGCACTAACCCTCAACCCAAACGCCAATTTTCATGCTCCGCAGCAACGCTCCCAGACCTTCTGAGTGTCGCCACCATAAATGAGCGTCTAATCGTCCTCATCCGAGAAGACCTCCTCACCACGCTTACGGCGGGCCATGCGGTCCTTCTTCTTCTTTCGGAGCTCGGCAGACGTGAGCTTCTTGGCCTTCTTGGTAGACTCGATCTTGTTACCCATGGCGTCGAACTTCTCCTCTTCTTCCTCCTCACCCTTCAGACGAGGGCCGGCACCCTGACCCTGCACCCAGTTGTGACCAGATGGAGTCATGCGACCGTCGTTGACAGCCCAAACTTCTTCAGTGATGTTCTTGGTGAACTCGGCCGAGTGGGTAATGATGATGACACCACCCTCAAAGGACTTGAGAGCCTTGGAAAGCGCACCGAGAGAGTCACGGTCGAGGTAGTTGGTGGGCTCGTCAAGAACGACCAAGTGAGGACGCTGCCATGAGCAGGCGGCGAGAACGACCTTGACACGCTGGCCACCAGAAAGACCACGCATGCGGGAATGAGAGACAAGCTCGGCATCCAGTCCGAAGTACGCGCAGTGGGCTTCAATCTCCTTACGAACCAGAGGACGGAATTGACCGCTGGCAAGAGCTTCCTTCTGATCGACATCAGCCACCATCTTCTGGTGAGATGCGATAATCTCAGTACGAGGAATCCAGGCGTTGTCGGCGGTCATCATAGGTGTCCACTTCTCGTTCTTCATGCCGATGTTCTCACCAAGCGCAAACGAACACTCGTACTCGTAAGAGTTCTTGAACTTTCTTCGGCTGTGAACACCAATGACACGACGAATGGTACCCTCGATTCTGTACTGCTTGTCCATGGCCTTCTCGTCCTCGTCGGTGACGATCTTGTTGGCACGGTCCATGGTCTCACGATCCTCACCAGTCTGGAATCGCCACTGAATGTACTCAGATGGAGTCTTGTCAAGGTGGTGATCGATATGTGCGAATGCATGCTGCTTGATGTATGCAATACGAATGTTCTCGTGCTGGTAGACATCACCCTTGGTTGGGATGAGCTCACCGGTCAGGACGTTGACAAGAGTAGACTTGCCGGCACCGTTGGGGCCAATGACAGCGATACGGGACCCAAGCGAGCACTGGAAGTTGATGTCCTGGATCTGTGGGCGGGCGCTGCCGGGGTACTGGAAAGTCATGTTGCTGACACGAACGATGGCCTTGGCCTTGGTCTTGACACCCTCCAAGAAACCGGGCTCCGGGAAGCGGAACTCCATCTCAGAGGCACCGAGCTCGTAGTATGACTTCGCGGATGGAACACGCTTGACAAACTCGCTCATTCTGCCGCGGTAACGCTTCAGCTTGAAGCGCTCGTAGTGGATGACGTGCTGGACGACGTTGTCGAGGAACTTGCTGTCGTGGGAAATGATGATAGATGTGCATGGCGAGCTGGTCAGGTAGTCTTCGAGCCACTTGACGTTCTTCACGTCCAAATGGTTGGTAGGCTCGTCGAGAAGGAGAATATCAGGCTTCTCGAAGACAGCACGCGCCAAAGCGAGCTTCATCTTCCAGCCACCGGACAGTGATGTGATCAGACCGTTGACCTGCTCGGGGATGAAGCCAAACTCGTCCATGGTCTTGCGGACCTCATCCTCGGTAAGCTCGAGGCCTGCCTTCTTAAGCTTCATCATAGTCCAGTCGATCACAGTCATCTCAGTATCGTCAGAGTCCAAATCGTGCTCAACGTACACAGTCTTGACCTCGTTCTGCTTGGGGAAACCCTCGACCTGCTCGTTGTTGATGGCGCGCATCAGAGTAGTCTTTCCAGAACCGTTGGGTCCAAGGAGACCATAGCGCTGGCCACGCTTGAGACGCAGGTGAGTCTGGTTGAGCAAGATCTTGGCACCGTATGCCAAGTTGAAAGTGCAGTTGCAGAGGTCCTCGCCCTCCTCCTCATCAGGCTCGACCTCGTCCTCCTCGGATGCCAGGGGAGAGGCGCGCTTGCGGAGAGCCTCGACAATTCCCTGCGCCTGGTCGGCGACGATGACGTTGAGATATCCAACAATAGCGAGGTTCCAGGTGGTAGCCTCCTTGTCCTTCTCATCGATGAGCTGACCAGCGATGGCGGAAACGTAAGAAAGCACAGGCTCGTACTTGGGCTCGAGTGCGTGCTTCTGGTCCTCGGAGAGAATGTCCTTGAGCTTGGCAAGAACAGTGGAGACATCGCCAACAAGCGAGACCTCTGGGATCTTGCCGTCTTTGACGTTACCAACACGGATGAGGGTGTCGAGACMCTGCTTGGTCTTCTCACGAGCCTCGGGATCGGCCATGTTGTCATGGTTCTGGTGGAGTTGAGGCATAAGCTTTGGCAAGAATGCGGCCACAATGTTGGGGTCTTCGACAAGCTTGCACATGTTGTCGATGATGACAGCAGTCTTACGCTTGATGGCGGTCTCACGCTCCTTAAGACCACGCTCGAGCAGCGGCACCATGATGGCGAGGGTTGGCTCGTGCACATCAGTGACGAAGGTAGTGGCACCGAGCAGATGAATGGTCTCGGGGACGTGCTCTGGCTTGGCCACACACTTGATGAGCTCGGGGATGAAGCGCTCGATATCCTTGTTCACAATGAGCGCGCACACCTTCTCCATGGTACCGTATGYCTTTTTCTTGACCTCGGGCTTGGTGTCCCACATAGCCTCGGAGACGATAGGAATGAGTTCGGGGACACGGAGGGCAGTCTGCGCGGGCGCGCTCTCGGTAAGTGCCTCGATACACTCGAGATCGGWCATCTTTTCGGGCCACTTCTGGGCGTTGCGGATCGACTCGACGAAGCACGGAATGAGCAGCTTGACGGCGTTGGCATTAACGGCCTTGGTGATGGCCAGAGCAGCGTTCTGCGCGGCAACCTTGACGGGCGCCATCTTGTCGCCGACGGCGGACAGCACTGCAGGGAGGAGCTGCACGAGGTATGGCTCGACTGACGGTGAGACGGCGGCGTGCTGTGCAATGGCGGCGATTGCCTCGCAGCCGTTCTGTCGGGCATTKGCGTCCTTCTTGTTGGTCAACATCTTCTTCAGGCTCTCGATGGCCTTAGTAGGCGCATCGAGGTCCTGGATATCGCCATTGATGAAGGTGGCAATTTCGAGTTGGGTGGCCTTGGACTCGTCGGCCGTCTTGGAGACAGAGAGCTTGGTAAAGAGCTCTTCGAGCACCTTGGTGCTTTGCTTGTTCTCTTTCGACGCCATGTTGACGGCTGGAACAAGGTGTAAGAGAAAAAGAGGGTGGGAGGGGGATGTCGAAGAGACGCCGGTGTGCGAACAGAATTCGTGGTTTTAAGCCCCCGCCAGAGAGAAAAATCGTGCCGCAGAATTTCAGGGTGCCCTCGAAATGCGATGTCATTGGTTGGTTTCATCCCGCACAGTCAGCACACGCCAGATTGTTGTCGGCGAAGTCTCTCAACGTCACAGCACGAGTGATTGCCTGCAGACATGAGAAGCACTTCATCGTTCAGAAGCCAAGTCACAATTCWCTTGAACACGAACAACGCCATGCCCATTGTCGAGACTGGAAGATTTCCATCAGGATCAACGCTCCCACCATGCTCAACCCAAATGTATTGCCCAAATGCTCTTGAATGTGCTGTTCCTCACCTCAACATTGTTACAGATCTGTGTGTTAGCGTCGACTTGAACTACAGCGGAGACTTGTTTGGGCATCACCTGACCGGCAGCGACCCTCCTCGACCCAATCCAGTACAAGTTGAGCAGAAGGCTACCCATAAGCGTGACCCTTATGTTCGTGGTCAGGTAGTAAGGTAACTTAGACAACACTCATCGTTGGTCATACTTATCTGGCTTACAATCGGCACCACATCCAACCTATAAAGGCGCTATACTATCGAATACCACTCGAGTTTGTGTCAACTTCGGAGATTCCTTGCGAAAGTTCCACAAGACAAGAACACCGGGGCAGGCGGGAGTTGAAGGGGCTTCTTGAGTGTAACATTACGCCATCTTCAGCGAGCCAGGACTTCGTGAAAATACCGACACCGATTGACGGTAAACCGCTCGTAAACGCTCAACGCCAGGTCTTAGCTCAATTCACATATCGAGGTGTTCGCGCCATCTCATCGTGCATCGGCAAACTTGGCTCCACCAGACATATGTGATGATCAACCTCCCCACTCCATGCACGCTTGAATCGCTGGGACATATTGGGACCGCTATAGCTCCTCGGTACAACTGCAAACATGAACAACAAGATAGCATCTGCCTGCGTTTTCAACATTGTCCTGGCTGCCGGCCAACTTCCTCGCTCTAGCAGAATCAACTGGTTGTGCCTGATCAACACCAATCGACAAAGGAACCGGTCTGCCTTTGAAGGTGCTTGGATTCCGGAGCGGGCTTGAACTCGTTTGTGTAGCAATTTGATAATACCGGAATAGCTGGTGCTCGAATCGTCGAGGAGAATGATGTCGCCTTGCTGTTTGATCAATGGACCAGCTTGCATTAGGTTGGAATCGAGGAGCTTGCCGGCTTCGTGGTGGGACATTTGGATTATTAGTGGTATTGGCTGGGAAAATTGTAAGTCCGAGCACATTGCATGATGTCTATCCGAGTGAATTACTGGTCCGTTCGACGCTTCGTAACTTGGAGGCTGCTCGGGAGATGCCATTTGTGCTGTTTGTGTGTTCAGATTCAAGGGCGTATGGTACGTGCTTAATAAGTTTAAGCTTGCTTCATGTTTGCTAAATCTTAGCACTCATGAGATCTAATCTATGAGAATGCAGCTGCGTCTGCGTGACACTTCAACGTGACCAGCAGTAGGACTTGAGATCTAATCAGTCGCCAGCTGCGGTCGCCGTCATGCGTCCAAAGGCCGGCATAGAAGATGCACTTTCCACAACGACAACACGATTGAATATTCGACGCTCCGCAAGGCTGTTTCTTTTATGCCCGTTCGCGAGCGATGTCGTCGGCCTACCACAAGGGAAGCCGTCATGCTTCAATTTCCCGTCTCTTGGTCCCTGAAGTCGATCATGAAGTCGGAAAAAGGAAATGAAGTTAAAACAGGAAATTGAAGCTGCACTGGAATTCTTGACGGGAAAGGCAGCTCGGATCTTCGTTGGGTCATATACATGGGGATAGAACCTGGCCAATAGATCGGATTTTACTTCGAGCAGGTTCATCACAGATTGATATCACCAAGAGACTGCACTACCGTCAGTCTTTCTCGGTCTTCCCGAGAAACTTCAGCATTCCCAGGTCGATCGACCAAGATGCTTTTCATGCCGCCATGGACAGCTGCATCGACCTCTTTGACATTATCGCTCAGGAACAAGATTTCCTCTGGATTTCGCTGCAATGCGTCAGGGGACTTTCTAAATTTCGACCATAGCCTTCAATCTCACCTTCAATGCACCAGCTATCTTTGTATAGCTACTCTGATCCGTCTTCAGCCCAGCGTTTACTGTATCGAACCAACCCTCGAAGAGACTAGTCAGGTCGAGAGCTTCTCGATGCTCGGTCAAGCCTGCTTCAGCTTGAACATGACCAAACAGCAGTTTCTGAGCAAAGACGCTCCCCGAGGAGTAGATTGAGAGTCCCAGATTGTAGCTCGCCCAATTTCGCAGCTGAGGTACAACGTCGGAGAATAAAGGAGTGGAGTACGCTCCGGTCCTGTAGCCATGCTCCCACAGCATGCCTTGAAGATTCTTCAGATAGGCAATTTTAACATCTCGACGTGTCAGGTCCTCGACATGAGCTTGCAACGCTTCTGGCGAAGTTCGGTGTTCTTCGGGGAAAGCCTCGCGATACGGTCTGAAAGATTCGCTGTCCCACTGCGTGCTCAGCACGTTGGGCAGGGCGTCTATGGCATACGGGAACTGCGGTGAAGATTCGTAGTGAGCGTATGTCTCATCGAGCGATGCTCAATCAAAGACTGGAGCTAAGGGAGATGGCGGTGGAGGACCCACACACATACCAAGATCTCCTTGACAAAGGCAATTGGACAGACTGTTCCTTCTGCAGGAACGTTGGTTAGCGAGCAGAATTTTCAACATCCATATGCACGCGCTCACCGATATCAAGTAAAACGTGGTTGACGCCGTCCATTTTGGGCTGACACTTGCGATAATGTGGATGGGTGAATCCAAATGTGTCAAGCCACCAAGCAGGTGAAGTTTGTTGGCGCCCGCGACTCCGCGCGTGAATCTTGGTTCAAGCGTGGCAGCGGAGTCTTTGTGGAGCACCCCATCAGATGTCCCGCGTTCCGTGAGGAGTATTTGCCTTAGCACCAGGTACCAGCATTATAAGCGATTCACGACAGTCCTGATCAAGCAAGACGGAAAGGCTACAGCAAGTTTGACTCTACCTTGGAGCACCTTAGTATGTTGATCACGCCTTGACTACTCGGGCGTTGGATGCCGAAAGACAGCTCGAGCAGCTGTCCATTTGACTGAGGGGTGCCATTTCGATTGCCGCCCGACAGAAGATGGATGCATCAACTAGGACTGCGCTGTCAAAAGCTGACAGCCCTCACCGACCAGATGGATGCCAGTAGTTCACCGTTCCGCTCGCAGACAACAAACCAGCAATCTAAAAAGTGCTGAGCCAAAGCAGGTGTGTGCCATGAATCGTTCAACTTGCATATGCAGCACGAGCGAATAACAACGAACGCGGGCGAACACTCCCAGGACAGCGCTACTGCAGCGAGTGCTTGAATGAAAACTCTTCACAATGCAGGTCAACAATAGGGTGTTTCAATGCTCGTGGTTGTTGATTGTAACTCACCGCTCTCTCCTCTGGTTGGAAAGCGGGACGCCACGACGATCTGCTGGCGCCTCGACAGAACTAGTTGTTGGTCTGGAGCACCTGCTGCACGCTCACGCATGGGCCCGAACTTGCCGTTGGTTGCAGTGTAGCGGCAGCACATTGGCCAAAACAAGTCGTGGACACTGATCAGACCATCGCTCAGACAATCGCGTGCTGGCTCCGCCCTCCGCTCACGTGTACTGCCGGATGACGAAAAGCAGCGCTCCGCTTGCGAGTGGTGAGACAAAGACATTTGCCGCCAAGTGATTCAAGGGTCATTAAGGTGGTGCAGGAGTGTAAAGGTAAGGTAGGTACCGACGGATTCACGCAGCTCRTGCAATCGCACGGTAAAATGTGTGTAGCAACTTCCGCTTCTATTTGTTGGTCAACAGAAACGCATGTCTTTGCGTCGTGCTGGGACTTCGTCTGGCAGCAATTGACGGTCGTGTCCTTTCACCGCCGGAGCCGTTGGACTAGCTAAATTGCCATCTTCCCAGTGTGACGAAGCTCATCCTGGGGCCTGTAGGCTGCACGTACTTCCCAAGGCACTCTTCTCGATGAGATCGAAGGACTGAAAGTATCCTTGGGTGTCTCTCCCATCAAGCTACGCTGAAACATACAGGGCGCCTGCCATGCAAACTGGCGCGCGTCCATTTATTTACATTCCCCATGGCCTGAGGCCTGCGTATGGTAGGCGCCGTTTCAGGTGAAACGCAGGTCGGGACAAAAGTGCCGCCAGCTTCGAACAATGAAGGACTGCGTGACAGCGTCTGGCGTCGGCGTCTTTGAAAAGATACGTTATCATAGGAAATGACCCGGTCAAAGAAAATCTTGTCCAAGTCATGACGGCGGTGGTCAGGCGGGTGTTGTTTCGTCACGTTGGAGCGATTTGTTCTCGCCTATCGCCGCAGCTGTGGCGTGGTTGGCGCCAGTGGGCCATGTTTCCCAGTAGTTTTGGTCAGTTGTCTTCCGATGCCGGCTAGCGGAAGTCTAAATCCAAGCTAGGAACAAAGCGTGCTGCACCTGTACCGTTCTCGCATCTTCTCTTCCAGGCCAGCCCTCATCTCGTACGCTTCCCTTCTCCCTGCTCACACACCGCCGCTGCTCCTGTCCCCTCTTAACTTCACGTACATCCACCTGCCATTGACTATCAAGTCATAGGCAATACTGTTCTTGGACGCTCCTCCCTACCACTCACCCCTTCAGCCGTCTCCGATCGCTCCTCCTCTCCCACGCTCGTGCTCAGCCGTACACGGCAGGCACATTCCACGCAGAATCGGCCGGGCAACACCTGCTTCGGGTCGACACAAGCCTCACACTGCCACCTGCGATACTTCCATCCGCTTCTACCACCTACGATCTGCCACAACATCCAACTTTCCACATCTGAGAGTCAAATGTGATACACGACAACAGGGTCTCAATCTCCGGAGCTTGACGCATTCGTCATCGGACCTCCAGCCTCCAGACCCTCCACAGCAACGACAATAGAGCCGCCATTCTCACACCCGCACATTCCCGACTCTACAACGTGACAAGGCCCCTTGGAAAGTTGCTCTTCGATACTCATCACGGCGTATCAGCAACACCAACCTCAGGCACCATTGGCTCCAGGCAGCACCCTTGACATTCTCCCCGCGGCAGCAACCCTGACTCGAACACCCACCTCAACATCTCCGTCCTCTTCTTCTTCCATCACATATTCCGCCATATAGTTGGTAACGCGACCTCCAGTCCTCCTCACGCCTTCACGACCCATATTACCACAACCGGACCAGCTCCTCGACGGACGCGACCAGCCTTGGGCAATTACGACCCGCCGGCACCTTTTGCACAAATGATAGCATTGACGATCCTTACGTTTCCTTGAATACCAACACCACTACTTTCACCAGCGTCACCACTTTTTTCCGGAGCGAGCCATTGAGCGAATTTCCTGTATTGTTATCCTTTGTTCACCCGGAGTTTGAGAAAGAGAAAAGCAGAGAGCAAGCACAAATAAGGGAGGGTGTGTTGTTTTGCAAGATTTACGAACCTGCTGGCCCGTGTTGACAACCTCTCCGGTTGTATTGACGGTCCAATTCACCTACGCTTCGCTATCATCCGGACCCCGACTTCATGGCTTGTATGCGAGATGGCTTTATACCAGGAAGACCACTCGATAATGGACGGTTCACTACCGTCTCGCCTTTGAACCATGGTTCGTTCGGCATGGTACTGGCCGCCAGAGATACCACCACTGGAGAGGATGTTGCCATCAWGTGCATCACCAAGTCCAGTGCGACTGCGGCTGTCAATTGCCCCGTCTCCGTCGCCACGGATGACCACTCGGAGGAGCTCGCAATTCATTCACGCCTATCGAGGCACCCCAACATCGTCAACCTTCTCCATGACTTTGAGACCGAGAATCACCGTTACATGGTCCTGGAGCTCTGCAACAACGGGGACCTCTACGAGGCTATCCGTGTTGGCAAGGGACCTCTGGAGACGGGTCATGTGCGAGACTTCATGTTGGAGTTGGTCCGCGCCGTGGAGTATCTCCACGCCAATGGCGTCTACCATCGCGACATCAAACCCGAGAACATCTTCCTGACCTCCGAAGGTTCCATGAAGCTTGGGGACTTTGGGCTTGCTACAACCGACACCTGGTCCACGGAGTTTGCTGTTGGATCTGACCGCTACATGGCGCCTGAGCAATACGATGCATCTGTCTACGGTTACGGTTACTCGCCGGCCGCTTGCGACATCTGGGCAATTGGAATTGTCCTTTTGAACGTCTTGTTTCAACGCAACCCATTCGCAACGCCCTCGCAGAAGGATGTGCTCTTCGCCGACTTTGCACGTGACCGTCAGAGCCTATTCGACATCTTCCCAACACTCAGCTCAGATACATACAACGTGTTGGTTCACTCATTGGCCCTGGACCCGGCGAACCGTTCTCTCGCAGCCGTGAAGGAGGCTCTGAATGACGTTGTCAGTTTCACCGTCGACGATGAATCCTTGGATGACTTCTGCACCGAACAAAATGACATGGTCCCAATCACCGCAACCGCCGCTCGCGAGCCACTGCGTACTCCTTCACTTGGCAGCGCTTCTCTGGCCGGCGGAGATGCTTTCCCTTGGGCCACTGCTTTACAGGCAACACCACAAAAGCCATCCCGCCAGCTTTCCACTATTCGCGATGAGGACATGGATATGTTCCCAGGCGCCACTGGTCAATACGCTGATGCTGACGAGGCTTCGCTTTCTTCCAATCTCGACTCCGGCGTTGGGGGCTTTTCTTACAAAAGTGCACAGAGCTCGATGCACTCGGTCAAGCCCAAGACCAGCTTCGTTGGATCTTTGCCCATCAGCTTCACTAGGCCGAAGACGGCTCCGTATGGTGGTCTCAGCTCTGGCTTCTCTAAGAGCTGGTCGGATCTGTATGACGAGGAGGAGGAAGCGATTCAAGAGGAGATCCAACCTTACGAGGATGCGGCCGACGCGGGCAGCGAGATCGAACGGGTGAGCACTGCAAAGCCGAGCACGCCTCAGCTGCAGACTCTCAAACTTGACGATGGCCGCGGCAGTCTGACCCCTCGCGGTTTCCCACCTCGTGGTCTCGTAGACATCGGTCCCAATGTTCGATGCGCTAGTCCTTTGGATCTATCTGCCAACGAGGCTAAGCCTGCGGTGGATCAACCAAAGAAGTCCATATTGGACAAGTGGGCGGCTTTGGGAAACTTCCGGCGTGCTCGGGCCGATCCAAGTACTGTCACCGCACCTGCGGTCATCGCGACTCCGCCGCCCGCCCTCAAGACCAAGTACTCGACGGCTTTTGGCAATTTTACAGCTTTTGGCAGCAACAAGAAGTCAAAGGCTCAGCCGCAAGCTCGTGACCGTGTCAGTCCACAGCGACTCCGGTCGAACTCCAACAACAACACCTGGCAGGAGTCTAACGACTGGCGTTTGAAGACCCCGGCGAAGACTTCTCCATCCCCACCGCTGTTCCGACAGAGATCGAGTGGGTCACAGCAACGCAACTCCGACAAATGTTTCCTTGATGAATACCCTGAAGATGACGACGATATCGAGATGTTTAGCATGGAAAGCGAAAGCTTTCATGCTAATTGATGGCCGCACCGATCTGGTCCTGCGCTAAACTTTGTCCTTGAAGAATTACCAAATTGCAGTCAACGACCAAGAAGACCAGTGCGTCTCTTGGAGAAAGGCGGGAAGTCCTGAAGTTGCAGTTGGAATTCTCAGATGTAGAAATAACAGGGGACAAATTGTTGGCGCAGCAGAAGATGGTACACAGCAGCCTCTACTGTATCTACTAGTGTAATACAGCATTCACTCGACTTGCCTCTCGATTTCACGTCGTACTTTTTCACGTCTACACTTTCGGACGTCCACTATCTTCAATGCACGTCTTGACAGCGACATCCACAGGGCCACGTGTCTCTGGAGCCGCCTGGCTTGCTGAGTTTCGGCAGTGCTACCGCGTTCCGATGTGAAACAAGATATGCTGTGATTGCTGTTTTCACCACCATCTGATTGTTGTTCCCTTGCTCCATTCGAACAACCACAGTAAGCCCAAAAGAGCAATCGACGGATTGAATCAAGGTTTCCTCGAAGCATGGTAGCTCTCATCAACACGATCAGCTTATCTCAGGAGATCCTAGGAGAGACTTCGATAAACACGCCCGGCAAGGATTCGTCATGCAAACCATCCAGAAGCTTAGGTGTGGGCTGATGGGAGTCGCGATGCCACTTACCCAGCCCGTCCGTACCTTTGAAGTGTTCAAGAGAATATTATCGAGCGCCATATCGATAGAGACCTTGAGTCGAGAATGGGGTCTCATGAGATTTCATGTCATCGCCAACAAATACCAACCCAGGTTTCCATCCGCCTGAGATCACCTGTCCCTCGAGGTTCCGCGGCTAGCTTTTGGAGAGCTCAGCATGGCAAAGAAGAAAAGCTAAATGCTTCCGGGCCATGAAGGATCTACCATGAATCCGCCTGGCCCTGGCGGGTTGCGTCCGCTCTCGTCAAGCTTATCCCTGGTCTTGGTAAGCGCGTGGCTGCATCGGTGATGGAGCATGAAACATACCAAGCAATGCTGTTGACTTGTCTCACGCCCTCAACCGCAGGCAATGCTACGAGATGCACGCCATTTCCCATGCGACCCCGCGACACCTTCACGTGGATTCCGGCGCAACAAAGGTTGTTCATTGCAGCACTGATTGGAGAGTCATCTTCCCTCCAAATTGCACGGTAGCTGTCCCCAGGATAATAGATCCGGAGCTCCAACTTCTCAACTGGGTACGGAGCATCTGGAACAAACATCTTTGCCACCAATTGGGAGAGTTGGCGAAGTGCGGTTCGAGCTTCCTCTCCTTGGGTTTCTCTTCGGGTCTCTCGCTTGTAGCCTTGTCGAGCACGCAGCCAGCGAGGCGGCGCGGGTGGCTCCGATCCCCAGGTGCCTGAAATATGCACGCTACGACATTGCCTGAGCAGCTCCGGCGCCACCGTCTGGAGAACATGGAGTCCGTGTGGGAAGTTGATGAAGAGGCGTGTCTGACGATGCGTAGGCAGGGCGGAATGGCACTTCAGCTCCCCATTGATTTGGCGGTTCACCCTTAGGAGGGACTGATACGGATTTCAATGCTTAACATCATCGATCAACTTCGCAGTTGTAGATGTCGCTTGAATGGTGGCCTCGCCAGAGAGCAAGTCAGCGTTGTACTCTGCTTCCATTACAGGCTCGGAATTCCACGGGATGCCTGGAAAATGGGGAGCGACCAGCTCCATGTTGCCTGTAGATAATATCCGGATCGCTACCCGTCAGCTTTGCGGTGCCTACACAGATCACGCGCGTCGCGTCCAATACGGCTAGAAAGGTCAGCGGAAGTGGGTGTACGACGTGAAGGAACTACGGTACCAAATCCGAATATGAGAAGTCGAAGCTCCGTGGGCAACTCRAGGAAGCGACAGCGTGCCATGACTTTGTAAGTATGTCGAGTACTCTGGAGCAGTAGTCCTCGAGATGGCACTGCTTACGTCCTGCTTATGATCGCTGGTTGAAGTGGTTGTCGTCGATCATGTCAAGCAGTGAAGTTCATATGGAGCTGCTCCAAGTCATTTACATATCAAATAAGGTTCAATCTATTGATGCCACCTACATGTGCCTAGTTTCATTTTTTTCATCCTCACTTTTGGTCCTGCCTCCAGTAGTGAATGGTACTTTTGATAACCTCCCAGCCTGAAGAAGTGCCGACTGCTGAAGTACTGTCGTATGCACGAGTCGTCGGCATCCTTGAACGAGCAACAAGAGTTGAGGTGCTATTCTTGGAGCCAGCCACCACCAGGCTAAAACGGTCGTAAGGGTCCTCCGACATTTCTTACACGTTTCCGATCACGACCACAGCATGGACAATATAACGCTCAGCGCAGGATCGAGCGTGCAGAAGAGCCGGACACGGCGCGGTGCTGGATGAGCACAGTAGCGGCGAGTGGGATGTGCTGTCTTCTGTCATTCCCCCTTCTCTGCTACCTAGTCCCACGTTGCGCATGCGTGTCCCGTCTGGCAGGTAACGGAGGTATTCGACCACAACTTGACAACAATCGCGTGGTCTGACGCGGAGATCTTGACGAGCGCGATCTGTGGCCACTGCGGCACCGAATTATTGACGATATTCCCTCCCGCCTCCCGCCTCCCGCCTCCACTTCCTCGCCGCCAAGTTGGCGGGCAGGGCTCTGACGCCAACGTGGGCTGCGGTGTTTCACGCGCTATTTTCGAGGCACGCTACACATTATTACAATGTTACACGACATAGACTGGCGAGCTGTGGACGGAAGTCAATATTGCTCCAGAGCCAATTGTGTCGGGCCACTGCTGCTGCTGTCCTCCGTGATGGCCAAATGGCGACATGTCAGAGCAATGGTTCTTTCCTCAGCAGAGGTCAAAGAGCAAGCTCACGGTCCGATGAAGCCTCTGCCAGCGTAAGGTGGATGTGCATTACCAGGTAGGTGATGCTTGTGCAGCACCGATTATTATTGTTGGATTGGTTGTTACTGCTGATGGGCACTTCCCGAGGCAAATAATGCATCGGGTACCCTTGCAAACACAGTCTTCTTACGACAGCCATCCGTCCAGTACCTACCTTATGCCCGCTGCAATCTCGCAGGGCTACACATTGAGGGTTCTGCTCGAGGACCCATGTCCATGCAAAAGCGCATGCCTATGAACTGCTGCATTTCCTGCTTTCTTTCATCACAACACCGACCCAGATCTCCTCCACTCCACAGACCCGTCACTGGCTTGCAAGAATCACGAACGCTCGGACGGAAGAGCACTGGTTGAACTTACTGGTTACTGGACCATTGCGCTGCTGCTGTGCAACGTTCAACGTGCTTCTTCAACTCCGCTCCGGCACCGAATTGAAGTCCACCCAGCGCCCACCGCGACTCGCAATCAAAACAACTTCTGTGTTCGCTTCTGGTCTCGCGCCTCGTGGGGAGGTKACTGCTACTGTTCATCCCATCCCATCCTCTGGCGTTTTTGAAACCCGCTTCCAACTCTCTCTCTCTCACACACACACACAAACACATACGCTACTGCCACGTCCCTCTCTACGTGTGCTTCCAATGCCGTGCTGAGACTGCTTCGCCCGTAAAGGCCGTCGATCGCCTCCCATATCGAGACTCCCTCTCTCTCTCCACGGCTCTATCTGCTGCTGCAATCGCTACCATGGCCCTCACTCGCTACATGGATCGATCCACCGTCACTTTCATCACTCTCACTGCCTTCTCTTTTACCACCAGACTGATATCGACGGCCATTGTCACGCGTTTGGCCACAACTTTGACGGCGGCACCGATTTTCCCATTGGCTGTCACTGCCTCTGTCTTTGAGATCTTTGCCCTTTCCACTCTGGTCGCTGCCGTCGGCCTCTTCCTGCGTAGGGCTTCCCGGAATCTCATCCTGGCTGCTTGGATTCCTAGTCTGTTTTTCTGTTTCGTCGGCGCTCTCCTTGCCTTGATCAGTTTTGCCATTACGATCTATTATGCGGAAGAGAAAGTCGAAATTCCAGTGGAGGAGAGCGCGCGCAATCTGGCAGTGGTCGGTTTGGCCATTGCTGTTTTGGGCCTGATACCACAGACCTCACTCTTCGTGGTGATATGGCCTCCCAAGAATCGGCTCAGCGCCTACCCGGTCGAGGCAGAGTCAGAACGTCCATCTTTCGCAGACTCAGAGAAGCTTCGCTCCATCGGTATTCACCTTACTGCTCTTTCTCCAGTTCGAGCAAAGTCGTCAAAGTCTGCTGGCGAGCGAGCCTTGTGTTCACACTGTAACACCATTGATGGAGCGTGCTCAAAATGTCCTGCGAGGTTCGGCCTACAGCCGATGTCTTCCAGAACCAGGTTACTCATGGGCGCCTCGTTAGTCTCGAGTGACTCGCGGAGCATGCACTCCCGATCAGACTCTGTGGCCATTTGCGATCCTTCAAGAAACAACAGCGACTTTCGAGATTGGGACACGTCCGCGGTCGAGGCTCTCGATATACCGTTCAGCCCAAAGACATTCCTCGAACCCATTCCCGGTTCCCGCCCAGCATCACCAGCCAATCCACTGGACGGTCCCTTTGCGAGCGAGGTAGCGGAGCCAGACGAGATTCCCCTACCCGATAGCCCACCACATCCCTCCGCCCTGAAATCCGGAGGATCTATTCGAAACTTTCGACGTCCGAGTGAGAACGAGGAGGCATTTTACCACCCTCTGTTTCGCGCCGAAAGCCCTGCACCTCCTTCCATTTCCGCAGGCACGGTGATTACAGCGTCACCATTCGCAGGGGAAGTCGTTAGTCCGGAACTGGTCGCTCCACGAATACTCCATTCTGCATGTTCAAGTCGACCAGCAAGTCCCGCATTGCTGTCTCCTGGCCTTGCGTCTCCCATGCGAAGTCATGCTGGGAGCATCAGGAGCTTCCGAACGGCACCCAACTCTCCCACCTACCCTCTAACCCCTTTTGAGCCCGTTCATCTTGGATAGATTGACCACGAGCTGATCAGCGGATCTCTAATGAAATTTACGAATTAAATATATGGGCGGACGCTCTGCGGTACAACAGAAACGGTGCTTTGGATGTAAAAGTATGGATACAGCGTAGTGGATGTTATATATGGTATTGCTTAAGAGTGATTAGCATTATAGATATCAAATATCGCAGAGGATTAACAACAAGCTTGCCTTTTGTCTTTGACATTTCACGCGCATTTCAATCTATAAGTACCTGGCACTTGTGTCTAGAATTGGCTTTGACCATGGAATGGGATGGTAGCACGAGCAGTGTGCATGTACATGTGCACGAGTTTGAAAATGACATTCCATTACCTTACCTTCTACTCCAGCTTGACACCTGAACTTGAGCGTCTAATCAATCGTCAAAACACCAACCCATCATTTTTCATATTCTAGTTGATATCAAATAATCCCTTGAGATGCTTCGCAATCAACGTCCATTCGTCCTTCTCAACTTCATCTCTGTAAAACTCCTTCAACGTATCAATGCTCTTTCTCGAAATGTGCGAGTAAAGGGTATCTTTCTCCTCGAGCTGTCGCCCGTATGTAGGCTGGTTCGCGCCTTCAATCTTGATGGCCACACTAGGCTGACCCTTTTTGCAAATGGGTAGTTGCTTGTGATCTCGCTCGATGGATGTAACCCTGCCCAAACTGTGAATCTCCTTAAGGCCAGTTATGGCGTTTTGTTTGACAGCCGCAATAGGCGTGTTAATGCGTAGATTGCCTTCGATGACGTCCACACCAACAACAATTGGGTCCTTCTTGTTGAAAACTGCAACAGGGCGGAGGACGCAGGGGAAGACGGCAAGCATCTTGCTTTCCTCCTTCTTCACAGCTGCAATAGCTGCCATGTGTTTGGTGAAGTCGTCAAAGAGATGGTAGATGATTTCGGCAGTGAAGATCTTCACCCCCATCTGATCGGCAAGTTCGTGCGCTTCCTTGTCGACCTTGACATCGAAACACAACATGACGGCGTACTCCTTGGACTTTTCCAGCATGGTGGAAGCAGTGATGACATCGCGCTTGTGAACAGGGCCAATACTGATGTTTGCGACAGGAATCTTGGAAACCTTCAAGAATTCGAGGAGTGCTTCGAGTGATCCGARAGTCGAGGCCTGAACGGTAACACCACGACCAGACTTGGCAATCCGCGACATGAGATTCTCCAAATCACCCATGACATCCTCCTCAAGCTCCTCAATCTCGTCTTCGTCGTCCTTGTCCTTGACAACAAGCAGACGCGAACCAGCAATAGCATTGTCGAGACCGTTGGCAGCAATCTTCACACCAAGCGCAGCCTTGACAGTCTTGTTGTGCACGTATTGTGACTTGATACGCAATTCCTTCATCTCAGCGGGCGTGAGGAGCGCTCGAATGTCTGTAGTAATGGCACCTTCGGTACCACACAGGACGATGCGATCGCCTTCGTGAAGGATACCGTTGGACAGGACAACATCAATCGTGGTACCGAGACCCTCAATGACCTTGACTTCCAGAACAGTACACTCAACCTCGGACAGGTACATCAGCTGATTCGTCATACGCTCCTGAGTGAGTGTAGTGAGTAGCTTCAACATGTCCGGAATGCCTTCACCGGTGTGCGCAGATGTCGGCACCAGCGAGACGAACTTGGCCATGGATTTGTTCTCGTAGAACAGCTCGGCGTTGAAGCTCTGCTCAGCGAAAGCGAGCTTTGTCTTTTCCAGACGATCCCTGAACTCGTCTTGCACGCTCTTCTTCTGGAGGGCAAGAGAGTCACGGAAGCCGTTGTTCGCGATTTGCTTCCATCCGTAGAGTCGATCGATCTTGTTCAAGGCGACAATGAAGGGCGTCTTTCGATCACGCAGGAGCTTCATTGACTCCAAGGTTTGAGGCTCGAGACCGTGCATGATGTCGACGACGAGGATAGCAATGTTACACAGACCACTTCCACGAGATCGCAAGTTAGAGAAGGACTCGTGTCCCGGCGTATCGATGATGAGCAGGCCAGGAATTTTGAACTCGAAAGCGCCATCCTGGTTGACAATGGCAGTCTTCTTCTGCAAGGCCTCAACGGGGAAGTAGGTGGCACCGATTTGCTGCGTGATGCCGCCCGCCTCTCCTTCCTGAACATTGGTCTGGCGAATCTTGTCAAGAAGCTTCGTCTTACCAGTGTCGACGTGGCCAAGGATACAGCAAATAGGGGATCGCAAATTGTCCTTTGACGCTGCAGCTTTCGCTGCTTCGTGTTCCGCCCGTCGCTTGTCAGCTGCCTGTTGTTTACGAGCTGCTGCTTGTCGCTGGGTGACGGTCATTTCCTCCTCAGACGAGTCGGAATCAGAGCCAGAATCCGAATCGTCCTCTGAGTCGTCGTCGGAGTCCTCTTCTTCGTCCTCGCCTTCTTTCTGCGTTTGCTTGCCATTAGTTGCAGGCTTATCCTCATCTCCAGATTCGGCATCCCAGCTGTCCTTGAGCCCATCATCCTCTTCTTTGGCGGCCATTGCTTCCCAATCTTCCAGCTCGTCCTCCGCCTCCTTGGCGGCCTTCTTCTCAGCCTCCTTTCGCGCCTTCTCGGCTTCTTTTGCAGCCTTCTTCTCGGCAGCCTCCTTCAACTCGAGCTCCTCCATCTTCAGTCTAGCCTCTTCTTCCTCGCGAGCTTGCTGCGCCTTGCGCTCCTCGGCCTCTTTACGAGGGTTCTTCTTTCGCAGATCCTTAATGGTTGGCTTCTTAGGCTCAACATCACCTTCGATACCAGCGACCTTGGCTCCAGACTCCAACATCTGCTGCAGTCGTAGTTTGGCCATGGCTTCGTCTTTTTTCTGCTTCTCCGTTTTGTAAGTGCCCTCACGTTTCTGCTGCTCAACCTTGGCCTTTTCCTTGGCCTTCTTTGCGGCCCTGGCCTCGCTTGCACGCTTCTCCTCTTCCTCATCCCGCTTGCGCTCCTCCTCAGCTCTCGCAGCCAGCTCGGCACGTTCCCGAGCCTCTTCTTCTTGCCGCCGGCGAAGCTCCTCTTGTTGCTTCTGTAGCGCCGCGAGAGCCGGCGTCAGCTTCTTCTTCTTGCCACCAGCAGGCTCGGGTGCAGCCGCCACAGGGGCTGCTTCGACAGGCTTGTCTGCTTCCTGCTTGGGAGCCGCGGGAGCAGTCTTCTTCTTCAAGGCGGCCTGCTCCTTCTTGCGTTGCTTCTCGCGCTCTTTCTTCTCCTTCTCCTTCTCGGCCTTCGTCTTCACTCGACCATCGTCGCCATCACCATCGTCGGCGCCGTCACCCCCCGCATCGGCCTCAGGCGCCTTCTTTCCACCCTGCTTGCCCTTGCCCTTTTTACTCTTTTTGGGATCCTCAAACTCGTCCTCAATAGTGGCCTCCTCGGGTGCTTTGGCAGCTAAATCGACCACAGGCGTAGCGTCGTCGGCTCCATCGGCAGTAGGATCCTCGCCTTCGACGTGATCGTTGTCCACGACCTTGCCCTTTTTCTTGCGCTTGTCCCGGTTCTTCTTCAACATAGCCATGAGACCGCCACCGCCGCCGGTTTCTTCTTCCTCCTCAGCATTGTCGGCTGCCTTGGCCTCCTGCTCAGCCTGGGCTACTGGGTCAACGGTCTCGCCCAAGCCATCATCCCAATCATCTCCGCCTTTCTTTCCCTTTTTTCCCTTGGGCGCCATTTCGAGGGTATTTGTCGTGTGTTTAATAGGCTGTGGTTGAGTGCAATCGACTGTCGTTATGAACAAAAAATGTTCTCGTGGCAGGTGGCAAGTCGTGCAGTCTTAGCTGTTGGTACGAAATGGCGGGTCTGGAAAAAGACAATGATGAAAACGTGCTAGCATAATACTGCAGCGAAGCAGTCGAGGTAAGTCGGGTTGACAGGCTTTCCACTGGCACACCTTGGTGTAATGTAACGGACGAGGAAGGTTACTTGAAATGTGAGGAAATGATGGCATATGTTGCGCGGGATCGGCGGCGGGGTGTGTCTTCGTCTCTTTTGTCTTGGCAAATTATCGGCAAGGAAGGGAAGACATCACTGTGCATAACTGGATAGGGGATCGATCACTCTTTTAACTATGCTGTGTCTTTGCACACGCGATACGGGTGCACAGCGGAGAGAACGATATTTCATGTGCATAAGCCAGCTCATCGTGATGCATACATAACATAGTTCTGCTCAGCGGCGTCCAAAGAGCATCCGTACAGCCTGCTCAGCAGCATCACCACCCTGTGCAGGCTCGGCTGGTTTGTCTGCTACCGGACTTCCATGAGCGAAGAAGAGGATCTTGATCGCAATAGCTAGCCCGGCATGAAGTGCGACTACAATCWCGAGCAGGATACGCGAAGTCTTCGCGTCGGTAGCTGAGACGACTGGGTAGCTAAATAGATGTTAGTACGACTCAAAGATACAACTCAGCGACTACACTTACAGATTTCTAAACAAGAATACTGCCGAAAGCGCAAATCCCACGCCCACAAACGCGTAGTTCAACGCTGTCAAACTGTTAGCATGTTATATCATCTTCCCAGGCTAGCATAACTCACCAGTCAACGGCGACCAGCTCACCAGCGCAACAGGGATCCAAATCAAATTGGCATRTCCATAGAGCGCCCAACACTCCATCAAATTCGCGCTCTCGCTCCCAAACCACTTCAGTATTCCCCACAGAGCAAGCGGTATAATCGCCGTGTATCCATACACCAACCCCGCTGCTCCAGACAATAACCTGAAATCATACGCAAAGTGTGTCTTGCCCGTGAATGCCAAGTATTGTGATATCGTGCCCGTCAAGAAAAGGATGACCACGACTGTGGTAGCGATCCAGAATGGACCATAGAGATCAGGGTTGCCTTCCATTACATCGAGGAAGTTCTGTCTGGGGAATAATGCAGCGCGACAGCGGAGGAGGATCTGATTGGTATCGACATCGAAGAATTGCTGGTAGAAGGCAATGGACCAGAGGAAGCGTTTGGAGGAGGAGGGTTGGCGCGAGGGGTTGTTAAGGAAGGAGGATTGTTGGTCTGGCTGAATCTTTGCGCGGGATGCATTCTGTGAAGTGTCGAATGCTGGTCACGAGTTAGGATGGTATGTCGATCAATTGGGAAGTGCATTGGGCATACTGGAGTTGTGGAATTCGAGGTCGTCCAAGTCGTTCTGACCTAGATCTCCCTGGGAACGTGTCAACATGCGATCTCTCGCGGATCCGGAGAGGGAACTTAGTGTACCTCTGCATCGACGTCGACGACCACATCGTAGTCCTGTCTGTTTGACATTGTCTGGTTGGTGGGGGAGAGAAGTCAAGAGATGAGTGAAGTGTTCAACTTTGGACGCGATGCGAATCATCAAGACGCAGCTGTCGGCGTGCACGGGCCACTCACATGAAGGGAGACGGGAGACAGACCACCGAGAGAGCTTGCTTGCACACCTCATTTTCAACATCGATCCTTTGCATTCTTTACAACGACATTACTTTTACCGCTCATTATCATCGCTTCCAGGCACTTGCCCGTCTATTATCTTCTCTCCCATCTTTCGTCCTTGACACTATTTGTACATTATCGGTACACTCCAAACTACTCATAACGATAGCAAAAAGGTCCCGCAAAGGTGTCCATGAGATCTCCAAAAGTCTGATCTTCAGCAACAAAACCAAATGGAATCTTATCAGTGAGCTGCATCTCTGGGCAGTCTGGCGCAGCGCATCCCAGCGTGGCRGTACCTCTGATGATGTTCTGTCTGTTGTAAATGTCAAGATTCTGCCAAATCGTCCAGATCCTGCAGAAGCTGTTAGTTGAAACATGGCATCAAACGATACAACGGAACTTACTTGTCAACCTGTGCGTGGTGCAAGTAGAAGATTGGGTCTGAAGGCGAAGAGAAGAAATCTCCCATGGAGCCGCCAATCTGCCAATGACCGCCTCCATGCACACCAAACTTGTTCGTTGCGCTTTTGTAGCCCTGCGACAGATCTTGGAAATCCTCCATGTAGATGGAGTTCAGGAGCAACTCAGTAACGTTTTGGTATGTGTTGTACAGCTTGGAGAAGAAAGGGTTAATGTCGCGTGACAGACAGCGAGGGTTGTGCTGGTAGTTTGAGGCAACATTCTGGGTGTTGGGTGAAGCAAGAGGACCAAGATTGACAGTGTAGTCATGGAAAGGACCGGTCTGTACGCAGCCGCCGCCGGTACCTGGAGGGTAGACAATGTCTTGTTGAGCCAACCAGGTGTTTGCTCGGCCGGGAACGAATTTTCCGTTGCTTCCAAGGCTGAAGGCGTCTCCAGAAAATAGACTGCTGTTCTGAGGAGCATCGGCATCCTCTGCCCAATTCCAGTATGGCATCACGCCAGTGTAGGCACAGAGGTCCCTCAGATCTTGCTCCAGGAAATGCGTGAATCCTCTGTGCCAGGCAAAGAAATCGGCAGTGTCATGAATGTGGAGAGTGTAGTTGATGTGAGTGGCGATATACTCATCGAAACGGCTCTTCACTCCAGGGTGTGAGGCTGCTAGATCTGCAGTCATGACCTGCGGCTCCAATTTCTGCAAGCAAATCACAGCGTCCGTAAACGACTTCCTCGTGGCCGCTGGCAAAGTGCGCCATTCTCTTCGCACGTCGGCGTTGTTCCAGGTACACTGGGACTTTGCTCGGGATTGGATATTAGACTGCATCGCCTCGGACGCAATGGCGGAGATGTTTTGGAAGGCATGGCCGTTGCGAATCTCTGCATTGGTGTAGGCGCTGAGACTAGGCGATTGCGCGGCAGCGAGTGTCGAAGCAGCTAACAAGCCACTGAGCGTGGTGAAACGCATTGTTAATGGATGGTGTTGTAGTGCAAACGAGTGTGATTGTTCTTATCGAGGTGATTTGTGGCCAATGGCTTGAAGAAGATGGGGAAACGGAGCTCTGAAGAACAAAACGAAACTGGGAGGAAAGAGAGAAGAACAGTGAATGAAATGGCCCTACCTCAGTTGTCTGATGTATCATACTGCCRCCACTAGCTCGAGTTGAGCTGCGGATTCAATGGAAGGCGAGAATGGCGACTTGAACTCGTGGCGAGCCGCGACGTTTGGATCTTTTGCAGTTCGCTCAATATAGAGCACAGCTGCGTGTCAACGGCAGGGATGTGAAGGCCTTGACACGCTTGACACCAAGCGTTCTATTCACGCTGCCACAAAGGTGGGACCTGGTCGCATGCGGCGATATTTGTCTCCATCCGGTCAGGGATTAAAGAGCCCCTGCCGCAAATCTCGGCGGCGGTCTCAAAGGTGCATTGCACCACGAGGAGAGCCTTGGCCCTTCTTCCATTTCACTCCGCAACGTCGGTTCACGCAGCATGGTGCATTGATTGCATGTCTTGCGTGATAACGAGTGGTGCTCTGTTTGCAATCGACGTTCCGAAGCCTGTTGATCGCTTCTTTGAATCCACCCCTATGCAAGCAAGCAAGGCGCCCGACAGGTGGACACGGCGGGTACAGAGTGATAGGAGTAGCGAATACGGATTCGTCGATGGCAGCACGGCCCGCAACGAACGGCACACATGAAGCAGAAGTGGAGAGACGGGTTGGTTGTCGTCTTTTCTTGCCACTATCAAAACGCTGCTGGACGTGAGGTCGGTCGGAAAGCTCTCTCATCGTTTAAGATTTGTTGAAATCTTGCTTGACGTTTGACGGGCGGCGATTGAATTTGGATTTGCCGCGGTGTGCACGTCACCGGTTCCCTCGAGCTTGAGAAATCCTGACTACTCACTGCAGAACGTGGCTGAGTTGGCCAACGGGTGCAAATACAGGCGTTCATAGAGCCCTCTACCGACATGATATTGGCATTGTAGACGCGTTTTCTTCCTTCACTCGCTCCTCCTCAGCATTCATTACCTTTATCATCACCATGCGCATCTTCTTACTGCCCGTTTCGACGCGGCGGACGCTCATCTACTGCGAGCGCATRCAGACGCAGGTCACCGGAGCCCAACCACCCATCCAGGACCGCATTGTCAACAAAGTCGCGACTACTTGGGCATCATGGGAGAAGCATGAAAAGGGATGGCRGAAGAAGGTGACGGTCTATGGCAACCAGATGTTCAGGCGCATTCCCTACGAGGAGTGGGGCTTGAAGTCCATGCCCACCGCGAACGAGAAGCGCATGCAAGAGGCCAGCAGCGGGCAAGTGAGATACGAATGTTTGTTTCCCGCCGCCTTTGTCAAGGAGGCCAAGGTATCGGAGATTCTGAGCAAGCTCGCCACGGAGCGGCAGGAGCTGCACAGGAAGAGAATGATTGCATGTCTCACTTTCGCGCCCTTTACTATTCCATTCGCCTTGGTGCCAGTGTAAGCATCTCTTGTTCGGTTTCAGGATGTCGTTTGCACGCGAGTGGCGCTCAACATGCTGATGAACCTCCAGCATACCCAATCTGCCATTCTTCTACCTCATGTTCCGCGCCTACTCCCATTACAAGGCACTCTACGGGTCCAAGATGTTACAGCATCTCACGACTAACAAGCTGATCAAAGCCACTGCATCGCCTCAGTTGGATGAGAGATATGCCGCAGGCCTGCTTCACAGGACGCTTGGCGAGGCCAAGGCAGCCAAGCCTACCCAAGAAGAGATTGAATACATTGCCCGTGACGTGGAAATCCAGACCGATGGGGGCAAGACGGAGGTCAGGCTTCTCGAGTCGTGGAATGGAGCATTGATAGCAGAGGGGTTCGAGCTCCCGGAGATGGAAATTGAGATTGAAAGAGCGGCGTGGCAAGTGGAGCAAGCCATCGAGAAGACCAAGGCCGAAGCCATTGAAGGCAATGGCAAGGATGTCGACGCGTCGACAACCAATTCGAGTACGAGTGCGGAATCCAAGGACGAGAWGAGATGATGATAGCTGTTGCCAGCGCAGCGTGCTTCACGCACCAGCTCCTTAGGGCATATCGACGGCACTTCTGACGTGCTGCACAATACGCCTCATTGATGTTTCCAAGACGCCACGTTGAGAAAATTTCCGGGTGAACGAAGTTGGTTGATCTTGCACTTGAAAGCTGGATACGTAGAAACTCACTGGGAGCACTGCACACTTCCCTTTCGCGACCGCAGTGTCCGATTCGCTCTACTTGGCGAATTGAACTTTGCAATCAGCGGTCTCACCAGACACGCCGGGCTCGTAACACGAGAACAAGATAGAATTCGCCACCACAGCACGCGGACCTCTCACTCAACTCAAACCAGCGTCAGGTGACTGCTTCGTCTGTCGAACGTCGGGACGACTCGACCTCGCCTGCGTCTGGTTGACGTTGTCGCTCTCGGTCTGTCGTCACAGTGGGTTGACGATAGTAACACACTCTCTCAGTCCGGGGATCCATCAAACGTACTCCAACATTCTCTCGCAGGACGGAAAAACCTGGCAGAACCTTGATTGTAGGTCTGCTTCTTCTGGACAAGATGTCTCGCGCCAGAACGAGACTACACTGGATCCTGCGGTTGACCTCGAGAGTTGAGCCGCGCGAACCTCAGCTTTGAGCAACATCGTCTACTAGAAGGTATTCGGACTGTGTTGGGAGCTTTCTCATAGGACTATCGTTTTATACGGAACAGAGATACCCCCGGAGTGATACATGCTCACTAGATCCATGATACCTAGCCCAACTGGTGTCGAAATGAATATACTTCCAGGAGAAGCTGGGGCTGTGAGGCGCTTCGTGATCATCCCTTTCTAGCGGTAGAACAGAGCTCGCTCTACCTGTCGCGCATTCGAGGTTTTGGTAGCCAAAGACTGGCCCCTTACATTGACCCCGGCTTGCACAGGTAATGTGCTAGGGTTAGGGTTAGGGTAGTGCCATCTGTTGTTACGACAGCGGTATAGCTTTCGTGCTTTTCAGATCATGAGACAGGAATGTATGGGATATGATGTACTCTTTACAGTGTCAAAGATGGGRTTTTTACCCATGGTTCGCAGATTTCACACTTTTTTCAGAACAGAGGGGACCTGAAGTTCCTCCCCTGCAAGACCGATTTCTTTCACTTCACTTGCACCACTTTAGTTCTACTTCAAGACATATTGTCCCCTCCTGGCGTCCCAGCCTTCCCTCATACCTTGACACACATCCCACCCACTGATCGGGGAAAGAGGCAGCCCACACGGAGTCACATCGTGCGAACTAGGTACCTAAACTCCGTGAGTCAATCGGGCTGACGTGCTTCACGGTCATAACAAGATTTCCTCTCCACACCATCTACTTTATAGTAAGGCTCAGAGGCTCTATCCGCACGCTTATGACAGATGCCAACGACCAGGAGGGGGACGGAAGCGTCGTACCTCACAAAAACGTGCAGTCGAGCGTGCCAAGCCGAACACCCCTCCCCGCTCCAACTCATCCAATCCATCGTGTCAGCGCGGTGTTTGTAGTCACTCCTAGTTGCCACAAGTATCCGGGTAAGTCCACATTCACTAACCAAGCCGCACGCCATCTGCGTATAATTGGTGGGTCCAGACAACAGCTTTAACCTCGGTGGTAGTAGGGCACCTCTTGTTCCCTCTTACGCCTCAAGACAACGCTCCGATACCACGTCCAAACTCTTGAAGCAATACTTCACTTTTTTAGAAATCCATCATTTGTTGTCACCCCCTGCAAACCCATCACATCATCTACCATGCCAGGTCGACTCCAAGACCGCATCGCTCTCATCACAGGCGCTTCAAGCGGAATCGGCAGAGCAACAGCTTTCGCCTACGCAGCAGAAGGAGCCAAACTCGTCTGCGCGGACCTCAACGAAGGCACATGGCGAGAAACCGCACCAAACGATGAAAGCAATGGCCCAACTCACCAACGCATCAAAGACTCCGGCGGTTCAGCAATCTATGTCCACTGCGACGTCACGGATCCATCTTCCGTTGAAGCAGCCGTAGCGGCAGCCGTGAAAGAATATGGCCGACTAGATGTAATGATCAACAACGCAGGTTTCGCTCTGGAAGCTCGCGCGCCGGCGCCAGTCTGGGAGACAGATATCGATATTTTCAAGAAGACCCAGTCGGTAAATGTCAATGGCGTCTTCTATGGAATCAAATATGCGAGCGCACAGATGATCAAGCAGGATCCTTTACCGAATGGCGATCGAGGTTGGATCCTCAATGCCGCTTCCATCTTTGGACTCGTTGGCGTGGAGACTTCATCGGCGTATTGCACTTCCAAAGGCGCCGTAGCGAATTTGACGAGAGCTGCTGCGATAGATTGTGCGCCGCATAGAATCCATGTCAATGCTGTCAATCCTGGCTACGTAGCAACGTGAGTCTCTCGCTTCTGTGCTGTTTCGTTAAAGAGCGTGGTAATGACGATCGATCTTGGTATTGACCGATTGATCTAGGCATATGACGGACGGCATCTTTGCGGAAGCCGCAGTAAAGGAGGGCGTCGCTGCCATGCATCCATTCAGAGGCATTGGACGGCCAGAAGATATTGCAAAAGTCTATGTTTTCTTAGCCTCCGACGATGCGTCTTGGATCTCAGGTGTAAGTGCATCCAAACAATGCGGCAAGGACAGCAGACTGACAGAGATGAAAGGTAAACCTCCCTGTTGATGGAGGCTATACGGCAAGATAGTAGCATCAAGGCGAACAAACACATTCTTTTGAATACAAGCAGTCTGCGCCCAATTCCATTGCCATTACTGCGTGATYCAAAGCGCCGAGCAGTCCCAGTATGCAGCCCAAAATCAATAGCTATTTCGTCATTAAACAGAACATTTTTTACAAGCGAAGCCGTTTATCCCTCCTGTTCATTCCCATGCGCCGCTAAATACGACGTCATTGCCTTCACATAGTCGCCAGCTCGAAATCAATCTGCGCATCCAGGAATGCTCGCTTCTCGCCCACTAACTGACACTGAAGTTTCGCTTCCGCCAGAGCCTTCAACTGCTTCTTCGTAACGGAATCGAGATCGACCTCACCCAGACACTCTCGAATCGCTGCAGTTATGGCCTCGTTAGACACGCCTTGTGTTTGGAAGCCAGAAAGCTGGTTTGTGCTTCCCGGTCGGCTTGGGCCGCTGTACCCGCCGAGTGGCGAACGATTGCGTTGTTGCATGGCTGGCGATTGTAAACCGCCCATCAGGTTGTCCTGAGATTGGTTCATTTGGTAAGGCGWCTGTTGTCCGCTGTAGTGGTCGCTCATACCACCCATGGACATCAGACGTTGGTGTTGCTCACCCTGCTGGGCGTGATCTGTGTAGCGGGACATCCGCGAGTACGATGATTGCCGGTTGTTGTTGAACGCGTTGTATGGTCCGGGCGACTGTGGAGGGCGGAATGACTGGTGCTGGGGGAAGCCAGTCAGAATGGTAGACGCTGGGGGCGCCGATGAGTACACCGAACGAATGTCGTCCATCTCGTAGCCGCCATCTTGGTACATGGATTCCTTCTCCTGCACGACACCGCGGCGTCCTGGGAGACTATTGGCCGTAGCGTAATCGTCCCAGCGTTGAAGGGGAATACTACGGGGATCAAAACCCTCATCGTCGACCGCAATGAGCTTCTTGTCGCCCTTCTCGCCAATAACGACTCTTGTGTTACCCCAGGAGAAATCATCCTGCTTCCAGAAGGAATAGACTGGGAGAATAAAGGACCAGATTGGATATGCCAGAATGTAGATGACCATCCAGCCGATGTGCTGCCACTGCCGCTTAACGAGGAAAATTATAGCCTGCAAACCATATACGGCCGCAATCATGATGATCGAGATGAGCGGGAATTGACCGCCATTGGCCACGCTCACCACGAGGTAGACAAGATAGCAGAAGGTGGCCGGAAGGATGATGGTACCGAACAGATCGATGAGCACCACAAAGCGCATACTGAAGCAACAGAAGCCGCAGAGATCGACCGTCAGCATCTCTGCCAAGTTGTGAATGGTAGAATTGATCCATCGACGTCTTTGGGACAGCAGCACACTCCATTGCGCAGGCGCTTCCGTGAGTGCATAGGCATCCGGTAGGAACTTGTAAGTCATTGCCGGGAAATGCTTCAGCATGAGGGTTGTGAGGTAACGATCTTCACCCAGCGATAGCAGGTTCTTCTTGTGCAACGTGTCGATGTTATTGTCCGCGTACTCGTCGACGATCTTGTCCGATATGATCAACGGTCGACCTTTATCAGCAGTCCTTAACCGATACATGCAGAAACTGTTCAACGTCAGTAAGAGTTGGGAGAGTAGGTGAGACTTTAACATACCATCCCGGCAAGCAAGTCACGCTGCCGAACAAACTCTCGAAAGCCTTTGCCAGATGATGGGAAATGTAGTATTCGTACACTTGGATCATCGTCGTCCAACTGCGCTCTTCGTTCTCCAGGGACGTCTCACCGCATATGCCGGCAATCTTTGCGTCGTTGGCGCAGGCAGCAACCAGTCTGTTCAGCGAATCCTCTTTGACTTTCGTGTCTGCGTCAACCATGAAGAGGTATTCGTACAGCTCCGGATCCACACCGATGATGTTGTTGATCTGGTGGAACATCTCMAGCTCCAGTGGGTTCATCGCAGAGCGGTGGTGAACGCGGTTGAGGAAGCTCATTAGCAAAATCTGCGAGTCTCGTTTGCCGCGATTGCCTGGCTTCGATTTGTTTTGCTCAGATTCCTTGCCGACCTTGACCACGACGAGATAGGGGACAACATTCCCCTCGTATTCATAAAGACCAGAGTACACTTTGCCGTAGTTGAGCTGCTCGCCGCCGAGACCGAGGGACCGGAATGGTAGGGCCGGTGGATCAATTTTCGGGTCGACACCAAGGACATCGAGTACGATCTTYGGCGTGGGACGGTCATTGCCCCCTCCAACAATCATACCGTCACATATAACGCAAATGAGTTTCCTATCAAGCAATTGGTTAGCGATGTCTTGGATTGATAGGAACCAAGGCAGCTTGAGAACTTCCGAATGCCCTTCATGCCTTCCGTCCTTCATTGTCTTACCTCTTGTTGTCGTAAGCGAGTGCAGTAAGCGAATCAAGCCCCTTTCGGAGTGAGTCCTCGCCCTCGGTGTATGCTGGAACCTGACAGATGACAAACTTGTCCTGTTGGGTCGGCTTCTTCTTGCCGCCGAGCTGTAAGGCGGCCAAGAACTTGATCAAAATCACAGCGCAAAGAATGATAGTGAATGCGAGGAGGATGTAGTTGTTGACCTGGCATCGGGGAGTGTCTCGAAAATCCGGGGATCCGACGAAGAACCTGTTTCTCAAACAATTCAAGCCATTTGTCCGAGTGGTGAGGTTCAAACTGCTTTCCCATTTGTTGCTGATGTCCATGCCCGGGTTAGCTTGTACGAGCTCCTCGAGATCGTCTGGAAAGAAGCTGTAGGCCGCTAGGTTGTTCTGGGTCTTTTTGGTGTAGAAGTAGTCGGTCAAATCGAAGATCTCGTTGTTGACGATGAACCACATATGGCTATTGTCCTGGCCGTCTTTCTTTATGTCCGATCGTTTGTAGACCAGCTTGCCTTTGTAAAACTCATCCATCTTTGGCAGGAACTTGTCATTGTACCAGTTAATGCTGTACAAGGCGGAGGCTCGTGTGGTCTGCAACTTAGGTCCCGAAGTGTGCAGCGCGTTTGTGAGGGGCAAGGTGTTGTTGTTCAACAGCGTGATTGTGTCGCCGATGCCGAACCCAGGACATGCTATGGTAAGGGGAGGTAGAATGTATGGCGTTACGTCTGATCCTGCGAATTCTAACATGTTCTCCGCCGAAACAGGAGAGCTGACGATGTCGGAGTGGTCCAGCTTATAGAAGTCCGTGAGATCGTACACTTTTCCCATGTGCGAGACATAGTAATCATTGGTGCCTTGGTGGAATCCAACCTGCTTAGTATTCCAGACCTAAAAGACGATTAGCGATGCGGGACCGACGAGCCACGGTTGTGCATTTACCTTGTTCCGATTTGGGCAGAGAAGATTTCCGAATCCCACAATGTAGAAGACGACAGTACCGTTGAGGATCGCGATGAGTATCATTAGTGCCAGCTTTTCGCGCCATGCCATTCGCACGTCGTGGCGCTTCATGCGGCCGATCCACTTCATAAGTGGCGAGGGAACCCACCAAGTCAAAGCCCAAACAAGCACAATCCAAGCGCGTCTGCCAGGAGTGACCTGTTGCACGATGAGATCCTTGCCATCGGCCATTTCACCGTCAATCTCGCCTTCAAAGCCAATGTAGTTGCGTTTGTCATCTCCCTTGAATCCGAGACCGTAGTCTCCTCCTGTGCTTCGAACCGTGTGGGCCAGTGTGGGTGCAATAGAMCGAACTCCGAGACGGCTAGGTGCTGCTTGGCTTGGCTGCCGGCTTTGCGCCACATTATCTGCGTAGAAGCCAGGATCGATGCCTCCAGGTGCCTGAGCTGGAAAGCCGCCTTCAGCGCCAAGCATGCCCCCCATCATGCTGGGTGACATTGCGTCCACGGACTTCATGTCCAGCATGCTTTCGGCCTCCCAATACGCGGCCTCTCGCATCCAAATGCGTTCATGGCCAAGCACGACCTCGCCGTTGCTCCAACCACGCTCGAGGATCCAGCTCTCCACCCCGTCCTTGCCATCGAGGCAGCCGAGACGGCGATAGCGTTGCACAAATTCTTCAACATCAAAGTCTGCGGTAAAGTCAAGTTGCCTGCTCCTGTAGTTGGCCCATTCCGGCAATCTCCACGCACGAATCTGGCTGGAAACCGAGCCGGCTGACCAAGGCAGGTTTTGAGACGATTGGTTTGCGAAATTGGCGGGCGACTCTTCGTTGGGATGTAAGCAGAGTTGGAACCATACCCTGCAGGAGCCCATCACGTTGGCCAGATTAATCCTCCCGGTCTTTCCAAGATCAATGCCTTGGCCGTCAATTGGGTAGAGAATCTGTCGCAGGAAGCTTCCGTCTTCGCTTTCAATACCAACTTTCTCCAAGACCCTTTGCCTTTGATCATGCGCCATCTCACGTTCCTGTAATTGAGCGCTTCCGGTAATATCGAGATCTGCTCCGCTTGTTTGCACGGAGTCCTTCATCTCCCTGATGACCGAGGATCCCGCTGGTATTATGGGAATACCATCTTCCTTCATTTCAGCATTGATGCCATTGCTGTCGTCAAAGACTGTCTTCAAGCACACCGCCTTGCCTAGTGCCTGAGCAGGCACATCGATTACGGTGATGCTAACGCTATCGCCGTCCTCGAGGCTACCGAGAGGTGTGCCGACGCCATTGTCACTCCCATTGCTAGATCCGATGGCCCTACCAGTGCGGATTTCGGTGCGAACGGTCTCGTTGGCGTGCGCGATGACCCAATCTACCAAGGCTTCGTACATGCCAGCGATCAGCACTTCGCGCTCCTCGGTGGCGCATTTCCTCACGAGGACCTCTGCATCGAGATCTATGAGCCCTGCGACTTCCTCGCATGTTTCCTCTAGCTCTTCTTGGTCGATGAGAAAGCCAAGTGAGTCTCCTAGGCGCAGTAAAGCGGCGACTACACTGAGCAAGCTTCGCAAGGCTTGACCTTTGATGCCAATAGCTTTCAGCGACGCACGGAAGTCCTCGGCGGCAGCGGCGTCGTCGGCAGTTGGAAGGTAGGCGGGCGGATCGTACGTGCCGGACTTGCGGAGCAGTACATACTCATGCGGTTGTTTGAGGCCCAAATACTCACGCTCCTGCTCTCCTTGTGCAGTTAGGAGGTAATAGAATACGTCAAATGCTCGGTATCCACGCTCGGCGGGAACATTAAGCAAGCCGTTTTGTGTATCAATCCCCCCAGTGGTCAGAGCGAGGCTGGCTCCTGTAATTTCCCCTGTGAGGGCGAGTGTGAAGATGCCTGCAAGGCCGGAATAGCGCGGCAAAGATGGATTGAAAGGCGTAGCGCAATGCAGAAATGGCTTCAAGGCATTGATCGCAGTGTAGAAGGTGGCTGGCACAGAAAGTGGCAATGCAGAGACAAAGGGTGCGAAGAGCGATGGTGCGGACTGGTGCATCGATCTGTGGGGATGGATTAGCGGAATGTTGTGTTTACGATGAGACGGCATAGCGCTCACCCAAGTATGATACAGCCATCTTCTGCGCGGCGGCGAGCATGGTCCCATGTGCGGCGGGCCAACTCCGAATCGACTGTACCTCCAAAGCGGCCGTCAGGACCATTGCTAGAAGCCGTCACCCAGGTATTGACCACTAGACTCGTGCTCGACTCCAGTTCATATGCTTGGCCTGATGCGTAGGAGCTGTGCAGGGCGTTGAGCAGGGTTGTGGTAGAGACCTGCGTGGACTGGGTGGAACGCTGCGTGTTGCTCTGATATGGCACCGCCGACGATGCCGCCGAATAGGTCGACATGCGGTTTGCCATGATGGGCAGTAGAGATGCTAACAGAGCCCTCTCRGGGCGCGGCCAAGTGTTGTAAGCTCAATTCGATGGATGTTTGGAGTTGCTGGTGGCAATGGACGTTGATGCCGTTTCGTTGGTAGGTCGACCTGACCGGGCTGGACTGGCCTAGATGGGGAAGCTGCGAAGGGACGCGTTCTTGAACGAGCGTGTGTGAAGAATGGAAGTATGTGGGCAACGTAGCGAGTGTCTGGCGGCAACGAAATCACACGACAACGATGATGGTGAAGCCGAATGGGTCTTCGTAGACACGACTGGAGGTCAGCACTTTTCGCCTCGTCGCACCCAAACCCCGGGTCAAGCTTCCAGGATTAATAGGGTACACTAGGGGGTCAAATGGTGCTGATCGCGCACGAGTCACCTCGTCCACTCACGAAACGAACGCGACAACAGACAGATTTGACATGTCCAATGCCGTTTACTTCAATCTTTTGGTATATATATATATATTATATACACGACGAACATTCTACTCTCATCTCCCTCAATAAAGAGGAGGGTTTAGGTAGAAAATGCAGAAGAGTCTTTGCAATGTTGCTCCCGTGTCTTTGCCACCCTCGACCAATAATGTGTTGAGGAACACGGCTGGAAGAGCTATTTCAGGAAAATGTTGTGAACATGCCCGGGCGCCATGCCACAAAAGACGAGCTGCTGGAGAGCTGTTTGTTATGCGCATCGACACTAATTGAACACGCGTCCCTGCTGCTCGTATGCCTCCCTACTCAGATGGTGGCAACTCACAACGGAGAGTGTACATATTTTGTCCGTAATCAAACAGCAATGTTCACGACCGTGGGCGTTGGTAGATCTAACTAGGTGAACCCCACGAAAGGCCGAACCATGGTTTTTGCCTCCTGCATGCATCTCATATCCGTTGTTTCACCCAAACTTGTGGCTGGCTGTGCTCGTGGATGCAGAGCAGCACGGTGTGTAGATGTTGTTGGTGTGGAAGATGAGAAGTATCCGTCGACAGTCCTTTCGTGGTGCTCAATGTCATGACTAGAAAATAGAAATTGGGATCAATCGAAGCTAGATCGCCGAATTCCTTTTTTAGAAGCTCGGCGTCAGCCCGGCCTGTTGAGAAGGGCGCCCTCCTCGAACACCACCACGGCACTGCGCTGTTTTGACTGTCACGTCGTTCTGGGTTGAGTTCATCATCAATCACGCTCGTTGTTTGGTTCTTCTTCTTCATTTCCTACCATTCGTATTGGTTAACGGGTCGTTCTTGCCGCCAAACTCCCAAACAGCCGGAGCCAGAGCAATATCCTTTATACACTCGCTACATCTACATTGCCACCCCGCCTCGCGAGGCCTTTACATACGAGCTGCAGTCATCGAAGCAGTCTCGCCCAGTTAGGGCCGTAACATCGTGAAGATGTCTGCACCAACAACGCAGCAGAACCTGGCGGCCATACCAGCTCACTCCATGAGCGATACAAACATCACCAGTCACATTGCATCGCGATACCACAGTCATCAACCGGTCTCCAGCATCTCCTCTCAGGCATATGTGACCGTGAATACATATACAAGCTCTGCCAAAGGACCCAATGGCCACAAGGAGGGGAGCGCTATGGGCGCGGCGGAGGAGCTTGCGAGCAGAATGTGGACGCGACTGGGCAGCCGGCAGGAGAATCAAGCTGCGCTCTTCTTGTAAGTTCACCGTGGCATCGAACGGTACACTCTGGCAGTCTTGGTCGATTCGAAGCTTGCTCCCAGCTTCGTGAACCTCAAGAGCAGCGTGCTAATCCGTCCGTAGGGGAGAGTCTGGCGCTGGAAAGTCGACAATCAGATCACATCTCTTGTCGTCCCTCTTGGCCTATTCGTCGACGCCTCTTTCTAAGAAACTGTCCTTTGCCTCGTTCGTATTCGACACTCTGACCACCACCAAGTCTGTCACCACACCAACCGCTTCCAAGGCGGGTCTGTTCTTCGAGCTACAATACGACACCTCTTCGACATTACACCCGACCCTCATCGGTGGCAAGGTCCTTGACCACAGGCTAGAGCGGAGCCGTGTGGCCACCGTTCCCGCGGGAGAGCGCAACTTTCACGTTCTATACTACCTGCTCGCGGGCACATCCGATGCCGAAAAGAACCACTTGGGTCTCGATACGGGCATCGCAGCGGGAGTTGGCAACAGATCTTCCATGGGATCGCAGAAGAGATGGCGCTACCTTGGACACCCGTCGCAGATGAAGGTCGGCATAAACGATGCCGAGGGCTTCCAGCACTTCAAGACCGCCCTGCGTAAGCTGGAGTTTCCCAGAGATGAGATTGCACACATGTGCGAAATGCTGGCGGCTATCCTCCACATTGGACAGCTGGAGTTCATGAGCTCACAGTCAACTACACCCGCACCGGACGAAAGCGGTGGGTACGGCCACGAAGGCGGCGAGGAAATTACGGTCGTCAAGAACAAGGAGGTTCTCACTATCATCGCTGCATTCTTGGGAGTCGGCGACAGAGTGCTAGAGCAGTCCCTGGGATATCGGACCAAGATCCTTCATCGCGAGCGCGTGACTGTAATGCTTGACCCCAAAGGAGCTCGTGAGAATGCAGACGAGCTCGCGCGTACACTGTACAGCTTGTTGGTTGCACTTATTATGGAGAAGATCAACCAGAGAGTTTGTGCTGTGGAGGACTCAATTGCGAACACGATTTCGATTGTGGACTTCCCCGGCTTTGCGCAGACATCTTCCACGGGAAGCGTTCTGGACCATCTTCTGGCAAACGCTGCCAATGAATCGCTCTACAACTTCTGCCTCCAAAGCTTCTTCGAGAGGAAGGCGGAGCTCCTTGAGACGGAAGAGGTGCAGGTTCCCGCGACCAGCTACTTCGACAATAGCGACGCGCTCAAGGGTCTCCTCAAGCCCGGAAACGGACTGTTGTGCATTCTGGACGATCAGATGAAGCGTGGAAAGACCGATGTTCAGCTTGCCGACTCGCTGCGAAGACGATTCGCGGGCAAGAATCCCGCCATTGAAGTGTCGAGTGCAACCGTAAATCTCCCAGGTACTAATTTTGCCACCCCTAACACCCAGCAAAGTTTCACTGTGAAGCACTTTGCCGGTGAAGTGGAGTATCCCGTGGACGGTCTGCTTGAAGAGAATGGAGAGGTCATATCTGGAGACTTGATGAATCTCGTAAACTCATCTTCCAGCTCGTTCGTTTCCGAGTTGTTCGGACAAGAAGCACTCAACAAGGTTCTTCATCCCAACGATCGCAATGCCGTCCAGCAAGCATCTGTCGCATCGAAGCCATCTCGTATGCCCAGTATGGCTCGCCGAAAAGGCGGGAAGCTCGGTAGGACCGCGTCTAAAGCAAACGCGCTCGACGAGGACAGAAGCAGCGAGGAAGGAGGCCCCAGAAGTACCTCACGTCTAAACAAACCCAGCGACTCTCAGCAAGGCGCTGCTGCACAGTTCTTGTCCTCCCTTGACAATATCAACAAGTCGCTCACGGCACCAAACACCAACGCCTACTTCTTCTTTTGTCTGAAGCCCAACGACAGACGAATTGCAAACCAGTTCGATAGCAAGTGCGTGCGGCAACAGGTTCAGACACTTGGGATCGCCGAGATCAGCCAGCGACTGAAGAATGCAGACTTCAGCATCTTCATGCCATTTGGCGAGTTCCTGGGAACAGCCGAGGGCGAGGTATCAGTCGTTGGCAGTGAGCGAGAAAAGGCAGAGATGATTTTGGACGAAAAGAGCTGGCCAGGCRATGAAGCTCGGGTTGGAAGCACTGGTGTCTTCCTGAGTGAGCGATGCTGGCGTCAAATATCGAACATTGGCGACACAACTGAACTGCCTATTCCGTATTCGGACGAGACGCCATACAACAACTCCGGACGGCTAACTCCAATGGACGCTAAACGAGGATTCGGTGACTCCAAAGTGAATTTGCTGCAACCGACACCTGGGTCTGGCGTTTACGGCGATGATAAAGCCGCCGGGTATTTTGGCAGCAGGGATTTCGATTCGAAAAGCGACGCTGGGGTGTCTGCCTATAACAATGGCGACATGTTCCGCAATCTGGAGACCCGCGATCAGCTGGCTGAAAAGGGCAAGGATGTCGCCGCTGTGGAGATTCCTGACCGGCCGACATCTGCATCACGTATACGCTGGCTTATCATGGTCTACTTTTGCACCTGGTGGATTCCAGACTGGACTATCAGAATATTTGGACGCATGCCCAGAAAGGATATCCGCATGGCATGGAGAGAAAAGGTGGCCATCAACTTCCTCATCTGGCTCTCCTGTGCGTTTGTCATCTTTTTCATGATTGGGTTCCCACGTCTCATCTGTCCAACTCAGCACGTATTCAGCAGTGAGGAACTCACCGCATACGATGGCAAGGATTCTGATGCATACGTTGCCATTCGAGGCGTTGTGTTTGACCTCGGTGCCTACATTCCTCAGCACTACCCGCGGATCATCCCCGATAAATCTCTGGAGAAGTACGCAGGGACAGACGCGACCAACCTCTTCCCTGTCCAGGTCTCGGCCATGTGTCAGGGCAAGAGCTCGGAGGATCCAATAGATCCGGCTGTCCAGCTCAACTACCGGAACTACAACTACACTGGTCAAAATCTGGTTAGCACCACCGACACAAACGCTCAGTACCACGACTTCCGCTGGGCCACGAACGACTCCCGACCTGCGTGGTTCATCGAGCAGATGATCATGCTGGAGGGCCAATACTTCAAGGGCAGAGTCGGCTACTCTCCCACCTACCTCAAGACATTGGCCAAGAACTCGAAGAACATTGGGTACATTAACAACCGTGTGTACGACTTCACCGACTACCTRGCAGGTGGAAGAGCGCCGGCATACCCACCAGGCAAAGACCGACCAGACACCCTTCCAGACTCCAATTTCATGGACAACAATGTTGTCGAGCTGTTCCAGCAGCGCTCTGGTCAAGATCTGACCAAATACTGGGATGCCCTGTCTATAGACCCCGGCCTCAAGTCGCGCATGATGACTTGCATGGACAACCTCTTCTATGTTGGCCAGTTGGACACGCGTAACAGCCCCAAGTGCCAGTTCGCCAAGTACATCCTTTTGGCTGTGACCATTGTTCTGGTAGCCGTAATCTGCTTCAAATTCCTTGCGGCTCTCCAATTCGGAAAGAAGACTGTCCCCGAGAACCTCGACAAGTTCATCATTTGCACCATCCCAGCATATACGGAAGATGAAGACTCTCTGCGACGTGCCATCGACTCCGCCGCTCGTACTAGATATGATGATAAGCGCAAACTGTTATTCATCATTTGCGATGGTATGATTATCGGGCAAGGCAACGATCGACCAACACCTCGCATCGTCCTGGACATTCTGGGAGTTCCCGAGACAGTTGACCCGGAGCCTCTGAGCTTTGAATCCCTTGGTGATGGTCAGAAGCAACACAACATGGGCAAAGTATACTCTGGGCTGTACGAAGTGCAAGGCCACATYGTGCCCTTCATCGTGGTCGTTAAGGTTGGAAAGCCATCTGAGGTTTCAAGGTATGTTGGACTGCATCGCCATCTGAATTGCCAAAACTGACACATCATAGACCCGGCAATCGTGGCAAGCGTGACTCTCAAATGATATTGATGCGTTTCCTGAACCGTGTTCACTACAACCTGGCCATGACGCCCCTGGAGCTGGAGCTCCATCATCAAATCCGGAACGTGATAGGAGTCAATCCTACCTTTTACGAGTTCCTGCTGCAAATTGATGCCGACACCGTTATAGCACAGGACTCTTGCACTCGCTTCGTATCCGCCATGATGAACGACACCAAAATCATTGCAGTTTGTGGCGAGACCGCGCTCAGCAATGCCAAATCGTCGTTTATCACGATGGTACAGGTGTACGAATACTACATCTCGCACAACCTGACCAAGGCCTTTGAGTCGCTCTTTGGATCTGTGACCTGTTTGCCGGGTTGCTTTACTATGTACCGCATTCGGGCCGCAGAGACTGGAAAGCCACTTTTCGTGTCCAGGGAAATTGTCAACGACTATTCGGAGACCCGCGTCGACACACTACACATGAAGAACTTGCTGCACCTTGGAGAGGACAGATTCTTGACCACCCTGCTGATGAAGTACCACTCCAAGTACAAGACCAAGTACATTATGCGCGCCCACGCCTGGACTATTGCTCCGGATAGCTGGGCCGTGTTCATGTCGCAGCGTCGCCGATGGATAAACAGTACGGTGCACAACCTGATCGAAGTCATTCCACTCCAACAACTCTGCGGTTTCTGCTGTTTCAGCATGAGATTCGTGGTGTTTATCGACCTGCTGTCGACAGTCGTGCAGCCCGTGATTGTTGCATACATCATCTACCTCATCGTCACTGTGGCCACCAATCCTAGTACGTCGGCGACCACGGCGTTCATCCTCATTGCTGCGATCTACGGGCTCCAAGCCATCATCTTCATCGTGCGTCGCAAGTGGGAGATGGTGGGCTGGATGATTATCTACATTCTCGCCACACCCATCTTCTCATTCTTCCTACCGCTGATTGCATTCTGGAACATGGACGACTTCTCCTGGGGAAACACTCGTATGGTGACGGGTGAAAAGGGAAAACAAGTCTTGGTCAGCGACGAAGGCAAATTCGATCCCGATAGCATCCCCAAGAAGAAGTGGGAGGAATACCAGGCAGAGCTGTGGGACGCTCAATCCCATCGCGACGACGCTCGCTCGGAGATTTCCGGCATCAGCTACGGCACCAAGGTCCACGCGGCCGCGTCGGAGTATGGCTACCAGCAAAGCCAGCACATGAGCTCTCTGAACGTACCCGGCATGCCATATCACGGCTCCCACATGTCCATGGCGGCTTCGGACCATGGCATGATGCAGCAGCGCAACTTCTCTGGCAGCGATCTCGACATGTCAGACATGCCGAGCGACGACGCCATCTTGGCCGAAATCCGCGAGATATTGAGGACGGCGGACTTGATGACTGTCACGAAGAAGAGTATCAAGGCGGAGCTTGAACGGAGATTCGGTCTGCCAATGGACGCCAAAAGGCAGTATATTGGCAGCGCCACGGAGGCTATCCTTAGCGGCGCACTCTAGGTCAATGAATGACTTGTTGACGAAATATTGGAATTTGGGGCATTACTTGGGGATACTTCTAGCGCTTTGAATTGAGGGAGTAAGGGAAATGGCGCAGAGTAAACTAACTGTATTGATAGCCTTATTCAAAAGTTACYTCCCTCACCCACATTGATTGATGTCATTGTCAGTCTGAAGTTGATGTTGAAGTGACGATGGGATACGGAAAGAAGAGGGACAAAAGGACACATATGTAGTACTTGCCTTTCATGCCCCGTGATCTTATTGTCTGATGTTCCTTACATTGATCTAATGACCTTCGTTCCCATACACACTGCAAACCTCCATGAAAATAAGGTGTTCCTAAATTGCTGCAAGTAGTAAGGTAATTCTCAATCAATTTGCCTAAAAGCCATCCCAAAAAACGACCTCACCTCCAAAAAAGCTCCTCCACTCCTCGGCGCAATGGCCTCCAGGTAAGCAAACGTCGCAGAAGAAATCACCCCACAAGCATATCCATCGCGCCCCTCCGAATATCTAAGTACAAGACATGCTACAGATTCCAGCGCGATTCGCGCAACGCCCTCTTCTCCAACTACGACGCGGCGCAACAAACCCGCTCGCGTCCTCACTCGGGCTCTCCAGCACCTCGCAATGCGCCTTTTACCGCCTCGGCGAATTCTAGCAGTCCTTATGGAGGTGGTGGTGGCAGTGATGCGTCGCCACAATTAAATTCTTATGCCGGTGGTGGTGCGGCGGGTTTCAATGCTTATCCCAGCAGCGGCGGCGGCGTCGGCGGAGGACTCGAAGGGGATGGGACATTTCGGGCTGCGACGCCCAATCGGAGGGGACAGTATAGTGATGCTGTGTTGAGTGAGTTGGAGAGTCAGAATGATGATCAGGCGGGGGAGATGAGTAAGAAGGTTAAGATGTTGAAGGAGGTGAGTTCTACGGAGGATATTTTGAGGGAGAGAGATGTGTGTTGGGGGAAGTTGATGACTGATGCTGATATGGAGGAATAGTTGACCATGGCGATTGGGGATGAGATTCGGGATAGTACGGCTTTTACGGAGAAGATGAATGATCAGTTTGAGAATACGAGGAATCGATTACGAGGGACAATGAATCGTATGTTGAGGATGGCGGAGCGGACGGGGGTGGGTTGGAAAGTCTGGGTGGGATTCTTTTTGGCGGTGTTTTTGCTTTTCAGCTATGTTTGGTTGTTTTGAGGGAATCCATCCATTGTTTGGCAGGCGTGGCGTTATGGGATGGGTTTGAGAGGATCAGACTCTCGGAGTGTAGTGTTTGATTGGGGGTATTATCGGCACATGTGTGAGTATGAGACAGGGAGGAGACGTGGTTCGATGTCTGGTAAATCACCAGAGTGGGAACTGCAACGGCTTCGATTCGCTGATCTGCAAGGCGGAGTGAATGAATATCGCCGCACACTATTCTCTCGACGCACTACTCTCTTCCTCATCCACCGACATGGCGTCAGTCTCACAGCAATACGCATCGCGCCCGCATCTCTTGCATCACTGCGGATGACGCTGTGCTGAAGAACATGCTTGGTCGAGCACGTCGACAGTCTCCACAGAACCTTCGACCTCCATCAAGCCAAGTCCACCCTCACCCAACCAGCTGCTGAATCGCACACTCTGCCTCTGATGAGGGTCCTGATACTTCCAAAAGTCATGTCTACATCGAGGGAGGAAACTTCGCGTGGTGCATACCATAGCTTATTCGCATAGATTCATTCCTTTCACAACGAGAAACCGGAAAGACAAACATGGGATCTGTCAAGCTACCCAACATCTCAGCTTTGCCTCCCTGGACTACCCTTCCTACGCACTCAATGCAAGAGCAGAGTAAACTCAAAAGGCCCAGTCTTGAGCACATACTGATCCAAAGTCGATGGACCACAGCTTCCCGTGCCCAAACCATGATGATCAGCATCCAATCGAAGCACCACATGCTCCTGTCTCTTCTCGCTCAACTGATGAGGATGCTGCGCCTCATCAATATCCTTGACATCGTAGTGACTTGCCATGAAATCGAAGAGCTGCCCCTCGCCTCCACCGGACTTCAAGAACTGCGCAGTAAACGTTGTTTCGCCGGAAGAGAGTTGCAACCAGCGGGTATCAGTCCGGTTGGAGCACTCCTGAGGATACTCCGGACTCTCCCACAACTCCTCAACTTCCGACACCGAGTGCAAGCCCACGCGTTGGGAGAGCTTCATGTCTTTGTAGCTCTCCCGTGGACCACGACCATACCATTTGACGTTCTGAAACTCTGACTCGAGGCCAAGAGTGACACCAATCCTTGGTAGATTCTCGGGTTGGTTCTGTCCTGCCGGGATGCCCTTTACCTGCAGCTGGWCGGAGCCGTCCGGGGAGAACGTGTACTTGGTCTCAAGACCAAGACTCCACGACAAGACCGGCGGAGCAAACTTCTGCTCAAACTCGACAATGACCACCCCGTCTTGCTCGTGCCACTTGAAGCTCCTCGTGTGATTCCTTGCCAGGGGGAAGAACTTCTCCTCCCACTCGGATCCGCTCATTCCGCGGTCGTTGTCCGTCGGAGCTCGGTAGAAGCTGGGTTCCATACCCTTTGCTATCAGTTGCTTGCCATTCTTCTCCCAGGATGAGAGCACACCGCGGACCAGATCGAGCTTCCACTGCGACTTGGCACTGGAAATGGCGAGAGTGGTGCCGGATGCACTCGCTTCCAAACGAGATCCTTGAGGAGAAGCAGGAATCGCAAGCGGAGTGTAGCCAGACAGTGGCACTTGAAGCAGTGCTACCTCATGACCAGCTTCCGCCCATGCAGTCTGATCCCTAAGAGTGAAGCTGAGATCCAAGAACGTCTCCTTTGTCAAACCAGACGGCGTCTCAGGTAGACGAAGCTCAGTGGTGGCTCCTGCTTGTACGGCAGATGGAATGACAATTTCGCCACCGGATTTGGAGCCGAAATCGTCTGATATCGACCAAGTACACTTGAGGTGATCAAGAGTGTCAAAATCGAGCCGGTTGATGATCTTGACCTTGTCCGCGGACGCCGAGACGAGCTGCACAGGTTCCAGAGCCTTTTTGTACTCTACCAAGGCGCTTCTTGGCGTGTGGTCGGACTTGATCACCCCGTCCATGACAAAATTACCGTCGTGGGGTGTGTCGCCGAAGTCTCCGCCGTATCCATAAAACGTCTTGCCATCTGCAGTCTTTGTCAAAAGACCGTGATTTGCCCATTCCCACACCCAGCCACCTTGGAGAGGAGGATGTTCGTAGAAGGCATCAATGTACTCTTTGATGTTGCCAGGACCTGTCCCCATTGCATGAATGTACTCACACAGCACCAGAGGCTTGGTTTTGGTTTTGTCGTTGGCGAAGTCGATGATGAAACTCACATCTGGATACATCCGCGAGTGCATGTCCATTGTGGTGGCCTCGAGATCTGGCTCATAGTGGATCAATCGTGTTGGGTCATACTCCTTGATCCAATCGTGCATTGCAACGTGGTTACTGCCGTAGAATGCTTCATTTCCTAGACTCCAAATGATCACAGAAGGGTGGATCTTATCGCGATAGACGAGCTGCTTGGCCCGGTCGATGTATGCATCTCTCCATGCCGGGTTGTCGGATGTCCACTGAGCTGCCAGTTTCTTCGTGAGCTTCTGTCTCTCGAAGAAGGGTAGGGCTCGTTGATCCGGTGGCAGTGCAGCGTCGGCAATTGTTTCGAATCCGTGGCACTCAAGATCGGCTTCGTCCATGACCCACAAGCCCAGCTCGTCAGCCAAGTCATACAGCCTCGGGTCGCTAGGCTGATGAGAAGTTCGAATGGCGTTGATGTTGTGCGTCTTCATCAAGAGTAGATCCTGCTTCATGAACTCGTAGGGCACTGCACGTCCTTCGGTAGGGTGGTGTTCGTGTCTGTTCGCCCCTTTGAAAACCACGCGTTTGCCGTTGACTTTGATGAGACCATCCTTGAGCTCAACGACCCTGAATCCAACGCGGTGAGCTGTGAACTGGTTGGCATTGACAGAGACGACCAAGTTGTAGAGGTATGGTGTTTCGGCGGTCCATTTCTTGGGGTTGCTGATTGGCAGGGAGAAAGCGACAGCACCACTATCTTGGACTGACTTGGTCTGTTTCGCAGTGGCAACAGTATTGTTTGAAGCGTCCAGCAACTTGAGCTCGACGTCTCCCGCCCCGTAGACACTGATAGCCGCTTTGAGAGTGGCATCTTGATACTTGGCATCCAGAATCGTCTGCACCGAGACGTCCTCAATACGGGCTTTGCGAGGAAATCCAAGAAGGTACACATCTCTAAAGATCCCGCTGAGCCACCACTGGTCCTGGTCCTCGATGTAAGACCCGTCTGTGAACTGGTAGACCCTGACGGCGAGAACATTGTCCTCTCCAAGCTTGACATGGGATGAGATGTCAAACTCAGAAGGATTTCTCGCACCCTGGCCTGTGTTTCGACTCTGTTAGTTTCGTGCGTCTCGAAATATAAGACCACTGCGACTCACTGTATCCAACTTCGTTGCCATTGAGCCAAACGTGAAAACCAGAGTCTACACCTTCAAAACGCAACCGGAGCTGATCATCCTTGAATTGCTCCGGCACACGAAACTTGGTGATATATGAACCACATTCATTGTCGGTGTAAGGTGGATGAGGAGGGTCGACAAAGAATGGATACTGAACATTCGTGTAGTGTGGACCACGGCCAAAATCCTGGAGTTGCCACATGCCTGTCAAGTACGATCAGTCATTGTACACGAGGAAAGGATGTGGGTAATGTTTCCCTACCAGGAACTCTGATATCGCTCCATTTCGAGCTGTCAAAAGAGGGAGCTTGAAAGCCATTGGGAGCCTCAAACGGTGAGTTTGCAACATGAAACTTCCACTGGCCAGCCAGACTGTGTGCTCTCGCCTTGTCCGTGTCTCGTGAYAAGGCATTGCTTTCGTTGTCGTAGAGGAAGAAATCCGAGCGTGGCTGCAGCGTGTTGCGGTGAATGACGGCCAGGTTGTCCCAGTCAGGCCGTGAGGCGGCGCCAGCCTCGAGAGCAGTAATGTCACCCATCTTTCAGTGCAGGAAGGTGCTGTTCCTTTGAAATGGCCGATATGTTGAGGAAAAGGCGAGGATGGTTATTCCTACCGTACCTAACTATCATCTACAGTCTCCACAGCTTGTCAGTCACGCCCATTGCAGCAGCTTCCTGCCTCGATCTGGCAGTCCTCCACCATCGGCATGTGGAACCCATCGCCCGGCGAGCGGGCGGCAAGGGTGGAGAGTGGAGCTGGCGTGATCACGCCGCAGAGATGTTGCGTTGCGGTCTTGGCCGCCGCTGGACGGGATCGAATTTAGCCGAAGATACCGGTCTTTTGCCGATACCAGCATCATCCTCGTTCACTCACGCACGATATAATACCACGTGCTCAATGTTAAATATCGGAGATTGAGCCCGCAAGACAGAGCACGATTCTCTACAATGGCAACCTCACTTCCGCGGCGGAAGGTGATATCTACAGCAGGGGCGAGAGGAGGAATGATGATGCGTACGGAACGAAGAATACACAGTAACGACATCGTGTCGAATGAGCCTGCAGACAACTTGCCGGAGATCCTGCACCACAACTTGACGGCAGCCCTCTATTCTGCTCCACTTTTGCTTGTGCAATGCTTCTACTTCTAACAGGTATAATTGAGATCGAACGACACCGTTGGAATGCCATCAAACCCTGCCGGGACCACGTAGGTCACATTGTAGTAATAGCGATTATAGAGACTCGAGCCATACGTGGTCGGAAGTTGCTCTAATCCAGGTGCTGACGCGTTGACGTCCAAACATGGCAAATTGGAGAACCCGGATACAATGTTTCCCGCCAAGTTCCACGCAGGCGGCATTCCGAAGATCATGAATTGGAAGCTGTCGGATCCAATCTGTGTGGCATTAGGATACGAGATGACAAGCTTGTTGGCAGTCGCTACAGCCTTGATCGTCGAAGCTGTAGGATACAAACTGAAGAATCCATTCAGTGGGAAGGGTTTGWGCATAGGATCAGAAGCCCAGTGTACAATTGCCGGAACATTCTGCTGACTCCGGACGGTGGTCTCGTATTGCTCAATACCGCCGGCCATGAGGCTCTTGCTGACCCACGAAGTGGCGACCCTCGCACCGGTTCCATTGAGATTCTCCTGAATGGTATTTTCGATTTGCCGTTCACCCAACGGAGCCTCCACCAAGGACGCCAGAACCGGAGCCGGGACATGATCAACGACGGTAGACATGACCAATGCCATCGAAGCACCTTCGGCAGCGTCGTATTCAAGATTGACTTGTCTCAGGTTCGGCTCAGGAGCTTGGGACAAGCCATGCAAACCCCAGAACCAGAGTGGAAGAATGGCGGAATCCTGAGTGAGATCCCGCGAGTTCGCGCGGTCGTAAGGCCCAACCATGTTTCGCAGGAAAGCATTGTAGTGATCGGCGATGTCCTTCCATAGTTCGGAGAGCATGAAGGGCGAATGTTGAGTGAGGAACTGGTCCGCCGGTCCGTATTTGATGCTTGCAGCAAGCGCCCAGACATTGACTCCATAGTATGTAGGAGCATTGTATTCACCAAACACGTTGGAGCCTGCGGTGAACAGCTTGTAGATTTCTGTTGCGCGAGAGTTGGCGAAATCGATCAGCGTCTGGTTCTTCGTGCGCTGGCCAACCCAGCCCACCGTGAGAGCTCGCATGAGACCCGGATTGGTGTATCCCGGAACGAGGTTATCGCCATCTGTACCGTTGCGTCGCATGGCACCCACGGCCTGAACTTGGAGCGCATTGACTATTTCGTCGACCAGATCCGCACCGATGAGATGAGAGAACTCCTCCACTATCTGCACGAGCTGCGTGCCAACGAACTCGCGCCAGTTCGGGTCATATGAGCCCTGTACAATGTTAGCCTAGGTTTCACAAGACCTGTTGGTTGCTTCCAGACTCACATATATCGAAGGCGGATATAGTGGAGAGTCAGGAGTTGGATTTGGTTCTGAGAAGAGGTTTAGCGGCTGGGGTCCAACAGAAAGGTGACGATGCTCACCATCTGGAGACAGCTTCCAAGTGCCATACCATGGAGAAGTGAAGTTGTCTGTTAGTTGATTGGCAAGGCTGGAATTCCTGTTAGCCAAACGATTTGTGTTTGTATATGGACAACTTACATGTTGCTAATCGCTTCCTTGGCGTTCTCCAGATCTTGACCTTCATTCCGCCATAGGAGTCCAGGAACATACCAAGAGGTGAATCGCACACTCCACGGGCCGTTATCTTCGTAGATGATATACTTGTAAGTTTCGTCGAATCTGGCATCGTTAAGAGCCATGGAGTAGTCGAGTAAGCTCTGAGCATCTTCGGCCAAAGAGTTAGTCCTTTCGGTTTCGTATGTGGATGAGGAGCGTCTCACTTGGAGACAATTTCGAAGGCTGAGCAGCAGAAACGATGCCTGCTGCTACAACAGCCGTCTGTATCAGATTGAGCACGTGCATCATGGGCGTTCACGGGCGTCTGATTGATGATTTTCAAACCAAATGTACCACGGCACTCCACCCCGGGGCGTGGTCTTGTATATGACGACCTTTGGGGTCCACAGAAAGTAGCCCCCGACGACCAATGCGTCCTGCCGAGCCATTGTGATGGGACTATAGGTCATACCGACTGTTGGGATGTTGCAACCTGTCGTTGCAAAGCGAACATTGCTTGGCCGGCCAGCGTAGGCGAGCCACTGCTATCATTTATCCGAACGAACTATGGGGTAGCGCGTGAAGAGAGGCGGCAGGTGATCTACCCTTCATGCATGGGGTTGTGGTGCGATTCACCGCTGTGTCGTAAAGTAGACATCCAATGGCATCGGTTCCGTAAGGAAAAGTAACTTGTGTCGATGGAAGTTGGCTGTCCTTGGAGACTGGAAGGAACAACGCGACGTTGTTAGAAAAGTAGTGGGAGCCTGAGGCATGACTGGTTAGTAAGGTAAGAACATTGAAGCTTCAATCTCTCAAACGCCTCTCTCCTTTCACCTTCTTCTCCTTCTCCTTCTCATCCACCAACCTTGCTCGTAGGTATCGAGTAGAGCAATTCACGAGCATCTAGTTTACGCTTTACACTAAAAACTTCCAGTCCCGTGAAGGAAATCAGGCGATGTAACGCGGCCCTATCGATACCCCAGGCGATGGCCGGGGTGGGGTATACTACATGGCCTACGGCCGCGAAACATGGTTGATAACGACGGATGGCACCTTCCTATTCCAAGCGCCCTCGTGCGCTGTTCTACAAGCAAGCGCATACATTCCATCTCTTGGAGGACTATGTCTCGATTCTAGTACATCCCACCACTCATCCGTCGTCCTCCTAGCACAGCGCCGTCAAGATGTCATCCACACAGGAGCCGCTCACGCTGAATCAGGCACTGGCAGGCCGGAAGCTTTCTCGAAACTCCGGCCTGATCATCTTGAACATCATCTTGTCCGTCGTGCAGCTGTCGAGCTACGCCACCGGCTACGATGGCTCGATGATGAGTGGGTCGTGCCTCGTTGAGACAAGCCGAACTGAGCTGACGGCAGCAGATGGGCTTCAAACGTTAGATACGTGGCAGTCGTACTTCAATAATCCATCTCCGGGAACACTGGGAATGTATGATGCGATCGCTATTGCCACCATATAATTGATGCTGAGATGTCCGCAACAGTCTGAACGCCATTCAGTAAGACAATCAAGGGCAGAAGGCATACAGACAGGGTAGTTCAAAGGTCTCTTTAGAGCTGCGTCATGTCTCTCTCTGCTCATGTCGGAAATGGTCCGAGACATCGCTAACCCTTCTACCCTTCACTTTGTAGGAATATTGGCCAGCTGGCGGCTTTACCATTCTGCGCGGTAGCATCCGACCGCCTGGGTCGTGTGCGGACACTCCTTTTGGGTGCTACTTTGATATTGGTCGGCGTGGGTCTGCAAGGTGCTGCTCAGAACACGGGCATGTTCATTGCTGCTCGAGGCGTTCTCGGCTTTGGGCTGGCTTTCAACATCACTGCTGCACCCCTTTTGCTGCTTGAACTCGCTTACCCAACCCAACGGTCGCCGATGGTTTCCATCTATAATGCCCTCTGGAATCTGGGAGCGATAGCGGCAGCGTGGGTCACATATGGCACCTTCGTTCTGGGAAATTCCTGGAGTTGGCGTATTCCCTCAATCTTACAGGGTCTAGTCAGCGCCCTTCAAATTGGGTCGTGCTTCTTCCTGGTAGAATCTCCGAGATGGCTCATGTCCGTTGGGAGGGAGGAGCAGTCGAGACTTATCATCACCAAATATCATGCCAATGGGGATCCAAACGACCCGCTGGTTGAGCTGGAGCTTGCAGAGATCAGGCTCGCTCTACACCTAGAAGCTGAGTTGGCCAAGAACTCGCGGTGGGTTTCCTTCTTCCAAACTAAGGCCAACCGTAAGAGACTCCTCATCGTCTTGTGTGTTGGCTTCTTCTCACAATGGTCTGGAAATGGTAAGAATGTCAAGGGCAGAAGGCATACATGGTGGTTCGAGGGTTTGCTTCGAGCTATGTTATGTCTCTGCCCATATCGGAAAAAACGTCCAAGACATCGCTAATCCTTCTACTCTTCGCTTTGCAGGCTTGACCTCGTACTACCTCAGCATTGTCCTCGACAGCATTGGCTATACGTCCTCAAAGACACAGAGCTTGATCAATGGATTGCTCCAGATCTGGGCGCTCGTGACGAGCGTGTTCTTCGCCCTAATGGTACGATACTCGAGGAAAGAAGGCAAATAGGGTAGCTCAAAGGTGTCTCTCGAGCTACACCAGACCTTGGTCCCCATCGGGACTGTCTCAGACATCGCTGACTCTTCTACCTTCGCTCTCTAGGTCAATAAGTTCGGACGCCGAACATTGTTCCTCGCTTCGACCGGCGCTATTCTTATCACTTATATTGGTTGGTACCAACACAAACTGACATGGAACGATGGACTGACGTCAAACAGTCTGGACCGCGCTCCAGGCGACATATGATCAGCAAATTGCTGACGGCGGGGAAGGAAACCCTCATGTCGCCCAAGGTATACTGGCTATGATTTTCCTCTATACCCTTGCTTTCAACATCGGTTGGAACCCACTACAGGTGACTTATGTGGTTGAGATACTCCCGTATCACCTTCGCGCAAAGGCAAGTAACGTGCCATCTGGCAGTATCCTGGCACTAACCCGTGGAGACAGGGTCTGGTTCTTTACAATCTATTCGTCGCTGCAGCGCTGGTGTTCAATCAAYATGCCAACCCCGTTGCACTGGCAGACATAGGCTGGAAATGTAAGTACAGAAGCTGTTGTCTCATCATCGTATTCTAACGAGTCTAAGACTACCTTGTATACGATGTTTGGATCTTGATCGAACTGATCGTCGTCTACTTCCTTTTCGTGGAGACTGGCAATTTGTCACTGGAGCAAACCGCCGCACTGCTAGATGGCATCGATATCAAGAACACCTTGGTTGAGGGAGTAAAGATGGAAATGTCCGACAGACCAAATTTCGTTGCTATTGGTGGAAAGGAGCATGAGGGGTAGACTTGGTTGTGGTCTTGGCAATGGTAGAGACGTACCTCTGTACTCCGTGCAAGCTGACCGCATGGTGGACGAAGCAAAACATCAGTGGTGCTGTTACATTGCTCCGCGTCCCTCCACATCCCGAGGAGAGTCTTAGTGGACCCGCGTGACCATCGCCGCTGAACATGGGTATAAAGACACAAGCGATATGGTTCTTGGCCGAGCATGTGAAGCGGCAAGCCGACCACAAACGGCGTCTGGCGGATCATCGGCTTTTGAATTTTCCCTCCACTCACTCACCAAAGCAGCTACTTCAAGTAATGATCGACCGGTCGCCGAAGAACAGCCAAGACCCTAGAGTTGTGCTACTCCGTAGAGCGCATGGCATCGCGACCGTCTTGGGCTAACTTCTCCGCACAGATGGTTCCAGATGCTTCAGCGCGGCTGAACCATTCGTTCTAGTCTTTCATTCGGCATCGAAAGACACGGCCATCAACACTCCTCTCTACACGACGAGGGTTCTTCGCTCTTGAGCATACCTCAGTACGTCCCGAATCGACATGGCCCTGATGGTGGCGGGAACCCTCAAGGTACTACTGTATAGACTTCGCCCTCACAATGCATCKCCTCGCCTCTGTCTCGGCAAAGCTAGACTCTGCATGGCATCAACCCCGTGTCAATGCCCCTGCATGACCACGCGAATGTGGACTTGACCGCGTGTGGAGGACTGGGGAACCCGCGCATGGGGTAGAGGCTTGAATTCGGTACCTTGTCTCACCACCATATAGTGGACTACAGGCCCGCGTGGCTCGTCGTGTCTTGTTCCTGTCGAAGAGTCGCAATACCCACTTTCCTCGTTCGACATCTAATCTTAGTTCGCCATGGACTATTCCAACGAGAAGGACGAGACGCACCATGTCGACTACAATGACATGTCGAAAGGATCCGTGGTTCAGGAGGCAAACGTCGCCTCGGTGGCATTGACGCAGGCCATTGAACAGCAGAAGCCGTCTCTTTGGAGCAAGAGCATGATCAAACTCTACATGATAGTAAGCACCATTCATTACAGCTTCGCTCATCACCCTACAAATCTAACGGCTGCCTCGCTTGTAGATGGGTATTGGCTATCTTGTGTCCACCATGAACGGATTCGATTCGTCTCTCATGGGTGCTATTAATGCTATGGACGCGTACCAGAAAACATTCGGTCTGACCGGAGCTGGAAGCTCTGCGGGAATCATCTTCATCATCTACAATCTAGGGCAGATAGCTGCCTTTCCATTCTGCGGGTTCTTCGCCGACGGCTATGGGAGAAGGAAGTGCATCTTTGTGGGTTGCTTCCTCGTGATCGTTGGAACTGCAGTACAGACTACTTCAAACACCACGGGTCATTTCATTGCGGGTAGATTCGTCCTTGGCTTTGGTGCAGCGATCGCATCGGCAGCCGGTCCTGCGTACACAGTGGAGCTTGCACACCCGGCGTACAGAGGCACAATGGCCGGATTCTACAACAACTTCTGGTGGTTGGGCAACATTCTCGCCGGATGGACCACGTATGTATCGTATCTGGTTTGCTGCGCTCGCTTGTGCTGACACAGTTTATAGCTACGGAACTGAGTTGCACTTCCCTGGATCCTCTTGGGCATGGCGAACACCAACGGCAGTTCAGTGTGCTATGCCAGCCGTTGTCATGTGTTTCATTTTGTTCTTCCCGGAAAGTCCCAGGTATGCAAAGTTGAGGGTCAAAGGCTTCAGGACTATATTAACTTTACGACCTTTAGATGGCTATTGATGAAGGACCGCCGAGAGGAGGCTATTGCAGTCATGGCCAAGTACCACGGAGAGGGCGACGAGAACTCACCTCTTGTCACGCTCCAGCTCCACGAGATTGAGGCCGACATGTCTGTCACACGAAACGACAACCCCTGGTGGGACTTCAGGGAGCTTGGAAACACGCCAGCAGCGCGATACCGTATCTACATGGTCATCGCAATGGCGTTTTTTGGCCAATGGTCTGGCAACAATGGTAGGTTGAAGCGTGATAAGCTCCGAATCTCTCCGCAAATTTCGCTAACTCTTCGACAGTCGTCAGCTACTTTATGCCACAGATGGTAGCCAATGCTGGCATCACGGACACTTCCACACAGCTCCTCATCAATGCCWTTAACCCGATCTTCTCGATGCTGGGCGGCATGTACGGTGCCACACTGCTCGACAAGCTGGGACGGAGAGTCATGTTGATGGCAGGTCTTGCAGGCGGTCTGGTCTCGTACTGCCTCTTGACAGCCTTCACAGCAGCGTCAGAGTCCAACCGCGATCTCTCGTATGGAACCATCGTCTCCATCTATCTGTTCGGCATCTGCTTTGCGTGGGGTTGGACTCCGCTCCAAACACTATACGCCGTCGAGTGTCTCGAGAACCGAACTCGTGCCAAGGGAAGCGGCTTGAACTTCCTCTTCCTCAACGTCGCCATGGTTGTCAACACCTACGGTATCAGCGTTGGAATTGAGAAGATTGGCTGGAAGCTCTACCTGGTGTTCATCGGATGGATCTGCGTGGAATTGGTATTGATCTACTTCTTCTTCGTTGAGACAAAAGGCAGGACGCTGGAGGAACTCTCGGAGATCTTTGAGTCGAAGAACCCTCGCAAGGCGTCGACACGGAAGAGGACAGTGGGGATGGATGAGCACGGTAATGTCGTGCAGATGGATTGATGGATGTAATGTAATGCACTCATGATTGAATCTCAATTCAGCCAGCTGGCTTACAATCAGTTCTTTCCCCAGCCTACATTCGTCATGCCCGTCCAAAGCGCTGGAATTGGAGAGCAGTACATACTAGTCTCGAGAGTGATTATGTGAAGTTCGCGTGAAGTTTCACGACGAATCCAATTTGTAGATCCGATCGTGTGCGCAAATGTGCTGCCCAGATGTTGATATAGTTGGATCCTTGAATGGACCTGAGACATCGCTGATGCAAGGATGCTGAAGGAGCGTAGAAAAGAAACGAACGAGCATCCAGACAACTGTCCTGCTAAAGAGCAGAGATAATGTATTGAACAATTGGCACAAAGTGAAATAAAAGGGGTTCAAAGTTGAAATTCATCTAATCCCAGGAAACTGGGGTCCAGCGTATAGCTCAACTACTGAGGTACACTTGCTATCTATCTCTATCCCTCACCATTCTCTCTCTCCTCTCCTCTTTCTCTCTCCGTCTCCTTTCTCTTCCTCTCATTGGTGCGTCATGAATGCCAATTCATTGTCTAGTTGGCGAGGGTCTTCTTAGGAATGCAAGACTGCGAAGCGTCAGCTCAAGAATTTCGAAAAAAAGGTTCAAAAGGTCTCAGAACTCACCTTGCACTCGTCGAAGTTGGCAGCAGTGCTGCTAGCGGAAGCAACACAGGCGATATCAGCGACAGGGTTGACACCTGCTTCTGCGGCAGCGGCAGCACAAGAGCCGCCGGTGGAAGCCAAGTGAAGGACACATTCTGTCGCTCATATCAGCATTCTGGTATCACCGAGCACTTTTAAAAGTTACTCACTCTCAAGGTTGTGCTTGGAGCAGCCAGGTGGGAGTGTGATATCCACCATTCCTGGCTCACGAGTGTCACGCTTCACTACGATGTCCTCCTTGGCCGCGGTCTTCTTTGGGATGCAAGACTTGCACTCATCGAAGTTGGCGGCGGCGCCTGAGGCGGAGCCCACGCAGGCGAGATCGGCGACTGGGTTAAGACCGGCTCTGGGTTGGAACGTTAATACYTGAATGCATGTAGGGAGCCGGAGAATGAGTTGTGGAAGTCTAAGTGAGGATAGTGGTATGCATGTAGGGGGCGATGGATGGATGGATTCTTGGTAACTTACTCTCCGGCAGCGGCACCGCAGGAAGCAGAGGCGGCTGCGAGGTGACCGACGCACTCTGTACGGACTATAGTTAGCCACAACGCTAAGAGTGATAGAGATACTTTTATTTCTGGAACGTACTGGCGAGGTTGGTCTTGGTGCAGCCATCTGGGAGCTTCAAATCCACCTGGCCGGGCTCACGGGTGGAGCGAACCTCGGCGGGGGAGGCGTAGGCAATGGCCGCGAACGCAGCGATGACGACGGTGGTGAACTGCATTTTGATGGTGTTGGTTGGTTTGGGTGGTTGGTTGGTAAGAAGGTTGGATTGCTGTTGCTGATTGTATGGAGTGAAGGCTGGATGATGAGTTGAATGATGGGTGGCTCACGCTGTTTATATGTCAAAGAGAGCGTCAGCTAGGACATGTCATTATCGTCATCGTCTTGCACGTTGTGTCAACGAGGCACCTCGATGGCCATCCTTCTCTATCCTTCCTTTTCTTCCTTCGCCGTGTTTCCTCGCCCCACACATCTGTTCCCGCCTTCGATTGGAGACGCGTGGCAAGCAATGCTATTGGTAGCATGTCGTTCGTCAATCTAGCATCGTTCGGAAGCCATTGAAGTTGTAATAGTGCAGTGAGCCTCTTAGGCTGTCGATTGGAACACTTTGAAATCATCACGCTGAGCTATGAAGGTTTCTTCGCCGGATATCCACATACCACACGGCTGCTTCTGGGTCTTACAAGTCTTGCAATGAGATCTCACTACGTATGAGTTTCGTGCTCTATGAGCATCACGAACGTTGCATCCAGGGCAGCTGTCCCCATCCCTCCACTAGAAAGTTGAATACTACATGATTGGGTTCAATGCCACACGTTCCACCACGTGCCAACATGCTTTCAAAAGCCGCATGTTTCATCATTCTACCGATCGCGCGTGCGGCGTATGGCATTTGTCGAATCGTCTCCACACACACTACTTCGGATCAAAGTTGTTCCTTGTCATCTAACTCGCCAATACGGGCTTAGCTTTGTCCAAGCTTTCCCCGACGATCCTCCTTGGTGCAACGCTTAACTGCTTTCAGGTACCAACCATGAATGCTACACTACTGCATCCTGCATCCGACTGCCGATGATGTAAATCGCGCAAACAAAACTCTATAATGTGAGGAATGATCGACCCGTTAGTCGACGTTTTGGCACAGTGCTCGTKCGCAAGAGGATTCGAATGGTGCGCATAGGGCAGGAAACCTTAGTGGTCAGGAATCCTTAGTGGTCGAGATTGCCCACGTGCGGACGAGATTGATATTTTTCACACAAGCTTTGAGCTTCGATATGGTGGGCGGACTACCGAGTGCCCAGAGCAGGGCTCGTGTACGACGAGAGACATTCATTATCGAGATATTTGTGCATTATTATATTGATGCATCATACATGTATATACAAAGGTGAGGAGCTCTTTCGAGCTCAATGGTCATAACTTCATAATATCAATACATAGAGAACGTCCGTCGACCACCTATCCGTCTAACATAAACAATGCCATCAAACCGTACTCCAATCCGTCTCAGATAACCAAGTATTCACCACTTTGCACCTCTTCTTGGCCACGTGTGTGTCCATATTACTCTTGCGGCTGAATTCCTTGTTGCAAAAGGGACATTGAATACTGGTCTGACTCCGCTGCTCCCGCATGTGACGCTTATAGTTGTCCATATTTGAGAACGACCTCCCGTTACATCCATGTTCGAAGCATCGTGGCCGGCTGTCTTGACTGGAGTCCTCCGATCTGTCCGAGAGTGATTTTGATGGGTGTCGACGACACATGTCTGATTTTGCTCGGCTACGTTTGATTTTTGGATAGTCTGGAAGGCTATCGCCACGAGGCAAAGGTTGCCATGTGGCTGGGCACGATCTAGGTTGGAACGTGGGAGAGATTGGCATTGCTCCGGGATGACTTGTGTAGGTGTTTTGATAGATGTTCGAGTGTGCCAGATCGAGGTTTGTGAGGACTGCGTGGAGATCATCATCGTGCAGGCCGATTGAAAGAGGCGAGACGGATTCAAGTGGGAACTGTGTCGATGAGGTAGGCGGCCACGAGTATGGGCTGAAAGCAAAGTCTGGATGCTCCATCTTGGTTGTAGTAGATGTGTGTGTGTGGAAAAGCTGGCTTGTGATGTTCCTTTGTCTTGTATATCGATGGCTTGGACATTGCTGTATATATTCGAGGGAGCAAAGTATGTTACTCCCTCCAGTCTGGCGCGTGGCATCGAAGGATGCGCGCCGAATCCGGCGAGGGCATTGATGACCGCAGCGCGACCTGTCGGGTATTTCCAGGATTGTGTTGGCTGACTATCCCACGCAGGAACAGGAGCAGGAGCTACAGTAACCCGTTGCTTATCACACTATCACCGATCCATGCCAATCCTGAGGATTTGTATGAGGATTGGGATTGGCATTTAGGGCTGAGCTATCTCGTCATACCAGTACCTTGCATGGAACTCGCTCGTTTGTTCCCTTCATACTCGCCCCTGATTTATGAACTCCGACGATGGTTGTCAGTGAATGATCAAAGATGGTTGCCGCACAGCGATTGTATCGCGCAGTAGACTTAAGAAGTCGTGAGGGGATCCACCAGTGGCACAGAGCGATCGGGACGCTTGGTGAGCGCACGTGGCTCACGTGGCGATCGCACGCTACTCGCCATGATCACTCGCTCCCACATGTTGGTGCTCGGATCAGATTACCAGATCGAACTGCTTCGGCTCTGAACGTTACGTACTCCCACATGTCAGTGAGGCGCCGTTGTGCAGGCAACACAAGCATCAGGATCACTTTCTTCTTGCCCTAGGTCTCTCTAGAACGCCAGGAGGAAGTATGATCATCCTCCGGAAAACGGAATGAAAGGATCAACAAGATTCGCCGGGAGCTGTTGAGATTTGCTTAAAAGTGCTTGGTTCTGGGAAGCTGTCAGTGCGGCGCGCGCTACTTTGATGGGCCAATTGATGGGTTGTTAGGTATATGGACGAAGGATGGGCGACGGATGAGATGAGGGAAAGGATTGGATGACGGAAAGGGCTGTGGGGTCGACCAATCCGGAAACCTCAAGGGACAATTTGAGTTTCCAACGTTTAACAGCTTTACTGGACCATCTCCGTACAGATGCGTTGAAATGCAGCCGTAGCAGAGTGGGATGTTGTTTGGAAACCCTCCGACATTGGTCCTGGCATCCTTGATGCACGGTCAGGGTGACAACGTGCACCAAACGTGCACCTCCGATGCCACGTTCCAATGCACGCCTCGCACGTTCCAGCATCAAGGAGTGCCTAGCGTGGATTGCACTATTTGCTCGATTCCCTCGGTCTGTGTCGTCCTTGCATCGCACTCGCGCATCGCGTCTACCCGGACGAAGGTCTTTCAACGGAGCCACATCAAGAGAACCCAAGAATTTGATGACTGCGGTCTTTCGAGACCCCAGGCCAAGGCGATTCGTGCCACACGAATGTAGAGAACCAAGGGCACGAACGCCAGCCGAGATGGTTGGGATTCAAGAGGTGGGTGAACGCGTTGCTCTGGCCAGTGCTGCTGGCGATAGCCTTGCTGTTCAATGTGAAACAAGTTGAGCCGAAGCGTACTTCCTGCGAAGAGACTCTTGTCTGGCCCATGACTTTCAGCGCCCGGCAATAGCCCACCAGTTGTCCTTTTCGTAACCCGAATCGAGGACCGTACCGCCTGCTGACCGGACGTTGTCTTCCAGCTCGCCTTTCCGGTAAAGGTGATAGTATCGGTGGAACGTCTTATCCTCAGGTGGGGCGGTCTCGCCTTTGGTCTTCTTCCCACGCATTACCCAAGGCACCATTACGTCTTGGTCGTCACCTTCGTTCCATCCTCGCCGACTGCTGCCCTGTTCCAATGCCCAGACATATACCAAGGCTTGGCCGCCTGACTTCAACGTTTCAAGAATGGATTTCACGGCTTCAATTCGCCTCTCCGTTGTGGAAAGATGGTGAACGACTGCGATAGAAATTGCGAAATCAAATCCGGAATTCTGGTGGGGCAGATCAAGGATATCGGCCACAGCAACGGCGTGTGGCTGATGCTGAGAGGCGATGGAGACGAGATTATGGGAACTGACTTACCCACATCAGCCGACTGAGATGCTTATTGTCGTCTTGCTATGTGGTGGGTACGCACCGGTCCGAACCCACGATGAAGACATCGGAATTTACGGCGAGATATTTGCCATTGCCGCAGCCCACATCGAGTCCTACAGAGCCAGCGGGCAGGTCTTTGATGAAGCGCTCTATGATCGGCCAAGGCTATGGTCTTTGTTAGTGCCTGTTCTGCGCAAGCGCTGGTAAGGTGCGTACTTTGTAGCGAGTCGAGGAGAAGTGGGAGGCAATCTCCTCGTAGACGGTGTGTACATGCTCACTTTCGTAGCTCTCGCCACGTCTTTCTGTGCCCTCTCCTTTTGACTCCATTGTAGACTTTTGTGAGATGAGAGAGGGAAGGAAGAGGATGGATTTCTGATGATGAAGCCCGGGATTCTTTAGCGGGCAAATGCTGACTCACCATAACCCTACCCYAACCCTAAGCAGCACATGCCCTTCCCCTCGCTCGCATTCGCGCATTCACGCCCTCCCATCCCTCGACATCAACAATCCATCAATCGGTCAACTCAAACTGCACTGAGCCATCTCCACTGACCCACAATTACATGACCATCCGCTCGGCTTTGTTTTCCAGCTTCAGACCATGTTTCTATCTTTTGTGTCTATGCTGAAATGGACAAGACTTCCTCACGGCGGACAAGGTGGACAAGGACATCAATGGCCGCATTCGGTCACCTTTGAGGACAAGTACTGTGCCCATATCGAAATCGGGCTGTCGTCTCACATCTTTCCTATTTCCTTGACCTCGTCATTTCCAAAAGCATCTTGCCAATCCCGTGGAAAAGCGACAACAGCAACACACGCCCGTTGTTGCTTCTTCTCTTCTACTCATTTGACAACTCATAGAGTCTCGGGTCTTTGAGACGACCAGCAGATACCTGCTGTACGTTTCTGAGCTCATTGTCCTGATTAATCAAAGATCCACCACCGACGACGCCACTTCCGTGACAAACGCACAGCAACAATGTCGTTTAATGGCATGAATTTGGAAGAGTACTTCAACTTGTCCCAGGTACAGCGGGATGCGATCGAACAAAGGTACCGTAGCAGATCACGGGCAGCTGTGGGTTCGAGTCCATCCGGCGTTTTCAAACCATGGAGGAGAAACGACGACCAAGCATTGGCCGAAGCACGAGGTCTCGTCAAGCGCCTCGAAGCCCAGAAATCCGCTGCCAAACAAGCGGAGCAACTGGCGTTGGTCAGAGGAGAAGCAAAGCGCAAAGAAGCTGAGCGGAAAGCAGCAGAAAATGCAGGAGCGGCAGCCACCAATGACGCAAAGATGGCGGAGGGCAATGCGAGAATTGCTAGAAATTCCGAAGCTGCGAGGCGAGCGTATGCTCAGAAACCGCTACGGAAAATGAACGGCATGAGGAACAATGTCCGAGTCATCCCAGATCGTGTTGCTATCGGTCGAATTGGAAAGGAGTTTCCGTTCACCAAGATGCAATTTCCTAGAGGCTTCCCAGGTGGTCAAAATCGTTGCTACCGGAATTCAATCTTAGTAAGTTTCTGTGAACATTGTGACTCGGCTTTGATACTCATCAATTTTCCAGCAATGTGTCTTTCATACTCCCGAGTTCTATCATCTCATGGGTAACATTCATAAAGATTGTCCATATGAGACTCGTGAGTGCCTGACTTGCGCTCTTCAGTACATGCTCACGACATATTGGAACGGAACAGGATATCCAGTAGAACTCGTGACCCGCAGTGATGAGCTCTTCGAGGCGATCAAGATTAATTTCACCTACAAAGGAGACTTGGACATCATTAACGGGTTACAAGCCGATCCATTCGACCTCATAACTAGTTTCGTCCGTTACATTGAGCGAGATATCACTGGATCCGATCCAAACACCCCGCTTGACCTTCCCATACGAGACGCCGAGGTCAACTCGAACAATTTCACTGTTCCAAGTGTATTCGATGTCGACTACATTGAGAGCTGGACATGTGTAGATTGCAATGAGCACCATCCGGCCCCCGCCGTGAGCGCATTCGGGCTTGACATCAATGTTTTGGAAGTGCAAGAGGTCCGCAGGATAGAGGATTATCTCGAAGATTACGAAATGAGTCCATTCTACAGCCGTCAACCTTATCGTTGCGACAGCGAGGCCTGCCGTGTACGAGCCCTCCAGCATGGATACGTTGCCCCAGACCAGCTGAGGAGAAAGCTTATAGTAAACGCCCCAGAGATACTCGTAGTCCGGCTGAACCGTGTCAAAGACGAGGATGAAGTGAATAGTCAACGCATCGTATATCAGGAGCAGCTCGATCTTACGAGATACTCAGCATCGGGAAACGACATCAGATACAAACTCAGGGGAATCGTGGACCACATCGGAAGCACTCAAAATGGTCACTACACTGCGGCAGTTTTGTGCAGGCCTTTGACATTCCTACCGGAGCAGGGATCTCGGTATTGCAGAGTCAACGAAACGTCTTTGGGGCCGCTAATGTCCGATGCGAGGGATCTTTTGAACCCGGAGGATAGAGATGTTTACGTTTTGGTATATAGCAAAGTGCCGTAGTGCATCTGATCAGTGTATATACATCTGTCCGAGATTCTTTCACCCCCTTAATTTAGTCTTCTGCTCGCTGTTTCCTTTCTCATGGGGTCCAGATACATCGCGAGACCTTTGCAAGAAGACTTCAGTTTCCTGCTTTCTCGCGACGTCAATATTTACATTCACTTTGTTGACGGATACAGCGAGTCTCTCATGCACTTCATATCCTGCGAAAGATCTTCCGCTTATGTGTATCCTCGATTCGTACGTCAAAAGCTCCCGCACTCTCATTGTCTTTCACTGCCTCCGCGCATTGGGTTTGACTTGAGAAAGGCTGGGCTTCAACGGAAGTGTTCCTTGATGCGTTGAGGGGGAGGGAATAGTCGACCAAAGGCCGCAGAGCAATTAATCGTACCCAAGAAAACAGAACATCCAGTACTGAAGAACGGAATCCGAGCAGCTGATCTACACACCTCGAGCCACACTTCTCAGGAGAACCGTACTTTGACAGACCAGTTGTTCGACATCATGAATCCTGCCAAGACATTGCGTTTCATAAAAGTACATCCGGCCAGCGTAGGGTATAGAAAGCAGCGCTGGCTTATGCTCGTTGTCAAAATTCCTCCTGCTCGCGGAAAAACATGGTGAAGCTGATGATGGTTCCGTAAATCAAAAGTCCTCCCACGATACTCATCGCCATGGCCGGGGTTTGGATCAAATCGCAATGCGCGAGAACAACGGGCAATGCTGGAAAATCATATCAGAATGCCAGCTCTCTCTCTCATAACGGGTCTGTACGCATCTCACCAATTCCCATAACCACCAGAAATCCGGTGATGAACTTTCCCAGCTCTACGATGCTGTTGCTGCCGCTGTCCATGAAATCATCGCTATTCTGCGCCTTGCCACATAGCCAGTTGGGGATCGGCGCGAAGACATATGTTGCCACTACGAGTAGTGGGAGGTAGTTTGCGAAGAGCGCCGAGGAGAGGATGACGAGTAGGAAGCCGATTGCGAGCACCTGTTTGGGATCTTATCAGCTTGCTGGAGGGTGTCAAATATCATCGCGGTATCTCCGTACAAAGGACAACGATATGATCGTTTTGATTCCAGCCATGATGGGAGTTGTGCGGTTGGTCCGGCCTAATGCTGAGTAGAAGTGACGCCTGATGGACGATGGAGTTGGAAGCTACCTGTGGAAGCTTAGCGCGGCGGCTCGTCGCGCACGGCCGTCGCCAGATGTCACCTGAAAGAAGAAGGAGCTGGCAATGACCAACAACTTCATCGCGACATCGGCACTCCGTCCTCGTTTCAGCAACAACATTGACTAGTCGAACACAATCACACGAAACGCCACGACACCCTGCACACCAACGGTACCATGGAGGACCTCGAGCCAGCCGCTGGATCACCTACATTGGACAACGGCAACGAGCCGCAGGGCAACAACGACGCCGGCGACACGCTCCGCCCTGACGCGGAAGAGGAAGATCACGCTGGCACACCACCCATGGCGGACCCAATGGCGGATATGGAGACGCGCGCAGACGATGAGGCGCCCGCTGCAGAGGGCGAAGCGGATGCAGATGTGGACATGAACGTGGATGGCGCGGCGCAGCGGGACGACGACGATGATGATTTGGAGTCTGATCTGGAGGAATTGGATGAGCAGCAGTTTGAGGACTTTGATGCTTCCGCACTCAACATTCCCGACAAGCCGCTACAGGTTGACGAGTCGAATGTCGGCCTATTGGGTGTGCACAAGCGGAAGCGGACGGCCGAGGAAGAGGCCGAGCGCGAGCGGAAAAAGAAGAAGAAGGCCAACAGACGCGAGAAGCCGAAAAGGAGCAAGCGTGGGGAAGACGAGGATGACTTTGAGGGCGGCGTGGAAATGGATGGGAAGCGCATGCGGAAGAGCAAGGGTGGTGAGAGCCGTGCAGGAAAGAGTGGTGGAGTGCGGAGAGCGCGGACACCAGAAGACGAGAGCATGCTCTCTCCTGAAGAGCGTAAGTTGAGACCGAGCTGTATGGGAACGGTCCAGCCACTAATGATGATGTTCTAGGCCGCCGTCGTGCACTCGACCGCAAGATGGACGAGGCGCTCAAGTCGCACCGCATCTCTCGCCGCAAGGCCACCCAGGACATGGAAGAGCGAGCTGACCAGGAGCTGGCTTCCATGCGCGAGCGCATCGGCAAAGCGTGTGAGGCAGACGCTGTGGCCCGCGCTTCTGGCGGCGTGGCCACTCAGAAACTCAAGATCCTACCCGCACTCGTGGAGCTCCTCAACCGCAACACCATCCAAACCCAGATTGTCGATCCCGATGTGAACATCCTTGAGGGTGTCCGCTGGATGCTGGAACCTGCAGATCAGGATGCAGCTCTGCCAAACTACCAGATTCAACGCGAGCTGTTCTCCATCCTAGCCCGGCTGAACATTGGCCGAGAAGCACTGAAAGCCTCTCAGCTAGGCAAGGTCGTTCTGTTCTACACCAAGTCCATCCAGCCACAGCCCGCCATCAAGCAGATTGCACAACGACTTGTGGCGGAATGGATGCGGATCATTTTGAACAAGAACAAGAACCGGAAGCACATGCATGTGGAGACGAGGACGTATGATCCAACGCTCGCCGCACAAAGCCAACGAACTGCTGGTGCAAGTCAGGTGGACAAGCATGCACAGGCCGCGGAGAAGCGACGCAAGGTCTTGGCCGCGCCTGCTCCGACAAACCGTGCGAGACCGGAGGGAGGTGTCGGCATGTACACTATTGCGCCTGTGAACAACATGAGCAATGGCATGGGTGTGAACAGTCGGACCCTTGGAACGGGTGGCACAGACGCCTTCAAGCGGATCGCAGCGAGGAGTACCGGAGCAAAGAAGCGGTAGTGCTCTGGCAGACGATTGGTCCTGAGAAACCTGCGTCTTGGTTGAGATTGGCTGCGAATGGTCCTTCATTTAGGAGTGAAGCAGGAGTTAGCATTGCGAACGTGTACCAGTATTGTAGCCTCGAGTAGTAGACACTCATTTTCAATACAGAGTGTTGAACCCATCCCCCTCCCGGATGCTACCTGGCGACCTTGGCCCGTTGACTTTGAAGACCTTCTTTGCTGGACTCCAACCTTCAATCGTGATCCGGCATCGGACAGCGGCCGGTAGAAGTCCTTGCCTCCATGCACACGCGATCGACATGGCGGATATGCAAGTACTGTAGGATCACAAGTACTGTAGGATCAGGTGCTCGCTACCGGTGCAAAGACCACAATCGTCTGCGTGAGGTCTGAGTGCTCGAGAGCAGGTCAATGCCCATTGTATGCCTCCCCACTCGCTGCACCTCCACGTCCATAACCGACTGTCACATATCAAAGGATGATTTCCGCGACAGGAGCTTGGGAGAGCACGTCGTTGCCAAGTCCATGAACGGTCCACCTGGCGGAACACCACCCTCCTCATCCTCCTTCTCCTCCTCCATCCCATCGACACGATTCACGACAAATACCCGCAAAGCCGTCAAACATCACCACCATGGCAAGCAATGACATCACGGCCCTGTCGCCTACTTATAAAAGAACTCTCAAATCCTGTCATCTTAATCAGCGGGCAAAGACCCTTAATACCTCGATGATCTCTTGGACGCTGCCTTAATAGCAWACTGGGTAGTGCTGGTTTCTAGTATCAGGTTTGTCAGCTCGAACATGTACAGTGTTCGAGCCCAGGCCAGATGAAGGTCCTGATATTCTTTTGCCATTTCGGCTGAATGTATTTCTCTTGTTATTTTTGGCGATATGTGGAAGGAGGATGGGGTGAGGGTTCGAGCCACTCTTTTGATGTTTGTGGACACACGGAGGGAGGGCTCGCGACTTTCTTCTGCTGAGATGGCCTGGCTATCTATCTGGACACAGAACGGAGGATGCTTCACTTTGAACATCCGCACATGCCGAAGCTCTCCGCCGACAACCTCTTCATGCATGCATGTCCCGACGCACCACCCAAAATTTACGGAGTGTCTGGTAGGAGCCCTCACCAAAATCGGACGCATCCATCGGGGCAGGGCATCTCCGTCAAAGAACAGCACGGGCACGCTCCAGAGACTTCCACCACCGTCAATCATCCCGCTCTCCAAGCCAACCCGCCCAAGTGAAATGGACCGGCTCAAGGCCTGTGAATCAGCTATTCGGCCGGCATTCTTGCAACTTCCAGCCAGCACTCGCACTCGATGCCATCTTCTTCTTCTTCTCCTCCTCCTCCTTCTTCTTCCTCTTCTTCTTCCATCACTCATCCCTCTTCCCGAGCTCGCACAACAACCACTTCTGCCGCTCTTCTCTTCATTCTCCGTCCGCGGCCACAAACATCTGAGAACAACCAAGTTGTCCAGCTGCCGATAGCCTCCTTGACAGCCTCATCAATGGCATCGCAGCACCATTTCACCGATCGTCTCCGCGCTCGGCTCAACGACAGTAATGCACAGAACCTTGAGCTGCAGGCGCTGTTGGCGCAGAGAGATGATGCTCTTGCGGCTTGCAACGCACGTCTACAGACCGCCATCTCCACGTCAACCATGCCGGGCGATCCTCATCCCCTCCTCCAAAACGAGCTCCGCATAGCCAAGGAGGCTGCCTCCGCCGCGGAGAATCAACTGAGCCAGACATGCGTCATCTACAACAAGGAGCAGCTCGAGTGGAAGCAAAGTGTTGAGAAGCTGCAGCAGGAGGTGGCGGTGCGGGACGCGGTGCTTAGCGATGCCAATTACTGCCTTGCGAAGGAAGTCAAACGCACTGCCACCGTCGAAGCGTTGGAGGCTGAATTGACTAAATCTCAAGCTGAGCTGAAGAGGATCAAACAGTACGCGGCGGGAATACAAAAGCAGTTTGAGGCGGAGAAGAAGGAGAATTCCAAGTTGAGGCAGTTTCCTGCTACTGCAGCCGGCAAAAATCGCACGGATGTAGACCAGGATGATGAAGAGGTGATCGATGAGTAGGTTTCTAGCATCTACCATTTCGATCCAAAAGCTGACTATGGCAGAGCGACACGCGTGAAGCAGGAGAGAATCGGGGCCAATCGCCGCCCGCAAACTTCCAGCGCTCAAGCAGCGGAGCGAACGTCCTACCGACATTCCTCTACTTGGTCGCACGCATCTGATGCTCCCAGTCTGCCGTATCATCCTCTTCGAAAACACATGACCGAGCCACGCCATTCAGAGACTTCGCGCCAGCCTAGACTTCGCACCAAGCAACGCAAGCGCAAGCGATTCGATCTCGAGGACGAAGATGGCGACTATGATGATCTGGAAATCGACATGGATGACTCCGGCGGCCGATTAGCGCGCAAGCAATCCAAGACTCTCGTGAGAGATAGGGAGATCGAGCACGTGAAGCAAACCTGCGACTTCAAGGCCATCCTCATGTACGACGAAGATGGTGATAAGATGTACCTCGATTCCAAGAAAGATCTTTCCGATGTCTGCCCCGAGCTATGGGAACGGATTCAAAATCAGCACGAGGCCTGGGAGCAGGCTTGTGGCGAGGAATGGCGTTACGACCTCGAGAGCAAATACACGGTCTCTGCTCTGGCCAAGTACGGAGCTAAACCGCCTTGCGTCACTACGAAGTTGCTGAAAATCAGCAATGGAAAGGTGATTTGGCGGGAGGGATGTGAGGGCAAGTACGCTTGCCGTGGCTGCGTGCAGGAGAAGAGGCCATGCTTTACCTGGGATGGCGAGGAGCTATACTTGCTACCACTGCACAAGGACGACAGAACATATCCGGAGGAGGCCGGCTTCGAGATCCGGACTTGGTTAGACATTCAGTAGTGGCGACACTTCGACGGAAGCGAGATTGTAGCAGGTCTTGAGGTGAGTGAAAGTCGCGGAGTCCAGGATTCTAAGAGGATGGAGCCTCGTTGCGCGCATGGCTTGTATATGCTTTCGAGGCTAAGTTGGCTCGATCYATGTTTTGGGCGCCGCAACAGATCATCGTCCAGGACGCTGTTTGCCCTTCATGTCACGATTGCTTTTGCTTAACATTATACTCCATTTCCACAGTCCCTGATTGTCTGTTTTTCTAAGATATATCTCGTGACGTGCTTACGCACATTCATTCGCATTCACGCCATGCATCTACTGTCTGGTGACCGCCTTGTGGTTCATGGTTTCAAAAAGCTTTTTTTGGACCACGTTCTGCGTTCCCTTTCCATTCACATACTTTTTCCAGCCCCACTTTTATTCATGATTTTTTTCCAATTGCTGCGCCCCGAACTTCTTACAGTCCTCATCCACCTCCGCACAACCAATTCTCACTAAACCACAATCTCTACTACCTCTCCAACTTCAACCAACTCAACATTCAGCATACCAACACACTCAATCATGGCGAACACGACACATGTAGAGGTTGCCAAGAAGCTCCTGGTGAATGCAAACGCGCGCATATTCGACCTCGAGTGCCGCCTTGCCGAGCAAGAAAATGTCGCGGACGATCTCAAGAATGAGCTGAGCCAGCTGAAGAGAACAGCACCTCAGCAGAAGAAGCAGAAGCGCAAGCACAGCGCCTTGGAGTCCGAGCATGAGAGTGTCACCGATGATCCCTTCTCCGACTATAACGAACTCTCCCCAGGCGCGCACCATTCCGGTCTCTCCGAGAGATATCACGAAACCCGCGCGAAGAGACCAAGACACTCCTCCAACATCGAGCGGTCTCTACGCCAACAACTAGCCCACTCTGAGCTTCAACTCTCGTGGCAGATCGAAGAGACGAATATTGCAAAGAGACGTCTACACCTTGCCTTGACTGCTCCTCCCGCAACAACATCCGAGACATCCGCTGGAAGCCCACCACAGAGCCCACAGTACGATTCCTCCGCCACGCTCTCGTCAGAGCGCTATACTCCCTTCTCGCCCACGGGTCATGGTCCACGCAGCATGTCCCCGGAGTTCTATCCCACATCTCCGCCATACGGCACCCAATCCCCAGACTACGACGCGGAGAACGGTGCACGCAGCATGACGCCATGGTTTTCTCCTACCTCTCCGCCATACGGCACTCAATCTCCAGAATACGACGCCGACAACGGTTCGCGCAGCATGTCCCCGGAGTTCTTTCCCACMTCTCCACCATACGGCGTCCAATCCCCAGAATACGACGCCGACAACGATTCACGCAGCATGACCCCGGAGTTCTCTCCCACCTCTCCGCCATATGGCTCGCTATCACCAGACTACGACGCCGAGAACGGTGCACGCAGCCCGACTCCAGAATTCTCTCCCACCTCCCCACCATACGGCACTCAATCCCCAGAATAYGACGCCGAGAACGGTGCACGCAGCATGACCCCGGAGTTCTCTCCCACCTCTCCGCCCTATGGCTCGCTATCACCAGACTACGACGCGTAAGACGCCCTGGTCCTCACTACACAAAGACGGCCAAATTCGCCGCACACGCCATCATACTCGCCCGCAGAAGACGGCAGCCTCGCCGTCTGATAGGCCAGCCTGCCCACAGAACAACCCTGACAATTGGAGTTATACACCTTTATCGCCTCTTCAAGCTGCTCTACATGGCAATATCGAGGATATATACAACCAGATCTCAACGCAGTATTGCCCGAGCTGGTTACAGTATGATTCGCTCTCGCCACAAAATCGTCCGTACTCGCCAAGATGCCTCGAGCCAGACTCTCCAGGGTACCGTCCCATGAGTCTGGGAATGGCTCCTGGAAGCCCGTCTTAGTTGTCTGGCGGTCTGGACTACGAAGGAGAGGGCGCTGTGGGAGATGGCGAGGGTCACGCAGGCAGATTCGATTCTGAAGACTTTTGGGTGATTTTTGGACGAGCAATACAAATGTTTTTGTTCACGCAGCAGATCTTACGCAGCCTTGTGGCATGGCCATGACAACTCGACGTCTCCGGATTCTCGAGCGTCGACCATGCTGGCGCGGAGGATTGCAATAGCATGATGGGCATACGGCGTACAGAGAGAGTTTTTGCATGGGTCTCATTAGCATCTTTGTCATTAGCAGTAGTTATAGGTTCTTCAAATTATAAWGTTCATTATCATAACAGCAGGGTCCAGGCTCCTCGTTGAGCGACACGAAGTCTACAACTTCTAAAGTAATTCCAAACACGTTTATCTGACGGCCATTTCCATCTCTCAATTCATCCCACTCATCTTGACATCGCGTGCCTGAAAGGCAGCTTTGATAGCAGTCGGAAGCTGCTGCATGGTCTGCTCTCCTTCGTTCCGCACTTGCTGAGCATCATCGGCTTTTCCGCATCGCACAAGGGTATCAGCATACATGCGGTCCGCTACAGCAGTCCAGAGCTTATCTTTAGACTTTTTCGCGAGAGATCGGCCAGCCTTTGCTGACTTTTCCGCCTGTTCGCCGACAATGTTGGTGAAGAACAAGTTGGTCATGATATTCATCACGACGCAGAGAAGTTGGTTGTTGAGTGTGATCTTGGCTCCGTGGACTGCGGATTGCAGGTATTGCTTCGTCTTGATGATCATGCCGTCTACGGATATCTGTTGTGATGATGTCGCTTTGAGGATGTTGAAGGCTGCCTCCATGGCTTTGCTGCCGTACTCGTTCCCGTTGCTATTGGTATGAGTCGTGCAATGTGGCTCGAGTTGAGCAAGCAGTCGGTCCGCTGCCTCGGCGGTCTCTCGCGACGTACGCATCACGAGAATGCTGTTGAGGCCTGCAAGTACCTTGAGTGAGTTCACATTACTGGTGGGTGATCTCCAATCGACCGCCGAGTCGAAAGACAGTTCAGGAGCGCGATACAGCTGGAGAGCAGTGGCGAGCTCTCCCAAACCATGCTTGCACACTGCTTCCAGATAGGTAAGGAGAGTTGTAGTCGCCTCATCCGGTGTCGTTCCCCAGTTGGCAATGTCCCTTCGGATGGCGGCAATGCCGTWCAACCCACTGTCCCATGCTGATCGCCCGCAAAAGGCAAAGACAAGGTATAGCCGCATGGTGATCAGCATCGATGACTGCTGACTCGCCTGCGTAGAAGCAGATATCACAGATTGCCGCGTCGGTGGGGTTGACTGCTTGCTCAGCTTCACACCTTCGCTGAGGAACTGCTCAGCCTTGAGTTCATTTGTCGCATTGTGGTGCATGGCGGCGAGACCGCTCAAAAGGAAACCCGTGGCATAGACCTGTGTCTGATTCAACCACGTAAAGTTGAGAGCACATTCTCCATTACCTAGCACTCTAAATATGCCGTATGAATCTGCCTCGATGTCGGGCGACGCTTGCCCCAGTGGCATACTCCAGTTGTGCTCATTCCTCCAAGCTGCGTCACGCGATGCCGTGTCGAGATTGCTATGCATCACCTGCATTTTGGCAGCCGCCTGCTCAGGATGAACTTGCCCCAGGCTACAAGCAAGATTCAGACAATCTAGCAGCGCTCTGATCTGAGGAAGCTTATTCATCTCCGGTGATAGTTGGTGTGTCCTTGCAGCAGCGAGATCCCTCTGTGCCAAGTCGACGCTGTCTGGCGACCGCGATCGTAGGTTGATGATGGCCGACAGAGTAGACGCCACGATCTGCACTGAAATGTTGTGGTGACGAGTGGCGGTATCGGTTACCGCGCTGAGATGCTTCGCCAGAATCGCAGTCTCGCCGGGGCTGCTTGGAACCTGCAAGCCGAATGACACTCGCAAGAAGCGAAAGGCATACACCCAATGGGTTGAATTCAGCTTTTCTGCTTCCACCACGAGTTTTTCAACAGCCTTCATGGCGGCTTTCGTCTTGCCGCCCTTGAACCATACTCTGGCAAGCAGATGCTGCATGGCGTACTTGAGATCGGGCAGGCGGAACCGCTCGCAAGAAGTGATACCCTTGCTGAGGCATTCTTCTGCCTCGAGATCGTTGTCAGTCTCCTCAAAAAACAGGCTTGCCAATCTCAGCCGTACGCGAGCTTCCCTCCGAGCGTCAGATATGCGATAGTGCTTGAGAACAGTTTCCAGACAAGCCATTCCAGTCGCGAGAAGACTGTGATAAAGATCGAGTTGTTCTTCGTCAACTTCGGCAGTCGACAAAGCCGCACTCATACTGTATGCTGCACTGATGTACTCATCCGAAAGACCTAGCAAAGCGGCTTGATTGTCGATGGTATTCAGATTCGCAGACGTGGGTGGAATTTGAGACGACGCTAACTCGGTGAGTGGTGAAGATACCGGCAAAGCTGCCTTTGGCCGCTGCACACTCGCTGGCCGGGATGGTTGCGGTCTYGCTACGGATGGATGGTCAACAGGAACAACATGACCCTCGTTGGATCTCCTTCGCTTCGGAGTTGGCGCCATTGAATATTCGTCCGTTCTTTGAGGCACCCTTTGTGGTGGAATCTGGACCTGGGCTACTCTACGCTGCACGTCATGTGGGTTCACGGTAGCAGCATGCAAAGACAGTTGCTRCGGGCGTTGACGGTGGTCTTGCGGTGCGGGCCTTGATGCTCCCGACGATGCCGGCCTTGGCTGGGATGGAGTACGTTGTGGTTGGCGCTGCGCTTGCTGCTGGGCCGGAAGACGAGAGTTGTTCACCATGGATGCTGCGTTAGTATGCGTTGCTGCGAACTGCGGCCAGTCCGAGTTGGGCAAGGGTTGCCTAGCAAGCTGCGGATGTAAGTTCTGGGGTACATGAGCAGATGGCCGGCGTTGCTGTGGCTGCTGCTGTTGATATCCTTGGTGCAGCTGCGGAGCTTGCCGGTGCGATTGTGGTGGGTTTTGCCAGTTTTGCAAAGGATCCGGGGAATACTGAACTGATGGAGGGAAGCGGTTTTGAGGTGTCGACGGCGATTGATACGGCTGTTGCTGGTATTGGACTGGCGGCGATGGAGATTGATAGAACGTCGGCTGATTTTGGTCGTATGGTGTGGAGTATTGCACATTGGACTGCAAGTATCCGTTTTGACTTTGATGCTGATGCTGATGCTGCTGCTGTTGCTGCCCGGCTACCGGTTGATTTCTTGTATACGGCGGTTGCTGCCCATTCTGCTGTTGCTGGTACAGGTGGGGTGGCAAGGCATAATTATTACCTTGCGGCGGGTAGTAATTATCCCATCCATAAGGCATGTTGTTAATGGTAAGCACGAACCATTTGGCCCCGTTCCTGCCTCGCCGCTCTTCGCGTGAAGTCGTACTTGAGAGCAGTCGCGCGGCCGCTGACCGTGCACGCGTTCTACAATTAGCGTCGAACTTTCAGCGGGTAGCCCACAAAAACTTCTACTGTAGCGGTCGTCTCCAGCCCGCAGACAATCCTTCGATCAGCAAGGAAAATATCGCAGCCATGGGACCCCCAGGAAAATCAGGCGGTGCAAAGGCGTCAAACAAGAAGCCATCCTCAAAATCCGGGTCGAAGCCCGGCGGCGTATCGAAATCAGGTCCTCCATCAAAATCGAAGAAGCCCAGCGGTCCCAAGCCCACACCCGTCCAGCACAAGCCCAAAACTTCGGATGGCAAGAAGAAGAAACCACCACACATGCGGTATACAGAGAAGGAGCTCAAGGTCCCCAAACTGAATGGAATTGTTCCTGCTGGCGTGTCGAAGCCACCAAATGCCAAAAAGGGCAAAAATTTCGTCGACGACAAGGAAAGCATGAACATGATCCTTGCCATGGTCATGGCGGAGAAGGAGGGTAATATCGAGAGCAAGATGATGCGTGCCCGACAGATGGAAGAGGTGCGTGAGGCACGGAGGATTGAGGCAGAGAAGCGGACGCAGAGTAAGAAGGAGAGCCTGGAGGACAGGAAGCAGAACATCAAAGATGACAGCAAGAAGCGGAGGAGATCAGACAGCGAAGTGAAGAAGCCAAAAGAGGATCCACAAGACGGAGGTGCCTCGAAAAAGGCGAAATTGCGGAAGCGTGTCAGTTTCGGATGAGGCGTGTTGCCGTCTGATCTAGTAGTCCGCATTTTGTCTGTCTAGAGGACGCTGGAGACCCATCTCCTCGATTTTTATCTATCCGGACGCTACGAAGTGTCATGGATGGACACCTCCGCCGACGTTCTACATTTTATCTATCGACAGGACGCTGGAGACGCATCCCCTCATGTTTCAACGCTCGGACGATACGCTCTCCTCCGCATCGGATCTATCTTGAACGGCGACTCGAGCCCCCCGTGGAAAGTCTTTGTCTCAACAGGCGCTTCAACCTGACTGAAATCGACATCACGTGCCATGGCATTCAGGAACCCAGCAGCCTACGACCAATCAGCCAGATAACATACGGTGGACGACATATGGACTCTTCTTACCGGTTTGACATTCCATCTACCACCACCCAATTCGAACCAGCCCAGGTGTCCGCCGCCGCTGGTGGTGCAAGCTACGACGTACGGGGTCTGTTTGAACTCCTCGTACGGCACTGCTTCGTTAAAAGCGATGGGATCGTCTGCAGCATGGATCACCAGCATGGGAATGCGGACGTTCAATACGCTGTCAGCACTGCTGGCATCTCTATAATATTGCCCCTCTGTAGCATAACCCCAGGTCCTGCACTGGACGTAACGGTCGAAATCCTGCAGATATTTGAGTCCATGTATACCCTCCCAAGTGATCAACTTGTTCTTTGTGACCTGTTCGTGGTGCGTCTCAAACAGAGCGAGCATGTGTTTGCCCATGGTCTTACTGTAGATCTCACGGCCAATCCAGGTGCGCTGCAGGGCGGTGTTGCTGACTTCGAGCTTCCATGGGCTACTCACAACCACAGCTGCGGACAAAAGGCAGTCAGAACCTTCCTCGCCAATGTACTAGATAAACAACAAGGTCTCAGCAGATAGAACTTGTTTAGATTGTATCGGGTTTTCAACATTACGAACGTTGGTTATGATGTTAGCACCAAGGCTGAACCCAATTCCGAACAGAGGCCTGTTCGGCCAGGTCTTCCTCGCCCACTTCACTGTCTGCCGTATATCCCAGGTGRCCCGAGCGTTGTACAGGATGCTGGTCGTGATCTTTGAGCCTGCACACCCACGGCTGTTGACCACGAGTGCTTCCCATTCGCCACCCGAGATACCACCAGCCTTCTCGCCTTCTGGAGTCTCTTTGACGAGAGGCTCAAGAACATGTCTGAGATACGTCTCGTAAGATCCGCCGCTCAGGCCATGAAGAGTGATTAATAGTGGCTTCGTATCTTCGGATGGTAGAGCCTCAAACTCCTTATCGGTGAAGTAGGTCGTCCGAGGCGGAAGGGAATGGTGGCCAACACCCACGGGGTCCTCTCTCAGGCCTTGATCTTCGGGGCCACCGTCTACCTCGGATTTTCCAGCCGATGGAGGAGTTGCCGTCACGAAATCGACGGTAAAGTGGCCTGCAAAATCCTCGTCCTCGGATTCGAATACTCGACGCTTGTAGTGGATTGGCRGGCCTTCGTACTTCAATGACGTCCACACAGTCTGCATGTGCCCGCCCGAGACGAAAGGATTGAGATTGCAAGGTGGGATTACGTCTTTGCACATCTCAGGCAGAGYACGCTTCGGTCCATTCTTGGTCTGGAGGGTTAGTGGGTTTTCCGAGTGGGTGTATGTAATGGAACACGATCCAGGATACCATGAGAAGGCCATTATGGTGAGAAGACAGGTGGATATATGTGAAAACTACGGCCGGACCAAAATGTGCAGGACGAGATTAGTAGGATGTCAGTGCTGCAACAAGGTCTCAACCTCGGTGTTGGGTAGTGCGTGTGAGAGAAACATGTGACAGGCAGCAGAGGGAAAGGAGGGAGAAGCTTTTCTAATTGTGCCATTGAAAGCCCCGATCGGAAGTAGTGAAGTGAAGCCGCAATAGATCGGCGCCATCGTCACCGAGCTTTGGAGAGGTCCAAGAAACACCTTGGACGGGTCCCTGGCCAAGCTCACGCGACAACCATCTTTGGCCACTTCACAATCGAACTAACAGACACCCGCCACGACGTCCACAATGTCTGGCGATCGACTCTTCCGCCTACAATTCCCAAGACCAGAATGGCTGAACAGCGCAACCACTCGCAGCGCAGGCATCTACCTATCCGGGGCACTAGTATGGCATAACTTCTCACTGCGGCGCAAACACCACAACTAACCCCGGCGCAGTTCAGCATAGCCCTCTTCATCCTCATCGATTCAGCCGTATACAGTAATTCACGGCTGAATGGCGCCGACCTACATATGAACTTCGTCGATTGGATCCCAGGCATCTGCTCCTTCGTAGGGATGATCATAATCAACAGCATCGACAAGAGCCGGCTGACGGGCGACTCGTTCGCGTATTCTGGGGACGGTGTTGCTTGGAAGGCGAGGGTCATTTTGTTCCTGGGCTTTGCTGCTATGGCTGGAGGACTGGCGGGTGGAACGTGTGTAATGGTGCTGAAGTATGTCATCAAGGGCGCTTCGGGGATGACCCTCTGGTTTGGAACATCAAATTTGGTTGCGAATGCGCTGGTAATGTTGAGGTACGTTTTGAGACGGAGAGTGCAGATGTTAGGCAGGCCAAATACTAATGTTGTGAGCAGCTCGGTGGTGCTCTGGATAAGCCAGAACATGGAGGACGATTATGCATACAACCTGGCCCTCTGAGATGGCTCCTGTTTAAGCGGATATGAATAGCGGCTGGATATGCCCGGACGACGCGATGCTAGCTGTATGAGAGTCTTGAAAGAGGTCACATTTACGACTACCTACCCACATCCTCGCAGCCTCGTTCTGGTTACGAGAGAGAGCCCTCAGTCCCGGCAAAATCGCTGTGTTAGCCATTATACATGTATGATATGGAGGCCTTGGAGACATGGCAAGGACAACAGCTCTCGTATGTTCTTTCAATGTTCCCRCGCCTTCGTGGGTGTGGTATGTATGGTATGGTACAGCAGCCTTGCAGGCTCAGAACGGCAGAATTTGTAGCCTGGTATCATTCACACAACGCCCTGCGCCATACGTGCATCGCTGTTCTTTTCCCACTTCGTACAGTATCATACAGCACTCCCAACTCGTTCTGATCATCGTGTCACCGCATGAGATTCTTGGCTTAAACGAGCTTCTTGACGGCATCGACGGCAAATGGAGCTGCGATATTCATCAGTACACACACGTAAATGTGATTTTAGGTCGTGCCTACAGATGTATAGAAGGAAACATGCGCCAACCATGCTGTAAATTGTCTGAGTAGCCACAGCCTCTTGTTGCCTCAATTCGTCCGCAGAAGGGGGTGGTGGTGCTGCGAAGAGTTAGATGGTTCACATGATATGTAGAGATGTACGTACGTCCGCCGAACATCGTGCTTGTCTGTTGAGTGTGTAGRTGGGTGTGGTAAATCAGAAATGGAATGCGAGATTCGAGAAGTCAGCCACTGGCCCGTAAAGCTAGCTCACAAGGCGACAGCTAAACACGCGCATCTATCTTCCATCATCACCTTCAATCGATCAATCACATCACCGCGTTTCCCCGTTTCTTCCACACCCATAGAGACGCCATCACACAACAACGACCTCTCAATTGACCGTCCACCATGTTTCGCAACAATTACGACAACGACTCGGTGACATTGTAAGCTTCCACCTCCGGCAGCTCTGTTCAACGATGGCCGCATGAATGTTTCGCTGACCAGCACAGCTCTCCGCAGGGTCGCATCTTCCAGGTCGAATACGCACAAGAAGCCGTGAAGCAAGGTTCCGTCGTCGTGGGCATTGTCAGCAAGACACACGCCGTGCTCGCCGCCCTGAAGGTATTCCATCTCCATTGCTGGTAAAACTAGCACACATATTGACACTTCTCAGCGCAACGCGGAAGAGCTATCATCCTACCAGCGCAAGATCATCCCAATCGACACGCACTATGGATTGGGCCTCGCCGGCCTTGCATCTGACGCCCGCGTGCTTTCCAACTTCATGAAACAGCAGTCGCTCGCCTCGCGCCTCACCTACGACCGACCCATTCTTCTCTCCGAAATCACATCCCGCATCGGCGACCGTGCGCAGACCAACACTCAACATTACGGTAAGCGGCCGTATGGTGTCGGTCTCCTGATTGCGGGCGTCGATGCGAAGGGTCCTCATCTCTTCGAGTTCCAGCCCAGCGGTGTCACACAGGAGATGGTCGCATGTGGCATTGGTGCACGCTCGCAGATGGCACGCACCTACCTTGAGCGGAATCTGGATGAATTCGAGGGCTCGAGCCGGGAGGAGCTGATCAAGCACGCATTGCGGGCGTTGAAGGACAGCTTAAGCCAGGACAAGGAGTTGACCATCGACAACACAAGCATAGGCATCAGTGGCGTGGACGAGAACTTCAAATTGTACGAAGGACAGGAGATTGCGAGCTGGTTGGAGACAACGTTTGAGAATAAGCCAGAGGGCGGCGAAGGTACCGAGAGCATGGAGGTTGACTCATGATGAGCTGGCACCTGAATGAATGGCACTCTGGCATGGCGAGGCGTTCCGGACTGGTGAAAAGATCAAACAGGGCATGTATATTGAATGCGGATGCTTATGAGATGACGAAGCATACCTCTCAATACCATCTTGCCGTTCATGGTGAGCGAGCTAGGGGGACAATGATTGTCTGACAACATAATCGAGGGAATTCCCGCACTGCTCAGAATACGGACGCTGTGATGTTGAGAGCAAGCCGTTGCAAATCCTGGGTGGAATGTACAAGAGCCTCATTGTGAGTTAATGCTTTCATTCTGTACAATCTTGCTCTATCGCATGTCAAATCTCCCACAGCGCTACTCGTTTCAGGAAGCGAGTACCTATTGAATACTTCTGTTCTAGGCCGACTCTCTCATTGCAAGAAACGCTGCTGTCAGCCATGTCCTCTCCTGAAGCAGGGTGCTTTGCCATAGAGCTGTCAACAGACTCAGTGTTGATTTGGGCATGAGCCCGCCTTCTTTATTGGAAAGACAAGGAGAGAATCATTTCGTTGTGGGCTGGAGTGACCAGGAATAGCTTCCGTCTTCGATCAGCTCTGGAGTCAGGAAGACACTTTCGGGAGGCACTCATGTTGAACAAGAGAGAAAACGACCATTGAAGATGGCTGAGCTAGTAGATTGCTTCGATATCTGCACAGGTCTTCGATGCTATCTGATAGACTAGACGCATTTGCATGTGTTGACATTTTGAAGAGAGTAAGTGAGTGAATCGGGCTCGGGCCTGGGCTTGGGCTTGGGCTTTCATGTGCTCGTTACGTCATTCGTCAAAGAGCTCCGTCTCAAACGCCGACCTGTGACTCTACTCCGCGTTCATCTTCCATTCATCTTCTGTTTCCAACTTCACCTTGAGACGACAGCGTACTCCCTTTTTGCGCGATGTTCAAGAAGAAACCGAACATCAAGCCATTAGCCAATCTGAAATCGTCAGAGCGACGAAAATTAGCAGACCAGATCATTCAGGACTACGAACTCGACCTTCAACAGCCCTCGGACGATCAGACGCCAGAACAGAAAGCGGATGCGACTGTAGCACGCACAGGCCTGCGAAATGCATTGCTTCCGGATAACGTGCAGTCTGCACGCTTCACAACAACACATGGACCTGAGTTGCAGCTAGTGAACGGGACGGTTTACGTTGGCAGTCAGGATGGACAGGAAGCTCGAGTGCTGTGGTTCGAGAGACGAGGGAAGATGTACCCTACTGTTTACACGCTATGGAGGAATCCGGGAATTGTGCCTCTTCTTCACACTCACGAATTTGTGATGCAAAAGTTACAGGGAGGAGCCGATCTCATGACACCAGGCCTGGCTGCAGGACCACCATTTCCACCAGCAGCAAGGAAGGGCATGGTCGTAGGAATTGCGAGTACAGAGAGGCCAACCGTGCCGATGGCTGTCGGCACCTGTGAAATTGATGTCTGTGCGCTGGGAAAGGTCCAGGGCGCAAAGGGCCATGCTGTGGAGAATTTGCACTGGTCCGGCGATGAGCTATGGAGCTTCAGCCTCAAGAGTACACCTGGTCAGCAACCGCCTGAAGAGGTTGAAGGATGGGCAAAAGTCCTAGAAGAACGAGGGCTGGTGGACAAGACAGAGGCCCTCACATTGGAGGATGATCAGGACAACAATGGGGGAGTGTCCCTTGAAATTGGACACCAGTCCAATGCGACTGGAAAGAATGCCACCGAGGACGCTCCCGGCGAGTCTGATGCAAGCACAACTTTCACACAACTCGAGATCGACGATTCCTTCCGGAATGCCTTCATCTATGGAGTACACACACATAAAACCACGAATCCGAACGTGCCCAATCACGGTCTGGTCTTTCCCCTATCACAGTCATTCACCATGTCGACGTTGGTTCAACCGTTCCTCCCAGCTTTCACACCAGAGCAAAGTCAACAGCTGCAGATCAAGAAGACATCCTGGAAGAACATCAAGAAGTTCGTGAAAAGCCTAGACAAGTTGAAGATTCTCAAATGCAAGGACAAGGACGGGAACGAGGTAGTCATCACCGATATCGACTTCGGTGATGCTGCGATTGTCAATTTTAAGCCCTACAGGCTGCCGAAGAAGGAGACAGCAGGCGGTGCAGCCCAAGGAAGGGGAGAGATTGACAAGATCGACGCTGGAGATGAGGCCCTCGGCCAGAAACTACAAGTAGTCTCATACTTTAGACCCACCGCAAAGCTCCAACCGCTCTTCGACGCAGTTCCTGGCAGCAAATCGCTCTACACTCCGCCAGAGGTCCGAGAGATGGTGACTGCATATCTCGAATCTGAGAAGCTCGTCTCAGAAACCAACAAACGATTGGCAACACTCAAYCCCACCCTARCAAATTCCGTATTCGATGGCTCCGGCTCTCTCGACAAGGAAGTCCTGGCCAAAGGTACCGTGCCGCGAGACGCCTTGATAGACCGGGTTCTCAAGGCCATGGCAACCTCATATGCCATTTTACGAAATGGTGCGGACCCACACAGCGTGAAGGCGAAAAGCGGAACGCCGCCTAAGATCCACATCACGCTCGAGACTCGCAGTGGCAACAAGACAGTGACGAAAGTCTCGGGTCTGGAAGCGTATCATATCAATGCCCGACCTCTGGCTGATGAGTTGAGAAAAGTGTGTGCGGGTAGTACAAGCGTGGAGCCGCTTGCGGGTGCGGCGAAGAAGAACGAGAGGGAGGTCATGGAGGTTATGATTCAGGGCCCTCAGAAGGATGCTGTGGTGAAGGCTCTGGAAAAGAGAGGTGTGGATAAGCGGTGGATAGAAGTGCTGGACAAGACGAAGGGAAAGAAGAGGTAGATAGAGACACTGAGTCCTGGCGAAGCCGCTGTCCTGACGAAGAAGGATCCGTGACGCCAAAGTCACTCCGCTCTGATACGGCCGCGGCAGGCGACGTCACGTGATTTGGGCCACGAAGCATACCTACCGTTCGTATGCAACAAGTGGGAGATAGTGTGGTATCCTTTCTGCTGTCTCTAGAGTACAATCGCCTCGCTGTTATTTACAGTAGATTCTACCCATGCTCTCGCCTCGGGTCGCATCTAGAATGGGTTGTCTTCGGGCGCGATCTCCTTGTTATAAAATTGGCTGAGGAAGGGAATCTTTCCAAGGACATCTGTGAAGAAGTATAGTGGTCAGTAACCTGAGTGCGGAGACTCAAGCGTGAAAGAGTCCATACCTTTCTGGAGACGAGGAAGGCCATCGAAGAAAAAGATGAGGAAAACGCCAGCAGATGCGCCGAATCCTGCCGCGAGATAGCCAGCCCGGACCAAGAATTGCTTGTCCATGCCACCGACGTGCATCGCGGCCTTGTATCTGTATAACACGTTTAATGCCATGCGCGATAGGCTCAAGACCGTGCTACCTACTGCGGTCCGTACTTGCTACGGAAGGTCTCGTAGCTCACAGGCTGCTTCCACGGCTGGATACCATTCTTCCCTGAGTTTCCCAGGTATCCGCCGGATCGTCGTAGTAGGGTTGGCTGCATGATTGTGTGTGGTCGAGGGTGATGTCAATGGTAAAGCAAACAGTGAAGTAACATTGAAGTGGTGAAGCTCCGACAATTCGATCGCCAAATCGGCCGATGAACACCGCACCTCCACTCCTCTCGGAAGCACATGCAAACTTGAAATACCAATAACACAACACCACCAGCCCACATGGTCACTGCCGTAGATTTCATGCGCATACTATCGCACTGCTCATAAGCGCGATGCAGCATAACAAGCTGGCCGGGAGTGGATATGGACAGCACCTCCCAGAGCTCCAGCAAGGTCACAGGTGCGTGGCCATGATTTGTCGACGGTACGACGTACAAGAGAGCGCATCGCTAAGATTGCACTACAGTGGAGTATCATGACCCATCCGGAGTATTTCCAATTGTCTCGCGTGATTTAGCCTCCCGTCTGCCATTGCGAAACCTCAACTGGCAGTCACCGCCTCGTCCTTTGCGCCAGATCAGATCACTCCACCTCGACTTCGTGCCAGACAAGGCCACTCAGAGCATTCTCAAGCCGCAGCTCTCGCGTGCCGATTCCAATGGGCCAGACAGTCTGGACATTGTTCGTAGTGGCAAAAATGCAAAGGAGAGGAGACACCAGATCCCCGGCTTCAAGACCACTCCATACTTGAAGATATACCTTTTGCGCTGCGATGACAAGGAGGCTTACAAGGAGAATGATCGTCACAAGATCCGCGAATGGCTGAAGGAGAGTGTTGTTCCAGAGGGAACCCGAGTGGACCATGATGCTTGCGAATGGTTGATCCTACATGTGGTTATACCGGACACGATCGCTGCCAGTGAGCCGCGATGGCGGGAAAGCGCGAGTGATCCTGATGAGCTGAAGGAGCGCAAAGGAGGGACCAAGTGGCCGGGTCAGAGCAATCGCACGGTCCTCGACAGACTTCGGGCAGATTTCAACGAGACAGGAAAGACGGCCAAGGACCGCGTGACGCAGATTCGGCTGGTCAAGGAACAGATGCCCGCCGACTTGATACCGACCCCTGCTGCTGCAACGACGCTGGAAGAGACCGCGCAGGAACGCGAGAATGCATGGCATGACCTCATCGCAAAGTTCAAGATACTCATTTTGGAACCATTTGATCGACGGGTGCGCCAATACGAGGCAGACATCGCCGAGCAAGAGGCTCGTCGGTCTCTGCCGGGCTTCAATTTCTGCACATTCTTCATCCACAAAGAGGGGTTGGCTAAAGCACTGGAAAGTATCGGCTTGGTGGAGGATGCTCTGGCCATCTACGACGAATTATCGCTTGGTCTGGAAACTGTATGTCGGGAAATAGCTGAGGGAAAGGCTACCGGCACAGCGACCTCATTTGCACCCTACACTGACGATGTGAAGGATCGCATCACTGGGGCGCGTACTAATGGCGAAAACGACTTTACGACGAACGACGCAGCGACGCTTTTCAGCAAGGACTACCGGGAGCGGATCTTGCGAAGCGACATTTCTGTTTTTGATTTCATGTGCTACCTCTACCACAGGCAGAAGGCCTTGATCCTGCGGCTAGCCAATGCAAAATCATCGCGTGATGAGCTAGGTGCGAATCCTGGGAGAGATGGTGGAGAGGACCTGGTGCTGACATCCGAGGTGTGTTGGCGGGCCTCAACGTTCATTCACATTGCTGCAAGAGCTCTGAGGCACGACCTCTCAAATGGCCAGGCTGCAAGCGGGTCTTCTATCTCGAAGATTGAAATTGAACGTATCGTAAGCTCCTGGACGTGGGCTGTAGCTGGTCAGGTTCTGGAAGAGACAGCTGCGCCGGCGTTTTTGGATGCAACCAGGCAGGATTATCCACAGCCTCGCCCAGCACCTAACGGCATACCAAAGCGGCTCGATCTGAGCTCAGGGATGGGCGCCAACTCACACCCGCAAAGATCTGCTAGCTTGCCGGGCACGAAGCACGACTCACTAGAGCCCATGAACCCAATGATGCGGCCAAAGACACAGGGCGACCGGCCTCCGTCGCGGTCAGGACTAGGCTCAAACAAGCYATTCGGATTACCTGGTCAAGCTGAGCTTGCCACATATCGAGCTGAGCTCGTGATGATGCGGCGCAAGATGTTGGAACAGCTCGCGGCGCATCACCAATGGTATGCCGGGTGGTCAGCCGCCAACCGTGGACGAGGCGAGGTGAAGAATCACGACAATGCGACCGGTGCTTCCAGCATTGATTCATCGACGATGGATGGGCTAGGTCCAACTCTCAAGGTCGCCCTTCACTCTCAAAAGGCGTTTCAAGGCAACTATGAGGATTTGACAACCGACGCCATTCGGCACTATTTGGCCGCGACTCAAAAGAAGACTGCCGAGCGACTTACAGTAGATCTCGCGGCGCTAAAGTATCAACAGCAAGATAACACCGCCGCTGCAGCTTACTTCCAGCGTATCGTTGATCTGTCTTCGCAGGATAGCTGGGATACGATGGAGATAGAGGTGCTGAGCACTTATTGCACATGTTTGAAACAACTTGAGCGCAGGGAAGATTACATACGAGTTGCACTGGCGTTGATCACCAAAAGCGTTGCAAAGCGAAAACAACGCGCAGCTCGTTGGCCTCACCACGAATCGACTGCCAAGGGGCCAGACCCGAACGCCCTATGGCTAGACGCAATCGCAGCGTCGTCGGGCCTGAAAGAGGAAGATACGCAACCTATCCGGCGATTCTTCGAGGACGTGCATCTCAATCAAGAGGTCCTTCATGAGCACGCGGATGGATTCAACCTCTCTCTGGACCTCACTCATGTCTTGGATGGTGAGATAGAATTCGATGAAGCCCTAGTCCGTCTTGTCGGCGTCGATGATCCGACGTTGGTCGTCTCGGTGACAAACACTCAGCCCTTCAAAATTGCGTCAGGAAGGAACAAGTTGAAACTCCAGGGCACAGTCGTTACAACTGGAGCCTTTCTCGTCGACAAGATTGAGCTCGGTGCTCAGAAGCTTCGTTTTGTGGAGGAGTTGCGGCCAGAACCCGCACCGACGCCTCTTGGATTCACCGGAGTCGTGCCATCTACCGTCACTGTCATCGCTCCATCAAAAGTCCCACCTTTTGTCTTTCTGTACCCTTCGGAGCACGGTTTCGTTGCCGAACTCAAAAGATCGTGCAATGTCCATATCGACAAGCCTAGACATCTTGAAGTTTTGCTCAATGCGGGTCGAAACAGCATCGAGTCACTTGAAGTACGACTCAAGCCCACATCCGCAGGACTACGTCTCTACGTCGCAGATGCAACATTAAGCGGGATAGATCGTGCTCCTCTCGCGGATGGCAAAATTGGGCAAGTCAATCTGGGATCGCTCAGGGCCGCTGAAACGGCTCGGGTGTTGATACCGTATACCGTCGAGCACGCTAACAGGGACATTGCGGTCCGCCTTGAGATCCATTACCGGACGGATGRAGGCGCCTTCGCCTTCCTTCATTCAGCCGCGCTTTCCAACGAGCTGACTCTGGACGTCGATGTCAACGATCTGTTTCACATCAACACGCTTTACTCAAACTTTACGGTCCGCACAACCACTGCGATTCCCTTCTCGGTACTGGATGCCCAGCTCAAGGACTCGCCTGTATACGCGGTTGAGGCGCCCCCACACTTGCCGGTCCCTTTAGATGTCTACTCATCACAGCCCGTGAACTTGGTGTACAAGATTACACGTAAACCCATGGCGAAGCAAGAAGTACTGAAACGCGATGCAGCTCTTGCGCTGGAGGTCACTTACCTCCCCTCCGATGAGCTGCTCACGCATTATCTTCGGATCGCGTTTTCCGAGGACCTAAAGCACAGCGCATTCGCTGCGCTGCATCATTTGCTCACGCCACTGTTGTTGAGCAGATTTCGACGTTCCTTGCAAAGTGCGGATCTGGAATTGGCCATGGTTATTGGTGAGGCCAGACTGCCATCTTTCGATGCCATAGGATGGGAGGAACTGGTGGGAACGCTCCACAGCGAAGTACGCCATACGGTTCTGTCTTGGCTACGGGACTGGCACGCGGATCACACGACGTTGACAATAGCGGATGGTGCCTCCGCCGAAGTTCCTGCACAACATATAACAATATCCGTCGACGTTCCAAACGTGGACGCAGTCTTCAGTGCTTCTTTAAAACTCGCCGACTTGCAACCCGCGGTCGACCCAGGTCGTCCAGTCATGGCCAAGATTGGGGAGCCCATTCATGCGACCCTGCATGTTCGCTCTACGAAACAGTGGAGTGCGAAGAGCATATTTCCCAATGTTCCAAGCGTCAGAATTCACGGAGATGGGCAAGCTCAATCCACCTTCGTACTCGACATTGGAGCAGATGCAGATGCATGGCTATTGGGTGGTCAGAGGCGCCATCACTTCAATCTGCACGACGATGGTGTGCAGACCATCAACATTATCTTGGTGCCAATTCGCCTCGGTTGCCATGCACTTCCGGTGGTTGAAGTTCAGCAGCCTCCCTCAGATTCAGACGGTGGCGGCCAAGGCACAGATGCGGTTTCGGTATCCTGCGAAACACACTATGAGAGCGCTGGTCAATTGATCCAGGTCGTGCGAGATGCGCGAGCTTCGAGAGTTGAAATTGCTGAAGCTGCAACATCTGGTTTGGAGACTGTGTCTAGGCCTGGAACAGCATCGACGAACCAGGTAGTATGAAAACATTGATGTCCAGCATTACAGTCACCGGTCTGGCGGGTATGGACTTGGGCAGAACCGCGACCTCCTGACCACCTCAAGCAGGACGATACCGGCTAGAGTATGGCCTAAGCCCGTGTTTCTCCTCGAACCGTGAGCTGGTCAGGACGATCAGGACAAATTATCGTCTAGAGTTTATGTATAGCGGGGCTAATCGATAGACCCCGCAAGCACGCCATTCATCATCATAACGCGAATGGACAGCTTGGAGCTTGAACGAAAATCAACAAATCTTCCAACGATTTCACATCGTCTTCCCTCGTCTTCCTCATCGTACGGTATATTGTTAGCATCTTCTTCGCCTCCTCACTCACATTACAAGCCATAGCACTCACAATGGCGGACCAAGCTGCACCTCAGAGGTTCGAGACTTTGCAGCTCCATGCTGGTAGGACTGCACAAACGCACACGCATGAACGCATTTTTTACACCTAATAGAAGCTGACCTATTCACTCTGTATAGGTCAGGAGCCTGATCCAACCACCCACTCCCGAGCAGTTCYAATCTACGCGACGACATCATATACCTTCAATGACTCGGCCCACGGCGCGAGGCTGTTTGGTCTCAAGGAGTTTGGCAACATCTACTCCAGAATCATGAACCCAACGGTTGATGTTCTTGAGAAGCGGGTGGCCGCTCTTGAAGGCGGTGTTGCTGCTCTGGCCACTTCATCCGGCCAAGCTGCGCAGTTCATGGCCATTGCTGCTCTCGCACATGCCGGAGACAACATTGTGTCTACTTCCAACCTCTACGGAGGCACATACAACCAATTGAAGGTATTTATGCCYCGCCTGGGGATAACCACCAAGTTTGTCAACGGCGACAACCCTGAGGACTTCAAGAAACTGTTCGATGAGAAGACAAAGGCTGTCTACCTGGAAAGCATTGGCAACCCCAGATACAACGTTCCAGACCTCGAAGCCATTGCCAAAATAGCCCACGATTTTGGAATCCCTGTGATCGTCGATAACACCTTTGGAGCCGGTGGCTACTTCATTCGTCCCATCGACCACGGTGCGGATATTGTCGTGCACAGTGCGACCAAGTGGATCGGAGGACACGGCACAACCATTGGAGGGGTCATTGTGGATGCCGGCAAGTTCGACTGGGGCACCGCAGACGCACGCAAGCGATTTCCTCAGATGACTGAGCCCTCAGACGGCTACCATGGCCTGAAGTTCTTCGACACCTTTGGCGCCATTACGTACATCATTCGTCTGCGAGTTGAGATCCTCCGTGATTTGGGAGCGGCTTTGAACCCATTCGCAGCACAGCAGTTGATCCTCGGAATCGAGACTCTCAGCTTGCGCTGCGAGCGACACGCACAGAACGCCATGGCTCTTGCGAAATGGCTGGAGAGCAACGAGAACGTTGCTTGGGTCAGCTACCCCGGATTGGCAAGCCACAAGAGCCACGAGCTCGCCAAGAAGTACCTTCCACGAGGCTTCGGTGGAGTTTTGTCGTTTGGTGTCAAGGGCGGCCAGACCGCTGGTAGCCAGGTTGTCGACGGCTTCAAGCTCATCTCAAACTTGGCCAATGTCGGAGACTCCAAGACCCTCGCCATCCACCCTTGGACTACTACCCACGAGCAGCTTAGCGATGAGGAGAAGATCAACAGTGGTGTGACTGAGGTATGTTCGATTGACTCCCCACCTGTGAGTGTCCATGAGCTAACGACTTTTCAGGATCTCATCCGTATCTCGGTTGGTACTGAGCACATCGACGACATCATTGCCGATTTCGTGCAGTCCTTCCAAGGCGCTGCTACCAAGCCGGATGAGAAGGGTGCAGACAACAGCGAGGTCACTGGTGATGCGAGCGCTCCAACAAACCCAACCGTATGATTAATGAAAGGAATCAAAAGGAAGACAAGCTATATACCCGTAGGACTGAGGTTGACTGGGGCAGGTTAAGATCTAAGCAAAATCATACTTCAGGATAAATGAGTCGAACATTTTTCTCGCCAACTTTCCTCACACATTTCACGCGCAAGTCTCGCTTTGCGTTCCTCGAGCAAATCTACAGTGGTAAAAACTGGATGCCTATATGATACGAGCGTCGATGTGTATGAGAGGAGTGCAAAGCTCTCTTTTCTCGGAATCTTCATAGGTAATGAAGCTCCAATACGCGATTTCAGACACGCAAGTGACTTCGCTTACCGTCTTAGCAGACATACCGTAGGCGTCGAAAGCGGAATGCGTGAACTCGCAGGTTCTGAAAGCGGTCGTCGAGTTTGCGGAGACGACACAACCTAAGATTCGAATCACGGCGGTGGCGGCGACGACGTCAGCGTCAATGAAACAGCACAGCAATGAGATGGTGCATGCACGATCATAATCGCACGACCGGGTATGGAAATGATGGATGGTGACTCAATGTAGGTAGTTCTATTCTGCGTACCATGGTACCAAGGAAGGGGTCAGGGTAGATGAAAAGAAGACGATGAAGAAGAACTCGATTCTGGGTTGCAGATTAGGTTTCCTCGGGTCCTTGGTGTCACGCGGCAAGCGTGGTGTATCGATGTACCTAGGTATCCGTGTCATGGCATGTGAAAGTCGTCGGTACATCGTTCCGAGCAGTGAAAGGGCTGATCAACACCACTCAAATGATGGATGTTGCTGGTGAATAGGAGGTTCCTCGTATATGAATAAACGATAAAGGCATTTCCAAGCCTTGGTACCCATGTCCGCCTTACGTACGTTATGCCATGCCCGCGGTGAAAATTAAAGACACATTCGGCGCGAGCGAGCCTCGGTATCTTTGTGGAAGCTCGTGATGTTTCCGACCGCCGGCGCATTTGCCATAGACAGGCATGCATGCCGTCCTTTAACCCATCTCTCACCACCACCACCGCGGGACTGTCCTCTGTCTCTCCCTCTCTCCCTCTCTCCCTCTTTCTCCTTACATTCCTAGTGATTCCTCCACTACCCCGGATCTAGGAAGCGCAGCATCTTCTCCGTCGCGGCCGACCGACCTGTAGCGTGCATCGCGTAAAACACATTACGAACCGTGAACAGTAGCAGCGCCGAACAAGATGTCGGTTGCAATCGCCAAGTCGCAGCAACTCAGCGTTCCACCTCCACCAGGTGCCGCCTATTCCGTGCCCGTCCCAGGCAGCCAGAAATCGGGACGAAGCGCGGTTTACCGGCACTGGAGATTCAAGGACGGCCCTCTACACTCTCTCGACCCCGTCGTCACCACGGCCCACGAGTTCTTTGAGCAGGCAGCGGAACAGTTCCCGAGAAACAAGTGCCTGGGACATAGACCATACAACGCAGCCACCCAATCATGGGGCAAATATGAGTGGCAGACATATACTCAAGTGCGCCAGCGGAGAGCCAACTTCGGCGTGGGTCTCGTGGCGCTGAACGAGCAGATTGGTATCCAGGGTCGAGGATATGGTATTGGGCTGTGGTGCCAGAATCGTCCGGAATGGCAAATCACAGACTTGGCCTGCATGTCGCAGTCGCTGTTCAGTGTGTCCCTCTACGACACCCTCGGTCCAGACGCTTGTGAATATATCATTAACCATGCGAATTTGTCAACCGTCTGCGCCTCGGTCTCGCACATCGCTACGCTGGTGAAGCTTGCTCCCCGGTGTCCCTCGCTCAAACTCATCGTCTCTTTGGACCCGCTGTCGACTGAGGGTGAGTTGCCAGGCACCTCTAAGAAGGACATCCTCAATGCTCTCGCACAGCAGCACGGGATCCAAATCCATGAAATGCGTGACGTCGAATTGATCGGCGAGAAGACTCCCCGACCATACCACCCGCCACGGCCCGACGACATCATCACGATCAACTACACGTCAGGCACCACCGGCAACCCCAAGGGTGTCAAGCTGCTGCACTCCAATGCTGTAGCCGCAACTTCATCCTCGCTGGGCCTGTTCAACGCTACAGAGACCGATGTCATGGTCTCGTATCTTCCCCTGGCCCACATCTTCCAGCGAGTGACGGAGCACACTGCGCTTTGGGCAGGATCCGCCATTGGATACTTCCATGGCAACATCCTCGAGCTGGTGGACGACTTCAAGCTGCTCCGCCCAACCAGCTTCACCAGTGTCCCGAGATTGTACAACCGCTTCGGAGGCGCGATCAAGGCCTCGACTATTGAAGCAAGCGGTTTCAAGGGTGCTTTGTCTCGTCACATTGTGTCTACCAAGACCGCAACTCTGCTTCAGTCGGACCCCAAGAAGGCGACGAACAAGCACTTCTTCTACGACCGCATCTGGTCCAAGAAGGTGGCGGCTGCGCTCGGGTTGGAACGTGCGAAGAGCATGATCTCCGGATCAGCACCATTGGATCCAACGCTTCATCAATTCTTGCGGGTTGTGTTCGGCAACATCGTCGCTCAGGGTTATGGCTTGACGGAGACATATGCCATGGGATCTGCCCAACTCGAGGGTGATTTCAGCTCTGGCAACTGCGGTGCTGTTGCTCCTGGCTGTGAGCTTTGCTTGATGGACGTTCCCGATATGGACTACCTGTCGACCGATCTGCCGCATCCTCGCGGCGAGCTTCTGGTCCGTGGTCCTACAGTCTTCGCCGAGTACTACAAAAACGAAGCCGAGACGAAGAAGGCAATGACAGAAGATGGCTGGTTCCGCACGGGAGACGTCTGCTCAATCGACGAGCTCGGACGTCTCCGTGTGATTGACCGTGTCAAGAACGTCCTGAAGCTCGCCCAGGGCGAGTACATCTCGCCTGAACGAATCGAGAATGTGTACCTTGGAAACCTTCCGTTCTTCGCTGGAGGCTACGTCCACGGTGACAGCTCGCAAGCCAACTTGGTTTCCATCTTCGCCATCCAGCCAGACTTCTTCGCCCCATTCGTCAGCAACGTCTTGGGCAGGACGATCAGCGCAACAGATCTTCCCGCCCTGGAAGCGGCCGCTCAGGAACCAAAGGTCCGAAAGGCTGTTCTTCGAGAAATGGCAAAGACTGGCAAGAAGGCCAAGTTCAACAGCTATGAGAATGTCCGGGCCGTGAGATTGATGCTGGAGCCATTCACTATTGAGAATGAGCTATTGACTCCCACGTAAGTCTACTTTCTCGAATCTAGATCCAATGGGCAACATGACTAACTTTGCAATGAACAGATTGAAACTCAAGCGCCCTCAGACCGTCAAGAAATACCGCGCTCTCATCGACGAAATGTACGCAGAGATCGACAGGGAGAGCACACCAAGAGCCAAGTTGTAGTTTTGTAAACATAGAGCATTTCTAGTGAAAGCGATTATATCTTGGAATTTATATCTTGGAAATGGCAGGATAGAAGGTTTGAAGAGCAGACAGACCATTTCAATGGAACAAACATTTTTTTCACCATCTAGAGTTCATGCTGGAGCGGGAAAAGCTGATTTGCTTGCCAATATACCTGGTCTCCATTGTTTGCTAGCTAGTGAAACAAGATGCATACGTCGGAGAGTATGTATGTATGTATGCTTGCCACCATGTTTATGAGCCTGAGAGCTTTGCAGGTTTGTCTCCACACTTGCTGACACGCCTGTGCTGCCCAGATTCGGTGTGTACGCATGTCAACGTGGCGGATGCAGAGTGGCTTGGCTTTTGCGTATGCTTTCAGCTGCGCAAGGCCTGAAGAGCAGGGGAGTAGGAGCATGAGGGTATACCTAGCAATGGATACTTTGGATCGAATTGAGCGAATCACTTGAGCTTTTCAACTGCTTTGCTGTGCAAAAGCAAGTGAGGCTTGGTTTCGAATGGAGCGTCCACGATAAGGTAATGTATTTTTACACAGGCTGAGGTAGGTATGCAACGAACCCTCCACCACGGCAAGAACGAGCATCATCAACTTGGCAAGTTGCGATCAAGTGATACCATTGAAACGTCATGCTTGCCCTTTGGCGATGCAACCCGCCACGAGCAAGCGCGTCTGCAAACATGTTTTCAACCTGCCTGCCCGTCTTTGTTCCGAAATATACTTGAAGACTTCTTAAGTCTGCTCGCGACGAACTTGTAGCATTCCATCTACCACTACTCATCCCTGCCTTCGCCTGTGGAAATTACCCAAACCGGCCTTTGCATATCTGAAAAGTACGAGATCAACAATTGAGGAAATCTGCGAATCGCGCTTGTCGCAAAACTACGCCTCCACCTACAATGTCTGCGACGAACCAGAATAAGAACAATATGGGTCTCCTCCACAACAAGACCGTCCACCTCGCGCTGCGGGCAGTTCAAGGTGTATTCGCCATCATCGTTCTGGGACTTGCCGGCTACGGTACGTCCAGATATACTTGACCGATCGGTTGTCGTATGCTGACCTCAGTTGCAGTGGCGCATTGGTGGAATGGTTATTGGAATGCCTCCAGTCCGAGCGAGATCAACTTCCTCATCTTCTGTGCAGTCTGGACACTTCTCGTGCTCATCTACTTTGTCTTGGCTGGCACGACTTCGGGTGCAAGAGTTCACCATCCCTATGCAGTCTTGGGTCTAGACGCAATCACGATGATCTTCTGGTTCGCTGGCTTCATCGCTGTCGCCGTGTTTGTCCATAACAGAGGGTGTTTTGGAGGCGTCTGTCGCGCAGCAAAGGCGGCAGCTGTCTTTGGTGCTTTCGAGTGGTGAGTTTCCCTGCTTTGAAGCTCTCCATCAGTGGATAAACCCTTTTTCATTAGCTGACAATCTTGTAGGCTTTTGTTTGCAATCACAACGGCGATCTCAGCGCTTGCACTTCGCGGACATAAGGCGGGACCAGTTGCAACAGTCTAAGTAGAGGCATGTTCGAACCCTGCGAGGCTATGACAGATGGGAATGGTCGAGAGTGTATTATTCTGACGATGGCTTCAGTTTTGCGCCGAATCATTCCGGTGCCATGTGGATACAGAGATGGAGACGGCCTCATTGGGGGTGCTTTTGCTTTTTATGATACCAGGTTCGCGGACGTATTCGTGCAATGAAAGTTCATGGCGTGCGTCTGACTTTCCATTATCCAATCCCCGGCCATGAAATCTTGGAGGCTACGACGCCATCTTGCTCAAACACGTATTTCGGAGCCGGAGCCAGGGTGGGTTTCAATATCGGGATACATGATTTGCAGTGCAAGAAAGGTGAATGGTGGGTGATGTAGCAAGCCGAGCGGGACAAGGACGGATGTCAAAGAACGGGCCGCGTTTGTCAGCACTCGATTCCTCGACGACCTTCGACCGACTAGTGGCGACTAGGCACATCCATACGCAATTGTCATAGCAGCCTGAGACGGCGAAGGAAACAAGGTAGGTATCTCTTATCCACTACATGTACTGCACCTCATACACAACATTTCGGTCTTCTCAATATCCTCAACATGTCAGACTGCGATTCACATCCCGCTTCTCCACAACGGATGGACCGGCTTCACAGCGATGTTGACGATGATCGTTCGAGTGCGTGCTCCCACGATCATCACTCCGGCATCGAAGATGGAGTCGACCTCGAGCCTGTATTCAAACTCACTGTGCTACTACATAACAAGCCGGTCGAGCTCCCCATGTACGACGAAATGGCCACCATCCAAGATCTCTCCGATACGGTGGCCGACGAGCTTCACATACCGCCTACGAACCAGAAGTTCTTAATAACTCCCAAAACTGGTTTGTTGAAGCCGCCTTTCAAGGACCCTTCCATCCTGGTAAAGTCATTACTCGACAAGAAAGTCGTGCTCATGGGAGCCACGAGCGCAGAAGTAGAAGAGTTGGAAAGCGACATCTCAGAACGCAAGGCACGGATAGAGAGACGCAGGGCGGCTCTACATGCCGGGCGTAAAGTGAAAGCCAACAAGAGTCGAGACTGGAAGAAGGTGCAGGACGAAGCGCGATACACCTTTCATACTATTCGTCCGCTACCGTACCTGCCGAATCCAGAGAAAAGTCTGAGGTTCTTGGAGCGATTGCGAGACGATGCTGGCATCAAAGCCTCGATGCGCAAGCATGGCTTCTCCGTTGGTCTCTTGACTGAAATGAATCCGGTCGAGCACACCACACGTGAATCTAGAACGCTTGGGCTGAACAGGAATAGGGGAGAGGTGATTGAGTTGCGACTTCGAACAGATGCCTACGACGGCTACCGTGATTACAAAGWCATTCGAAACACCCTCTGCCACGAACTGGCACACAACGTCTGGGGGCCCCACGATCAGAATTTCTGGAAGTTGTGCAAGGAGATTGAAGCGGAAGTGGAGAAGAATGATTGGAGACGAGGCGGCAATTCTGTTGGAGGCGAGGAGTTCTTCAACCCAGATGACGAGGGTATAGAAGATCACGAAGCCGATGGCGGAGGCTGGGAAGGAGGCGAGTATGTGCTCGGTGCGGCTGGAGATGGTGCTCAGGGTAGTTCTAGCTATGAGCCTTTAGATAGGCGGGAGGTTATGGCTAGGGCTGCCGAGGAGAGGATGAGGAAACAGAAAGATGCTAAAGCGTYTGAGCAGCGAGCCAAGGATGCCGCTACCAGGCAGGACTAGAAGGTACCTAGTGCTGTTATAGCGAGGTGCATAAGCATAATGTATGGATTTGTCTACGATGAGTTTTCGATGGTTTGGGGTCTTCTGAGCGTGGTTCATTGCTCCCATGTTATTGAAGTTTATCCACCGAGATGGGCAGCGGAATCATCCAATCGCAGACCACAGGCTCTCACCATAGACTCAACTCCAAATATGCAAACGCCTTGGAGACATTAAGCACATGAACAGATAAAGAACCACCGAACTGTAATGACGGGGAGAGAAGTGGTCGCTACCCCAACCCTAACCCTGTAGCGGCTTGTTATTCACTCACCAGCCCGAGGAAACAGCGGCGAGAGAAGTTACCAACACCAACGTACCTTTCCAATTGCAAAAGGCAGGTCAAGATCGAGATCTCGCCGCAATAATTTCTTCCTCAGCTATGCACTATACAACGTGGCGTAAGACCCTCTCAATCCGCAGCCATCCCGAAGCAGAACCTATGTGGATATCTATGCACAAACAACCCAGCCAGGGTACTACAGTAGAGCATTCCCCACCCAAAGAACAATCCCCTGCGCCGCGCTAAATACTCRAATCCCATATGACACACCGGTATTACCATCAACCTTCCTCACGATTGGTGATCCACTTTTTTACCCCTTCCAACTCATCCTTCGACTTCTCAAGCGCCGCAGCGTGTTCCTGAAGCATTACTCTCCCGGACTCAACATCCTTCGTATGCTGATCGACCCGACCGGAAAGCACAGTCAGGTCTTCTCGTAGCTTTGATATGTCCTTCCCGGCAGCCTGGTGAGCAGTCACAGCCTTATTATCGACCAGTTCAACGCGGTTCGCAATAGTCCCTGTACGGGCATTCATTTCGTTAAGATTCGTCTCCAGTATTCCCAGTCGAGCGTGCATTTCATGCACAGATTTGGCGACACGCTCTGCCTCTTTGAGGTTCGGATAAACTGCGCCCATATTATCCAGCATGTTCTGCGCGAGCTGATCCGTCAGGAGGTTATTGTAACGATTTGTCTGGTCCTGCACTTTGAACTTGAGACTTTCAATTTCAAGCTTCATCTGCATGAGATCCTTGTCGTCGAATTTGCGTATTGATCCTGGAATCGTTGGCCGTGATTGGAAAGGGCTTATGTCGTCTTCGTCGTTGCCTCCAAGGACTGGCCGGAAGGATGAGAGTCCGGAGGTTGCGCCATTAGTTGCGCCATTAGTTGCTGGAAGCTCGGTAGCAAGAATTGCGTTCTCTTGAGTCGCTTTGACAGACTCCACGGCTTCGGAGAGCTGTTCAAGTGACTGTTTCACCACGACAAGCTCGCCCTTTCCAGCAGCCTGATCAAGTTGAGGCTCTATCTTGTCAAGCCGGTCAAGACAACCCTGCAGCGCCTCTGCATTTGTGTGCTGCTCGTCCACGACCTTCCCGAGAGCGTCCCTTAGTTGCGTCTTGTTTTCATCTGTTTGTTGCTGGCCCTGTTGTAGTTCTCCAAGCAAACTCTGAGTGCTTTGCAGACTTTGCTTTAACTCGGATAATGCTTCGTTAGGCGCCTTTAATGCCTCCATGACGAATGATGCGACCACTTGGTTCACATTCGCGATGTCGGCCTCCAGATCCTTCACGTCAGACTCCACAACATCCAGTCGCTCAACTACGCTCGGGTCCATATTGGCAGGTAGTGCTGGGATGGAACGAGTTGCGTTCATGTTCATCGCATGGCTGTCCATATTGCGCCTGAAATCCTCCACAGCTCTCGATGTAACATCTTGATTTGCCTTGAAATCATTGATCGATTCTCTCGCGCTGCTGAGGTCTTTGGTGACGTTGCCTATATCAGCCTTGATGCCATTAAGATACCCCTTGAGCTCTTCGAACTCAGCGCGAGATACTACATCCTGGGTTGGGGCTTTGACGGACTGCTCCAAATCCACGAGTGACTCTGTCAAACGATGCAGCTCAGCACGAGCGGATTCAAGCGGATCTCGAGCTGCTTTCAAAGCTCGCTTGGCCCTCTCGACGGCCGCAGTCTTGGTTTCCTCAATCGCAGGGAATGCGGTGAAGTGTCCCTTATTAGAATGGCTTTGGTAGTCTGCCTCGGCGGTTTTCACCTGCGTCTCAGCGTGTTCGAATTTAAGTTGCAAACTCATCGTTGTGATTGTCTGCAAATTGATTTGCGTCTTGAGATCAACGATGGATGCATTTTGCGATTTGCTGGTCATTGTCGCCACATGGGCCGGTGACGATACGGCGCCATTTGGGCGTGCAATGGTATTATTGCTGGCCACTGCTGGGGAAGTATCTCGGACTCCCAACGTCGCGGACCGCTTTGGTTCGCGATGCGCGTCTGGCGACTTACTCGCAGGCCGCTTCAGCCGCGGGTCGCTGGAATAACTGTAGGACATCGATGGCGGGCCTGGAAATGCACGCGTCGCGCCTTTGCTTCCCCAGGTCAAAGCAGCGAATGCGAAATGCCGGCAGTGGAGCGCGGAGGAGAAAGTTCAGGTTGATGTGGTGATGCTGGTCCAATAAGCTGCGTAACAAGGTTCAGATCGCCGACTAAGTTCTGGACTTTCTACGCGTGCCGCGAGAAGCTTTGGACAGGGAAATCGGTTGGAACGACGCTTTCCATTGCATTGCATCTTCATCTGGACGTCCACACGAACACACCTCCCCAATCGCATCGCATCGCATCACATCGCATCCCTCTGATTACCGTCACACCACCTAAAAGACAGACCACACGACTAGGCGCCAGCCAGCGCAAGGGTCTCTACAATGGCAGCGGTATGCAAGAACGACGGACCACATCTTCAATCGAACGCTCACTGACACATCCGTCGCAGCCCATTAGCACAATATCGGACTCGAAAGAGCGTCAAGGACTCAATCTGATCGCCGCGCATTCGCACATTCGTGGACTGGGCGTTACACCCGACACCCTCACGCCCAAACACAATGCCGATGGCCTCGTTGGCCAGCAGCAGGCGCGCAAGGCCGCCAGCGTTATCCTCCAGATGGCCAAGGAAGGCAAGATTGCCGGACGGGCTGTTCTCATCTCTGGCCCTCCAAGTACAGGCAAGACGGCCATTGCGATAGGCATGAGCAAGGGTCTGGGCGAAGACGTGCCCTTCACCATGTTGGCATCCTCAGAGATCTTCAGCTTGGAGATGAGCAAGACCGAAGCATTGGAGCAGGCATTTCGGAAGTCCATTGGAGTGCGGATACGGGAGGAGAGTGAGGTCATCGAGGGCGAGGTGGTGGAGATTCAAATTGACCGWTCAGTGACGGGAAACAACAAGAGCGGAAAGCTCACGCTCAAGACCACCGACAYGGAGACTCTCTACGACATGGGCACCCGTATGATTGACAGTATGACCAAGGAGAAGGTCATGGCGGGAGATATCATCAGCATCGACAAGGCGAGTGGGAGAATCACAAAACTGGGCAGAAGCTACACGAGAAGTCGAGACTACGATGCGGTTGGCTCGGATGCCAAGTTCATCCAATGTCCAGATGGAGAGCTGCAGGTTCGACGAGACACTGTCCACACGGTCTCGCTCCACGAGATCGATGTCATCAACAGCCGGACCCAGGGTTTCCTTGCCCTTTTCTCCGGAGACACTGGCGAGATTCGGTCGGAAGTGCGAGAGCAGATCAACACCAAGGTCGCGGAGTGGAAAGAGGAAGGCAAGGCAGAGATTGTTCCTGGGGTCTTGTTCATCGATGAGGTACACATGCTTGACATCGAATGCTTCAGCTTCATCAACCGAGCTCTCGAGGACGAACTAGCACCAATCGTGATCATGGCGTCAAACAGAGGCTCCACAACGATCCGAGGCACCAACTACCGCAGCCCTCATGGACTGCCACTCGACTTCCTCGACCGCGTCGTCATCATCTCGACACATCCGTACCAGGGCGAAGAGATTCAGGAGATTCTCAAGCTCCGTGCACAAGAAGAGGAGATTGACATTTCACCAGACGCACTCGCCCTCTTAACCAAGATAGGATCGGAGACAGGATTGAGATATGCCAGTAACCTCATCACAACCTCGCAGCTATTATCACAAAAGAGGAGAGGGAAGGAGGTGGAAGTTGCCGATGTGCAACGCTCTTTCCAGCTCTTCTACGACCCAAGCCGAAGTGTGAGATTTGTCTCGGAGTTTGAGAAGCGTTTCATTGGGGAGGACGGCGGCGTGACTCTGGGCGCGGGAGCGAATGGCGCAAGCAACGGTGATGCTATGGAAGTGTCATGAGAGGTCAAGATCGCGCAATGTTAAATTACGGAGCATGGCGTACCGGCGTACCACATGTAGGTCAAAACCAGGGACGCAATAGTATTATAGGCGAGCTATCGGGATTTGAGTGCAAAGAGTGGATCTGAAAGCCGACAGCTTGACCTCGTGGAAGACGATGTACGATAGAGCAAACTACCAAAATTCGCCCCCTTGGCCGCCTATTACCGGTATTCCTGTCGATTCTGGTGCTCAGTAGATGGCCAATACTGCATGCAATCGCAAGAAATCAGATATCATGGAGTTGCATCAAGACGATGGGCTGGCAAATCACGTTCACGTCTCCAATCCTTGGCTATCACGCTACTTCAACTCACAACTATTGTTGCAACATGGGACGAGCTCAGATACCATCAGCACCCAGGATAAAGAAGTCTACGGCAACCCATCTCACCCCATCAGGTTCCGCATTGGCAATGGAGGTGCTGGCTACACCGGCATCCTAAAGCTCCTCGCAGAGACGTACATCAAAGAATCCGGCTCTGGAATTCGCATCGCCTGGGTTTCGAACCATTCTCGACACTCTCAAGTAGCTCTCCTCGCTGGTGTGGTGCAAATCGCTCTGACATACGAGCCCAGAAACGAAGACATCTCTATCCACGAACACTGGGCGGAAAGAGTCTGTAGACCTTTCAATGATCATTTCATCTTTGCTGGGCCCGACGTAGACCTCCATGCACGGGACATCGAGGACGCCTTCCGTATTATTGCAAACTCACATTCGCAGAAGAATGGAAAGTGTTTCCCGTTCCACAGCAGAGGCGATGGATCGGCGACTTTTGCCAAAGAGCAAACATTATGGAAAAGAGCGGGGATCGATGTCATAGCCGCGGATTGGATCGAAACGTACCCTCTCGTCCCTTATGATGCGCTGCGCAAGGCTGAAGAGAAGGGGGCGTTTCTTCTGACCGATCGCTCAACATACTTGACAGCAAAACGAGATGGAGGCATTCCTTCTCTGCGAGTTCATGTTGAAGGTGGTGCGGAATTGATGAATCCTTGCTCGGCGCTTGTAGGGAGCACAGCGCTGGTTAATCGTATAGGGGATGTCGTGGAAAGTCATGCTGCTGCGAGGGCTTTTGCTGAGTGGCTTGGGGGCGATCGAGCACAGGAGATTGCATGTCGTTATGGAATGGAATGGCCTGTTGGCAAAGCACTATTCACCAGAGGCGATAAGGATGACTTTGATGAGCTAGACCACTTGGTACACAGATGTTGATATACAATATGCAACTGGGGATGAATCATGGTCTGCTCGAGATGTGCCATGCCATATCAGATCAGAATCAGAATGCACGTTTCTCTCTCTCGTCCACTCGGGCGGACATGTCCTTCTCGAAATCCCCTTCTTCACACGCAGCCGTTTCGAAGCCATCTGCTCTGAAACTATTTTGGTATGTGACATCAAGAGTCCATCTGATGCCTCAYACGCGCAGGCCCGCAACAGAATTGCCACCGGACAACATTGCGAGGAGGTCTGAATCTGCACTTGTCGAACTCACAGGAGAATTTCTGTATTCCTGGGTACAAATACACGCTCATTAAACGCCTCGAGCGCCTATTTACATTTCTTTCACATGCCTTTGCCCAAAGCCCAAACCCGACCACACTCATGCACTGGCACCTGCCAACTCGGAAGGACCATAGTTTATCGTGGGATTCGGGTTTCCAGGAGCCATGAAATTTGTGTTCGGGTTGCCAGCGGCCTTTGCTGCAGAACATCTCGCCATGGTGGGTGACGATCTCGAGATGGAATCTGTGAGGTAAAAGTCCTCAATCATCTTCTTGAAGGGCTCGCTTGAGGCCTTGGCGCCCTTGTTCTGGTCGACAACCTGGACCTTGCTCAAGGACTGCATGTCCTTGCTGGTAGGCTCCACAATGTCGTATCTTCGGAGAGCGGGTGAGATCTCTTCCATGCGGTCGCGCAGTTGCTCGACATCATCATATGGAAGTGGCACATTAAGCGCCTCGGATACGGCGCGGACAATCTTCCAGTCGTCTCGGGCAGCACCGTATACTGATGTTGCAGCGCGAGACATTTGTACACGTCCCTCGGTGTTGACGTAAGTAGCACCCTTCTCGGTGTAAGCGGCACCGGGGAGAACGACATCAGCCAGAGCAGCACCGCGGTCACCGTGGTGGCCTTGGTAGATGACGAAAGCGTCCTTGGGGATGTCGGCAGCTTCGATYTCGTCAGCTCCCAACAACCAGATGACCTTTGGCTTGGTGTTTGCGGTTTCAGGGTTCTGAACAGAGAAGCCAATCTCGAAAGCTCCGGTACGAGATGCGGCGCGYTGAAGTACATTGTAGCCATYCCATTCTGGGGTCTGGAAGGTAGCCTTGTTCTTCTCCACGAAGGAGCCGACAGTCTCGTAGATGGCCTTGGCATCAGGGTGCTCAACCGCGCCTGAGCCAACGATGATCATTGGCTTCTTCGCAGACTTGAGCTTCTCACCGAAAGCACCACCGAGAGCGCTCTTAAGGTCATTGGCGTTGACGCCCAGGTTCTCGTAATCAAAGGTAGACTCAAAGTCCTGTCCAACGACACCGACCTCAAGGTCCGAGCGCAGCCATTGCTTTCTTATCCGTGCGTTGAGAATGGCGGCTTCCCACCGAGGGTTGGTTCCAACAAGAAGAATGGCATCAGCTTCTTCGACGCCGACAATCTTGGAGTTGAAGGCGTAGTTGGAGCGAATGTCAATGCCGTGAGCGAGTGGYGCGGAGCCTTGTGGCTGGTCCAATGCGAGGTTCTCGGATCCAAGACGGTTGGCAAGGTCCTTGGCAGCGACAAGAGTCTCGGTCTCGACAAGCTGACCAGCAACAAACTTGACCTCGTCACCCTTGGGTGCGAGCTCCTTGAACTTTTCGCTGATCTCAACGAGGACGTTCTCCCAAGTTGYAGGCTGGAACTGGTTGTCCCTTCGGACGAGTGGGGTTGTCAGACGCTGTGTGCTGAGGCCATCGCATGCGAATCGGGTCTTGTCGTTGATCCATTCCTCGTTGACATCGTCGTTGAGTCTGGGCAGAATACGCATAACCTGGAGGCCACGAGCATCTACGCGAATGGCACTTCCAAGACCGTCAAGCACGTCGACAGTCTCAGTGTGGTATAACTCCCAAGGTCGAGCACGGAAAGCATATGGCTTGGAGGTGARGGCACCAACGGGGCAAAGATCGATGACGTTACCAGAGAGCTCGGTGTCGAGGGCGGTTTCGAGGTACGTGCCGATCTGGATGTCGTTGCCACGCCCTGTGCTACCAAGCTCAGGCGCACCTGCCACATCGTTGGCGAAACGAACGCAGCGTGTGCAATGAATGCAGCGGTTCATTGATGTCTACCGCGTGTCAGCATGTCCCTTCTGTTGTCAGGCTCCTATTCGTGTATTACCTTGACCAATGGGCCAATGTTCTTGTCCTCGACAGCTCGCTTGCCCTCCAGCTCATGGAAGCGGCCTCTGTCGGCGCCGTAGCGCATGCTCTGATCCTGCAAATCACACTCGCCGCCCTGATCGCAAATGGGGCAGTCCAGAGGGTGGTTTGCCAATAGAAACTCCATGACGCCCTCTCTTGCCTTGTGGACAAGCGGGCTGCTGGTCTTGACCACCATCCCAGGCTGAACGGGCCAAGCACACGAAGCCACGGGCTTGGGCRCGCGCTCGACCTCAACCAGACACATTCTGCAATTTCCGGCAATCATGAGCTTTTCGTGGTAGCAGTAGCGTGGGACGGTCACGCCGGCCTTCTCGCAGGCCTGGATGAGGGCGGAGCCGGCTGGGAATCGACATGGTCAGCTGCGCTGTGCATTTCAGGTGTATGTGCTATTGCCCACCCTCAATTGACACCTTCTTTCCATCCACAGTCAATTCCACTTCCGCGGCCCGCCTCGCGCTCGTGGCAAAGGTGCGCGCAGCATGTCCAGCATTGGCGCTCGTCCGGGTGGCRCCCTGGCGCGGGAGAGAGCGTAGCAGGTTGGATCGGATCATGTTTGGCTTGCCGTGCTCGCGGAGGCGACTTGGATCAACTAGAATACAGCCGGGTAGTAGACTGAAAGGCGGGAGTAAGGTCGTGACGCTAACCGCGTTTAGAATCGCTCTCTAGTCAGCCGTCAAAACACGATTTGATTGGCTGCAGCACAACTCATAAAATCTCGAATTCTGCGCGCAACCTCTTCTGCTTCCTTCATTAAATTGTATCAATCAGCACATATTGTGGTTTTGCCAGGGTATTCCTCCACCTGGTTGCACTCTATCATGTAGCTGTAGAGCACGAAAGCGTGCGCCATAGCTGGATATTCAGAGGGTTCGCTCAATGAATGAAGTCTCCTTACCAATGGCGCTACATACCAAAAGTGGCCATCCCCATCCATCTGAAAGCCATCGCTCAAGGGGAAGAGATTCGAAATTCTCGGAGTTCTCAGTATATCAGCTCAGACTCATCATTTCCGAGGCGGAGCGCCGTACCTATGGGTGGATGTCAGGGAATAGCTCTTACCTGGCAGCGGTACTCCCTAACAGGTACCGGGTCTGCATTTCAAAATCGCTCGTGCATTCAGCAAACTGTTCCATATAAAACTATTAGACACGTCGGTCGCCAATCTCATCCACCGTGCTCTCAGGCCGCCTTCCTCATACTGATGGCCATGCTGATTCTTCACATCCTTGCCTGGCATCCGCTGGACATTCGACCATCCGTACTGAACTCTCCGTGAGGCTACTGTTTTTTGTGCTTGTAGCCACCTGTTCGTGAGCGTTGTCGTCGACTCACTACAAGGAGAGGCGGCAATCTTCAATTTCGGCGGCCCTTGCTCCAATAGCATCAACGTACACAGAAAACTCGAAACTTCGATCAAAAGGCCAGAGTTACCAAATCATGTCGTTTCATATATTTTCACTATATCAACAAAATCAAGCCGCCGCACCAGCAACAGGGCACTTCGAAGCAGCAGCGTCAGCAGCCACCTTAGGGTGCGTGGCAACCTTTCCCTTGTGGTGCTCCAACTTCGCATTTGTCACCGGGCATACGGCACCAGCATCCTTCTCGTTCAAAGCGGGGTGAGCGGGTGGAAGATGGGACGACACCGGGCYCACGACCGGGCATGTAGCATCAGTGATACTCTCCTTGTTGTTGGCATTCTTGAGTGCGGGGCAGGCAGATGCGTCCATGGCTTGCTTGTCATCCGAGGGGATATCACCATCGGAAGGGTGGTTCACGATGGTGTCGTGGTGCTGGACTTTGGCATTGGTGATTGGGCAGCGGGCTTCTGGGTCTGTTCATACGAGTTGCGGTCAGTCAGTGTCGGGATAAGCTATCTGACGATCATGAGACCACATACCAGAAGAGACAGCGGGATGGTGTGGTGGCAGCATATTAGTTGTCGTGCCTACGACGGGACAGACTGCTGCGGTGGCCATGTTGATATTGAGAAGTTGGGATTGTAAATTGGAGTCGTTTGATCGTTCAATTGTTCGTCAATGCAGTAGGTGAAAGGAAGAGAAAGAACGAGCTCAAGGCAGGGGCAGAAGACTTGCGGTCTGATGAGTCCCAAACTTCTTCCAGGTTCCTTTGACTCTGGTAGCTGATTGCGTGAAACTTCGCGGGGTAGGTAATCGATATAAATATTCGATATGATTGGCTACTTGTCGTCTTAGCCAGACCGTTGGTTGCGCAGCCACATCCACAACGGCAAAGGCCGAATAGAGAATGCATTTTCGCGCAGGTTTAAGCGTCGACGTTTCTGCTTTGCGGCTGTCGAAGTGTTGGTGTGAGCACGCCTTGTCGAATCAAGCAAAGTGTTTGACGCTGATCTGCATTGGCGCCTCTCCAAAGTTCGAACGAGAAAGGCAATAGCTGAATGACCACTCAACACCACAGTGGCGACAGATGTGTGAGAACGTATCATGATATTGAGTGACAATGGGGAATGATCAAGTAGAGCCTACCGCTAGCGGATCATTGCCATCATGAAATTTGATGCTTCGTTGCCAAACCGCAGAGGCTGGAGTCGACGGACCTTCTGGTGTTCCATCATTACGCAGTCGAGTAAGATTTGGTGCCGATGCAGACGCAGACGCAGACGCAGACGCCTCATTGCTCCCGTCGCCTTTGCTTCCAGCTGGACCTTGGGCACCAGGAGTCTTATAAATTGGTGGGGCTGGATTGTCTTGCCTCGAAATTGTGGATGTGCGTGAGATTAGTCCCGACAGTCCTTCATTGGAGATGGTTCGAGGTAAGTATACCCCTAGTTTGCCGATTGGAATCGAGAGACCGTGGACAAAGATGGAGCATATGGTGAGGAACCAGACCACTTCATTGAGGACCTCACTCAGTCGGGCAGCATCTTCCCGCTGTACGCCGTCTACCTCGATCTCTCGCAAGAATTCGCGGGCAACGTAGAGGTAGAAAATGGCACTGACTCCAATAGGTCCGAAGAAGCCCATGAAGAATGCTTCTCGCCAATTCTGGACTTGGTGTATGCCCTTTTGAAAGGCCATAAGCATGGGCAAACGTCGAAGAAGTAGCACCAAAATGCCTAGGAAGATCAATCGATAGATTGGCACCACATGGTTCGTGACGAAGCTGTGCCAAGGGCAAACTGCTCCAAACCAGATGAACACGGTGACGTTAAGTAACATGTCGATCGTGGGCTGGAGAGAATCATCCTTGGTCTCTAGCCGGAACCAGTCGTCCCACGTGAAGGTATTGCCAGCAATGAAGCACGCAAGCACATCATCAGAGCCGAACAACCCAGCTGTCCCTACAATGAAAAGAGCGAGTGAGATGGCGAAAACGAGGAAGGACTCTCTATCCACATAACGTCGTTCTTCCGCCCAGTGTAAGAGTTCCTTTGCAATCCAGCCAACAGTCGCACCATAGACCACGGAGAGGATGATTTCATACACCCATGTTTCGTAGAACCAAAGTGCAAACGCGTGACCTAGACCACCGTGCTCCCCAGCACCGCCGTTTCCGGCATACTTGAGCAAGTACAAGCCGAGGAAGAGAAACGGATAGCCCAAGCCATCATTTGCACCACTCTCTGCACTGATGATCTTCTGGAGAGCAGGAGGAATGTTCTTATCCGCAAATCTTCCCTTGACAATGGAGTTCGACAAGACTGGATCAGTAGGTGTCACGCAGGCTCCGACAGTCATGGCCATAACAAAGTCGATATCCGGCACCATAGCCCACACAAGGAGCGAGGTGCACAGCCACATGATCGTTAGGCCTGGCCCGAGGAGAATCGACAAGCTCTTCCATTCGGTTCGCAAGTACTTGCTGGGCAGCTGCACGCCAGCGAGAACCAGCTGCACTCCCAGCACCAGGCGGGTGAAGTAGAGTGTTATCGTCTCCAAATCGACTTCTGAGCCATGTGCGTAATCCAGCGGCCGTACCCAATTTGTGCCATGTGGACTGAATATTACTCCAGCGACGGTCGAGAGGAGTGCTTCGGATAAATAGGCCTTCTCTTTCAGCAGATACGAGACGAGTCCGAAGAGGGAAATGAAGCCTCCTAGAGTGGCACAGACAATGTTGAAATTGACGAGAGATAGTGTAGGCATGACGAGGGTGTTGAGGCGCCGGTCTGGAGTCGGGGTATGCCTGCGGATGTTCTTCCTCTCGGATCTTAGAGGGCCGCACACCTGCGGGATGGATAGGAGGCTGCGATTGCAGCAGGTGACAGTAGGTGTTAACGCATTAGGAAGAAGATCGGTCAGAACAAGAGAACAATCATGGGTAGTCGGCAAATCTAAGGAAGAAGTATTTGGCTTACGCTCCGAGGTATGATGATGTGACTCTCAACGATCGGCAGAATCTTTGAGCTCTGAACCTGAACCCTAAGCGAGTAGATATAGGTTAGGCTATCGATTCGATCAAATAGGCATGGTAGATACAACGCACGCCGTTCTCAGCCAAGTCTTGCTGCCTTTCAATACTTCTAGGAAAAGCGGAGCAAACGACGCGGTCTCAATTGCCTCATTATACCCGACAACAAAGCTTTCTTCAGAGCTTTGACGAGACTCGACGGGTTGTGCAATGTATCTAGTCACTGCTGGCAATGGAGATGAAGATTGCAAAATTTACACGAAGCTTTTTATCTCTCATTGCGTTTGCATGCCTCTATTTTGGGTATTCTCATGCTTCGTGAGGCTGTCCTGCCATTGACGCTCATTCATGATGCCGTATCCTTTACGCCTTGTTCATGCCTTTCCCTTTCCATTGCAACAATCTACTTCTTCATGGAAGCCTTGGCCAGATCGGAGAGGGCCTCACGACGCTTGAACTTGGCATCCTGGATGACACCAGCATCGGCATCGCTGGAGAAGTTGCCAGTCCACTCCACAAAGGTGGAACCCTCGAGCTCGCCGCTGGTGATTGGGTAGAGACGAATGGTGGAGAGAACGCTAGAATAGGAGAGCTCGGGCTGCGAAGAGATGATAGAGTAGGTGATGTAGTGGTTGATCGACGAGTGCTCCTCCTGCTTGACCTCCAACACGGTGTTGTCCTTGAAGGTCCACTTGACGATGTCGGTGTCGGGAGAGGCGCCCTGGTGGTCTTGTCAGTATGTCGTTGTAAGAGAGTTTTGGGAAACTGGTTGACCTTGACGTAGTCGCTCTTGGAGATGGCAGAGTACCAGGTGCTGAAGGACTCTAGCTTGACGTGGTGCCAAACGGCGGAAAGGGGAGCCTTGATGACAGTGGACTCAACCACAGAGGTGGAAGTTGGGATGGACATTGTGGTGGATGTGTCGGTGATTTTGCTTCGGAATGGTATCGTTGTGTGAGTTGTTGTTGATGGAAGGAAAAAGAAATGTTGCAAGGCAGGTGGAAACAATAGCGTCACATCATCCCTGCAGGTTTGCTTGGAGGGGCGCATGAAGGTGGGGTCGCCTGGAATAGAAGGCGGTGAAGCTGAGTGAATGAAGCTTCACATGCGCCGAACTCGAGATTTTTTGTCGCGGCATTGAAAGAGATACGATACTTCATGGATATCCCTATCAACCATTCTCAGTATCAACATTAATACCACAATCATGTCGGTAGCTGATGAGATTGCTCACAATGCCGATGTTGTCCGAAGTCAAGTTGCGCAGGAACAAGCAGTCGGCATTTCCGTCTTTGTGACACGCGATGCGCCAGGCTTCACATGCATTGTCAAGCAGCGATATACCGATTTCTTGGTCAACGAAGTTCTGCCCAACGGCGAAGTACTTCACCCACAGGAATCCAATGGTCAGGAGCGGAAGAGAAAACGAGCCGAAGATGGCGAGGAAGCACAGAAAAAGGCCCGGACCGAGGAGGACGTGAAGGCGGAAGATGTGAAGATGGAGGAAGTGCCCGTCAAAATTGAAGAGATCAAGAAAGAGGTCAAGAAAGAAGAGACGTCAAGCGCGGACGATGCTGCGGCAAAGGAGGCTGCAGTGTCCAGCATATCCGATGCAGACAAAGCAGCGCTGAATGAAGTATTTGGCCAGCCAACCACCGACGCCATTCTCAATCTATATGCATCCGTCCTCGCCCATCCAACCCGGAAACCACGCGACCATCCGTCAGTCCAGTCGGAGCCGATTGCCGAAAAGTCGAAGCGCACCGACGCACATCTTGTCGTCCGACGCATCTTCAATTCGAGGCTGGAGACACTGACGGTGCAGGACCAGGAGCGACAGTCCGGACCTCTGACCAATATTTCCATTAAAGCGGCTGCCGTGAATACTCCGCAGCATGGAAACGGTGACACCCGACAGGCAAAGGCAAAGGCCGAGCCGCGTGGGAAGCAGGGCTGGGCGGAGTTGGGCGGAGACTATCTTCATTTCACTCTCTACAAGGAGAACAAGGATACGATGGAAGTGTTGTACTTTCTCGCTTCTCAGATGAAGTTGCACGTCAAGAACTTTGGCTTTGCAGGTACCAAAGACCGTAGAGGTGTGACGGTGCAGCGTGTGTGTGCATACCGTGTGAAGCAGGAGAGGATGGAATCGCTGAACCGCTTCGCTCGTGGCTGGCGCCTTGCCGGCCCGTGGGAGTACAAGCCGGAGGGTCTGGAGTTGGGAATGCTGAGTGGCAACCAGTTCCTACTTACTCTCCGTGACGCTCATTTCGAAGGAGAGCAGGCGGATTGGAGTATTCAGCGGAGGTTAGAGAACGCTAAGACAGCGGCAGAAGCTGCAGCTAAGAGCTTGACCACTCACGGCTACTTGAACTACTTTGGTCTGCAGAGGTTCGGCACCCACAGCACAGGCACCCACGCGGTTGGCATGAAGATGTTGAAGGATGATCTCAAGGGAGCGGTGGAGGCTATTCTCGCGTATGACGAGGCTCTGATAGAGGAGAATCAAGCTGCAGAGACTGGTGCGGATTCCAACGGCGACAGCAACRGCATACGAAGAAAGGTCCCACAAGAAGATATCCAACGCGCCACTGCGTTGCATAACTTCCGAAAAGATGGAAATTCGACAAAAGCACTTTCTCTACTCCCCAATAGATTCTCCGCGGAACGTGGCATGGTCACACATCTTGGAAAGCGTGATCGCCAGACAAACACCAGACCGAACGAKAAGGATTGGAAGGGCGCTTTGGGAATGATTCAGAGGAACTTGAGACTGATGTACGTCCATGCCTATCAGAGTTTTGTCTGGAACACTGTCGCCGGAAAGCGCTGGGAGACTCTAGGGAACAAAGTCGTAGAGGGTGATCTTGTGGTGGTGGGCGAGAAGGAGCAGCAAGAGGGTGCTCCTGTCGCTGATGGTATCAAGAGGGAAGAATTTGATGAGGCCGGTGAACCGATCATTCATCCAAAAGCCGCAGATCCATCAGGTGCCAGCTCAGCGCCAACATCCGACGATCCTTTCGTTCGTGCTCGACCTCTCAGCAAGWTCGAGGCCGAAAGCGGCCGCTATACGATCTTTGATGTCGTACTTCCGCTCCCTGGCTTTGATGTCATCTACCCTTCCAACGAGATTGGCAAATTCTACGTAGACTTCATGGCGTCCGAGGCTGGCGGAGGTCTGGACCCCTACAAAATGCGTCGCTCCTGGAAGGATATTTCTCTTTCCGGCAGCTATCGCAAGCTTATGACCCGACCTCTTGGTGCCGTGGAGGCGGAAGTTCGGAGCTATAGCGCCGTGGAGGAGCAGATGGTGCAAACCGATTTAGAGAAACTGGATGGCAAGGCGCCGCCTTCAAAAATCAGCAGCGATAGCGATGATAAGATTGCCGTGCTGTTGAAGCTCAAGCTCGCGAGTAGTCAGTACGCGACCATGGCGTTGAGGGAGCTCACAAAGGGTGGTGCAGTGGGCTATCGGCCGGATTACTCGACGGCGAATAAGTAGGTGCCGGTCTATGATGCAGCATACATTGATCTCTCCATCACTTGTCGCAATAGCTTGCGTTGTTGGGGCATCCGTCATTGAAATGATTCACATGCAGCAATATCGATATTAGAGTTTTGACACATTTCTTACTTCAACTTGCGCTGATGGGAAGTTTCCTGCGGACGCGGCCACTTGATTCGTTTTCCGCACCATCAAGACGATGAAGCCGTATGGCGAAGCTCGTGTTGTGTCTCACTGAGATGGAAGAAGAGCCGCGAATCCCTTGATGATTGAACATTAGCCCCCAAATACACAATCCGTCTCCATCCGGCTGGTATCGATACATGCATCTTCTCCGAATTCAGGCACACATACTCACACATGCCAAGCCAGTGGATATCGTCTCTCCAGCATCACATGGGAGCGCACCATTGATGTCACGTCCTGCACCTCCACTGTCTTCCTCCTCAAATGTCTCCGTCTGGTTCTGTCCTTCCTTGGGACACAGATCTTGGTACCCAGATCTTGGGACTAGCAGAGGTTGGTTGTATGTTAGCGTGGTTCACTTTTCACGTRCTGCCAATCAATCAGGTATCAAATTTTCCTTCGTTCAATTTTACTTGATGGCAGTACATGTAGGAAGAGGGACCTCATTTTCCCCTATCGAATTCATTTCTCCGGTTGATAATCGGACTTTGAATGATTTTAGAACATGGCATATAGGGCTGAATTCAGGGGCAATGGGTCATGTCAAGCTTTTCTATACCATCTCATGATTTTTCTGACCATCGTGTAGCGCCACGTACCTCAAAGAGGTCTGTATTGCGAGCAGGTCCCACGGTATGCCTCTCACGCAGTACAGAATCCACAGTTTGGACGGACAATGACCGCCACCGCCGCCCTGTCCGCAGACATTCGCTCTCCCCGACGGCTAGCCCGGCTTTAACGCTGGAGCGACCTCTAGACTGACGAGCGGGATGCTCAATATGGGGAGTGCCCATACAAGTTCGTTTGCCATGGAGTCTTCGGAGGGGCACTACTCGTAATGTGGTCCTTATGAGAGACGGGGCTCATGCTTTGTTTTCTTGTTGGGCGTTCTTGTTGAGCGTTTCCCGGCGTATTTGATACATCGTAGTTCTCGAATCAGCAAATTGTCAAAAAGCGTCTATCTCTACTTGTGTCTCCAACAGGACACACGACAATCGAGAATGTCGCCCAGCGCCGCTTTGCGCTTTTTCCAGCTGCTCGCGGACTGGAATCTGTGCCTCGAATCCAAGTCCATGATTTGTAGTCTCTCGAACCGATCAACTTTTGATAAGCATCGATTCCCACCTGTGCATTCAACAAGACTCACGGCTATCGGGAGCATCGCTCAGCGCTGCTCCACGTTTTCCGCGAACGACGATTCCAGCCGCCGAGCATGTGACCCGCTTCCTAGGTACTCAAGATTCACCCATTGTGCTCTCCCGAAAGCTGCTGTGTTTCGATAATTGTCTATTCCAGCTTTCGCTTCAGAAGAATTCGCTATCATCGAGAGGATCGCTCAGTGCTGCTTTGCGCTTCTCCCGGAAGGTGTCTTCCAACTGCTCGTCATCGACCGTGTCTTCCGCTTCCATGTCCAGATCCATCATCTCTGTATATGAAGGATTGGTTTTCGGCGGAAGTGGTTTCCGACCAGACAGGACATCGAAGAGTGAGTCTTCGCTTGCTCCTTCGTCGAACACCGCACCGCTGGTGGTTGGAGAGGGCTCCTGAACATCGCTCTCATCCTGACCATCCGGGAAAATGAGCTTGAAGGCTGTCTTCTCAGTCGCCATGATCGTCGTCTTGCCGCCTCGCGGCGTTGCGATCCACGATAATCTTGCCAGCGGTCTTGCGGCTGTTKAGAACATTCTTGGTTCTTCTGCGGTGGATACATCATACACTGTCGCGATTCCCTCTGCGCAATCTATGAGCAGAAGGGATGGCTCAGTGGGATGCCAGAGCAGCTTGCGGACATTGCCATGCTGCATGATTACCGAATGTGCGACAAGTGTTGAGACTTCCCATACCCAGATCGTGTTCAACATTCGACAGTCTCGAGTCGCGAGAAAGCGGCCGTCGCAGCTGAAACAGAGCTCTGCAACACCGAGCTCATTTGGCTCCGTGGTAGGCTTTGCTCGAGACAAGGGAGGCGAGATGGGCTGTGGCGGTTCCGTGTAGGTGCGTACAGCTGCCGCCGAGACGACTTGCTGCCAGACTCGCGCTTGATACTCCACGGGGAGTGATTTCTGATCAATCGTAGTACTATGCTCAATCACCGCGAGAGGCGTGAACGTCTTGGTGTTTAGAAGCTCGACCCGGCCGTCGAACTTGGACAGCGCCAGCAGAAGACCATCAGAAGACCAGACCATGTGCTTGATACCAAGTCCAGCATCAGTGTTCTTCGCCGAAGGGTATGATCGGAAAACATGACCGTCCGGAGTGAAGATGTGCAAGCAAGGACTTGCTGTTGGAACATCCAAAATCGCCAGCCACCTCCCATCTGGTGACCAAGAAAGGGATTGCGCATCGTTCGTGGGGAGCTTGATGAGCGGCAGAGCATGCGTCAGAGAGGAAAAGTTCAAACCGAGATGGTCTTCAGCGCCCATTCTATGCAGCATGGCGAACAGTCGCAGTTCTCCATTAACAGCACCAGGTCTCGTCTGCCACGCCCGTCCTTCGCAAATCGTCTTGAGATCTGGTAAGTCCACAGCTTTCCCACTCAAAACATGCCACAATTTCGTCTTGCCAAACTCCCAGACTGCGAGCAAATGTTCATTTCCCACGAAATCCGCCGAGACGATTTTACCCAGACCGCCGCTGCCATTGTTGAGCAGCGCCGTGTCGAGCAGGATTCCCACGTCAATCACCTTTACTCCGCGATCCGAGACGATGAGGACTTGCGATCCATCCTCGGACCATCGTAGCGATGTGACTTTGGTGTGGTGGAAGGCGGCTGTTGTATTGGCAATTGCCGGTCCTCGTCGGAGCAGATTTTGCTTGCAGATGCCCGTTTCCCGCAGATATACAACGCAATCACCTCGCGGCGAAGGTCTGGAGAAGTGAGACGTTTGCATTGTAGTGGAGGCGCATTATTGTTGATGTTGATGCCGTTGGATACGACTTTTCCTGATTTGGACAGTGAAGTGGTTCGGACTCGACGCGTTAAACGAGGCAGGCGCGTAGATTTGGACTCAGGTATTTATCAACATGTAAACGATGTAACGATTGCACAAATTTGATCGTGACAGGAGAGGTTGCCGTAGCAAACGAGAGTCGCATTAATGCTTCGGAAAAGCAAGATGTGAACGACAGATGAGATATTCGCAAGTGATCAATATATACAAAAGTCACCACCCATTGGTGCTGTTTCTCCACAAGTCTCATAACATGAGCAGCATCTTTTTCATATCCATTCTGAGCCTCAAAAGTACACCCTGTCAACCACTCTCGCAACCTACACCCCACAACTCTACGCTGTAGCATCCCACAGAGCCTTGGTCTTGCCCAAGCCAGCAAGAGCACCCGCAGCACCCATCAGACCCAAGTTGAAACCAGGGAAGCCACCTTCGCGCCACTGCGCAAACTGGAAACCAACAGGGAACCACGCAATCGGCACAATAAGCTCCGCCCACCACTTCTGATCAATCTCCTCGTCCTGCTTCCTGACTGCCGCATCAGAGTTGTGACCCGGCTGCTCGCGCTTAGCACGCTCCAGCTGCGCCTCGCGGAACAGACGGATGAAGTCACAGCAGAAACCAAGGAACCAAGCCCGGTATGCTGCGAGGTAGAGGTTCGCAGAGGTGCGGCCGCCGCTCACGCGAGAGGTAAAGTCCGTTGAGAGAACCTTGTTGTCTGTGAGGAGTGCAACGTTCTCGAAGAGCTGGAAGGCAAAGTACAGCGAGCATTGAGCTACTGAGGTGGTGTAGAGGACTTGGTCCTGGCCGGGCTTGGGGCCTTGCATGAGCTGGCGGGCCCATGCGTACATGGGAAGAAGGCCGAACAGACGGAGGGTCGTTCGGGTGGAGGAGAGGAGGGCGCCGAGCGATGCGATTGGCGATGGTCCGGCTGGGACAGCTGGGGTGATCTTGGGCAGGTCTGAGCTGCGGTTGATGAGCTGGTAAATACGAGCTTTCAGCGGCTCGGCCTTGGAGTCAAGGTGTGCGAGGAGGTAGAGGGTGTAATTGAAGGTGGAGAGGAATGCGCTCAAGCCGCCGGGAGCAGCGAGGAGCCTATTACAGGTGTTAGCAAGCGCTCAGCTTCATGGTATAGTGACAAGGCATACTTGTTCAGACGGAGGAGGATGCGGTCTGGCGTAGAAAAGGCGCTCTTGACCTCTGTGGGCACTCTCTTCTCCAACTCCTTTGCGACTGACTTCTCAGAAGCAGATGGTAGCTTCTGGGCTCCATCGCATGGTGCACCGGGCTGGCTGGCTGGTTCAGACATGATGTATGGTGTACGCGGGAAGGTGGATTAGGTATTTGGCACGGTTCGAGATCGATTGGTCCTCTTTCGCGGGTTCTCCTGTATATTGTTACCTATGCCAGAAGGCTGACGGAGGCGAAGCAAGGCACGGCGTCTTTCCACCATGATCATTCATCTTTCGCGCTACGCCCGTACGTTGACCTCGGCCATATGGATGCGGGTAAGGTACATGTATCTAGAGGCGAATCAGAAGCGAGCCCGCTCCCCGCGCACAAATTGTGGAGAAGACTGGACAGAGTTCGAGCGATGATGGTTTGTGCAAGGTTGTACATGCATAATAGTCTAGCACAATTTTGTGATGATGTTGCTGGACTCCATGTCCTATACCACATGCATCTCCTACATCAACACCACCATGTCGCGGATTACCGACTCGGACGCGGGCTCGGAGATGGAAACGGAAATGGACATCCAAGGCGACAACACGACCAACTCTACACTTCCATCGACCGACGCGCAGCCGCTGCCCGCCAGTGTCGCCCATTCGCTGCTGTTCGAGCTGCCACGTGAAATCAGAGAGAAGATCTTTAGTCTGCTGCTGGCCATCCCCGAGGACCGTAATATCGAATGGCCCACGCCGTACAAGAGGCGACCCTACCACATCCATCCCGCTATCTTGCGCACCTGTAAGATCGTGCTGAGTGAAGCGGCGCCGCTGCTCTACACGTTGAACACTTTCGAATGGACACACCCGTCCGACGCAAATATCTTTGTCCGTGCCTTTGCGTCGCCCATCTGCGGACGACTGATCACACGCGTCCGGCTGGATCTCAAGGCCACTGACATGCGTCTATGGATGCCCTACCTGACCTCCACCGATGAGGTTCGCAGCCTGAGGGCCGACTTCCCCAACATGCGCGAGCTGAGTCTGCGCTATCAGAGTGTCAAATGGATGCACAATCGCTCGCCAGAGGACAACCTCAAGGTCTGGAGCGAGGACAACAAATTGGAGGAAATGATGCGTGGCCTGCGGAGTGTATTTCCTTCCAAGATCCATGATGACATACATGACTACGACGATATGGGTATCGGCGACCAGGAATTCAGGGACTATCTTCAGCAAAATCCTGTCAACYTTGACGATGTCAACGAAACGAGAGAGTTCCGGACAAGGCTGCATGCAGCTCACAAGATCCACCATGCGGAGAAGATGCGCGTTGCGCGGGAACATGCCGCTGCTTTGAGGAAGCGATACGTCTCTGTCCCGGTCATTCGTGTGACCTGCGCCTGTCGGGTTCCGGAGGCGCATTTCACCTACTTGACCTCTCCTTCCGCCGCAACTGCTCGGTCGACGATTTTAGCTCAATTGCAGTCAGAGCCACCTCTTCCCGTTCAAGAAGGCGAGGCTTTCCGCGGGTTCACGGCCGTTGATTTTCACAATTATATACAGAGGGAGATCGAGCCAGATGTCGGTACCGTTGGGGTTGCGCTGACGCCCTTCACCGATAAACATGGCGTTCTTCTCGCGCTGGAGATAGACTACAATGAGCCGAAGATCGTTCGGATTGATTAGATCTGTCGTCATTGGTTGGACCAGATCTCAAGCCTTCCGATCTCTACAGACCTGTACATCCGACGGTGCGAGAACCGGAAGGCCAGACATCGAATCCGACAGCCATGGYCTTCTGCAGGGAGCGTAAAATCACTAGCACTTGACGCTAAGCAGGACTTGCAGTCTACCATGCAGTACGTGAGCCTCGGTAGGGCCGTTGTTACATATAGGCTGGAGAGGATCCTCACTTTTGACGTCCTGCAAGCTTTGTATATTGATCACTGGCAGCCACTTACCTATTCTTTTGCATCGAAGCCTTCGCGAGCAAGCGGTGACCATCATTACACAGGACGTCAAAGGTGTCAAGAGTTCTAATACTTCTCGCTTATCGGCCGTCTATGTGGGCGCATTGCAAAACGTTTGCAGGCGAGCTTCATATCAGCCTGACCGGGCCGACGATGTTTAGTTTCTGTCCCAGCAGCAGGGCGCGACCTAATAAGACGCCCAAATCCGTCTTTGCCTGGCAGATGTACCAGAAGAGTGGTGCCTCGCGCGATATTGTCCTGAGTCTGTCTCAGACTATCTGCAAGATTCTGAAAGCCAGTCATCGGAGGCATTGTATGATTTTTGCGGTCGAATGCACGGATCATAGTCGTCGCTATCTTGCCCAACTTCGTTTGTGCAGAGGTGTCTCACTCGAGGTCGCAATTCGGGAATTGCCATGCTCGTTCAAGCTGACATTTATCGGAATTCGCATCCCATACCGAATCAAAGGCAAGATGGAGTATTCGATACTACCTACGGCTACTTAAATTGCGGCGTAGCCTTTGAGCGGTGATCGTCGGAAGACCAAAATACATCGTGAACCTCGATTAAGTATTAATCCATAGCACAGATTGTCAGGCTGAAGGCTACATGCATGCGAGGAATGCATTTCGTTSCGCACAACAGCAAACAATCTCTTTGCCCTCCACAATCCCTTCCTCTGCAATCTCCCACTTCGATCCAAGACCTTTTCCCTTCAGAAAGATTGCATCGTCCAACATGGAGACCAGCGACTTCTCATGTCGATACACAGATGGCAGTGACTCGTCGCGCTACCGCACATGTCCCGACCACACACCATCCCACTCCACGCTCATATACCCCGTCTTCAACATGGGCAGCGGAGTCTGGAATGGGAGATTGACAATCGCATTGTACACCWGCCTGGTCATCAACATCTGCATCATCATCGCGGCTTTTTGTCTATCCCCACGAAGAAGCCTCCAGCGAATGCGAGTCTGGAGGACAATCTTATACCCGCTACTATACGCGTTGGTTGCAATTGTCGTGGTGACTGCGCTGCGGTGGGAGCATCTCTTCCGCAGAGCTGATTCTAGAGATGGGAGATGGTGGGACGGACAGGGGCATACTGCGTGGGTGAGAGAGTTGCCTTTCAAAGACTTCAGCAGTAAGAACTGAATGCTGACCCGTGATAGCACTCTTTCGAGCGGCTCGTGGATGTGCCGCAGAGTAGATGGTTTGCTTTTCAATGGTACATGGCACACTTTGCGTGGTCAGTATATGTTGTTATTGAATGCAAGATTCTTCCCTTCTGATTTGTATTACGACTGTGGGACTAATAAAGGAATAGGCAAGCGTCGGTCTGTTGGATATCTGGTTGCACTTTCGTTCATTATGTTGGGCTTTTGCATCAGCCTCTCTGGCATGCAATTCGTCTTTTACGCTCTGCAGATGCTGTCACCCACAGTGAACACAGGACTGACATCCTTGGACGCCTTTCCCACCCTTTTGACCGTGCTAGGACYCTTCGAAACTATCGCATTGGTTCTCCTTCCATCTCTACCGCTCATGTACAACTACACCGGGAATTTGTGGTGGGAAGAATCGGATATCCTTTGGGTGAGCCTTCGGGTATCATTGGTCTTACTTCCTGCCATGGCGGCGCTGTTGGCATTTTACGTGAGTCTAAGCGTAGTCTAAAGCATTTCGTGTGCTGATGCTGACAACATTGTAAGCCCTGGAAACCTGTACGACGCCGAAATGTAACGGCAGCGAAGAGAAATCTCTATTGCGCTTGGTCTGCTATTTCTGTATTGTCGATCGGGTTGCACCTCTTCACGGCGTATCAGGCATGGTCGACAGTGAGGAAAGGMGTTCAATGGATGCAGCTCTTCTCGCTGTTGCCTTGGCGAGATGGGCATATGAATGGCTTGGACCGATGGACTTTGCCTGGGATTCGAAGACTTGGCGCACTGTGCCACGATCCATGGGTCGACTCTGTGGCTTGGGACGTTATCTTCTCCGGGATCGGTCTATGTGTATGGTCTGTTGCCAGCTCCTGCGACCCTCGTGTTATGATAGAATGTGAGTTGTTACATGCAATGGCTCTGTATTGGCGCTCTCTTCTTAGCTTACGCACATGTACTGACATCAAGATTGTAGGCAGCATCTTCCCATGGCTCTCTGATGTAGAAGAGGTTGCGAAGCGAGCCACAAAAGCCACCGCTGAAGGCGCAATGCTTCGCAACGACAGCGATTCCGAGGGCTCAAGCAGTGGCTCAGGAAGATTGCTTACCTCAAGGCGCCCGGTCAGGGGGAGTGGACAAAGCTCGGCTGCTGAATATGTTTCCAGGCACAACACTCGCAGTCGTGCGCTGAGGTCCTCCCGACATTCAGTGTCGTCCAGATTGACCTCTGGAAGCAGGAGAGCTGTCAAATCCCCAAACGCAGGCGCATTGCAATCCGTGGATACGGCAGAGGATGATCAGACGGCTTCCGAGATGGAGGCGGCTTGTCTTACCCTTGCTCTATGGTTGATCGGAGGGCTTGGCATGAGTAGCGTTGCTGTCTTTGCGGCTGCGGCTGAGGAGACTGATGATTCATCTTGAATCGACATGGAGTAACTTAATGCGTCCTCCACGATTCCGAGATTGCTAGTTGCATAAGGATTGGAATAAACACGCCTTTTGCATAATCTTCGCGCCGTGCACATTGATCAATATCGGGCCATAAGAATCATTCGACGGGAATATTCCACTTGCAATGATTCGCGGCTCACTCAACTCTGCCACAATCTTATCCGCTCAGGACGCGTCGAGGGGCTGTGCCTTCGGCCGTGAAGTGAAATATACGTGTATTTCACCGATAGACACCGAAGAAGGGTTTTGTGCGATTTGAGGAATCCCGTGACGCGGGCCATGTGGTCGGAGGGCTCGCAAAGTTGAAACGGTCGGCGGAAAGAAATTCCTTCTAGGCTGTTTCATCCTGTGCTGTGCGGCAGTTGCGACAGTGTGCAGATCGGAACCCGCGGACGTTGCGGCTGTCCGTCGATGACATTCTGGCGTAAAATTGCTCCTTTGTCTCTCCGGTCCGTCGTTGTAGAGGAAGTGCAAGCGAGCGTAGGATCAAGCTTGGTATGCCGCCTTTCAGCTCGAGAGGTGATGCAGGCCACGGCAAATCCAAGAATTGGCAGTCAATTGGCTTGGAGTTGGAACAGGCGCCCAGATCCTGATCCACACCGCGGCGTCATTGGCAAGAATAGTAACTGCTAGCGGAAGCAACGGAAGCCAGCGGTTATGCAACTGTGCAGGGGATGTGGTCCCGGTTGAGCGAATAATCTTGCAATTGAGGCTGAGTCGAACGGGAGCTGCCGTCGAGCCTCTCACGCTCCAGCATCTCTCTGTGTTTCTCGTTTCCTCCTGGATCGCATTCGACTCCACCACAACAACCCGGCTCCCATCGCAACTCCCCTCCAACACGCCACATTCACCACTGCTCCTGCCATACGATCATTTCCCTCACAACAGGAACGGACGAGCGACTACTTGCTAATTGTCGAAGATTAGCAGGCCACGTCAGCCTCACAACTGCGCCGCGACAAGGCAACGACGACCACAAGAGACACGAGCGACACACAATCTGGCATGGCCGGAAGACCAACACCACGACTCAAGACCGAACACGACACAATGGACCAATTCTTCGACTTCACCCAAGGCACAAACCAGGCCTCGCCAGTGACGGCCTCATCATCTCGGGCCGACGCCTTATCGCCATTTGAGCAAGAAGAGCGTCAACAATTCAACGGACCAAGCCACGACTATGGACAATTCAAGCAGCAGGTCGGTCTGCCCGTTGGAAGCATGGCCAACATGCCTCAATACGACGGTTTCAACTCTGGATTGGGAGACGCCGACTTCACTTCGGGCTTTGGCTGGAACACGGGCATTGATCTTGACGCCGACATGTCCATGGACTTCAATGGCTCGGCACCCATGCCACCCATGTTCTTCCCCAGTAACGACACCTCATCGTCCAACAGCTTTGTCAATCCCAACAGTGTCGGTGGCCACGAGGAGCCCATCAGCAACGTCGGCCGTCTATGGCCCGGAATGCACAGCCAACAAGCACAACAGGCTGCCATGCAAAAGGCTGCCCAGGCTCAGGCTGTGCAGCAACGCCAGATGAAACTCCAGGCCCAGCACGCCCAGTACCGCCAAGCCGCCACCGCGGCACAGGCTCCAAGCCAAAGCCAAGCCTCTTCTCAGCATGGTCATGGCAAGCGATCCGTACATGCGGAGGCTCACGTAGAGGAGAGCATCTCTCGGCTGCTTAACCAGATGCGTCAGAACAGCTCGGCGCCTTCGGATGATGCCGGCTCTCCTTCCAATGCGCTGCCCAACATTGCACGCATGAAGAAGGATGAGGAGGAGATGGATGAGGACGAGCGTCTTCTCGCATCCGAAGAAGGCAAGAAGCTTTCCAGCAAGGAGCGGAGACAGTTGAGAAACAAGGTCTCCGCYCGCGCCTTCCGTTCGCGTAGAAAGGGTAGGTCAAATATGTCTTGCTATCCCAAACAATGGTATACTAACCCTCACACAGAATACATTGGCCAACTTGAAGGCGAACTCGCTCTCAAGAACCAAGAAGCCACCACTCTTCGCAACGAAAATCAGTCGATTCTCGCGGAGAATGAGCGCTACCGTGGTCTGATCGAGACTCTGCTCCGCCACCCAGCATTCTCGCCATTCATCAATGATATTTCCAGGGATCCACAGCAGCTTTTTCAGCAAGCTCCCCAACAACAACCACAACAACAATCACAACAATGTCAGCAGCAGCCGGAGGTAGCTCCAATCCAGCAACAAGCACAGCCTCAAGCCCAGCAGCAGGACATGAAACCCGAATACCCGGAGTTTGACGCCTCTCAGCTGCAGATCCCGATGGCACCGCAAGAACAGCAGCACACCGTCAACCTCGTCAGCATTCCCGAAGAGCCTTTCAACAAGCTGAACTTATACGGCAGCCAATCCATGAACTTCAACAATTATAGCGTGAATGCGTACGCTGTCACCGACTTGCCTGATGGTCCTAATCCGATGAATCTTCTCGACGACTCATCTACCTACCTGTCTTACGCCTCTTCTGCTGCTGCCTCTTCGAAACCTTTGGACTCTGGACTTGATGCGCTATTCACAAAACTCGATCACGCAGCACGGAGTTTTGTCGTCGGTCAATAGCCGACTCGAGGTATCGAACCACACCTCCGCGATGACTTGATGGTAGTCAGAGCAAGCATATCCTGAGTTTGCACAGAAAACACATTGTGAAGCATTAGCGTGCCGCGTTTCAGTTGTTGTCCATTTCAAGTAGAAAAATCTACACGATAATGATCCCTATCCGCTCTCAAGCTCGTCTCGGTTCGCTTTCATCCCATCTTGGGTGTACCCATCTTGGGTGTATTCTGCGACTAATGACTGTTCTCGTGCGCTCGCGTAGCATCCAGCTGACAGGTTTCCGCAAACATTATCGCAAACATTGCCGCTCCACACCAAAGACTCCTCACTCTGCACCAGGCGGGGTCGAGTCCAATCATTAACAGCACACGTTCCTGCCCTTACCTACAAAATATTGTCGGATGTGATATAATCAAATGCGGAGCAGTACCAAAGCGATGGAAAGACAAAACAGAAAAATGGAAGAAATAGCTACTACTTGTTGTGTGCATCAGCGATTCCTTCCCCATCTATCCTCATGATCAAAAGCATACCTATCAACATGCGCAGTCGCGCGCCGCAACTTCATCCGCCTTTCATTGCGAAACTCGTCTCGAAATTCCTCCGCATCATCCAAGCTGATAGGAAATCCTGCATTCTCGACCATCGACATCATCTCGAGGACGAGCTCGACAGGCATCTTGAGAGCTGCCCGGTCTATGCGCCCTAGCTCTGCTTCATGCCACTATTTGCCTGAAGTGGGACGTTAGGTACGGGTGGAGCAGATCCGATCATGGGTTGAGGAACCTCCGTCATTTCAGCGCGAGATGCATCGAGGAGCGTCAAGGCTTCCGTGCGATGGTGCATAACTAACGTTGGGCAACGCGAGCAAGCGGCCGTCGGGCGTTGCGATGATATCTAACTCTTGAAGCGCTAGACTTCCAACTTCGGCAAGCTCGCGATCACTTCTCGATGTCTTCTGAAGACCTACAATTGTATATATCTGCGAGGGTATCAAGAGTGTCGTAGGGATTGGATTCGCATTCGAGGCGCCAGACATGCTTATTCAGATCTGCTTCGATGCGGAATGACATTGAGCACACTAGAATTTCTCGCCGAAGAAGTGTATGGYAGTCATAACTACGATGTGATCGCTTAGAGTACCTGAAAGTTGCCAATCCGTAGCGGCATTTGAAGATCGCAATGGCGTGAGACCGACGCCACCGATCTCTATGATGACTTGGATACCTGCTTCTGCAAATTGATGTTTGAGATCTACAGTGTAGAACTCACGATCTTCCCTCAGGACCCAATTGACCAAACGTTGAGGCATCATGCCAAGATATCCCGAATCCGGCGGCCGTCACTCGTCTGGCTCCCGCGCGGGCACGATGGCACGGTTATTTCTTCCTGCTTTCCAATATTTGCAGGTTAATGAGACTCCCGGTTCGGGATGCAGCCATGTCCCGACGCCATTTCATCTCACGCTGAGCGCCAAGGAGGGCACGACCTCTACCGTCCGGAATGGGAACGATTCGTCCGGCACATGAGGGGTCTCCGGCCGCTGCGTGAACTCGTGCAATCTCCAGGCGACATCGTGATGCAGCTCTCTTCGACCTGCGTTTAAAGTGAGATCTAATTCGTCCAAATCTGCCTGTTGGGAAGGAGTTGAACTCAATGCCACACCGTAAAGTAGGTACGTATCCTCTCTGAAGTCCTGCCCTTGTCTCGCCTCACCAGTATCTCATTCCAAGGTACAATGGATGGTGATGCCCAGGTAATAATGCGAACGGTACGTCATTGCATTGATCAGATGCAGCATGGCGATGCYCCGTGCCGTCAAGTCGTTCTGGGCCCATTCGCCGAATCAATGAGCAAAGCTCCCGTCGGGTGACAGCTCGGTGATGGGAATCTCAATGCCTGGAATCTGCAGTGGGCGCTTACCGGTGTTGTCGAAGAAAATGCCTGCTTCTTTATCGAAGAATGAGGGTCTTTGACGCCGCTGCTAAGCTGACATTTGAACTGGTCTTTTTCCTGAAAGTCGAATGAAAGTAGACCAAGACCTACCGTGACGATGTATGGTCGGTCGTTCATGCGATTGAGTGGTCTCCTCAGAGAACCTGCGGAGTATTTGCGAAGTCGACATTGTTGTGCGGAAGGGAACGCGGCAAGTCAAGTTTCGACTAAMGTCCTGCTGCCTATACCACCGCACCTTGAGTCAGCACTGTGGATCCCCGGATCCTTCTTACGGGCGATCACACTCCAAACCAACGCTGGCGATAGTAAACCCACCACCAGCGCGCATAGAACCAGCCCATCCCGGCCCATCCGTTCATGAACCAACTTGCAAACGCGGCACTTCTCACACGCGTTAGCTCCAACTCTTGCATGGTGTCCCTCTCCCACTCCCTCAGTTTATGCTCGCTAATTGGCCCCTCGCCCACAGATCCAATGGCATCTACTAATTTCATCGCTCCCAGCGCAGCCAAATTAGTGCCCATCCCGAGGTTGGGCTGCACCTGTGTAAGGGCGTCTCCGATGAGGAAAAGCCTGTCATTAAAGTAGGCTGCTCGAGGAGAACTGACGGAGGAAATTATGGAGACGAATGGCTCACGGATATGCTCCAGCAACCCTGCCAGTTCTTTCGGAAGCAGACGTCGAGCTTGTACAAGCTGCGCTTGCCAAATTTCCGGGCGAAGCTGGCCTTTAGGTACCGTGGTCCTGTGCTGATGGCCCGAGACGTCGGTCATAATCTCAGATGTCGTAGGGCTTGTGGGCCAAAAGTACCAGGCGAAGTTAATATGCCGCGCGCCTGGAAGGAGAGACCCGTTCGCGCCGGGAATGGTGTAGCTAAAGTATTTCAGCTACCGATGCTCTGTCAGACCGTGAGTATTATGGAGGGCTCACATAATACAGTAATTGTACTTTCTTGACCAGAGAATTGCTTTGGACTCTATTTTATCGAGAAACTCCTGAGAGAGATCTCCCGTTYGCACGGTTCCCCGCCAGATCACGTAGCCTGGTTCCTCGCGTTGAAGGTGAGGATTGAGAAGCCGCCGGATGCTGCTGTTTGCGCCATCAGATGCAATGATGATGTCTCCTTCGTATGTCTCTGTAGTGTTAGCAACGACGTTTTGAGCAGTCACAACCATTCGCCCATTGATGTCTTCCACACACACGACCTTCCTTCCAGTCTCATACAGCGCCTCGCCATCGATGCGGTCGGTCGCATCAGGCGGCGGCCGAGGACAGTAAGTGCTCTGGTAACCATCAAAATTGGCCCTCAAGCGATAGTAAGAAGTGTCCCAAGTGGTCATTCGCATCCCAACTGGTATCTTATATAGCGTTTCAAGCCGGTCATTTACGACGAGCATATCGTCGTTGGGAAGTCCAATTAACTCATCCAGGCGATCCTCCGTCTCGAAGAAGCGACGAACATGCAAGGATAGRCCTATTCCAGCTGCCAAGCCTTCACGCTGCGAAGATTCGGCCTGCTCGAGGATGCGAACGTTGTGGCCTCGTCGCTTTAGCAGAATGCCAGCCATCAGGCCCGCCACCGAGCCTCCGACCTGCGTCTGTACTGAGAATGGACTCCTCGGTGAGTGGATTACATGGACTGACTATGACCACGTCCAGCGGCTTCTGCCGAACATTCGATTTCCCTTCCGCCATATTGAGTAATCAGAGGCTTTTTGCGGTGAAAAGGAAACACGGTGCACCACAAAGGTAAAAAGGTAAGTGAAGCGAGGGCCTCGAGTGAGGTGCACCTTATTACCAATGATGATCAGCGAACATCCCACGGCGCCGTAGAATGCTGTGCAGGGTCTCACTGGCGATATGTCGCGTTCGACGTGCTTGACACGGCAAAGTTGAGCTTGTCACGTAAAGAGTTGCTGTGCGGTCAGTAACGTTCTTGTTTGATGAGTTCAGCAGCTTGACGATGCGTTGATGGATGAACGCATGTGATTGATGGAAGTGCGGCGATTCGAACTTCGGACGGAGAAGGCGTGGGCGCCGAAAGCGGACTAGCGACTTGGCAAAGCACCTTGAACCTCGAATTCGATTCCAAGCGCACCTCACACGAATTCGCGGCCGACTTTCTCTCGATACTAACTCCAGCAACACACCCTACCGACCCAACACCAGTTCACTCCGGTCACCAGTCGATAGCGAAGATGTCTGACGGCGAAGTCGAAGTCGAGGCCGTCCAGGGCTACCCGGTGCTGCCCAAGGAAGTGACAGCGGAGATTGGCTCCACCAAGCTGTTCAACAAGTGGTCCTACGAGGATGTCGAGATCCGGGACATCTCCCTCACGTACGTCGCAAACAGCAGCTGGGGAAGCAGGGTGCGAAGAATGGGAAGGAACATGGCAGCTGACGAGGCAATCACAGCGATTACATCCAAATCCGCCAGCCCGTCTACATCTCCCACAGCGCCGGCCGATATGCCGTCAAGCGTTTCCGCAAGGCGCAATGCCCCATCATCGAGCGCCTCACCAACTCGCTCATGATGAACGGCCGCAACAACGGAAAGAAGCTCATGGCCGTGCGCATCGTCGCCCACGCCTTTGAGATTGTACGTCCCACAACATCTATGCGACTCGGCCTTGGCAGACTCCCACTAACCACCGACGTGTGCTASAGATCCACATCATGACCGACCAGAACCCCATCCAGATCGCCGTTGACGCCATTGTCAACTGCGGTCCTCGCGAAGACAGCACACGTATTGGATCCGCTGGTACCGTCCGTCGCCAGGCCGTCGATGTCTCCCCACTCCGCCGCGTCAACCAGGCCATTGCCCTCCTCACCATCGGTGCCCGCGAGGCCGCTTTCCGCAACATCAAGAGCATTGCCGAGTGCTTGGCGGAAGAGCTCATCAACGCTGCCAAGGGTAGCAGCAACAGCTACGCCATCAAGAAGAAGGACGAGTTGGAGCGTGTGGCCAAGAGCAACAGATAGATGTGTTCTTTCTCCTCGCCACCGAGGGTGGATGGTGGAATGGTTCTCTGCTGCATGGATGGAACGGTGTTGGTTGCTTGCGCCCTCGCTCCCGTAGGCAGGTCGGCCTGGGATGGTCGACCTGCTTGCTTTTCGCGCGTTTGTCACGGAGTGCATAGGGCTGTATCCACGGCTGCCACGAATACTTCAAAATCAAAACATTCAAAGCGACCGATATGAATACAGTGACGTCAAAAAATTAGACTTGATGAATGCGATGGGAGGTCACCAGTGCTGATGAGGGTCGAGTGTGTCTGTATACCGCGGCACGCTGCTTTACTTGTACAGAGAGGGGCGTGCTGTGGATGGAGATAGCATTGCAGGCTCCATGATATCAAAACATTGAGACCCCTACCTATTTTCTTCTCTATCTTACTTGCCACCCTTTCCTCCCTTCTTCTTTTCCTTACCTTTCTTCTGAGCCTTCTCACCTGGCGCAGGCACAAGCTCCTCCTTCACCTTCTCCTCCTCCGCAAACAACCTCAACAAAGCAGGAGTGAACTTCTCCATCACACCAATATCGCCCACCTTGACCCGCATATAGTCAAAGGCAACGCAGACCTTCATGTCCGACTTCAGCTTGAATTTGACTGCTTCGGGGGCAGCAGCAGCTTTTTTAGGAGGCAGTTCATATTGCTTCCCAGCAGCATCATCCATATCAGGCTGATCCGGGAATGTCGCAGCTGTGGAGTCCTGCTCCAGCGCCTCATTCTCATCACCACCCTCGTCTTGCACAGAATCATCAATCATAGGCACATCCTTTGTCTCCTCGTCGGCTCGCTCCAATACAGGAACTTTCTGATACCTCTGACTGAAATGCGTCAGAACGCAAGCCTTGGCATTCATGTTCTGCGCCACAGTCAACGCCTCACTCGTCGTGGAATGGTTCTTTGCTTCGGCATCCCCTTGAAGCTCGTCATCGAAGGTTGCCTCGTGAATGCACACCGTGCTTCCCTTTCCAATTTGGGAGAAGGCTTGTGAGGGGCGACAATCGCCCGAATAGCTGACCTTGAACCCTGATGGGAGGGTTATGCTGACTGCTCGTGCGCCGTGGCAGTGTTTGACAGCCACGGCTTGGATGTCTGCGAGATTAAGCAGGGATTTCGGGACGACGTATGCGTTAACTCGCTTGTTGTATTCATTGGTTGAGAGGTACTTTGTATGACCAGGGGGGATGAACCAGCTGAGACGAGATTTCCAGCCTTTGGAAACATTCACTTGAGAAAGTGAGAGTGGTGCAATGCGGGAGTAGCCGTAATCTTCCACAGAGCTGTATTCTGCAAGCCAATTCTGCATGGCGGGTTCGGAGATGATGGCGAGACGGTTTTGGTTCTCAAAGATGGATTGCCAGTCGGGATCCTCCAGCGAAGGTGAGGTTGGTGGAGCTGGCTGGCTGTTATGGACTTCTGCATACCACGCTTTCACAACAGCAGTTGTGCCAAGTTGATGATCTGCGTGCATGTGGCTGATTATGATGATTCTGAGATCTCGGAGGACTTGCTTCAATTCGGTAGAAGTGAAAACGCGACGCAGTTGGCCCAGTGTGTTCTCGCCGCAATCCAATAAGATGTTGCCCCATCCCGGCACGCGAACAAGCGTGGCAGAGACATTTCGATACTTTGATGGCAGAGCTGAGCCAGTGCCAAGAGTGATCACCTCTGCATCTTTCGCTCCGGGTGGTAGGGTGTCGATCCAGGCTGTGAGCTCCTCACTTGGAGCCTTGACCGCTTCTTGCGCTTTTAGCGCCTCCTCCATAACGTCTTCTGGCATCTCAGCCAAAGCCTCCGCGATGTTGAGATCGGGAACCGCATCCTTCGTCTGGAACTCAATCGCTGGCTCCAATACGACTACTTGCCCACGAGCTGCGATGTGCACTTTCTCGGGCAAAGGCTGCTTCTCGCGCACAGTTAAGAAGTTGTTGTTGCCTCCGTATGTCGAAGCACCGTCTGACGCATCGTGCACGGGGACCCCATACCGATCCGGATCGACTTTCTTCAGCCGCACTGTAGAAGCAGCCACCGAGTCTAGCGCAACGTAGTTTGGACAGTAGTCTGCGGACRATACAACATGCTCCAAGTGCTTCATATCCTCCATGAACGCATGCAGTCTCGAATCCGTTGCCACATCCTTCCCGCATATCCAGAACACGGCACCAACACCTTCCATGACTTTATGTTCTCTCCATTCTGGTCTTGAGATGAGGCTGTCGATGTATTCTACTGATGGCAGATCAATCACTGCGATACCACCACCGACTMTRCTAGCGCCGAGAACCATGTCGGGAGTGATGGTCTCGCCGTCAACGTTCACAACGCTCTCGCCTTTTGTCAGAGCTGCCCAAGACATGCCCTTTGGAACTTTCAGCTCCATTGCTCGCTGTGGGTTGAACTTGCCGCGCTGAGTGTGATTGCGGATTATGTAGCTAATAGCTTCTTTTGCAGGCTGCGTTGGTGGCAGACTTTCGACAAGTGCTCCAGGCCAYGGCTTTCTGACGAGCACCTTTGTATCTTCTGCAGGTGGTGGATTATCACCGGGAAGCGGCCCAGAATATCTTTCCACCTTGTTGGTGTTCGCATTTCGAATGAACATGGTTGCAGGAAGCTTGACCTCTGAAAGGAGAGACTCGTGCAATGTGTCGAGCCTCCATGAAGAGTTGAACATTTCAGAAACGACGGCTTTGACGGTCAGGTAGTCTCGGTCCTGAGGAGTCAAATCAGCGTCGACAATGGTGGTCTGTGCTTTTTCGCCGGCATATACTTCGTCTATGCTGCGTTTCTTTCCGTTTCTCGGAGACGGATGTGATGTGGGTGAAATGGACATTGCCCAGACTTTAATATTGTCGTCCGCCCAGAGAGGTCCCCATTTGTCTTCCTCCTTGGTTTCCTCTTTCGGTAGACAGTCATCTCGGATCTCATGCACGTTCAGGGGCATGCCTTTGCGGAAGACAAATCTTCGTGCGGTTGCCAGAGTGTGATTGAGGTTAGGTGGTCCGAAAATGTTGAGGGTGTTGTCAGCTGTTCTCCGTGCTTCGTCCTCTTCTTTCCTCATCCTCTCTCGGTCTCCCTCATATCCTTCTCGCTTGGCTTTAAATCTGGCACGCTTGATATTCTCCTCGACCGAGGCTGCGGAGCTTGATGCAGATGAGTCTGCTAGAGTCAGAATCATCCCAATCAGCCCACCAGTATTGCTCCATTCCGTCCGACCTGTGAGGAAGCATTCTGATGTTTTCAACAGCCGTGCTCCCATCTGAACACATGCTCGCTGTGTCCCCTCGGCGAGACTTCCAATCAGATACCGTTTGTTGTCGAAGTGAAGGAAAAGAGTGGTACCTGGCGTGTCTGCCGTCGGCGTAGTAAGAACCTGTACGAATGACCGCATAATTCCTAATTTGACGTAATCGRGCTTTCTATATTCGCTGGAGCTCTCTGATATCGGGGGGCCAAGTTTGGCGTAGTGCTTGGAGTGAAAGTTGATCTCTTCAGTCTTGTCCGCCGCACATGACTCAGATCTCCGGAGGAATTTCCCACTTMTAAGCTGGGACCACCGCTGTTCGACGTCCTTGGGGGAATGTTCCAGGAGGTATTTGTAGACGCGAGGCGTGAACGAGGCAATAATAGACTGTTCTTCTGGATTCAAAGGCGTTTGGCGAACCTGAGGCCGAGATTGGTGTCCAAGCAGTAGATCACTGATCAGAGACCCTGCGATTCCTGGCTTGTGGCCTTCTTCTCCTTCTTCTCCTTCTTCCTCCCCCTCCTTATGAGAGTGGCGTGTCGGCTTCGAGGTGAAGAATTGCAGGCGAGTGGTATGAAGCTTGTTCCGTGAAGTCGTGAGTCGCGTAATGCGTACGGCAGACTGGCGCAGGGAAGCCAATGCGGCGATTTCAATGGCTGTCAGATGTCTGCTCGAGGACCGTGGCACAACATGGAATAATGATTGAGTGAATCGGTCAATGTGGAACTTTTTCGAGGTCAATGAGTCTGCGGACTCAGCTCCGTCGGTGATGACCGCTGGACCGGGAAAACTTTCTGCATCTCAATTCCAACGACACTTCTTGTCCATCCATCTCCACAATGCTCACTGGATCTTTCTTGTCACTTCCCTTCTGAACTCACGAGCAGTTCAACCAGACGATAACAAAATCGGGGGCAGAAATTGTACACAACATAACGACGTGCCGCAATCCCAACGGTCACGAAGAAACGACTCTCAATGAGGGAAGTCAGCATTCAAGCATCGAACTCGCCCTCTGCTTGCGTGGGCGTTCGAAGCGATTTCGGAGAACGGAAGGAACCTACAAGAAGCTCTACACTTTCACCTATGTGCTAGAGCTATGGACTTTGTCCTTGCTCCATCTTTGTCACCATGTTCCCTCTGATGTTGAAGAGCCAAAGAGAGTGTTTCTTGCACCGCAATCTCCTCAATACGAGGGCGTGTCGGCAGCTACGCATGACAATACGCTCTCGACGCGGAGCATGTTTATCATACATCGAGGTCATTCCTCACCTGCACAGATATCCCAAGCATATTCGGGAGCGCGACGTAAGCTCTTAAAAGGCTCTGTCCTCTGTCTTATCCAGTGTTGTAGCTCATGGAATACCAAAGGTCTGAAACTTGGAAACGTGGCATTTGGAGGAAAAGGTAATAGATATATACATTCTCACGATCCTTTCCTCTCTACTCGCTCCTTTGTCAATCTCGATTGGTTTGTGGCTACTGCATCGGCGTCGCCTGGACTACCCCCGTTATTGCAGTGCACGCCACGAATCCCTAAGATCTCAGAGTTTGACCTCTGCACCGTCGCACCCGGGCTAAGACTCATCGGTCGCTCATAGTCGACCCGCTCCTGTTGCCCGTAACGGATCCGCCCCTGTCACTCGCGACCGACCTGTTCCTGCCACTGCCACCCCTCAGTCGGGAAACCGAAGAAGCTCTACGCCAAGCTCCAGGGTTTCCCTCACTCAATCCGTCCTCGTTCTCGGTACTCTGTACCACATCCTCCCGAGGCTGGAACTCCGGTTGCAGCGATGCTTGCATAGCCTGCTCGAAGTCCTCATCATCATCCTCCTGGGGCAGGAACTCCGGTTGCAGCGATGCTTGCCTAGCCTGCTCGAGCTCAACAACATCATACTCCTGAGGCTGGATCTCCGGCTGGTTCGAGGCACGAGGAGCTTGTTTGGGCGCATCTCTCTCTGACATGGTGCCATTCCACCTGATGGCGTCGTGATCGTCGACGCTACCGTCGTAGTCTTCAACCGTGGGCTGCATATAGCCACTCAATCTGTTGCGGCAGTCCTTCTCGTAGTTGCGGCGGTCATCGACGCTGTCATCACCCGCTGGTGAGACAAACAAGCCACTACCACTGCCCCTATCAGGCCCATGTGAGCTAGAACCGGAGCTAGAAGGCGCACTGGAACTCGTAACCCGCTCAGGTGGGCTGGGATCGTAATCGATGGAGTCATTCCTACCATCCTTGTTCACGACGCCCCTGAAACTAGAGCTTCTGTCTCTGGCTCTGGCTCTGGCTCTGGCAATGTCGCCCAGGTCATTCAAAGTGCCGCTCATTTGGAGATCCTCAGAGGGTTGTGGAGGAGCCGGCTTCCTTTTCTTCTTTGGAGTAGGGTCGTTGCCACCGTTGTTACGTCTCTTCGGCGTCGGTGGCGGTTTCATGGGTCCGGGCTTCGACCGACGGCTATGCATGCAAACGTCGCCTTGGTCGTCGTCTGATTCGAAGCCGGAGTCAGAGTCAGCGTCACTGGACAAATGGTTGTCCAACTCGCTCTCTGGCACGCCAGCTGCTCTCAACTTCTGCACCTTAGCTACTCTCTTTCGTCGATTGGACTCCTTCCTCTTCATAAGTGGATCTTTGTGTCGCTTGATGTCGCTCATGATCGAAGTCCATCGTCGCCAGTCTGGATCCGCCGCTGACTCCATCGCTTGTTTGTAGGTCTCGGGATCATCCTGGATGTAAAGGTTATAGGCGGCAACGAGGTGACGAAGCTGCATCGCCTTCTTTTCCCACTTCGTCTTTGCTTCGCAATATTCGAAAGCGAAATGCGGTAGGAAGTAGACTTCTCCCTCCATCATCATAGTGTCATTCTCACCCTCGGGATTAGTGAAGTACAGGCTAGGAGTGAGGCTCATGCTGTCGATTTCGATTTCGCCTTCTTCTCCTTGGTAAGGCTTGTAGTAGACGTGTTTCCAATCACGGTGGCGCCAGCCGACAAACATCATCCCATTCTTGAATGAAGGAATGCCCATGGCGAAGGATGTGATTTGGAGGTGGCTGTGATTGGAGGTGGATGTGATTTGGAGGTGGCTGTGATTGGGGGTGGATGTGATTTGGAGGTGGCTGCGATTGGAGGTGGATGTGATTGGAGATGGATGTAATTTGGAGGTTAATATGATCTGAGGGTGAAGGTAGATGTAATCTGGAGGTGAAGATGAATTTGTTTTGGTGGTTGATGTGATTTGCAGCTGAGGCCGAGTGAAGCTAGGTTGGAGTTGATTGATGAGTGACAAGGGGTGTTTTGGATAGCTTCAGAAGCAAGTTCTGGAGCACATCGACCGGTGTTGAGTCTTGGTTGATCACCGTCCTTGTGTAGAATGAGTGTTGATCGATAGTTGCAGCTTCTAGCATACGTGATGTCGAGAGAGAAGATGTTGTTGTGTTGGTGAAGTTTGTGACCTAGAAGGTAGAAAAGATATAGGTGGTTTGAGTTGAATTACATGTGATGTTGAGAAGCCTAAAAGGGATGCTGGCTAGGATCTTTCAGCTGACATGCACGTTCATCTGACAATTGAGAAGTGTTGCTGCCTTGACGACAAGCAATTGGAGGTCAAAGTTGGGCGTAGTCCGCTTACAGGCTCCTCCCTTGTTGTGCTGCATGAACCGCTTCGTTTTGGGTGCTGCGAGCTATCTTGCAGCGGCAAGATCGGTTAACGCCCAGAGCTTCCCCAGCATTCTCTTCAACTGGAGTCTACTGATCATCGAAGAGGTTTGAGCTGGTGATTTGGCTGTGACACTCTCGGAGATGGCAGGAACGGAGGTTGAGGGGTTGGATAAGATGGTCATAGGCCATACGAAACGAATGTAGTCTCCGTCGGTTACACCCGAGACTTGCGCCAATGCAGGCCACATCTCCACGACGGTGCGCAGAAGCAGCGCGTTATGGTGATGTCCCGCGGGTTGGTGTGCAGCGATATCTTTTGAAAACCATGAAGCCAGATGGTGACTGCTCTTGAGCATGACTAGAGAGGACAACCAACATTATTCATGCTTGCCTCAGAACCTCGGAGAGAGTACGTTATTAATTTGAATGCACCTGCATCGGTGCATTTGGCCAGTACAACGCAGCTCCGTCTCCCGGTCGCAATGCAAACAGAGCGAGAGTCCGTCTCGTCTCGCATTGGAGTAGTGGACTGCAACGTCTCGAGGCCTACCTTATGCTTCGCGAGAGAGATGGATCGCTGGATACAACGAGGAGCATCTCGTACAGCTCATACACCACCTAGTTGCCAATGGAACGTGAGCTGGCCTTCCACTGCCACTGTAATATCGTCTCTCAGCATGGGAAGTGAGTCTCAATACCCAAAGGCTCACCTTCGGTACAATTCTGCGCCAATCGATTCGCTACCAACGCATAGGTTGGATGCTTGAGAGAGCGCTGATGGGCCTGGCGCATTCCTGATGCAGCGAGACGCTGTGGAGCAGTACCAGGACGAAGCTGCGTGKGAAGGTGATGTTGAAGTGTTGACGGCGGACAGGCGTGGGGGGAATTTTGAACGGGAAGCGGAATCGGCGCCGATCAGATGCGGGAGCTCTCCAAAAATAACACGTAAATCGTAACCAAAGTCAAGAGGAAAGAGAGCAAGAACATGACAGCTTGACATTTCCAACCCTCAACGTCGCCTTTCAATCCGAGTCATCCGTCTTTGTCTTTGTTTCCTTCTCCAATGTGCAACTGAGAGAAACACATTTGGCCCTTGACGCCAATACGAGCCACAACGCCCATCGACACACATTCTCATTCCCATTCACATCCGCCATGTTGCCTTTAGGGCGGCGGCGAGCTGGCGCCCTCACACCATTGACCCTTTTCCTGGGTTTAATCCTCGTCTTTGCGAGCACAGCCAGTGCAGCAGTACTTGGAATCGATTTTGGAACACTCAACATCAAAGCCGCGCTGGTCAAGCCGGGTACGCCATTAGACATTGTTTTGACCAAGGACTCGAAGCGGAAAGAGGTCGCCGCTGTAGCATTCAAGCCGAATCGCGATGAGAAGAACAAGATCGTCACAGAGGAGGGCACGTACCCGGAGCGAGCGTATGGCGGCGATGCTCTCTCCCTCCAAGGCCGTCTACCTGGCGAGGTCTTTCCCAACTTGAAGCTGCTGCTCGGACTACAGCCTGGCGAAGAGGGAGCGAAGACGGCACAGATTTATCAACAACGGTATCCTGCGCTTCAAATGGAGTCCGCGGCAGAATTGGGCACGACAGTATTCAAGAGCGGCGCATTCGCTGAGGGAGTGGCGCCGTTCAGCGTGGAGGAGTTGGTCGGCATGGAATTGGCGAACATTCGACGAAACGCAGAGCTCATGGCTGGACGAGGCAGTGTGGTTGAACATGCTGTCATTACCATCCCAGCCTTTTACACCGCCGACGAGAAACGCGCATTGATCAAGGCTGCTGGGTTTGCCGGACTTACGGTAGATGCTCTCATCTCCGACGGTATGGCGGTCGGTATGGAATACGCAAAGACGCGCACCTTCCCGGAAGTCACCAAGGGTGAGCAACCCGAGTACCATCTGGTCTACGACATGGGCGCTGGATCTGCAACTGCAACCTTGATGCGCTTTCAATCGAGAAGCGTGAAGGATGTTGGACGTACCAACAAGACTGTACAAGAAGTTGCCGTTGTGGGCGTTGGCTGGGACAGGACGCTTGGTGGAGACGCGCTGAATACTGTTATCATGGAGGATTTTGTCGAGAAGCTGCTCGCAAAGCCTGATGTCAAGAAACGGGGAACCACACGAGAGGAGATTACATCAAATGGACGTCTCATGGGCCGCTTCTTCAAGGACGCCGAAAAGGCCAGACATATTCTCAGCGCCAACACCGAGACCTCAAATGGGTTCGAGGAGATTCTGCCCGACATTGATCTTCGGACGAAGCTCACTCGCGTCGAATTCGAGAAGATGACTTCCGACTTTGCGGGRCGTGTCAGCAAGCCAATCACGGACGCACTGGCAATGGCAAAGTTGAAGGTTGAGGATCTCAACTCCCTCATCGTTCATGGAGGAGCTGTCCGAACACCTTTTGTGCAGAGCAAGCTTGAAAGCGCAGTTGGCGCGAGCAAGATCAGGAGCAGCGTCAACCCGGACGAAGCGGCAGTGTTCGGTGCTGCCTTCAAGGCCGCTACACTATCACCCAGCTTCAAGGTCAAGGAAATTAGAGACTCGGATCTTGCTGGTTACGCCACAAGTCTAAAGTATACAGACAAAGGCAAGGAGAGAAAGCAACAGCTTTTCACACCCAGCTCACCAGTTGGCTGGGGCGCCACCACCAAGCAGGTGGCCTTCAAGGACAAGGAGGACTTCTCTTTTGGATTTGTTCAGACCGTCGGAGACGTCGATCGCCCATTGATCACAGTCAAGTCAGAGAACCTGACTGCGTCTGTACAAGAGCTCACGACCAAATTTGGCTGCGACAAGGACGAAATTAACACCAGGTTTGGCGTGCGTTTAAGTTCACAATTCGGTCTTCCCGAAGTTTCTGGAGGAACCGTCAGCTGTGAGGTCGATGATAGCAAGTCTGGAAGCGTTGGCGAATCAGTCAAGGGCTGGCTCGGCCTTGGCAAGAAGAAGGACCAGGAGCCGCTGAGCGATGAAGAGGCCGATGGACCCGTGGAGGAGGTCGACGCTTCTTCAACCACATCCGCTGCTAGCTCCTCTTCCGACGCTGCATCTGCTTCGAAGTCTCCCGAGCCACCAAAGAAGCGTACCGAGACTGTGCATGTTCGTGTCTCCGCAAGCGCTGAGGGGAGTGCTCAATCGGACAACGACTTCTTCGTCAGATCTACCCAGCGTCTCAAGGCATTCGATGAGTCGGATCAAGCGCGGTATGCCCGTGATGAGGCCCAAAATGTCCTCRAAGCTTACACATACTCTGTCCGCGACTTCCTCGAGAATTCGGATTACGACAGCTTCGGCACCAAGGCGATGCGTCAAGAGATTAGCAAACTGCTGCAGAGCACCCGCGACTGGATGGAGTCTGGTGAGATTTCCAAGGCAACGACAGAAGTGTTGAAGGAGAAGCGTACTGCGCTTCGCAACCTCGTTGAGCCCATCAAGACTCGCAAGACGGAAGAAGGCAAACGTCCAGCTCTTGTGAAGTCGCTCCAGAAGACGCTCGACGACACTCAGAAGCTCATTCTCAAGGTTCAAGGCGAGGCCGAAAAGGCCAGCTCCAGCGTGGCCAAGGCTCTCTCAAGCATGGCCTCGACAACAAGCAGTGCTTCTGCCCCAGCATCTTCAGACGTTGATGACTTGGACGATGCAGAACCGAGTACCAGCACTGAGGCGCCTGCAACGCCAACGAATGCATATGAGAATCTCAACTTCGACAAAGTACAAGAGACATACGACTCCATTTCCAAATGGCTGGTCTCGACCAATGCCGAGCAAAGCAAGCTGAAACCTCATCAAGAGCCTGTCCTCCTCATCCGGGAGCTCGAGAACAAGGCCAAGGAAATGAGCACCGCGATGAAGGAATTCTCCGCCGCCGCAAAGGAGGCGAGGAAACCTCCCAAGCCAGCACCTAAGCCTAAAGCAAAGCCCACCAAGAAGCCTGCCAAATCCGCGGCAAAGGATAAGGCGGCTGATGTTCCTGTAGGTGATGAGGAAGAGGTGAGGATTCCCCAGAAGGGAGAGGAAGGTTACGAGGAGTTTGAAAAGGGCTATGAGCAATTCAAACAGGACAAGTTCAGGGAAATCAACATTGATGATCTGTTGAAGATGGGCAAGGAAGGCAAGGGCGGCGAGCAGGCTGCGGATGATACCATCAAGCATGAAGAGCTATAGGCGCAAAGTGTTGTAGAGATATGCTATGAGAGATGAGATGAATACAGTATATTTGCAATCAATCACTATGATGTGGCGTGACTTTACTTGCCGGCTTGATTTACAGGGTTAGGGTTGGGGTAGTGCGCATTCGAGTATACATGCTCGCAATGACATGTGCAATGCTCATTTTAGCATGCCAACAATGTTGAATGTAGTGCTAATAAGTACTCGTAGAGTACCATAGCTGCAAGAACTCCTGGTGTATAGCATCGTCCCGTGTTGTGTGAGAGTCGTCAGATGTTAATAGATTGCATCCAGGTGGGTTACTGAACTTACTCTGATGGTTGAACGAAAGCGCGAAAATGTAATAACTTGCCTACAAGACCAAAACCAGACCATACATCCAAGCATGACTCCAAAAAAATCTCTCACTTCCGAAAATCAATCCATCACCATAACAGAAGTATCTATCGGTATTCATACCGTCGCAAGCCGATTCGCACTTCGTCGTCGGTCGGTTTCACTTCGGAGTCGTAGCGCCAGAGGATTATACACGGTGCAGAATTTTCAACCAACATCCAATAGCACAAAGCAGCCCGCTTAGTTTAACGGTTAGAACAGAGGTCTCATATCACCAATATGATCCAGCTTAGCTTGGGTAATCCTCAGATATGAGTTCGATTCTCATAGCAGGCATCAACAGCAGCTGCGCCATGATTTCTTTTGCTATTTGGCCCTCACCGTCGCCGACTTTTTGCACCTAGAAGTAGTGTCATATGGCCGAAAAATCCGCATCAATTGACCAATTGACGCACAGATTGTGCACGCTTGGATGAGATGATACTGCAGTTGTATGCACAGACTCAAGTAGAGGTTAAGTACATCATCGCGTTCGATGTTGAGGCTTGATGTCGTTGATATTGTCCCTTGCTTCATTCACCCACATTTTATTACCGCATTGGGAAGACTTTGTCCCATACCAAAGTTTTGCCCGTGCGAGACATGTCGCAGGTTTTYACAGCTTCATATCCGCATCAACGTTGTCTAGTAGCAAAGTCAGTGACTAGGTATCTCGCGAGCAATCAAACCCCGAATTCGACTTACATTTGTTATGCTCACAAGTAACAAGCGCAGCACCATCCTTGTTCCCGCTTCATCACAGCCCTCAACATACAGATACGCTTTCCAACATGTACAGTCTGTTTTGCAAAAACCATGCTAGAATCAGTAATCATTCAACGACATACAATGCAGGCTCAAACTCAAACCCACCTCGCATTCCATCACCAACATCTCCCCAACCACAGCCGGCCGCAAATAAGTAAAGCTTATAGTCCTACAAATCCCCAACGTCTTCCAAAACCCCGGTTGAGCAATAGGAAACAAAGTCCACGTCGTCGCACATTCGAAGAACGCAGACGTCGCTCCCGCATGGAGAGTTCCCATGGGATTTAGGAATTCGGGCTGTACGGGAAATTTAAACGTCGCTCGACACATTGTTTCTGAGAGTTTTTCCGCTTCGAGCACTTGGACTATGTCTAGCCAGGGGAGGAGGAAGTTTTTGCCGGGCATTTCATCGTACTGGATATACAAATAGTTAGCCATTTCGATCGAAGGATTTTGGAAGGTTTGGCTGGGCGACTTTTTGGCGGGATTCCCCTTTGAGGAGCTCTTTGGTCATGCGATCTTTCCAGAGGACGTTGCCGTCTTTGGAGGTATTCTGTCTTGGCCATTGTCGATGAGGAGTTTTGTTGATGTGGTCCTTGGTAAGACTGCATTACTATTATTGATGGTGTGGAGTTGACGACTCTACTCAGCCGAGGTAGGACGATGGCGAGATCAACGTTGTTTGGAAGACTATTGCTCAATCATCATGGAACTACGCATGATGTTCTCGGTTTGCTAGCAGTTTCTAAAATAGGCACGGAGCGAGTCAATCCATAGAATTACTTACATGTCTACTCTACCGCTGCTACGCGTATGGAACAGCCGTGTGACAACAATGGATGACTCTGCGTGTTTTTTATGTATTGCAGGAACGATGCGGGCGTATATGTTGCTTGGTATGGAAACTTGTAACTTCGCGTGAGCAGGCGTTGGGAAGGAAGGACCAAGGAGTGAGCACCACCTCCAAGACGCCATGCTTGCCATCCTCCACCATCAATGTCTATCTGAACGATATATAAGACGAGCACTCAATCACTCATCAAGATTGTCTGGTCAACGAGTACTTGAAACCACTCACTCATAAGCATCGCCAGCACCTTCAACAACGCTCCGTTCCCCATTAATCTCAACCGTAGGTAGGCACCGAAGACACCCCATCAACATTCCTCGACTTGGCAGCCAGTACATCAACATCATCCCCTCCCTCCTCACTCGCCAGAAGCGAAATTACCTCCTGCTCCGGAAACCCAGCGAGTAAGTACAGCTGCCCGAATCAGGAGAGCATGTGAAGTAATATCCCCATCTTCCTCAAAGTGCGCTCGAAATGAAWTCAGTACCATGCAGACGTCCGACACGCTGGAGACGTTTTCGGATAGCATCGACACGTTCCACGCCATTTTTCTGACATACTCGCGTCTCCCATGGTATTCCTGGACGACTCGGTGCCGTGAAGTCGAGATAGTATGGTAGAAATTTGAAGATGAATTTCGCGGTCGATCCGCCAGGATAGATAGGTTTTCTTGTAGAGCTCGATGGCTTTGTCGAGAGCTTTGTGGCCGATGTAACACCATGGACAGATGGTATCGGTGTAGACTGTAATGTTGAAGACTTGCATAGCTTGGAAAATGTTGGGGGGGGGGAGAGAAGGGAAGTTTCAGTAGGATCGAATAAGTAATCAATTGATGCGTTATCTTGTTGCCTGATTGTCCACGCGTAAGAGGGGGAGCGCAGGATGCATATTCATCAGAACTAGTACATGATCGCCAAGTGGAGACATCGCCATCTCATCAAGATATCACTGTGATACCTTCCTGGTCAGACAAAGCCTCGACGAAACTGATACAGTTCTGAGATAATCTCTTGATTTTGAGAAAAAGAAGAGACGGCTCTGAGACGAAAACAAGGACGAGTACAGCTGCTCTTTTGATAACGCTTCGGACACAACGCCTCTGCATACCTTGTCCTGTCGGTAAATCGTACTCAAAGCATGACTAGAACGCGCATCAAGTCGCAAATCTCCATCCACTGTCCTCCCCGGTCAACAATGCCAATCTCTCCAGCTCTTTGTTTTTCCTAGTCGACCAGTACTTTGCCACTAAACAAGCAGCAATCGTCAACCCACATTCCAGCAATAATGACACCTCCTCCAGTTACATATCTCGGTTCCTGACTTCGCAAGAAGAAATATGGCGTGAACCAATGCGAGACACTGCTCACGCAATTGGCAATGGCAATCAGCGCGGCACGCTTTGTTCGGGGTCGTGGTACGACGGTGGTCTCCCACGAGATTTGGATGTTGAGACCGACAAAGGGACCGGAACAGAGCAGGAAGATGGAAAAATAGCGAGCGCCGACGTTGAGTGTGGATATCATGATGACCGCACCAACGAGACAGATGGCGATGCTTCCGATGATATGCCAGCAGTGTTCGAGGTGTCGCCCGCTGGACCATGAGATTGTTAGGGTGACGATGTAAGCCAGGAGATAGGGAGGTGCTTGGATGAGGTAGGTGCCGACTTTGGAGAAACCAAATGTGTTGACGATCTAGAGGTTGACAACAACCGTGAGCATGTTGTCGTTCGTCAGGGGTCTTGGTACTTACCGAAGGGAGAAAGTCCTTGAAGGACTGAGCGATGATAAGACTGAAGTGCATGGCAGCGAACATCCATGTGAAGGGATCTTTGCAGGCTTGTACGACTCCTCCCCAGTAATCTCCTTCATCATCCTCGGTGATGCCGCCAGCAGATACGCAAGCGCGATACTCCGACATTGCACTCTCCTCTGGCGTGAAGTAGTACGTCCCAGTGCTGCCGGGCCAGTTGGGGATGCCCCAAAAGCCGATAAGGGCCACCTACAAAGCGAAAGGTAGAAGGGTCAGCGATGTCTGAGATGTTTCCGATGTGTGCAGAGGCAAAGCGTAGCTCGAGTGACACCTTCGCACAACTCTGTATGCCTTCTGCCATTTAGTATCTTACCATAATACTGACAACGCCTGTGGGTAATCACAGTCAGCTCATTTTTCACATGTTTCGATTGTTCATGACGCACCTTCGAGGAGAATGAACCTACAAAGCGAAGGATATAGAAATTAGCGATGTCTCCGAGAATTGCAATGTGGGCAAAATATACCACTGCCAGGCATGGAGGCCTCGAATACCGTCCATATTTGTCAAGACGCCCGCCGCGATCAGTCCAGAGAAGACATTGGATATGATGTTACCCGCATGCCAGACTGCCATTCTCAACGGGGACTCTGACTTGGTGTACCACGAGGAGGTCATGAGAGAAACGGCAGGCAAGAAGGGGCCCTCTGTCAATCCCACGAGGAACCGACACAACATAAAGGACCACGCCGAAGTCATGAAGACCATGCAGAGCGTGACCAAAGACCAGCCAAGCATGCAAATTGGTAGAAGAATTCGTGGCTTGCCCTTGGCAATGATGACATTCGCTGGAATCTGGGAGATGATGTAGCCGACGTAGAAGAGGGATATACCAGCGGACCACTGAACATCAGTCATGTTTCCAACGTCTTCCTGCATACCGGCTAATCGGGCGTTGGAGACATTGATGCGATCGAGGTAGCTGTTCCGCGCGAATCAGTATGCATGTTTACGTTTGATGTTATCTAGGAGTCGTATATACTACTCACTTCATCAACAACATGACCGTGATGCATGGGAGAAACTTGTAGTCCAATTTTCGCAAGACAGCCTTGTTCAACAGGGCAAGCTCATCTTCTGATTTCCCACTGAGCAATGGAAAGCGTTCGAGTATGGTGTCTTCGGGTGTTGCAGATTCGATCAGCTCAACCGACTTTCTCTTGTCCGTGGAGTTACGAGGAGACTCCATTGTGAGGATAGCCAGATGCGAAAAATTTGAGATTGTCTCGACTCAGGAGCTGGTCCAGCCTGATATATGTCTCCGAGATATATCGTGTACAGGCCGGCATGGCTGGGTGGGAGCGGGCGTCGTCCGATGCAGAAAGCAATAGCCTATTCGTACCCTGGCAGCTTCGCAGATTGAGAGGCATCACATGGCTGTCAATACCCCATACCCCAATGCTATGTTGTGGAGAAATGCGGAGATACAAGACTTCCGGGGTCCGGCCACGTGGTGTTCCCATGGAGAACGCATGGGTGACCCGATGGAGAGGTGTTCGTCGGACGGAGGCCGTCCGTACACAACTCAGCCCCTTCATGCGGGTGGGCACTCTGCGCCAGAGCCTAGGAGATCGCTGCTGAGTACGTGTGTAGCATCTCGCGTAGCTTGCGGGGTAGGTTCCCATCGCTGGATACACTCTGCTTGTTGAAGATGGCGGCTAGTATTTTCCGCATTGGCGCTGCAGCGGAAAAGTGCCCCGACAAGAAGCTCAAGAGCGAAATGGCGAGTAACTGGATCTTGTGAYTAATCTGGTCAGCCGTAATGTTGGTGTACATCTGCTTGAGATGCACGCATGCGGTTACGATGCCGACTGAGGCAATCTCATATGGGTCCAGTACACTCCAGAACGCATCTTCCAGATCTTGACGAGCTTCCAGGCATTGTAGCCACTCGTGGAATGTCTCCAACATTTCGTGRGTCTCATTTGAATCCTGGGCTGGGATCTGCGAGTCTGGTGTCATTGTATGGTGGGCCGCCACGAGAAGACGACATCGCAGTCGGATGAAAGTTTCTCGGTAACAGACGTTCTGAGCCAGGCTAGTCGTCTCGACCCAGGTACGATACGTGGTGGCGAAGTACATGGGAGATCGTTTTCCACTGTGTCTCAACATGTTCAACAAGCGGCAGTGATGCATAGCCTCATATAGAAGCAGACAATTTGCCGACATCTGACCTTGTTCGAACCTCTTCAAGCTGTCAGCAGGYGCTGAGAACTGCGTACTACACACCTACATCAGGAGCAATGTCGCAATCATCCAACGCAGGAGGTTGACCGACTGCAAAGCCAATGGACCTTCGCAGGTGTCAGCGGCCTGTCTCCCTTTCCACTCCACTCCAGCGCATGTGCGACCACTAAAGCGTCTTCTCCCTGCAACTTACCGATCGAGGACGTAGAGCACGGCAATGATCCGCCATTTATCCTCTGAATCCTGCGTTTGCGAACGGTGAAATCCCAAGGCTATCGCCTTTGATAAAGCTAAACGGACGAGATACGAAGCCGATTCAATGGTAGTACCGTGAAAGGCATACAATGCTGCTGCCACCAGACACTGCATGGAAGCCACAGGATGACGTTCGGACATGCTCGCACACAGCTTGGATATAACAGAGCGCGTCATCAGCTCCACGTGCGTCGCTCTTCGATGCCTCGTACAAGCAGTGGCCAAGACTAGGGAGGTTAACAGAGCTCCATGAGGATCTGTGCAGGCCATGGGAGACTGCACAAACCGGTCATGATGGAGGATGAGATCTCTGGTATCGATAAAGGGGAACATACAGAGCACGGAATCGATGTACTTCTTCATCAGGGGCAGTGTAGCTTCCGACGATAGCGAAGATTGCTGGTCTGCAGTGAGTGACCCATTGATGGCAGCGTCTTGTCCCACGGAACCTGTGTACGACCATTGCACTACGGTATGAGCCAACGACCAAGCGGAGAACGGCTTTGGCCTCCAGTCCGCAGTGTCAGGGTCTCTCGGGGTCGTGTTCACGCCAAAGTGACCCAAGTCGGCGAGGGCATTGTGCACAGAAGCAACAGAAGCTCCGGCTGATGATTCTGGTTCGTCCGGAATGGGCGTCTCGACGGCCGTGCGTGGGCGTTTGTCACGACGACGGCCATCCAGGTGATCAATCTTTCTCTTCAGTGTTTGAATGTAGCTCTCACCCACGAAAGCCGCATCGTCGTCGTCACTTCCAGCGGAAATTGTGCGATCCCGGCATTCGACCGCCGCCTCTCTGCACAATTGAYAGGTCGGATTCTGTCGGTCGCACTTCTGCTTTCGCTTCCAGCACCGCTCACATGCACGCCGCTTGGCGTGAGGAGTGGACATTCGGCAAACAAAGAAATGAAAGGATTGTCGAGGAAGTGGTGATGATGGATGGAGTAAGTCCGACGAGTCCGAGCAAAGTAAGAATGCGGTAGAACTTTCTTCCTGGACTTGTTGAGTCCTACGTAGGAGGTACTTACTACTGTACATATTCTGGACGGAATGAATAAGAGGAGAGAGGCATACGAGGGCTGGACGAGTATTCTTACGGCGTTTCCACTGTAATACGTCAATAATCTCCCCGTTAAGCAGGTCGGGGTGAGTTAAGGAGGCCTAGGATAGGCGTTAGGGTATGAAAATCCATCCGTGTAAATGTCAATCTACACGTCAAGGACTCATTTCAATCAATCTCTGTCGAGCGAGTCGGTTACATCGAGTGAAAGTAATTCGCATACAGCTATCTCTACGCAGTTGGTAGAACGACCTCGGCCACCTCGACATGTACACCATTAACGCCCTTCTCAAGCCCATTGACAACCTCCGGTCTGACCTCCTTCACTGTCGATCCCCTCACCTTCTGATTCAGTACCGCCATTTCCGTCGCCCTCTTCGTAGCTCCAGCGAGCAATAGAGGACCATCCGTAGCAGCCATGACCCAATTCACACCCATGCCACAAAACTTTTCCACCAAATCCAGACGTGAATGAAGGCCACCACAGCCGACGAATTTGCCGACCTTGTGGCACGCTTCGATTGTCCGTCGATATGCCTCAGTCACGCGTGGGTTTTCGTAGTCACCGGGGATTCCCATCTCTGCCGTTAGATCGTTGGTGCCAATCAGCAATGAGTCCACGCCTTCCACGGCAGCGATTTCGTCGACGAGTTCCAGCGCCTCAAGAGTCTCAATCATCGGAATGACGAGCGTCTGAGCATTGATGACGGGATTGACAACTTTGGCGGGAAAAGAGCGGAATTGAAGGTGCGGGAGACCGTTGGTTGAGGAGCGGTGGCCTATGGGCTGGAATTTGGCCGCCGCGACCACGTCTTTGGCGTCTTGCACGGAGCGAATGTGAGGAACAATAACGCCCAGAGCGCCTCCATCGAGGATCCGCGAAACGAAGAAAGGGTCTTTGCTGGGTGCACGTACGATGGGCGTAATACCGGCGTATAGTGCTGCAAGACAGAGTTGGCCGGTGGTATCCAGGTCAAAGGAGGAGTGTTCCATGTCGATTAGAATGCCGTCGAACCCTGCGGTTTTGGCAATCATCGGTAGCTCCACTGAGCGGACGAGCTTGACGCTGAGGGTAGATGCGACTTCATTGCGTTCAAGTTTATCCAGTAGCGAGTTGGAAATGGTGCATTGTTCTTGAGACATGTTCTTGGTTGTGAAACGGGAGATGGTCGACGTAGAGATGCAAAGTAGATTGATTCAGGTGAAACACGGACTTACCTGTATTATAGGATGCTGTATTTCACGATTCCTCTCGACGAGTGACGGACGGATGGTCGGTCGACATCCGCCGCTCGGATTCCGCCTTCTCCACATTGTGGGGTGGCTGTCGGACGGGGTCCGTCGGCCTCAATTTAGTCCACGCATGTGATAGGCAGTCCATGGCCGAGTCATACTACCCAGCCAGAACACTGTGAGAACATCGATCATATAAGATGCTGCCCGCAACAACTGTGCGTCATCAACTTCCTCGGTAGCTCCGGTGAACGAACGACAGAGCAGGATAGCAAAATCAGATCGTAGCAAAGATGGCACCAGGACGCACTCACTCGCCCACTCCCTCAGAGGAAACAGCAAACTTCCGGCCCAAGCTATACATGATCGATAAGCTCCACCCGGCCGCAGTCGCACATGCTCAGGAACTCTTCGAGGTCGTCCTCCCCACCGATCCAGAGATTGTAAATTGGCAACGAAACGCGGAATATCTCCTCGTTAAATCTTCCAGCATTACATCATCRCAGATTGCTGCTTGCACAAAGCTCCGAGCGATTGGCAAGCAGGGTGTGGGCCTGGACAAAATCGATCTCGAGGCTTGCGCGAAAGCCAATGTGCGCGTTTTCAACACCCCCGGCGTGAATGCAGGATCGGTGGCGGAGCTTGTGCTTGGACTTACGATGGCGGTTGCAAGACAAATCGGATCGATCCAGGTGCGGCAACAAGCTGGAGAGCTGGTACACAAGGAGACCGTTAGTGGACAATCTGTGCGTGGAAAGAGATTGGCGTTGATTGGGATGGGGAACATCAGCAGAGAAGTTGCGAAGATCTTTCGATCGGCCTTCGACGCGGAAATCTTTGCGTATGATCCGTTTGCCCCCGTTGACGCGTGGAAGGACATTGCGCATGTGCGAGTGAATAAAGTAACGGATGCATTGCGTGGAGCGGATATCCTGTCGGTACACGTGCCATTGACGGAGGATACGCGCAATCTTATCGGTTTGGACGAAATGCGCCTACTCAAGCCGACGTCGATTGTCATCAATGCTGCTCGAGGTGGCATTGTTTCGGAGGAGGATCTAGTTGTAGCACTCGAGGATGGAGTCATCTGGGGTGCTGGTATAGACTGTCATGTGGAGGAGCCTCCCTCATTAGCAACCTACGGGCGACTGTGGTCGCACCCGCGTGTTGTCAGTACTCCACACATCGGCGCAGCCACTTCGGAGACGCAGCGAGACACAGCCAAGGCCGCCATCGACTATGTACATCGGTTCGCCACGACATAGATAGCACACAATGTACTTCTCCATAATGACGGGCGGTATACTTTGCAGGAGTGTATCCGTAATAAACGTGAAGCCGGTCGTTTCAACATTTGACCAGGTGAGTCGTAAAGATGCGAGACAGCTGCATTTGTGGTCTGCTCGAGTCCATCACTCCATGGGAGCATTCCAAGATAGCGGGTTGAACATCGGGTCCGATGTGAAATCCCCAGTGGCAAATTGGTTGACATAGGCCTCCACATCGGCAAAAAGATGTCCTGGAGAGTAGACCCAATCTGCAGGCTGGTCTGCGAACGCATTATATTCTTCCCACAAGACGGAATGATCAAAAGGCCCATAAGTCGTAGCATTTGTGTCGAATGAGGATTCGTCGTTTGGGGTGTACTGACTTTGCATCAAACTCCCACGTTGTCGTTGCATCGGCCGTGCGTGATCAATGAAAGAGCGCCAATTTTGATACGCCACATCACAGATGGAGTCGAAAACAGAAGCGTATGGCAGTGCATCGTGCATCTCCWGGCCGAGACTCCTTAGAAGTTGACTGCACTCCGCTAATGCCAGCTCAACCTGGCCACTCTCATCGGGTGCCATAGATGGATTGTCCCGGAAGCCACCAGAGGAGAAGTATGCCAGAAGCAGACCAGCCGTAAACAGAATCTGGAAGTAATGGCGTGTGCAATTGATCAGCTTCATCCAGTACATACTACTGTAAAGCTGTATGACTTTAGTTGCGCAATGGCAGCATAAGCGGCAAAGTTCTTTCGGCGGCGATCCCGTCTGCAAATGGATCGAGTCGATCGCGCCTCTAATCAAGAGCAGCTGCTCTTTCTTTGCCAGGAAATCGTACCACTCTTGCATTTGATAAAACGTTTCTGGCCGGGCGAAGACCGGAACATGAACACGCCAAGCATCGWTCTGAGCCGACAGTTCCTGGAACGAGTCGAAGAGCTCGCCTAGAGTATCCATGCGAGTGTGGATCGACGCCTGCGAGTTGGCTTTTCTGGAGGTACCAAAATAGGTCRCATGTATCTTGGAAGAGATCCGACGGAGTTGGATGAACGCGATGAAAACCGCCATTGGCGACCCGCTGTTTGAAGGACCAGAATAGGGAGGCAAGCCGCCGATAGGAAGTGTTGCAATCTCATTCTCGGTCAGATCTGCTGGTAGGTCCACGAGGATCTCATGGTCGGCAAGTGCAAACGGACGGCCTAAGATGGTCGAGTTATGCCTATCCGTGATATAGCTTTCCCAGAAAAGTATGCGATGATGCTGTTCTTCGGCTGCTGACATTGCAGTAAGTGGCTTCAGATGGAGCTCCATTTCAACACACAGATGCAGGCATATTCGCCCGACGTCCCATGTTGAAACGCCTGCCAAAGATTAGAATCAGTCTGTATAGGGTGGTGCAGAGTCGAGGTACCCGTATGAAAGTAGACAGCAAAGCGAGCAAGTAAGAGCAAGTTCTGCAGAGCGGTAATGCCGGAGACGAGGTTGATATGCTCTGCATGGATCCGAGCGGTGAGGAAGAAGCTGTATGGATGCTGAGATATTACTCCCTGGCGCCGAAGGCGGACGGCCGATACACTGCACAGCATGAAGAAGGTGTATAGATCCTGATGGTCCAAATCTATCGCTGCGGTGTCCGGGTAGGCTCTCTGCAGCAGCGCAGATACGTCACTCTGTTGCATCATTGGTCGTTGAAGATGAGACTCGCTGAGGTAATTTGCAAAGAGGAACTCGGCCGTGGCTTTTTCGGGAAAGTCTGCTGGAGTCGCATCCGGCTGCTGTATGCTGAGCGGCCGAACCAGCAGTTGTCTCAAACGCTGCGGATGGAAGCGTGGATTGCTGAATATGGCCTCGAGAACACTGTTGCCGCCACCATCAGCGTCGGCGTGAGAGCTCACGGCTGTAGTGTCTGGTCGAATGGGCGAGTGTCTGTTTGGCGTCTGTGATCGAAGACTTGCTTCTTGCCTTTCCAAAGCCGCAATCTGCCTGACATGTTCTTTAGCGATTCTTTATGTAGGAGGTGGCACCCGATAATCGCGTACTCCCGTGTATACTCTTCGCCAGACGCGCTGTCAACGAAGATGCAATCTACGTTCGACTTTTCGCACACGGCGCATCGGGGCGAAACCTTGTCACAGGGCCGCTTTCTGTTGCGGCAGACCTTGCAAGCAGGCAGCTGTGCTCGCTCGGCCATGTCCACGCAGTTGTCATTGCTGAACAACAATGAGCGAAGAGAAAGAAGGTAGGGAGCAGATGGCCGACGCTTAGGTGGTTGATGACRGTCCGTTCCGGGTGCTCCCGTCTTCCAAGGACATACATATTGCAGTTACCAGGTAGTTGCATCATTCCTAGTCCTATCTTTCAAGTCTGTGATCTACTATTATACAGCTCGCTCTTCCTGTCCATTTCTCTCTACTGGTTCTGGTGATATCAACAGCTTCTTATCACGATGATCCAGATTCTCACGCTGTACCTCCTTCATCACCATCGAATGCGCCTTTCGTACTGGCKAGATCTCAAAGAGACGGTCCATTTGATCTAATGGCACTGACTTTGTCTCTGGAATCAGGAACCAGACGAATACAAATCCACAGAGAGTCACGGCGCCGAAAAGGAAATACATTCCGAATCCTGAGTCGCCCATGCCTTGGATCATGTTCGGAGTGATGCGAGCGATAACAAAGGTCCAGAGCCAGTTCGCCATGGATGCAAACAGTTGCCCAATACCTCGCGTACGCTGAGAGAACATTTCGGCGTTGATGACCCAGGGAGTACCATTCCAGGAATTGATGTAAATGGCGGTCCAGAGGTAGACCATGAAGACCGTCGCAATGCCCTCTGAGGATAGAGAAGTACTCTCCGACGTGCCAGAATTGACTCTGGCGGTGATGAGCGCGCCGATGACAAACATCGCAATTGAGCCGCCGAGAGCTCCATATAGGAGAAGCTGGCGGCGTCCTAGTTTGTCAATCAAAACAAGAAGCCACACAATTGTGATGACCGTCTTGACAACACCGAAAAGGCCAGTGGTCAGATATATGGTGTCCTGGCTGGTAATACCGACCGATCGGAAGATATCTGGAGAGTAGTAGTTGATCGCATTTACACCAGCAAAGTTCTGCAAGATAAATAGCGAGTGTCCAAGGAACAGTCTCCACCGGATCTTTGGATCCTGAAGTGCTTCCTTGATCGGCAAGAAGAATCCTTGTGGAAGATCGAAGATCTGCTCCTGCATCATAGCAACTTCTTCAACAATGTATGTATCCTCTGCCTTCAAATTCCGGATCCAGCACAAATTGGCGATGCCCTCTTCGATTCGACCCTTTGTGAWGAGCCAACGTGGTGTCTCTCTCAACGTCAGACTGCCGAAAAGTAAGGCACCCGCAGGAATCAGTTGAACAGCAAAGGGGATCAGCCACTGTTGTTGGCTCTCCGGGATCGTCTTAATCATCCCGTCGTTGATCCAAAATCCCACTAGCCCGCCAATTTGCCAGCCGAGCTCGTAGGTTCCGACGAGACGACCGCCTTGATGATAAGTCAGTTACCGCGGCATTCTAGACGTGACGGTCAGTGCTTACGGATAGCTGGAGGGGCGATTTCTGCAATATATATAGGTACCTACCAGGTAATCAGCAACATAGATGCCACCAGGTCATGTAAACACACTCACCACCATAGTACAGCCGCCAACGCCCAGTCCACAAATGATCCTGCCAGCGTAAAGTGGCCCTAGGCTTCCATTCACAGATGCGAAAGTAATGGCAGCACCAAAGATGAATACTCCAGCTGTGATCCAGAGACTCTTGACCCGTCCAAAGTAATGGCAGGTCGTGTATGCCAAAGGAGATCCAAAGAAAGCTCCAGCTTGGAAAAGAGACACAACATTGGCTTTAATCAGAGTAGACTCCGAAGAAGCCATCTGATCGAAACCAAACGCATTTCCAAACGACCCCAGAGCGACAGTCGTTCCGATGAACGAGGTGGTGTATCCGATCATGCATGATGCGAACGAGGCAATGATTGCTGAGATGTATACACGCCAATTGTACACCGCGGCGGGCGTTGGCCTGTCTTCAATCTTTGTTAGTATGCCCATGATCGCCGTCGATAAAACGAGGACCAAAAATTGGAATCAAGAGAAGGGAAAAGACATTTGTGACTGTTGAGGGCGAGATGRTACTGCATGGAAATGCTCATCATAACCACGTTGAACGGGGCCCCACTGGAGTGGAGTGGAGGGCGGGCCTTTTCTACAGAATACCACCTGCCGTCCCACCAGGCAACATCGCAGCATTCGAACGAGAAGCTTGTGATGCTACCGAAAGACTTCTCGCCTGTTGAAAGGTTTGCCTGGATTCATGTGGTCGTGGTGAAAAGTAGATTAGGGTCGAACGGCTGATCCGCCGCTTGGGAAAATTCATACCCCTGTCTTCTGCGAATGACGTCTTTGCTAATCAAGATGAGAAGGGAAGCATGAAAGATTTTGTCTTCTTCCTACCATAATTGTGGGCCGATTTCGGAATCGCAAGAATCGGCTCAGGCAACGCTCTGCATCCAAGGATTTCCTGCTAGAAAAGCCGCCGAGTTCATGGCCGGTACGCGTGGCCTCCAATGTGTGGAGAGGCTGTGTACAGTAGACAGCTCTGTAACGCAGCGTCTACAGCGGTCGAAAGTTGAGACTGTCCGGTGAGTGTTCCACGGTTTGTACCTCGCCGTTTGCTCTGCGGCTTACCAATGGCGCCCCGAACAAACTCCAAGGAGGTCGCATTTCGGGAGAGCACTTGTCGTGGCACCGCACGAGGCCATAATTCTCTCGGATAGATATATACCATCTTGCCGGCTCCGACCATATCCTGGCCTCACCCTCCTCATATGGTGTGCTTCAGTAGCTCTATTGAGACAGGGTCTCTAGAATAGTGTCCAGGTGGCTTCGAGAAGCATTTTGGTAATGATGAGACTCGCATACGCAACTCAGCATTGTTMCGCATATGGTGAGTCGTATCGAATTGCGATATTCGAAAGTTGGACCAGAGCGTCTATTTGTGTATCACTCAGCAAACTTGTTAGTGAAAATTGCATCTTCCAATATCTCTTTTGGTCCAGTGAGCAAGCTCTGCTCGCGTAGCCACGATAAAAACGAGGCCCACTTCGCAGGATCCATGTAGCCAAGCCTATCATCATCGTCTGCGTAGAATTGATTGATGCTCAGCTGGCTCTTTTCGAGAAAGTCGTGAGATCGCTGAGGTGTGACCACTCGTTGGAGCAAATCCACGGCATCCGATGGTCGGCTGATGGCGTGTTCGTAGCCTTCCCTCGTTGCAGAAACGAAATCGTGAAGCACCTCATCCGAAAGACTTGATCCAGCATTACGAGCAATGACTGGAGAATAGCCGTACGGTATATCGTGGTCTTCCAGTCTGAAATAGTTGGCTTCGATGCCCTCGATGGCCGCCTCAACGCCTTCCCAGGGTAGAAATATCCATGTTGCATCTACGCGTCCGGCTTTGACAGCGTCGAACATGCTCAGCTTGCCCTCAGACCGCTCGATATTCACCGTCGTTGCGTCGCCGCCATCTCGTGTGACCATGGCTCTGACTATTGCATCCTCGTACTTTGCGTTGTAGCTACCATACCGCTTGCCGCTGAGCTCTTTCATACTACCAAGCGCCGTTCCAACAATGGCAGAGGCGTCTCTCTGGAGAATGGCGTAGATTGCCTGGAGCTGAAGCTTTCCACTTTCATTGTACGCAATGCACGATTCGGWAGGACATATGGCGAGATCCACATCCCCGGCCTCCAGACGCTTCGCTGGAGTTTGGCTGTATAGGGCGTCCGGTGGGAGTAGTTCCACCTCCAAATCGCGCTTTTCGTAGTATCCCTTTTCTTTGGCGATGTAGAGACCGCTGTGGATCGAGTTGGGCGTCCAATCTAGCGCGATGCGTATCTTGCGCGGTGCCATGTCGTTTCAGTCAGAATTGGTTCCTACGTGATGTAGAAGGTTACCTTGAAAGTCGTTGGGCTCTGTGTATACAAGGTTGACAATAGATCGATGTGGGGCGGGATGGTTCGTTCGCGGGTGTTCTAAATTTGCCGCGCTTGCGAGTTGCCGTCGCGTCTGTTTCGCGGGCACTGCAGGCTTGAGGCCTCCAACCGCCAGAATTGCCCGCGAGGATATCCACCCCGGCGGCTACGATATTCGCGTTTTGCAACGCGCATGCTCATCGCACGAGGTGTGGGAAAGGCATTGGGATCGCCTGCCGTCATTCCTCGCATCTGCACTGTGCTGCTTCCCGCCCGCGGCGCGACGACCGACCAACATCACCTTCCCCACTACCATCTCCTCCACCCTCCACACGCGACGCGTTTCGGGACGATAGCAGACGCAATGCTCCGCGGCGCCGTGAAGGAGCATGAGCAGAAGAATGGGCAGCCGCGCCTCTCACAGTCGAGTTTCTCATCGTCTCAACAAGGGCCCGCCAAGCCAGCAGCATATTCATCCGCCRCCAACCCAGGCCACCGCAATCCACTGAAGCCCAGCTCGGCATCGTCAATCAACAGCCAGAACTATCCATCGCATCGTGGTGGCCTGAAACGGACTGCCAGTGGATTGGCCAAAGCATTGGACGGTTCTTTTGAAGACGATGGTCCAGGCTCTCGCTATCAGCCAATGGAGATTGCTGCGCAGGACGGCCTCTTTGACGAGAATGATTTTGACAGCGACATCGATCTGGATATCGATGAGCCGCTACCCATGAAATCCGTGAGCTATCCCAGGCTGCCTGCTCAGCCCATCAAAGCAGCTCCTGCCAAAGCCGTCACATACCCATCATTACCAAAGCAGCAGCCAGTAAAGAGCTTTGCAAGTCCCACGCCTGGGCATGGGTCCATGCAGCCGCCGACGAGGAGCGAGGCACCGGGAAGTAGTGCTCCAGTGCCATGGTCTTCTTCGCCGTTGGAACACCTCGCTGCCTCGCGCCCGCAACAGTCGCTACAGCAGTACGCTTTTGATCCACGCACAAGCAATACTGCCACATCGACATCGACAGGGAGTCATAATGCTGGAGCACAACCAGCGGCAGCAAAGCGCAGGAAGCTGCCATGGCAGTCCGAGGAAGTTGATGAGGAGCCACCTCCATCCATGTCAACCGCAAAGTCACGCACACAGAGCACGCCAGGCATGTTTACGCCGCATTCCAAAGACAAATCGAAGGACAAGTCGTTGTTCCCGTGGAACACCACCGCAAGCGCAATCAAGGAGCAACAGAAGAAACATCGTGAGGACGCCAAAAAAGCCGTCAAAAAGCATGCCGGCACAGACGAGTCGCTCGCTGCAGCGAAGAGCAACAATAAGCGTCCTGCTCGCGTCTTCCTTAGCGAAGAGCAGCAGCACGTCCTCGATCTCGTGATTGAGCAGAAGAAGAGTGTTTTTTTCACCGGTTCGGCCGGAACKGGAAAATCGGTCCTCATGCGTGAGATCATCTCACAGCTACGGAGAAAGTATTCTCGAGAGCCAGATCGCGTGGCAGTGACCGCATCTACCGGCCTTGCTGCATGCAACGTGGGCGGTGTCACACTGCACAGCTTTGCGGGCATTGGACTTGGCAAGGAGGCAATCCCTGAACTGGTTCGGAAGATAAAGAAGAACCAGAAGGCGAAGTAAACCTTTCCCTAGCTACCCACGTTTTGGGCTACATCGTCTAAGACATTGCTAACCCTTCGCTTTCAGACATAGATGGATGAGAACCAAGGTTCTGGTTGTTGACGAAGTGTCTATGGTCGATGGAGAGCTCTTCGACAAACTAGAAAGCATCGCACGCCAGATCAGAAACAATATGCGTCCGTTCGGCGGCATCCAACTTGTAATCACTGGGTAAGCGGATCTATAGTGCTGGGGTTTCGACAGACAGTGCAGGAGCTCGCGTCTGTGCCCTGCAACCTTCGCTAACACTTTTTTCAAATGATAGTGATTTCTTCCAACTGCCACCAGTCCCCGAAGGTGGTCGCGTGGCCAAATTTGCATTCGATGCGGCAACATGGTCAACCAGTATCGAGCACACAATCGGCCTTCATCACGTCTTCCGTCAAAAGGATCCTAGTAAGTAGGCTCAAACACAATAAACGTCAGGTCAGTACTAACGGGCTTGCAGTTTTCGCCGGCATGCTCAACGAGATGCGCGAAGGTCGCCTCTCCGACTCTTCGACTGCAGCCTTTAGAAAACTTGCCAGACCACTCACATTCGAGGACATGCTCGACGCTACCGAGCTGTTCCCAACTCGCCAAGAAGTAGAAAGGGCGAATGCGGAGCGTCTGCGTGGACYTCAAGGGGACCTCTTCCCATTCCCTGCGAAAGATGGTGGTTCCATTACAGACAAGTCCGGGCGCGATCGTCTTCTAGGCAACTGCCTCGCACCAGAGCTCATAACTCTGAAGAAGGGGGCTCAAGTCATGCTGATAAAGAATATCGATGAAACGCTGGTGAACGGTTCTTTGGGCCGAGTAATTGGCTTCATGGACGAGCGGCAATTCGACAGCTACAACAACAACGGGGACATGTTCCCTCACTCACCCGGTGGTACTCTTTTGTCAAACTCGGCGGAAGGTGGACCCGGCATGGACCCTGGCGAGCGACCTCGTGTCATGATGGACCACATTACGACCTCTCGAAAGTGGCCTTTGGTACGGTTTGCAATTGCAGACGGAACCTGGCGAGATCTTCTCTGTCAGCCTGAATCTTGGAAAGTCGAACTGCCGAACGGAGAGGTACAGGCATCTCGGTCTCAAATACCACTGATCCTCGCCTGGGCATTGTCGATTCACAAAGCGCAAGGCCAAACGCTCGAGCGTGTCAAGGTTGATCTTGGCAAGGTCTTCGAGAAGGGGCAGGCATACGTTGCGCTCAGTCGTGCCACCAGCATGGCCGGCTTACAGGTCCTCAGGTTCGATCCGAAGAAGGTCAACGCACATGAAAAGGTTCGGACCTTTTATGCAAATCTCGGGCGAGTCGAACTCGCGGAAAAGAACAAAGACCGCATGGAAAAGATGAACAASTCCACCACGACTGCTCAGAGTTACGAACAAAACTTCATCGACGCGGAAATCGAGTAGTACTGAGCCCGTTTATGAAGTGCTGGTTTTGCTGGGAGCGTGGCGTGTGGAGCAAGCATTTGTGAAGCGGCATTGCAGGGAAATATTATGGATGACCTTACAGCGTATGTATCAACGCAGCTCTTTCTCATTTCCCTAAACGCTGTTTTTCAGTCAGATTCCAGCATTAGCTGTGCGCACCGCTCAGCTATGAGATATGCATTAATCTGAGTGTGGTTATTGGTCAAAATTGGACAGACCGACATGTCGGCCACCCGTAACCATTCCAGCCCGACCACTTCAAAGTCCGCAGTGACTACGCGTTGACTGTCTCCCTCTTTCCCCATCACACAAGAGCCCATGGAGTGGAAGCCCTGCGTTAACTCTTTCTTTAGGAAGGCAAGGATAGCCTCATCGTCCTCAGGAGAGCACAGCTTCACCGCGCCATCGTCACCTTTACCACSAGGGCCGTGAAGGGGCTTTCGAAGAATTGCCTGCATCGATGGGCTCTGCAGAATCCGAAGCTGGACTTTCATGGTTTCCACTGCAATACGCCAGTCATACGGTTCAGCACAGTACGCGGGATCTACAAGAGGCAGCTCCCTCGGGTCATTGCTGCGCAAAGTCAGGGAGCCTTTGGATAGGAGATTCTGGCACAAGCCTTCGACCGCAATCACCGAGTCTGTAGGTGCAACTGGCCCCGAGTAGAAAAGAGGACCACCGTGCATCCAGAGCTCGGTGCTAGGTCGCTCGGGATGTTTCAGGAATGTCTGGATCTCTTCTGGTAGGGCTAGGAATTCAGACGATTCGTATAGCTCTGGAATGCGAGCGAAGAGTACTGCAGCGCTTGCTCCTACAAAGTGAAGAGAAGAAGGGTCAGCGATGTCTGGAACAATTTTCGACGTGGGCAGAGACATGTCGGAGCCCGGAAGGAACCTTTGATCTACCCTGTATGCCTTCTGCCCTTTAGCATCTTACCAAAAACTGCGAGTGGGCCTGTATTCGACTCCTGGTATTGTTTCTGCGCGGCTGCGAGGGCCTCTGGGTCTTTGAGAAGCTGGTTCTGTCCTGGGATCGTCTCGTCAATCACAGCTTCAATGCTGAAAGCACAATGGTCTCGGATGTTCTTTCCGACGCCGGGCACATCTTTCACGACTTCGATGTTGTGCCCCTTCAACTCCGCCGCAGGACCGACACCGGAAAGGAGCAGAATGTGGGGAGATTCCATCGTGCCGGCGGTGAGCACAATTTCTTTGCTTGCGTGGACTTTCGCTACCTCGTCTTTTTGACCAACAGGCGGGCGAGAAGCAATGAGCTCGGCGCCGACTGCTTTGTTGCCCTCAAATATGATTCTCTTGCAGATAGTGCCGGTCACAACCCGCAAATTACCCAGCTTCTCCCTCGCGGCAGGTTTCAAAAAGGCACCAGCACTGCTGATGCGTACTCCAGAATCGACATTCATCTGAGCCACAGCGACACCCATCGGATCGCCATCGTTGTGATCGAGATTCAAGCGGTGGCCGGCTTCAATTGCTCCTTCCAAACAGTGCTTTACCAAGGCCTGCCATTCGGCTCCAGTGCCTACACCAATTGGTCCACCCGTGTTGTGCATCTCTGGCTTCGGATCGATGTACTTTTCCATTCCAATAGGGCATTCGGGATGAAAGTCCTCGAGGTTCTTCATGTACTTTACAGCATTCTCCCACCGCCACCATGGATCTGCCGTAGCTTCGGCCCAGGAGTCAAAGTCACATTTCGGACCTCTGACCTGCACAGTATCAGCCAAATGATTCTCTGCCCTCTCAAAGCATCACCATTACCCAGCTACTCAAGTTTACAGCCGAGCTACCACCCAACCCCCTTCCTCGCGGATACACAATCGTCCTCCCGCCAAGCTGCTTCTGTGGAGCAGTCTCATAAAGCCAATTCCCAACCTCGCTACCGAACTTGGGAACTACGAGACCGGGAACCAAATTCTCTGGATCATCTTCAGCTTCGCCGCCTGCTTCTACGAGGAGCACTTTGGTCGCGTTGGATGCAGTGGCGAGTCGGGATGCTAAAAGACAGCCTGATGTCCCGCCACCGATGACAATGTAATCGAATGTGCGATCTTTGACATCTTCCAAGGATCTTCGTTGTGGTGAAGATGAGGGAGTGCTCTGGATTGGTTCTACCAGCCTGTGATGGACGCCCATCGTTTGAATTGAACGTTGTCTTCCGGAGGAGTATAGATAGGCTCGAGGAAGATAAGAGGTGAAAGTTGGGTACGAGTCCGGCTGATTGAAGCGTATACCGTTGCGACTCTCTATGAAGATTCCGGTGGCACTGGTTTTATCGTCACCTCAGTAAGTAGGTTCTTGCACTAGGATTTGACGCAGTATCTTTGTAGTTGGTCGATGCGTGAATGATGTCGACGGGTGAATACCGTCGGCAATTGAACTCCTTTACCTACTAATTGATTAGGTGGAACAAGGGCCCACATGAATAAAACCCCACATCACTTCAAAACACGCCCCTTCCCCATACCAAGTCCAAAGCCGCGTGGCAATACCCTGACTGACCACCTGCACTGTTTCGAAGACAGAAATGTCTTTGTACCTTAGTATCCACAGTCACTATCTCTCCAGGAGATAGCTAGAATACGACGTCACATCCGCAACGAAGGTAGCAGAGCGGCTATCCGTGTCTCAAAGGATTGGATCTGCGGCTTCAGTGGCACAGCCTTCACAACCTAAAAAACCTCGAGGATTCACCGGTTGGTCACCTTTGACCAGACATCATCCTTCATCCACTTTCCATGGTAACTTATTCTTTTCTTTATTGAAGCTCTCCGCGGCTTGCACATCCCACGCTCTTTCTCCAACCAATACCCTCGAACTCACGATCCTGCCCACAATGGCTGAGCCAGAAGCCGCCCCACTCACTCTCAAGGAACGCATTGCGGCGCTTCAACTCTCACAAGTTGGCAAATCGCCTGGGCAGTCAGCAACAAGTCATGAACGGTCTCCATCTGGTGCGACTCCACAAAGACCCCGGCCTCCTCCACCTCCACCTCCACGGCCCAGTATTCCTGCGAGACCTCAAAGCTCCAACAATCCTCCCGTTCATGACCATGCTTCCATAACGAATCAGCGCATTGGGAACCAGCCTGCAGAAGAACCCGCAAGGCCGCCATTGCCTCCAAGGACTTCGACCCAGTCATCTCAGCTATCAGCTCAACCATCACCTGCTCTGCCGCYGAGAAGGGTCTCAGAAGCACCTTCTCAGAATTTCGATCGCAGCAGGAGAGGATCGAACGAATCTACCAGCTCGGCAGCGACAACGAGATCATCCATCTCTGGTATCTCAACGGCCCCTTCGTTTACTTCCCAAGGCGAAAGATACAAGATACGTGCTCCCGACTACGATCCCTCTGCTCTACCGGCTCTGCCACCGAAAAGGACCAAGGAGGAACGCGAAGCTGCAGATCGTCGTTATGCAGGCGTACGACCTCTACGGCAGACGAAATCTTCTCCCAAAGTTGCGCAACCCCAGCAGGGCACCACACCGCCTCCGTCCACTGTAAGACAAGTATCGAGTTCTGTTGTTCCCCCACCACTCCCCCAAGCGCCGAGGCAAGCGCCCGCTGTTATTCCTCCACCTCTTCCTGGCCGTGATCAACGAACACAACTGGCCCTCGAACCGCCTCCTGTAAGTAACAACTGGGTGACTCCAACGAGACAACCCGTGGTGCCTCCTTTGCCTACGCGAAAAGATCAGCAACAGGTTCTTGATCAACCGCCGAGGCCTATTAGAGCAGATGTGCTACCACCACCGCGACCGAGACAATCAGCCCTGGCACTTGGAATGAACAAGTCGACCAACACACCACCACCACTGCCCGGATCACGACCCGGTGCTGTACAAGATCCCAATGGTCCGCCGCCAATTCCATCYACATCAAAGCCTGATCTGGCAGTTCTCCAAGCCTCGAAACCCAAATCATCTGGAGCCGCCAGTACTTCTCACTTTCCATCTCAAGGGGCCTGCCTGATATGCCGAGACTTCAGTGCGGTTGATGCTCATGCAGCACGTTTTCCGAGAGAATCCATCCCTTCCCACGATCTCGGTTGGCTGGCTCATCAAATTACTTCACCATTTCCTTCTGCGACTGACAAGGCGCGAGCGCTCTTTACTTGGGAGCACCACAATATCGCATATGACACCGTCGCTTTCTTTGGTCACAACGTCCAACCATCCACTCCACAATCGACATTCGAGACCGGACTCGCAGTTTGCGAAGGATATGCGAGTCTCTTCAGCGCGTTGGCCCTAAAGGCTGGCCTAGAGTCCATCGTGGTAGGCGGCCACGGAAAGGGGTTTGGCTACGCCCCGATGGCGCCTGGGGCTCCTGTCCCGCCTTACGAAGCCGGACACGCCTGGAATGCAGTCAAGATCGATAACGGCGAATGGAAACTTATCGATTGTTGTTGGGGCGCTGGAAATATCTGCTCACAGCGATCTCAGGCGTATAACAAGGACTTCAGTCCTGAACGTTTCACGCAATCCAACGAGGATTTCGGCATCGACCATTTTCCTGGTGACAACGCTCACCAATTCAGGAGAGATGGGAGGACTGTCAGTTGGGAGGAATACATGCGTGGAGATAAGGATGCTTGCTCTGCGCTCATCTACAACGACGCTAACTCGGAGGGCTTACTGAAGCGATCTTTCAGACCTGCTGAAGGAAGCATTGTCCTTGCACAGCAGGGACCTACGGTCCGATTTTCCTTTCAAAAGGCGTGCCCTCATTGGGACCCGGTCAAGAATGGAAAAGGAGATTGGTATCTATATGTGCTGGCCATCGAGGGACTGAAAGATGATCCGAAGCGGGGCATGGTACCTTTTGAGACCAATGGCGAGGTTTGGTGGTGCGATGTGCAGACGAGAGATCTGGGACGGCCTGGCATGAAGGCGCACATCTACGCCATGACTCAATTTGATGGCAGAGATGGCAGAGGGTTGACTTCGAGGACGTTTAGGGAGAAGATCGGGCGATGTGGGTGGGCAAGCGCTGCGGTGGGCATGTGGGAACTCGCTTGATCGAAGTCAAGGCAATTGGGGTTTGTTAGACAGAGTGCAGAGGGCAAAATCGGAGTCCGCCTTAGGGTCCAGGATTCCCGAAGACATTTCAACCTTCCGGTGCGGTTGTTGTAATTGAAGCTGCGAGCGCTCTGGTCATCAGCACGGTCGCAAGTCAAGCAACTCGGAAGCATTAATATTTCACCACGGCATCCTTGAGGGAGGCGAGAGGCAAATAGACTGCAGATGTTTGAATTCAATACCAGCGCATGCTGAATTGATCTTCATTCGCGCCAGCTCTTTCCTGGCGTCGCGTTTATGTGCAGTAATACGCTTGAACTGATAATGAAAGCGCCCGACATTGGAAACTCGCCGGGCTTCTTGCCTCTGCGGAAGTCTCCCTGTATGATCGAACACTCCCTCTGTAGTGAGCTCTGTGGCCACTACGAGGTCTTCTTCCAATGTCCTTCGTTGCTGGTAGATCGTCTGCGTCTTCTGGACACGACCTGTGCTGTTCCCTCCCCAACAAGCACGCTCATTGCTGGGGCGAAATCAGGACGACGGAGTCTCCTAGAAACGTGTGAGCCGTTGCCCATGTCCCCATTTCTCTACCCGAACGTATTTACCTCTCACAAACAGCATCTCCGACTGCTTCTTGACGCTGCGCACATTTTCTTCATCCTCCTCGTCCACCATGTAGATGGTCTCGGTAACATCGCCTAGCACCAGATTGCAATGGTTGTCATATGCCTGCTCCACCAATCAGTACTCCAATCCTCTTCTCACCCCCCGCCCCATCGAATGCGCTCACGTGCAGACGGCCTTGGAGTTCGCGATCGCCTCGCAGCTTCACAAACACCGTTTCGTTGAGAGATAGGCGCACGAGATCGAGGGGCTCGTTGACGGGATTGCCGCCGGTATCGTCGTTATCGGCCATTGATCATGGAAGGTGGGGTGGAGGATGTAGTGGTGAGGATTGGTCGAAGATTCCAAGCACGTCCTGCACTGCGGGCAAGGTTCACTCACTTGACGTCTGGCGCGTTCTTGGCAAAGACGGGATCGGGGCAGGTCAAGCGAGAGGCCGACTGGCCGGGCCGCCATCAATACCTTACCTAGCTTCGAAGTCAGCTCGCGCCGGATGAACATCATTCCCGAACTTGTACCTCACACTACTTCTTCCCCATGGGGAAGCACGACACCAATACATCTGCCCGTACATGTCCTCTCTGCTGGCCCGACTGGGCCATCTGCAGGCGCGAAATGCAGCTCACTCGCTCAGGATCAATGGCAAGAAATCGACCCCCAACGAGGTCGGGTGCGTGGACTGCAGAGCGAAATGCCACGAAGCGTTGAGTCAGAGCCGAAGTTACGGCGACAATGGCTCGTCTCGGATGTTTTCGACGCAAAGACACAAACGAGCTGTACAAAAAGTCTCTACACCACCGTTTCGACATACACGGCAGCGGCGCGAGATACACCACACGGCAGCTTCCAGGGAGAGAAACGCTCATGATCCCAACGATCCCAACGATCCCAACGGCCTCAACGATGTATCCACTTTCCCTGTTTACCCCGCTCGGGATACGCGGCGAAGCAAACGAACCGAAAATACCACACGAGGCTCCAAAAATGCTCAGAGGTCGGACGAGGACGAGGACGTGAGCCTATGGGAGTCATTCGAGCGAGACTACGAACTAGACGAGGACAATGATCAAACCGAAAAGACCACGCGAGGCTCCAAAAATGCTCAGCGGTTGGACGAGGACGAGGACGTGAGCCTATGGGAGTCATTCGAGCGAGACTACGAAKTAGACGAGGACAATGATCGAACCGAAAAGACCACGCGAGGCTCCAGAAATGCTCAGCGGTTGGACGAGGACGAGGAATTGAGCCCATGGGAGTCATTCGAGCGAGACAACGAACTAAACAAGGACAATTATCAAACCGAGAGGAGACCAAATGCGTCTGCGACCCTTGCCTCCCTGAAGAGAGAAGGTGACAAGAGGCTGGATATCGACTACAGGACACGCCTTCCCTCTGCTCTCTTGCATGGTGAGGCAGACACGGTAGTGCGCTGTTTATTTGCTGCGGATCGGGACTTCGTCAAAGCCCTGCCAGCAGCAACCTTCAGTGAAATCATCCGCGTGCTTGAGCCACGAAACTTCATGTCCCCTCCGGCTGCTGTGCATTTCGATCTGAGTGCTRCCATGGCTCACAAGCTCCAAGTTGCTCCCATGCGCGAAGTTGCATACGAATATGCTTCGGTTTTGAAGGAGGCCGTTGGATTGCGGCGTGGAATTCGATTGACGCTGTCAGACTACAAATCCCTTCTCCGCAGTGCCCGTGATCTTGGGAATCAAAGGTTCTCACGCATGCTCTGGGATCACYTATTGATCGAGGAGCACAAACCTGACACGAAATGCTATAACCYTTACATGTCTTCTTTGTTGTGGAACGGCTTGCATTCGGCGGGCGCTCGCCAAAAGACTCGAGTGATTGACTTCAATATGGCAGCTCGGAAGAAGGAGACGCCAAAGCCCAACTTTCGCCATTATCGAGTCGGAGCAGGGGGTTTGCGGGAGGTCGCTATGTCAATCTTCAACGACATGCTCGCCAATGGCGTAATCGCGAATGAGGAGACCTTCCGCATCCTGATCACCGCAGCCTCACGGGAAGGCGACCTCGAAACCATGAAGTCCGTCCTCAAGAAGGTCTGGAATATCGATGTGGATGCTTTCCTTGCAGGCGAGGATGAGGCTACCATCACACCTAAATCTTTGCAACCAGACTCAGCTCTCTATCCGACCCCGCAGCTGCTTTTTACGATCGCGGATGCCTTTGGGAGCAACAACGACATTCCTTCTGCTCTTCGGACGGTCGATTTTGTCGCCCGCCACTATCAGCTTCCCATTACGCTTACGGTCTGGGAACGGCTCTTTGAGTGGACATTCGTCTTGGCCCTTGAGCGGATCGGGACCCACAGGAAGACTGGAAGTGATGCTGGGCAACTCCCTGGCGAAAGTGTGATGAGTCTTTACAACACCATGACGTCTGCTCCATATTATATCCAACCGACCATGGGAATGTACAATTATCTCATCAAAATCCTCTGGGAACAAGGCGAGAGTATGGAGATGTTAGAGCACATGCGGGAAGGACGGAAGCTTYACTCTCGAAATCGCCGTCACGCACGGAACCTGTGGTATGCCCTTGAACAATCGCTCGAACTCGAAAGCAATTCTCCGTTGCAACCTGATCGAGAAAAGCTTCGTCTTGAATACGAGGCGGCGGATCTTGTACGGAAACAGGGTTTGTTTCRGCTGAAGAGGTGGTTRAGATTGCTGTTGGCAAGCTCTAGATCTTCGGAAAACAACCACTTCGCATTTGATATACCTGGCATCTTGTGGGAGTGGCGGTCATGTGCACCTACAAAGGTGAGATATGAATTACCAACTGGGTTTCTTGAATTCAGCATTCGAACGTGGGAAGAAATGGCGAGCTATGCGATGTCGTCTTTTGCCCACAAGAGTAATCGGAGACACGCGCTGAAGAAGGTGGAGAGGTATATTGGTGATAGATGGATTGTGGGTGAGGTTCGCCCGGCGAAGAGGTTACTGCCGAGGAAGTAGGATGGCCTCAATGCAGATGTCCATATGTTGTACAGCTACATTAATTCACGCGTATGCCCGCAGCAGAAGTTATCAGAAGTGCTCGCGTTATGATGTCTATTCACGTCRGACTTACATGCCCAAAGTCAGCCGACGTTTGATACGTCTGAGTGGGATAAAGCTGTGGATAGCGTATTCTTCTTCCATTCCATGCTGGAGGTATATGGAAATACACGTGCCTATGCACCCTACAAGTACCTACTTCTACCTACCTACCTTACATAGGTACCTTACCTGTGAACCTGGAAGCTTTCCCTGAGCTAACCAAAAGTCTACGCCGGAGTTGTTCCGCAGCAGCATGAGCGGCCCCACCTTCGAAACAAGCTTTCCATCAAGCTTTCTTCGACCAGCATCACTAGCTTGGCTATTCCTCGAAGTTTCACATTCGTCAGCGACTGCCATCCGACATCCAATATCACTTCTGCCTCCTAAGCGCTATCCTATTCCGCATACTCCCGCAGGTCCCTAGTACAGTGGCTATTCCAGGCCACATCGCTCATGAGTATCCCGGGCATCCTTTTATATCATCTACACCGCAGCCGTGCAAGGTCCATCCCTGCCTCGGCAACTCCGATTCGCCATCTTTACTCCGTAAAGCTTTGCAGCAAGTTTCCATACCACCAAGAACAGGGCCAGACACAGCCAGATCCAGGTCGCGCACAGATATGACCACAGTCCGGGACTTTGAGAGTCGCAGTCGTGGCCGTGCGCCGACAATAACAACCCAGCACACCGACGACGAGGGTAGGCCGCAGTCCCCGGTAGCCGTCGACCATCCTGATCTTGATCGGCGGGGGAGTATAACCAGCCATCTCTCTGTACAGGGCTCCATACGTCATCGCAAGCCTTCGAGGTCAAATACGGTCCACACATATCCGCCACCCTATCAAGAAGTGCAATCTGGGTCCGATATCTACGCTCCAGGCGCCGAACCAGGCATTGACACTGGAGCCTCCGACGAGAACATCCCTCCCCACATCACAAACCTCAAAGAAGTTTGCGACATCAAAATCATCGATTTCTCAGACAAAGCTGTGACGCATCAGGAGGCTGACAACGACTCTCTTGCTTCCTTTCTCGATATTCCTCGGACCGAAGACCTGCCATGCCGTTGGATTTCCATCAATGGACTGAGTTGGGATGTTATCCGCGTGGTCGGAAACAAGTACGGGCTTCATCGTCTTGCCATCGAGGATCTGACTCATACCAAGACTCGTACAAAAGTTGACTGGTATGCGGACCAAGCTTTCATCGTTCTTACCTTGCAGAAGCTAGTGCGACTACACCAACATAGGGGTAAGAACGAAAAGTGTAGTTGCGATGCTCTGACCGAAGATGAAAGTGAGATGATCGAGGAGAAGTTTCACGACAGAGATCGCTACCGACGGAGATGGTGGCACTGGACGAAGAAGAAGAAGCCTTCTTCCGATGTGCTGCCTCGATATCTCGATCAAAATCGAGATGGTAAGCTTGACGAGTTCGTCAGTGCCCATAGTAGTGCATCGGACAATTCGCCCGTCAAGCGTATACGCACCCTCCACCGCTACGAAAGCGCTCAGATTCCAGAACATACAGCATGGATGGAGCGCCACAGTGCACTCACGGAGGACGATCTCGCTGTAGGAGTGGAGCAAGTGTCGATGTTCCTCCTGGCCGACAACTGTGTCATTTCATTCTTCGAAAACTCCGCAGAGGATGTGGAAGAGCCTTTACTAAGGCGTCTGGACAGTCCAGCAACGATGCTTCGAAGAAGTTGCGATGCCTCCCTACTCACACAAGCCATTATTGATGCCATCGTGGATTTGTCAATCCCTGTCAAAGACGCTTACAACAAATGCCGAAAGGAGCTGCAAATCGACGCCATGACAAATCCCAACATCCGTACCTCTCGCGCTCTGCATATCTTTGGGGAGGAGATTGATATGCTGCAAAACCTCTTCAAGCCTATCGTGCACCTCGTTAACGCCCTCCGCGATCACAACTCCGAGCCACAACCGCCGCCTTCGGCGGCCATTCCGACCCCAGCAACTACACCCGTAAGTCAGATAGAAGGGCAGGAAGCAGATGCTGTTTGGCTGCCACATAGCATTGCATCTACCTAGGTTTAGTTTGCTGGAAAAGGCTGAGGCCATAAGATGATCTTTCAGCCAGCCAAAGTCCACTTCAGCCTGAAAAGGCAGACTTTCCTGTCTAAACCATTCGTTGTCTTAAATATCTGCTAACACTTTCTACTCATTGTCTAGCTACCAGAAGAGACCCCGAACCCACCGGAGTATTATGCTCCCAGACCCGCCAGATCAGCACGCGACCGACAAGGCGTCCCGGCCACCCAACGCAAGCTCTCCGACTTTCGTCGCATCGCAAAGACACGTGCGGAATCAGCAGTCAGCGTGACAATATCGCCACTGGCACACACCTACTTCGGCGACGTCCTCGATCACTGTATCACAATGATATCCGCTCTCGAGCAAATGGACGCCAGCGCGAACAACATCTCCACCCTAATCTTCAACACTGTTGGTGCAAAGACCAATAACTTCATGATGATCCTCGCCGTCGTCACTGTATTCTTCGCACCGTTGACCTTTATCTCTGGTTATTTCGGAATGAACTTTTCCAGTGGCGCAGGCTTGGCGCATCCGTTCGCGTTCTTTTGGGTTGTTGCCGCGCCGAGCTTGGTCGGGTTCATGTTGTTGGTCTTTGGGTTTATGCTGTGGGACAACATTCGAGATTTCCTCAACAGGAGGGGTGTGAAAGCGAGATGGGCGAAGCCAGGGAAGAGACCTAGGAAGATTTGAGGCGGAGTGTACCTATCTTGGACTCCCTCTTTTGCGCAGCGATGGAGTGATGGCGTTCAAGCGAGAGCGATACAGACATGGGATGTATATCGAAGCGAGAGCGAAAGCGACATGGCCATGGCATGCCTAGTGCATATTCTTCATAGCCAGAGCGAGGAAGAGCGAGGTTCTCTATCGCGGACTTGACATTGTTCGGCTTCATCAGAGTGAAGCTTCATAGCGTGTTTGCTCGTCGAGCCTATTTTATCCCCAAGCAGATGGGATTTGGAACGTATAGGGGCTAATGCGGCCGCTCCAGAAGACTCTCCAGTGAAATGTTACTCGAATGTCATGGGCAAGAATGAATTCAACGTGTAAACACCTCATCTCTCTTCTATAGGACTTCGTTACTGAGAGGTATGTACATTCCTCAAATATTGAATGCAACTTCTAGTAATACATGTATTGGCCTGCAATCTGACAACAGGGGACAGTATTATAATGAAAGAATTGATGGAACCACGGAGTACATGTAGCTTTGATTCACAAGCGATTTGATTGGGTCACTACTAGTTTCATTGAAGCCATGGAACTCGAACATGTTCCTGTCCTGTGCCTTGTGCCTTGTGCCTGAACCACTACTGCAAATCAGACACGTGCATCAATCGTTCTAGCGATTTGCGTCTAGTCGTAGAAGATCACATGGCAACAGTTTCATTTCGGCTTTTGCAACTTCGTACACATTTCATTACGATCACCCAAAAGGCAAACGAAACTTCCCCAATTGACGCCGAGCGAGATAGGCGGTAATGAACAACGAAATTCATATCGTCATGAAAAGGCGTCCTCCGGCGAGCTCTCCACTTTCCCCTTTCATCCTTTTATTCATCTTTTTTTTTCCCATCGTCCGCTGGAAGGAGGCCATCATCATAATCCGAGCTCGTTGAGAGTGCGCGTGTATAGATCAGTCGTTCCTCGCAGCTTGGTGCTCCAGCTCATCGCTTCCTTTTCTTATCTTTGGCCAAACTGGCTGGAGCCAGATAAAAATTGGCCGGGGCGATCATGCCAAGCTGAGATTGTGTCTGTTGTGGCGGCGGCGTGTCATCTTCGTCGCCAACACTACCGTCTGCCTTTTTAATGGTAACGCCCATGTGCCGGCCGTATCGACCCTTGCGTCCGTTTCCCTCGTCTTCGCTGACACAGCCATCGGCACCAATGCCGGCATCCTTGCAACGGCCACATGGCCGCTGCCTGTCACAGCCCTTCTTGCTCTTACGGCAGCGCTGACAGCGCGGCTTGGATGACAAGTCCTCTTCATCGGCACCGAGATGATGCTGAAAGGCAATGGTCGACGAAATTGAAGCCTTGCGAGACTGCGGCGGCAGCGATGCAGGCGACATAGGCACCGTTGGATGGGTGTGGACATGACCGTTCGCCAAGGAAGGCTTCTTCGCCTTCGAAATTGACAAAGCCCGGGGCTTGCCAGGCTTACCCATCGCAACACTTCCATTGCGAGCCTTGTGCTTTGGTTTGCTCAATTTACGGTGACCGACGTCGCCCTGCAGACCATCGCACTCGCCGTGAAAGGTACCGTCACGGAGATCTTCATACTCTTCACCGCTTGTCCCATCGCTGGGCAGCTCATTTGCAGTGCGCTGCTTCTTTCTTTGCGGCCCGGCATCCTCAAAAGCAGGAACAGCGGGAATTCCAGAATTATCATCCTCCTCTTCCCCGTCCTCTTCGTCCGAAGATGCTGCTTCGGCCTTGCCGCTCAGCGCGTCGTCAACGGTTGACGTTGATGTGCGTCCATGGGAGAACGCTAATGGATCGCCAAGTCGCATGAGTTGCAGTGCCACGTCCTCGTCTGAAATGACACTTCCAATCGTGGGGTCTGGGGTCGGGAGGATGCCTCCGGTGGAGTTGCGATTTGACGTGTGACTACCACCACTGACACGCCCTCCTCGCAATTGCCTCGACTGTGGCGGGAAACCGCTCTGATATGGGTTCCCAGGAAAGGGCGGCAAAGCATATCCGAAGCCATGATTGTAGCTTTGCGGTGAAGGCATTGCCTGATTGTATGCAAATGTATGCTGGTTCGCATTGCCATATGGCGATGCATTCAGCGGACCTGCCCGACGCTGTGGCGAGATCGAAGATGTAGATGCATTCATAGGCACCTGTGGAGGCACAAAAAGAGGAAGTTCCTATGAGATGTTAGAATTTGTCATGGTGCGGGTCGAGGCCACGACATCTTACCGAACTCTCGAATGCCCTCTTGCGCCTACCGCCCTCGACAATGTTGTCGACGGTGATCTCGGCCTTGATCTCCTCCGCTTTGGAGCGGCGTGAGCTTGTTACCGAGCCATTGTCGTTATTATCGCTGCTATAGCCCTCATGGTCTCCCGTGACGCTATTGTCCTTGCTCTTCATTTTCTGCGACCGCGATCTGTGACCTGGAGCTGCCGACAYACTACGTCGACCAGTATCAGACTGAGGAGACACACTACGAATTCCTGCAGATCGAACGGCAGACCTGGACGGCGAATGGACTGGCGGGCGCATTTCGAACGGTGCGCCGAGGGCAGCCTTCTTGGGCGACACCGAGTCACGGGCGCGTTCGCTGGGAGGTGGGAGCGGTATGGTCCTAACAAGTACCGTCATGTCGTTGTCAAAATTGTCCCACGCAGCAATGATGCTGATGCCCTCCCAAGTCTCGAAGCTCACGCCATAGTCGTATAATCCGTAAAAGTTGCGAACCGAGGCAATGATGGAGTCGGTGTTGTCGTGAGGCGATATCATGACTCTCATTGGTAGGCGTGCCTGGATCCGAGCATCTTGTTGACCTATGAGCTGGAAAAGTACATGTTTCTGGTCCTTTTTGGCCGGTGAGTTTCGAGGGTGTGCGGCAGCAGCAGCAGCAGCAGCAGCGCCGCCACCTTTGAGTTGTCGCTGGTTGTTGTTTGTACCAGGCCTCGTGTTGTGTTGTAAGTCATGGGCTGAGTGTCCATGGCGGGTTGCGTATTGGTGGTTCTGCTTYCTGCTATCGTCCACGCCATCGGCTTCCTGCTGCCCAGCAGACAACATGCTCGAGAGCTCCATACCGCAAGTTTTATGGTCTACCGGCCTTTCGACAAGGTATACGGGTGTGTTGAACGGGTTGTGGGAGCAAAGCGGTGCAGTAAAAGTGGTGCGGTGCAACCTCGTCGTCGTCGGCGCAAAGTCCCGCTGGTGCGGTGGGAAGGGATCCCAATGTCGACGGTAAGCACGCTGCGCTCTGCATGTGAATGTCAGATGTCGTTCTTCGGCAAGTACAGAAGCGCAATGCAAAGCAAGATGAGCGCAACGTTGTCTGCTGGACAATACGCTCGCCAACAAGCCCAGACCGCCGGCGGCGAGATATGGTATATTGAGGCCGTAGTGGTCATTCTCGGCTCTGGTGAGAACTCACCAGTGATGTCTGAGTATCGTGGGACGTACTGCGCGTTTTGTGATGGAGATCGTTAAGTCGGGTTGAAGACCTCGCCGTCGACAATGAGCCGGGGCAATGCCAGCGAGAAGGTATGGAACGCCGACAAGCGGGAGACGACAGTGCGTAAGCAAGAATCGAGGATGAAGAGGCAAGAAGAGAAAGAAGCGCACGGCGACCGAATCCACTGACTGCCTTGTCAGGTCGACTGTGGTGTCGGTGTCCAGAGGAGGAGAAGAATGGAAGTGGAATAGCGGGTCTTTGCGCAGCACCCCCATGCTCATGATTGAGCACGAGCACGTTCACAACGCTCAACCACAAGGTTACAACTCATCACTGAAACAATCTAGCCAAAGTGCCACTCAGTAGATGCGCTCACTCTGTCAATTCAATCTGATCATAGAACACTSGTCGAAAGACCGTTCAGTCGTGGTCTATCCTGTCCATGTTTCCAGATGCCGCCCGCTTAGAATATTGGCATACTACCCACCACAAAGAAAGTGAGTTCCAGCCCACCCATTCCCTCACATTATATTACAGATTCGACAAGCAGCGCCTCCAGCTCACTCGGGCGATTAAGAGCACGTATCGTGCTCGCCATCAAGGTTGGTCATTCGATGCGCTGCTTGAGCCATCAAGAGGATTCAAGTGCGTAGTTGACGATCGCAGCGATGTGATTGGAGCGCAACGTGGGAGTGTTGCAACTCCAGCATTCTGCGGCTAAGAGCGAAGACTCAATTGGCGCTGCATCACGATGCGCCCAAGCGGTATCGCTTCGCTCAGACTGTGCTGTTTCCTGGCTTTCGTATTTTCTCTGTCCCGCCACCAATGCGGTATGCGAGCGCATGTCAGCTAATGGTGTCGCGAAACTGCGGAGGAGTCAGATGTTCCACGGCCTTGCGATCCAAGCCGAAGTGCTCTCACAAGTGAGGGCAGCTTTGAGAGGTCGCACGCAGCCCTCCCGAAGCATGCTTGCGCTTGCGCCAGCTTCCTCCGGAGGGAGATTGACGAGCAGGGCGATGCTTCGTTGCGTGAGGGTGCCGCAGAAGCTTTCTCTTTCTCGTTCTCGAGATTCGCAGACAACGTCACTCAGTCTCGTGGCACGAGCGGCATATCTTTCCATTGGCAATGCATGTGAGTAGCGCAAAGCCACGCAGATTCGACATGCAGGCCGAAGACGGCGCGATGTAGTCCTCGGGCTTCCTCCCAAGCTGCATTAGAATCAATTGTACCTTGTTGAGGGCGGGGGTCTCGAGCGCGGCTGCTATCATGCCGCTCGCCGAGTGGGTTTCGTGAGCGGCAAAGCCTTTCTCGTCCGTTGGCTGCCGATGCTCGACCAGGGCATCTCCCGCGAGCATCGCTGAGGGTAGGTGCACACCGCCACCGGATCGCTGCAGCAACAAGTCGAAGACGGTGTAAGTGTTGTAAAGGGTGGAGTGCCAAAGTGCATTTGTCCGGTCACGAGATTTCGCGTACCCTCGTGCGGCCCAGCGCGACGAGACGGCAATTATGCCACGGTGCACGTTAGGAGTTCTATCGCGGGCTGGTGACGGCAGAGCCGACCCAAATATTCACATTATGCTCGAAGGGTATATAGCTTGGGTTGCATCGATATTTGAGAGAGTAAAATTGCGCAAATACTGTCGTTTGGGCGTTTCATCGTAATTCGAGCCGAAACTGATGTCCTCGGGTGGACGCGAGGTGATGTTGTGGTTCGCGAAGCTTTTGTTTACTCGATCTGTTATGATTGAGCTTAATAATTTGATTAGGCCGATCGCCGTTGCGCTTGCACGCTTGCTTTATGATTGTTCCACTTCCCATCATTGACATTGCTCCCGACGCAGCACCACCACCACCGAGCAGCGATATTGTCGGAGTGTAGCGCCAGCCAGGCCGGGGATCATCGAGCTGCCATCGCGTCGCGATAGGGAATCCAGAAACCGCGCGACCGATCGACTACCGCGCCGCGAGCCCTCGACAACAACAGCACCGGGACAGCCAGCGAGCTTCACCACGACGCCGGGGAGCTGCAGAAACAAGACRGACATCATCCCCAGGAACATCAGGCAACACGCGCTCAGTCCGTCACCATGGACGCGAAGGTCAGTCTACATCCCTTCCATCGCCGCCCTCATTCCCCCATCCTCCTCCTCCTCCTCAGCGAGTGCACCTCCACTCCGCAGCCCTGAACCATGTCATTCTCTTCAACTTCACATKCCTCTCGTGCATCTGCTAGCATTCGTCCCGTCCGATCAATTCCTCTCCTTCGCGTGACTCCATCAGTTGTGGTGGACAATGTTGAGACCCATCCAACTTCCACCTGCTTCCATCCCAGTCTGCTGCAGCTGCACTCGACAAGCCTGCCTCAACTCTAGATTCCCTCCAATCAACATGTCGCTGACCACAATGCCGTTGCAGCCACAGAGACCGCAGACGCGCGCGGTGCGCATATACGATGAAAACACGCTGCCGAATGCCGCCCTCCTTGGCAAGACCTTGCATTCGCGCACGAAATCGACTTCGTGTCTCAACTCTCAGCTTCCTAAGAAGGCGCTGGCCGAGAACACGCGTAACTTCAACCTGAAGGTCGCGCCGAAGGACGACTCGGAGATTGGCAAGGCATCGCCAGGGAAGTTCAGCTACGTGAAGGAGCATGCACAAACACAAGCAGCACAAGCCGCGCCGTTGACACGGCCTGCCGTGCGGCCACTCGGAGTCAAGAGTGGTTCGGTCCTGAACGCACAGCCGGCTGCCATCGAAACGAGAAAGATCCTTCCCAAGAAGAGGCAAGTGCTGCGGGACCCAGTCGTTCCCCAGCAGCCCGCGGTCAGCGTCGAGAAGGCTATCCACCCAGAAGTCGAACCGCTTCCCATTGCTGGAAACCTGGCCGTCCAGCACCACCAGGAGATCCACATGACCGAGAATGTTCCCATCAAACAAGAGCCGGCAACACGCGAGCCATGCATCACAGAGCAGCCACAACTCCTTAATAGCACGCACATCAGCGAGGTCCAAATACATGTTCCCAAATCCGAGGTCAACAGTGCCATTTACGAACAATATCTTGAGGGCGATTACGAGGACGAGCTTGACCCCGAGTACAACACCACCGCCGGCTCCTTTGGCGACATCACCAGCGACTTCGCTACCGTCACCACCGTGCTCAATCCAGCCAACAACAAGAAGGCACTGGCCGAGATTGCCGATGCTAAGCTGCACGTCGACGCTACCCGGACACAGGAGGATGTCGAGGACGAGCAGTGGGACACATCCATGGTGGCCGAGTACGGCGATGAGATCTTCGATTACATGCGTGACTTGGAGACCCGCATGCGACCARATGCGCGGTATATGGACCAGCAGACAGAGATCCAATGGTCGATGCGCGGCGTGCTCATGGACTGGGTCGTTCAAGTGCATCAGCGCTTCAACCTGTTGCCCGAGACTCTGTTCCTCACCGCAAATTATATCGATAGATTTCTCTCGGTCAAGGTTGTCTCGCTTGGCAAGCTGCAGCTAGTCGGCGCCACTGCGATATTTGTTGCAGCCAAGTACGAGGAGGTYAACTGCCCGACCATCGCCGAGATCATCTACATGGTCGACAATGGCTACACCGCGGATGAGCTGCTCAAGGCAGAGCGATTCATGCTCAGCATGTTGCAATTCGAAATGGGTTGGCCAGGTCCAATGAGTTTCCTCCGCCGGATCAGCAAGGCTGACGATTACGATCTCGAGACGCGCACATTGGCCAAGTACTTCCTCGAGGTCACCATCATGGATGAACGATTCGTAGGCTGCAAGCCGAGCTTCCTGGCCGCCGGTGCTCACTGCATGGCTCGCCTCATGCTGCGCAAGGGTACCTGGAGCAAGGCGCACGTCTACTACTCGAACTATACCTACGCACAGTTGCATCGAGTGCTTAAGGGAATTCACTCCTGCTGCATTGAGGCTCAGAAGCACCACAACGCGGTCTTCGACAAGTACACCGACAAGCGCTACAAGCGTGCTTCGACCTTTGTCTCTGTGGAAATGGAGAAGGGGTTCCAGCTGCCAGGTCTTCCAGTCAGCTCTGGATTCTGGCAGCAATAGAAGACAGCGCCTCCAGCATTTCGTATCGGTCAGTCATCCCTCCATGGGCCGTGCCTTCCATTCAGTTGCTGACGTACACCAGTTCTTTTACTTGCTTGTCTCCACACTCACTATGGAAACAGACTTTCTGGCCGCTTCCTTCGGCCTGATCGTCGGTTGTCCCTGGGTGATTTGGGAGGCAATTTCTCTGGCGCATCAATGGACACGACTGCGACGATGACGATGACACGAAAACTTACACTTAAACCCAGCTTCTGCAGCAGCAGCAAAGCCCCTCTTTGCATGGACACAGCTTTCTCTTTGTTTGTTTTGGTGCTAATCCCCCTTCCTTCATTCTGCGACGGTAGGAGGACGGCGGGGCGTGCCACAGTTTTGAGCAGAGTGCGATTCGGACGATAGGCGTCGACGATGTGGAGGCAACATCAATTGGTCGAGCTATCAATGGGATTCTCGGACACCACTGTCAATGGAAGATGGCATGGGTTGTAATAATGGCAGGCAGCGAGCGGGGAGTACAAGGCGTTTTCTCCTCCAACGGAGCTCAAAGGCGACTCCGTCATTCATGGGATTTTGGGCGGCAATGGCGTTCAGTGCCACCAGTTACACCAAGGTTCTGGCAGTAAAGATCGAGAGAGATCCCAAAAGAAACTTGATTTTGAACCATCTTCTTCATGTCACCTTGGATGTTGTCGTTGCTGCGAATCAAGCAGAGCTGCTGGTTGTCATGATGGCTATTTTGGGTCTGTGTATCTTGAACAGAGCTCGCGTCTTCGGCTCTGCGTTGATGACTTGCCCTGGCAACCGACCACTCTGTTTTGTGCAACGGGGGCCGTTTCAATTCTCCGAGAGCTGATCTCTGCGCAAACGTTGCGTGCACATGTATGTCAGGCTGGTGTCGGAAGACTTCTTCGGTTCCCCTCTCGGGATGACGACTCACCAACGGCTTCGTTCACCTGCAATGGTGTTGGCTGGGGGGTGGTATGCATAACGGTGAGCACCAGTCCGGGACAATAAAAAGACACTCGCTTCTGTCTCTCTTTTTATTGTCATCTTGCTTTCATCGTTCGTATCTGTCAACTATACATCCACCGGATTCCTTCTACTCGATCAAACCACCAACAAGAAGAACATATCCACATCATGGCTCAGTCACAACAGCCTGTTCTTGTTCAGAGCGCGTCCCTCCATGGAAAAGTTGCTCTCATCACCGGAGCCGGGCGCGGCATTGGTAGAGGATGTGCCATTGAGCTCGGCAAGCGTGGCTGCAGCGTCGTGGTAAACTATGCCAACAGCAAGGAGTCCGCAGACGAAGTATGTAAGATCATCGAAGACAGTGGTACCGGTGCCAAAGCCATCAGCATTCAGGCAGACGTCAGCAAAAAGGCAGAGATTGAGCGACTATTCGAGGAGACCAAGAAACATTTTGGCAAAATCGATATTGTAATGAGCAACAGCGGGACCGAATCCTGGGACAAGASCGAGGAGATTAGTGAGGAAAAGTACGATCATGTCTTTAACCTGAACGCTCGCGCACAATTCTTTGTGGGCCAGGCAGCGTGGAAGTATCTGGAGGACAATGGCAGATTGATCCTGATGAGCTCCATCGCGGCTGGGTTGTTGGGCGTCAAGGATCATGTCTTGTACAATGCATCGAAGATGGCTGTGATTGGAATGATCAAGGGCTTCGCGACAGACTTTGGTGCGAGGGGAATCACAGTCAACGGTGTTGCTCCAGGGGGTATCAAGTCGGACATGTTCACCCAGAACGCATGGTATGTTTGCAGGAGTCCAGTGTAACATCTGAAGTGAAATGCTAACTTTTGCTAGGCATTACATTCCAGGCGGTACTCCCGAGTGGCCAGCAGACAAGATTGAGAACCTGATGGCAGAGCACTGTCCGTTGAAGAGGTGCGCAACTCCAGAGGACGTTGCTCGCGTGGTAGCTTTCCTGTCCTCCGACGACGGTGGATGGGTAAATGGACAAGTCATCACCATCTCCGGTGGATCTTCCCAGTAGATCGATACGCCTTGAGAACAGCTCTGCGGGATGATGGGAGATGCCGGGTATAGGCAGGGGAACTCGTTGGAATAGATGTATGTTAGCATAGCACAGCGTTACAGCGCGTTCTTGGTATTCACGCCTGAAAGGCGTTTTATGGGTTGCATTCCCATCTCAACTTGAATATCATATGTGATTGAGGTTGTGGGTTTCATGTTGATGGAAGAAAGGTGAAGCTGTTCAAGCTCCTGATGGCCGATCTCGGAGATGTCCTTGCCAAAGCACTGACGTGCTCCACCTACTTTACCTTCCTAAGACCAATATCAACGACCTCACAGTGAATGCAAATGACCAAGTGAAGATGCACATTCTCGTAAGACACCGTGACGTCAGTAATGTTTATTCAAATCACTCACAACAAGACAGGTCACAAACGACGATGGCCCGCCCTCGAATCTGGCATCTCCCTACATTCTACCTTTCGTGAATGCTTTGGAGAAGGCAGGTCACACCGTCTCGGTCATCGTTCCAGATAGCCAGAAATCTTGGATCGGAAAAGCGCACATCGTTGGCCAAGATGTCCGAGCATCTTTCTATTGGCCACCCTCCAAGAATCCAAGCGAGCATTCGGATTCTGTGTCGGTTGGTGACAATGGCAAATATCCCTGGGTCCTGCTCAACTCCACTCCGGCGGGATGCTCTCAGATTGGACTGAGCTATTTCTTCCAAGATCGTGAAAAGATTGTATGTATCCTTGCCGCCTCTATGTTTCGATCCACGCAACATCTCTGACAAGAACATCAGGACTTGGTCATTTCCGGCCCCAACTATGGCCGCAACAGTACGGCGGTCTTTGCCCTCTCCTCTGGAACATTAGGCGCGGCTCTCGAAGCTTCCCACTGCGGATACAAAGCTATAGCGCTATCATTCGCCTTCTTCGACCGGATTAATGATCCGGTGGTGGTAGAAGAAAGTTGTCTACAAGCCGTGCGGGTGTCTGAATACCTCTACAAAAACGCCACCTGGAATCCTGCGCAGCTCTACTCGGTCAACGTGCCTGTAAAGAAGGGCGTGTCCGATTCCCGTGTGAGATGGACGAAGATGCTCCAGAATCAGTGGAAGCAAGGAGCGTGCTTCCAGGAGATTAGCTCCTCTGCAAGCGTCGATGACCCAGCTCATGAAGAGGCACAATTGAGAAAGCAGGAGTCACGGGGTGATGGTGRTGCAGAGGAGGATAGCGGGACGACCACTCCGGCAAATAAGTGGGCTCACAGACATTTCAAGTGGGCTCCTCGGTTCACGGACGTCTACGAGAGCGTGGAGAAGTACGGACCAGGAAGCGATGGCTGGAGTGTCAAGGAAGGAGAGACCAGCATCACTGCATTGATGGCTAATTTCATGCACGMTCCAGGATTCGATGGTGAAGTCAAGCTCTGACGTGGAGTCGTGCGAGCAGACAACGAACGAGTTGAGAAGGCATGTAGAATTTAACTTTCGTTCGACAGGCTATACTTCTCAAATCGTCCACTTTGGCTTCATATTGAAGTGTTGCACTCTTGAGGCAGAGTTCGTCTGTCTTGTTCATACCCATCGATATGAACCACCTCGATGGAGCGAGGAAGCAGGCTATGCAGCTGAAACGAGGGCAAATCCAGCCGAAATTCAAAGCTGATGAAAGTTGGGAACATAGCTAGCTTGCACACCGCCATGCCAACTGAGTCTGATGGAGACGGTCTCGTATCATGCAGCTCGTCTGCCTCTGGGTGCTGGTGTAGGCAATATGGCTGGCTGCTTCTGAGGTGCAGATTTTTGAGTATCGAGATTGACCCGTGTTGTTTTTCGTGACTTGAGAAGAATACTGTCTATGGATTCCAAACCATGGATCTCGGGGTGTCCATGTTCGATTGAACACGATTCATTCAAGACCTATATTGAGCCTACACGGAGGAAGCCACCTCTGTCGGTGCTCGCATGGGGAACAGTCAACTACCTTCACCATCGCCAGTAAACACTACCCCAACCCTAACCCTACAGTCAGGTTTGAAAGATCAACCGAGGTTTCAGGACACCGAAGCAGATAAAGCCAAACAAGATCTAAAAGACCCACCACTCTACTGCTCTGTCCCTAGGCGACTGTAGCTGTCTATGCGAATGGCGTTTTTGAAGACCCACGACTTTGGCATCAATGACCTCAATCAACCTCCGATCGTGCACGTGGGAAACAAACTCATTGCCGAGCACCGGTGCCCAGACGTCCTAAACCTATATCGGCGCAACTCCATGCACGCTCAAAGTTAGAACGGCGCTGGCCACCTTGGCAATGACCAGGCCTCCCCAACCCTCGATTAATTAACCTCGCAACGCAGCGAATCTGATCACCCACGTGCAGAGAGCTAAGTAGTAAACGATGGTCGGAGCCCTGCAGGAACGAGTAGCTCCGAGCTGCGCACTGGGTACAAAGACGCGGTTGAGCTCCGCTCGCTCGCGTCTTTCGCCTTCCGACCTCCTCTTCGTTTGCTTGCGTGTGTTGGAACCGAGATAAGAATAGCGAGAGGGTGCCTGTCTCTTATCTTGTGTGGGTCGTACAGGAATCGTTTAAACCAAGAGGAAAAGTAGGCAGCGAGAGCTTTTCCGCAGCTATGCATTTCTCGACTTTGCACATTGTGTGCATGGCACTGGGCTTCAAGTTTGTGGCTGGTATGTTATAGGTATGGATAGACGGGCCAGCGAGCTTTGGCTGATCAGTACATCGTTTCCAGCTGCACCTACGCCGACATGGGGATCATTTGGAGAATGGTGGAAGCACAGGAATGATTGGGGTAACGAGGTGCCATTGAGGCCTGCTGGTCTCAATGTGCAGGTTGGTCCTAGGTGAGATAATACAAGTGCTGGGTACTGAACGGCATTCTGACTTAGGTAGGCCGTACTACCTCGTCGACAACATGGATGAAGGTCCCTTGAAAGAACGATTGGAATCGTGCAAAGAAGGACCTTTCTCCACCTCGAGCTTTTCCGTCTCGCACAGAGGTGCCGCCCTGATGTTTCCAGAGCATAGCAAGGAAGGGTATGAGGTTTGTCACACACCACTGAGTCAACCTCTCTTCTTACCAGGCATCTAACCTTTCCTTTAGGCTGCCATAAGAATGGGTGCTGGTAAGTCTAGCGTATGGTAGTCACCAGGACCACGATCTAACGCACCACACAGGAATCATCGAATGTGATGTTTCTTTTACCTCTGACCGCGAACTTGTTTGCCGCCACAGCAATTGTGATCTTCACTATACCACCGACATCCTCGCACATCCAGAGCTAGCTGCCAAGTGCTCCGAGCCATTCGTACCATACAACAACGTCACGGGTGAAGAAGCATCTGCTAAATGCTGCACCAGCGATATCACACTCGCAGAGTTCAAAAGCTTGTGCGCCGAGATGGAGGCCACGACAATGTCTGCAGTGAACGTGACCGACGGGACGAACAGAGGCAGAACCGGCACCACTCCAGACTGGCGAACGAACATGTACTCATACCAGTGTGCCGAAACCATGTCATTGAAAGAGCAGATCGCCCTCGTCGACGGATACGGACTGAACTTTACCGCTGAAGCCAAAGTCCCTGAGATCGAGCTTCCATTCCAGGGGAACTACACTCAAAGAGACTTCGCACAGCAAGTTGTGGACACCTTCAAGGACGCGAACATCGATCCCTCTCGCGTATGGCTGCAGTCATTCACGCCAGAGGACATCTTCCAATGGATTGAGAACGACCCCGAATTTGGCGAACAGGCCGTATATCTTGATGAGCGCGCGGACTTGACCACTGAAGGCTACGAGAACGCAGTCGCGTCTCTTCCGGATCTCGCAGCTCGTGGTGTCAAGATCATCGCCCCTTCAATCTGGCAGCTCATCACTGCCAACAACGAGACGCAAAAGATTGTACCATCTTCGTACGCTATTGCGGCTCGGGAAGCTGGGTTAGATGTAAGTCACTCCAGCTCCCAACCGCACTCATATAGGTAGACCTTGCTAATACCATATCGCATAGATCATCACATGGAGCTTCGAAAGATCAGGCCCGCTGGAGGAAGGCGGTGGATACTACTTCAGCGGTGTCAACCATTTGATCAACAACGACGGCGATGAGTTTACCGTGATGGACGTTATCGCTCGGCAAGTCAAGGCTATCAAGATCTTCAGCGATTGGCCTGGTACAGCTACTTACTACGCCAACTGCTTTGGCCTCGCATAGCGATCAAGAGAAGCAGAAATTTACCTACTTGTACATATCTTCTTCAGTGACACTTTGTGATGTCTTCAGCTCCAAATCGCTAAGTATGTGTGATCTTGATGCCTTGAGTCCGGTACGTCTTGGCAGACCTCGGTAGAGAAGAGGCCGTTGAATGTCAATGTTCCATGTAGAAGGCGCAACGGGCGCTTGCACGCTTCTCTTAGTGAGCCATGTACTGCGAATACGTCCCTCAAGATTCCTGCGTGCTTTATGTTCATCAAGTCATACATCTTCTTCGTCGCTTCTCCACGCTCTATGCCATGTATGAGTACATGTTACCATCCTCTCGCTCCATGTAGTCCTTCTCAATCAGTCGATCAATATTCTTCTTGATATCCCCAACGCCCAACACACCGCGACTCATAGTCGCCTTGATGACTTCAGCCACCAACTCTTGATGCGAAATTGTCTTTCGGCTCTTCATGATTCGTACAATCGCAGCCTGGCATTCAAAGTTTCGATCTTCAGCAACACGCATGTGTGTCTCCTTGTTCTCTTCCTTTGTCTCCTTGAGTTGCACCTGGTTGATCTTTACACGATATTTGGCATGATGGAAGTCGGTGTTGATGGAGAATGTRTCGGTGTCGTTGACCTCTCTCCCCTTGGGATGCTTGGTAAGTGGTCGGAGCTTGGCGCAGGCCAACGATTGAAGTGTTCGTTTGACTTCAGGTTCGGCTAGGGCAAGTTAGTGATGGAATCAATCGAAAATGTAATGTACTTACGCAGGCCAGTCTCCGACAGAATGTGCGAATATGAGATCTGATCATTGTCACCCACGCCATTGAACAGAAGCAGCACAATGGCTTGGAAGCTCGAGACGACAAGCTCTTTACTACCGTTCTTAAAAGTAGCTTTCATTTGGCAGTGTGCAAGCGCATGTTTCCAGTCCAGTTTTCGGCYAGTGTGTTTGCTCTTGTAGTGCAGCTCAAAGTCATCTATGGCGCGTTTAATATTCGCAGGGATGATGACGGGAACATCGGGGTAGGTTGGCCATGCTGCCGCTGACAGAATGTTGACGCTAAGATCAACCTTCTTGCCCTTCTCATATCCACCACGCTCTTCAAGACGCTTTTTATAAGACTGCATTTCCTCACGGGCCAGCTCCACATCCTTGAACATCTGCTCCAGGTTCTGTGTGAAGCCACTACCGCATTCTGTCTTGAGACGCGTGAGCATGCTACGCTCAGCGTCCGCAGAGGCGCTTCGTGCCATGAGTAATCGTCGAGCCAAATCTTTCTTGTAAAAAGCCTCGAATATGGCCTTGCCTTGTACGAAACGGAAAAGATCCAGGACCTGATCCAATTGAATATTGATCTCCGCATCCTCGTCCACTTCTCCATCCTCGTTATCGTCCTCAGGGGCTGGCTGAAGCGCTGTGATGCTGGAGGATCGTCTTGCTGTGAGAGCCTGAGGTATCGCCTTTGCACCACCACGTAAAAGCTGATCAACGTATTTGGCAATCATCTCACCAACTTTGGTGTTGTCGGTACCCCACGTTGCATCTCCCTTCTTCGTCTTGTTGATAAAGGTCGCGAAGCTCTCCCTGATACCGTGACCAAGGCCTTCGTCCCGTTGGAAAGCCGTTCTCYACAGGTTATCCAGTCTACGCTTGAGTGCAAGCAGATGTACTACCATGTTTTCTGTCTCCTCGGGTTGATTGGAGAATACAATGCTGGTGCCTTGAGTGTCAACCCATTTATCGAACGCAGGTCGAAGTTTACCGCCGATTCTCCGTCGCTTCAACAGCGAGTATAAAGCGGTCAAATCCGATACGGCGTCTTTGTCGAGTAGCGGGCCCAGAGCGTCAAGATCCGTTAGATCGGCCTCCTTTCGCTCAACAAGATGATGCTCAAGCAAGGTAAGTAGTTCTCTCCTCGTACTACTGTCGAGATCAAATTCTTCGCACCGTGCCAACTCCCTGCTGATGAAGCCCTCAGCCAGCGCGACGTACTCTGGCACGCTCTTTTCGCTGATAATCTCATCGGACCAGTCCGATACGTATTGCTGAGTGACACCCAAGAACTGCGGTTCGAAAGATGATGTGTATGTAGATAGCGCATGAAGCATGTCGACAGACTGTCGGAAGAGGTCCTTGTCGAGAGATTGGGCCTCTGTGCGATCTGCCAGGACGAGATCGCAGATGCCATCTACGATTTTGAGCTTCAAGGCGCTATCATTGAAGACAGTTTCGCGGAAGAGCTGCGGCGTGAACTGGTCGAGTGTCGGCTTGCTCGACGATAGAAGATATGAACGATCCATGAAGAAGAAGATGGCCCTTATTGTACTCATGTGCTCTGACCAACGTGCCCATTCTGCGAGCACAGCCTTGAGAACAGAGACATTCTCCAATTCCACCTTTTGCAGCAACGATGCACGTACTTCTCGCTCAATGTGGGCCCTGCACCTGCCGTCCAGTCTGGAGAACAACGTGGAAGCACCACCCTGCCTGCAGACATTCTCCACACCTCGGTACAAGTCCTCCTTGCTGAAGCCATCCTGTCTATCGTTGAAGATGAGTGCCAAAGCTTCATCAAGTTGTGCCCAGATCTTCTCCAGGTAGGCTTTGCCGTCCCAACTAGTGTTCGTTTTGAGGTTCTTAACCACCAGCTTCTTTGCTCCGGTGTGGGGATTGAGCCCAGCAGGCCTCATGGGCATCTTCCGTGCGTGCGGCGATGCTGGAGACGAGCCATTGGTCAAGTCCACAACATGACTTCCATTCGTCGCCGGCGAGCGAGATGTGAAGCTATACATGCCGCGGGGAGGTGCAGGTGGCGGCGGCGGCGCTGAGCTGGCAAACTTGTGACGCTTCCCACACGGCGAAGGGTGTTCGATGGGTGACTTTTGATGGCCAGCCAGCAGCTCGGGCAGCTTCTGATTCTGGTCGGCGGGTGTCGTGCTTGCGCCTGCAGCGGATTGCATGCTGCTTCGCTTTCGCTTGCGGTCGGTGGTTGGAGATCTCCGCTCTTCTGCTTCCGATGCCCGCGGGACACGGGAAGGCGAACTCATGTGCCTGGCAATCAGACAGATGTTGAAGATGCTGAGATGCGCAAAGTTACACCGCAGCCTGCACGATGCAAGTCTACAGCACAACGTGCTTGTCAAAGCTACGGAGTACGGATGGCTCCCACGGCGATAAGCTCCACTTTCATCCGAGCTAGTGCCGTGAGGTGAAGTCATCCATGGTCACAGCAAACCGGGGTCTGGAGGAGCGTTCTTCACTGTGATCTGTTATGGTGTGTAAAAGAGGGCTGCACTCATATCGAGCAACAATGGCTCGGAACAGCTGATTGAGAGATCAATGTTTTGAAGGGATTATCGAGGAACTGGTCAAATTTATGAGAAGTCTTCCATCGCCAACTTCCCACACTAGAATCTAATCTGCTCGAATGAATATTTCCCAACACTCCGACTCTTCTTCTCCGCCATCGCAATCCTACTACTTTTCTTCTCCTTTGCGTTGCCCAATGTCGGCGGGTCGAACCGCCCTCCCAGCGGCATATGGATATTTTCTGGTGCTACAACAGTTTGTAGCTCCTCGTGTCTCTTGCGCTTTCCCAGCGAAGTAGGCTCCACCGACCCGGCAGTCTTACTAAGCTCGGTGATGCAGCTGTCAAGCTGGGCGTCGATGAAGAGTCCCTCAAGCACGGCACTCAGTTCAAGTCTCAAAGTCTGAACGAGATCTGAGGTCCCTTCTGCATCGCTGCTGRGACCAATGAGCCATCCACTCAAACCGATGGCGTCAATGGCAGAGCTGAGCAGCGTCGCGATGACTCTGATGGCCTCGTTGCGTGGGGAGACTTCTTGAGCCTGATCCACCGCGCCTCTGAAGGTCGAGACGGTATCATCTTCAGGATCGACGTAGAGTTTCGTCCAACCCCCATCGATGAGCTCGAGGCGAAGAATCGCGATGAAGAAGAGAGTGTCTTGCTGTGACCACATGGATCGCATTGTCTTCGACATTTCCTTTTGCGGGAATCCGGAAAGCCGAGCGAGGAGGACGCGAAAGGCTTCGCTGCGAATGGTGACGCCCAAAGTCAGCATTTCCTCGGCTACATTGCGCTGTGCTTCGGCAGCCTCGAGTTCGACTTGGAATCGACTCTCATCGTCGAGGTCGTTCATTGAAATGTCGGAGTTGCCGTTAAGTTGTAGTTGTGCAACGTATTCCGGGTTCCTCTCCTCGAAGGATTCCATGAGGATTTTGAGACCTTGCACAACTTCTGAAATGTCCCAGTGCGCGTCAAGAGTGATCAACTCGCACATTAGAATGAAGTTGCTGTCGACCTCGCTGATGGCAGACATGATGTCCCCAGCTGCCACGATAGGTCGATTGGCATCGTTGGAATCGTTAGGCAACGCCTGTTGAAGATGTTCGGCATTCAAGTATCCGCTCATGGTGAACCAGCGAAGTATGTTCCTTGAGTTGATCTTCAGCTCCAGCTTCCGCCCCGAACCGTCCTCTTTCCACCCAAACKTTCGACTCAGAATGTAGTTACTTTTCTTGGGATCCAAATGCTGAGGATCGTAGGCATGAGGAGGTAGGTCCCACAATTCGTATGTCTCACCGGCAGAGCCGTTGGTCAGAGCAGGAATACCGTCTCCGACAGCCTTGCCGACCTTGACAACCTTGCTCGCGACGAAATCTTCCAGGCCTGCAATGTCGCCAGCTGTAATGAACGCATCTACTATGCCTTTCCACTCATCCCATTTGGCTTGCTTCTTGACACTTGTGAGTGAAATATCTGTGACATTGGCATCTGCGGAAGCCTTTCCCTTTCCTAGCACTTCTGCGAGGAGAGGACCCGCCGACCTTGAATGCTTTGCGTCACCCAACTCGCCGAGCTGGATGGCGACAAGTTCAGACCCTTGCAAGGTTACGCACAAGCTCGAGTCGGTAAAGTTGGCAACGATAGCCAACGGATCGTCCTTTGGTGACAAAGAGAGCGATCCCAGAACGGAGCCGAATTTAGTGTCATGAACCGCGATCCGATCGGAGGAGATGGCAACCACGCTCGCGGCAGACAGTCGGGCAAAAGTGTTGATGCCTGGATGACCTTTCTTCCCCAGGTCGAATGCTATCTTTGGGGTGGTAGCGGAAAGATCGTACGCGATTAATCGTTGACGTAGAAGCTGGTAGAGCATGCCAGACGCCGCGTGCAACTCGTAGCGAGCACGCTCGTCGCTGGCCGCTGCTCGCGAAGACAATTCGAAAGTCAGGACCTCCTCCAAAGGTGAGCGACTGCTTTGCAACGTCTCACCAACAACGTTTCGTAGTGCGTAAATCCGGACTCGTCTCGCCGTCCCTATCCGCAAGGTTTGGCAGAGTATCAGAGGTGCGTTGTGTGAAGCTCCAGTATTGCCCGGGTCGAGCACGGCGAGAACATCCTCCCGATTCTTGAGCAGGCCTCTCCGGGCGGTTTCGAAGTCTACGACGGCGGAGAGCTCAACGTCGACGTCGGCTTCACTCGCGGTATGTTCCCATCTCACGCTTGTCAGGTCGCCGCTGACGCAATCAATGTCACCGCCCTGGTAAAAGACGAGCACGCCCGACTTGCTGGCATCGTTCTCCTGCCCATCACCCACCTGAACCACTTCAAACCCAGCCACGTCCCTATGCCGAAGCTTTCGCTCTCGCCTCGCAGGTGCCCGTGGTTCACGCTCTTCGGTGTGCGGTTTGCCCAATTCTTCGGTGAAGGTAATCAATCGCGCTTTGGTCGATGCTACACCGTCGCGGACTGCCAGGTATGTGCGACGCTGAGGTTGTTGGGGTTTCATTCGTTTGCAGTAAATGGAACAGGGCGGTGCGGCGAGATATGTCTGTGGTGGAAGCGCATAGGAGCTGACGGTGCTATGAGTTTGAATCTGAGAGACACGATCATCAGCATGTGTTTTTCTGCTTCACCACCTCATTCTCCTTACGTTGTAGATGTTGATGCTCTCGCCGTCGACACCCGCAACAACTTCATGTCTTTTTCTCTTCCTCGAGCCGGAAATGCTGTGTACTGGAGCCGCAAAACTCCGTCCATTCTCTGCATCGAACGGTGCCGGTAAGGAGGCAATGGTGCCGTACATCTCGATTCCTCGCGACATTGTGAATATTCAATGCCCGGAGGAAAGTCTGCGTTTAATCAAACTTCTGCAGCTGATCGAGCAGAAGAAGTTTAGAAGTTTGACATTTTGGTTCCGAACTAGCCGAGAAGCCCTAAATTGACTCCACCTGCCGACGGAACCGATCCGATGAATCGCGTACCGCCGCGTCTACCTCCGGCCACTTCGACGCGTTTTCGAGGCAGACTAAGATGTCCACACGGCCATTGACACCACCCACCTCTCGTACAAACAATACACCACTGCGACATGAAAGAAACACATGAATGGCCATGTCCACCATATTCGCTGTCATGAGCGGCGACGGCGGGAAGAGCGTGCATCCGTTCTTCAACAAAGGTGGGTGAGGCACATGTTGGCCATTCGATACACAGCTGATGGCGTCGACAGCCTCCACCAAAACAGCAACGGAGCAGCCAAGAAATGAGAACCAGTCTCAGGAGGACCTTGAATACGAGCCCGTCGAACAGCGAGGAGAATCGGACGAGAAACCTAAGCGGACCAGGAGCAAGCGGAAACAGAAGGATGAGAAATCGAAGAACCAGCCGACTTTGGCAGATATTGTTAATCCGAAGCCTGCTTTCTCGCAGGTAGAGACTCCTGCTGGACAGGTAGTGTCAGAGCTCAGCACAGAACAAGATGAGCCCCGAAAGAGACGACGCACCGGTGGATTCGAGTCTGCGGATGTCGAGTCGGACAATGCTGCTGCCAGCGTGACACCTGCCATTGGTACACACTCACCGCGCGTCATCATTCCACGGTCTTCGCCGCTGCCGCGAATACATCCTCTGGATGCTGATCTCGCCGAAAACTATACGTCCCAGACTGTGGCCAAAACGCCACCCAAAAAGTTGCTTCAACTCAACGCGAATGGTCGCTTCAGCTCTCCCCCTGCGAACAGTCCGGAGGAGTTATCAAGGCCCCCGTCGCAGCCCCAGATTGACGAAACTCCGAACCGGGAGAATGACACAAGCCTGACGAAGAAGATACCGGCGAGAAAAGTGCTTAGACTCAATGCGAACGGCCGATTCAGCTCGCCTCCCAGCAAGAACCCCAAGGAAAACACTGAGCCTACATCTCAACTATCAACAGGACGCTTGAGGCCTCGAAAGGCGGCGGCTGCGGCCACATCACGCTTAGTGTCAATCGCCTATGGAGCAGATGAAGCAGGCAAGATATCAGTCGGCGAAAAGATTGACAAGATTCTTGCCGGTACTCTCACCGTTGCAATCGTTAAGAAGCCACCACCGAAGAAGCGAACTCCACAAAAGCCGCGCAAGCCGACACATCCATTCTTCTCAGGGAAGCCCGATCAAGTCCTGTCTGCTCCCAAACCTGAGTCTCCGCGCAAAACGTCCGCTGTCACGCCCGGAAAGCTGCGGGTCAAAGCCTTCTCCGAGCGACTGCCGGACGTCAAGGACGTGGAGTTCTCTTCCGCTCTGCTGAGGGATCGTCATATGGTGAAGCATCCTGGCGCTACAGAGGCTCCATTCCCAGATCGTGATCAGGTCCATGTTCGTGGAGACGTCCATCAAATCAAGCTGCCAATGAGAGGCCCGACGTTCGAACTGCTCTTCCCCAGACGCAAGTTCAAGCAAGTCGTGCTACCTCTCTCGAAAAGAGAATCTGTCACTGCCAGATTTGAATCACGGCTCACTGCACCGAAAGATCCACATCTCCGTCCAGACGGCTTCCACGATCCCGATGTGGCTCTCACGCTTCCGGAACGACATTTAATGACGGGCGAAGACATAGCCCAGAGGATCTGTGGAGAGCTGTCGGTACCAATCGCCGAAACTGCTCGTGATGAGCTGTCGTACTCGGCAGATCGATCCAGCAAGTCGAGTCCCTGTTCACGGCGAGGATCCCACAATATCCGGAAAATACATCCGTCTTTGCCTCGACTTTATGAGCGCATACCGAGTGCTTTGACAGCCTTTGATCAATGCAGAGGCGAAAGTCAGAGCTGGGCCCAGAAGTACGCTCCCAGAAGCTCGTCGGACGTTCTCCAGCCAGACACCGAGGTGAGTGTGCTGAAAGGCTGGCTTCAGTCTCTAGCAGTGCAAGCAGTTGGAGGCGCCGCTACAGACAGCAAGAGCATCCAGCCCAGAGTCGCAGAGAAGCCCAAGAAGAAGCGAAAAAAGAGAAGTGATGACATGGACGACTTTCTCGTGGATAGCGACGAAGATTTGCGAGAAATGAATGAGATTCCAGCCGCTGAGCAGGGGGTCGATTCTGGAATGCTCAAGACAAAAGGCAGTATCGTTCAGTCTGTCTCCAACGACCTGAAGCTCAGCAATACCGTGCTATTGAGCGGGCCTCATGGATGTGGCAAGACGGCGGCTGCCTATGCCGTCGCTGAAGAGCTTGGCTTCAAGGTTTTTGAGATCGGCTCAAACGAGCGTCGCAGTGGACGCGACGTGCTCGAGAAGGTTGGCGATATGACGGAGAATCATATGGTAAGGCATCACGGAGTGGAATCTGCCGAATCGCAACCTCCGGCGCCAACTCTCAACGACGAGGCCTTTCAGCGGGATCTCGAAAGTGGAAGGCAAGGCAAGATGAATGCATTCTTCAAACCTCAGCCGGCTCAGCGCGCATCGGTCGAGCCAAAGAAACTGATCAAAGAGAAAAAGATCAAAGCCATACAAGAGGCAATCAAGAAGCCTGCCAAAGATCAGCAACAGTCATTGATCTTGCTGGAAGAGGTCGACATTCTGTTCAAAGACGACAAGGATTTCTGGATGACCGTCATGAAGCTCATCACGACCTCAAAACGGCCATTCATCATGACGTGTAACGATGAGACTGCCGTGCCCCTTCAGGCCATAGCTCTCCATGCCATCTTGCGGTTCAAGGAACCGCCGCCTGACCTAGCTACAGACTACATGCTTCTCCTCGCAGCGGCAGAAGGCCATCTGCTCAAAAGGGCAGCGGTCTTGTCATTGTATCAGCATCATCGTCACGATTTGAGAGCTAGTATCACAGAACTTGATTACTGGTGTCAGATGGGAGTCGGGGATCCGCGAGGAGGGTTAGCTTGGATCTACCAGCGATATCCACCTGGATCGGACCTCGACGATCAAGGCAGGAAGCTGAGAGTCGTGAGCGCGAATACATATCAGAGCGGCATGGGAATACCTTCAGAAGCCGAGCTCGATGCGCAAGGCGCAATGGCGTGGGCGTGGAACGAATTCAATGTCAGCCCGTCGGCTGCACTCGGATGGGTCGCGATGTCTGCCGATGTGCAAGACTCAAACCCTCAARATCGCCTCAAGACACTAAACTCGTTCCTGGACCATGCGGACGCGCTTAGTGCCGCAGACGTATGCACCGCTGCAAGTGTCGCCGCCACTGCGCCCTTTGACCCCTCTCAGCCCGAGCTTATGGACAAGGCTCGCAGCAACTACACTGTAGCTCAAGATCTGTTGCAGATCAACGAGATCACTGACTACATGGGTCTCGGTAGGGATGTACTCATCGCCATGACGCTGTCAGCACACCAAAGATACAATGGATCCTTGGCCAGCACGACCATCGTGACAAATGCATTGGAAACCAGTCTTCAAGCCAAGGAAGGAGATGAATGGTTCACTCGTCAATCATTTGCATGCTTTGACCCCATCGCCACGTCGAGCGAACTTTCCCTCAACAACAACCCGGGATTGATGCAGTCCGTCTTTGATGGCACCATGAAGACCATTACGCTTGATCTAGCGCCATACGTGCGGTCAATAGTCCAATACGACAAAGCCTTGGAAGAGCAGCGCGCTCGCCTGAGCCTGCTCAACTCCGAGGGAAGGAGTTCCAAACGCCAGCGAACTACCAGAGCTGCTCGAAGTGCACTCGAAGGGGGCCAGCGCGCTTCCACGAGAAGGGAGAGGTGGTTTGCGAAAGAGCTAGACCTGGAGGCAGTACTTGCCACGGGCGGAGAGGATTGGCCAAGATTCTCATATTCACCCCCATCTGTCGATACTGCTTCAAAGGATGGAACTGAGAGCACTACGCCTGCTTCTAGTGCTGGCATTGCGTGAGCTGCTCTCGGTGGTCTGGTGATGGCAATCATATGAGGGAGATAGATTTGGCTGATGTGCATCTACCTATAACAGACATTCTTATGCACGGATGCTCTTCGAGCTTAAACATAGCTGAATGAACATGTATCGCTCTACAGTGCACGAGTACTTCTTTTTCTCAACGTCAGTATGCTTGTGACATCACAGCTGCAGTGAACCGTAGAGGCCAAGACAGTATCCTCATCCGATACCAAGGACGGGGAACAAAGGTTACCGCCCTGCCTTCTTACAGTCTTGAATATCTTCCTATCTACAGAAGGATGACGATGGGATTCTCGCCCACTATATCTTACGACTGGCCGGTATACCAGAATGTCCAGGACTAGGCGGCACATTCCCAGTCTCCCAAAATTCCATCTCACTTCCCATTTCGAATTCAATACTTCCCCCCTCAACCATAACATCCTCATGCTCAAACCAATTCCTATCCCAATCTTCCCCATTAATCTTGACGGATTGCACATAATACGCCTCAGCATTATCTAGATTCTTCGCGTTAATTCTGAGCTGCTTGTCTGTATTGATGGTCATGTTGATGTCCGAGAACCAAGGTGATACGAGAAGGTAGATGGGTTGTGTTGCGACGGGGTAGAGACCGAGCATTTGCCAGAGCATCCAGCTGTTCAGTGCTCCGGCGTCGCTGTTGCCTGGGACGCCGTAGAGGTCGTTTTTGAAGCTGGTGAGGGTTAGGCTTGAGCTGGGTGATTGGAAGGGAGAGGAATGTACTATTGATTTGCGAGGTTGCGAGACTGCTGCACGGACTTTGCTTGCTTGTTTATGTAGTTGTATTCGTATGGCGTGGCGAAGTCGGGTTCGTTTCTGTGATCATGATTTCAACATTCGTGTCTCTTAGATTGAGATTGGTTGTTAATGCTGGAAGGTCGATGAGTCAAAGTGTATCGTCCGCGAGACTTACCCAATGTTCATGATACTGGTGATACCGGCCCCATTTGCTCCTAGCGATGTTTCAGACGTGTTWGGCATGTGGATGTAATCAAGTCTCCGTTCGAATTCATCCGGTCCTCCCATGAAGTCAATCAATCTCGCCATGTCGTGAGGAATCGTGAAGCCGTATTCTATTGACGCATCAGAGCTATACAGCATCCAAGGAGGCTCGCCTTACCGAAAGGAGTTCCTTCGTACGTGACAGATGGCCAAGAGCAAACACCACATTGCGCAGGGTTATAATCCGTCAAATTGAATTCTCCTGATGAAAGCCTCGGGGATGGGAAGCCTGTGAATCCCTTGTGGGTAAAGTCCGAGGCCCTGCAACAAAATCAGTATTTGCACCAGATGAAGACATTAGTACACCAACCATATGTTCTGCCAATTCGCAGATCGATTGAGATACAATTCCACGTCATCAGGCGCTTCTCCTTTCGCAACTTGCGACAGCGAGAAGTCATTCAAGGCATACTCGATAGTCCTTGAGATTGACCTGGTGTTACGATCAACCGAAATGTAGCCCAAGTCCAGCCAATCCTGCAGAGCTCCACGACCCTGCTGTATGCCATTCGTTGGGTCGACCTGATTGAAGGTGTTGAAGGGAACAACTTCCGCGTTCTTCTTCATCGCTCGATAGCCCTCGGTCCAGTTAACATTCGGAAGACCCTTGACGTAGGCGTCAGCGAGGACGTTGTCGGCATTACTTCCTCCTTGTACAAGACCGTTGTAGTTACCACTGCGGCCGTCTGGCATGAATCCTTCGTACTTCCAGATGTCAATCAAAGATCGGATCATGCTTTGATAGTATCTCGGTTGAATGAGGTGGTACATTGAGACGGTGCATCGGAAGATGTCCCATAAAGTATAGAAGTCATCCCAGGAATCAGCAGAGTCCCAAAGTGGATTTTCGCCCGAACGATCTGATGGCATGAGATGCATAAAGTACAGGCTGGAGTACAGGAGTACCAGATTCGTCCGGTTCTGAGCAGAATCGGTCGGCACTTGGATTTTGCTGAAGACGTCCTTATTCCATTCTTGCACTGTGGCGGCTACAGTGTCGTTTAAATTCCAGGACGGAATCTCCGAGTCCACGAACGAGCAAGCCTTGTCCACGGATATGAACGAGATGCCAATCTTTGATTTGATGGAGGTGCTGTTAGTTGACTTCTCCCAGCTGAAGATGGYTCCCACACGGTCTGTGAGAGGACCAGATTCCTCAGTACTGCGATTGCGGAATGTAGGATGAGGAGTTGGCTGGCAGGGGAATCAGCATGGCAAATTGCGGAAGGTGGAGCTTCGACACACCTCATCAGAAAGAACATGCTGCCTTCGCGCTGGGATGGTATTGCGGCCACGAAAAGTATGAGCTTGACTCGGTGCTTGATCGAACTCTGCGCAGAAGTAGGTAGTCATGGGAGCGCTGTCAGAAAACCCGCCCCCGTGAACGCCGAATCCGGTGTATCTTTTGCCTCCCTCATCAATGCTGATTGATCCACCGTCATAGAATTGATCTTCATTCGACCCGCCCACATTTGGAAGGAAGTGAGAGACATCAACGAGCACGTGTCTTTCGCCTGCTGGGAAATCATACTGCAAGATACCACTATGACGACCTCCACCAATGCTCACCTGGACACCACTCTCTAGCTTTGTTGAGAAGAAACCGACAGTCGCCACGTCGTTCTCAACCCTCTTCTGCCAGTACGTCTGATTGTCGAGGAGATTAACCGGTGACTCGATGGTCGTCAGCGGCATCTGCGAGATGACTCCATATTTTGGCGGTCCTCCCGTTCCAGACTCATGCATCATACTCAGACCCGTGACGAGCCCCTTTGGTGTCCATCCGCCATTGAGGGTTTGAAAGGAGATGTTGGTCTCAAAGGTATCGATGCCGACCTTGGCCACGCCGAATGGACGACTTGCTCCGACGAAGATGTCACCGCCTCCGTAGGCTAGACCTGGCATAGGTCCCTCGCCGCCGATGAAGGGATTTACATATTGAGAATAGTCGACTTGAGCAGCGGCGCGAATCGCCAGGAGCGGAAGGAGGAGGAGCTTGCCCGACATCTTGTGGGTGGACAGCACAGAATCACGGTACTGCAAGCATCCGCTTCTTCTGAAGGGATGTAACTCTTGTGGCCTTGGAGATGACTTACCATGAAAGGAGTGATGAGTGAATGGGATGTTGCCTTGACATCATGTTCCTGATTCTCCGCACGGTGATCCTCTGCAGCGAGGGGTCAGGTACGACACGACCAACTTTAACTCCGTGCATGACCATGCAAATGCAGGCATGTCCGTGATCGCGATCTTCGCAAGAATGATTATCCGGCAGTTATTGAACTTGCTGATGGAGACAGATGATCCGCAAGATTAAGGTACAGTAGAGGAAGAGGKTGAGAAAGGAAGGAGAGAGTGATCTCTCGACCAGCAACATTGCGTGCGCTAGGCTCGTTTCGAACCCGCGCCACGCGACAAGCAGTAGCTCGCGTCTTTCGTTCGTCAATTCGTAGCCATCCATAAGGTAGATGGACTTCAATCAGACTGCCAACTGCATAGCCACGAGCCGTGACGGACGGCATCACCAGCCGTCAAAATTCCCAAACCCACCACCTCTCTTCGCTTTCTTCGCAGCAGGTGGTGGCATCTCTCCTTCATCCCACTCTCCTACAACTTCATCCCCCCTCGTCCCGGTAGCGGCAGCTGCACTCGCCTGTTTCAAGTACTTTCCCACTCCAGTTCCAGCCTCGCTTTGACTCTCCACTTTCCCGTCTGCGCGAACTCGCTTTCCGGTCCATGTTGTCCGCTCATCCTCCGCACCTCCCTCCTGTCGAATCTTCTCTAACCTCGCCTCTTCTGCTTCCTTTTCACTCCTCGCCTTGAGGAAGTCCTCAAAAGGATCCACATACACCTTGACCTCTTCAATCAGCACGTCCTCGATCGGCCGATTTCCGTCACCCACTTCCACCTGTTCCAGGCGGTCCAGCACATCCAGACCCTCCACAACCCGCCCGAAGACGGTATGCTTCCGGTCCAGATGCGCGGCTCTCCGGTACAGCAAGAAGAACTGGCTGGTGTTCGTATCCTTTCCTTTGTTGGCCATGCTCATCACACCTCTCCCATCATGCGTCGCAGGTCCCTCAAACTCATCCGCAAAGCTCTTTCCCCAACAACTCTGGCCTCCTCTCCCTGTGCCGGTAGGATCTCCACCTTGAATCATAAAGTTCTTGATGTTCCGATGAAATGCCACACCATTGTAGTATCCTTTCTTGCTCAATTGGATAAAGTTCCAGACTGCCTTGGGCGCAAATTCGGGGAGGAGTTCAATGTTCATGGCGCCTTTGCTGGTGGTCATACGCGCGTAGCCTTTGGTGCGGATTCGCTTCGGTTTGAGCATATACTCTTCGTCGCTCATGATCGCACGAGCGGTGGATGTCGAGGGCGTGAGTCCTGTCGAGGTGAAGGAGGCTGCGGCTTGGCCGTTGGTGTATTGGGCTGCATTGTAGGGTGTGGGTTTGGTGGTCTGTTGCTGAGAAGCTGGTTTCGATGCGCTGACTGCGCGCGTGCTGGAGGACGATTGCGAAGCCGACATAGCTTTCTGTTCGCGCTCGGCTCGGGCTTTGGCGACTGCTTCTTTCGCTTTGAGGATCTTGCTGGCAGACCCCAGATTGGCATCATTGACACCGGCGCTACGTTCGGCTTGCTGTTCAGCGGTGAGGGTATTGGTGCCATCTTTGATATACTTGAATGAAGCGAGATTTCGCGATTCGATGTTCTGCGGATCTTGCAGTGTGATCAGGTCGCTCCTCTTGAATTCAGCATCGTTGATCAGATCTCGCCAGTTCTTCGCTTTGATATTGAGCCGCTCGATCGTGTCATAGCTAAAGACATTTCCCGTATTTCTGATTGCAAGAAGATGTGTGTTGTCGGTGATGACCTTGAAGGTGACGGGGTCGACAAACTCGCCCTCGTCGTTTTTGGTAAAGTGTAGCTTGATCAGATCGGAGCTCTTCAACGACTCTCCATTGACGGGATTGGTGCCATGCTTCTTGATCCACGGCAGGATGTTGGTCAAGTCGAAGATGGTGCCCTCGGCGGTGCACACGGGATGCTCAAACGGCTGCAGCGAGACGGAGCAGAAGTTGAAAGGTAGGCGCTTGAAACTACCTGCGCCTCCTAGATTGGCAGCTTTGCGCGCATTGGCACCTGCGCTGGCTCCAAAGGCATCTTCACTCGACCATTCGCTGTGGGTAATCTGTGGCGGTATATGTTAGTCATGCTCGCTGCATGTTGTCAGGCGCATCGAAACTCACGTACAACTTGTCCGTTCCTGCGACTTGTCAGCGTGGCGAAACCAATCGCATGGAACAAGACTCACCTTTGCCCATGTTTGCGAACGTCAAAGACAGTCACTAATTACTAGAATGTGGGAAGATGGATGGTGAAGCACAAACGAAGGAAAGTGAAGATCTCCCATTTGAAAGTCGCAGCTGAGATGACGCTTAGCTCAGCTCAGCCCTATCGCGTGTCGTGCATCCCGGAGGATCTCGGAGGATGCTCTCCCCCGACTTCCGACTTCACTTCGAGGCCACCACCCAAACAAACTCCATGTTGTCTCTTTGAAGTCCTTCCACTCACAGATCACTTGTCGCAAGTCCATGCTGAAGTTACATCTCACTCACACCCTCTCGTGCTCGCCTTCATTCCTCAGGCCGAATAGTCCCACTGAGCTGCTTCRTCTTCCACAGATCTTCCAATGGCATTCTTAGGGACCTCCCATCCACCCGACGGGCCCTCGACAGCATCTGGGTCCAAGCCAACAGCCTTCATCTTTTGTCGTCGATTCTCCTCCCGCTCGTCGCAGATTCCCACCTTATGGTCCGCGTCAGTGCAAGCTAGTCCCTCCCTTCCCTCTCCGAGGCACTGATGTCCATGCACTCCTCTCGGCATGTTGCACATTCCCCAGAGACATCCGTTGGGCGCCTTCGGGTCGCGTCGATCCATAGTTCCCGCCACTTCGTTCTCCAGATTCTCCCTCGCCACATCTCTCTCCCTCTCCGCTTTCTGCATGTCCATGTCGCGCTGCAAGTTGGCGTACTTCAACATCGTTGGGACATCAAACTTGGTTGTCTCTTTGTTGATCAAGTCTTTGACAATATGCCACTGGAGTKGGGTGTCGAACTCTGGCTGTTCACCAAATGCATCTTTGATGAAGTTTGCGCCGAACTTGTCACCGAATTTCGCAGAGGGTCTGTCGTTGAAGAAGCTTCCCTGATGGCGCGGATAGCCTCCCTGCGGATAGCCTTCGTCCTGGTGGGGTTCCTGCTCATGGAATCCCAGCTGATACTCTTCCTGCGGGTGAAGCAGAAACTCCTCACGGGTCGGGATCGCCCTGAAGAAGAAAAGTCAGTGCGTGTTTCGGATTCGTGTCTCTTCGGTCCGCAACTCACTGCGGCAGTAGATGATCTGTCTCTCCGGCTGTATCACTCCAAGACCCCGCGATAGTCTGCTGCTGGAGCGGCAGCCAAGGTCGTGCATTCGCGGTGTACGGATTTGGCGGGAGCAGACTGCGGGGAACTTGTGGAGGGCGTGGATCGACCATGGCGAAACCTGGCAGCTTGGGAGGTGGGCGGACATAGCCATCAAGATCCGGTGGTGGAGGTTGCCGCGGAGCCGCACCGAACAGCGGAAACGGTGCCAAGTGGGGCAATGTGGCTCTGCCGGCGGTGGTGCGTCGACGATGTTTTGGCGGCTGCGTTGGCGATAGCCGGTTGGGGTCTGCAGGGGTGTCAGTCATTTTTTTCTTCGTTCTGTTCTGCGCGAACGTGTGGTGTGTGTATTGTTCAAGTCATGGTGGGGAAGCTGGAAGAACATTTGGATGAGAACTCGATTTGAACATCCATTCACTCACCTCGACGCGGGGTTCGGCATTCGACCTCACTTCTGGCCGCGAGAGTGGACGGTGTATGGGAGGCTTCATTCTGTCGAGCCGTAGTCTTTATCCTCGTCTGGGCGTAGTCAGCATCGTTCTTTTGCTTTGTTTTCCCTCTCCCCTTGTGCCGAGCTATGTCCAAGCCAGCAAACCTGCATATGGTCTCGCAAAGCATGTTGAAATGCATCCTTGTGCTGAACAAGCTCTTCAGCAAACCGAGAGTCAGATGGGCCAGCAGCTGTCCACCAAGGAAGCTTCCAGAGCCGCTACTGACTTCATTCGATGCAATGCCAAAATTGATGGGAATTTCAAGGAGAGACAGACCAACAGACAGGGACATCGAGTGATGAGGTGAACAATGCCTCGTTCAGTTTGCAGAGCACGATATCTATTGCTCCTTGGTTTGTTTCTCTCCACTCTGCAACTGCACCATTTGATAATATCTCCCTCGTTGTGCCATCAGTGTCGAATGCGACCCATTTTCCACGACCCGACCGCCTTCCACGACCAAGATCGCATCAGCTTTACGAACAGTGGAGAGACGATGAGCCACAGCAATCGTGGTCCTCCCCTTGGCAGCAGCATCGAGGGCTGCTTGGACGACCCTCTCCGAGTCACTATCCAACGCCGAGGTCGCCTCGTCCAGAAGCAAAATCTTGGGGTCTCGTATCAAAGCCCGGGCGATAGCGATACGTTGCTTCTGGCCTCCAGAAAGCATGGTGCCTTTACTCCCGACCACTGTATCGAATCCAGCTGGTAGAGACACGATGAAGTCATGGATATTGGCTTCCTTACACACCTTGATAAGCTGTGCCTCAGAGATGTCCTCCTTGTCTGCAGCGAATGTAATATTGTCGCGGATCGAGCCTTGATACAACGTTGGCTCCTGGGATACCATCGCCAAATGGCTGCGGTAGTCCTTGAGGTTCAGACTTGAGATGTCATGCCCATCGACATACACGCCTCCACTTTTGGGATCATAGAATCGCTCTAGAAGTGAGACGGTCGTCGACTTCCCACAGCCGGAAGCGCCTACCAAGGCAACGTACTGCCCGGGCTGTACTGTGAAGCTCATGCCGTTCAGAACTGCTTGTCCGTCTTGGTAGCCGAAGTCCACATTGCGAAACTCCACAGAGCCTCGAATGTCCTCCAAACTATGACCCGCAGAACTGGAGATATCGATAGCGGGTACTCTCTCAAAGAGATGTTTCAAGTCAGCAGCCGCGAGCTTCGCTTTAGCAATGTCAGGAGCCAGGGAGAACATGTTGGCCGCCGAGCGAGTGCCAAATATGACAAGGAAGAAGACCAGATAGAACTGAGTGATACTGTAGTCGCCGAGTAGGCTGCTCCCGTACCAGAAACAGAGCGCCATACAAAGGAAGCCGAGAGATTGGCTGGCAGCAAAGAGGACGCTGGATTTGAGATTGAAACGTAAACTTCTCCTCTCCTGTGCGACCAGCAGGTCGTGATAGTGCTGGCAGACCTGGTCCTCTAGTGTGAAAGCTGCTATGGTCCTGGTGGAAGAGGTGACCTCACACGCATATGACGCGCTCTCCCGATAGGAGTCCTTCTGGAATGCCTCGAACCGCCCAAGGGACCAGATATTTAAAAAACCGGCGAGTAGGAGGACTGGGACTGTGGCGATGCACACAAGTGCAAGTTTCCATCCCACGGCTAGAGCGACAATGTACCCGATGATCAATGTCGCGCATAGTTGGACAATATTCCCGAGAGCGATGCCAGACATACCTAAGCGAGTCAATATTCTCCATTGAAATACACCAAAAGCGTCACAACATACCAGCGAGGCGCGTAGTCTCTGTATTGAGAAAASATGCCAACGAACCGACCGTGTTCTCCCTGGCATCGAAGAATTGAATATCCTGGCGAAGCATCGATCTGAACGCCAAATCTCGACTGTGATGGACAAGCCGCTCGCTCCCATAGGCGAAACATACCCCGAGTATAAGATAGCAAGCCAGCATCACAAATGCAATCATCACGAACATACTGCTCCAGAAGTTGGCATCGTGCCGCAGTCGCAGGTATTGGGAGGAAGGCAGAGACAGCGTTGAGATGGAATTTGCAAGGATCAGACACTGCACAGGCTCGCCGGCTCCGGCGATGATGGAGGTCGCAACACCGAGAAGCATGACTCTCCACTCTTGACGATTGAGACCAGCGGTGAATTTGCACAATGTCCACCATGAGTATATGGGCGACTGTCGCTGATCGGAGTTATCCAGGGCAGGTTTCCCATCAACTATGGCATGCTCGCCTGTGTCAAGTGCCACGGAATCAGGGGATCCGAACGTCTTTTCCGAGACGAGCRTGTCCGCCTTCTCATCGTGTGCAATGCAATCATCCGAATCAGGGGTACTCGGCGACATATCCTGGGCTTCGACCAGATCAAAGAATGAGGATCTCGCAGCCAGAAGTGCATCAAAGGTGCCGTGCTCTAGAATTGCACCTCCTGGACCCATGACGGCGATGTTGTCGGCATTCCGGATAGTGCTCATGCGGTGAGAGATGATGATCGTGGTTCTACCTTGTGATGCCCTGTCCAAAGCAGCTTGTACCTTTAAATGGCCGTGTTAGCTTATGTGATGAAGTCCACGACAAGAAACCGACATTAACTTACCACTCTTTCGCTCTGACTGTCCAGTGCCGATGTTGCTTCGTCACAGATCAGAATTCTTGGRTCCCCGACTAGCGCCCTTGCGATTGCGATGCGTTGTCTTTGGCCTCCGCTGAGGAACGATCCACGTTCTCCAACAAACGTATCATAACCTTGAGGCAGCCTTGTGATGAAGTCGTGAGCATTTGCCAGTCTAGCTGCTTGCTCGACGATGGACCTCCGACTTTGATCATCTGTCGCCTTCTGACGCCTCTTCCCTCTCAGACCGTACAGGATGTTCTTCTCTATCGTGTCCGAGAATAGCACCGGATCTTGTTGAACCAAACCGATCTGCTGCCGTAGCCAGTGTAGGTYCAGATCCTCTATTTGGTATCCGTCAATCGAGACCTGACCAGCTACAGGACTGTAGAAGCGCTCGAGGAGGGCTATGATACTACTCTTCCCGCAGCCCGATGCTCCCGTTATTGCTAACGTGGTTCCAGCCGGAATAACGAGACTCAAGTTTTCCAGCACAACAACATYAGGTCGAGATGGGTATATGTGTTTCACCTGTGATCTAAATGAGCGATGGAATGTCATAACTTCCCAGTAAGCAAAGCCTCTGACTTACGTTCCGAAGCTCAACATGGCCTTCCAATGTCTCTGGGATGACTCCTTGGTTGGGAAGCTGGTCCAAAGATGAGACCCTGTCAATCGTTGCAAAGATAGGGGTAGCAGCAGCTATGGCGTTGGTAAAGGCCTGAATATGCTGAGTAGCCTTCACCAAAGCAAAAGCTCCCAGCATCATTACAAGCAGAATAGTAAGAACAGCTGCCAAATTGGTCTCGCCCGCCACAATGTATCTACTGCCCATCCATGAAGCCAGGGCATATCCGAGATTGAAAATGCAAATGGTCAAGCCAGGTCCAGAGCCTGCAAGACACTTCATGCGAAATCCAAACGACTCCGCGCGAGTCAGATACTTGTCGTATTCCTTGGAAAGTTTCTCTTGGGTATCGCAGGCTGTGACCGTTCTTATTGAACTGAAAGCCTCCTCCACGAGCACCCCGCCTTGAGAGTACGCAGCCAATGAAAGTTTACTGTACTTGACAATGTATCTTCCCAACACATATCCAAGGGCAAAAAGTACGGGAGTAAGTGACGAAAGGATCAGGGTCAACTTCCAGAACTTGATCAAGCCAATGATGTACGCCGCAAACAGGGTAGAAAGAGAAGACAGCACGAGTTCAAGCTTCTCGGAGATACCCTCTTGAATCACGGCTGTATTTCCAACCCGCGTGATTATTTCGCCCGGGCCAAGTAGGTCGAAATACGCTGCATTCTGCGCCAACAAAGCCTGGAGATACTTCTCCCTGATTTTGCGGGTGAGGCTTTCGCCTGTGGTCCGAAAGCCAACGGTAGCTACATAGATTGCAACAACTAGATGGACACGCAGTGTAAGTTTGTGTATGTTCTGTTACATATGCCGATCTCATGGGAAGACTAACACTCGCCGACTGCCAGGTACACGAAGAAAAGAGCCCTTTCCGCGACCAAACTGTCGAATTCTGCTCTGGAAAGGCCATTCACGAAGTTCTGGAACGCTCCAGCTAGCGATCCTAGAATGACCGTGTTCAAAGGTACTGCAGCGCCTGCGGCGATCGCAGCGATCGAGCTCACGATAATGATTATCAGGTCCTGTAGTGATGCATAGAGAAAAAGGGTCCTCCAAGTTACTTGGGTAGTGATGGGGGTTTCGATCTGTCTGCGTAAAGCGGAAGCTTCATGGTCTGTCAGGTGCTCAAATGGGTTGGCCTCGACACTGTTGCGTTTCTGCGCCGAGGGAGAAACATTGCCCATCGTGCTTCTTGGAGAAGAGCCCAATGGATGTCCAGGCCGGTGCCGTCCAAAATGTCTTGCTTGTGCGCAAAATCCCTTCACATTTGCGTTGCTTGTCACAAGCCCGACAAAGATGCGTTAAAGCCATAGCACTTCACAGCACCTTGGAGACAAAGCATCTAGCCGTTTCGGGAAGATGAGCTTTGATGCCGATGTAATTATTCTCCCTCCCACAGGTCGATGCTTACTCCTTAGACTGCACAGTGGGCATGTGCAGCCCGAGACCCGGGACTTGCTCTTCGGCCTTGTCATCGCCATCGCTACGCATCTCTCAGCCGGGTAAACCTCCCGTCAAGCCACGTCAGTTACATTGGAAGAGAAGCATTGACTTGATAGCAGCGCGACGTTGTCAGCGGACCAACCCTGATACATCTTCGGCCTCTTTGGGGCAGTCTCTAGGTATACAGTAGCTGCAGCATGTTAAGCGAGACTTCCGATAGCCCTAGAGAGAGAGTCAGCAAGTCTAGAACTCGACGATAGCGCGCGAATCAAGTGAAGGACCGATGTTATTGAGATGGCCCGCGCAAATGAAGCTTGCTGGGGTTGACTTGAGCCTCGGAATGAGGAGGCGTGCCAAGACCCGATGCGCGTGACTTTTTACCCCTGTCTGGTCCATTCAGGGGCCCCTGCTGCTGTCTCTAAGGTACTTTACTTTAAGACAGTCGAACCGATACTATCGCTACCTAGTATTGCTTCTTATCTACAGCGTCATCAAATTCGCATCGAAGCTGACAATGTCGCATCGGATACGAATCGATCTGTCCCACTGGTCTTCGTCCAACGTCTCGCGCTTGTGCTGGCATATGAAACAGGAGAGTGTCGGTGGCAGGTACAGTGTGAATATTGGAGGCGTACTATACGAGAAATGTCAGACAATAGTGTGCACCGATATGCCTCAAAATCCGGGTCACGAATCCATCTCACACATCCCCGGCCTCATCTTCCCAGAATACAAACGCTCGCAGCTCCACGCTCTGCCTTGGCGGTCCATTATCAAATTTGCTTTGGAAAGATGTATGTGGTACCCTTCTAGCTTGTCCATCGTCCCTGGAATCATACATTTTGAATAGTAGTGCCTCGTCTGGGGTCATTCGAGAAGCATAGTACCACTTGTGGGTCGTTGGATCCGCGGGAGGTTTTACCGCCCAAAGGTACGTATCTGGCGCTCCCGCTTGATACTTGCCGATGTTGTGGTGGTTCTTCTGCTCTTCGGTGAGATCCTCGGGCTTCAACCAACGAATGGTTTGTTCAGCGAGCTCATCGTCCTTGATGCTGCGAGCGTCCGCCACGCATAGAGCGTCCCGTTCGATGGTGTGGCGAGGACGCCAGAGGTTGATCAGAGCCCAACGGCACCTAGGTTTCGCGGCCAGACGCCTGAGATCCTCTCTTGGTCCATTGACGACGAGTCTCTGGTAGAATTGCTCTGCTCCTCGGTAGGAATAGTCGCAGTGGATGTAGCGGTTATTGGCTGAACGCGACTCCAGATCATTGTCTTTGTATTGTTCGATATCTTTCATGACTGTGTTCCAGTCCTCACTGCGTAGGACATGATTGAAAGCGTAGGCATGAGACGCACCCGCAGCTTTCTTCAGAAGGGCTTCGCAGTCAGGGTAGTAGCCTTTCTTGATGTCCTCGTCGTCGTCCCATGTCTTCTGAGGGGTTGGCCAGTTGACCCATTGGAACCCTTGCTTGTGTAGCGAATAGTCTGATTCATGACCACGGACATCCGTCACCGTCGACTTGACTAGAACTCGGGGAACACGAAGTGCTTTGACCAAGCCTGGYCAGATCTCATCTGTGCCGCCATTTTCGGGCGTGAGTTGGTATTGGAGTTCAGTTTCAACAACACCCATGTTGCGAGTCTCCGTAGCCATGTTGAGTACAGGTTGAGCTGGAAGATGGGAAAGGGAGAGGAGCGTCGCAGTCTGCCTTGCTTCAACACCGCGTAAGTTGCAGCTTAAAGTCTGCAATGGTCGATRCGCTTTACCGCTACTTATCGAGTCGCCCAGAGTTGAAACAATTGCAACTAGAGCAGGGATCCGGCCGCCATCTCGTTGGAGTCGTTACTTAGTTTGCCTCAAGCGCCGGCGAGATAGACAGGGTATGAAACCAGGGAAGCTTTCGCCGGCCAAGTAAACGAGTTTGCAGGTGGAAGTCACTTAGGTAGGCCGAAAACTGACCGTGTGCGTCACATGCATGTGCGAGCTGAATCATCAAGCCTAGTGTACAACACTTATACGGCGTGTGGTTGGAGGCCGCTCACTGCCGTGCAAGGATTATCCCGGCCCATTCCACAGGCATACTGTACGGTGTATTCTGTAGTTTGTGATCCGAGGAGCAGACTTCATTGACCAGAGTTACAACAGGATCACCATCGGACAAAGTGCTTCACAGTTCAAACCCCTGAATTTGGCGTACAGCATGACAAACGAAGCAAAGACCGCCAGGCTAGATGCCAATCTGCTACAACAGTCTCTAACAACAAATCCACGACCTCTACCTTCTTCAAGTTCCCTAGAGGTCAGAACACTCGAGTACCATACTGATCATATGATCACTGTTTCCTGGAGTGTATCTATCGGCTGGTCTACCCCATCACTCCAACCATATGGACCAATTCCAATCCTGCCGTCCGCATCTGCATTGAATTACGCTACGGAATGCTTCGAGGGGTTGAAAGTATTTCGTGGTCAAGATGGTCGGTTACGATTATTCAGAGCCATCGATAATTGTGAAAGAATGCGGAGCTCGGCTGCTCGTGTGGCATTACCTGATTTCGAGCCAAAGGAGCTTGAAAGATTGATCGTTGCTCTCTGTTCTCTCGAAGCGCCCAAATGGTTACCGAAAGACGATGGAGAGGCAGCCCTTTATGTACGACCGGTCTTAATGGGCACTGATCCAGCTCTGGCCACTTTAAGACCTCGCTCGGCAATCCTTCTCATCTTCTTGACCGTCTTTCCCAAAGCCATCGGCTCAATCACAGGTCCAGAGCAACCACAGAAAGTGGCGACTCCACCGAGAAGATCCATGAAGTTGCTGGCYTCTGGGAAAGAACAAAGTCGTGCTTGGCCCGGAGGGTATGGACAGCATAAATTGGGAGCTAACTATGGAACGACGCTGGTGGTACAGGAGCAGACCAAGGCTCAGGGGTTCGATCAGATCCTCTGGCTTTTTGGATCCGAAAGATTCGTCACTGAAGCGGGAGCGAGCAACTTCTTCATCGTGCTGCGTGCGGCAGACAAAACGTGGCAGCTCGTCACTGCACCCCTGGAAGGAGGTCTAATCTTACCTGGGATTACTCGAGCAAGTGTCCTGCAGCTGGCCAGAGAGAGACTACAGGAAACGGTCGGTGATGGCGTGCGAATCGATGTCGTCGAAAGGGACTTCACCATGAGTGAAGTCCTCGAGGCCCACGAGAAGGGGAACGTTGTTGAGGCGTTCGTAACAGGAACTGCGTTGTTTGTGACGCCAGTGGGCACAATTCACTTCGAAGGAAGAGACGTCGAAATTAACTGTGACCCCGTGGATGGAGTGCTGTGTTCTCAGCTGGTCCGAGGCTGGCTGATCGGCATCATGAACGGCAAGGAACCTCATGAATGGGCGCCGGTGGTTGATGAAGTATAGAGCGTTAACAACTCCATGATAATATCTGCTATACGGCAAATGTCAAGATACATGTCCCAGAGCCAGGTGGAAGACAAGAAAGTTGAAACTCTTAAAATGGGAAACTGTAAGTGAGCGGGACTCCGCCATTTATTCCAACGTTGTCGTCATCTCTCTTTTATCATGAATCCTGTCTCCTCATGCGGCCGCCAAGTCACTCCTTCGAATCGGCAAGCGTGATCAAGCATCGGCGTCCCTTCGGAGAGCTCACAAAAAAGTGATCCGGGGTCATATCATCCAACGACATGCTATTCGACAGTTTCGCTCCCCTGCATTCCCTAAAGAAAATAGCAAGACCGAGACGTAGTTCCAGATATGCCAGGTTGATTCCAAGACACATGCGGGTCCCACCGCCGAAAGGAACATAGACTTTCTTCTGTGTGGATGTCAAATTGCCTTCGACCATGGAAGGTAGCTTGACGTCCAGAAAGCGTGTTGGGTCGAATTTCATTGGATCTGGCCAGATTRCTGAATCGTAGCGAGTGGTGTACCTGGTGATATCCGTGAGTAAGTGCGAGCAGTGAGTTTTACAAGCGAGGCGTATGTTAGACTTACATCTGAGGCCATACCACCGTACCAGGGCCGAGTTCAAAGCCCGCTATGCGAGCACCACTCGGTGGGACCACACGCTGCAGACCAACAGACACGGGCCCATGTAAGCGCAAGGTCTCATGAATGACTGCATTGAGGTAACGGGCCTGCTCAAGCTCTTTGGGAGTCAAGTCGTCGGATAGAGCTGAGACCTCACGCTCTAGCTCGTCACGTATCTCAGGATGACACAGCACAGCCCATGTGCAATATGTAAGTGTTGAGGACGTACTATCAGTACCGCCAAGCATCAAGGTGAGAGCTTCGTCATGGACATCTTCATCCGTGATAGCCCGAAGACMTTCTTCATCCTGATCATCAGCCTGGGCTACGATTTGTGTGAAGATGTTGCGACTAATATCATTGCCATCTCGTTGCATGCCATTGGCACGAAAGTTCTGCACAGCCTTGGCGGTGTATTTCTCAACCTTTGGTCTCGCAGTGAGTAACTCCTGTAACCGAGGAATAGGCAGATGCTTGAGAAGCGGCATGATTCTGGGGAAGTTTCTGTAGAGAGAAGAGCATCTCAATGTTTTCTTCACAGCTTCGATGTACGGCAAATGCTGAGTACTGGTTAGTAGGGGACATGATGCATTCGCGGATCTGACTTACTTCGTCGGACTCCAAGAGATTGAGCGATTCGCCGAAAGATGCGGTTGTAATCACATCATTGGCCATGATGTTCCACCATTTGTAGGCGTCGCCTTCGCCTTTGGTCTTTGCATCGCTTTTGATCCTTTGTACTGCTCGCGTCGCACGTTGACGGACATCTTCCGACCAAAACTTCAGAATCGATGAGTTGGCCAGTGGCCGAGCAAAGAGTCGGCGGCGTTGACCATGTAGAGCAGGATCTCTAGTGGCGAAGAAACTCCTCAGAAGAGAGTCATATAATGGCCCCTTCAGGTACCCTCTGCTAGATCGAAAGATGTCCGCCACTCCGTCAGGATCTGACACGGCGACCATATTGGGTGCCAAACGCACAACTGGTCCATATGAGCGATGCAGATTGTCAACATAGACATGTGCTCGCGGGACCAAAGCATTGAAAACAAAGACCAAGGAAGTGTATCGGGAGTACCAAGGCCCAGGAATGTGAGAAAGGGGGTCACGAGACCTTTGTGAGATCTATACGTGTGAAATTGTCAACGACTAAAGAAATGTGTGTTCATCTTGATGTCTTACCTGGAAGAGCGCGAACAATATCAAAGCTCCTCCAGCAATCGTTCCCAGCATGAACAACTCCATCTGTGGCGTTGATGGCGGATGGCAAGACCTGGGAGCAGTTCTATCCGATTCGACTCAGCAGGTAAATACGCAAAAGATGTGCTGGTACTAATATCGCACTCATGGAATGTGCTGTACAGTAGAAACCTTTGCTGCCGATGACTGAGAGGGCTTCTCATTCATGCTGGTCTCAGAATCCAAACATCCGGTAGACACACACCGCCGCACACATAATGAAGGACCGAGGACCGCCGCGATAGTGTTCTCATCAACTCTCGTTTGGTACTTCATCGGTACAGCATCTTCGTGCATCGGAGTGGTAGAGCGCTAGAAGACGGCAGCTAATGAACCCGGTTTACACTGCCTCCGAGGATTGCTATCGGCGACACACCCTGTTCGAGGCTGCTAGGATTATAGCCGTTTACTACCCCGATAGCCAAGGTCCTGTACAAGCTATTATCGTTGAATATCCTGTAGTGGTTGGGCGCCAGATGCGGAGTGAACAACCACCCTATGGCAACCACCTTGCCGGGTACGAAGCTGTCCGAGGCTGACGGACCTGCCCGACAATTAGCTCGTCAGCGACATCAAATACACGCGAAGAGCCTCTATGTAGCTTGAGAACGTCCTTGCGAGCATGCTAACCATCCTGAGCGTGGGTAGTTGCCAGTAGATTATCCCTTCTTGGACGAGTAAGCTATGACTGGAGCTATGAGCCCCAACGCAAGCYATGACCGATAGCCTAGACGCAGACCAGGGTCCCCTCCCCTGCTCGGCTCTGATAGACAAGCATCTGCCACATGCGAATGTAAGCATTTAGTCATGGCGGCCAGAGACAATCGAGGTCCCCAAGCTCGAATCTTGGCATTGCTTTGAAACTCAACCGCGAAGCAAGGCCTCTGTAAGCACTGCCTCTAAAGTGCGTCGGAATTTCGTCGTATTGGTCAATAAGCAATCCCAGACAGCGAACTGCTATCTCGCAACGCAATTCGGACCTGCAAAGCGGGTRCGATTTGGTACGAGTCGTTCTGCGCCGGGGTCTTTGCTACGCGGAGTGTTTTGTGCGATCGGCCCTTCGCCGCTTAAAGAGCGGTTGTAAATGAGTAGTCAACTATGCCATCATGAGCGAGAGCGCAATCGCCTTCTCTAGATATGCGGCCGGATTGAACTGTCGGTGAAGCACTTACAGTCCAGTCAGTGTGAATCACGACCAGTGAGCCAAGTCCAGCACCGTCTCTGCAAACAAAATGGGTGTTGATCAAATCGCTGTTCTTCCCGACCGACAACGAGCGATAAAGGTCGTTGGGGCAGGGACACTTCGTTTGGAGGAAAACGCAGCTCTTCCACAGGTCGAAGATGAGGACATTCTTGTAAGAGTGCACTGCGTGGCGCTGAACCCGTTTGACTGGTAACATGGATATGACTCTGCAAATTCGTTGGTGGGAGAACGCTGACACTTGTACCAGGAAGTCATTAGATCTATCTCCAGCTGCAGGATCGACCTTTGGATGTGACGTCGCCGGCGAGGTTGTAGCGATTGGTAACAAGTGCAGCCAGAACGTTGACGTCGGCGATCGAGTTTTTGGCCCAGTCAAAGGCAATGCCTCCGATGCGCCCGAGAATGGTGGCTTTGCAGAGTATGCTGCCATAAGAGATGTGGTTGTGTGGAAAGTGCCAGAGGGTATGAGTTTTGAGCAAGCGGCGACGTTGGGAATGTCGCTGATGACCGTTGGGCTTGCGCTTCACTACACGTTGAAGGTGCCATTGCCACCGGCGCCATCAGAAAGAGATGTTTCGGAGAGATACCTTTTGGTTTATGGTGCAGGGACTGCGACGGGGACAATAGCTGTACAGTGTGCTGCACTGTGAGTCATATGATCGAGATGATCCCACCACGTTTGCTGACGTTTGCCTCAGATCAGGGATGTTGCCCATCGTAGCATGCTCTCCACGACATTTCGAACGCATGAAGGCGCTCGGGGCAGTTGCGTGCTACGACTACCATAATGCAACGGTCGCAGAAGATGTCAGGAACTACACCAAGCAGGGACTTGCGTCAGCGCTTGACTGCATAACCGACAGTGCGAGCATGAATGTCTGTTACAATGCGTTGGGTGCAAAAGGAGGGAGGTATGTGGGACTGGACCAATTCCCAATACGCAATCATTCCAGGCGGGATGTACGTCCGGAGTGGATAGTGGCGTGGACGGTCAGCGGCGAAGCGATACGATGGCAAAGGCCATACAGAAGAGCTCCACGGCCGAAGCATAAGATGTTTGGGCTCCGGTGGAATCCGGTGGCTCAGCAGCTCGTGAACGCTGGTTTGATCCAAATACATCCTATGGATGTACGGAGTGGAGGTCTGGCGGCTATCCCGGAGGGCGTAGATGCCCTGCGTAAAGGGTTGACTGACGGCAAGAAGCTGGTGTACTCCATCTTGTAGGAGATTTGCCAGCCAAGTAAGCATATGCAGATGCGACCAGTGTTTCTCCCGTGAACAGCACGACCCCCACCAGTCGATATACCTTGGCAGTTCGTACAGTAGTGTGTGTGTGTTGCGTTGCGAGGGAGAGGACGTGAGGTCGGCCCCGGAATGCCGATCTCGCTTGTTTCGGGCCCGATCTCGCTAATATGGATGTGGTCAATGCGCACCGCTATTTCCTCGCCGCCTTGCCGCCTTGTTCTAGAGGCAAGCATTGGCGGCGCCGACGGTCTCTCCTCCCCATAACGACAGCGGATTGGGCAAGCCGGCACCCATTATCGCGACGGCAGCACTGTCTGCCCGTGGGGAACACTACTGTACTGCCGCCCGGCACTTTTCCATGCGAGCTCTGACTACTCAGCCATACACGCGACGCCGCCTCTAAGCATGGGCTTACTGCACCGTCGTGTGCTTTGTTCTGGATGATGCTCGTCAAAACAACTTTATATCACTAACAGCAAGCTCCCTAGCCACTTTGGCCTGTCAGAAATGCTCGTATATCTGGCGAAGACAGCCCGGATAGAGTCATTCCCACCCTGCACTTAGTTGCCTCCGTTTCTCGCACTGCCTCTAGCTAATGATGGATAGTCGAATAATGATGAGGTCTGTTTCCATCGACAAGGATATCAGCCAGAGACACCGAGACACCGCCTCGGACTACGAATGCGTCATTTACATGCCCTGGGCAGTTGCAGGCTCGCGTGCTGCATTGCCAGACCGAGCTAGCCTATGTGCTGGTAGTTTGTTGAATCAGGGCTCAAGTCGGCAAGCGGATGAGTGTCGTCTGATAAAATACCAGATTTCTTTGCCAGCAGCTGAAAAACAACACATCCCCTTGTGGCAGCCTTGTTCGGTATCCAGGATTGATGCGGCACAGATGCAGCGAGAGTAGACGCTCGAAGTGCCAGCCATTATGACATTTTTCCAACGAACCAAGGGGCGAAGGATATGAATCGCATTGCGAAACCCTAGAAATTTCTAGGGCCGTCTTGAGGCGACGCTTGCAGGAGCTCCACTCTGTTGACCGAGTGTTTGACATGGAGATGAACCATGGCGTTGTAGACTGTAGTCGTCGACGCCGTGTGATTAGTCCCGACTCGTCATGTCGATCAATCGCTCGCCGTGAAGCCCTAGTCGGCATTCAAACGGTATGTCCGGTATATCTTCGTTGATGCAGAGGGCTAGACTGGAGAAGCGAGCGAATGACAGACAATATCTTGCTGATTTATACCATATACCATCATCATTGAAGTTCCAATAACAGGACTTCGAGAGTGAAGCACAGGAAGATGGCCGAACCCATCGCTATCGTTGGCAGTTCGTGCAGATTCCCTGGATCGGCTTCGTCTCCCTCAAAGCTGTGGGATCTATTGAAAAGCCCAAAGGACGTCCTTATCGACATTCCCAAAGATCGTCTTGGTCTTGGATCTTTCTATCACGAGAATGGCGAACATCATGGCTCTACCAATGTCGTCGCCAAGGGCTATTTGCTCGAAGAGGACCCTCGACTGTTCGATGGCCCATTCTTCAATATCAATCCTCGAGAGGCCGATGCAATGGATCCACAACAACGTTTGCTGCTTGAAAGCGTATACGAATGCATTGAGAGTGCTGGATACCCTCTGGACAAGTTGCAGGGAACCGCCACGTCGGTATATGTAGGCTGTATGACCAACGACTACCACGACATTCAGGGACGGGATATAGAAGTGGTCGATCGATATCACGGCACAGGTGCAACTCGAAGCATTCTTTCGAACCGCATCAGCTACTTCTTCGACTTTCKTGGCCCTTCCGTCTCTATGGACACCGCATGCTCATCATCCCTGGCTGCTCTACATTTTGCCGTGCAGTCGTTGCGCACCGGCGAATCAAGCAACTCGATCGTAGGGGGCGTCAAYCTAGTGTTTGACAGTGTACCCTACGTGAGCGAAGCAAAATTGCACATGCTCTCGCCAACCTCGCGATCCTCTATGTGGGATGCGTCTGCTGACGGATACGCTCGCGGCGAAGGAGTCTCTGCATTAATGTTAAAAACGCTCTCGCAAGCGATCGCAGACGGCGATCATATAGAGGCAGTCATTCGTGAGACAGGGATGAACCAAGATGGAAGAACAACTGGCTTGACAATGCCAAGTGGCGAAGCGCAAGCCGATCTTATCAGGTCGACTTATGCTCGTGCGGGCCTCGATCTTCGCAAAAAGAATGACCGACCGCAGTACTTTGAAGCACATGGCACAGGGACGTTGGCTGGAGATCCTCAAGAAGCAAAGGGCATCTACAGCGCATTCTTCGGTCATGTGAAGAGCGACGGCGAAGATGAGACTGATATTGGCGACGAAAAGCTGTTTTGCGGCTCCATCAAGACAATAATTGGTCATCTAGAGGGATGCGCTGGTCTGGCAGGACTTCTCAAGGCATCACTCGCGGTGCAGCATGGGATAATTCCTCCGAATTTGCTATTCAAGAGCTTAAACCCGGAGATCGAGCCTTATTACCACCGACTCCAGGTGCCCACGAAAGCGATCCCATGGCCTGCTGTGCAAACTGTACGTCGTGCCAGTGTCAATAGCTTTGGTTTCGGCGGCACGAACTGCCACGCTATCATCGAGCAATATGTAGAGCAACATCCGTCGTCTTCCCTGCCTCAAACCAAGATCGAGCAGACCACAGCTGCAGAGGACTGCTTCGCCGGGCCGTTACTCCTGTCAGCGGCAACGGGAACTTCCCTAGCAGCTAGTATTTGCCGTCTGGCCGATATGCTAGAGGAAGAAGACAGTGTGGTTCGCGTCGAGGATCTGGCATGGTTCACACAAACGCGCCGGACCAAGTTTCAACAACGAATCTCTTTTCCAGGTGGGACAAGAAGTGGCTTGATCGAAGCTTTACGAGCGACGACTAAGTCAACTGCGGCATCTGAGATCGGAGTWCGTGCTCCCGCCAAGCTGAAGTGGCACACGCCTGGCATCCTTGGTATCTTCACTGGACAAGGTGCACAATGGGCGACGATGGGCCGGGATATGATCAAACAATGTCATACGTTCCGTGAAAGTGTCCAGGCTTGCGAAGCGACCTTGAAATCACTCCCTGATCCACCAACATGGTCACTAACTCACGAACTGCTTCAGGAGCAGTCCAAATCTCGCCTTGACGAAGCAGCCTTGTCCCAGCCACTTTGCACGGCCATTCAGATCGCTTTAGTCGACACCTTGGTTGCTGCTGGCATCACCTTCCGTGGTGTCGTAGGACACTCGTCGGGTGAGATTGCTGCAACTTATGCGGCTGGACTGCTCTCGGCCGAAGATGCTATGCGAGTAGCATATTACCGAGGTGTACACGCACATCTGGCCAATGGAACACAAGGTCAGCAAGGAGCCATGTTAGCGGTTGGCTTGGGTATCGACGATGCGGAAGACTTCTGCGACAGTAAGCCCTTCATCGGTCGCCTGAGCGTGGCGGCTAGCAACTCTCCTACTTCAACCACGCTTTCTGGCGACAAGGACGCCATTATCTTGGCCAAAGAAATGCTTGAGAAGGAGGGCACCTTTGCAAGATTGCTCAAGGTTGATACCGCCTATCATTCATCTCACATGCTTCCTTGCGCCAAACCTTACCTCGACTCGTTGAAGGCATGCAACATTCAAGTGAAGCCTCAAAATGACCAATGTGTCTGGATTTCCTCAGTGCACGGTCACGCCGAGCTTCTCGACGACCCAGAAGATCTCGGCGTGCTTGCGGGAGAATACTGGGTGGAGAACATGTGCCAGCCGGTGTTGTTTTCCGAAGCCGTTGAATGCTCCCTGTGGCGTGCAGGACCATTCGATGTAGCTATTGAGGTCGGCGCCCATCCTGCTTTGAAGGGTCCAGCGACACAAACAATCACCGCTGTTCTGGGAGCCAACGCGAATCTTCCGTACATTGCGACTCTGCAGCGAGGTCATAACGATGTCACCGCATTCTCTGCCGCGATCGGGTCACTGTGGCTGACCCTCGGGRCTTGGATAGACTTCAATGGTTGGAGGAAGGCCTATCTTGGCCCGGACTGTCCGCCGCACGCGGTCGTGCTCAAGAATATGGCAAGCTATAGCTGGTCACATGATGTGGCATATTGGAAAGAAAGCCGCCTATCCAGCCGACACCGCTTGGCAGAACGACCACCGCATGAGTTACTCGGTAGACGTGCAGCTGATGATTCAGACAATGAAATGCGCTGGCGTAACATCATGAAGGTAAACGAACTACCTTGGATCCAAGGTCACGTTTTCCAGAGGGCCATCCTTTTCCCTACGATCGGATATGTCGCTCTGGCAATCGAAGCGGCTGCGGAGATAGCTGGCATTGATAAGATCAAGCTGATCGAGATCCGCGACTTGGTGATCCCCCGCGCATTAGTACTTGAAGACAACCACGATGGCGTCGAGACGGTTTTCTCTGTCCGTCGTCAGAAGAGCACCAACACTACCATCGAAGCAGACTTTGCATGCCACTCTAGCGTGAGCGGTGGCACCCTGGAGAAGAACTGTGGCGGACGCGTCATCATCGAGCTGTTCTCTCCAAACGATGACAGTGATGGATCAGGTGCGTCTCTGCTACCATCCCGATGCCCTTCGCGCTCGGGCACGACATCAATGGACGGCGAAGCGTACTATCAAGCGATTCTGAAGACCACGGGATTGGACTATCAAGGCCTATTCCGGGGGATGAAGCATATTCGACGAACGCTTGGCTTTTCGAGTGCCCAGGCATCTTGGCCCGTCGAAGATGTTGGAAAGAAATACATACTCCATCCCGGTCTACTTGATGTGGCACTGCAAGCCATCCTTGCCGCATTCGTGAACCCAACCCGTATTCCAATCCGAGGCTCGTTCTTGCCTGCTGCATTGTCCCGGCTTGTGTTTGATCCTCACGCTCATACTCTGTCCAACGATGGCAAAGAAGTCGTGTTCGAGTCGGATTGTTTCCTGACAWACAACACTGTGCGCTCGTTTGAAGGCGATATCCATGTGTTTGGGCCAACCGGACAGTGCCTGTTGCAAGTTGAAGGCTTCAGAATGGACAATTGGACGGAKCCGAGTGCGTCAGAAGATCGCCCCGTTTTCTCCCGTCTTGATTATCAGCCCGACCTGTTTTATGGAAACGTCAGCAATCTGGTCGAGCTTCATCCTGATGCTGCTGAGCTGCGACTTATCGAAGCTATCAACCGGGCGTCATACTACTATCTCCGCACTTACTTTTCCACTGTACCTGAGTCCCAGATTGCTGACTGGACTTGGGACCGTCAGGCGTTCTACAAAGCTGTCCAAAAGGTCTTGCAGAAAACGCTTGATGGGAGCCATCCGGTAACGCAGAAATCATGGGCCAATGATACTGCTGAGCTCATGGAGAAGTACAAAAACACATCAGAATTTAAGGAACAAGCCGACATGAGGGCGCTTCATGTTGCGGGCGAGCATCTCGCCAAAGTCATGGCGGGAGAGGAGCGCCCTCTGGAGGTGTACCTCCGCGRGAATGTCTGGGCGCCGTTGTACTCGCACGGCCGCTATCAGGTTCGCCTCAACCGTACCATTGCCAATCTTGTACAGTCGCTTTCCCACCGCTATCCGCGTGCCAATATTCTCGAGGTCGGCGCTGGAAGTGGTGGTACCACCTTGGGTGTGCTGGAGCAGATTGGAGACGCGGTCGGCCAATACACGTTTACCGATGTTTCTGCAGGGTTCTTCGAGAAAGCACGAGAGAAGCTTGCAAGGACGAATGCAGCAGCAGCTGATAGAGTGGCGTACAAAGTTCTGGACCTCGAGCGTGACCCTCTGGAGCAAGGATTCGAAGCAGAATCTCAAGACGTGATCATTGCAGCTAATGTGCTGCACGCTACTGCAGACTTGAAGAAGTCGGTGCAAAGCGTACGTCGTCTGCTGAAGCCTGGTGGTTATCTGTTCATGCTTGAAGTCACTGGTGAATACCTCGAGGGCTTGCTCCTGATGGGCCCCCTGGAGGGCTGGTGGCTTGGTAACAGGGAAGGCAAGGCCAGTCAGCCAGGTTTGACACTCCAAGGGTGGGATGATCTGTTCAGAGAAACTGGCTTTACCGGTGTCGACAGGCATCAAGGTGATGTTCCGAGTCCTACAACGCAAGCTGTATCGGTTGTTGTCACGCAAGCCACAGATACGCGGATTGACATGCTTCGCGAGCCACTTGAACATTTGGATGACTTGCCAGTGAGCGACCAAGTCTTGATCATCGGTGGGGAGTCATTGGCTATGTCCCGGACGGTACGAACGATCTCCCAGCATGTGGCTCGTTTCGCTGGCCGTGTTCAGGTGGTCCAAAGCATTGACAAGATTGATCCTGCTATTCATACCTCATCGCCCACCGCAGTGATCGCTTTGTGTGATCTGGAGCGACCATTCTTTGCCGATCCAATCACCGATAGCCGCCTGCAGAAGCTCCAGTCCCTCTTCGCAAATTCTACAGACGTCCTTTGGGTCACGACCGGGCATCTTGACGACAAGGATCCATCCTCGGCCATGATGATTGGTCTTTGCCGGACTGTGGTGATCGAGCTGGAGCACATGAATCTTCAATTCCTGAATACCGCCAGCAAAGGCTCGCGACCACCCGACGCCCGCTTGATTGTTGAAGCCTTCGCGCGTTTAAGGCTGGGTTCTTCTAACACTTTCACGGCCGAGCCGATCTTATGGTCAGCAGAGCCTGAGCTGACGCTCGCTGATGACGAAGTCTTGATCCCCCGTTTGAAGCCAGATCTAGAGCGCAACAAACGCCTCAACTCCGCTATCCGTCACATCACCAAATCTGTCAATTCTGCCGATATGAATGGCCGGAAGTACACTGCAACCTCGCGTGACGGACGTGTCCACCTGGAAGAGGACTCGCCGTGGATGCTTGATGCTAATCGCCACGATGTGAACGTTGAAGACACTACAACGCTTCGTACATCACTCTCGGTCACCATGCCGCATGCTTCGTCAGTCACGCTCGTGGCTGGGTTTGATTCCCGAAACGAACCCGTTCTCAGCCTTGCTGGCGCGCACTCGTCTACAGTATCTGTGCCTCAGACCTCCTCTTTGCACGTGAAGACGAAGACACTATGCACCGCACAGCAGCTGAGGGTTTGTGCCAATCTGATCTTGGCGAAACAAGTACTCGCGGCCATGCCACGTCCGTCTTCTTTGAAAGAGCCTCATGTTATCATCCATGGTGCTTCGAAGGCTCTGATGAAGGCCATAACACAGCTGGCTGGTTCAGCTTCGCGCCTTGTATTCACTCAGTCATCACCCAGTGCCAAAACCACGGCCGGCGACATCGTGTCTTTACATCCACAGTCATCGGCTTACATTCTACGGAGAGCTCTCCCCTCCAAGATTGGGTTTGTGGTCGCTCTTGGAAGTGATGATTCCGTCGCTAGTAGGCTGTTGTCTATCTTCCCGGGCACCACGTTGGACGTGGACGCGCTACTCCTGCAGGGTAGATTTCTGCCCCTTACAGAGCTCGACAGTGTCATTATGCGAGCTTTGGCAGGCGACGTCGATAACCCAGAGGAAGAATCACCCGAAAGCTCATCAGTCATTCCTGCCCACCGTCTGCCCAATTTGCCGGCCACATCGCTGGAGTTTCCCGCTGTGGTTGACTGGTCTGTTGATKATGAGCACCCGCTGCTCATCTCTGTCAACCCGATTCATGGCCGTGGTATGTTCTCGCCTGACAAATCATACCTCATGGTCAGCTTGGTATCCACTCTGGGTCGTTCGATTTGCAGATGGATGGTTGAAAACGGAGCACGCCATATTGCGTTGGCAAGTCGTAGCGCAAAAGTGGATCCCGCATGGCTAGAAGAGATGGCACATCTTGGAGCCAACATCCGTGTGTACTCAATGGATGTGTCTGACAGGCAATCTGTGCAGAGCACAGTCGCTACCATGCGTACTGAAATGCCGCCTATCGCGGGTGTGGCTAATGCCGCTCTCGTGCTACGGGACGGCTTGTTTCTCGAMATGAATGCCTCAGACATGACAGAAGTGCTCGCGCCAAAGGTACAAGGATCCTTGAACTTGCACGAGGAGTTCCAAGACTCGGACCTAGACTTCTTCATCCTCTTCTCTACTTTGTCATGTGTCATCGGCAACGCGGGCCAGTCCAACTACGATGCAGCTTCGCTGTACCAAGTCATGCTTGCGAAGCATCGTCGACAGCAAGGACTTGCTGCATCCGTCATGGAAGTTGGGTGTGTGGCAGACGTGGGATATGTCGCTGAGCGCGGCCAATCTCTGTTCGATAAGCTGGCGCGCACGATGAAGCTGCCACTATCCGAATCTGACGTCCACCAACTTTTTGCCGAAGCCGTGGCAGCAAGTCCGATTCGTGAAGGCGAAGTGGTCGACTCTACCACCGCTGAGATAGTATCTGGAATGGGCCACTATGGCTACAACACTAATACTCCGAGTGAAGCGCATCCGCCCTGGTTCAACAATCTTCTTGCATCTTACTATGTTAGAGAGGAACGTGGATCTGGGCCAGTGGCTGGAAGAGTCGATGCGGACCATCAGTCACTCGCCACCCGACTAGACGCTGCCACGACCGAGGAAGCGGCAGCAGCTATCCTCACAAAAGCGCTAGCCGAACGCGTTGAGAACATGCTCCAAATGCAGGCCAACAACTTCAAAGCCGACGCATCTTTGCTTGATGTGGGCATAGATTCTCTCCTCGCAGTTGAGGTAAGTACAATGTAGGGAGATAGGCATGCTGGGTAGTTCGAAGATCTCTCTCGAGCTACCCAGACTATGGGCTACACCGGAATTATCCAAACCATTGCTAACTCTTCTACCCACTAGCTCCGTACCTGGTTCTTGAAGGAGGTCCACGTGGACGTTCCGGTGCTCAAAATATTGAGTGGAGAGAGCGGAGAGGTCATTGCGCAATTTGCTGCCGGTCAATATCTTGCAGAAAGGAGCAAGAACGTCGCTGAGATTTCCACCGACTCATCGAATGCAATTTCTCCTGCGCCGGAGAACGAGTCGGATAAAGAGGGAGCAGCTAGTGTCTCATCGTCAGACGGCAAGCGCTCGACATCTCCCGGCTCGAGCAATACAGGGGATTCAGATCCGGCGGCCAGTGTGAGCACTGTTGAAGTCGAAACCAAGGAGAGGATAGATGAGGATGAAGTGGAAGACGTTGCAAGGGTTCGAAGCATCACATCCATGACGCACGCTCAGGCAAGGTGAGTCCTGCCCTGTCGTCGCCGTTCATAGTTAATCTGAGATACTCTCAATCAAATTGCTTTTGCTGACGACTGGACGTTCCTGTTGTAGAATGTGGGTCGCCGACCATATGTCTTCAAATCGGAGTCAGAACAACAATCTGCTGACCTATGACCTGCATGGTTTCATCAACGTCACACGGCTCCGTCGTGCTGTTTCTACTGTCTTTACGCACCACGCTGGGTTACAGACATGTTTCTTCCAAGATGCCACAGAGACGCCACGTCAAGGTCTGCTTGAAAAAGCTGAAGATCGTTTCAAGCACATTACGGTCCCTCCAAAGACCGACAATACCCATGACATAGTCCAGAGTGCGCAAGATGAGCTAAGGACGCGAAAGTGGCGACTGCATCGAGGCGAAGCCCTTGAGGTTGTCTTGATCACTCACACTAGCAATGAGCACACATTGCTTATTGGATATCACCACATCGCCATGGATGGATCAGCCTGGCGGACGTTCTTCCGAGACCTTCATCTAGCCTATCAGGGCGAACCTTTGCCAGCTCCTGGCAAGTCGCTCATCGAAGTTGCCACAGAGGAGGCCACACATGTTGCAGATGACTCGAACATATTCTGGCAACGTCAACTTTCACCAGCCCCAGAGACATTCCCACTTCTGCCCTTTGCATCTGCCAAGACACGTCCACCACTTGACGTGTTTTCCAATCGTATGAGCCTCGCAGAACTCGACGGGTCTGTCGCAAATCGAGTCAACGCCATCAGTCGCTCACTCAGCGTCACGTCGGTGAATGTATACCTGGCTGCGGTGAATCTTCTTCTATCCCGTTTGGCTGATATCGAGGGCGACATCTGCATTGGCGTCACAGATTCGGGGCGTGATGCCGATACTGCAGAGAGCATTGGGTTCTTCCTGAACTTGCTCCCACTACGAATCCAAACAAACAAGGCTACATCATTCCGGAAACTGGTTCAGCAAGTCAACACGACTTATCGAGAAGCACGGGCACAYTCCAGTGTGCCATTCAACACGATGCTGGACGCTATTGGCACCCACCGAGATCCAACGTGTACACCAATCTTCCAGGTCGGCTTTGATGTTAGGCATGGGCAGTCTGGCGATTTCCCTCTCGGCAACTGTCACATGAAGATTCAACAATCCGATGACTCGGCACTGCCATATGATATCTCGTTTTGCGTCATTCCAATGCCTGGATCTGGTCCGTCTTACGTGCAAGTCCTGACTCGAGCGGATCTGTATTCGCAAGAGGCCACCGAGCTACTCAGCCAGATGTACATTACTCTTCTGGAGAGTGTGGTGCAGCCTTCTGCTACAGAGTCACCTTTGGAGCATCTGTTGATGTATCCCAGCAGTCAGATCCAAAAGTCTCTTGACTTTGGAGGCCGTAAAGTTAACGAATACGCTGACTGGCCGTCAACCATAACCGAACGAATCGAGACGGTGACTCGAGATCACAAGGCCGACATAGCCATCAAGGATGTTTCCGGACCTATGACTTACATGGAATTGTCCGAGGCGACCGTGTCTCTGGCTCTGCGTCTTCTTCCTTATCGAGGCCTTCGAATTGCCGTGATTTGCGAGCCACAGCGAGAGTGGATCATTGGAATGCTTGCAACTTTGAGGGTAGGAGCGGCGTTCGTCTCCCTTGATGCAACATTACCCGCTTCAAGACTCAGCATCATGATTCGGGCCTCTGAGCCTAGCGTGATACTCTGCCATGCAGCAACCTTCGCCATCGTCTCCGAAGTTGTTCAGTTGTCGGAATCAGCTGCTCGCCTGCTATCATTCGAGGAAACACCAGTCAATACTTCGGAGACAGTGCGGAACTTCGAAGATCCAAGCAAAGCATCCCTGATTATCTGCACGAGTGGTACGACTGGAGTTCCCAAAGCCATTCTGCTCTCGACTCGTGGCTTCCGCAATTACCTTGCCAACCAAGCTGAACTGCATGGTGTGAAGAAGGGCGAAACTATACTCCAACAAACCAATTTGGGCTTCGATATGGCTATTGCCGAGGCTCTACTTTCGTTGGCCCATGGAGGCACTCTAGTCATCGCTCCTCAAGCAATCCGCGGAGATCCTGTTGCCGTGAGTGACTTGATGGTGCAGGAGGATGTAAGCTTTACGTTTGCAACCCCAACCGAGTATCTCATGTGGCTACGATACAGCAAAGAATCCATCTCGCAGCTGAAGAGATGGCGTTTGGCACAGTGCGGCGGAGACAAAGTTCCAGACGCGCTCTACCGAGAGATACAAAATGCAGGCTGCAGTCCAGTACCTGTACTTTCCGATGCTTATGGTCCAGCCGAAGTTTCCATCTGTGCGACAATCCAACACGACGAACCACACTTATGCAACGATCCTCTCACGAAGGGTGCTTCGTCTGTCGGCAGGACCCTTGCAAATGTTGGAATTTTCCTGCTCGATTCTCGCGGTCATCTCTGCCCACCAGGTATTCCTGGTGAGATATGTATAACCGGAGTGGGGCTTGCTCTGGGATATGTCGACGCGAATGCCACCGCAAACTCATTCGTTGAGAGCTTCGAATTGGACTGTGGCAATGGTATCAAACTTTCCGAAGGAAGAATGTACAAGACGGGAGATCGAGGTGTCTGGCGATCAGACGGTACGCTGGGGTTTCTCGGACGGATGAACGATTCTACCGTTGTCAAGATTAGAGGGATCAGAGTGGACCTCAGCGATGTCGAGAGTGCGATCCTTTCGCAAGGGTCACACCTTATCTCCGATGCTGTGGTGACGCTGCAGCAGCTGGAGGATGATACCTACCTCGTCGCTCATGTGGTTCCTACTAGTCACAAGAACGCCCTGTCGGAAGGGAACGATGTCGCGAATCTTGAAGCGCCTCTGGAAGAATTCATGCAGCAGCTGGACCTACCTCGACATATGCATCCAAGCCGCGTCGTCGTACTCGCTAGATTACCCCTGAGCGCCAATGGCAAGGTGGATCGTCGAGCGTTGAGTCAAGCCTTGCCATCCCCTCGGACGGGCGGTGTGCAGATTGGAAGCGGCACGGCCAGTCTTACCACATTGAAGCAAGTGGAGCTACATCTGCTATGGAAGCGCGTGCTCGATCGTGCCGACATCCCAAGACGCCACGATATCGACTTTTGGGCAATGGGAGGTTCGTCGCTCCATCTGGTCAAGTTACAAGCAGCCATCCGCAAAGACATGCTTGTAAAGGTCTCAATCCGAGATATGTTTATGCATAGCACGCTCGGCAGCATGGCAGACTTGATCACAGATCGATCATCGGGACTACCAGCCAGTGAACCCATCGATTGGGAACAGGAAACAAGCCTCACGGATGATTTAAGGATGACTCTTGCAGCACGCCCGCCAGCTGACGTTCAACCATCGGGCGAAATTCTTCTTACCGGCGCAGATGGTTTCCTCGGTGGCCATATTTYGCACGCACTACTTCGAGACCCTTCGATCAAACGTATCCATTGCATTGCAGTTCCATCGCTATCCAAGCTCCCACCTGGAGTCGACCTCACACGCATTGTCATCTACGAAGACAGTAGCGATCATCAGGAGAACTTCGGCTTGTCCGAAGAAGCAATCAAATCTATCACCCAAAGCGTAGATCGCATAATCATAGCGGGAAGCCATGGACATTGTCTCAACAACTACGCATCACTCCGTCAAACGAATGTCCTCAGCACAAAGACCCTCGCATCCTGGGCATCTCAACGCCGAGTTCCGCTACACTTCATTTCTTCCAGTCGAGTCACACTCCTACCCCACGACTCACAAGCCGCACTCCCACCAATCAGTGTCAAGAACCATGCTCCCAAAACAGATGGATCAGAAGGTCTCACGGCATCAAAATGGGCAGGAGAAGTCTTCTTGGAAAAACTAGCTATGGAAGCTACCAAGAACAACGGTTCCGGGTTCCCCATCACCATTCATCGTCCCTGCGCACTCATCGGGGACGAAGCACCTTCCGATGACTCCCTCAACGCTATATTGAAATATTCAACCCTCATGAGCGCCATCCCTCAAATCTCCAGCTCTCCAGTCTCGGGATACTTCGATTTTGCTCCGGTCGAAACGGTCGCTGCAGCTATTGCTGAAAGCGCAATCCAAGCGGATCAGACTACTCCTCCTCATTCTCTACGCTTCCGGCATCATAGTGGAGGCGTCAAAGTCCTGCCGGGGGAATTCAAGGAGTACATGGAAAAAGTTCATGGCAAGGAATTTGTGGAGTTGGAATTGGAGGAGTGGTTGGAGAGGGCTTTGGAACTTGGTATTGAGCCTATGATTGCTGTTTACTTACGCGCTGTTGTGCAGAGTGGAGAGAAATTGGTGTTTCCGTACATGGGAACTCTAGGTTCTGATCTTTAGATAAATATGCGCAAAGACGGCGTTCGCAAGTCTTGTCTTTGTAGATGTATTGCAATCTTGCAATTCTTTCTTGAGGTACAGCTCTGCTTTTCGATGATATGTTAGGAAAGGCAAATTTGTCGACGTGAGGTCGAGCGGCGCTCAAATTTAAGCTTCGAGTCGCGATGGATTCCAGCGAATCAGCTGCCACGAATTCCCTCCTTCCCTGCGGCCTTTCCTGCGCCACGCACGTGGCGTCAGACGACAGCATGCATTGATTGCGCAAACGAACCGTGCAACGCTGTTCACATCGCTGCATTCCAGCTCACTGCCTCGTGCTTCTACAACCAGCTCGAGAGCGGAACCACTAGCGCTCCGAGTTGATAACCATCGCTCCACGCTCCTGCTATCGCGCCTCGTCCTCCTCTTCGACCCAGCCTAACCTCTCTCCAACCTTCACCTTCATGCCCTTCTCAATTCCCCATCTCCATCCACCTTTCCTTCCCTCGTCATGGAATCCCTCGTCGAAAGTTGGTCTCCTTCCCTTTGGCGCCTCAAAGACCAAGACAATCGTACTTCCCAATTGGAATCCACCCATTTCCTCGCCTTTCCTCAGCGCATGCCCTCCTAGAACACTGCTCGCACTCGAATACCCAGCCTCGGCATACCCAGCATAGACCTCCCCTCTCTGCTTTGCCGCCTCGGCCTCGCGATCCGCACGGGTGTCTGTCAACAAGGAGTTTGTCCGTAGCTCCTTGTCGAAGTTGATGATTATACTACCAACATTAGTGGCTCCCACGGGGGTGTATGAGAAGAAGCCGTATTTCCACCTTCCGAGGAGGACAACACGTTCGTTGAGAGTGAATAGACCCGGGAGGGTGCGTTGAAGGTAAGGAGATACGCTGTAGAGTTCCCCAGCGAAGTGACGTCGAGACTCGACGACCCACGAGACTGGAGAGTGGAAGCGGTGGTAATCGCCAGGTGCCAAGTATACCACGCAATAGTACAATGTGGTCGGTACCTCAGGAGCGGATGCTGCGTACCATGGTTTCGGGGCGTTTGGAGAGGAGGCAAGATCGCGGGCGACTTCTTGTTCCGAGGTGGCGGAGGATTTTGTGCTTTGATCGTCTTGGCTGGAAGAGGAGGTTGTGGACGAGCGTATCCGCTGCCACCAGGACTTCTTCTCTGTACTGTTGCCGCCGGAAAGAAGATCAGGGAGGGTGTATGAGATGCCATTCACTTGAGCGAACTCCTCGTCATCACGAATGGTTTCTTCGTCTCCTTCTCTTGTCCTCTTTCCCGATGGCTGTGGAGATGCTTTCGATCCGGCAATATTGCTGCTGGCGGATTGTGCCTTGGTATCGCCGAGTAATGCGTCCACACTGTATGTCACACCCTTTACTTGCTCCACTTCGCCTCCCTCGATGACACCAAATTGAATGACCCGTCCATCTGCGGGACTCAGAATGGCATCTCTTGTAGGATCCAACGGTCGACATTCCGGTCTGATTGTGCGGTAGAAGAACTCGGCCAAGTTCTTGAACTTGTGCAGGTCTTGCTCTTCAATCTCATCGAAATTGACCCCAAAAACGTATCCATACAGCTTGAAGCCGGGGACTCGCAGGTAGTAGGGCAACTCGATACTGTTGAACCATCCCCACCAGCGAGAGAGGGCTTTGAGTGGGATGGTGCTCATGACCTGCACCGTCCAGGGTCCCGATGGTCGGATCCTTTGCCGCCGTTTCGCAGGCGAAGCATCGTCATCGTCGGGCTCGAGGCGGCGAACCTCTTCTCTTTCCCGTTTGTTGATGCGGTAGAGCTGGAAAGCACCAAGGAACGCGACTCCAAGGGCGACGGGGATTGGTTTCCAGCGGCGTTCCTTTTTGGAGCCCGAGTCTTTGGGGTCGGGGCGAAGGGTGGATTTCGCACGAGATGATTGAAAGAAGGAGGGATTGTGGTGTTGGTGTGTCGTTTGTAGAGGAAGGCGGGGCATCCGTGCCGGGCGGAGCATGCGAGGCGGCATTCTTCTACTCGGTGCAATCGTCCAAATATATCAGTCACAGAACGTTCGGTGGGACGGAGATTTGTCGAGACGACATGGTTAGCTGCACCCAGAGTGACGTTGACATGCATGCGCATTGCGGGAGAGATGAGCTTAATCAAGCTTTCATGCCGCTTGAATTGACGACCTAAAGTTGATGGCGCATTTGATTGACTGGAACATAATTAACATGTGAAAGTTGCAGCATAAACGCGCCACGTTTGTTGGAAGACTGGCCATGTTTCGTCTAAGTTGCAGTATGAGACGTCTGCCGGTAACTGAACAGATGGATCTCCTCGTCACTTAAGTGAAAGTAGAAATGTAGCATTGCCCTCGTTTCTTCATTCGGTCTTCTCGTCATTCGGTGTTTGGAAGGCGCGACGGTCGATCATCTTGCCAGCTTGCCGGCTTCACTTCCTTCTCCATCAACGTCGCTTTAATCCACCCATCGACAACATGCGACGCATTCCATTGCTTGCCCCGCCAAACTAACCAACACTTCAATCGACATCCAATCCGACCAGCTACCCTATTGATTTGTACACCACACTCGCATGACAACAACAACCACAACCACAACCACATCGACATCAACGACGACCTCACAACCATGACGCCGCCCGTCGATCCCCCCACACACATTACCCTCCGCCTCAAAGTTCCCCCGGGTCACATTGACGGCGATCCAGACTCCTTCGTTCTTCCCTCCCCAGTTCCCGTCGACACAACGCTTGGTCAAGTGCGAGACCTGATCCACACTTCGCTCCCCACCAATCCGGAACCCGCACGTCAGCGACTGCTCTACTTTGGCCGAGCATTGGTGGACAATGACCAGACACTTGCGAGCGCGTTGAACATCACGAGAGAGCCCAGCCAAACGGAATATATCGTCCACCTAGTGGTGAAGGCTCCGGAATATGTTGYGCCTGCAGGGCGCGCTGCGACTCCGCCACCGGAGCCATTCCCCAACGAGGATGAGCAACGCCTTCTACGAGAAATGGTAGATTGGCCAGGAAGACTACCGGAGACGAGACTGCCGGAGACGCGAGAAGAGCTGGAACGACAGCGACGAGTTGAATTCCTCAGGAGGAGGCTTACAACGTCGGTGAGACAAGTTCCAGTGCGGCAGCCGTTCCATGGACCCCTGGGGGCCGCTGGAATCCCCCAGCTRCCACTGCCCGATGCGCCTCCACAGCTACCACTGCCCAATGTTGCTTTCCAGCAAGCACAGCTCAATGCACCTCCCCTTCCAGGGCAGCCCCGCACGCACAACCTCTTCGTGCAAGGTGTTGGACCATACGGAGCGCGATTCGCCGTCCATGACCAACAGCGTATTTTCCAACATCCTGTCCCAAACCCGCTCCACCCTGCGCCAGCCGTCCGCGAAGATCCAGCAGAGGCATTCAATTCAGGACTCGCGCTCGGCCGTGTACGCGAGCAGATCGCCGACCTGAACCGTTTGCTGCAAGAGCATCGTGCCGAGTATCAGGCGGAACATGTCACGCCGGAGCAAAATGCACACATTGCACGCATTGTGCGCATGCAAGAGCAGGCGCGCAATGTCCACGATTACATCCAATCCACAGTCCCTCACTCGACTTTGAACCGTCGTCACGCCGGTAATACATATTACATCCCGCCTCCATCGCAACATGCTACGTACCGAGTTGGAATGGCTCGCTCGATCCGTGTTCCGCCTCCAGAAAACCCAGAGAACGTGACTTGCTACCTCCTCTCTGACTCAACCGGATCACCTCAAGCTCTCCTTATGAAGCCTCAACACGGAACCTTTACGGGAACTTTGAACAACAGCGCAAACGTTCATGCGAACCATGCAACACCAGCGATGCAGCCACAGCCACAGCCACAGCCCGCGGGTCTGGATCAAGCGCGGGTTGTTCAGGCGAGGCGTGCGCCATGGAATGGTGACGCGGTCGCCATCAACCCAGTGGGACTCTTCCTCCGCCACTTCTGGCTGCTGATGAGAATCATGATCTTCAGCTACTTCCTGCTAGGCTCCAACATGGGCTGGCGTAGGCCATTGGCACTCGGCGCAATCGCCCTGGGTTTCTGGCTCATGAGGGCGGGGATGCTAGGAGATGGAGGTGTGATCAGAGGTTGGTGGGAAGACATTGTTAGGGAAGGTGCTGCTGCTGTGGAGCCGGCCCGCCCTGCTGGTGCCATGCCTACGCCAGAGGAGGTTGCCAGGAGATTGATGGAGGAGAGAAGGAGAGGAGAGAATGAGTGGGCGCGATGGGGAAGAGAGAGGGTCAGGGCTGTTGTGTTGCTGCTTGCCAGTCTCTGGCCAGGAGTTGGAGAGGCTTTTGTCAGGGCTCGAGAGGCCGAAGAGCGAAGACTTGCCGAGCTAGAGGTTGCTGAAGCGAGAAGAAGAGAAGAGGAAGCTGCGCGAGTAGCCGCGGAGGAGGTCGTTAACAATGAGAGCGAATCGACTGATGCCGCGGGTGCCGGCGGTGAGCAGGCGGAGGTTAAGAGCCAAGCCGTCAGTGAGGGAACGGCTGCGTCTGCTGGGGAAGCGACTCCCACTGGTCAACAGGTCTCGGATGCGGAGCAGAGCAGAGGGCCTGAGCTGTCCGATGCTTCCTCTTCTTGAGACATGAGATCGCTTGACTATCTTTTATGGATTGGACACAGCATCATACCAAGAACAGAATTAGCCGATTTGCAATGCATGAAACGAMCACTGGAGCAAGGTCACAGCGTTTTACTCATCAAGATAGTAGGCCGTCTTTGTCACATCTCAAGGCTTTGCTCTCTGCAGAATCGACAATTTCGTGTCGAGCTGCTAGAACCTCTACTACTACTAGCAGAGTAGCCCGTTTTACAATGGGGAGGGCAGTTGAGGGCGCTGTTTTTGTTGATGATGTTCTCTCATCGACCGCTCTGACGGGCATAAGTTGTACGCGGTGTAGCTATGATGGTTTCTCCCAACGATCGTGGTCTCTGAAAGAATGATTCCAGCCAGGCCGCCCCAGCCKCTGCCTCTCCCCTCGGTGTCATCCATTGAGCCGTTCACTGCCAAACCAATCCGACCAAGTCTCTCTCCTCGTGCGCGTTCGCACGTCGCTGAACATGACTACCCGGCCGGCCATTACTCTCTCGCAGAACGCATCCAATCTTCCATGATCCTCCTCGTTGGAAATGACTCCGATCCCGTCCGAATGTCGATGAGTAGCTCAAAGTGCTCTTCAGCCAAACTCGCCAGCCATTTCTGCTCGATGTGATTCTCTGCCGGAGAGCAACGAGAGCCGAATTTGATGCCGACAATGTCGGAGAGGGGAAAGAAACTTTTCAAAAAGTATTCTCTGGCGAAGAATTTGCGGAGATGGCGGTTGATGTGGAATTGGATGGGGAATTTTGTAATGTCGCGTGATGGGCCGGGTGGTGAGACCTGTGATGGGGTCTGCGTGGGTGGTGTCGTATGTTGTTACGTGGTGGAGGATTTGGTCGTAGATTTCTTGTGGGAGGGCTGAGAGGCTTTGTTGGAGGGATGGGGTGGTTTGGGGTGGCATTTTCTTGACGTTGTGGTGGTGGATTGATGGGATCTTTGCGATTTGGGTGAGTGGATGTTGGGTGTTGTTTGGGAGTGGTGGCTCGTTGATCTCTTTTAGAAAGATTGGGATTTTTTGTCTTTGCTTGTGCAATGCAGTATCTTTGACGGAAGGGGCCAATGGAAAAAGACGAAGGAGGGTTTGTCGAACTTAGGCAATCGCACGTTCTGCCTCTCTCCAATGCAGCAGGTGCTTCCAACCCATGCTCCCATTCTCACAAGTTACCTAGGTCACATGGAGGATCCTGTCGTTACCGGGTAGGTGGGCGTCCCTTCCGTTTATGTATGGTCATTCGCCAGATGTTCGAGTTCACGAAGTTGAGCTGCTGAACATACGAGCCAACGAACTGACGTTAGATCCCATCCGTTCGATGAATACATAATCGATTCTACGTAGGTAATGATTTCAAATTCAGTATTATCAACTCATGACATCTGGCAAGCTATGGCGGTGAGATTCATTACACATTACACATGACCTGCCACTGTATCTCGTGGTCCAGCAGGCAGCGACTAGGCCATAATAGTTTCCCATCCCTTCTCAGCCATCACATCGAGCCAATAAACGCCCTTTTGTCCGGCATCGATCCTCCGCCAAGTTTCCTTGACGATATCAATACAAACCCGAACGGGCTTCGGAGGTAGTAATCGTAGACAAGTCGTGAGACGGTCGAGTACGAACTTGCGAATCATCACAACGTCGAGGAATGCAGCGCTTACTCCATCATCAGGAGAACTCGGAGGTGCATTATCATCGCACGTCAATTCGCTAGCGCAGAGGACCAGGAGGAAGGGTTGGAAATCTCGTGTTCCAGATTCCAAAGGTACCGTCTCCAACAGTCGCAGGGCTTCAATGGCAAATGCTGATAGCCAGCTAGCGCCATCTCTACTGGTTGGAGCTGATTGTGGATTAGACGGCCATTGGTTCGGCGCAGCGTCTTCGACAGCAAGACGATCCGAAAGCAGATCCGGGAATACACGATACAGTTGCAACATTCCTGCATATCGATAGACTTCGGCAAGCGTGGTGAGGTGTTGAACGGATGTAGTGTCGTCTTCGAGATCAACAATGCTGCCTTCGTCTGGACTTTGATATGACAAGATGCGCCTCTCGAGGTCTCGCGCTACCACAAGATCTCTGTTGAACTGGTCAAGACAGGCCTGAGTGACAAACTTTTGGTTCCGCATCCGGGACCTATTTGCGCGAACAAGCCGACCGATGTCTGCGACGAGTTGAACAACTTCCCCTGCCACTCCAGTCCACGGATGCGCCGTACGTTTCCTTGAGGGTAAGAGCATTCGTGATTCCGCCAGACTGGGTCCAGGTTTGATCACAYCCTCATCGACCGCAAATGCCAGGTTCATCTCCCAAAACACCAACGCTTCTTCGAAAAAGTGGTAGTGCTCGTCGCCAAGCATACCAGAAGCCCTTGCAGCGTCAACACGCTCTCGCATCATCTTGTAGAAAGGAATTCCAAGATCGAAGGCTTCGATCCAATTTCCAGTAGGTCCAAACATTGACAGTGCAAGCATGGCGTTGTAGCTGGTGCTGCTGGGCTCCTTCTGTATGAKTTCGAAAGCTTCCTGTCGAAGTTTCCGGCCGATTGAGGCAAATCGAGGATGGACCTCTACGAGAAAGCCGGCGGCCATGCTTTGCGCAGCAACATTCACCACTTGTGAGTGGCTGAAAAGATTCGAGACAGCTGACCTGAATGGATTCTTCGCACTGTCGTACATGGAGTACACGCCAGGGACTTCTTTGAAGTAATACGAAATCAGTTCAGAGGACTGATGTGTCAACGATGACTGAATTTGAGGAGAAAAAGCTGCTCTTCTCCCCTGAAGCGTTTGGAGCATCGTTTGTTGACGCTGCTGAGCCGGCTGCTTTTCTCGTGCTTTACGCAGGGCCGTGGACGGAGTTGGCGCTGCTGATACCATCTGCCAGGATGGAAACCCTCCCGGTGATTGAGCAACATTCCAATTTGACTCTGTTGAGAAGAGTGGTGGCTCATCGTGATCCGTCACCACACCATCCATTGCCGGCTGGAAGAGGAGTTGTGACCAGTCAAGCTCTGGTGCCACGGGCGAAGGTGAAGAAGCATTGATCGAGAACTGGAATTCCCCAACGTTTGATGCAATATGAGCGGGAGGTTCTGATACAGACTCAGAACGGCCGACTTCATGTTTTGTTGACCATTTGAGGGACTGGGAAGGGTAACCACAGTCCACTCCCAATCGAACGCATCTGCCGCATTGCGGCTTCAGCTCATCACATTTAAGCTGTGCAAACGTCAGGTCTGTCTGTCATGATCTAGAATACAAAGAACACTTACGTGTTGAGATTTACATCTTTTACAACCACCTCTTGACTTCTTGACACTTCTTCTGGTCGCGCCGGTCATGTTGGTTCGAGGAGTGCTTGTTGACATTGCCGCGGCTCGCCAAGTCTAGTCATGTGGACTGTATCAATAAATCCACAAACTTGCATACTGGATTGGCAAGATGAGGACGATAGGCACGGCGAAGTGGCATGGCAGAAATAAGGTGATGTCCTTGTCCGTCGGGTCGGATTGCTGGACGTCGTCAGGGCTCTCGCTTACTGTCCAATTAGATTGGTGGGAGAAGAGGCTCTTACCTGATATGGTCAAAACATACGATCTGCCGATGATCCGATGTCACCAAAATCCCGGTGAAATTGAAGGTTGCCGCCCTCCCTCTAGCAGGCAAAATTCGTATTGCCTGCAACAACGACAGCACGACTAAGAAGAGATTATTCGACCAGACATCCAAATTTGACTCTGCGCAAGGCTGCTGCTTTTTGTGCTTGTAGCTACCTGCTGGTGAGCGTTGTCGCCGATTTACCACAAGGWGAAGCGGCAATCTTCAATTCCACCGGCTCTCGAACCACCTACACCACATCATCCATCGCGGACTCACCTCGAGCTGGTGTGCTGAGGGAGACGACTTCCAGATCGGATATGCATACATCTACTTCAGTATTCAAACACCTTCCTCGCCTGGCCATTGCGACCAATCCTGGTCCTCTACGTTCTGCTGCCACCAATCGGTCTGGTCAACAACAAAATTCGCATCGCTCGGGAATGAATCCCACATCATGTCATTCCAAAACTCATTCACGGCGGCCTCTCCATTCGGACTGATGCCCCATCCTGTCGATAAATTCATCCCGTAATCTTGTGAGAAGTTTCCCGTGTCGTTTGGATCATATGGCCCGGCCAACATGACCCTGTTGGAGTCTGTAGAAATGGCATGACCCCCGGAGGGTGCTTGCTGCTGCTGATTGTACTGACTCACATACTTGGTAGCATCATAGAGTCGCTGCACGACATCCCCACTCTTTCTCGCAGCGACGGACCAGCGCTCCATTCTTTTGAAGAACACAATCGCCTTCTCAACCTCAAGCTTCCAGTGCTCCACATCATTGTCGGTTCCTGTAGGATTTGTGTGTTCAAAACCACTTTCAAGCGTTCCATGAGGACTATCATTTGTGGCTGCGCTGGGCGGCAATGTCAATACTGAAAATAAAGATACGATTGGCACCATGACAGCCTGATACATGAGCCACACAGCATTCCAGCCTGAAATCAAATGATCCTGGCAAGTGTCGATGATATCTGCAATGGCCTGACCAGCTACGATCCGACAACGACTGACAGCGACTTTCTCTTCAGGTTTCATCTTCGCGAAACTGGTCCTTCGTAGAACTGCGGCCAAGAGGATCGGACGATGCATTAGCATCTTCAAGTTCTGGTACCTCCAATGCATGATGGCTCTTGGCGTCTTCAGCACTTCTGGACACGAGGTATTGTCTCTCTCGGGAGGTTGCGAGAAATCAAACGAAGCTTTCTTGGACCTGGCTGGTTTACCGGGATTTGGTGGAGAATGCTTCTGTTCCTTCTGATTGCTTGGGAACGTTCTCTTTTTCGAGTCGGGACGATTCACCACGTCGCGCATGATGGGTGGCAAGTCTTCTCTCCACTTCTCCAGTTCTGCGTCCAGAGCAAACAGCTCTTCAAATTCGATGAGCGTGCGAGCCGCCAGCTGATCTTGCAACTTTGTAGCAATCTTGCAGAATGCAATGTTGTGGATGATGGGCAGAAGTCGTAACGAGGCCAAGTACTGTGCGTTGTTCATCTGCTCGGGAATACGCGGGACAGCAGTCGTTATTCCTGGACCGGTCCTTCCCAGAGACGGTCGACCAGTCGCAATACTGGCCCATAGATCCAAGCAGAACAAGCTCCACCAGGTCCTCCTCTTGATCTCTACAGGAACCTCGAGTCCAGACACGATCATCGTGCTGCCCACCACGCTCCCATTTTGTGGGTTGCCATACTCTCGGTGAAGCCCATGTGCAGTTGCCATACGAAGTGTGGCACCAAGCATGGCGTTTGCCTCGTTTGGTCGGTTCAACCAGTGGAGATAGTACCCGGAAAGAAGACCAAATGCTTGGAGCACAAACAGAGATCCACTACCAAACCCCTCGGCTTCCAGATGTTTCCTTGCTCTTTGATAGTAGGCAATGTGATCTTCACTGTCGCATGTTGAGCCTGCCAAAGAGCCAAGTGCCATTACCATGTTCAGTAAACCAAGCCAAGGCGAGTCTCTGCGCATACTGTAAAGATAACAATGGCGGAACGAATCCTCATCGATCATGGGCATCAGAAGGTGAATGTGGGCAAAATAAGAGTCAATCAACTTTTCCCCTATGTCTGCCGGAGGGAGATAGTTCGGATCCGGTTCTGCAAGGTGTGGAGGCGGCGTCGTACTGCGACTGGGATTCGCAGTGTTTTGTGATACGAATGCTCGTGCGAAAGGCGCCGTCTTGAAAATGACCTTGAGTACTGCCTTGAGGCGAAGTATGAAAGTCAGCATACGTGTACCAGACATCGATGGCTCAAGGGTGGCCTCGAGACGAGCACGATCTCACCGGTATCGACGAAACTCCTACGTATGACGATGTACGGTCGACTGAGAGCGAAAGTCCGTTTACATCGTCGGATATGCCTTGGATTTTGGCCCCAAGGCGCTTTGCTTCGTCCGTTGGAGGGTCTTGCTCGGGCGCTTGCTCCAATGCTTCAAGACTCTCTGCTGTTTCGGAGTTGTTGACCCTCTCAATCACACTGGGAAGTGGACCCGGCGTGTTGAAGGGCGATGGGTTGGAGGTTGGGATTGTAACGGCAAGGCTCACGAGTTCTTCTCGTGGTAGTGAGAGGAGCTCTTCAAGCTCCTTTCCCGGAAATAAACGTGCAACTATTGCATTGTATTGATCGGCCCGCGATTGGAGTTTTTCGACCAGCCTGATATCAGATTAGCGCTGGTACAGTATCTGTCTCCCCAAGCACTCACTTCCTAGAGGGCACAACCCTCTGTGCTGGTTTCGCATAGGCGCACTCCTCTGGATGCTGATACCATTGACATTGACCGCAAGGAGTGTTTCCATCACATCTAAAAGACGAAGAGTGGCAAAGTCAGCAATGTCTTTGTTAGGTAAACTTGATGTTGACCAAGTTCCAGCAAGGCGCCCCTAGACCATGAGAATCTCAAGCGACATGTTGTAAGCCTTCAGCCCTGTTAAAGTACTTGCCTAATCTTTCTGCGCCTACATTCGATGCATGCGTTGCTAGTGGAAATGCGTCTCGAGTTGCCTCCTGGGCGGTTCGCCTTGCCGTCACCGTCTCCGGCTCCAGTAGAACCTGCTGCTTGAAAAGTTGAAAACATTGTGTCTGGGTTTGTGTTCTGGGCGGGTGGGTACTGCTAGAAATGTTCTGTTGAGCCGGCGGGCTTCATGATTGCATGATCTTTTCCGAATCGTGATCGTGTGGCATGGTCGGTGCGATGCTTGCACAGTATGAATTCAAGGAAGGTGGATCCGCATGGCGAGCACGTTCACAGAGCTGGGAATCTCGTATTGCATGGGTCCTTCACTTCGGTTTTGGGTGATGTTCCCCGCAGAAGCAAGAAGTAGAGGCAGGCGAGTCGGGCGCTCCGAGTCTCACCAGTAGAAAAGTTAGTTTCACAGAAGCGTGGGGGGAAATCACGAATCATATGATGTGCTATGGACTAGAGAACTACCATTTGTGTCTTAGGTATCAAACAGTCTATTTCGGTGGCTTGCATGTTTATGGAAACCCGGTGAGAAGCTCAGGATGTCACAAAGTCTTTCGAACAAGCGCACTATTAATGTTCCCCGGCAGTTATTTCCCCAAGTATGTCCATCCCAATGCCTTATCATTTGCCCCGATTCCTTTCACGGTAACCACCTGCTCGTCGCCTGGCACAACATCGATGGCGCTATCATTTACCAACACACCTTCCCGCTCCTCGAACACCAGGCCCTTTGTGGGCTTCCCGGCCTTGATTGTTATGGTATTTCCCTTTGGTGTAACCTCCAATTCTCGGTCGGCGAAGTCGAGATACTTCAATGGCTGTGGCCAATCGACATCTCTCGACACGATCTTGCCGTCTACCCATATCCTCGCCGCAAGGACGTGCTGTTCCTCGTTGACATTGTCGATGGTCCCCTTGAAGATGTTGGTTGTGCCGTTCGCCTGAATCTGGACATCCTTCTTCAAGACCTTCTCTTTTATCTCCTTGCCAGTCGCGATGCTGATGTAGCGAAGCTCCACTGTTGCAGTGACTTCCTTTGTCTCGAAGCTGGCTACCCAGCATTCGTAATCGATGGCTTTGGCAGGTCTTGCGTGAACAACGCTCCAGTCGTGGTGTGCTCTCTTTACAGCAACCGCGATGGGAGCGAGAACCCTGCGAAGGGCGTAATATGCAGGCTTTTTGCGAAGATAGTAGTCAACGATTGACCAAGAAGTCACAGGCCAGCAGTCATTGAGCTGCCATAATAATGCGCCGCCGCAGAACCTCTTCTGTCCCCATTGTTGGCGCCAGCCGCGGTAGCCAAACATGAGGGCTTCGGCTTGGCTGAGTTGAGTGAGATGGATAAACTTTTCGAGATCAGTCTCTGTACGGAAGTTTTCGACGAGGTAAGTCGCGATCCTGCGCTCATGGCCATCTGCTTTGTTGTGGAAGTCGATCATATGGCTTTGCGGGTATAGCTGCGTCGGATCTGTAACGTAGGCCTTGATTGTGTCAATGTGTGGGAATGCCTCCATTCCAAATTCACTGTTGAATCGGCCACCTAGTGTGTCGAAGATTTGATACTTCTCCTGCGTTCCGTGCCACACATTCCATTGATGCATATCGCCGATTGTCGGATCCGATGAGATCTTACCATCACCCCAAGGTGAGCCGGGGTGATATGGAATGTGAGGCGTATGTGCAGCGACAACGTCAGGAAGAAGCTGAAGTGCCGTCAGTATGAGTGCGCGTTGGGGATCTGGATAGGGTACCTTTTCGTAAATGTATCGAGCAGGGAAATCGGTCTGAAGCCAGCTCTGAGGGTCCTTATCTTCGTAGTTGTACGTCAGTCCCATCTGTTCCTGGACTTGGTAGTCCTCGTTGTTGCCTGCATAGATTGCCATCGAAGGATGGTGCCTGAGCCTTTTCGTTTGGCAAACACACTCTTTTTCAATCGACTCGAGGATCTCCGGAAAGCAGGGATAGTTGCCACATCCAAACATGAAATCCTGCCAGACAAGTATGCCCAATTCGTCACAGATGTCATAGAAAATGTCCTCCTCCCATATGCCACCACCCCAGATTCGTATCATCAGTTGATAGCCATCGACCATCATCTCCAGCCACTTACGGTACTTTTCCTCAGTGATACGAGGCGTGAAGCTATCGGCGGGAATCCAATCGGAACCACCGCAGAAAACGTCAATGCCGTTGAATCGGAAGAAGAATGTCTTTCCGATCTCGTCTGGCTCCTGGATGAGTTCGCCTTTGCGAAATCCGGTGCGCTTCGTAATCGAGTCGAGAGCATGTCCACCAGACGTGACAGTTGCAGTAATGTTATAAAGCGGTTGCTCTCCATATCCATGTGGATACCAAAGCTTAGGCTCGTTGATGTGAAACTCGGCCTTTGCCTGGCCGTTGCTGTCGACCTCAGAGGTAGCCTTGAAAACAGGACTTCCACCTAGACTGCCACTGAACTCAACCACCTTGCCAGATTGTCCTTCGACAAAGGCGGTGATGGTACCAGTGACCTTCTTGAAGCTCGCATCGACTTCGTAATCAATCCTCAGATCCTCAACCCGTGCGTGATATGTCTCCAGCCTAACAGCGCGCCATGGTCCGCATGGGGATAGCACAGGACCTGAGTGAAGGATGGAAGTCAGCATATGTCTTGCGACATCAGGGGAGATGGCAACGCACCCCAATCCCAACCCCAATGATACTGAGCTTTCCTCACTGCCAAACGAGCCATGTCGCCGTTGAAGCCAACCCACTTGTGTTCTGGATGGGCTTCTTTGATCTTCCTAGCTTCCACCATCGCAGACTTGAAGTCGATTTCCAGCACGTTTTCATTCTCGGGTTGGAGTTTGTCTGTAACATCAACTCTGTGCATGATCCACATGTTGTCACTCTCCAAGACAGTCTTGCCATTGAGTTTGACATTTGCAAACGTATCGAGGCCATCGAATGCCAGAACATGCTTTGTCCCTCTCTCTGTGGCTGGTACTGAAGGAAGTGTGACTTTGTATGTCCACGCTTTCTCGCCAACCCATTCGCACTTCAGTTCGTTGAAGCCCAGGAAGGGATCCTCAATTCTGTAATCCTCAGAAATGGAGCAACATACAGGTAGCACGATGATACGTACATCTTCTGATCCATCAAATCCAGGTGGACATTGGTGGGCACTTTCGCAACAGGCATCCATTCTTCGGTATCCGTCTGCTTGAAGCTCCAGCCACTGGTGAGCTCTTGTGTCTGCATCGTTTGTGCCATGCTGGTCGTCAGTATCACAGGTTGAAGGGAAGACAAGCCGTCAGCATCTCCAACAGAAATGGAGAAATGAACAGGGTGACACTACAGCTGTCTGTAGCTGTATGCCGGGATGCGGACCTTACCTGCCTCGCCCAAACTAGCAACTGTCCGTCTACTCATGAACGTCGTGGGACCGGACCCGTAACATCAGAGCACCACGTGAAGACACATGGCGGCGACTGACGGACGAAACGGTCGCGTCTCCGTATCCTCCGCGTCGAATTTGGCAAAGACGTGAGGAGTTGCGGGGCCGCTAGTTCAGAACAGGGAAAGGGGAGTCGGTGGAGTGGATGAATGCGAGTGGCTGATAATCATRATGGTGATTTTAGTGATCTCTGCCTTCCTGTTAAAGACGTTCAATCAAGAGAAATTATAAAGTAGCTCAAAACAAACAGAACGAGGGCTCTCACGTCGTGTTAGGAACGGGAGTCTGAGGTCGCCATATCATTGGCTCGGTTAGTTCCGCCGCTAACTCAGGTCCACGATTGTTTCCTGCCACCAAAAACGTTCACTAACACGGAGAGACAGACGCAGTATGAAAAGGGCGGATTCCGCTCTTTCACTTGGCGATGATTTTTCTTGTTGGCCTGGATAGTTCCGCTGCTAGCTAAGATACATGAAAGGGCCGGGCCATACTCTTCTAGTCCAGAACTTTGTCCTGCAGAGACAGAAAATAAGAAGAGGGGCGGAGAAGGGCGGCATTTTGCCCTTTCTCCTTGCGTGTACCTCGCGCCGATGATGGTTGCAGGGTTAGGGTTGGGGTAGAGGACATGACATCCTCTTCTCTTACACACTGCTCCTCTCCGCATCTTTCGAATGCATAACCGACAACGTTAACATCTCTATATGTCGCCTGATTATTAGGTCTCAACAAAGAGACTGGAGACCAGACAAGATGTAAATCATCGTTCAAGGTCTGTTGTGTCTGACGACATCGACACAAGTTCACGAGATCGGCATAACATTAACATGAGCACTACCATTTAGATCTCAAGCAACGTGCATCAAGTCGTTCACATCATGGCCGACATTCCCTGCCCCAAATCCGTGATCATCGTCGGCGGTTCTCTGGCCGGTCTTATGCACGCGCTGGTCTTTCTGTCCCTGCCCTCGCCACCCACAGTGCGTATACTAGAACGATCACCAACCAAACTCCTCCACAATCAAGGCGCGGGCATAGTAGCTGGCCAGGAAGTCCAGGACTTTTTCGCTCAATATGTCAAACCTGGAAGAGAAATTGCCATCACCAGTAGTCTGCGCCACTACCTCAATCGCACAGGTGAAGTGATCCCCGACAGTGTCGACAATCGGCAACAACGAATGACGTCCTGGGACCTACTTTACCATCTTCTTCGGTGGCGGGTGGAAGGTCTGGAGACAAGCTATGTTCTGGACCAGGCGTCAAGGAATGGTGGGGAGGCGGAAGCGACTTATGAGAACGGCTGTACTGTCTCCGACATCAAATATATACCCGCCAAAGGAGTCCAAGTAACATGGAGCAGTGTCGACCTAGGCGAACAGACTKCCATCGTTGATCAAGTCATTGCTGCCGATGGTGGATCATCCAAAGTGAGAGCACTACTTCTGCCGGAGATCGAACGAAGGTATGCTGGCTATGTGGCATGGCGAGGTACAGTCCCAGAGAGCCAGCTCTCCCCTTCCGCCCGAGAAGTCTTCATCGAGAGGTTCACCTTCTTCCATGCAGAGGGAATACAGATCCTAGGCTACGTGATTCCCGGCACGAACGGAACAATGATGCCCGAAGAACGGCTCTTTAACTGGGTGTGGTATTGCAACTATGCAGATGGAAGCCCAGAGCTCGAGGAGCTGATGACCGATGTCCGTGGACGGCGCCATGCCATCACGCTTCCCGTAGATAGGATACAGTCGCATGTATGGGAACGGCAAAAGGAGTATGCTGGGAAGGTGTTGCCGCCGCAATTCGCAGAGGCTGTGGAGAAGACAGCGCATCCCTTCGTGCAAGCCGTGACGGACGTTATCAGTCCACAAAACAGTTTCTTCGATGGGAAACTTCTGCTAGTGGGAGACGCATTGGCTGGGTTTCGACCGCACACAGCTCGCTCATCTGGTCAGGCGGCATATGACGCTCTAGAAATGGGAAAATTGCTCAGGGGTGAAATCAGCAAAAAGGAATATCAGATCTCGGTAATGGACTTTGCAGAGACAGTGCAGAGGAGTGGTGTTGCTATGGGAGAGCGAAGTCAGTTTGGTAGGCACCCTTTCGCGTAGAAGCAAGTTGATGTTAGATCTACGTCGGAGTTAATACATGCTCAATCTACTTTCTGTTCGCATGGTGAATTCTACCGAAAATGCCCCCGAAATTAGCGGATTCCGATGCAACACTCACGAGGCCTGCTTGTCGACGGTGATCACACAGCATCTCTAGAACCTCGTCCTCTTGCCCGAACCCAAAGGCACGGCGTTCGCATTGCTCCCTTTACTCATGAGAGCTGGGCCATCCTTGTCGGAGGGCTCGATGGACTGGGCAATAGTTTCCAGATGATTGCGCGGAGTTATCATGTTTGCGGCCTCACGAGATCCTCCGCCTTCCGACGAATTCTGAGACATCGCAGCGCGCCTAGAGGGATGGATGTTGAGGGGAAGCTCAGGGAGTGGTAGAGGCTTTGTAGTGGCCGAGACATTGGCCTGCTGACGTGAGGACGCGGCATTGAAAGTGTTGAGGCCAATAGAACAGATAACTCGAGCCGGCCTGCGAGGTGGACAAGCGTGACGAGCATCAGCGAAACGTGGTGGCGGGACGTTCACTTCGCTGGACATGGGAAGAGGGCTGCGCTCTGCGGCTCCGCGCTTGCCAATGGGCATTGCATTTGGGTTGTTTGGTTGCGCAAGGTAGTCAGCGCCGTGGGATTGACGAGGCTGACGCTTCTCTCGTGGCGGCCGAATGGGTCGAGGGGGAAAGTAAGTAGAAGACAAGTGACGATCCCGCCAGTCGGGGGACATGGAACGATCGCGCCTCGGAGACCGATTCACTCTGAGGTCTCTCCCAAATTCATCACGGCCTCGACGGACCTCATGGGGAGGAGTGTTCATTCGATGCCCATCGCGTTCCTGATACCCATCGCGTTCGTGATACGTTGAAGCAGCTTCGAACTCTGGGCTGTCTCTGCGTTGAATGCCTCGCTCTCGATAGCGCCTGTCAAAGTATAGATCAGTCTCGCGTGGGCGATCGACCGGGCCCGTATCGTGTCTCGAGCTCGCTCGATTGCCACAAGCATACTCCGTGAGGGCTTCATAGTCGTCATAGTAACCAGATCCCATCAATGGGTTGTCGTCCCTCGTGTAAGCATCATGTTCTCGGGGTCGTGGTGAGTACATGAGTGACTCGGTCACGAAGTTGTGAGAGGGTGACATCGCAGCATGAGCTGCCATTGGCGAGCCGTACTGAGGTATAGACTCCTCCTCCTCCTAATAGGGGCGTCCACCTCGATCACGGCCGCCGCGTCCGCCCTCATAACCTCCTGGTGGTCTCTCGCCCCTCCTCCAGTCACCGGCAGGTGGGGGAGGTGGTCCGCCGAATCCACCGCCTCCATAACCTCCACCTCTTCCCCCATAGCCGCCCCTGTAGCCGCCTCCACCTCCACCCCGCCCATAGCCTCCTCCATACCCGTTCTCCCGCGGTGGACCCCTCGGACCGCCGAATCCCCCGTCACGCGGTGGACCCCGAGAAGGAAGGGGCGCCACGCTACCATCTGCATTGGGTGGGTAGATTGAGCAGGCCACGTAGTCGCCAATCACAAATCGCGCATCCGCCAGCGTTCTCTTTGCATCTCCCTCCATGTTAACGCCGTTCTCTGCTGCGTCGCCCTCCATCTGGGCATCGTTGCCACCAATGATCACGCTTCCAAGAGGCTTATCGATCCACTTGCCGCGTCCACCCTCAGATACGGTGGCGCGTGTGTCGGGGAAGATGAGTTTGAACACCAATCGAGTGTTTACGCGGTTGGCATTCAAGCTGGCCGGAAGGACACTTGTGGTGAGCGTGCTAAGCTCAGCGAGGGTGCAGTTGGGCCATGTGTAGATCTGCATTGTCTGCTGCTTGATGTGGGATGGGAGGAGCGCGGAGTAGTCGACAATGCCTGTTGTGTCGGCTGGTGGTGCAACGCTGAATTCATGCGGTTCAAGCTGCTTGTCGAGGCGCCAGAAGAGTCGCAAGAGAAAGGGCGCAGTCACGGTGCGATCGATCGCCGTTGAGGCATCGGGTTGTAGCGCGGACATGGTCGAGTCCACTTGATGTGTTGTGTTGTTTTGGTGGATGTAAAAGTGATGGAGCTCTTCGGACTGGCATGAGCTTGGTCTGTGCTTGTGCGCTCGGCCGCTCCTTCTACACTAGGTACCTTACCTAGTTCTGTACACTTCAGAGTCTCGCACTTTCAACACAAGCAGCACAAGTTTGATTCAACATGGATTTCGCCAGCTTGATGAAGTCGCAGATTGCGTCCTCCAAACCCAAAGAGGACAGCGGTCCTAAGAAATATCTCAAACGTTCAGAAGTCGAGGCGCAACGGCAAGCGGAATACCAACGCGAACAAGAGGAGTTGGAAAAGGCACGGCTTGAGCGTCTTGACAAGAAGCGAAAACGGGARGAGGAAGAAGCTGAACAGACGCGTGCGCGCGACGAGAAGAAACGACGATTAGCTGAAGAAAGCAGACGATTGCAGGAGCAGCAGGATGAGGCAGAAGAAAGCGCACGACGGCAGCGTTTGGGATTGCCACCCTTGGAGAAGAAGGTAGACAGTGCTCTCCTCCTCAAAGAGGGCGAGGAAGATCTGTCCGAAGAGGACCTCCTGGCCAAATTGCAGGAGCTTAATGAACCACGAAAGCTGTTCGGCGAGACACATATCGAACGGCTGAGACGATATCGCAAACTCATAAAGAAAGCACTTGCACCGAAGCTTACCACTGGACCTATACCAACAACGTTGGAGCTGGTTCCCGAGGCTGAGATGAGAGTGCCAGAGACAGTCCCCAAAGACCCCGAAGGCAAGAAGCTCTTGCGCAGACAGCTTGCCAGCTACTTTGACATGCTGCTTTCTGAGTGGCAATTCGCACTTTCACGGCGAACCAAGGAAGTAAAGGAATCGTCGTCCGGTAAGACGGCCTACAGTTACTTTCTTCTTGCTGTGGACAATCTGCGACCTCTCTTCAAGAAGCTTGAAAACGASGACTTTCCCGAAGTTTTACTTGCGCCTGTGTTGGAGCTTGTCAATCTTGCACAGCTGAAAAAGTACGTTGCGGCCAATGATGCTTATCTGCGGGTATCTATTGGCAAGGCAGCATGGCCTATTGGTGTCACCATGGTTGGTATTCACGAGCGAAGTGCGCGAGAGAAGCTGCACGAGACCGAGAAGACGGGAAATCAGGCTCATATTCTCAGTGACGAGGTGACGAGAAAGATGCTACAGGGCATCAAGCGGTGTCTGAGTTATGCGCAGACGCGATGGCCACCAGAGGACATTGGGCAACTCATGGGCTAAGGACAAGACATGTAGTCATACCATTACTCATTCTGATCCTCTTTTTGTCTGTGCATAGGACCAGTCGGGCTGTGAGGCATGTTTGGGTACTGAAACAAGACACGAACGTTCATACAATCCTCATCAATTCGTCAGCTTGATATTCTACTTCCTCCGCCACCTATTCCAAAACTTCTGACTGCCATTCTGCTCACTTTTACGTCCCCTTTTACTCCCAACTCGCCACCAATACAGCGGAAACCCCACGGCAATGAAAGCTAGCACGACCAAAGCCTGCAAAGGTTTCGCAAAGATTGCTCTACTCAGCAAGAACAAGCTTACGCAGCAGAATATGATGGGCGTCGTGATCCAGCACTTGTAGGGCCGATCCAGCTCTGGCTCCTTGACTCGCAAGATAATCAAGCCAACGACGGATGCAAAATAGAATAAATAGGATGCCACGCCATAGAAGGTCGTCAGAGTGGTGAAGTCTCCAATTACAACGTATATTGCTGTGATCGCTGCGTTGAGCATCATGGCGTAGATGGGCGTGTAGAAGAAGCCCTGTTCATCCGCGATGAAGCTGGTGAGCTTCTTGGCTCGGGGACCGCGTCGAGGGAGTCGCATGCGGTGAGACGRATCGGAGAGGCCAACAGCGCCGAAGATCTCGGGAATGTAGCCTTCTTTGCCAGCGCTGTAGACCAAGCGGCCGGCGGTGAATGTGGATGCGTTGAGCGCACCGAAACAAGATCCAGCGACAGCGAGAGCCAGAATGAGCGCGCCGAGTCTACCGAGCACTGTACTTCCAAACGCGACTGCGATTGTGTTTGAGCTGTTGACGATTTCCGTGGGTAAAACGAAAATGTATGCCAGATTTGCGAGGATGTAAGCCAGGATGACCACAGGGATTGCGGTGTGGATGACCTTTGGCAGATCGCGACTTGGGTGGAGCATCTCGCCGACAACATAGTTGGTATTGTCCCACCCATCGTACGCCCAGAGACCGGCATAAATAGCGACCGCCCATTCTGAAGACGACGTGGAGGTTCCCTCAAACCACGGAGTGGTCTTCCAAGTCTGGGACAGAGCTTCCTTGTGGTATGCCATTCCCGTCACTGCAACGACGATGCCTGCTACGGTAATCCCAAGCAGCGCGACAAACTTCAAGAACATGAAGAAGTCGGCGCTACGCGTACCAAGCTTGGTGGAGACGCAATTGATGGCCGTGACCAGCACAAGCCCCAACAATGCCACGCTCTTGTTTATCCATGGGCTGACACCGCTCGCGTCAGTGCCAGTGATGGCACTCACCACGTACTCGCCAAAGATGATCGCGATGATAGCCGCCGAGCCCGGCTTGAGCACTACCACGGCACACCACGTGAACAGGAAGCCAGCCCATTCGCCAAAGATTTTGGAGAGATATACTTGCGCGCCCCCATTCAACGGAATGGCACCGCCCAGCTCCGCATAGCTCGCCGCACCCGTCCAAGCCAAGATACCAGAGATGACCCAAACGATTAATGCAGCGCCTGGTGAGCCTGCATTGGTATTGACACTAGCGGGCGAGGAGAAGATGCCGCTGCCAATGACCACGCCGATGACCAGTGACAGGCCGTTGAGATATGTCAAGCTCTTGTTGCGTTCGAGGCTTTGTGCACCGAGATCAAAGCCGGGCGTCGTCGGCGCGCCGAGGGAGGTGTAGCCCGGGCCTGATGAGGACAGTGGAAACAGGGAGCTGTTGAAATCAAAGGCGCTGGAGACGGAGTAGGAGCGATCTCCGCGCGTCGGTCGCGTCGGTGTCGCGCCACCAGAGGAGAGTCTGCGCGACGAAGGTGTGCCGGACAACGAGCTTTCTATCGAGTTGCGTCCGTCGTCGTTGGAGCTCGCGAGTGAGCCCAACTCTAGGCTGTCTCGTGGGGCCAGTAGACGCGCCGGGCTGTCTCGCGATGGGTTTGATGGCATGCTATTGGATACATGCGCTGTATTCAATTGATCTCCTGGCCATTGTTGGAGGAAATACAAATGCCGTACGATATGCTGCGATGTTTGTTCAACTACCCATGCATGTAGAGGGAGTCGGGAAGATCAAGAAGAAGCTCGCCAAGCCTGGCCAACGCCCAGGAAGCTTTATTGATGGTTGCATCGCCGCATCAAGACAAGCGGGAAGAGGGGCATGCATACACATCACAGAATCACTGCTACGACTACATGTACTTCATGAGTTTTGAACCTTTTGCTTGACATTTATTGCCTGATGCGACAACCAATCAGAAAACTAAATCATCCATTCGTCAAAKTGACATGTCGGGTCTGGTATTTTTGCAGACCCTCCTTCAACAGCAGCAGTAACCACAGTACACTGCTCCATACGTTTTCTCCGTTCCACTCCCATGCAGCATCCTTCGTAGCGTCCAGGCGTTTACAACTTGTCGTAGAAGTTCTCGTAGCCGGGCACGGCTTCCTTGAGACCCTTGCGCTTACGCATGGTCTCGACGACCTTACCGACAACGCTGGTGGGGTCAAGTGCGCTACCACCGGGCAGAATCTGCCAGTGGTCGAACACCAACTGTGGGAAGGCCTGGCCACCGGTGGCGGCACGGAGATCTGCGTTGAAACCGAATGACTCGGCGACGGGGAGGTATGCCTTGACGTTRAACAGTGGGGTACCGGGGCGCTGGGCCTCCTCGAAAACGTGACCTCTCCGACGGGTGAGGACACCGTAGATGCCACCCATGGCCTGCTCTGGAACCTGGATCTCGAYCAAGAAGACGGGCTCGAGGAGACCGGGCTCGGCGAGAAGAGTGGATGCCAAAAGCACACGACGCGCAGTTGGGATGATTTGACCACCACCACGGTGAATGGCGTCGGCGTGGAGAGTGACATCCATGATGTTGAAGCGAATGTTACGCATTGGCTCCTCAGCAACGGGACCTTCCTTGGTGGCCCACTGGAAACCGGAAACAACGGAATCCTTGATTTCGTTCAGGTACTGGACGGCCTTGGTCTGGTCGACAAGCAAGTTGGCACCGTTGGTGTCTGGGCCGAAACACCAGATCTTACGGGCATCGGTAACGTCCCATCCGTGCTCGTCAGCGAGAATGCGGGCGCGAGCCTTGATATCGTCACGTGGTCCGATCTTGCCAGACTCAATCTCGCCGGCAACCTCCTCAGACATTGGCTGTGCGACCATGTAGATACGGTTGTGCTTGTTTGGTGACTTGGAAAGAGCCTGGATGCGGGACTCGGCGGTGACGGTCTCACGGTACTGAACGACGGGGTCGGAAATGCGGAGTGGCACACCAGCGTGGTCCTCCTCGAGATCCTTCAAGCAAATCTCGAGATGCAGCTCACCGGCACCGGCGACAACGTGCTCACCGGACTCGGTGATGTAAGTCAAGACACAAGGATCGGACTTGGACAGACGCTTGAGACCTTCGACCAGCTTGGGCAGATCGTTGGCGTTCTTGACCTCGACGGAGCGCTGCACGACGGGAGAGACGGAGAACTTCATGACCTTGAGGTTGTGCGAGGTCTCGGAGGTTGTGAGGGTACCAGACTTGAGCAAGAACTGATCGATACCGACYAGACCAAGAATGTTACCGGCTGGCACATCCTCGATTGGCTCGGTGTAACGACCCATCATGAGAATGGTACGCTGGATGGCCTTGATGAACATGTCCTCCTTCTTGCCAGGGACGTAGTTTGGTCCCTGGATGCGGACCTTGAGACCGGACTTGGCGGTACCGGCGAAAACACGACCGAAGGCGTAGAAACGGCCCTTGTCGGAGGTGGGCACCATCTTGGAAACGTACAACATGAGAGGTCCCTTGGGGTCACAGTCGCGGAYGGCAATGGCAGACTCGTCATCTGGAGGACCCTCGTAAAGGGTCTCCATGCGGTATGCCTGGGCGGTCTTGGGGGATGGGAGGTGGAGAATCATCATCTCCATGAGCGCATCGGCGGCTGGCAAGAACTTGCGCATAACAACCTTGAGGAGCTGCTTGCCCTCGAGGTCCTTCTCGTCACCAACAAGCTTGATCTCGAGCTTCTCAAGGAGCTTGGTGGTATCGTCTTTCTTGAAATTCATGACGCAGTCAAAAATGCGGAAGATGGGGTCCAAACAGAACTGGTTGAAAGCGCGCTCGAGAGACTTGCCCTCGTGTGTGCCAACCTTGGTCCACTTCTTGGTGTGTGGGTTGAAGTAGGACTCTCCCTGTTTTGCGTATTAGCTTGTACTCGCGCCAGATCTGTGAATTTCTCCATGACTTACCCAGAGACGGTCCATCATCTTGGTCTTGTCAACACCAAACTTCTTGGCGTAACGAGTGGCGAACTGGCGGATGGTGAAAGCCCAGCCGTGAAGACCGGAACCGAAAGCGACGGTACCCTTCTCGGGGTAGACCTGGACATCACCCAGAGACTTGTCRAAGTAAGTCGAGATGACGACGTTGACGGACTCGATGACACGAGCGAAGTTCTGGAACAAGTCCTCCTTGGAGAGCTGGAGCTCGAGAAGGGCACGATCGACCTTGTTGATGATAACGACGGGCTTGATGCGCTCACCGAGAGCCTGGCGGAGCACAGTCTCGGTCTGCACGCACACACCTTCAATGGTGTCGACGACAACGAGCGCACCGTCGGTGACACGGAGAGCAGCGGTAACCTCAGATGAGAAATCAACGTGACCAGGCGAGTCGATCAGGTTGACCAAGAAGGCGTTCTTGGTGGTCTTGACGGGACCGGGGATGTCCTTGAGGTCGTCCTCCTCTGGAAGCTCACCGAAGAGGGAGATGGCAGTCGACTTGATAGTGACACCACGCTCCTGCTCGTCGGCACGAGTGTCGGTGAAACGCGCTGAGCCGGCGTTCTTGGCGGAGATGATACCAGCACGCTGGACGAGCGAGTCGGTGAGGGTCGACTTTCCGTGGTCGACGTGGGCAATGACGGACATGTTACGGATGTTGGCTGGGTTGTCCATGAGCCCGCGGATCWCGTCGGTAGTGAAACTGCAGGGCGAGCATGTCAGCCATCATTCTGGATGTGTTTGTGGTGCGGATATGCGCAGGCATTGCACTCGGAGACTCGATGCAGCGGCCTCTTCTCTTTCTCGGGATTGCATGGCTGCCATCCATCGTCCTGCAAATGTGCCTCGATCGCGCGCTCGGGGAGACATACTTGACCATGGTTGCAAATGTGGTTGCTCGTGGAGCAAGGTGCGGAAAATGTAAGGTCGGCTCTTGCCTCTGAGTTGTCTGCCTGATGAAAGATGTGAGCTGATGGGTGTGGTGGTGCGCAAGACAGGATATCTGTACCTGTCCGATAGGCTCTTGTTTGAGGTGGAGCGGAATGTCGAGGAGTGCAAAGCAGCGAGAAGAATTTTGGTTTAGGTGGGCTGGTGCGAGGGGTCTTTTTAGCCTTTCCCCACCTCATTGGGCGACCGCAGCCGCCACCTCCCACCGCCGTGTCAGCTGTCAGAGGAAAGTAATGACTACCTAATGAACAGTGACTGTGAAGAGTTGAATGCGCAGAGGCGATGCAAGAGTCACTAATGAAGATAACAAGCGACAAATTCATCTTTCTGTAATCGAGGAGTATCTATGTACATAGGTAGCCTACAGTATGTGCGTTCTGTACACCCATGCGCCCAGACGCCTTGCTTGAACGCTAAAAACCAGACAGATCATCCATGCTTCCACGCATTAAGAGGAGCCCAAAATCTTCTCATATGCATCCTGTACCTCTTTACAAACCTCCAACAAGCTCACAATCACAATTTGATGCGTAAAGTTTGGAAGACGGTCCTTGTCCAATCCGATCCAATGCAGCGAAGGCGTGGCCTCTCCCAGATCTCGCAACTGCGGTGTCTCAATTATCGGCGGCTCCAACGCGTGATACTCGTAGCGTGATTGCGGCAAGTTGATCTCGGCCGTGATTTTGTCTTGCTGCGCCACGGTACTGCCACCTTCATTCGACTCATCGCCGTTCTGGGGACCTGCGGTGATCTTGACGGCTGACTCGGGCAGAGATTTGCCCAAGCGACTGGCGAGTGCGCGGGAGTGCGATGTCCACATGCCCTTGATGAAGTTGATGCGGGACAGATTCCAACCCACATCGATCTTGCCGTCAAACAGGCTCTTGAAAATGTAGTCGACGTTGTTGGAATCCGCCTGCCACGTCTGCATGGAAGCGACAACCTTTGGCACACGGAGAATGGTGCCGCCTTTGGCATTCRAGGCATTGTTGATGATCTCTTCAACCGATACGTCCAACGCTTTTGGCACGACGCTGACTTTCCTGGCCGCCGCCAACGCAACTTGCAGCTGACCCAATGTCATTCCCAAGCCGCTGGTCAATTTGCCGCTTTCGAGCCCAACGGCAAATCGAGCCTGGATGTCATTGGCTTCGATCTTTAACATTTGACTGTCGAAGAATGTGCTGGGATAGATACCAAAGCAGATATTTCCCATGGTAACAACCACGTCGGTATGCAAGGTAATGGATGTCTTCGCGCTCCTTTCCACGACTGGCGCATTCGAAGCGTTTGGCCCTTGGGGTCCAAAGCGTGTCGGGACCACCGTACTTTCGCGTCGTATATACTTTTCAATGTCTTTCAGGGACTGCAGGTGCGCGGCCTGCTTTTCTTGGATGAGGCGATCGAAGGCTTGGTACAGTCCGACAGCTTGTGCCGGACTGTTGGACGTGCAGAATACGTAGGCCTTTTCACAGTCCAAAACGGCAACTAGTCGATCTGCACCGCCCGATGCATCACGGACGTTGTACATGAGAAAGTCGAAGCTTTCGATGTCGGCAAATGCAAWGGCCTGWTAATCAAATGCGGCCTTTGCTTTCAGCTTCCGGAACCCGAGCGAGGCCTGTATAAGAGGCGTTGTGCGAGCTGTGTCCTCAGCAGTCACTTCCGGCCATTTGATGGAGGTACGCACGCTCAACTTGGCGAGTTGAATGAATCCACTCATCCTGCCCGTGCTATCCACAGACATCTCGTCCAGACCGATACAGAGGTTTTGCTCCCAGTTGGAGGACTTCTGCTGCGATGCCCACAGATTGGTCATCGTAAACGACGACTTTCCAATGCTTTGGCCCAGATCCAGTTCCACTGCCAGCTTGGTGATTGATACTGTAGCATTCCAAGGGAATGCAGCAGCAGATGCTACTGACTGATAGCGCTGTACGAAGAAGTCATCGGCCTTGGCTGGCGAAGAGGGAGCAGCTGGGGATGTAGTTGGTGTAGATGCAGAAGCGGCTGCCGCGGCGTTTCTTATCTCTGGCGGCATCCAGATCTCACGGAACAGCAGCAAGTCCTGAAGTTGCTTACCATTGATAACGATCCGTGTAGGATTGATGTTCAATATGGCGGAAACGCCCGGAGTGCCACTCAAATGCTTGTTGTTCATGGCAGACAGCACGACAGAGTCCATATCAAAGCTGAAAGTCGGCTCTTTGGAGTACACGTGTTGGACTTCCGTCTTGAGCTTCGTCACTACGGCGGACATGGCGAAAAAGTGGCCGTACTCATCCGAATTAATAGTGTTCATGGTGATGTAGATGTCATCCAGAGAAGCCTTGGCGTCAACTCTAGCAATGGGTTGACATGTCAGGCCAAATTCTTGCTTGCAGATGCGGAAGCCAAGATCGACCTTCGTCTTCCCGAAGAATTTTGCAGGATTGGCATTTGCTATGGACTCGTCCTCAAAGAACTTCTGGGCGACCTTGTTGTTGTCCGGAATGGTCGGCTTCGTGAGAGTCGTGTCTGGGCTATGCTTACTCTGCATGACGTCCTTGACGCTATTTGTTATCTCCAATATGAGTGGTACTACATTGGGTAAAAGCATGTTTGAAGAGGCATCGATCATGAGCTCTGCGTTGACGGTGGGTCGATGCTCATGCGAGTTGTACTCCATTTTAAAAGCAATGCCAGGGGCAGTCAATGTGGTATGCATGACCGCACCGTCAACAGCGAATTGRCCATATCTTCCATGTGTTGCACCTTGTCGTTGGGACGCGGCAGCGGCAAGCGAGGACAGAGATTTGTCTTTTGCAGCCCCTTGCATGTAAACTTGCGCACCAGCAAAGTCGGCCTCAACCAACAGAGAGGTCACGCGCTTGGTATCGAATGATATGCCCCTGGGCGCGCCAGTCGATGTGGGTGTACTTTTCCATGTCGCGGTACCTTTCTTAAACTGTGCAACGGCCAGTTCAATGGACCTTTGCGCTGCAGTGACGGGAAACATGAACTTGGACTCCAACCGAAGGTCAAGAGGCTTGCCGGTCGCCTTGAATGCTAGGCTACGATTCTTGCCCTCAGTCCAGTAAGCGACACTGAAGCCAATCTCGGGCAGAAGCGCAGAGTTGAGAGCGCGCTGCTGTTTGCTAACTTGTTTCTTCGCAAGCTGCAACTGCATATCGAGTATGGTGAGACGAGCCTCATTGACGCCACGAGTCGCAAACTGCACACTCTTGATAGAGAAAACCAGATCATCCACTTCGGAACGTGGTCGTGGCGCGAATGATGGATCCACTAGCCAGCAGACTTGTATATCGTTGAGTTGAATGTTCGCCTTGATGGAGAGCAGATCCTCGGGTGAAAATGGAAGCTCTTGGTCTTCGCTTAGGCCTTGCTTCTTTTTGATCTTTCGCATCACGGTGCCTTTGCGTTTGTCCCTTAGTCGACGCAGGTAATCTTTCTCCTTTGATAGATCAAGATGCTTGATCCGATCCTGTAGATGATTGATGACATCCACGACGGTCGAAGCTGTGTCCGGATATGCGTCAACGTCCAGCGCATTGCTACGCACATTGAGCTCTCTGGTAAGCAATCCCTCTTGTCCCGCCTGACTCGTGAAGTGAAGTGCAACGCTCAAAGCTGCGTGCCCGCATTGTCGTGTCTTGCCACGCTCTCTAACGCGAAGACTAGCGCCGATGTCTTGAATATCCGCGCGAACCTCTGGGATAAGGGATTTGGCTCTCATGTCAGAGCCTCGATTGGACGCGGTAGCATGCACAGGCCCAATGCCAAACTCCACTTCAGCCGTAGATCTCCCCATATTTCCTGGGGTCACGGCAGCAATCCGCACGCCGAGTAATGCAAATCGAACATCGTAAGCAACCTCGCGGTAGCTCTCTTTCCTCTGACGTCGTACCTCGGCGTCAGCAGGGTATAATTCTGCTAGCTGTGCCTGTACGTCCTGCACCCCAGACTTGATGGCAGATACCACGCTCTCAACTTCAGGCTGATTGATGACGCTGACAATACCCTGTAGAGCACCAGCGTCGACCTCGACCTTTTCGATCGTCGAACCCAAGCTTATCGAGGTCCTTTCCTCGCCGAGATCTAGCCCAACGTGTCCATTCATGGGAGGAAAGTCCAGGATGCCCTGGGTGTGGCGATCACTTCCAGATGTGTTGACGATGGCATGGGCTTGTCTACCCATGTCGAAATCTAGGCTGAACTGCCTATCCTGGGACAGACTCGGAGCAAGTCTGAAGCTAGCAGCCGTGCCTTCGAGTTGGTAGCTTAGCGCCTGCAGCAGGGAGAACTCGAATTTAATGTTCCCGGCGAGGAGTCCGATGTGAAGTTTCGGGGCGCGGTTAGCAGGCGTGGTCTCGTCTGTCCTCGCAGCACTCYGAGGCGGAGACGTGGATGCTGCCGGTGCGAGAGACAAGACAAGTTTTTGGACCTGTGCCACCTCTTCTGCGATGATTGTCTCAACAATGTGCAATATTCCTGGTATCTGTTCATTGACCACAATTTGGAGATCTTCGTACGCCAAAGCAAGCGTAATGGTTGGTGGCATGTCAATACCTTTGGCGGCTTGTAGATGGTCGATGTACAAACTTGGAGAAGTCACGAGTGTTTGCCAGATCCGTGAGTGCGGACCATGTAGCTCCGTCACAGCAGTGTCAAAATTGAGAATAGCACTGACACATTGCCCATATTGCTCATTGGCCTGGGTTGTCGAGATCAAGGAATACTTGAGCCCATCTGCGCGTGACACATGTCGCAGATTGGTCGTCTGGAGGGAGATGCTACCAGTGTTTGTGKACAAGACAACRTTGACGTCGTGGCGTGCGAGGCCATCCTCAAAGGCCTGAGACGCTGTTCTGGAGTTGGACGATTCCGTGGAGGCGGCCAGCTCCTGGAAACGATCGCTGAGAGAGAGTACATCTTCCGCCACGTGGAACAGTGCCCAGTCGAAAGAGAATGCAACCATATTTGTGTGCATCTGCAGCAGTGTCTTGTTCCGTTTGTTCTCGTCCACCAGAACCAAGCCCTCGGGCTTGGTAGGCGGCGTGTTCTCAACACCGAGCGACAAGTCTTCCATCGAGATGTCACTGTTACCCTCCCTGCGCTCAATACCCACTCTCAGCAGTTCGGTCCTAAAGGTGATGGTTGCAGACTTTTCGGGGTTGCTCGTTACTTTTGCCTGTTCGGTGTTGAACAACGTCTTGAATGCGATAGTTTCTGTGACACTGGGAACGTCCCAATTGCGCCACTGCGTCCAGGTTTCAAGAGCCTTGATGGATGGCGACTCCGAACGAGCGTCCCTCGCGGTTTTGAAGTTGGTTTCAAGCTCGGCACGAGCATCTACAGGAAGGCTCTGCAACATGAAACGGAACCGAGAGAGTATCTTCCACGAGTCTGTATTTCGGAAGTGCAACGGGAAAGCACGGAGAATGTAGACCATTCGAGCCATGAAAGCCGGGTCGCCGAGCTGTTCACCGTGCTGTGTGAGCACATGAGCTAGGAGCTGCAGCCGCCGCAGGTTCAAATCGAAGATGCCTTCAAATCTTGACTTGAGATCGCCGACAAGCGGTACAAGCTTGAGCGCAAGTTCAGTAAGGTACTTGGCTTGATTCCCGGCAATGACCAAGGAAGCAGCCCGAGTGGAGAGGTGGAATGCATTTGTGTCCGCCAAAGCTAGCCACGAAAGGGCATCGTCCAAGCTGAGACGGATGGCCGACGTCACCTCAGCCAAGGCTTGCCGGTTGACGAGGGCTAGATCGAGACCGGATAGCAAGGTGTGCATAGCCAAAGACTGAGTCGGTCCAGCGTCCGCGGGTCGGGTACGAATCCTGACACATGTGGCTAAGGATTTCAGGGTCAGATCGATTTGGTCAGCGATTTCATCCTTTTTTCCATCTTCTATGGCGATTCTTAGATGTGCGGCGGGCAGTTCAACCTGGATCTCGAGAACACGGTTTACACCGTGGTGCACAGCGTTTTGGCTTTGTATGTTTGCCATGACGCCTATCTGGAACGCATCCATGACCTCGTCAGGATTATGGGGAAGCACTTCGSGTACCAGCTTCGAGACGGTGAATGCAACATGTGGTAAGATGAACGCTCGGAGACCCGGAATTATTTTGATCATTACGCTCGAGTGTTCGCATTCGTCGTCAAGGTCCAAATTGCTCAATCCTGACGCCACCGAAGAGTTGTCAGAGGTTTCGCTGTCGAAGGTCTCTGGGTTTGGAAAGCTGGGTACATTCCTCTCATCCGGCTCCACCATTTCGAGGGGGAAATAAGGCTCAGAGTACGGACTTGAAAATGCAACTGATGATGACGGAAGGCCAAGTCTAGCTCTTTCAGCACCGATATGCAGCGGGCCTCGGGAGTGTGAGCTTGATCTGCTGCTGGCACGGAGGGAGTGAAATGATGCTGAAGTACCCCCTAAGGATTGTTCAGTGCCCCGGCTGACAAGGCCAGGGCGCTCGGTGGCGGTTTTGCGAGCAGTCCGGAGGGATGCTGACAGGGAAGAGATGGAAGACTTGGACGACAATCGTCTCCCACGTCCAAGACTTCTAGCGGATGTCATTGACGCCCGCCGATTGGGACTCATGTCTGCCAAGGTCAAGGGCGGTGGCATAGGCGGAAAGGGCATCGCTGGAGGCTCAAAGGGCAGATCGTCTTCCTCCTTGATCGATGCGTCGATTGAAGACCTTTGAAGAAAGGGGAACCGGTTCGTGCGTTGATCGTGCAGTCGGAAGTGGCTTTGCTGTCGCCTCGTCTCTAAATCAAAATGGAGCTTCCTCCCGACGACATCCAGCGACAACCCAGTCTGGAGGAAGGCATGAGTTTTCACGGCACGCTTGCGATGCTTGGCAACTCGATTGCGTGAAGCACTCCGACCATCAACACACGCAAAGGTGATTTGTGGGATCAGAACATTAACACGCTGCGAGAGTGTCTCGTTTGCCCAGTCACTTGTCTCTACCGTGATGGGCTCCGTTGCGAGTAACAGAGAATCTTTTCCTACATGCAGCCAAAGCCGCACAGTATCTGTCCGGACCTGCACAAAGGATGCGTCGAGAGCGATGGCAGGTGAGGTTACCGGCAACGCGTTTTCATCATCGCTGATGCAGAACGCGAAGGCTCGCCCAGCAAGAGCAAGGTCGCGCACAAAGACGCTCGACAACTCGCCAGTGACCTTGCCAATATCAATGTCCCACTGACTGACATATGCGTCCTCGTTGGGTGGAAGCCCAAACGCACGATGACCGCTGAGGTCTACGTGAGCCACAAAGAACTGAGTATTCGAGACCGTGTTCGCAAGATCATCGCCATCATCTTCATCATCAGCATCCTCATCCTCGRAGCGTGTTGCGCCGGAGAGGAAGCTCAGAGGCGAGAGTTGAAGGCCCAAGTCCAAATAGTAGCTGGCAATACGCAGATCGACATCTGCTCTGGGCAGCTCCACGCGCACAAACTCCTTGCAAGAGTAGATGTTGGTGGGGAACATGACCGTGGCCTGTTCGGCCACAATACAGAGGATGACGTCCAACTCGTTGATTGATGTCGGTTTCGGGAAGCTCGCCGTTTTCGCGTTGGCCTCTTCTAGGTTATCGCTGGCTCCTTGAAACTCCTCTAGGGTCTTGAAATGCATGTAGTCACCAAAGTAGTTCTCCTTGAGGCTGACCAACTGCCGGACGAAGAAGCCGTAGGCCTTCAACGACAGTCCGGTTCCAACAACGTCCATGCGGAGTACATCGACATTTCCAACTCTGGCCTCCTGGTTCGCGTCATGGGAACCTTTCAGCGTGAACCTTGGTAGCTCCGCCATCGTTTTGTCCTGCACGAATGTACTGAAGGTACTCTTGGGTGGACTCAACATACGCATCCGCATGTCCTCGCCCAAGACATCGAATGTAATTCCGTTACGCTTGGGCCGATAATTCTCCATGGGAATTCCGAGATTCGCTGAGATCTGACCTTCCAGCGTGATGAAGTCGTTCTTGTCGAGATCCGCAGGGTCATTGATGATGTTACAGTCATTGACGTTCAGATACATTACAAAATTGTTAAAGACGAGATTGATCTGGTAGTTGTAGGGAACGAAGGTGTAGAAGTCGGATGCTGCCCCAGAGGCCCAGTCATTGACCAGGTCAATGATCAGAAACAGGTGATCCCGCAGTATGAACAGCTCCAAGTCCTGGACTACGATGTTGAAAGGCCACTTGCGTAGCGAGTTCCAAGCGATGGGTTGAGAAATGTCGGCATCCAAGGTAAGGGGACCAGACCTCCAGAGCAGGMCATGATTGACGCYGCTGGACATCTCCAACCCTTTTACGTCGAGGTCGAGGGAGTTCCGATATCCAGTAGGACGTGCGACCATGTCCATGACATAGTTGACGACAGAGTCTTTCTTCACAGTGATATCAAGCCAGGCATACGGCCGAGCGTCTACTGCAGCGGTACCTTTCTCCGCTTTTCGACGCTTGCCGTGTCGACCCCATCTTCGTCTTTCACCTTTGCCAGTATCGTTGTCCTGATCGGCTGGTGGCTTGGCCGCATTTTCTGCGCGGCCTTTCCAACGTGGATCCTTCGATTCCTCGCGTGATGGGATACGAAGAACAACGTCGTCTTCAACGATGACGACGATCTTAAACACGGTGCAGATTCTCAGATCCCCTGGTCTGAGTGGCTTCGCAGGGACAGCATCGACAGACGGAGCAGGGAAGAATACGCTTTGAAGATTCARGCGCTGTCGGTCAGCCCAGGGCCCGTACACCACAAAGCCGCCGTAGACACCGAGATCCATGCCGTACGCAGGCGGAGCGGATCCATTGATATCGTCCGCGTGCATCGAGCCCATCGAATGTTCGCTGTCTACCATCCCATCCGGGACGACCCCTGACATGTCCCAATAGAAGCGCATGGTGACCTTATCGCACTCGACTAGCTGGGATGCCTTTGCGTACTCGACCTTTCGCCATTCATCGTGCTCATCATCATTCTCATCAAGATAGCGCATCAACCCATGCCACTGGCCCTGCCCGTGCTGTTGTTCAAGCAGGGGATGACCGGGCTGTACATCATCTGACCGAACCGACGCTGTCCGGATGGAGTCTGCGCTGCTCCTTGACCGCTTGAAAACTCGTCTCAGCTTCGCYCAGAAACCTCGTGCTTGATGAGCCACCTTCGCGATTGGTACCTCTGGCTCATGCGGCCGGTTGGTCTGCTTTTCCCGCAGGATGCGCTGCCCCGCATCGAGCTGAAACTCTTTGAAGTCTCGGTTTGGCTTCATCGTCACATCAACGTTCTCAATGGCAAAATTGAAGAGTAACTTCCACAGGTCTAGGGGGCCTGCGTGGCCTGCATCCACGGTGCCTATTGACTTCTCCGCCTTGGCCACGAGCACGTTGGTTGTATTCTCGTTACCAACAGCTGCCGCTGCCCGCTTGCATTCTACTTTGATAGGAAGCATGCGTAGAAACGAAGGAACCTCTGGTTTGTTTGGTGATGCCACACTGGCTGTGGTCGTCCGTGTGTGCGTCTTTTGAACGTCCACTTTCGGATCGCTACTTGGGGAAGAGATTGGCGAGGTGGGGCCCGCTTTCTCACTGTCGTCTTCGAACACATCCTTTGACTTGCCCAGTGTTGCCTCCACGATGCCATCGTACAAAGGACTTCGATTGTAGATGAAAGCCTCCACGCCCRCTACCTTGACGGCGATCCGACAAGGCAGCTCCTTCTTTGGTTTAGTGCTAGCCTTTTCTTCCTTTCCAATACTCCTCGCTCGCGTGCGTGACTTCTCGTCGTGGTCGTTTAAGCTCTCCTTCTCGCTCGCCGATGTGCTGGGAACCCGCTCCTCACCCGTGCGTGGGCAGTCCTCTTCCAGGAACACCTCGGCATCCTGAACCAAGCGCAGCCAGTATCTCCAGGTGATGTTTCCCTCGTAAACATAGACCGTCACATTGTGTGCATGATATCGAATGCTCTTGAAGAAGATGCGTCCACCAAGAAGACTGATCTGGAGGGACCTGATGTCGATGTAGGCCTTGTATTTGCGCCATGTATACGCACGAACTGCATAAGATACGGCGGCTGCGAACACACGGTTGAAGTAAAAGAGAAAGAAAAGCGAGAGGATTCCCACGACCAGCACCTCAACCAGGAAGACCCAGTTGAACTGGCCTTCTGCCGTGAGGGGCTGCGCCCGGAGATCCGACATTGTCCGGAGTCACGCGTCGAGTGTGTCGAACTACCATTGTGGATGCTGCATTTGCAAAAACCAGCGCGTCTCGATGCTCTTTCTCTCCCGATCCAGTGTCCCGTCGGGGTAGTCCAAGGGTGAGTGAATGAAGCAGATGCCGGTTCGAGTGGACGCTTCCAAGGAATCTCTCTCGCGCGGTGACTTGCAATCGTATGGTCCCTCCAGTCTCAAACTGGTGGTGGCGGTGAGGTCGTATGTGCGAGAGTTCAAGATGTGGGTTCACCTGGATCCTTGAAAGCTTGAACGGGGRGCCATCCATGCCATGGGAGGCGCATGTGAAGGTGGAGTCGAAACGGAGCGAGGGCCGGCGCTAGCGCAACTTACCTTACTTTCAGGTTCTCCATCGCCGCCTTGCAACCAAACGAACAAACGAACAAACCAACACACATCTATCCACTCTGCACTCTTTTCATCACTGGAAACTCTCTCCCATACGTGTCCCAGTCTCTGCCTTACTTTGTCTGAGCTCGCATGTGTGGCATCGGAAGCGACACCATCTCATATCGACGATGATCCTCGACGACGCCGAATCGGAGCTTCTCAAGACCTACATCACAAAGCTACTAGAAGATGTCTCCGACGCAGATTCGGACGTGCTAGCGGACTATGTGCTGGCTCTGATTAAGACCGATGATGCCGAAGATGTGGCCAAGCCAAATTGCATCGACAACCTCCGCGACTTTCTTGGCGAGCGCGCAGAAAGCTTTGTCGAGCAGGTCTTCGCCGCTATCGCCGCAAAGACCTACGATCCTTCGCGCCTGCCCGTGACGCCAGTGGCACCTGCTCGGTCGCATATGCCTGGAGGACAAAAGCGCCCATACAACGAGGCCAATGGCGTCTATGGCGGGCACGGACAGATCTACGATGGTGGTCGTCCTGTGAAGCGGGCGCGACAGAGCGGGCGTGGAGGTGCTCGTGGATCGTTTGATCAGCGTGGAGGTCGTCAGCAATTTGGAGGCGCACCTTTTGGCCAACAGGTGCCGCAGATGCCAGGCATGCCACCCTTCGACTTCGACCCAAGTAACATCGATCCGAACAATCCCATGGCTGGCCTTTTAGCGCTCCAGCAAGCAATGGGCGGCATGCTCCCTGGAGGTATGCCCGGATTCTCCATGCCTGGAGCTCCACCACCCTCGAATGGCAGTCGCGGAGGACGAAGGTGTAGAGACTACGATACGAAGGGGTTCTGTGCTCGTGGAGCATCGTGTAACTTTGAACATGGTGACGATCCCTACATTGTGGGCAACGAGGAATACGACCCAAACCAGGCCACTCTACTCAACGTTCAGCCAAGCCGGACAGGGTTTGTCAATACCTCATCCAATGGACGCGGTCGTGGAGGGCAGCGAGGCCGAGGCGCAAACACAAACTTCCGTGGAGGTGGAAAGCGCTCCGATATATCCCATGGCGGACCCAACCACGACACCTCTGTCACGTCCGTGGTCGTGGAACAGATCCCGGATGATAAATTTGATGAGCAGTCCGTACGTGATTTTTTTGGGGAGTTCGGTAACATTGAGAACATCAACATGCAGCAGTACAAGAGATTGGCCGTGGTGGAGTACGAGGACTATGAGTCGGCCAAACGTGCGTACGACAGTCCAAAGGTCATTTTCGACAATCGCTTTGTCAAAGTCTACTGGTACAAAGCAGATGCCCTGCAAAAACCTCCAAATGGCCGCTCGCCTGCGCCCTATCGAAAAGAGGAACAGGAAGAGGAGCCTCAAATCGACTTGGAAGAAATTGCTAGGAAACAGGAGGAGGCGCAACACCGACATGAAGAACAAAAGAAACAGCGCGAGAATGCGCAGAGACAGAAGGAGGAACTCGAGGTGAGAATGAAGGAGATCGAGGCTGAGCGGAGAAAGATGAATGAAATGCTCGCAAAGAAAGCAGGCAAAGCCGCACCCGTCGAACCAGCTGCCAAGGAGAATGGCGAACACCAAGATCTGAGAGAAACGCTTGCAAAGCTTGAAGCAGAGGCAAAGAGCCTAGGGATCGACCCCAACGCTGCTGCTGGAAATGGATGGAACGACAGCGCGTATCCCCCGCGGGGCCGTGGTGCGTACAGAGGACGTGGCCGGGGCAGAGCGTTTAATGCACCATATCGGGGTGGCTGGGCTGCAGGGGGTGGGAGAGGAGGCGGCAATGTAATGCGACTGGACAACCGGCCCAAGGCTGTCAGTGTYACGTTCAGTGAAGGCGGTTACGAAGACCATGACGAAGCACTACGCCAATGGCTACTCTTCAACTCCGGAGAATCGACCATCCTCAGCAAGCACCCCGACAAGCAGAATGCAGCTCTGATTGAATTTGCTGAAAGGTATCGAGCTGAGAACTTCATGGCGGCCGCTTCTACGCCAGACTTTCCATTGGCGGGCAAAATGGAGGAGCTCGTGTGGCACAAGCCTACGGCTGCGGCAGGTAACGATTCGCTCGATGTGAAGATGGCTGGGACGGAAATTAAGGAGGATGAAGCTCCAGCTCGGGAGGATGTTGATGATCGAGACGACGAGGACCGCTGGGGCTAGATAGATGTATGCTGTGAGTGGACATACCACTACCGCTGCTGAATCTTGAATGAATATCCGCGGGGCGTCTTCGCTGCAAAACCTGATCGTTCCAAATCCATCGCAGTGATCACTACGTTTCTCAATTATCCACACGGTATCGTCAGGTTCTATTTGTTTGACCAACCGAACACCAATCCAGGCCCATCAAGATTCCCTCCACCCATCATCCATGATATGCCCACACCTAAAGAGCAAATCGTCTAAGATATGCGCAACAAGAACGGCGGCTCCTGCAACATGCTCATCCTAATGCAAATACTCGTAATAGACTAGGTCTTCTTCAAGACCTACCTTGTCCCCCTGCCGCCGAGGAGTTCCTTAATACTATGTCTCCAGTACGCGCCTTGAAGAAGATGGGATACGACGGCGACAACGAGTTTGTGACCCACGATGACGAGGACGAGTTGATCATAGTGCTGGCGGACTGATGTACCAAATTTGATTCCCATTGGCTCGGATAGGTCCGGCACTAGCTAAGGTCCAGCAAAATGGCATTTCCTTTCCCCCTCTCAGAAAAGTGCAACGTTTTGGAGAGAGACAAGGGCGGTTCTCCGTCCTCTCACATTGCGAAAAGGGGTACATTCTTGTAGGGTTAGGGTTGGGGTATCGAATGTTTGCTCTGCTTCTTCCTTCTGCGCATTGCAGGTCAGAACACAGTTCAAGCATCGTTCTTGTCGTCCCGTCGACGCACATGAGCCATTGCCGAAGATATAWCGCATTATGCAAACTCGATTGAAGTCGTCGGAACAGCCTTCCCCTCTCTCTGTCCCTCCTCATGCATGTTAGCCCTTACTAAGAAGATGACTTACAGACTCCACCGCAACCCGTTATAGACCGACTAGATCGCAAGTTTCTCAATAGCAAAGGCCGAGTACTTTTCGCCCGTCAGATTGAGAGTGGAAAGCTTTATAATGGCGCATAGCGTTGTCGACAAGACTAAACTGACGAGAACAGTCACGGTCCGGACAAACAACCTTGTGTAGAGCAGGCGAAGAAGGCTGCAGCAGGTCCGATGGCAAAGCCGGTACCTTACGCCACGTGTTTGTTTTGAAACGGCGTAAGATGATCAAGCAATCGAGTGCGGTCGGCTTCTATGTTCGCACTAATGCTGTGAGGCCAGATAAGAGAAAGGAGTAGTGGAGTAAATGTGTATTTCAGAGGGTCGATAAAATATGCTACAGGTAGGGAGAGCATCAAGAATGAATCGACAGCGCGATAACTATAGTCCACAGTGTCCGTACTCCAATAGCTAGGACGAGCAAATTGACCTTGACGACCATACATCATTAAAGACCAATCCGAAACCACAGCTCCTCCCGCTCGATATTTCCCCAAACCAATCCAGCCCGATGGCGGAACCCCCTCTCGTCTCAGCAGGACTTGCAGGGAGCAGCCAGTTTCCCTCGCTGATCAGTGCGATCATAGTTTGCAGACGGCTTCGGCATAGTAGCTGTAGCTATCCGCATTGTGCGATGCCTCCTCTGGGTGAAGTTTTGCCAGCTTCCTAAACGCGAAGAGAAAAAGAGTCAGCGATATCTCTCATCGGGCAGGTGGGTCGCAGGTAAACACGACTTGAGAGGCGCCCTTTCGAGGTGCTTTTGGTATTCTTCATGTGCCCGGGAGGTTTTCTCTCGTCGTTGTGGTGGGAGATGTTGACTAGACAGCCCATCCATCGCTTTACTTACTTTGATTCCTTGTCGTCCATCGCGATGCCGTCAGGGTGCAAAACGTAAGCCCGATCTAGAATTAGCTTGTTTGCTCTGTCCGCATTTCGGAGCTTGAAAAAGAGTGGACAAGTGTTCACTTCATCGTCGATGAATAAAGTCCAGCACTCTTCGCCCGCATCGTCCGCTTCAGTGCTCGATCCGCAGACGTACTGACTGCTGTCGATGTTCTGCGACATTTCGGTGAAGGTTTCTGCGCTATCCATTAGCCGACCATCATGGCTCGTTGCATGTAGCTCGACTTCACGACCTACGAGTCACAATGTCCCGATCTTCGTCATTACTCCCTCCGAAGTAGCGGGTGCGCATTTTCTTCTCATGCTTTGAGTCGTCATTCTTACGGTGTTTGACGATCTTGTCGAGGCAGCCCTTGGTATCGTAAATGGCTTTGGAGTACACCTTCTCTTGCTTGTGCGTGCAGTCTCGGAAAGTGAGGTCAAGGCCTGAGGGAGACTTGCTGATAGATTGAGCAGACACTGACAGCCCTGCAAGGAAGAGTCTAGAGGGATGCATTGTACTGAATGACGGAAATGTTGGAAAGGATAGAAATACAGAAGACAGCCATTGTGGGAGAAGCTCCATTTTATATACACTCTTGCAAGCCGGTGGTGCCGCCAATTTCTCGTAGCTGGAAAACACATGACAGCGTTGACATATTGGTACCATGGATTTGGAGGGATATAATGACTTGTGCGGGAAGACAAGCACCGCTTTGAGCCTTCCACGGAGTCCAGCAGAGCAATGGAACCGTGGGCTCGTAAACTCAATGAATTGGTCACCGCTCTGGTCTGACAGGATTGGTCTGCATGCGTTGTTGATAGTGCTGGGGTAATATGGGCTTCCCATTTCTTCACTCCTCTTTCCGTGGATTTACATTCCTACGCAAAAGCACCTTCCAGCGTTCTCAAATCGTAGTAGTTTCGCAACTCTCTAAACTGGAACCCGTCTGTTCCTTTTCCCGCGTCGGATTTCCCCACAGTGTACACGAAAGACTGGGGAACTTCAACAACTCGGCTCCCACCATCTGCGAAAAGCTTCGTGTTGAAATTTGCGTGTAGCTTGTACTCGTGCCTTTCATCATCTGCGACTACGATGAAAGACAGGACGTCTCGCTCCACTTTGGGAAATCTCGCATAAAGATTCTGGAAGTAGTCCCATGATTCTTGACCTCCTGATTTGGTAGTCCCATCAACGAGGATCGTCTTGCAATCCTTGGCGTACCAGTCTTCGAAAGAAACTGTTGCCCACTCCTCGTTATTTTTGGGAAAGGCTTTGCCGTAGGCTGCGTAGAACTGGAGAACTTGGTGATCCTTTATGAATTCTGCATCCAGTGGGAAGGATACGGTGAACACCCTTTGAGGCATTTCGATCGTGTTGCGAATGTCAGAAGGATGTATGAGCTGGGTAGAAGGCTGAATGTAAAATTGTGAGCATAGCTTCATGCCCTCGGTAGATCTCGGCTATGCAGCAGCGATGGCAGATTTCCGCGATGTGTCACTCTGGGGCAGTGCCATGTATCTGCCTCCAGCCTGAAACCGTCAACTTGCGTGGAAATTCGAGCAGCGTATCTTAGTGCTGCCCGATTTCGATCAGCTGATCACGCYGACAATCTCTCAAACGCAGATTGCAGAACTTTCTTCCGCTCCATGTGAATCTCCACGTTGTCGCCGTATCGCGACATGAGTTCCAACATGCGGCGAATATCGTTCCGAAAGATTTGATCATATGGTGGGTCCGTCTCAGGGCCAATGGTGAGCAGATTGGCGATGAGCAAGCTTTCTTCGAAAGCACGATGCTGCAGCTCCCACCAGACCCCAGCTTCAACTTCGAACAAGCCCCATAGTTTGAAGAAAGCACATAGTGCCTCATGTGCGGCTTCCAAAGCCCCTCTGACGTTCGGCTCGACGCCTTGCTCTACGTTCTCGGAGGCCTGCAGAAGTGCTAGAGAGTGATAGTAGGAGGAGGTCAAACACAAGTTCTGTCGAATCGCCCGAGGACTGCTGATTGCGTTTTGCTGTAGGACAGCAAAATCTAGAATAGTCAGGTGTGCGGGGAATGACTTATAGAGTCTCTTAAACGYCGCGACCAGGGACTCTTTAYGCCGCGGACTGTTGGCTACTGGTAGGGATAGAGACATGGGAGAACAGAGGTTCTCCTGGACGAGATTTCCAAGATGCCTGTTCATGGATCAGAAGTGTCAGCTCAGCAGGGAATTATGCTGGATATGGCTCCGCAGCACTCACCACATGCTTCTTAGGTAGACTAGGTCGGTCTTCATAGTGGATGCATCTACGAGATGATGTGGCTGTGCTGGAGTCAAGGGTTGAGCAAGCTGGGGTTCGATCATCGCGTTGATTGACATCAAGTTCTCCACCCTCGGAGGACTACCATGACCGAGCTCGTTTGCGTCATCGCCGAGTTCATTCGAATCTGCCAGAGATTCGACAGCAACATCACAGTGTGTCGCTGTTGGCGGTAGCTTGAGAAGGATTGTGAGAAAGGTATCCTGAACAGAGACTGCCTGCCAAAGCTTTCGACGTTGCTGCTTCTCCAGCACAGACGCGTCGGGGACTGCTATGTCGGGATCACGATGTAAACGCATCGCGTATGACTGCCGTAAGTGAATACCGGCCCATGCGTAGGCGTCGGAAGCATGATTGTCGTTCATCAAGAAGTAAGCCATGAGTATCATCGCTTGAATTGCCCTCATAGACGTTCGGTTCAGATATGAGTAGACTCGCAGCGATTGATTAGCAGCACTACAATAGAATTCCGCCGTCTGGGCTCGCTCATTGAATGAGGTGAATGTGGTGAACTGCGTGCCGAGCGCATACCTAGTAGTGAAGCAATAGATCAGCGGGAGTTCGAGTGGTTTGGCGAGGATCAAGTCTCATCGCCCGGCGTTTCCTGCTTGGACAGGCGTCCCGCTGACATTTGGCCTAGCGTCTCTTCAGAACGTAACAAGGCCAAGAACTGAGACGCACCAGACTTCGTGGATCACACTCCCACTCGACTTACATGGCATAATGAAGGGCCACCAGGCTTGCATCCGTCTTGCCTCTGTCTTCAACGGACATTGCCCAGAACAGCTCGTAGTCCGAGTAGAAAGTCCTCCGATGGAGAAAAGGAATGACGGGGTCAACGACCTCGAAGAACTTTGCGATCAATAGATCTGCCTGTTCTTTACTTGGCAGAACAGTGATGACTTCGGGCAGCCCACCGGCGCAAGTCCAGTAGTTGGAGAAGGGGTGATCTGAGGATCCAACGCCAAATACATTGCTGGGCGAGCTCTGTGAATATGGGACGCTGGAGAAGAGGAATGGCGATGCTGTAGAAAGAGAAGCCTGTGATGAACGATGTGATTGACCAGAGACATTCGGCCAGCCCGTATCGGTTGATGTGGGCGAAGTCAGGATGGATGGAGAAGAGGTGGTGCTGATCCTCCTGGCCTTGCTCGGCTTGGTGACATATCGGGCCTTGCTTTTCGATCCTTTTCGATCCGCAGAGAGGATGAGGTTTGCAACGGCCGTATACTCGCAACCCGACTGTCGTTTTACACACGCCAAACACGGCCGCCCTCGATCACACTTGGTCTTTCTTTCAACCTACAATGGAGCTTCTCATTAGTCCAGTTCATTCATCAACATGAACACGCTGCCCTTGCTTACGCATTCCAAGCATGAAAGCGTAGGCTTGTTTCGTTTCTGTCTTGGCTTGACTTTATGCTGTCCATTCTGATCGCCGTTGCTCGTTTCGGGACGCGATGCGGGGCCATTTGGCGTGGTGATGTTGGGGTATGGAAGGTCATTGGCAGCATCCCGCTCCAGATGAGGACTCGAGGCATTGTGCGAGTCATCCATTGAGCATGATTGGGAGCCGGGGATTAGATCCACTGTCCTGGGAATAACTTCCATAGGAAGGGACGTTGCGTGACGTCTCATCATCAATCTCCAGCGCGACTTCCTCCACAAAGTTTAGCCTCGGGAAGCGGAACGCGCTTTTTTGCTTGCGATCATCGACGTGCAGTCGTGATTACTCTCCACGCCATGCCGCCGCCGCAGACGGAAGACTCGAAGGATTTCGAGCCGGAAGCTTTCTTCGATGCGTGGGCTCGCGATGGAACGCGCCTGGAGAAGTTGCACGCCGACAATGACTTCCGGACGTTCATCATCCAGGTCTTTGGACTGCCTCCCAACGACGACTATGGATATTCGGCCGGGCCGGCAGAGGTCACGCTGGAGATGATGCAAAAGCACATCGTCTTTGGAGCACGAGCGAATCTCCGGAATTGGTACACGCACAATGCAGTAAGACATCATCCGGGAGATGTCCCACGAACAATTGCTCATCGCCAGCAGTAGCGTCCGTCGCCCTCACCCAGCGATATTGCCGCCTACAACGACATCTTTCGTCCGACCACCAACACCTCCAAGGCCTTAAAGGCACTCGCCGCGAATGCCAAAAAGGATACAGTGCGCATGGACGTTGCACAGCACCTTTCTGCCCTGTATGCCCCGCCAGACCCCGCCCTCAAATTGACAGTCAACAAGTCCAAGGGACACGTCAATCCCTACCTAGACGTATGGACATGGTCGAATCTTGTCCTGCAATGGGCGGGCCCGGAGGCGAGAACTGCCGAGCTCAAAAACAGCCATGCGATCCTGCCAGTGCTATACCACCACTTCGGCTGTGTATGTCCCAGCTACGAGGCGCTGTCATACATCCAGCAAGTGTCTCGTGGACGCAACATTCTAGATGTGGGTAGTGGCAATGGATACTGGACGTACAGTCTTCGTCGTCTCGATACCAATCCCAAGAAACAGCTAAAGGTAACGGCTATCGAYAACGGCCTCAGCGAGTGGAGGACCATGTGGATTGGTGATACCATCAAGATAGACGGCGCCAAGTGGCTGCAGCAGAACAGGGGTGGAATTGACGATGTTCTGCTGTTGGTCTATCCCATGGTAGGGTTGGATTTCACCTCAAAGATGCTCAAAGCGTTTAGAGGCACCACCATCATCTCGGCCGGCGCGCAGAACACGAGCGGTTTCACGGCGTTCAAAGGAGAGACCATTGCAGATTGGATCTCGAGAGAAATGCCGGCCTGGGAAAGGGTTCTGCAGATACCACTTCCTAGTTTCGCTGGCAAGGACGAAGCGCTGTTCATCTTCGAAAAGAAGGCGGCATAGTGAAGCAGCGGAATCTTCTTGCACTGCCACATTTTGGACTGCACTATCTGGATGAGTTGGAATCGCATGGTGCGGTGATCCCGCTCCAGATCGTCCTACCATGTAGGACCGAAGTGGCTGTGAACGCGCGATTGACGATCAATGTAACAACTTTATGGCCGCTCAGATGGCTGTACGGCCCCGCGCCTTTGTTACCCCACAAGGTATGGAGCGAGGGAGAAGGATTGTGGCAGCGCAACGCCGCTACGAGGCTTGGCTGCCATCATGAATCCTTCGTGCTTCACCTCGACCAATGAAATGGACCAAACCAAATAGTTCTAAAGTCGGCGTGGCAGAACAAAGCATGCTGCTGTGCCGTGTGAAAGACAAGTACATGATATATAGTAGAGTGACCGGATGCTCCTAGGTTCGTGTTTTGATCTTTCCTACCACATATTAGTCCAAGATCCAAGCAAGAAAACAGCCCACAAATCATCCCTCAAACGTCGCCAAACAACAACAACATCGTCACCAATCAAGAACAAACATGTCACAACTCGACAGTGCTCTGCGCGATGCTGCAGACAAGAACCACGAACTACTCTCTGAACTTTCTCAGACGGACTTTGCTCCTTCCTCTTTGAAACAAAACACATCCTACATTTCCGACCTCAAGTCTCAAATTGCTGCCACCGACAAGGAACTCAGCAGACTCCATCAGATCACAGAAGATGAGAAAAAGGTGCGATGTTGTCCTAGACCATCCAAGATTCGCGAGCTAACTAAGTGGTGCTCAGGATCATGTCAAGTACCGCGACAGCAATGTGAAGAGATGGGCCCACAAACTCGGCGGCCAGAAGGGCAAAGAAAAGTTTACTTCCAAGCAAGAAAAGGAAGAAAAGGGCAAGTCCCAGTCACAAGGAAGGCTACCACGGAAATTGGCAGATCCGCTGACTCTTCTCCAGAATTCATGGAAGCATGGCAGAAAGAGAGGTCTGCCAAAGAGTCCCGCGACGAGCTCGGCCGCGCCCTCGGAAAAGCGGAGACAGACCGCGTCCACCTGGAATCTGAAGCCGCCAGACACGATAGAGCTCAGACGGCGCTCGATGCTCTCTATCAGTCTATTTTCAGTGGCCCAACACCCGATGTACCTGGCGAAGATCAAATGGAGAACAATGTACAGCAGGCCCGAGGATTCTTCGGCCAATGCCAGACGCAAGTCGGCACCGAGCAGAAAGCCCTGGAAGCAATGCAGCGAGCAGACTACCACATGAAACTTGCATATCGCGATATTGGGGACGCTTTAAGGCGCAGCACACGTGACATGTTTGGGGGCGGAACGTTCACGGATATGGCCGAGAGGGAGGCTTTGTCTCACGTACGTTACAACAATCTATCTCCGATCTGGAGCTGTGAGCAGTCTTGCTAACGTAACGTAGGCGCAGAACAATATGCAGCATGTCATTCGCCACATGGAGGAGGCTCGCAGAAATCAGCCCGCGATTCACCCCCTGAGTGAGATCACCATCGATCAGGGTGAGTGAGGAGAGTAGGGCATGTGCACAGCTCATAGCTAACATTCTTGTCTGTACAGGCCACCTCTTCAGCGACGTACTGTTCGACAACATATTCACAGACATGGCACAGCACGAGCGAATCCAGCAATCCGAGCAACAGATGCAGGCGGCTATCCACGATCTTCAAATTCAACTTGGCGAGCAGCAGAATCGCAAGCAAGGTGCTGATGCACAGCTCAGAGACGCGGCCGGCAACCTCGAGAACGCGAGAGAGGAGCTGCAGCGTATTCGTGCGGAAGCCTTTAAGCACATTGGCGCCAATGGCGTTCCTCCACCAGCGTATCAGTAGTGTACTGGTCAACAGTGCAAAGAATGCGACGCCTGATGGACCTTCCAACGCCGCCGTGAGCAAGTGTGCGGGCGGTTACCTTCTCACATGCAACTCTTCACTTCCAAGCCAATACGGAAGTTTTTCAACGGTACGGGCCCCTATGCGGACCCAGAGCCGGAGATACCATCAGCGGATACGTTGAATGAGCCTCTCTTTGAGCGAATTCAGACGAGGCTTTCCGCAGCTCAGTCGAAGAAATCACATGAATGACAACCTTGATTTTGCGATGATTCTCGTACCCGTCGTGACCATTATATACTCCTAAAGAAAGACGATATGCTCATAAAAACGAAGATGATGCACTCTCCCATCGTAGGTCAGATGTCATACTCAACCTCCGAGTTCGTAGAGAGTCGTGGCACTCGCGGCACCATGGTTTCCCCCATTCCCGTCCCATATGCACCAGGGGAATCACCGTAGCTCTGTCCCATGGTAAACTGCAGCATCCTCCTATCCTGATCCTCATGAAGCCAAAGCGACCTTTCAAAAGCTCCTCTCTCAGGGCGAAAATCAGGCAGACTCATCATACGCGGCCCTGCGTAAACTCGCTCTTCGATCGGACCGCGGTCAAGTCTCCCCTGGTGATGCGGCATCAATAATCCATCTCTGGATCTCCCTCTTCCACTTCTTTGGCTGAACATGGCGAGTTCCTCTCCAAGACCATCGATGAAAAGATCGTCCTCGAGGCCTGCAACGTGATGAGGTGAGCGTAGAGCTGCTGAATGACCATGTCCTCCTCGACGTCCGCGATCTCCCAAGTTCATGTGAGAGTCCACCCAATCCAACATATCCGCAACTTCCCGTGCCTTGCGCCCTTTGCCCCGGATACTATGAGCCAGATCCGGTCTGATTCTAAGGATCTTCTGGAGGCATTCGAGACGATCACTGTCGCGAGAGACGGCGCTGAGGATAGCGTAGCACCACTGCCCGAGAGCTGGAGCATCTTCAGTGGATGCAATTAACTCTGCGTTTCGGCTGAAGAATCGTAGTAAGACAGTTCCTAGCTTGATGCTCTCTGTTTTGGAAGAAACTTCTGCCAAGGAACGGAAGAGGTGTTGGGCGCGACGATGGTAGAACTGGCCGCCGTTTACTTCGCGTGCATCCTTTTGATCGGTTGCGAGTCGTTCCTGTGATGGCGTGTCAGTCGACTATAATACATCTCCCTTCTTCGTTGAGACCGATTCTGCCTTTACTCACCTCAAGCTTCTGCATCAAGTCGTGTGAAATTACGTAGTCTGCCTCTCCTGGGGAGACTCGTGATAGAATAYGTATCATCCACTTGTATGCTTCACGAAGTTCCTGCTCCTCCAACCTGGATAGATCAGTCAATGTCAAAAAGGCGAGCTCGACGAACAACGTACGGGTTCCATTTGGTGGACGGCATTGTCTCCTCGGAATTCTCGACGAGTCGGTCAATCCATCGCCTGTAGTCAAGAGAGCCGCCAAGCTGGCAATGATTGAATGCCGGTAGGTAACTGTGTATGGCAGACTCCGGTATGGACATCATCAAGGCTGAACTGCTGCCGCGATCCTCCCAGGGACTGTGTCGTCCCATTATCGGATAGGCTAGTGGTAAGGGTGAAATCCCGCGATGGCAATAGGACCACATCTTCAAAGTTTTCCGGTATAGTTGTTGCTAAGGTGGGAGAATAGAATTTGTAAACTGGGCATCTTCATGCGTGTACCAGCAGAGCAAGAAGTGTAGAGGAGATAGCGGGTCTAGAGCCATGTGACCGGAAGCAAGCCCAATCTACCTTGTCTGTGTGACTTCGGATCCATGCCGCAGACAAACATTTCCAGGCCGATGGTGACACCTAAGAGGTAGTTGCAGTGCTGCAAGATGACCAACTCTTCGCGTAGATTTTTGCCCTGTGCACTCAGCATACATTGCACAACATGCTCATATTCTCCCAAGCTAAGCTGAACGCCGTTCTGTCAGTCTATTCTGTATTGTGACCCGCTGTCGTGGATATCATTCAATCGTTAGAACGTCTTGTTGTGACTCGGTGAGCTCCTTCCTCCATGCTTGAACCACTGCCACTTGTTGTTCGAGAACAGTATCCGATTGGCGTTCCMTTGATCGTGCATCAACAGCTGCTGCTCGAAACCATTCGCAGCAAAAACATCCTCTTTCATAATCTTGGTCGTCGGCTGCGCACTGCCCACGTATTCCCATTGCACCTGTTTGAGGCCATCAGGAGAAATGTCTATTTGAAGACTCGGTGCTCTATGCGATTCATGGCCATCTACAAGTTTCCAGCCGTTCATTGGCCCGGCAGCCTTGAGACCCTTTCTCCGGCGATGCGGACGATAAGGGTTATGCTTTGGCTGAAATGTCATCGAACGCCATAACCAGCGGAAGAAAGTCTGCATTACGCTCTTTGGCTCGACTTCCCGTCCTGCAAGATCGATTCGAGCTCGAACCGAAGCGTGAACGTATTCGTTGGTTCTTGTGAGATACTCGCCAAGATATTTGCCGGTTGCGTAGTCCGTCTCGCGGTACAATCCTGGCGTACGTACGGCGGAACCGATGAGAGACTGAGGGAAAGTGTTGGAGTTGTAGACTTTGCCCATGCCCCAACCTTCGTACTCGTTCCCATCGGACAGTGTTTTGTAAAAGCGTCTCGTGTTTTTGAAGCAAGTATCGATGGCTTTTTGGTCGAACTGAATCCAGTCTAGGTAATCAAACTGCTTCGAAGTGTCTCGTGACAACCCAGACATCTGGTCCATCATCCATGCCAACGAAATGTTGGCTATTCCGTAATCAGGGTAGGTACCTCCGACATTGCTGTGTGCCCCTGGGAACCACACTTGTTTGAGATTGGTCTTGTTGCTTTCGTCATCCAGTTCCCACAGGGCTGGGCTGTATGGTGATCGATTCTCGTCCAACGCAAGTGCCTGGAAAGCATTCTCGACAACATCGCAGAGTCTTGTATCGTACCACCTGTATTCTCGTATGAAAGTGGGCAACCCGATTTGCTGAAAGATAGGGTTGATCGGTATGCCAAGAGCACCAACGGTATCGAAAACGCCAATAGCCTTGATCTGCACTTCTTGCGTCAAACCGAGGGAGAGGAGATGTCTTTTGTAGCTCGTCATATACTTGTCGATGCCATGCTCTTCTCTCTTGTGCGCCATTTTCACAGGTGGCTGATTCTTCTTCACTTCAAGCTCCTCATCTGGGTTATGCTCGCAATACACGTTGATGAATCTTGGTGTATAGTTATCATTCCCCGCATTTTCCCAATCCGAGAAGCAATCGTAGAAGAATGGCATGGCTTTGCTAGTCAGGATGCCTACTGCRGCGATGAATCCTCCAAGACTGCGGGCAGTGAACGCCCCGCGTGAGAATCCCAGCAAGAAGATGGAATCTGGGCGACTGAGCAGGTCTTCCGGGGTGTAATTGCTGGCGAGAAAAGCATAGCTTTCACGAATATTTTCTGACAGACCCAGGCCTATAGAAACGAGATGGTCAGTACTTGTCAGGGAAAACTCTCGGATGATTAATAGCGAGACAAGTCCAATCCGATGTTGCCACCTTTCACCAAACATACCTGTTCCGCCTCCTAGAAGTTGATCGTAGAGGCCAAGTCCAGTACCCACTCCGGCCTGATAGTACACAATCTGGTGATGCTTTGCATCATCTTCTGGCAACATGGCTCGCGCGATCCGGGTGATATTGGAAGGATTGCTGCTAGAAGCTCCCTTTCCAAACCCGTTGTCTCGGTCCAGCCAAGTCCCATCGCAGCACACTATGAGCTTCTTGGGAACCCTCAACTGTTGCCTTGCCTGCTGTGCGGCTTGCGAACTGAGTCGCCTCTCATCCATATTACAAGCTGGGAGGGAAGAATGAATGCGTTTGATGGAGTGAACGGGTTGGAGCAAGGTAAATAGCGCGGCACAATTGTGATATGGCGGCAGAAATGAGGAGAGCAGACGCTCTACTTAACCTTTGAGATGCGTAACTTTATCGATGCGGCCTCTTTGACTGCACTGTCCCAAATAGAAACTGGGCGGAGGCTGCTAAGAGGCGGCTGAAATCTTGGGAGGTGACCGTTTTTGATCCTTTGATGCCATTGGTYCATGGCGCTGCGACCGCTCGCCTACACCTGCGGCGGAGGTACCCCTCGTACGCAGGCCAAGAGATGTCCTCATCCTGCAGCGAGTGTCCAATAGCGGAGGCTCCTGGAGTGAGCTGATGCGGCGAAGCAGAGGGTTGGATGGGGAGACCGCACTTCTTCGACGATGTGTCTTGATCTTCGCGGGTGAGTGTGTTGAAGGAGTCGGGGAAGGAAGGAGCCCGTGCTGACACATCCTCTTTTTTGCGAATGCGGCGGAACAGCCTCCCTTGAGCTAACGAGATGAATCTTTCATTGTGTCTCGTCGCCTTCCACCAACTGGCGCTTTCAAAGACAAGTCCAATCGAATCCGTGGGGACGTCGCAAACATGGTTGTATCGTTGACTTCGGCGTCCATTTCCTTTGATGATCGCTTTGTTCTCACTCAGCCAGCTAATGAGTCAGTTTCTTGACCACTGCGATACATCGTCTACTGCATGACAGCCTCAGCCAGCCTCACAGGATCTGGCTGGCGTGACCCCGTGAACAGGCGGCTCGAAAATCGTCCTTCGAGCTGAATGATCCCTCGCCTCCTCCGGCTCATCTACTGACAAGAATAGCCGCCGAGTATGAGCGTGCGCGGGTCAGCCATTTCCCCYGACTCTATTATACTGCAGTCATAGGTTATTCGATGCATTCGTTGATCAGTGCCTTGGAGAATGAATAAGTGAATTCCTTCAAACACCACGCTTCGCTACGCTAATTCTCATATGCACATTTTCTCATAACTACACCATATCCCCTCCATTGCTCAGCCTAGGCAGGCAAATCCCAGGAGCGAAGATCTCGCCAACCAAGTCGGAGTTGACGCATACCTGCTGAGTGTTCTCATCAGGACGTGACGGAGCATCGTCCCGAGGCGACTTCACGGGCATCACCTTCAGATCCAATGGAAATGCGGAGGTCGAGATCGAGGACAGAACATCCTTTTCAGTCGGCCTCCGAACTTCCTCAAGGACAGCGCTGTCAATCTCGGACTCCTTGGTCTGTGGTTTGCTGATGGAAGCCTTCGCTTCCTCGACCTCAGTGGGGACATCAAGCGAAGTTCCGAGTGCCTCTATGTTGCTCGTCACCGCGGAGTAATTGTTGAGTTCGGACACCATTGTCTGGGGTAGTACTTGCCCGCAAGTCGAAGGTAGAGGGCTGAGATCTAGCATCGGACCTTGCGATACAGCAGCTCGTAAGCTCATCCAGACGGCGACCAAGGCCAACACAAACATCGCAACATTACGCTTGTCCTGAGCGAGGAGGAAGAGATAATTCTTCAATAGCATCGAAAGCGGAATGTCCGCCGTTCGAAACACCTTTGGAAGATCGGAATCATTTGCCAAAGTCCTCTGAACAGCTCCTGGAGGTGACTCAAGCGAGGCCGTGTTGTGCTGGATGTATCGCGCCCGCTCCTCTTCATCTGCCCTTTTCCTTTCTTCATGCGCGATGCGAACCTGCTCCTCCACGACCTCCCTGATGTGTGCCTCCTCTTCCTCTCGGCGTCGACGATCGTCCCCTTCCTCACGCTCTGCCAGGGCATCGAGTTTCTTGCGCAAACTCTCACTGATCCAAGGCAGTATCTCAACATCAACTCTCTCCATCTCAGACCAAGCCGCAGTCCAAGACGGGGCGCGCATCAAGCCGTTGGCCGCAAAGACTTTGATGCTCCACTTCCTACCACTCCTATCAATTGCAGCATTGGCACTTTTGATAGGACCGTTGCACGTCGCGCACTGATTTAGATCTTCGTCCTCAAGTCGGAACGCAACGCCAGAGTCGGTGCTCTCAACGCTACCTTCGTCAGTGGACGTGGAGATTGCACGAAAGTGTCCGCACTTGGTCACTTTCTCCTCCCTAAGCTCCAGCGCTTCGAGAAGTCGATCCTCCAGTAGTTCGTATTCCTCTCGAGGATGCGGAATCAGAATCCCGCGATGAAGGATAGTCTCCGACACCTTCGATCGTAGAAGCTGCAGGTTCTCAATCACGCTCGACGGGAGCACTTCCAGCATGCTCTCGGCACTCCAACGTAACTCAATGGGAAGTAGWGTCACATGTAGCAATACCAATGGATACTCCTTTTCCTCCATCTCGACACCCTCTTGCTGACGATGTACTCTCGATCGGGGACTCTGCTTTACAGACCGAGGCGTGCCAATTTTGGACCTTACACGCAGAGCTGATCGTCGTGGACTGCTTCTCTCATACGGCGTAGGTGAACCCATTGGTTGCGGTCTGCGGACAGACTCTGGTCTTCTGAATGTAGGCCGGTTGGAGGGTGGAGTGTATGGATGGTGCATGGCCGGCATCATTGACTCATCGTAGTCGGTATCAAACATGGAGGACTCTGGGAGAGAAGATATCGATGCTCCTCGTGTAAGAGCTGACTCTCGGCGATCGATATCTTCCTCATCGTTGTCGACTTCCATATCCGTTTGCTCGTCGAGTATGCTAGATGGAGTGACATCCTCAGTGATCTCAGTAATATCTTCCAACTGCTGCTGCCTTTCTTGCGAGTATTCGCTAACGTCTAATTCAGAATCGAACTCTGAATCGTCTTTGGGGTTGGAAGAAGAAGGTTGGCGGGAAGAATTTGGCGTCGGCATCGGAATGCTGGAGTCGACTGCATCCTCAAACACTGCAAATTTGGCGTGCTTCGGGGTTGGCGATTTGGCCTTGCTTGGGCGCGCCATTGCGCTGAAGCCGTAAGGAATGGCTCCTCAACGAACGTATCGTCTGCCACGAGGGAGAGTAATGTGGAGTGGTATCGAAACGTCTGTCTAGGATCACCGGTCTGACATCAACACGGGACGGGTGTTGTCATGGCGATCGTGACAGCTAGGGTCTTGAACAGGGGAACTTTACGCGAGGAACCTACGCATTCACTCGCACAGCCTTGTGCATATTGTGTGGGACGGTACAGTTTGAGAGGATACTTGCGCATGCCTCTGTACAAGGGCGCGCATTTGTATGAGGTAGCTTGGATTATCTGCTGCGCCTGATGCAGAAAGAGAGCACGGTGGCAGCTGCGACGCCGACCAATACGCCCATTCCGAACAATGTTCCGGAGTTCGTGCTCCGAATTTTGTTCAAAGGTTGAGGTGTGCCACTCTCCCTGTCAGCACTCTTCTGACCATACACAACATGAAGATCCATGACCTTTCTTATGCTGTCGTCCCGCATGTCGTCTTTGATCTGCAAGATGAAGGCTTGGGTGCCCTGTAAACTCCAGCCCAACACTTTTGTGAAGACCGTGGTCGTGAAGCCTTCCATGCCTGATATAGCTGAAAGCATCGTCCGGGCGCCGAGGTTCTTCTCTGTAGGATCAGTCGGCCACGTGCCCCATTTGTGCGGGAAGACAGCCTCTGTCACATTTTGCAAACCTGCCTCACGCTGGAAAGTGGAAAGGCGAGGCCCCAGTTGCAAAGGTCGACCACGCATCTCTCCAGCCTCTTCCATCAAGCGGGACCACCTGAAGAAGGGCGATAGCTCATCGAGATTATCAGACATAGGGATGGGCTTGCCCTCGATGTCAACTTGGTACTGTCGGCAGAGTGAAAACTCCTGCTGCTCTATCCACCCGCCTGGAACGAGATGCCTAGCGATCGGTTAGAGGCCACATCCCAAACATGCTGACTGGTGAACTCACTTCATCATCATCCCGATCGTCTTGTGCCAATCTGCTACGCATCCATGCACCAAGCTAAGATGAATCAAATCAAAGTAGCCTTCTGGGAATGGCCATTCCTGCTCCAAGTCGTGCACAAACCACTCTACGTTTGCGGGCTTCTTGTACGACTGGATCGGACTGATGTCCATACCAAAGATCTGGGCTTCAGGATAGGTCTCAGCCATGTCGAGGCACCATATTCCACTGCCACACCCCACATCGAGAATCTTCATATGCGCTTTGCCGGAGATGGGCGCATGGTGGAGAAGACCGCCCTTCACCTGTGTCAAGATCCAGTGTTGCTCATTGAGTCGATGTATTTCCGGCTCGTCGTTGGGCATGTAATAATGGCCAATCTTAGCAGATGCATAGCGGCGACCATGCTCATAGGTCCAATCGTATGTTGAATCCGTCTTTGAATCGATGTCGTTTTGGCTGTGACCACAATCAGCTTCAGATATGCCGTGACGGACAGGGGAGATGCACAGTTTTTCGATTTCCACAAGATTGCTGTCATGCTGATCCGCTAGCGGCGCCTCCACGCGTGTGACAGTCTCACTGCTCATGTCGGCGCTGTTACAACTCACCGTAGGAGTCGCWGTCTTGTTTGCTCTGTTTCGACTTGAAAGAAAGTTGTTGATGAGATRCAACTCCACCTACCGTCCGATGACACTACTATGTGACCTACTGTTGCAATTCTTGCGCGAATGTGCCGGACTCCACTGTGAAGAGGTTGCAGTAGTCTGCAGCTGTTGTTTGGTGAAAGAGCCAATGGTAAGGTAAGAAAGATTTGATGTTTGTGGAACCTTTGTTTGAATGCCTTATGTCAGCAGACACCCTAGCGTCGCGCTAGCGTTTCGTCTCGAAAACATCCATCTTGATGCGAGTGACATGAGCTTCTGACATCCACAAACTTCACCCATCAATATCTTCTTCCCCAAATCGACGGGGTCGCTTAACTATGGCAGACTTTCGTCGCCGGTTTGAGGAGATCCAGGAGGCTGATGCAGCTCGTACCAAGCTCATCACGGATTTGATGAACAAGGTGGATGACATGGAAAAAACGATGGACAGAAATGCCTTCGTATTGGTTCTGATCGACGGCGATGGAATGAACTTCCAAGACGACTTGGTTAAGAGAGGTATTGCGGGCGGCGAAGAGGCATCTCAGCGACTGAGACGTGAAGTCTTCAACGAATTGCGAAACAGCCCGGATTTTCGACACGACAGCAGGATTGTCATCAAACTCTATGCGAACATGAGAGGGCTGGCCAAGCTGTATACCCAATACGGCCTTCTTGCCAAGAGTGAAGACTTCAGCGACTTCATCTTGGGCTTCAACAAGAACCATCCTCTGTGCGACGCCATCGATAGTGGCAATCACAAAGAGAGCGCGGACAAGAAGATCCAGGRTGAGTTGCGAAGTGAGACGACACGAAATTGGCAGCACAAGACTGACTCGTACAGAAACATTGAACTTACATGTACATCACGTACATTGTCGGCACATTATCTTCGGAGCATCTGCAGATAATAGTTACGCCTCATTCCTTGGCTCTTTCCACGATGTCGATATCGCCACCCGTATTCGCCTTCTTGAAGGACCTCCCTTCGCCGCCGAGTTTAAGACCATTCTCCCCCGTTTTAAACAGCTCAAGTTCCCCGAGATCTTCAGAAGCACCAAAATCGACATTACCCAACGTCACCTCTCCCCGATGAAAAAAGTAGACGTCGAAATCATCCCAAAACGAAAAGTTGAGGCCCCGCGGTATCCACTGGATACCACTCCAACATTGATCGAAAGGCTTATGAACCAAAAGCCTACTCCCGCGCCACTCGAGAAGGTCACCAACCAAGCACTTCCGGATCGTACAATCCATCCCTCACCAAACAAGCCCAAATCGAATGTATTTGGTCGACCAGCATCGCCCACGAAGAACATGCCGGATACCGCGAGTGGCGGTGTAAGTCTCCGACCTCGTGAGCAGTCGCACGAGAACACTATCCTGTCTCGCCCCATCGCCCAAGTCGCGCCGACCAAAGAGCGCGTAGAAAAGGCACTGATCAGGTCAACCTTGGACCAATTAATCGATACACCACGGTCCTGCGATTTCGCCAACGTCAAGCGACGAGCAGAAGCAAAGTTAGGCGTCGACGCTAACATATGGGGCAGCTCGGAGGGTGACTTCTGGTTCAGCAGAAGCAAACAGATCATCAAGTGGACCGTAGAACAATGGCTGGAACGTACCGACAATCCACTTCCTGGAAACGCGACATGGCTTTTCAAGCACTTTCCTGCGGGCAAGTCCACATCATCGATCCTGCGAAAGTCGTCGGCGTTGGAGTGGAGGATTCAGGGCGAGCCGGCGTGGCAAACTCTCTTCGATCGGGCTGCGGCGAGCTTGGATATTACTTAACTGAGATATCCATGAGGCAGCCGTAGCGGGATCGATTCGACGGAAGGCAATGGGATCAGAGCTGTCGATGTCAAGGATCGTCAAAAACATCAGCGACCTCGACAGCTCTCTTCGTTGCTTGACGGGCGCTTTTGCTGGGGAATAGMGGAATGCGCCATCAGGCGGTCAAAGCAAAACATGGTAACGCTAGTTACTATCAAGGGCTTTGCCAGTCGGATGCTACAGTAAGGGGGCTCAGTAGTCCTTACATAGTAGCTAGCAAATTAAAATGGAGCTCACGGTCGGCATGATTCCATCTCACTATTCAATGTTACACTTATCCGTCATCAAATTTTCTGTCAATTTATTGCAAGACTAGGTAATTTTCAGCGCATGCACCCAAGCCGCTCATGAAACATGTCCTGCCTACAGACGAGGAACCCGCTTCAACCCAAAATCTTCCCGCCACTGATATGCCGGCAACCTCCCAATCTTCTCCCCAAGCCCCATCAACCTCCTCGGCATGAAACGCGGCATAACCATACCCCTCGCGCGAATAGGATCCACCATGGCAAGATCATCCCAACTATGCTGCAAACGGGGATACGGCCAGTCAGCACYCATATGTCCTAGACTACGTCGACGAGGCATACCCAAAGCTCGCTGCATAGGATCCAGACCAGCGTGACCGGGAAGCGACGAGGAAGAGTCCCAGGTTCGGATCATATCCTGATCGAGATTACCGGATAGGACCAGCTCGTTCCTCGCGATTTGAGCGTCGTCTTGAAAGGCGCGATTGCGACTGTAGAGCTCTTCGAAATTTGGGCCGTGGAGTTTGAGCAATTTTTCGTAATTGCTTATGCCGCGGCCCTGATGATTGTGATGGGAAACGGTGTATGGATCATAATCGAAAATTGGGTCGTGATGCGGAGATGGCTGTCGTTGTGGATTGTGTTGTACAAGAGCGTCGGACATCCCGTCATCTTTCTTGACCATGAATTTTCGTGCCCATTTGTGGAGCTCAGCGTGGATTGGCTCTATACTGTGATCGCTATCGTTGTAGAGGATTTTGAAAGCATCAATGGGATTATCGCCTGTCATGTCCGCATTCCACAATTTCTCCAAAGCATGATATTGCATCTCGTCGAACTTCATTTTCTCGGCGGCTTTGAAAACTTTGATGTTGGCAATGATGCTGGGTAATGCCCCTGAAGGTGGGGTTGTGTCGTCCTGAGGAATGTACACGGGAGGTCCTTTCGAGACTCTGGCACCGTTTCTGACCAGGTCGTAGTCCGAAGTCCGGTAGTTCCCCAATTGAATGAAGTCGTATATGCACTTAAACGTGTCGAAGTCACAACGAGGTATCATCAGATCGAATTGACCCAGTTTGGTGATTGGCCTTTCCAGGCTGGGGAACATCAAGCATTTTGCTCTCGGCACCATGATGCGCTTTTCATCCCACAGAAGCTCGACATAGGTGGTGGAAGGGCCTACATGCAGCCTACTATGCTGCACCAAGACACCGTCGGCATTGAGGTCGTAGATATCGATGCCTTTGAGATCCATGTGTAGGTCGATAGCACGTGCATAAGTCTCGACTTGCCAGTTCTTGATCTGCTGCCAGCTAATCTTCCGATTATCATGCATGCAGTGTGTCTGCCCATCAGCAGCGGCAGGGCCGACTGCACTTCCCCGAGGATCGAGCGAGATGTAGGTGTTTTTGGYCTTTGCGGGTGGCATCCGATTGCTGGTCAGCAGGTTGGCTGGCGCCAGTGGAAGACGGCTTTCATACTCGCGCCGCTTATATGCATGAAAGATCAAGCTCAGAACGCCATCGACACACTGCTTCGAAATATCTTTTATTGTGAGCAAGATCACTCCAAAGTGTAGTCCATCCATCAGTCTGCCATCTTGATGGTCGCCCTTCTTTTGCGCACCACAACAGACGAGGAAGTAGGCGTGAATCATCTGATGAATCAAAGCCTCGAGCAAATCGTCGATGTCCGCTTCATCATCCTCGAATGGTGTCTTGTTGAGTTCGATACATATCCGTGGAACTCCTTCTACATTGGGCGCTGACGTGGTACCGGTCGAGCAAGTCGATCGACTTCTCCAACGCAGATAAACCATGTCTTGGAGTTTGCCGCCAAATATGGCCTTGTCGAGATGATCGAAAATGTAGTATGGTGTCTTTGGACTGACCGTGCCAAGCTCTCGAACATGATCAATCGCATCGGCGACTTCAGGCTGGCTTCCAATCAAATGCCGATAGCACCAAGCCGTGGCGTAGTCCAGAGTCCAACCAAGGTCTCCAGAATAAGCAATCTTTTCGTCCAGAAAATCCGAAATGCCATCTAATTTTCTCCATGATCGTTCTTCTCTCGATGGCGGCTCTGGAACATTGGAAGCATAGGGCTGATAGGCAGGGAAGATGTGAGGATAGAAGACATCTCTCGTTCGGCAGGGTGTTGGAAAGGCAACGGCATCACGTCTGAATCGAGGCCAGTCCATATGGACAGTGAAGTAGATAGTGATGACGGTGCTACGCACAAGATGTGACGCTGCAAGTCCTGATGATACAACGGAGACAGTGGATGCTAGAAAGCTTGATATGCGTCCGCCAGGAGCAGGAGCAGGTAGTGGGCACGCAAAGGTGATGCGTTGTTGGCACCGCAGAAATGGGAGCATGWGAAGCTGTTGGGCAGCCACGCTAGGCAAAGCTTGCGGAAGGTGTAGCCGCGTGAAGAAGAGCAGATGGGCCCATAGACCAGCTGATCAGTTATTCGAGGTACCATGGTCCATCTGGTTAGCAGAGAACACTGCTTTGTGCTGAGATTTTGCCCAACGATGAGCCGGAAGGGGTTTGCGCCGCTCGCTGTGCGTCCAAACATTTATTCGATCGTGAAGAACCCAAGATCAGCGTAGGCTTGTTGAAAATCTTCAGATGCAGGGCGACGTCGCACTATCAACCCGGGAGGTGGGTTGAAGCAAACAATTTGACGCGCTTCGACACGACTGCCGTGTACGCATGGAAATGACACCCGCAGTGCCAACGTGGAGGAATTGGGTAGCTTGCCATTTCGCCGCATCTTGGGCACACCTACCTACCTCGTACTGTGGGAAGTTGGTCGAGTGTGCGACCTATCTGCTGTCAACGTGAATTCATTCAGTAGATACATACCAGGCTTCGCCAAAAATCACTGTACCGGAATACGATTATATTTTGTTATGTGTATCCCCAGCGTCTTGCCCGTCAGCGTCATCAGCCAACGTGAGAACAACACCACTCTTGCCTTCGTCTCTCGTCACCGAAAATCGCAATCAATAGCCGCCGGGAGGACCTTGACGACGGTCGTATTCGCTCCTGCCATCTGAGGTGCGGTTGTCCGCGTACTTTCTTCGCAGAGCTTGCAGTCTCTTCTTCTTAGTATGCGCGTTGATGTAAGTTCCAATCACAAATCCCACAAAGTTGAAGAATGGCACCCAGACCTCGTTTGGGAGGAAGGCTTGGGCAAATGCGAGGGCGATTGGAGAAGTGACCCAGCTGACTTTCATGACTGGCATGAAGCCAGCACGCACGGTGGCGCGGATCTGGTGGAACGTACGAGCCCCGGCAATGACGGCCATCGAGGTCRAGTAGACGGCATTCTGGATGGGCGAGATCTGTGATTTGTATCGTCAGTGCCACGCTCTCAATGTGACGAGCAATCAAAGATGGTGCTTACGATAAGGTTGGAGAGGAGGATCTGCATGATCTTGGACTTCAAGCTCGTCCGTCCGGCGAACAGCTTCTGCAGGATTGAGATCATGACATGGCCAAGAGGAGCGCTGATGAAGGCGCCATAAACGGCCATCTTGGGCACACGGCTGGTGAAGTAGTGGCCATGCTTGCTGCGATCCTTGGCGATCCACGATGCGAGGAACTCCTGGAGACCCGCGAGCGAGCCAGAAGTGAGCATCTTGGTGCGAACGGGATCATCTTGGAGCTTCTTCAGGTACCACTGTTACCGCCGTTGGGTTAGTGTCGGGTGTGGGGTGTACAATGGCAGCTTCCAGTCAGATGCGTACTGCGAGGTAGCCGTCAGGCGAGCCGCCCTTGGTGAGAGCATTTCCAATATCCCGCACGAAGCCCTCCTTCCCTCCCTTTGCAGCGTCAAGCGTTGTGCGGATCGTCTCCTTTGCTTCGAACTTGACTTGTGACATGGCTAGCACTTAGCTCGGTGAGCTGTGACCGACGCGCCGAACGTGTTTGCAGGCGCGCAATGTATCGATGGTGATCGGGGGCGGTGGGGTAGTGGCGCAAAGGAGCCTTTAGGTATTGTTGTCGTCGCAAAGTGGTGTCTGGTGGAGCTGAGGTCGCACAGGTCGGTATCGGCCTATGATGAGGACTGGACCACCGCTGTTTACCTCGCCGAGCAACCTTGTTTCGGCCGCTAAACGCGTATCCCCAGCGACGGCGGCGATCTCCTACTGTACATGGCGAGGGTTGATGATGAGGTTTCTCCTCCTTCATCGACATCACTAGWTGATATTTCGCGGTCGCTGTCTGCGCGTCCCCACTCCTCGCGCTGGCAATGGCCATGTCCAGATGAAAGACTCGTCGGTATGGGTGTCCTTCTCCCTACTGCTGCGCTGCGCGAGGGGAGCATCACAGGCCAACATGGCAGAATACCAGAATCAGGCCCCTCACTCATAGTGTGCTGTCTGGCTCCTGTCGCTGTTGTGTRGACGGCTGCTTCCTGCCGAGCATTCCGGTCACGTAGGTTAAGGTGAGGGGAATTTTGAAGGTATTCTGCGGTACGGTAGGTGACGATGGCGAGGAGCAAGAACCAAACACTTGCATTGGTAAGGTAGTGATACAAGGCAGCCATCGCACCTCCGCCCTCGACACCTTGATGCTCGGGCGAGGAAAGAAAGAAGGCGGACGGTGTTTTCTCGCCTCATTTCTCGTCACCAGCAAACCTGCGCTTCTTCTTCTTCTTCCCGCTTCATCTCTTCGTTGTCTTGGACTTTGCGCGCGAGACAAGCAAACACTCGCTTCACCCGTACCGCCCGCACCCATTGTTACAACCAGACGACGGGCGATTCTACATTCTCCCCAGACCCCAATCGCCAATCCCCAATCCACTCCCAATCGCGATTGATCGCGTCTACCACCATTCATTCACTGCCATGGCCATGTCCACTCCGCCACGTGTGCTGAGCCAGCGGAAGCCCACGCCGCCCACGGACCCATTCTGGCAGTCCACCCCACGGACCAACTCTCCCAGCTTGAATTCCCTCAAAAAAGCAATCCAGCAGGTGGGTTCCTCACACGTGCTCATTCACACTTGCACCAAACCTGTCACCCGCAATTAGAATCACCGCAAATGGCTAATCATTCGCAGGCTGTCCCGGGAAGCCCTCCCTCGCTGAATAAGATCGCGAGGGCTGTAGTTCGTCGTCCCACATGCACGCACACGACTATGAACCGGGTGTACGGCGACCATGCCTGTTCCATGTGCGGACACACTCCCGAGATCGGTTGGGTCTACGCTTGTCAGCAGGACGATCAGCTCGTGCGCGAACTGCCTCTGCCTTTGACTGTACCTTCTGCACTACCGGACGGTATCAGCTATTTTGAGGCCATGGCACGGCTGGCCGAGCACATTCACATGAGTGCAAGCATTGTACAGGGCATTAGAGCTGGAAACTACAGCTCGCAGCAGGTCGTCAAACTTCTGAAGCAGAAAGAGGAACTTATCGCGGCCATCAAAATGAAAGAGGAAGCAGCCGCTGAGCGTGCCACATCTTCTGTCAGGTTTGTTGAGAGCGAATATGGCGGCATCATCTCCTCTGTGGGAACATCTGCTCCACTCCACAACGGCCAAAACCCAACTACTGCCATGAAAGCATTGGACACGTCTACCACGGAATCTGTCTCGACACCAGTTCAGCTGACAGAAAAGTCGACGACCAAGAAGCAGCCGAGTGCCAAATGTGCATACAAAGTTTGCCAGACCTGCCGTCCGCTGTTCGAGGACCGCATGTACGCCAGCTTCGAGGCTGTCCTCAATGGCGAGTGTCTGCCATTGTCTGGGAAAGACATCCAATGCCTGCCCGTCATGAACAGCAGAGTAGCTGCAAATTTCGGCATTCGTCAGCCGCTGACCCCGGAAAGCCTCGAGTCGAACAGCAAAGACATCACCATGTGCGATAGCAATGACACCGAAGACGAAATTTCCGTGGACTGGACTCCTACCGAAGCCGGAGATTCATTCTTGGAGCACCTCAACAGCGCTGAGCTCTACCCTTGCCCAGGTCCTCACCAGTGTCCAGTCTACAGCCGCAATTCTGGCTGTGCATACGATGATGGCTTCGATGATGGCCGACGCGCCGTCAACCACGGCTTTACATTTCACACCGACGACGTTCGCATGACTGCAGAGAAGCTGCGCCAGTTACACATGCTCGACACATCGTCGACGGCTTCATCTCTCAGCCTCCCGACACCTCCGTCGGTTCCACGAATTCCACAGCTCTCCACCGATGAGGCATTCGCCGCTACTCTCAAGAAGAAGCTGGGCAAAGCCAGGTCTTCAGATTTCCCGAGAACCACCTTGCGTACCAKAGGTAGCAACAGTAGCTTTGGAAGCGAGGTCGAGGTACAGGGTGGCGTGGCGTTGACTGAAGAATCTATCGGTCGTGGAACGCCCGACATTCTCACCATTGACTAGAAGACTGCAGCACAAGTACAGATCTCTACTCGTACAAAGATACCGACATTTTCGAAGTGTATGCAGATGCCGCTCGGACTAGTAATCGGTGACAAACGTCGTCGATGCAGAGGAGCTCGGGCTTTCCACATCCGGCGCGAAGATAGAGGAAGCAGTACGCATCCGCGACAGACTAGACTAGACTGCACGGTGATGTTGGCAAGGCAGGAAGGACGACATCAGCAGATACACGAAGAAATGATCATGATGGCATGAAATTACGAATAAACGAGTTGCAAATCCATTTTCAATCTTACTTCCATGATAAACTAGAGCTTCCCTGAGCTAAGGTGTCCGTCAAATCGTGCAGTCTCCCCAAAGCCTCGCCACAATCCCAAGGTCACCCGTGCACATTCGATATCGAGCTACTAGTTGCTGTCAGGATTCTCTTCCACCATCTCGTACTCTCCCTCGTCCGACATGTCAAACTCCGACTCGTACGAGGAGTCAGTATACTCCCCGTTGTCCTCGTTTTCATCTTCATCCTCAACCGGCGCAGAGGTCTCGGCTTCATCCTCATTGGCATGACCGCTTGGAGCTGAAATCTCATCTTCACCTTCTTCGGTGCCGACCGGAAGGGCGGATTGATCTTGATCGATGCWTTTCTTCAGCACAACATGCTTCTCCTCCACAGCCGCAATCTTCGCGGCAAGAGCCTCAATCGCTTCGCTCTTGGCGGCCAACTCCTTCTCAGCGGCTTCGTGTTTCTCCGAAACATGGCGAATAATGTCATTCTTCATTGCCAAACCTCTATTCGCTGACTCGAATTTGCGGACAAGGACGGCGTTGAAGCTGTGCTGAGCCTGCACTTCACGCTCCAGGGCGAGGGTCTTTTGAACTTGCTCTTTGTGGGCAGCTTGGATTTGAGTGACGACGGAGTTGTAACGCTCCTGGATGACAGTCGTATTGCTTTGGAGAACTTCATTGCGCTGGGCAAGGGCCGAGATTGCTTCTTCCCTGGACACGGCTTTCTTGGTTAGATCCAAGATTTGCTTGTCCAGTCCGTACATGATCCGCTCGTAGCTTGCGATCTTTAGTTGTAGCGCTTGTACGGTGGAGTCCCGAGCTTGCTGCATTTTGACATCGCGGTCGAGGAGGGATTTGATGTTGGCTTTGTCCTTGGAAATCGTCTGTTCGTGGTCTAGGATTTGCTTCGAGAGTTGCGCGCGTTCATTTTCGAGATTTGCGGTCTCTTCGGCTTTGTTAGAGCATGCTTCTACCAGGAGAGATGCTCTGATCGTGGCAGTATCCAGTTTCGATTCGAGCGTGGCAATTTCATCTTGAGCCTGGTCCAACTCTTCCTCGAGATAGGCGATTTCATCATCCGTCTCAGACTCGTCATCTGCCTCAGACTCGTCATCTACTTCAGACTCATCATCTGCCTCAGACTTAACAATCTCGTCGTTGATATCTTCTTGAAAAGCAGCATCAGAGGATCCAGCGCCCTCTGTGAGAAGAACGGTCGACTCGGCCTGGGAGTCTAGCTGTGCGAATTTGTCTGACACCCTGATCCAATCTCTGGTGCCGATGTGGAATATGATGAACGCGATGAACATCTCGATCAGATAATTGTTGAAATTTCCACACGCCCACATCATGAAAAAGCCAAGGGTTCCATCGCTGGAGATTTCCATTTTAAGTATCGCTGCGGGGAGGCGCTCATCGCCCAAAGAGATGCCGTCGGAATTCTCCCAGTACGACAAGCAGGTATACATGTAGGCAGCTGCGAGAAGCGTTCCCAAGTGAGGGAATTGAGCGGCGATGCCGGAGCTCTCGTGTCCATATTTCTTGTAGAGTAGAAGAGACGTGTAGATGAGGYCAAAACCGATCAAGTGTTCGATGAAGACGCCGTTCTCCTTTACGAAGATATCAGCCCAGACAATGAAGCGGCGGCCTGCCGGAGCCTTGGAGATCACGGTGATAGCGCGTGGGATGATATTGTCCATGTAGTCGGCCAAGCGTTCGAAGTACGACGAGACGCGAGTCCTGAGAGAGTTGATGGTGTCCATAGCGGCGTTGTAGCTAGCACAGTTGGTATGAGATATGAGTGTGGGAATGATCTGGGAGTTTTGATACTAGCGTTGTGAGATGCGTATGAATGAAGAAGGAAAGTCGGGAATCTCGTGGCATTTAATCCGCAGAAAGTGCTGGCGGAATTACCGGTTCATTGAAATATGGAAATGTGCGTCCTTAACTCGGTACCGCAAAGTCTATGCTTGAGCCTGTGCCGAGTTATCGTTTCGACTCTGAACCATTGGGTGGCCATGACTGAAAGGTGTCTTGAGTCTAGGACAAGCAATAGGACAAGCAATAGGACAAGCAATAGGACAAGCAATAGGACAAGAGATCTGCATGCCCATGTGAATCAATCATACGACCGAGCAGCGTCGTAGTTGTGAATGCTTACGGATAGGATAGTATGGCTGGCACATTTCACGAGCCGAGCCACCCGGTTTACAGCTTTCCACCAACAACAAAACGTGGCTTCATGGGAATTGTCGGATGGTGCAATAAATTCGTCGTCRATGCAACTTAGCTTGGTTCGAGCAGATTCATGACGTGGTATGCTTCCGGGTACCCGTGGGCGGTGCAGGCCATACCCCTTTTCACTTTTCCCAGCGCCGCTTACAACTTCCGACGATTGTATGCCCAGTATGCCTTCCACGGTAGCTTCCAATCAGTGACCCTCAACTTGGGGCTGAAAACGTCAAAGTCATTCTTCTGCAACTTGTCAAGCCAGAGCTGGGTTGGGATGGCGGGCATGAAGACTCCAAAGGCTCGTTCAACCTCCTGTGCCTGTGTCTCGACAACCCCAGTGGACGGTAGGTGGATGTGCTCCTCTTCATCTTGGTGCTCGTATTCATGGCCAGCATCTTGTCCAGCATGCACATTGGCCAACATTTGCCGGGCTGTAATGAGATGGTCGTTCGCGCGGGTGGCAACCTCAAAAACAGCATCTCGGAGGCCATGGGCCGTCGCACCGTTGCGGAGAACATCTTCTTCTCGCACGTTGCACTTCGCCATGATATCCAGAGGTAGCATGACTGCGCCCTGGCGAGTTGCGCCAACATCGCCCGCGAACTGGCCTTGGTTGCTGTGCGAGTTGGCAGGCCCAGGGAAGGCAATCAAAGGGATTCCTCGCAGGACGGCCGAGATACCAATCGCCTTGCCAATGTGGGAAGCAATATGGTCCGCCGTCAAGCTCGCCATGGGGAGAGATTGCAACGTCAGATACAGCAGGGTGCTATATGTGTTCTCCGCATAGCTCTCCAGCGTGGCAATGCTCGGGTATGGCGGGTTGGACAAGTACTTTTCTCGCGTATCTATCACACGAGTAAACCAGCTTTTGCTAAACTTGGACCTGCCATCGGTTTTGATTGAGAGTTCCTCTGCTGCTTGGGCAAGGAGCAATGCAATGGGCTGTTTTGGTGGCGTGCCCGCCAGTGCCTTGGTTACGGCGTCCCGCTGGAATTGCAGTCGCATTGCACCAATCGTCGGGGTCGAAGTTGTGTCCGCTGTTCGGGCGACATCGATATTGAAAGCGCGAAGGGCAATGTATGCATTGCGAGATGGAGCAGGGATATAAGGAAGGAGCAGGGATGATGGAGTGTCGTACTTTCTCAGCAGATCCAAACAGTATGCTCTCGCCCGGGTGATCTCTGCAGCGCTGGTCGCGGGCTGTGCCGTCTCATTGGAAGCCCATCGTCTGTGGATGGGAGGTGTTGTGGAAGTTCTTGGAGTGGCGCTGGACGAGAAACATGTTTCGATGCCAACAATCTGGCCGCATCGCCGTCTGGCGGCTGAGTTGATTAAGGATGGCATTTCTCAATCTCAATCTCTGGACTCCCGTCCGTAAGCCCGTGTTATCTCATGTTGCCCTCTGTAAAGGCAAATCCGTGGTCATCGCGAGGCGGAAAGCCGTCATGGAAAGTGTGGTTTTCGGGGACGCACGGACCAGTCTCGTTTTCGCGTCGCGAGCAGTCGCGTCTTCAATTTCCCACTGGATGACACGAACAAGACACGCATCTGTCGACGTCCCACAACGACCTTCATCGCACATGATGGATATCGACGAGCGCCCACACAAGAAGAGGAGGTTCTTCGCGGAAGGAGGTTCGGCCGTCGATGCGCCCTTCAGCTCCGAATCGTCAATTCCCGAAGAATCCAGCACACCTGAACCAAAACCAGCGCAGCTCGAAACGACTCTTGATGGCGTGGCGAACAAGGAGAATGCGTTCGATGCAGACGCCTTCACCAGTATCGTCGGTAGCGATGTCTCGGACCGCGACATTCGGAGTCTGCAAAGCATCCACGGCAGCAACCTGGAGCAGGCCATCAATGCCTACTTTGACGGTTCGTGGAAGAGCAGCGTGCAGAATGTGGAATCGAAGCGGCAGCAAAAGTTGGATGTGGGACGGGACTCGACACAAAACGGCTCGAAGAGTCCTGCTGAAAGTACATCCAATTCCAATGCTACGCCACATCGCCCGGCATTGGAGACGATGCCAAAGATGCGCTACATAGGTGCTCTGGGCGTTGCYGGGTGGACAACTCGTAGCGGCAATGGTCTCCTCAAAACCAATGACCTGGTCAAGATTCAGCGTATTCGACAGCAGCTGCCACAGACATCTGGTAAAGGGGGCAAAGGGAGGGCAGTGTCGCGGCGAACGCAGGATGTGATCGTACGCTTTACCAGCCAGGATGGCACCGAAATTGGTCGTTTGGAGAAAGAGTCGGCTTTGTGGATTGGTGCACTGATTGACCAAAATGTGTGCCATTTTGAAGGCCATTGCATCTTTGCGCCTGACCGCATACGCACCAACGACACTGTCTACCTGCAACTCCGCTGTTTCGTTCCTCGTTCCGTGTTTCAAGCCGGTAACTTCCTCAAACCGAATGACAACAATCGGCAGACAGGACTATTTGAAGCCAAAGAGACCAATGAGGAGAGAGACCTGAGACTGCGCCAGATAGGACTGGTCAAGCTGTTCTCAGAGATCAACTTGCATCCATCGACCACCAGTGAAATGGCCGCGAAGCACAAGCGAGAAGGCATATTACAGGCTGCTGAAATGGCCGAGCAGTCAGATCAGCAAGCAACCAAGACAAAGTCTACCCAAGATCCAGACAAAGAGAACGGTGGTTCCAGTCCACCGTCTGAAGAGAACGAAGATGGAGCGGAACTCGAGCAAGATCAGCTGGACACCTTGTATAAGAAAGCGCAATCTTTCGACTTTGACACGCCCACGGCGGAACCCGCGTCAAGCTTTRTCATGGACCTGCGAAAATACCAGAAGCAGGCTCTTCACTGGATGCTGAACAAGGAGACGCGAGAAAAGGACGAGCACAAGCAGCAGAGCATGCATCCGCTATGGGAACAGTACGAATGGCCTCAAAAAGACGCCGAAGATAAGGACCTTCCCGTGGTCGAAGGTCAAAACTGCTTTTACGTCAACCCATACAGTGGCGAGATGAGCTTGGAATTCCCGGTCCAGGAGCAGACTTGTCTCGGCGGCGTCTTAGCGGATGAGATGGGTCTAGGCAAGACGATCGAGATGCTGTCTTTGATCCACACCCACAAGTCTCCTGAACACCAGAACATCATCGCCGACGACACAGATGTTCACGTTGATGCAGTGAGCAGCCTTGCCAGACAGCCAATGGCATCAAGCACTGTCCGCAAAGCGCCGGCAACGACATTGGTTGTTGCTCCGATGTCTCTCCTTGCACAGTGGGCAAGTGAAGCGGAGAAGGCGTCCAAGGCCGGTACGTTGAAAGTGTTGGTATACTACGGCAGCGAGAAAGGAGTCAACCTGCAGACCATCTGCTGCGGCTCGAACGTAAGCTCGGCGCCAAACATCATCATCACTAGCTATGGTGTCGTCCTTTCCGAGTTTAACTCCGTGACCAACTCATTGGGCGGCAATCGAGCAGCTTCTGGTGGGCTCTTCGGAGTTGAATACTGGCGTGTCATCCTGGACGAAGCACATATGATCAAGAACCGTCAGTCAAAGACGGCAAAGGCCTGCTACGAGATTGCGGCGACGCATCGTTGGGTCCTTACTGGAACACCCATTGTCAATCGACTAGAGGACTTGTTCAGTCTGGTACGCTTCTTACGAGTCGAACCCTGGAACAACTTCAGCTTCTGGAAGACTTTCATCACATCGCCATACGAAAAGGGCGATTTCATGCGCGCTCTGGATGTGGTGCAGACCGTACTGGAACCCATCGTACTTCGTCGTACCAAGGACATGAAGACACCCAACGGCGAGGCACTAGTTCCACTTCCTCCACGAACCATTACTGTGGAGAAAGTCATCCTGTCACCACCCGAACGCGATGTGTATTCTCACATCTTTACGCGAGCTAAGAGAGCGTTTAATGCCAATGTTGAGGCAGGTACACTGATGAAGAGCTACACGACCATTTTCGCGCAGATCCTCCGATTGAGACAAAGTTGTTGCCATCCAATCCTAACACGAAGCAAGGCCATACTAGCTGACGAGGAAGACGCGGCAGCTGCTGTAGATGTAGCCAATGGCCTCGCTGACGACATGGACCTGGCCGAGCTGATCGAACGCTTCGAAGCCGATGAAGGCGAGCAGGACGCCAGCCGATACGGTGCACATGTTCTCAAGCAGATCCAAGACGAATCCGAAATGGAGTGTCCCATTTGCAGCGAGGAGCCCATGGAAGAGCAAGCCGTGACTGGTTGTTGGCATTCCGCGTGCAAGAAATGTCTGCTCGACTACATTGAACACCAAGTCTCCAAGAACGAGGTCCCACGATGCTTCAACTGTCGCGAGCCGATTACCGCTCGCGATGTCTTCGAGGTCATTAAGCATGATGATGACGAATCTGATGAGGATGAGGGCACCATGCAGGTAGATGCTCTCACCGCGGCGATGGATGTTGACAATGGAGAAGATTCGGACGAAGAAGATTTGTACGGAAGCACGCAGACGAAAGGGATTACTCCTTCGGCGAAGAAACCACGCATCACTTTGAGGAGAGTCAATCAGCTTTCGTCGGCGAAGATCACGACTCTCCTTACGCAATTGAAACGACACAAAAAGGCCGAACCGCGAAGCAAGTCCGTCGTCTTTTCGCAATTTACATCTTTCCTTGACATTCTCGGCCCGGCGTTGGAGAAAAACAATATATCCTTCCTTCGATTCGATGGCAGCATGTCCCAGAAAGATCGCGCAAGAGTTTTGACGGAGTTTGCTGAACGACCCAAATTCACGATCCTTCTCCTGAGTTTACGAGCGGGTGGCGTGGGTTTGAACTTGACTTGTGCGAAGAGAGTCTTCATGATGGATCCATGGTGGAGTTTTGCCGTTGAAGCGCAGGCCATTGATCGTGTTCATCGTATGGGACAGACGGAGCCTGTGGATGTGGTTCGGTTTGTAGTCGAGGGAAGTATTGAGGAGAAGATGCTGCGGGTGCAGGATCGGAAGAAGTTTCTGTGAGTGCCTCATTCACGGCTGTGTGGTGAAATTTACTGACTGTGTTACAGAGCGAGCTCGCTGGGTATGATGAGTGATGAAGAGAAGAAGCTGCAGCGTATCGAAGACATCCGGGAGCTGTTGAGCTGAACGGACGGAACGTACATGATTACATGCCTGCACATCATAGAGACGGCAATCTATAAAGCCTAAAGTGAGAAGCTCAAGTCGGAATATACCCCCGTTGGTCCGCTTCTACAGTGAATGCAACGCCAAATGCCTGCGGATAGTCCCCGAGTCCTTCTACTCAGCTATCGCCCTGTATCCTGTTGTCCGATATCGACTTCCTGATCAAACCGCATCAAATTTCTATTTGGAAGATCCACCACAGGGTTGTTGTTCATCCAGGCTCCAAGGTGCTCGGCCCCGGTCTCTCATATCTCATATTGGATTCCATCGTATGGCGTCTCGATTTTGGTATTTGATCTGGCCGATAGACCGGACTGGGAGAAACAATGATCGAAGGGGTACCAGGACTCTCCGTCCTTGTTATAATGGGCATCGTCTCGGAAACACATCGACTCAGACTGCCCTGCAGCGATCCATGATGTCCCGGCGATGCAGGGACCTCTAGAGTATCTCTTCGTTTCGCCACCGGAGATTCGTTGGTATCTCTCCGCTTCGCCATTGAAGTCCTGGTCCTACTCGAGTCTATGGTGCCAGAACGCTGTCTGCTCAGAGCAGAGTGTCCACTTTCATTGGAGTCTCGTCGTACAGATGGACTGTATATTGAGATGGTGTCTGAAAGTCCAGCATTCCTGATGGCTTCTCCAGGAACTTCCGGATAACCAGTTGCGCGGCCACGCCTGAATTCAGAATCGTCGAAGAGCTTTTGTGCTATGTTCCTAAAGCCATCTCCGAATCGCATGAATAGTCGTGCAATGCTTCGAGTAATGCCCGTTCCGTTCGGGTGCTGCTTTTCTTCGTCCATTGCTTCTGCTAAGAGGAGATATGCCGAGCCTAGGATCGCCAATATCGTGCCTGCGATGGGAGACCATTGTCCGATGTTGCCCTAGATTGATGTAAGCCACAGCGAACACAAAGCCACGGATTGACGTACGATGGGCTCTTGCTGATATTGTATTTGTGATGAGAACATGTTACGTTCCCCCAAAACTAATATAGCCAGCACAGCTGAACCAAAGACTACGATCTCGCCATATTCTCGTATGGCAAAGGCGACTCGATTGGGCTTCGCCGCCGTTCTAACGGTTTGTCGTTCTCCAGCTTCTGCATTGTGGATCTCGAAGCATTCGGAATCGTCCGGTTTTTCTCGTTGCAACGATGATCGGGTGGTGTTTATGACAGTTCTAGCTTCGTCGGCAACTTCCCCGTGCTCGGAGTTGGATTCGTCGTCTTGGGATGAAGACTTCCAGATGGATTCCAAGATCTTGAACCACATTGAGACGAGCAGTAAGATGGCAGGTATGCAGCATGCTGCCGCCAGAAGCATCGCAGTGTTGGAGGTCAGCTTGTCTGGAGCTGGAATGATCTAGATAATCAGTATCTGGTACTACTTTCTGAGAATACCATGACTCTCACATATATGTTATCTGCGGAGCCACCACGAATGGGACTGAATGGACCCTGGCCGCGATCTGGCGAGCAGTGATCTAGTCCACAGCGAGTACGGCTGAGGTTGTCGTACGGAAAGCTGGAGATACTCTCAATCAGATTGTTGCTATCGTCGCGCTCACAACGCGTAGATTCGACTCGATAGAATTCAACAGTCAAAGACACCAAGCCTGCAGTTGCGTGAGTTGGGCCTATTATCTACACAGCACTGCTCCTTACCACTCAAGAGGACGAGAACCCAGACAAATATGGTGTTGCGGCCTGGGTCGTTGAAATATGTGCTAGACTGCCGTACTGCAACTGGGGCCGCCAATACGCCTATAGCGCAGAGCTGGAAGGCACCATACACGTCCATATCGACCTACTATAATCAGTCATGGTACAGTCGAAGCAGTGCGAGAATAGGTGACACTCACAGCGCCTGTTGGATCGTTAGTAGAGTTTCACGACCTGTAGAGCGCCCGAGACATCATACCTGGTACATGCACCGCTGCGAGCACAACGCCATGCAAAGCTGCAATCATGGGCACAAGCAGGGCAAGGCCCACGCAGGCGTTTCTCAGCCAGTCTGCCTTGCGTGCAAATACACAGGCGGCCACAAGAACATAGTAAAGAACTCGAGAACCCGGCCCATATTGACTGGATAGAGGCCTTCGAAATTGATAAGCAAAATCACCGCATTGGGGAAGACCTCACTCACCAAGCACAAACGACATTGACGCCAGTACTGTTTAATCCTGCATCTGCCCGAGACATCAAAGTTCCCGCCAGAGCCGTCGGTGAAAGCGCTGGCATCGTGTGGTATGCATGAGATGGCGTGCGAGAGTTTGTCCCTAGTTCTGCGTCCTCTTGGTAGTGTAGGGCTATGCCAGACTGGAAAGCCAGCTTGCGCAGGCCGCCTTCATAGAGTGGCTGCGTCAACGGTCAAAAAGTGGTATTCAAAAGCGCCTCGAACAGATTGTACAGTATGCTGTCTGTAAAACTAGAACTATTGTTTAGTAAACGTCGGCTAGCAGCGATTACACCAATTGCGTGTGGCCGTGTCTCCGCACCACCGGTCAAAGACTGCGCCACGAAGGATGCACTCCATCGTCACGCGCCAGTCATGATGGATGAGAGGCCGCCCGACACGCCTAGCGGGGCAAGATCGATGTGGCGATCATGCTGCTGGTCGTAGACTACGGTGCACGGGTGAAAGTCGTAGCGAAAGAAAGTGACCGTCGTCATTGATGAGAGAMGAAGTAGTGAATTTGATGATTTGCGAATAGAATAAGAATAAGGTAGCCGGGATATTGCCCACGAGTGGAAGTGACGGCCACAGTGGCCGGCGCCCTTTCCCTTTTAMACCTTTCACGTTCGTGCCACGTTATCGCCACGGTCTTAGCATTGCTTTGCTTGGAGCTGGGCGAGACGATACAAACCCACGACCACACCTGACGGATCTTCTCCGCGAACACACTGCCCCACGTGCGCACTTGCCAAATCAGCCAATACAGCAAAAGTCTAGAAGCCGAGCGCTCGGCGAAGCTTTGGTTCTCTCAACCCTTGGACCTATGAGAACACGCGCACGCTCCCCAGAACCCTAATGGTCGCTTCCTCGCTGGGGCTGAGCCAAGTTTCTTCGCTCGCTCTCACTTCACTTGGCTGAGAGGTGGACGGTGCATTACAATATTACCATGAGAAGAACTCGCCTTGCATCACTCGCGGTCGAGTCTACGGATCTTTCGAGCACCCTCTTTGCTCAGACTCAATGGTGATCTGCTCACCCACCGGACCCAACAGCCTGTGCTCAAGCGACAGGACAGTAAGCGCATCATCAGTCGCAGACCATGTCTTCAGAGGCCGTCAACACCGATACTAGCCAGATCAAAGAATGGCGATCAATCGTTACCTTGATCGTGTTTGTGATCACGAGTGAGTGGGTCTTGAGAGTCGCATTCAGCGATGCTAATCCTACGAACTATAGACCTCATWGTTTTGTTCCCATTTCACGTTCCTATATACATTCCAAGGCTCATCTGGAACGCATCATGGGATGCAATGAGTGCTATACGGATAGTCGGCCGACGTATAGAAAACCAGCAAAATCAAACTGACAGTACCGAGGAGATCAGCAAGCCCAGCAATTTCAAGGTGTTCAGATTTCCAATGGACTTTTCGACAGCACCTATCATCGCTGATCTGTTTCTGTTGGCCATCTTGGCAATTGGCAGAAAGGAAGTTCACGACGGGACAGTGGGTGCGGATGGCATCTCTCCAATTGACATCATGGTCTTCTTCCTCACTTTGGCTTATATTGCGATATCCATCGACGCCTCAGGCTTGATTCGATGGCTGGCCTTCAAGGTCCTACAGAAAGCAGGCAAAGCGGGACATCTGCTCTACTTCTACTTGTATGCCTTCTTCTTCGCTTTGGTGAGACTCGGCATCTCTACAGTTCAGAAGATTGAGACGATCGCATACTGACGCATCGTAGGCGACGTTTGCGGGCAACGACCCGATCATTCTCAGTGGGACCGCGTTCTTGGCATATATGACACGGGTCTCGAGCAACATCGACCACCCGCGAGCATGGATATATGCACAATTTGCAGTGGCTAACATCGGCTCGGCCATTTTGGTATCTTCCAATCCGACCAATCTGGTTCTTGCGGGAGCGTTTGGAATCAAGTTCATCCACTATACAGCCAACATGATTGTGCCAGTGGCTGTCACGGCGATTGTCATCTTTCCTTTCTTGCTGTACATCGTGTTTCCTGGCGAGGAACTCATTCCGCGATCGATCAAGCTACATGAGTTGCCAAATGAGATCAAGAACAAAAAGCCTGTCAATCCAAACATTCCCAATGCTCGCGGAGTGTCAGATGAGGAGGAGACGGACGACGAGCAAAACGCCACGCTTTCCTTGGAGGAGATCATGAATCCTTTCCTGGACAAGAAAGGTGCAGCATTCGGCGCCATCATCATGGCCGCCACTTTGATCACAATCCTCGCGGTGAACGCATCTAGGCAGGAGGGTCATGGAGGATTTCAAGYCTTTTGGGTCACACTTCCTGCCGCATTCATCACGCTATGCTGGGATCTTGCCTTTGGCTGGCTGAATCGAAAGGATACACGCGAGATTGCCCGCAAAGGCCGAGAGGCCATTGAGATTGCTCATGCTGAGCGGTTGTCGCGGAAGGAGAAGCTTGATAGAGAGAGCTCGGACGAGAAACACGCGCAAGTCATGGAGCGTACGGAAACTCCCGATACACTCCCAGGTGTAACCGAAGAAACTCTGAAGAACGACTCGTCCGCAAGCCACGCAGAAGGCCTGGGAATCCGGGACACAAGCATGCAGGGTGCACATCCGGTTTCTGCAGCATCTACACCATCAGGCAGAGATTTACCCACCGATCTTGATGAGAAAGACGAAATCACAAGTCATAAACGGATATCAGCCAGCAAAACCACAGAGTCAAGTCCTGTGAGCAGAGACGTTGATGCGGAGAGAGCGGTACACAACACAAAGCCAGGAGCGAATACCCGTGAACGTACAACACTGGCATCTCTGATTGCCAACGAGTATCGCTGGCTACAGGAGACATTCCCTACCGTTATGGCTGTACTTTCACATTTACCCCTGAAACTTGTGCCTTTCGCTCTAGCAATGTTCGTACTCGTTCAGGCATTGGTGACCAAAGGATGGGTACCCGTTTTCGCGCACGGATGGGGCCACTGGGTAGACAAGACAGGGACTATAGGCGCAATTGGCGGTATGGGGTTCTTGGGTGTGATATTGTGCAATGTGAGTATTCCTTCCCCAGATTTGCAATGAAAAGCTAACAGTTCCTTCCTACCTAGTTCGCCGGCACGAACATCGGCACCACCATCCTTCTCTGCCGTGTAGTCCAAGCCTGGGTCGCCATCAACCAAGAGAACGGCACTTCCATCTCCCAGCGCACATTCTGGGCAACCGTCTACTCCATGGCCATTGGAGTAAACTACGGTGCCTTCTCGACGGCTTTCAGCGCTTCTTTGGCCGGCATGCTTTGGAGGGATATCCTCTATCGCAAACACATCAAAGTCAGAAGTCTGGATTTCGCGAGGATGAATTTGCCGATCATCGCCGTTTCGATGGTGGTTGGGTGTGTCGTGCTTGTTGGAGAGGTTTACATTACGAGATCTACGGATGCGTATGTTCCTAAAGCTGTTGCTTAGAAGATATGCGGAGGAATGAAAGTAGAAAAGTTTAGAGGTATTTGATGTACAAGGCAAAAATGAGTCTTCTCAGCTGTACCAAGGATCTTCATGTGAATGACATACTCTCTGCACGCGAATGGGGGGCATGGTGCGGCGGTAGAATCCACGATATGTCAAATCTATGGCTTACGAAAGGGGTATCTAAAGGTCCTCGACTCGAGAAAAGATCAAGTCGCAAAAATCATCAATCATCATCTATAACTCCAAGACTTCTCAAACACATCCTCGCAGATGAATACCAAGCCTAGAAAGGAGGCGGTGTATCGATCAATAGTACGCGGTCTCGACGACAGCCTCCTCGTTGTCGTCACCAGCCGGTTCAAATGACTGCTCCGCCGAAAGGACTTTCTTCGGCTTCCTAATCTTGAGAGCGCGGTACTGCGTCTCAATGATATTCCTGAACGACTCAGACTGCTCATTGACTTTCAGGTGGCACATTTCTCCACCCGCAATGCCAAAGAGTAGCTGGTTGCTTGTATGTGGGAAGCTTGCAAGCGTGGACGCTTTCAACTTATCCCAATTCGACAATCCCCTGCCTTGCCTCCTCAACCATTCAATCGAGATGTCAGAGGTAGGGTCTTCTGGCTGTATTTCATCGTATAGGTTGCGCATTCTTTGAAGTTGGATGTCCCAGGAATATTTGTTCACGGTTGATGTCCACTCAGTCTTCACGCCCAGCAGTCGGTCTCTCAGACGATGGATTTCCTTTAGCGGAGCAGATCGGGGTGGGTATGACTCGATTGTCTGATTGTAGAAGCGTGCGAGGTCGGGGTCGTAGAAGTGAGCCTCACCAAGGATGATACTCGCACGTGCAAGCGCATCCTTAATGATGGGTTCCGCGATCTTGAAAAACACAACATCGATAATGTTGTCGGTGACCACCCCATCTCCAACGACGTTATCCCAGCCCAGAGTCTTGTCTTTGTCCGCCCCTGGAGCGACCCTTGTAATTTGGTAATATGTCGGGTTCCGCAGGTTTCGAAGATTTTTTGGAAGACTTCTCGATTTCTTATACTGCTCGAAAGACTTCATATCGTAGTCATAGCCCGCCTTGTCGGAATCAACTAGGTAGTCATGGCAATGCACCCAATTGATGGCCTCATCGGATCCGATTGGGCAACCATTGTAAACAAGCCGCTCGTGATACAAAGTGACGATTCCAAGCATGTTCGTGGACAATCGCTTCAGAGAAAGGTCGCCCAGCCAAGTAGACCATTGCCGGTCTGACCCAGGGTCCTGAATGTGATCACAGAGAAGAGAGCAGTCCTTCTTGATGCCGAACTTCTCGGGAGGCGGCGTGACGAAAGGCGCCGGAGCGTTCTTGAAGTCAGCAACCAACTTTTCTTCCCAGCATATCCAGAAAGAGTCGCCATCGTAATCACCACCTTGCATTTTGTTCGCTAGAGGTCGCATACCCTTGGCAGAGAAGAACACCATGCCAGGGAAGCGAGCTAACTGCGGCTTGTAGACACACCGGACTTTCTGAATATCCCATGGTGCTAGCGCTGGGTTACGTGCAACAAGTACGTCGGTCTTATCCAGGAAGCAGTACTGCCCATCGAATTTACCTCCAAAGTTGATGCTTATCTCACCGGGCTCCAAGCAATTCTCGGGATCAGCTACGCCCCACAGCGTCGTAGATTTCGGCAGCAGTATTGAGAAGTTGCGATTTTTGAGGTCGAAGATCTGAGCGGCAAGCAATTTCAACTCACGAGCCAGGAAGGCGTTCACCTTGGGATCAAACCCTGCCTCCAGCATCTGGATCATTCGCTCTTCCCGAGAGATTGGGAACCCTGCAAGAGTCTCTATCTCGCTATCGCGACGCAGCGACTCGAAGAACTCCTGATGACTTGCGAACCATTGCCGAATCGGCAGTCCTCCAGGCTTTTCTAGCGCCTCGAGAAATCCGCCCAGCTCCTCGTTGACCTGATTCGAAACTACTTCGCAGATAGCTTGAACAGACACTCCCCGATCGACGAGGATCGGGAGGAAGAGCACGTGCAGAATGGATGGCCTTCCGCCAGGATTGGCTTTCACAACACCCACGGTGAGAGTTTCGTCATCACAGCCTTCGAGAGAATCTCTGAGAACTTTCACCTGGCTGTTAGCCAGATGAATTAGCGGTCCTGGAGGCTTCCCCGCAAACACGACATCACTGGCATTGTCAATGTACCATAGCCCTTTGGAACCCGCGGTGCGGATCTGAAGCACTGGCGGTATTTGGTCGAGGCCGACGGCTTTGGCATACTCCATGGCAATCCACCGGGACATGACACAGCAACCATCGCTCATGACTGTGTTTTTGTCAAACTTTTCCTCGAACCGATGCTTCAATGTATTATCTTCGAATTTGCGATCATCGGGATCGTGCGTAGCAAGCTGGTCCTGAACTCGATAGGCGATCTCTTCCGGCTTAAGGACGGCCGCTGGTACTGTACGAGACAATGCCAACTCTAGCCTCATATACGCCTTTCTAGACGACTGCTGTTTGTTGGTGTCAAATGGGAACCACCACTGTACAATGTCGCTGATGCTCATGCCTTCYGGCGGAGCAACGAGGGTGAGTGTTGCTATACTCGAGCTTGCCCGCGACTCGGACGTATTGTTCTTCTTGTTCGGCTTCAAAAAGAAGAGATGCCACGTTCTGCCTAGGAAGGCATGAGGATGTTCGATCCAATCACGGAACTGTGACCTGATGTCTCGATTCTTGAAACGAGCCGGTGGCTTAGCAATCTCAGGCATGTCCACGTAGAGCACCCGATCTGCGCCCAATTTACGCTGCAGGCTGCAAGAAGTGTCTTTGCGCTGCAGTTGCGGTACCAGAGTGAAGACCGGTCCGTCTTTTGACTTGGACCATTCGAGCTTCGCGCTCCTGGTATAAATTTCCCAAGGCTTCAAAGTTCCCCCTTTCGTTCCCTCCCTAGGTGGGTGCTGAACGGGGATCTGACGCTCTGWCACAAGCTCGTACAGAGACTCGCATGTGCGTACACCCCACTCGGCATCAAGAACTTCGGGCGAGATAGCGCCCGTTTGTAAGACACGTTTAACTTCCCATTGAAGATTGAATGGTAGACTCCGGAACTGCCGTGCAAGCGCCATCTGTACCAAGCCAGTCTCACATGCCTCTGTGGGCATCACATCAATTCGTTGTTGTTTGCAGGGTCCTTCATGATTGTAGATGTCTGCATTTACAACAGTTATGCGGGTCTGGGCATCCTCAGCGAGCTTTACAAGCTGTCGCTCTTCATCTTCATTCTCGTCTTCAAATACGGTCATGATTGTATCCCGTCGCTCGCAACTCTCCGCGTGGAAAATGTCCGCACGAGCCTGATACTCATCTGCGGTGTGCGTATCGATTGACGAACAGTAGAACTCGGACTCTCGGGAGCTCACATTACTTTTGGCTCGTCGTGGTAAGTTTTGAGAGTTCTTCAGCGTGGCGTCAGACTTTTGAGAAGATTCCAAYCGTTGTAGCAAGCCGATTGCTTTCTCCGAAGAAAGCACAGATCCATAATCAGTYGACTCAGTGGGATGTTCATCTTCACTAAATGACGTAGTCTCTGTGTCAACAGTTCTCTGTGTGGCCTGGACATCTGACCAGAAGGACGTCTTATTGAAAGAGGGATTGCCCTCTGTGTTTGACCTGAATGACACCACTGGTGTTGGAAAATTCAATATCGCTGGTACTGGCTGAGGTGGCTTGCTCATGGCTTGAGGAATGGTCGTTTGTACCATGGACTTTTTCGCGGAGCGACGTTCTGGTTGCGGCTGTGATGAGGCTTTCACTTCWGGCGGCTTGGAGTAAACATGCACAGGCTTCGAGGTCCTGAAGGCCTTCATTAGGCCTCTAGCACGTTGCGATGGGGATGCTGGCGATGAAGGACCAGGTCTATTTTGCGCGTCCTCAACATCGCCAGCGTCCTTGAATCGCTTTGCACGCGGAGTCCGGCTCAACTCCTTTTCCTGGGCAGCTAAAGGCTCAATCCTGGCGAGAAGCGAATGCACACGTTGGGAAGATGGCGTGGATGCGAGCTGCGACATTGAATCGTTGACAACTTCATCCAGCTTTGATTTGTTCCTCCACCAGAGGAATTTGTAAGTTCGCCAAAGCAGGCTGTCATACTTGGCAGGCGACCTCCTATGGTCGGATGAAACGTCAAGTGAAGCATCATTACAGAGCTTTTCAAAATCGGTCTCCAGAAGTCGGGTCTCGTCGTTTGTATCGAAAGGTGAGGGGTCTTCGGGTCCTAGAGAACTCTTCCGCTTCTTCGCCATGACATGGGCTCCTGGGACTCCGAGAGTGGAGCGGAATATAAGCGCAGCGTCCACCGGAGGTCAACAGTGATTCCAATGGCCTTGAGCTGTCGAGTTCATATAGTAATGCCTGAGGAAACAATGCTCAGAGTTGGGGGAGGTTCAGCCGGTGCGCTATGGGAGGAATGCGGCCCGGGCGCAATTCTGCGATTGGCTGGTGCAGGCAGGGGTTGCCAGGCCGCGAAAGTCTGCAGCACGTCGCGCGACGCGGACGCGCAGTCGTAAAGTGCTTGCATGGCCGCGGTTGAGCCGATTGAAGATGAAAACGAGCATGGGGCCGAGATGAAGTGAGCTGTCGAGGGTTGATGTCGGAAATATAGAGTACCTTAGGTTACTCATCACTCAATGGGACCCTCGGACGGAACGGGACTGACGACCCGCACGTGAAGACCAAAGGGTCCGACATGACTCGAGGGGAGGAGAGAGAGAGACATCATCTGCTGCCCCACATCCCACTCCGCAAAAGGATCAACCATCACACGGGTATTTTGCCTTCGAAAATATCCAGCAAGAAGTCTTCGCCTTCTCCAATTTCACTTTCTCTCCCTTGGCATTTTACATCCTTCGCTCAAGTCTCACTAAGGTAGGTGCGGACTCTACGAGGTCAACCAATGCAAGCCCTTCGATTTCATATCCGTACAGCTTCCCTTCTCCTAAGCTGTAACGTATGGAATGGATGGACGGTATGGCTTCCTTATTCGGATGGCTGCCGTTCATGTAGACTTCTCCGAGCCAGAAGAATCGGGGTGAATAGGAGCGTTCAACGTCCAAGGCTAATATCACAACTTCGAGGAGTTGTTCAGGATTGCAATGGCCAAAGTCCTGCGAAATCAGCACTGAGTCTGCATAATCGTTGACAATGTCAGGTCCTTGGGCGTCGGAGCAGTCGATTCTAGTGAGGTTCTAGGTGCAGGCGCGTCGTGGGGACTCGTCACTGGGTATGGCTGGCCATATTGGTAAATGTTGGGATCTAGGAATCCCCAGGCCCCGAAGGAGCTGCAAATCCTTCTCTGATGGAGTCATTGAGACCAGTGTTCCTCCATATAGTGCAATCATTGGCGGTTGCGTTCAATGGCTTGTGGTCAAAGAGTTTGGGGTTCATCATTAACGACGCTGGAGGATCGTCAGCATGATCAGTCCGAGTATTGGAAGCTGTTCAAAACACAAGTTTGTGTCGGTTCGGTTGGCTTGAAAGCTATCGAGTTGAAGGAGACGGGGCTATGTAGGCTGTCCGCGCACAACGAGCACCAGAGAAGAGAGCTTCGTCGGGAGATCCGGCCCAACACGTTACTGAGACTAGGGACGCCGACATCGAGCCAGTCTCCTTTAGAATCCCTGGAAACGATTTCACTGCGAGTGGGAGCAGCTGAGCATCGCATTGATGATTGGAAGCAGCCGGGAGAGCGGAATTGAGGATGTTGATCATGATGTACTGGCCTGTTAACCGCCAGTTAACGGTGTTACAGCTGCCCATGTATAACGTGACGATCCCGTCTTCACCCTGAGCGCGCGTGTCCGTAGCCGCGACAATAGCGAAGATGTTGTTGGCCGGGACAATCGTCCAGGTCATGGCGGTCACGCATGACATGCCAGACTGCCAGCCTTGAATGCGTGACCTCCTGGTCAAAGGCAGGCCGTCGGTGAGACAGTCGTGATGGCGGGGGAAATACTCATCGGTTTAAGCCCATCTAAACCGTCTGTGTTAGATTCGATTTCGTTCCAGGAGTAGGGTCTCGAGCAGATTCGAAAGTATATCTCCACTCACCATCTCTCTTCGTGCTGACGGGGTCGCTGCTCTCTTGATCTTGTTCATTTGCCTTTACATTGCGTAGTAAAACCCGGACAAGTCGCTCTGGGACCCGGGGACTGTACTGCCCGGCTCGATAAACCACTCCGAGATCGTTGGATTCATGACAATTGTGTAGCTGTTTGTGTTAGCACGAGCGAGCAGTTCAAGATCAGAAGTAGAAACTCAGACGGCAAGTTAGCCAGGCCGACTGCTCAAAGTTGACGACTCTGATAATCGGAAGATGGACAGGCAAGACAGCAGGAGCATTAATCATGGCCCCTGTTCAAGATTGGAACTCTACTTGACCGGTATGCCAGACTGTACTCTTGCGGCTGGAACGTGTCATGCGTCGTACCGGACCAGACAAAGCGTTGCCTTGCAGTAGTGCTCATCGTTTTTCCGGCCATGTCGCACATCAAGGATATTCTCATGTCTCTCCGTCGCACTCGAGCACTTGTAGGGTATGGAGGCCCTCTCATTGCAAAATCTCGACGTTCGGGTGAAGTGCATCTCAATCCTGCAAGGAAGACGGCCATCACCTCTTAGCAGCTCCCAAGGATAGCATCACCATAAGAGAAGACAGTGAACCAGCCTGCATCAGATTTCAAGGACAGGGGATGAGGTGAGAACAGAAGACATGGCATAGAAAATTGCAGTAATTCGTGCATCGTATCGGGCTTGTATCATGGCCTGTAGACGTCAAAACCCCATTGCCATGGCAAGGTGGGCCKCTTTTCTTCCCAAACTCCTCGTGATGATTTTGTAGATGATTTCCACGCTCAAACCTTCTCCTCCTTGACACCGTGCTTCCAGATGGTAACGTATGGTGTGGTACCATCCTCGCGGTAGTTGAGAAGGACGACCCTGAGATGAAGGTCAGCATGGCGAAGAACTGTCCCGAGTATTCCGAATAACTTACATGCCATCCGGGTCCATGCTCTCGCCAATGTAGAAGTCGTAGTCCTTGAAGTTGCTAATGATCTTCTTGGCGTAGGCACCTGCACCGGTCTCAAACTCCTTCACGGCAGCATCATCGGCACCGTTGGCCTTCATCTTCTCCTTGACGGCCTTCATGTAGCTCTTAAGGTGGCTGAGGTATGCCTTCTTGTCGAACTGGGTGCTAGTCAGACGGAAGGAGTGCACGACGTCAAGGACAGTCTGAGCACCATCCTCCGTGTCCTCGGCCGCCTCTTCAGCAGACGCATTTGCGCCGGTGTTGACCTCGACGGCACCGAGGGTGATGTTACGGCAGTCAGCCTCGAAGACCACGCCGTCCACCTCCTTGAGATCGAACGAGTCGGAGATCAGCTCGTCGCCGGTGATGATGTCCTAGAAATCCATGGGTTGTCAGTCGAGGTCACAATGCAGCGCGCGGTATTCGAGGCCAGATTTCTAGCCGTAGAGACTCGACATAAGTCGCCGCAGTGGATGGGCATTATTACCTTGTAAATCAGCATATTTGCGATGTCGAAGAGATATGCAAAGAGGTTGTCAGGAGAAAGAGTGTGGATGTGGTGGTGGAGACGGTGGTGGTTGATATGTCGATGGAAGCGGGGCAGATGGGAAATTTGTTGGCCCGCGCAGGAAAGAGTGAACAGCCTGGAGAGAAGAAGAAAATGGTCTGAGCTTGCGCTTGTGTGACAGAGCGCACCACCACCACACGTGCGAAATTCCTGCAAATCTTGAATTCCGATCGGCTTCTGACTTTCTCGTCTTCTTTCCTTCCCACCACGACATCCATCCCCCACGACTGAGGTATGCATATCACATTCTCAGGTGCCCTTCAGGCTGCCAGGGCGCTGCGCTCATCGTTCGCACGAACCATGACACCGCAGCGCCTCGTCCGACCGAGCTGAAGAACCCCTCTCGGTGCTCGCGCATCTGATGGGCACCTTTATGCTCGATGGCTCCCGAAGGCTAACAACATATCCCTTGTGCAGACACCTCTTGCCGCACGCAGCGCCCAGAGAATCTCATCAATACCGCCAAAATGGTCAAGACTTCCGTGCTCAACGACTGCCTCAATGCCATCAACAACGCCGAGAAGACCGGCAAGCGCCAGGTTCTGATCCGCCCGAGCTCCAAGGTCATCGTCAAGTTCCTCACCGTCATGCAGAAGCACGGTAAGTCGARTCGAGGATATCAACACATGAGACACTTCAGCGCAAGAGGAGGATCAGATGCAGCATGCGAGGCGCATTCATTCCACACACACCCGGGTTGATAACTAGGCAATGGTCTCACATCTCTCCACGACCAACGCCCTTTAAGTTCTCGGAAGATTGAGACATTGGCGGAGGATCTTACACGTCTTCGGATCTACCGGCTGAAGAGGCACGTTTAATCACTCGCGACATTCACTGACATGCAATGCGCAGGCTACATTGGCGAGTTCGAGGAGGTCGATGACCACCGCAACGGCAAGATCGTCATTCAGTTGAACGGACGGTAAGTTGCTGAYGATGCCCACTCGAGCATGCCAGCCACTAATACCAAATTCAGCCTCAACAAGACTGGTGTCATCTCCCCACGCTACAACGTCCAGCTCAACGACCTTGAGAAGTGGGTCGTCAAGCTCCTGCCATCTCGTCAATTCGGCTACATCGTCCTCACCACCTCTGCTGGTATCATGGACCACGAGGAGGCCCGTCGCAAGCACGTCGCCGGCAAGATCATCGGTTTCTTCTACTAGAGATTTGATGACTGCATGGTCTGCACGCATGACGGCGTTACGAATGGAAATGAGCGAGCATGGCGCGGCCATACCAGCTGTAGCAGCTTGCAAATAAAAGTCGATTCGCTTTCATGTTCAAGTCTTTCAGGTGCATCTGCTCCTTTGTTGATTGGCCCTCTTTGTGATCTYTCTGATGTTTATGTCAACCTGGAAGGGTCTGGGCCGCGACCCTCTTAGAAGAAGGTTAGCACGTGTCGTATCTTGGTCAAATTTTGGCCAACATTGCCGCTGCCGGTGTCTGTGGGCGATCACCCCACCGCATGTTTCATAGACCATGAGTTATATCGACATGAATGCCCAAAGCACAAAGTTAGGCGCTTGTATATGGTCTGGAGAGGCCGCCGGCTCCTGTTTCACAGCGCGGATCGCTCTATACAGGAGGAAGAGCAAAAGAACCTTAATATGGACCCTCCAGCTATAAATCCTACGCAATTGCAAATTCCACCGCCGCGGCTGAGCAGCGAGAAAGGAATGGTGGAAATCCAAAACGAATTCTTGGGACACTATGTTAAAAATGTCAAAAAACATGCCGGCATCCAGAATTGAACTAGAGATCTTCGCATTGCTGTGTAATACAAGTGCGACGCGTTACCACTGCGCCATGTCGGCTGGAATCGGGAAGCTGAGCTTCCAGTGGAATTCGTGAGAACTGATGGTAGAAGCGGCCGCTATTGTTCATATAGCATGAAAACTTTTCTCCGATGACGTATGTCAATATGGCTACCACACTCCAACTTCGTACATCGCTTCAGCTCCGACTTCAATTTCCCCTCGCCATCATGCTCACCTCCTCCTGCCATTTGATATCCGCGTTGATAAGGGCGCCCGCAGAATGATAAATACCGACAATATTCTCATCTTGAACGATCAGGATCAGGATCGCAAGAATGTCGTTCGCCCGATCCACAGCGCGACGCTATGCGACTCATGGCCTTTAACTCTCGGGAGAGCGTAATGTGGCATGCCCCAAAATCCAGACCCTCACCTAACTATGATGCTATCCACATTACTCGTGATCCTGGTGTCCAATCTTTCCCATGATTCCACTCATGAGGCCTGCCGGTGTCCACGCAACTATCACAAGTGATATAGGCACATTCAATGCCCATCATCTCCTTCCCTCGTGAACCACTCTCACGCTCCTAGGCCAAAGCATCTCCCCGTCTCCCCGACAGGCAGCCAACATGGCCGCTTCTCCGGACTCTCTTGGCTCAGTCTCCCGCGATGAGTCGCCGGCATCGATATCCTCGCCCGCAGACAGTACTTTCAGCCGCGTCGGTTCGCCCGGTGGGACAATGTCTCCAGCAAGCAGCATGTTCAGTCTGGAAGATACATCCCAACAGGGAAAGTACAGAGCACCAGGTCGCATCGGAGAYAGCAATCTCAAGCTCTTTCAAGATCCCCGGTAAGTCCATCGAAGGGGAAAAGGGATYTAGGGTACTGTGAAGATGTCTCTAGATTTACCCAGGCTATGGGCCACATCGGAATTGTGTGAGACGTCGCTGACCCCTCAGTCTAGGGCACATCCCAAACTGGTAGAAACCTTTCGAGCCTTTGGAATGGATGGCAGCCAACCTGATCCATTTGCCAAGATGAAACCAGAGGATCTCTCATCCACGGGTCAAATGGCGCAGAATCATGTGGATACTGCCACAATGTATGAGATGCTACCGAATGACTTGCCAGAGGACGAAGACGAACCCGAGGTCAAGAGGTCTACCATCAAATTCACCTCATTCGATGGGGCGGAGAGAAAGCTGTATGTCTTTCGACCTGCAAATGCGGAAGGACCTTTGCCTGCTGTAGYGTATACGGCATCCGCGGTAACCATTCTGGAAACCGCAAATAAGGTAACACTCTCAAACCTCTCGCCATTTGTCTCGAGCTTACATATCTCTAGGTACACTTTCGATGGTGCACGTCCCTCGCCCTTCACGGCCTTACAGTAATCGCCGTCGACTTCCGAAGTGCCTGGGAAAAAGGTCGCCACAACCCTTTCCCAATCGGACTCAACGACTGTTCCTCCGCTCTCGAATACATTGACTCCCATAAAGAAGACCTCGGAATCGATAAAATTGTGCTTCAAGGAGAAAGCGGCGGCGCCAACCTCGCTTTGGCCACGGCGATCAAAGCAAAGAAAGAAGGCTGGATCGAGAAAATCTCTGGCGTGTATGCCATATCCCCCTGGATCAGTAACGCCTACGGCTGGAGCGATGAAAAGAAACTCGAAGAGCTACCCAGTCTTTTCGAATGTGAGGGTTACTGGTTATACACTTCCATGCTCGCCGGCATGGGAACCTGGTACTCTGGAGAAGACGACCAAAACCCTCTCGCATGGCCCTACCATGCGAACGTGGAGGACTGCGTTGGTTTACCACCTCACATTTTGACGATGGATGAGCTCTGTCCGCTCCGAGATGAGGGAATGGCATACTACAGGAAACTCCTGGCTGCGGGCGTGCAGGTCAATGCTTCTGTCAATTTGGGAGTGGTTCATGGCTCTGGACTTATTTTCAGGAGGTTGTTGCCCGAGATTCACAACAAGGCTGTCCAGGAGATTGCCTCTTTTGTGAAGGGTCTATGATGATGTATGATGGGAGGAATTGTTGTCTACAAGCGGGGTGTCATTGGTGTTTTGGTGGTCAAGGAGGGCGTTATATCGATTGTCTCTTGTAACATTGTAGAACGTTCTCTTCGAAATAATGAATATGAGAATCAACGTCTTCAGCTGCAGAAGGAATCCAGACATCATCCTCACTAGTATTTTGATCAGTGAGAAGATTGAGACACTCTTAAGACCTTGATGCTCATGCCATGCGATTAATAATTGTATTCATGCTTATAACTTCCATTTCGCCACGCTGTGATTCCGAGAAAGGGTATCAAAATCATTGCTCCACTCCAAGCCATTCCATGTAATCCCAAAACTGTTGTAAACGTCTCCCGCTTGCAGACTAGCAGCAATACAGAGTACTACCCTTCTATCTCCTTGGAGGCTGGGTCCTGCTTCCACCGCTGGAATGTACACCAGCACGCTCTCCACCTCTGCGCTCCTCGGTAGCATAAGCCGGACGAGGTTCATGAAAGCCATCGACTCTCGACGGTGGTGCTCCCGCGGAATGATATCTGTCATCCTCCACATCACTGTCTTCAAAGACCGTAGCCGGTGGGGGGTCATTGGGCATGTAAATCCCCGACTTGCGATTCGTCTTCCGCCTCTCCTTATCCACACCCACGAAATCCCTATCGTCAAACTTGAGATTCGAAGGTTTGTATTTATTATCCAGATGCTCCTCCAACAATCTGAGATTCTTTGTGTTGGCTTTGAACGCCGCGTCCGCGAGATCACCGATGAATGGCACGAGACCGACGAGGAAATCGATCGCGACGTTGATCAGCATGCGGACTACCAAGGTCGTGTCGATTCCACCGTCGAGCTTGCGGGTTTTTCGCACGAGGAGTAGGGCCAGAGCGGCGCCGATTGCGTCTCCGATGGCGGGAACGATGCCGATGACGGATTCCCAGCCGAAACGCATGCCGAAGAGGGAGAAGAGGGAGCAATCGAGGTGGTAGGCGTTTTTGCGGAAGGAGGCGAGGATCATGGCGTCGTTTTCGGGRATGTAGGAGGGGATTTGCTTCTTGACCTTCTTGAGTTTGCCTGGTTTGCGCGGGTCTTCGACCATGGCGAAGTATGGGTCCTGGAGGGCATGTCGTGTCAGTGGGGAGATGGTGGGATTCCTGTCATTCTCCTTACCTGTCCACCCGTGGGCTTCTTGCTCTCGTACTTTGCCATTTGCTTCTTAAGCAGCTTGTTGGCTGCATATTTGCCCACTGCTCCGGCCATGATTGCGTGTTGTTACTTTGACTTCTTCGCTGGGAGTATGATGATGATGAATACCTTCGACGGTCGAATGGTGGGTCTCGTCGATATAAAAGATTTCAAGCGTTGTTGCCAACAATAGCCAGCGGTCGGTGGTTGGTATGCTGGGCGCAGACGCGAGAAATGTGAAACGTCAGTCGGCGGCAAGACAGCTGACTGCAAACGTCGAATGATTTGGCTGGAACAGGCGCTGGGGGGCTGTCTACTTGGCTTATTTATGCGCTACAGTAGAGCTTTGCCTATGTTTCAACTTGGTCTGCTTCGCCTGGCCAGAAAAAGGCTGGAAAACGCATCATCATCATCGTTGTCGCGTGTTGCCGCATCGATCTTGTTTTCTCCCAAACCTTCCTGCTGGCTTGATCGACGGTGAGTGTTTGTTGACGATCCAGTCGTTTGGAAATGACATGCTGCAGCTATTGAGATGGCACTGAACAGCGAGAATTCAATAGCATCCCAATCCATCGACCGCCACAGTCTACACTGCATACTGTACATTGTCGTGGAAGAACAGTCCATTGCCCATCTGCAATCGATCGGCAATGCCGCGGTAGAGGTAGCTTACGCCACTGTGGCGAGTGTATGTGGCAGTGCAAGCCCACTTACTGCACGTACGTGTAAGCTCTGGACTCCCTGGCCCTTGCCATGTGAAGGTACGGTAGAGGTGAGGTCCTGTTTGTCGCCGATCATCTTTGGGGTCCACAGCATTGGTTCGCATACGCACAGCACTCTCCGCCTGCATCTAGCAATCCACCGGATCTTTCCATCTCCAAACGACTTGACCCAGGCACAYCTCAATACCAAGGCGGGAGCCTCCGTGATCTTTCCCTGTTCTGCCCATCTTGACAGCACTCCTGAAGTCCACAGAGGTTTCCGGAACATCAGAAACCAGGAACCACATCGCGTTCCAGCGAAAAGAGAAAAGAGCAGCGCGGGGACAATGAGGGGATGGGTGCGATTGGCGGCATGCTCGCTGCTGCAGTTGACGGCTGTATGGGCTGCGGAATTGAAGATCGTACGTGGCATAAACATCAACAACCCAATAATATAGATGAGACGGAAAACTGAACATGGTGACAACAGGACAACACGGATAAGTCCAGGCAGGTATGCTCGGGCATGTACAGTCGCAAGTCGTGGGGCGGTGATGTCGATCCCTTCATCCTGGTCAAGTTCATCAAACCAGATGACATTCCTGAGGAGGAGGATCCGATTGTCAGTCTGGTCATTTTCGAGTGGACTGATAGACCGCTCATCGGAGCAGAAGTTCCCACTTCGGACGGAGAGGGCACAAGGGTGGGTGCGGAATATTCACTCACTCCTCCTATAATGCTGACATGCTTCTAGACTGAGTATCTCTGTGACGAAGGGGCTCGCGACGCGAAACTATGTGACGAGGCCGATCTAGGAGCTTTCATCCTCAAAGCGAATGCCACCGAAAAGTCCAAATCCCTCATAAGGACAGAGGCGATTCATCTCAAGGACCCGGGTGCCATCAACTATCCCGTCAAGAGAACTGGTTATTACTGCATCAGCACTGCACAATGGAGTGCGGCAGGCTACGAGGGTGTTGCCGAATTCCGCAATGCTTTTGGTGAGCTCCCGGCCGCTCAGATCGCCAAGTTACCCTTCTATGCTATTGCAACACTCGTCTATGCTTTGTTGGCCATTGGCTGGGGTATCCTCTACTGGATGCATCGACGGGACATTCTCGCCGTGCAGAACTACATCACCGCGATCTTGGTCTTCCTCGTTGTTGAGATGTTTATGACATGGCTCTTCTACGACTACCAAAACCGTCATGGCCTCAACGTCGGCGCTAAAGCTCTTTTGATCGTTGTCTCCATCCTGAGCGCAGCAAGGAACTCCTTCTCCTTCTTCCTGCTCCTGATTGTATGCATGGGCTATGGTGTGGTGAAGCATACTCTAGGAAAGACAATGTGGTGGGTTCGCGCTCTGGGCGGCGCACACTTTATCTTCGGCGTCATCTACGCAGTCGCCTCTTTATCCGTCACTCCGGAGAATGCTGGTCCCCTGGTCCTCCTGGTCGTCATGCCTCTGGCGGGCACGCTCACAGCTTTCTACATCTGGACACTCAACTCCCTGAACTACACGATGAAGGATCTTGTCGAGCGCAAACAGCATGTCAAGGCAGGCATGTACCGCAAGCTCTGGTGGGCAATCTTGGCCAGCATCATCGTCATCTTCGCCTTCTTCTTCGTAAACTCATGGACCTTTGCCGGTGGTAGCTCTGCAGCGGACTTTGTCCCCAACCACTGGCAGACCAGATGGTTCATCTTGGACGGATGGCTTAACTTGGTGTATTTCGCGGACGTAGTCTTCATCGCATACGTATGGCGACCGACACCCAACAATAGGCGATTCGCCATGTCAGACGAGGTACGTCCAGAACCGCAAATTCCTCTTTCCCGGCCACTAACATCCTGTTACAGATCGCACAAGACGACGACGGTTTCGAAATCGCTTCCATCCGTGACTCCATGGACATGGACGATGACCTCGAAGCAGTCGGAGGCTCCAAGCAGCCTCCACCATATGATGCACCACGTAGTGGCGATGCTTCKCGGAGTGCAAATCCGATGAGAGATGCATCTCCTTTACCTGCTCCCCAGCCTACGAAGCCCTCACATCTCCCTCGTGAGAGTTTAGATCGCGAGACGATTTTCGCGCTAGGTGATGAAGGTGGTTTTACAGATGATGAGGATGATGATGATGTAGGAGAGTCGAAACGATTGACTAGAAAGAGTGATTAAGGGGAACAAGAGCTTGCCTGGAATGTATAACAATTATTTWGCCGCGAAGCCGTCAACATCATTGTGAGCTACTTTGTGAAAGTGTACATTGTTCGGATGCAAAGGGGCTTGCATCAGGTTCGCGGTCAAGCTTCCATATCTTCTACCACACGTCACATCGCTGTTTGAGTGTTCACGCTTCGACAGCAATGCGAGAATTCTTCGGCGGGGAGCCTCGGACGGCATTAAGCAGGCAATGGTATCTTTTATTCTGCTCTCATCTCTAGTCACGCTCGAAGGAGTGCCCTCTGTAAGGTGCTACCGGACATCAAGCTTTTCCACATAATCATGCATCATCAGAACCACAAAATCTTCAATAGACCGCACATCTACTTGAAGACCTTGCCGTCGGCCCACTCGTAAGGCTTGCCGTTGACCTCGATTGGCTTGTCCCACGCCCACTGGTCGTTGACAAACTCGCGGTCCTCCTCCTTGGTAGGGTCGAGCTTGGTGAACTCGTAGCTCTCGTAGTCGGGAGCGACGTCAAAGGCGGGGAGAGCCTCCTGGCCACGAACGACAAACGCACCCTTAATGACGCTGTCGTTGGCGACGCCGTAGACGGACGCGGCACCWAAGAGGTACTTGCGGCTGCCCTCGAGGCGGGCGAAGAAACCACCGATGAGGTTGGAGGTCATGAAGGTCATGGTGAGCTCATCGTTGTACTTGTAGTCGACCTTGTAGATGGAGTACTCGTCGAACTTGCAGTTCTCCCAGAACCATGGAAGGGCGACCTCGCGGGTCTCCTCGTTGGAGTATTTGCGCTTCCTGAAGGGTTGTTAGCGATGCGGAACGTGGAGCAGGTGGTGTTTTGACTCACCAGTCATCAAGAACAAAGGTGGCCTTTGGCAGAGCCTCAAGCGGGTGCTTGGCCTTTGGCTGCGCTGGTGCCTCGTCCTCCTCCTCGTCGTCCTTTTCAACCGCCTTGGGCTTCTTCTCCTGCTTCTTTGGCTCGGCCTTTGGCTTCTCCTCCTTCTTTGGTGGGGTGTAGACAACAGCCTTCTCGATGAGTGTGGGCTTGCCAGCGACGGCGGTGAAGATGTCCTGGTTGGCGATGGTCTCGAACCAGCGAGTTGTGTTGGGGTATTGAGCGCGGAACTCCTTGTCGAAGACGGTCTGGTAGCCACGGGCAGCAATGCCAGCGGTGTAGAGATCGGCGAGGGTGAGGCGCTCGCCGACGAGGTATGTGTTTACGAGGAGGTGGTCCTCGAGGACCTTCAGGCTGTTCTGGGTGCGCTTCTGAGCGTCATCGACGTTCTTCTTGTTGTATGGGTCCTTGCCAATGAGCGGGCGGAACCAGCCTGCGACGGAGGGAAGGAACTCGGAGGTAGCGAAGGAGGTCCACTTGAGGATGGATGCGTAGTCCTGCTTGGTCTTTCCGAGGAGGGTCGTCTTCTCGTTCTGGGATGTGACTGTTGGCGGGATGTTAGTCGTGCGCGAAAACAGAGCATGTCGTTGCGATGGAAGCTGTGTTTGGAGGGGTTGCAGATCAGAGTGTGAATACGTTCTCAACAGTAGTCTTCAGACAGGGATAACTGAATATTGATCTATCATCATTGCATTGGGGGAAATGGTGGGGAATTGGAGTGCGCAAGGTGTGTCGATGTGTGTGTGTCTTGACTCACTGTAGACGGCAATGGCCAGGGACTCGGTCAGGGTGTATCCATCCGCGCCAACAAACACAGGAATCTTTCCGAGCGAGTTGATCTTGCGGAAGTCCTCGCTGAGGGCTGGGCCGGGCTCAGTCTTGACCAGCTCAATGTCGAGGCCATTGGCTTTGGCGACGGCGAGAATGGCCTACAAAAGGTTGTCAGAGGTGTTTGTGGTTGGGATGGATTGACTGCGCAGAGGCGGTTTCGATGCAACATACCGTGGTGCGAGGGTTGCCCTCGTAGGAGTAGATCTTTCCAAACGACATGATTGTGAGTTGTGCGTGTGGTGGTGTGTTGGTGTTGGATACTGTGAAATTCTTCATGAATTGCGGGCAGGTTCTTGCTCATCTTTCTGTTTCCACGTGAGCAAATGTACACCCGTCGCGGTACTTCTGGTCATTGGGAGGAAATGATGCCCAGCGCAGCTTCGAAGATCTGTTTCTCAGTGCCATTGATCGATCCATCCCATCCCATCTGAGAGGTGCGATGGAGCGCACAATCACCCGCAGTGGCCTCAGCAGGGTTGCTGTCGTCTGCCAGCACCCTGCCAAACGACGCGCCTTTCACACTACCCGTCGACAGCTGGCCACGCCCGCGGACCAAGACACCGGAGCCATTCGTGCAGCGCGGCCCATCCGCTTCGCCTCGGATAATAACCAATTCGCTCGCACTYGTCCACAGGCACACTTCCTCCCCAATCAGGAACGATCGCAATTCCGCCGTGATGGAGGGGGTGGAGGTGGAAGGGACGGCGGCGATCGAGAGTCCGCGGGCCGCCAGTTGCTCCGCCGGGTGCGCATTGTACCAGAGTCGCCATCGTACTTCACGGCCACTCCCAGATATGTCGACGACTTGCTGCTTCTCTCGTCCCTCCTCCGCAAGCATCAGACCCTGCCCCGACTTCCACCAGGAGAGGCGCCGCGTGTCGCCTGGAAGACAATTTCGCAGTACAAAGTGGAGGTGGCAGAGCCCGTACGATCGAAAGGGTATAATATGCTTCTTGCGGTGCTGAAGCGGTTGAACTACATTCATCCTTCCCTCATTCCCGAGGAAGTGACGCAGGCGTTGGAGAAGTTCAAGAGGCTAGTACAGCCTCATTTGAACCAGCCCAAGCCCATCATTGTGGATGCGAGTGGTCGAGCACGTGCGGTTGGAAGGAGAAAGTCTAGCCACGCGGCTGTCTTTGTGGTCGAGGGAGAAGGCGAGTGCTTGATCAATGGACGATCATTGACAGACTACTTTGGTCGCATGCACGATAGGGAGAGCGCCGTGTGGGCATTAAAGGCTACACAGCGGTTGGACAAGTACAATGTCTGGGCAATGGTCAAGGGTGGTGGTACAACAGGCCAGGCAGAAGCAATCACTCTGGGCGTTGCGAGGGCCTTGATGGCCCATGAGCCGGACCTGAGGCCCGCTCTCAGGAGAGGTGAGTTTATATGCTTGTTGCATCCTTCTGACAATGCTGACATCCAATTTAGCTGGCTGTCTCACTCGTGATCCACGAAAGGTGGAGAGGAAGAAGCCTGGCAAGCTCAAGGCCCGTAAGATGCCTGCTTGGGTCAAGCGTTAAGTGTATGGTCATATCTTCAATTGTACAAAATACCCACGATGCTGTGGCGTACCTGCCGCTCATCACGCTTTCATTTCTCCATGAACTGGCCAGCGACTCTCGGGCGAACTTCGTGTCGGATGTCATGTACACAAAATGTCGCCAGTCCGCGGATATATTGAGAGGTGAAAATCACATGCAAAACACCCAAAATATGAGTGTCTCGTTTATAGCGCGCGACCGCGACCGCGCCTTCCCAGTCGAAAGCCTCTTCTTACTTTCCATTTCTCAGGCTCAACAGCTACAACATCAATCAACCAGGAAATAGCGCAAAGACTCCACCATCACCAACACCATCTCATCCCCATCATCATCAGCAAGGAAGAATCAAGAATCAAGCATGTTCCGCCAAATCCTTACGCTCTTCGCACTCATCTACCTTCTCAAAGCCATTTGCCCTGCAGGGATGAGTTTTTGTTTCCATCGCGGTGGAGAGCAGAGCTGGTGTTTACACCTCGATTATTATCTTGCAGCCGACAAAAAACACAATTCGACGGAACAGGGACTGCAGATGGAGGAGCTGATTCGGCGGGTCTGTCTTGAGRGGCTGGAGGATGAAGATGGGAATGAGGATGCAGTGCTGAGTCGCCAATATGCAGCTTGGCTGGCGCGGACTGGTGTAAGTGGGAATGGGGTGGAGGACTGGAAAGTTTGAGAGAGCGGTTTTGGATGGTGAGAGGAAGGGTGGGAGGTCTGTGGAGGTGTTTCGAGTGCTTGTATGGATGAGGTGCTTGGAAGCAGGGAAGAAGAATAGGCCATCAGCACAAGAATGCTTTGGTGGAGGTTCTTGAAGCACTGGGTCTGAAAAATTGACGCCGAGAACAGAACGCAATCCTGACAACCTTTCCTTGAATGGAGGCTTTTCTCGCGGACGTGGATTCACAATCAAGTCGTCTCGAAACAGACTATTGCAGATTCAATGTCCATTGCGACAAAGATATGGATATGGATATGGATTTGGACAACTCAAAATCGTTTCATTCATGTACATCATGCCAAGCTCATCATCATGAAATACTAGGATAGCACCCATACCTCGCATCACTCTTATCCCATCCAATACATCCCCAACACGTCAAAACATTCTTCGGATCCACACTTTGCTTCAAACTCAACAGCCGATCATAATTAGCCTGTCCCCAATAACTATCAATGGGCTCCGGCTCATAAATATCAGCTTCGTTCTGGTATGCTCCAGAATTAGGAGCCACATCCCTCAAAACTTGCGCTGCAGCATTCGCGGTCTTGAAGGCATTGGAAATGGTCTGAGCATCCGCGTCGTTGGCAAATCCCGCTCCCAATACAACGTGCCAGGCGGCACCGTTATCGCCATACCATGCGGGTGTCAAAGCAGAGGAGCCGTCGCCCGCATAACTACTTGGAGTCGTCAAAAGGATTTGGAAGGGCGCCCCATAGGTMAACGCGCGGAGATCGAGTGGGTTTGCTGCGGTGAGCGGTACGACCATGTTGAGAGCCTTCTGCATAGCGGCCGCGACGGATTTCTGGCCAGCAGCAGTCTTGAGCATTCCTCGAGGGATGAATCTTGAACCGATGGCGACTCCCAATCCGACGTGCTCTTGGTTGGGACTGATGTATTTCTCGTAGGCTGTGTAGAAGGATGTCTCGGAGTTGACCTCGTTGTTCAGCGGCAGTTGACCGAGACTGGCGACGTAGTCTGTGAGTGGCTTCATTGAGGCTACTGCCTCTGCGTGGCTGAGTTTTGGGGTCATCAAGATCAATCCACTGACAAGCTTGCCTTGCGCGCCAGGAGCGATATAGCCGCCCCACCCCTCTGAGGCCCATTTGTCTCCGTTCTCGGTGCAGAGTCTAATGAGCTTGTTGACGGAGTCAAGGTCCGCTGACAAGAAACGGATGTATGCGACTTCCAGGTCCAACTAATGAAGGTGTCAGCTAAATCAACGCTGCGAGAGATTGGAAAACTTACTCGAGGGTGAGCTCGTGTTGTCATTTCCATGTTGACACCGAATGTAGATCCGCCACCACCGCGTAGCGCAAAGAACAAGTCCTGGTTCTGGCACCTGTTCGCCGTGACATATGTGCCATTGGGAAGGACTGTGCGGATCTGCATCACGTTGTCCACTCCAAGACCAAGTGTGTTCGAAAGAGCACCATGTCCACCTCCACTAATCCATCCGCCCACCGGTCCGACCGTCTTGGAACTTCCTCCTACCACAGTGATGTTGTTGGCCTCTGCAAATTCGTACAGGCCGCCGAAGCCTTGTCCTGCTCCAAGCGTTACAGCGTCCCCTGCGGGAGATGAGCAGCCTTCAGGGGTGAAGTCTCGTGTCAGCTTGATCGCAGGCTGTACGTTGTGGGTCCAAAGTCCAAGAGCATTGGGTCCACTCGATCGACCCTTGTAATCGTGACCACTGTTCTTGATGACCAGAGGCACGCCAGTCGAATCTGCGAACTTCAGTGCAGCTTGCACATCCGAGACTTGTCGCACGTCGATGTAATATGTGGGCACGCTGCCTTGCAAGCAATTCTTGGRCGCGGAGTAGTAGGTCGGGTCCGAAGGAGAATTGTAGTTGAGGCCGCAACTCTGTGCTTTGGCCTGGCATGTTGCCCAATTTGTCTAACCATCTATGTCAGTCTGAATGGCGGCAGCAAAGTGGCTTGAGGAGACAAACGTTTACGAAACCTCCATAGTAGCCTGCAATCGCTATTTCGTCCACGTATCCGTCCTGGACAGCTTTGCATTGCGCAGTGTCTGGTTTATTCATGGCACCATTATAGTATGAGTAGCATGGCTTCGACATCGGTGTCCCTTGATGTAATCTTCCATCGACTGATTGGTTTAGGGAAGCCCATTGTTCTGTTGTTATACTTGAAATTGGTGTTGATGCCCTCGCATCTAGGGGAGAAGCCGCCACAGATGTAATGACTGCGAACAGGGTTGAAGCATGACGGAAAGCCATGTTGTAGAGAAGGTGGTGCGGTGAGCAAAAGATGCATACGATCGTATGGACTATATTGTCTTATAGCCACCCAGATGTTGGGTCACGCTCCGGGTGCGGAGACTCTCGTTTCAGCACGAGCGACAGCTGCAGCCCTACTTCACGGCCAGGCGCTCTAGATGGAAGCCTCAATTGTCTAAAGGAGGTGTTACCAACGGTGGCGCTCTACATTGTCGCGATCCGGTCAAGTGTGGTTGTTGCTGCTCAGGAAACCTCGGCCGGTCCTCGCTTTCAACGTTTGATAGGTGCGTCGTGCAGCGAGGCCGGCAGGATAGAACTCCGTACGGCCTCGCATTTAGAGTTACTGCCACGATACGGCAGATGCCCTTCGGGCAGCACCAGATAGACTTTTGCGGAGAGACGAAAGATCTAGGGTCCGCCCAACGCCGCGTGGAATGTAGTAGGTACGCCGAGGCGATGGCCTATGTTCGTGGCGGAAGACATGGTTTTGCTGCAGGACATAGGGATCTAGTCCCAGATATGCATCAAGCTTGTTTTATGCTTCATTCATCATGCTTCGTGATCAACTTGTGGCGCTGTATTTGCGTTGAGCATACCTCGGTCGAATGTTCACAATGCTGTTTCGCGTGACAAAAGGCGGTGATCTTCGGGAAGTGCGAACGCTCTGATTTGCATTCTCCCGTTTGCTGTTGCAAATGCCATGAGGTATCTCGTGGTGGCGCAGTGTCAGTCTACAGAGCTTCTGCGTCGAAAACACGCGTCGGGCGGTTTCCTTGTGATGAATGACGAAGACCTGTTGTTGATGTTGTGAAGTGCAGGGAAAGGAGTGAATACCTGAATCCATGCGTCGATCAATGCACGGACATTAAGATCTACGTAGTCCTTAATAGGTATCCAAATTTACTTTCATTGACTGCATCCCACTATGCATGAATTTATCGACTCTAATTTGAACCGCAGTGCAGTTGCTAGAAGTTTAACTGGTTCACGGGCTTGATCACAAGTCTATACCACGCGGAGAGTCAGTCCGAGTTCATTTCATAGCTACAGTACCAAGTAAAAGTATGAAGATACAATTGACCGGCTCGAAGGATTCCTTCTCCCAACTCTCCTACCATCTCAGACACGCTTTTATTCTCTCCGCATTCCGGCCCATCAGATCTGCACACTCACCAAATGTTGGGCTGCTTCGCCTTGAACGCCGTGCTCATGATACCTCCCGTAGGCTGACCTTGCTTGGCCAACGCAGTCTCAAGACGATAGATCTTCGGCTCGCCAACATACTTCGACTTGAGGAAGCCGGCGGTGATACTTTCAAAGAACTAGGATGGCTGTTAGCTGGTCGGATGACTTCAGAATCGAGAATCCACAAACCTTTCCGAACTTCTCACTGCCCCTAATACCACACTTCCGGGTGGACTCCACATGGGCGACCAAAGGCGCGGCACTCTTGAAGTGTCTGAAGCAACCCTCGCAGCGAAACTTCGTCCGGGTGTGACAGTACTTGATGTGGTTCTCGATATCCGACTGTGAGTCGAAACTGTTACCAAACACGGCATCTTCGCAGGATGGAAATGGACAGAAGTAGGCCTCGTATACGGGATGGCGAAAGCGGGCAATGTCGTAGTCCTCCGAAGTTGGATCCCACCAGGCGATCTTCAGCATGTCTGCACCTGTGTCGGCCTTTGCCTCCTCTGCATGTTGCGCCAATATCGCATCCCAGTCACCGGCCTTGGGTCGCGCCTTAGCTGTCCCCTTCGCGTTCGGGAAGAGAGCGAAGGGCGTCTGACCGGTACTCCAAGCTCCACCGCCGCCGACCACGCTCGGAGTGGTGATTGTAGACTCAGACCTAGCGTCATCTCCGCTCGTCGATACGGCTGAAGATGAAGCCAGACCGGGATAGGACTCCGTGTATACTTTTCGGCCGCCTCCCTGTGCTATTCCATCGGATCTCTTCGTGCTCGTGGCAGTGCTTCTAGATCCGATTGACATCGATCGTAGCGACTCGCTCAGCTGTGCCGGCTCCTGACCGGAAAGGGACGGCCAAGCTTCCCTTTCGTAGCGACTCGCTCAGCTGTGCCGGCTCCTGACCGGAAAGGGACGGCCAAGCTTCCAGGTTTGATTGAGTGTGCAGGTCAATGAGGTCCTTTTCAGCTTCCATGGGTTTGTAGCCGCCCATTTGAGCTTCGTCTTGCTGATCCATGAGCGAAACACCGCCAAAATCTTGGTCCAGCGTCTCGCCGCCATCGGTAATGTTTTCTGGAATTGAGACTCCATACTTGCCGCTGAGCAATCTAGGAGGATGGAAAGCCCTATCGGGAGCCGCCATGATCTGATCAACAATATGCTTGTGCTGCAGATGATCGTGGAAGACGCGGGCAGAGTAGACATGACAACGGCCTTTCTCGAAGTGCTGGATGAGGTGGCTGGCGCGGATGAATTTGCCTTCACATCCTGGGCAGGTGATGTCCTGGTCTGCGGGATGGGCCTGTGATATTTCTTAGTATTGTGTGAATGGATATGGAGACACAGAGCTGCCCACCATCTGTCGATGCCTCTTCCGTCCACCGAAGCTCTTGAAATCCTCGCCGCAGAATTCACAGGTGATGTGCTTGAGGTCATCATCCAGAGGCTTCACTCTACCCTTCGCCCCTTCGATATAGGGCACCATATTTTCCACTTTGTGTCTGGTGAGATCATCCCAGTCTTCGGCGTCGAAATCACATTTCTTGCAGTAGAAATGTTCCGGGTCGTACTTCTTGTGCTGCTTCATCTCCTCCAAGGTGTCGAAGAAGTGCTGGCAGCCCTCTACGTTGCAGGAAAAACTCTTCTGTTGGTACGGCACGCGAGGTGCGCGGCTGCTGATGAGGGTGGTGTTGGTCGACAATGTCGACCCAGAGGCTTCAGCTCTCACTGTGTTCGCCATGATGATGAACTTGGAAGATGTTGTTGTTGTGTAAGGTGATTGACTGGATTGCGAATGGATGGATGGTGGATGAGATGTTTTGATGTCTGTGACTTCAGCGAGGTTGCTAGCGTGCCTGCCATGTGCCGTACGCATGTGAGGACGGTGCGATACAAGTCGAAGTGAGGACAAGGTTGCTACCTGCTGCTTTAGAGAGAAGATGGCGGAGATGRAATCTGTGTCAAGCGCGCTCATCACAATTCTCCAATATGGGATCCTCACGCAAGGACAACAATGTCTGACTACGAAGGAGGACGCCCGGTTATTTATCCAGCACGAAGCAGATGGAGATGAGAAATATCAACTTAGCTCTCGATTTATAAAGCGAACCGATAAATAACTTTTGACGCCGTCATTTCATGCCACTCACCATGTCGGTCTACTTCGGGGCATGCGAATAGTCCTGGCCAAACAACAGATTTAGGAGGACTGCAGTTTCACAGCATGGGAACACAATCCAGCCTCCTCGACATGTATTCTTCATATGCATCTGATCAACGAAGTGCAGTGATCTTTCCGTTCAGCTCTCCCACACCTCGTTTGCCCTACCGCCACATGGTTAGCCAGATCTTCTCGGTGATGCGCGTTCAAAAGGGAGCTTACTTGAACTTGAGCATGTAATGCAGCGGACTGCTGCTGTTGTGCCAACTCATTTTGGACGCGATTGCGAATGCTTTCCTGGCGCTCTCGCATACAGCGAGGTCGGTTTGGGTGATTGAGAAACTGTTCCCGGCCCAGGAGATTGCCACTGGGACTTCTCACATGCTGGTTCGGTTTGATTTCGTTGGGGTCGATGAGATCATGGAGCGTGACTTTTCGGGGTGGTGGGGGCGGCCGACTAACATTTCGATGGCCATGGATGCTGTGTATGCTGACTGGGATTGCTGCTGGAAGGCGGTCCTCGGATCTGGTAGCGCTCTTGCTGCCGCATGATCCCATTGTAGTGGCGGAGTGGTCTCCGAATTTTGTAGCCTGGAGGTCTTGCTATATTCGAGGTTGCAGACAGTATATATTGTCGAGGTTGCAGGCGGTGTTTTTATTGGGTCATTGGCGAGTTCCATTCATCTGATCGGCCCACTTCGCGCTTCGGCTCAGGGCAAACATATTCACTGCTTGCTGTGGAGATAATGAAAGGCAAACCAGACACATGATGTCTTGAGACCGTGTGGAAGCTTCCCATAGTTTTGCTCGCGCCAGTCATGAGATGAGCGATCTCTCAATTGAACAGCGGTTCTGCACCAAGAATTCGATGATAGGCCTGTTCATTCAAATGTACTGATTCTACAGAACTAGAAACGGGTGTATGGCAACCTGAGATCTCGAGGTTAGCGTCGAGTCCCGATCCTAAACATGTAGGAGCAAAATACTCACCACTTGCCCCTTAGGGTGATCTTCACCCAGTCACCTTTATCATCCGTCTCTTTCTCTACCTTTGTCGAAAAGGAGATGGCGCTCATAATACCGTCGCCAAATTTCTCGTTCAACACAGCTTTGTATGCATAGCCTGGGGAAAGAAGGGCAAAGGGTCAGCATGTTCTGGGCGATTTCGAAGGAAAAAGGCGCTTGCGTGGTTCGAAAAAGCTTCGTGGTGCCATGCAGCTTTCTGCCCTCGTGTATCTTACCATAGTTTTGCACAATCTCATACAAGCGATACATCAATGGTTCTCTTGGTGGCATCTCCATACTTCTGCCTCGATCTGGGAGAGCGGTAATCTCCGTCTGCATGAGAACCTCAGGGGCGATCTGTAGGATCTCGGATAGCTTTTGAACGTCCTCGGGCGTCGCGTTGGCCTGGCCGTAGAAGAGGGCGGCTACGGCGACTTCGTCACGGCCGAGGAATGACCCGATGGTCTCGAAGGAGAGGTCGTGTGCTTTCTTCTGGGCAAATAGGAGCGAGCTGTGAGCGGGAAGCTTGGGAGCGAGGTCCGCCTGATYGCTGTCAGCTTAATACATGGCTTGGTATAAGAGGTAGAGAACCGTCAAGCAGGCAATTGGAAACCCGCTGGAAGTCCCTTTTTGCGCCATGGTTTACAGTTTATGATCAGTAGAAGATTGCGAGTAGATTGTAGAGCAATACGAGCAGTGCTGACGATTGACGGAGCTCTATGCGGGCAGGCTCTGCCTCTTTATGAGCTCGGCAGCTATGACCGTGACGAGAGCCTGCATGTAGCTCGAAGCCGTCATTCAGCTTATCGAGATCCGCTCCACCTCCGCTTTAAGAACAGCATTGTTTCTCCACGGGAAATACCTCTGGGTACTGATAAGTGCTCTAATGATGTCGGGTAGGAGCTCTACAGAAAACATGCTTCGGATAACGAAGTGCCAAGACGCTTGATCCGCTTAGCAGACTACCAACTATGGATGTCGATCGCACAGATAAACTTGCTATTACGTTGACAGTGTTGACAATAGATAACGGCGCTGGAATGATTCGAATGGTCGATAAGGAGCCTGCATGAGGCATTGAGGTAGCAAGGAACATTTGTCTTGAAGTCGATCGTCAAAACTGGGTTGCAATTGTATCGAGGCCTTGCATCCTGCTTCGGCACAACTGCACACAGCCTTTCTAACTTCTGTGGGAGCAACATTGGTTGATAATAAATGGAAATAATTTGTGGTCATCAGTCATGCCTGCATTACGGGTAAATAGCCCGCTCAGGTCTCTATTGCATCAAACATTATCGCCGCTCTCTCCTGGGTATCATTGGTTCATCGATATAAAGCTCTCCTCCGTCGCTCGTGGTTGCCCCGTATAGCTTATTGCTGTGCCCGGTCTACTTGGTGCATATGGCGAAGGGCTATCAGCCTTCGAGAATCCAAAGTCTTGTGAGAACGTGTCTTGTGGCATCCAGGCTTTTGATCTATAAGCCGGAACCTCCTGCATCATCGTGTCGACTTGCTCGAGTGTCAGTCCGCGTGTTTCTGGGACAAACACGTACGCGAAGAGGGCCGACGCTGCACAAGTAGAACCCCAAATGAAGAACACGCGAACCCCCAGGCTCCCTTTATCCTGGTCGACGATGAACGGCGTGATAATTCCAATGATGAAGTTCCAAAACCAGTTGCTTGCAGTCGAAAGGGCGACTCCTTTTGATCGAATGGGAAGCTGAAATATCTCGCCAATGACGACCCAGGCTGTTGGCCCCTGAAATATAAAGTTAGCATAGCGAACGAAAGCCAAGGCCGATCAAGAACATACCCAAGTTGAAGCGAAAAAGGCGACGTAAATGCAGACAAACACAACGAGCACATAGTTCGCGATCTCCGAGCCACCCGCAGACACTCCAACAATAGCAATGACAAATTCACAGAAGCACATCCCAATGGCTCCATATATGAGTAGTGAGCGCCGGCCGAACTTCTCGACCGTGTAGAAAGATACCGGTGTGCTGGCTACGTTGACCACGGTGGTGATCATCGAGATGAGGAAGGGATTCCGCAGTCCTACCTGCATAAAGAATGTCGTGTTGTAGTACTGTGTCAGAGGATGGAAAGTCAGCCATACTTCACACGGAAGACCAGGCGGTTGCGCTAGCGTCAAGGAGTCGTTCTCAACACGGGGTCATGAACGACACCCCTCTCGGTTGACTTACAAAAATGAAATTGATWCCCGTCCACTGTTGCATCATCTGCAGAGCAGTTCCGATCCAAACCTTACGGATGTTGGAACTGGAATCGGTGATGCTGCCGCGGAAACAGCCCAGCCATGACGATTCTGCCGCATTCGTTTCTTGTTCCTGGCTGGCGACGATCTCACTCAGCTCGTCCTCTATGCTGGGAGAGCTCACTGGTTGATCGCGAAGCCTGGCAAGAGCGTGTACAGCCTTGTCAAGGCGACCCTGCTTCACCCAGTAGCGAGGAGATTCGGGGAGCAACCATAATCCAWTGGCCAGTATGACGGCAAATGGATATTGCATCGCGATTGGTATCCGGTAAGCCGCAGAAGTCTGATAGTCTTTCGTTGCATAGCCGACACAACTGGCCAGCATGATGCCTACAGTGATGGCGAATTGATAGGCTGAAATGATGGCGCCTCGAACGCCACGCGGGGAAACCTCACTCATGTCTGACACGGTCAGCATTAATCTGTCCAACATGCTCCTTCGATGCACTTACATAGGATGTTTGAGGAGGAAATAAAACCAACACCAAGTCCACTGATCAATCTGCCAGTGACCAAACCAGGAATGGAGGCAGCTGAAAGTTGTACAGTGACGCCCATGATGAAGACACAGCAACCAGGTCCAATGATTGTGAGACGTCTTCCGATTACGTCGGCCAGCCACCCGGCTACCAGGGCGCCGGTGAAGGTGCCGACAGAGAGAATTGAGACGATCAAAGACTTTTCCCACGTATAATAGTCATATCCAACTGTATTCGATTCGGTGACCGGGACAGGATGCCCGTACTGCCTGGCGAACTCTGCCATTCCCAGGACACTTGATATGTAGCCGCTGTCATATCCAAAAAGAACGCCGGCGAATGCTGCAAATGCGCACATCAAGTATGCCTTGAAGGTCACCGGAGCCTCGATACGCTGGAGAGGCTGCATGGTGGCGTGTGGTCGGACTGTCGTCCTCGGTCCGTCTGATGGGGAGATCCTATCGTCCCCAGCGCCGGTTCCTGTCAGTGAAGGTCTATCTCAAGCATCGTGCTGGTGGCGTGGTATAAAGCGGCCGAGAAATGAATGTGGTGGTATGCGCTGCGCTGAATCTCCCGACGAACAAAGAGGTCACCATTGACATTAACAAGGCGGATCCTCGGGCWGGACCCGCTCCCTTGTACCGTGACGCCCCCCACAACCACATCCGGGAGATCCTGGACGATTGGGAGGGGAACAAGGGACGTGCTGGTCCCGTGCAGCATTAGCGTCAACAGCCTGCAGGGCATGTCGCGCGCTGCCAATCAAACATGGCATTGAAATTCGGCCCGCAGCTGTTGATCCGCGATCTGCTTCGCGCTTACTCCGCTGAGCCCCATCAATCTCCCTCGATTCGGCTCTCGACCGAAAGTTTCGTCTGCGCGGGGCCAACCAAGCTGGTGTTTCGAAAAGCATCCCATCGTCGTTCATCGGATCAGGCAATTTGAAACAGCGTATGCCTGCCTCTTTGCAGTTTCAAGAATAGCAATGTTTGGCATTGAGCAGCAGCATGGCTCGCATGGGTATGCTGACACTCGTGGCCGCCGCATGTTTCCAACAGCCATCCCGGAATTGGGCGCATCGGTGATTGACGGAATCGGAACTATCATCATGGACGTTTTTGGAACGTGATACCCTGGGCCGGCATTGGGACAGGAAGTGGGAAATGCCGAAGCGGATGTCGCGTCACACTCTTCCAATATTGTGATTGGCAATTACGAGTGAAGAACCGCGCCTCTAGACGCCGTCGACGCTGGCCAGCACGACGTCACTACCACAGTGGGATCGAGGTCGAAAGGCGTGCGGGCCAGACCGATTCAACGAAACAACACGCGGCATGGCAGGATTTACACAGGGATGCTCGCGCAACGATCAGTGCACGAGAGCCGCAGCAGAAGTCAACCTCACCGGGCGACTCTGATCACAATCATCCCATCACACGGGCTGTGCACTGTGACTGTGCAGCATGGGCTATGATGCTTGGCATACTGCGAATACAGACAAGCTAGTCAGGGACTATTGCAGCTGCAAGAAAGCAATAGATTMTAGAACTATTGGCACAACGGCCTTGACAATCGAATCGCCTACGACTAGTACTTCTTGAACGACCTGTCTCTTCTCTATCGTCGGATCTATCTCGCATGACTCTGGTCGTTGCAGCACAGCAGAAAAGCGAGATGGAGCTCTGGCCATTCGTTGCTCGGATTCAAGGCGAATTTGCTTGGGAACGGTGCATGTCCTCGAAGCATCATCCCATCTATGGTGATCATGGATCACGACCGTTGACATGCTCGACGTTCTGCGTTCTGCGCTTTGAGGTAGCTTTCAAGAGCACGTATAGAAATTTGCCAGATGTTCATCAACCGACAGCTACAATCTCCATCCATTTCAGCGCTGGTCCATTGCTCAAGCAGCGAATGCATCAATACCACTCTGTATGGCATTGTGGATCTTGTCGACGACAGCCTGTGCCCTGACCTGGTCCGCAGAGATCTTCTTCTGCAGCGCTGCTGAAAAGCTATCGTGCTCGTACAGAAGAACATTCAGACTTCCGGATATGAGGCCACCCTGCCCGTTCTCCACAAACAGTTCCTTCTTCGCCACGGTCTCTTTGACTGCCGCCGGAATGCTGTGCCCAACGCTGTCAATGACGAAATCGACAATTCTCGTCGAGTCTGCTGCGTCGAAAGGTGCAGCTTTCAAGTTGGCATTCGTGAAACCGGCTCTGTTGGCAACGGTGATCTCCAGGAAATCACCCACAAGTGGGGAGGCGGATAAGAGGGAGCCGTCGTATGCGGCGACGTGGCTGCGCAGGTGCTCCACGCCGTTGTCGATGCCGTCTACGTTGCTGATTATGAGATCCGCAGTGATAAGTTCCCGTTTCTGAACAGGTGCCGGAGACGCTACCGCGAGACCTGCGATGAGGAGTGTGATGAGRCTCCCGATGGGTGCCATTTTCCTGATGATACCTTGAGGCTGAGTCTGAAAGGTGTTCCTCTACTTTTTTCAGGGCGCAAGAGTGGTTTGAGGGAGAGGAGGAGAAGGGAACCTGCCAACAGCTATTTACCTCTTTTCAAATGTATCGCCTCGGCCTGGCGTGTTCGTGCTTTGCTGAACTCGTTTCGACAGCAGCGTGAAGTTTAACAAGCGGAGTACCTTCAGGTCAGAGATGGGATTGRCAAACGGTTGTCTAACATGATATGCTTTCGAGACGCAGGAGTGGTGACGTCTGGATGTCCTTCATTATTCGTAAGGGTCTGAGACGGCTCTCCATGCCTCTTGCAGTGATCCACTCTCAATAGGCCGCGGGGAGTTGACTGAGACGCCCACCATCACTGACCATGCACTCGCCGTTGAGATATGCTCCCGCCCGGCTCGCCATGAACAAAATGGTACCCGCGAAATCCTCCTCGCTGCCCGTTCTCTCCGCGGGACAAGCCTCCTTTGGCATGTTCTTCGCGTCAGGGAAAGCTCCATGATCGCCACCAGACCATTTGTCAACGCCTGAGAGATTTGTCTCGGTCATTTCACTTGGGTAAAGTCCTGGGCTGATCGAATTGACTCTGACGTGGAAGCCATTCTGGGAGAAAGTCGTCGAGAGGTTTTTGACGAGATGAGTGACAGCCGCCTTGGAGGTAGAGTATGAAAATCCATGGGAAATCTGCCGAGAGAAACCAGCGATCGAAGACGTGACCAAGACTTGGGATTCTTGTGGAACATTCCTCTTTTGGTTGCCGGCGTGGAGTAGGTCGAGGAAGCTCATGACGGTGTAGAAGACAGACGTTACATTGACGTGACCCACTTGTGTCTAGTCGCTTAGTCAACAGAAGGGATGCAATGTAGACTTGTTCATGACCACTTACAAATTCTTCCATGCTAGGCTTAAGCATTGCGGTCTGGAACTCCTGCAGTGTAGGCTTGCTGCCGTCGTCCTTCTTGACCGATTTCGCGTGGCCAGGGCCAGACACGCCAGCGTTGGCTGAGAGACGACATTAACACCTATGATCAGTGACACTTGAGGCCACTACTCACCAAACAGCAAGTTCACGAAGCCCTCCTTCTGCCGCACATGCTCCACGACTTTGGCAAGGGAGTCCTTGTCGGAAACGTCTCCTTGGATGGGAATGATGTTGCCATTCACAGCAGTTGCAGCGGCTTTTTTGAGAACCTCCTCACGTCTGCCTACGATGTAGACCGCTTTGGCGCCATTGGCGTCCAGGGCTGCATTGTGTTCAACGTCAACATTGTGAGCTTCGGAACAATCATTGCGACTGCAGCGTACCTCTTGCGGCGTACAGACCGAGGCCGCTTCCGCCGCCAGTGATCACAACCTGACAATGAAACAAAATGGTCAGAACACGGGCAAGAATGCCACCACTCGGGAAATACTAACGACCAGTCCCGCGACACTGAAAAGGTCTTCGATTCTGTTATTCGGAGGCATCCTGATATCGAGAACGGAAGGTATGAGGAGTCAATCTGTGTTGAAGAGTGAGGTTGCAATGGAAATGGTGAGAATCAATGGCGAGCTACAGGCGATGACGTGGGACAACAGGGTAACTTATGAAGCTCTTACGGGGCCGCACACCCGTGACTGTCCCACAACGAGCCAATGGCACGTGCCATTAATGTTCGTACTCTCACTTTGACACTTCGACATGGTTGCAGATAGATATCAAGGCGGAAGGAGGAAGCGAAGGAACACTTGCGCTTCCTCGCAACCGTGGAAGTCATGACCGCCGGCCGGCCTGTGCGTGAACACCGAACCTTGACTTTGACCTCACCTCACCTTGCGTCCTGTATCATCACATTCATCCCCCGCCACGACCATGCTCCACAACCGCCCGTCACATGCCTCCAGTCTAAATGATCCCTGGTTCTGATCACGTCAACACCTGTCATGTCACCATAAAAGGACGCCGTTCGCTCGAAAACCACTCAAAGGCTCCCGGCAATGCTGTTCTGCATTCATACACAATGTCAGAACCACAGCATCTCCCCTTCCGACAAAGCAATCTTCCCAGACCGCATACAGTCCACCTAGTCTACAAATGAGTGCGCAAACAGCGACCCGTTCACGTTCCGARACCCCAGGCGAATGGATATGAAAGAGGTGAGTGAATTCATAGCAGTATGATCGAAGTCTGTACGAAAGCGGTAGGACACKTCTCTATGTTCTCCCCGTCCTTCGCCAAACACACTCCTTTGTGCTCTCCGAACACAACAACAACGCCCGCAAAAACGCCAGATTGAGACGCAGAATCTTCCCTTCGCTTGCCCTCAACATCAACACAACTCCCTTGATGGATTACGCCCTCCTACCCTTGCGAGTGCTACCCTTGCCAGTGCTGCCCTTGCGAGTGCTGCCCCTGCGAGTATCGGTCTTGGTGGTACTCTTCTTGCCAGCAGTGCCTGTCTTCCGCGCGCGTCTGCGAGGATGCTCGGACTCCTCGGGGACTGGACCTAGGGCAGGTGTCGCATCCTCCATTTCGACGTCCCGAGGTTCCACTTGCACGTCCGACTCAGCCTTTCGCTTCTTGCTCCGGRGGTTCCTCGCGATGATATCCTGAACGATCATGTCATCTTGTGTTGGCATCAAAGCTTCGATGCCGTCGTCTTCCAACTGGTCATCCTCGGCAGCTGCAGCACGTTGAGAGAATGCACCGCCTTGGAATTTCTCCAGAGCCTGCGCGACTGCGTCCTTGCATTCCGGGCAATGGAAGATGCTGGTGTGGCCATTTTCCATTATATCCTCCCAGTCGAACTTGAAATGAGCATCACGCTCGGCCATGTCATCGGCGTATTCGACAATAGTCCAGTTACCATGGCCAATGCAACCGGGATGAAATCCCTTCTCACACCTCTCGCAGAGCACCAGGAAATCTGGTTTCGCCGTTTGGCAAACACAGAAAATCTCGCCATCGTCTTGCTGCTCCGGATATTCATCACTTCGAATCATATCCTCGGCGTCGATTTCAGTTTCGGCATTGTGCTCATCCTCCGAGGCCTCCGGCTCCGTGAAATCTGGCAGACCGCCAGAAGACTTGCGGCCCGCCGATTTGCAGATGGGCCCACCGCTCTTCGCTTCTACATTCTCTCTTGCCTTAGCGCGGGTCGTCGTGCCCTCGAACATCCCGACCTTCGTCGCGTCTGCGGACACTCTCTCCATCTCTTCCGACAATCCCTCTTCGTTCTCCTCGGATTGGTTATTACGGAGATGCTGCGGAACGGCAGTGCCCGTTCTTCTCATCAGCTCGAGAACTTCTGGCTCCCTGACCAGCGCCGCGACCTCTGCATCTTGGACTACGAGCCGGCGCTTCTTTCGCGGTGCGACCTTGTCTTGCTTGTCTCCGGGTTTGGGGGATTCGCTCATCTTCCGAATTGCGTTCGGACGTCTGCGCTGTCCGGCCTCGGCTTTTTTCTCGGCAATGCGCGCCGCATCTTTGACTCTGTCTAATCCGTAGACATGACTCCATTTGCAAACGCGTCCACCTGCGCGGATGAACTGCCCCGTGGCATTGCGCTTCGGAAGAAGGGTCTTGACTTTTGCCTTGCAGCCAGGCGCGGGGCACAAGAAAGGCTTGTTGTCGATTTTATTTTCGGCCGTGGCCGTGACAGTTTGCGCGCAGTTGCTGCCGCATGGCTCGATTTCCTCCGTCACCACGTCATGTCCGCAAATCAGACGACTAGCGAGATGTCAGAGACTCGAACATACATGTCAAGGATGCGTAGCAGTACTTACTGATGATGCGCGTGACTGCTGTACTTCCAATCGAAGCAGGCCGTCTTGAACTGTTCTCCCTTGGAGTTGCGCGCGCGAGGGATCGACTCGGCCACGGGCTTTTCACTTGGACTTGGAGCAGGACGCTTCTTATGCAGAGCTGGGACAGTGTGACTCTTGGATGGCGCAGGGCTAGGTCGCCAAGGTGGCGCGGGGCTGGGTCCCCAAGATGGCGCCGGGCTGGGTCGGAAGGCCAATGATGCCCTCATGCGGGACGGAGAAGTAACAGACTGTCTGCTGTTGGCTCTCCTGTCAATGGACTCGATGGACTCAATGGACTGCCTGATATCACCCATGGAATCATCGGCCATGCGCTGGCGAGCATTGGGATACATGTTTGCAATGCAGTAGTTGTTTGGGTGTGGTGGTTGCAAATGTGGTGCCTCGTGTTTGGCCGAAGGTGGTAAGGGAAGTTGGTCTTGAGATCAAGCTCGGGCCGCAACATACTAGCGCATCCGCACCACGTAACCTGGCTTCCCAATGCGGTAGGACCCTTTAAAGCTGTATGTGCCTTGGAAAGCGCTACATTGAGTCAACGCCTGCTCACGCGCTATCCTTTTATAACACAAGATTACTAGTCATCGCCTGCCTTCCCGGGTCTGAGGGCATGCCTGCCACCAGGACCCAAACGATCTGTTTCCGGCTTGTTCGTAACCGCAATGTTGCTCACGTTCCCATATACTCGATGCCATTCCGAATGCTTTCGGTCTGAAATTACATGTCTTATAGAACGTGAGACATTGGGCGCCTGTGTGTGTCAAGCCAGCTACGACCGGTCGGTCTACTTCGGTTTCTGTTTGCCAGCGCAAACTTCCGGACGAACAAACTCTTTCTTCGTCTCTTATACCACTACTCTCCGGGAGTCTGCTTTGGGGGCACGCTCATCCTCAGTCGACCAGGGCGATTAACAGTAAATCGCATCAACCAGCCCAAGCACCAGACATGCCAAAAACCATGCACGGAGATCGATTCCTGTGCCAGCGATACGAAGCTCCTCTACTCAACGGAACTCTCAGGGCGCATCATCGACCAGCGCTATTGAGGCAGACCAATGCTTCACTGCGACTGCAACCCCAGGCTCGAAAACAAACTTCCCGAAACCACCGCCAATCTCCTCGCACTCTGCTACGAGCTCAAGATCCAGCATTGGAAAACCATGCATTCCCCCACCAACAAAGATCGGTTCAAATGCCAGCACACTCATCTTGAGAACTTCGAATCTATACCAGGCGAAAGCACCCTGTAGACCCTCGACCGCCACCGGCCCTTCGGGAACAACGCGAAGCTTTTCCACACCAACGAACCAAGGACCGTCCTTACTACCAAGGAATATCGACCTCGCAACGCCAAAGGGTCCTCGACAGCATCTTCGAACAAAGACGTCAGCCATCACACCAGCTCAGACGCCTTCAAAGACAGCCACCTCCCCTTACATGAACACCCATATTGCAGACCCCTGCATACCAAATTGCCTCGTCCATCAACTCTCCCCCTGCGGCCACAAAGTTATGACAGCCACACCGGAGCCATGCGCGAAAAATTGTCGTAGACCTCTCCTCTCCCAAGGTTCTCCCTCACCCTACGTGAGCATTCTGCAGAGTACAGAACCCTTTGTCTGCGCCGCTTGCGTAGTGCTACATACCCAATCTCACCGAGAGATGAAACGTGCATTATTCACCGAGAGGATGAATCGTACAGAACTGCAAATGGGAGGTTTTCCTACCGGGTGGAGGGAGGAGCAGAATGAGTATTGGGAGAGGGTATGGGATAATGATATGCTCAGAGAACGGGGTGAATTCGAGCAGTTGGGGAGGAAGTGCTTGTATATTCCTGGAGAGCCGATGAGAGAAGGGGAAGCTGGATGTGTTTCTGTGCCGATTAGTTTTGCGAAGCCATGGCCTCCTTTGAAGAGACCTTTGGCGGAGAGGAGGGTTGGAGGAGATGGACTCGTTGTAAATGGAGGGTGAGTGAAAGCCTTGGTTTACTTTGCTTGGGATCTAAAGGGGAGCTCGGAGGTCTCTGGACATAGTTCGCCAGTCACGTATGTGTTCATCTCCCTGATTGGCCTTGGTGACATCCGCTCTCTGTAAGCTCGAGACATTCTGTCACAGTACTCCTAGCAAACGATCAAGGCTCGGTGAAATTGAAGATTGCCGGCTGTCCTTTCATCGAGTCGAGGACATTTATCTCAGTAACGAGTAGCCGCAAGCACAATGGGAAGCAGCCTTACGGAGAGTGAAATACGAAGGGTCGAATGTCTCGTGGAATAATGCCTTCTTAAGATAATCGTGCTGTCGTTAGTGCAGAAAGTACACCATTTTTGGCTACTGCAGGTAGGCGGCAACCGTCCATTGCACCCGGCCCTGATCTCTCATGACGAGACGTAAAATTGACAAGCCAATCCATGACTTCAACCCGGCCAAGCGGTAGAATTTCTCCTCTATGATCATGTCCCGGACAAGAGATACTACATCGATCCTAGAATTGTAGGACATTTCACTATACATTTCCCAAAAGCTTCCAGGGGTCCAACTCCTTGCCAATGCGAGAAGAATGCGATTGAAACAAAAAAGCATGGCCTCATCCAATTGCCGCAGCGCCTCGCATCTTTTGGCCCAATCTCTTAATTTGGTCCAGAGGGCGTGATATAACCACCAGCAATCTCCACCCATTCAGGTATACAACTTCCCTCTTTCCCTTCAACTTCCTCGACATCAGTATCGCAACGACATCTGCATCCGACACCATTCTCCTTGGGAGCGTCCCATTTCGCCYAGTACTCGTCCTCTTCCCGTCTGGCCTTTTCGTCGGTCGTCGTTATTTCGAGATAAGGTTCGCGGGCCATTTGGCGGGCCGGTGCGTTCGCGGGACAATGCTGGATTGTTGTATGTCTGTAGCCAATGTCGCGGAAGTAGTGTACTTGGTCGGTTGATAGCAGGACGCCAGCTGCTAGCGAGTGGATAGGAGCATCTCCCCACTGTGAGGTGCGCGGTTAGCTATTGAAAATGGCCATTGGGAAAGCGAAACGTTGACGTACCCTCTCCATCCAAAATCCGCCTGAGCGATCCATCATTTGGAAGAAATCTTCATACTCCTGACTTCGGAACCAGTCCAGTCTAGCGATCTCGAAGTTGGACCAGAAATGGCACATGTTGTAGTTCTCGCCCTCCATCTCTTCTGGATCTATATCTGGAAGTGGAGCCGCTTGAAGGATATCCTCGGCAGCTTCTTTCGTCTCGTCCTTGGGAACGGTTCCTGGCTTTGGCGTTCCGTCCTGGTTGTAACCCTCCTTTGGCTCCACGAACATTTCCCAAAGTCCCTGTGACTTGATGTTCTTGGTGCGTTTGTACGCCGACGCATAGCGGAAGATGTTGGGCACAGTCTCGCGCAACTCCTTGACTGCAATGGTAAAACCATATGTCTTGTTGTTACGCTCCATGTGTAAGAAGGGGTCGTAGGTGATGTCGCAGAAATACTTGATCTCGGGCTCCACTCGCCAGTACCAGTCGTACTTTTGTAGCAGCTCGTGCTTGTAGAAGAAGCCTGAGTAGAATCTGCACATGTGGTGGTAGGACTCCATCCCGCCGTACCTGTAGTTAGAGCATCCAAGGTCAGCATATTCCGGGAGAAATACCAAGCAAAAAGCAGGCTTCGGGATGGACTCTATGCCTGCCATTTCCCGATTGCAAGACTCACATAATGGCAGCATCTCCCTGCTTGCGAATGCCCTCCTTTGCGACATTGGCGTCCGTCCAATCCGGGAAACCCCAGTGCTCTGGACCAATTTTGCCGAATTCGACGGGCGAAGAAGTGTAGTTTAGGACCGTCTCCTTGAAGGTGCTGTTGAACTCGCCGTCGTTGAGAAAGACGTATGGGTAGTGGAACCAACGATTGAAATGTCTCTCGACGCTCTTCAAGCTCTCAATGACTCCATCCAATTCCTTATTCCTCGCCAACACCACAAAGGCAGCGTTTGCGCGAGGGTGTTCTTTCGCGGTAATGTGCGGATCCAAGCAGCCATTCACAAAGACCTTGTCATGCTTCTCCGAGATCTTCCTATATGTGGGAGGCGCGCCCGAGGGTATGAGACGAGCTCCCGGGGAGTCGGGATGCCGTACGAAGAGGGTCAGGATGATGATGACCACCAGGCAGGGAAAGAGCAGGACCAGGTAGAGCGGCACGCTGATTTTGCTGTTGCCGCGAATGCGCAGTCGCTTCTTGAAGAAGGAGAGACGCGGGGCGATCTTTTCCGAAGCATCCTTGAGCGAAGTGTTTTGTAGGGATTTGAGGGTCGGCAGATCGCTGGCGGTGGGTAATCGCTTTTGCAGGCCTTTGATGACTTCCATGGCGATGGGGTGGAAGGGCCCACGCAGGGCGAGGGAAAACGGTGGGAGATCGATCAGTCGGGTGGGAGGGGATTTCGAGTCCAATTCAACGTCCAACTATCCTCTCCGTCTCCGCGTATTCGCGTTGTGTTGGGGTGTAGCGAGCGAATTGGGAAAAGGTGGCAGCACGGGGGATCTGGCGCTATCGGAGCCGCATCGACAGCTGCCTCTGTGCGGGAAATCGTCGTCTACGGGTCGTGAACGTGAACGTCGTCGGAAACAAACGAGGGGAATCGCCGTGGATATTTCGCTGTCGCGCAGCAGATATTGTGAGGAAGCGGAGGGCAGGGAAATGGCGAGCGAGCGGGCAAGACGGAGATGGAGACCGGAGCTGCCTTGATCTGCCCAGAATTGTGCCAGCTGTGTCATCAACAGCAATTCATGACCAGCCATCAATCCATCCTCAATTCTTCCATCAATCCATCCTTCAATTCATCCATCAATCCGTCCTTCAATCAATACTACAAGTCAAGGTCATACGCCTGCAAGCACCACCAATCTACATCAGACATTGGAAGACGAGATCCACGATCACGCAGCAGACATCTACCTTGACCTCGATCCATCATGGTATGTCTCTATACACTCATGACCCGCCCTCCCCCGTTCGACTCCAACGTGCACTAGATCTAACTCCATCTCGTCCACCAGTCGCGCGATTCTACCTTCACCTATCTGCATCTGCACGCATCCAACCACGCTGATCTGCTCGAGGACTTCACACGCGTCAAACTGCCAACCGAGGAGATCAATGTCGCGCCGCAGCATCAGCCTCTCAATCCCGACGATGAAGACGACGTGGTTCCCGACCAGCACGCCGCGTTTGGCATTCAGCGGGCGCAACAGAAGTCTCGCGAACCGGCGTGGAGGGATCTAGGATTGGACAGGTTGATGACCGCTGGTCCACCTCCAAAGCAAGGCCAGGCGAGTGCCGGCGCGGTGCTGGGCAGCAGTGCGAGTCGCGTGTTGAGATGAGGCCCATTGTGACCGCACCAACACCTCCTTCCCCTCTTGCACTTGTCGCATGGGTACCAACCGTCTTCTACGATACCTCATCTCCGTGCCTGCTTCGGATTGTCTCAAACCAGGAGACGGTCAAGTGTACGGGTACCTTGAGCAAAGTCGCAATGTCTGGCTCGCTCCACAAAGATCCCTTTGCCAGGTCATGATGATGGGAATTCGAGCGAGAAACGATCCATCCTCCCGCCATCACTGAACGCTGTAAGCACATGCTCGTTCAACTGCCTAAATCGCTCGCCTGGGCGCATGTGTGGGAGAGTCGGAAGCTGCGAGCCATATTTTGCACCTCACACCTTCCAGAATCGATCGATACGGTGGGGCAACCGTCGCGTACAGCAGTCATGAGTTGGTATGACTGCATATCCCAGCGTAGAGTGTTACTCGGCGACTCGTAAAAGCGGTTATTTCGGGCGCCTATATTTGAAGAATATCAGGCCACGCGAGCGCGCCTGCCTTAAAAAAGTATAGAGCACAGATGACCCAGTCCCAAGAATCTGACTCCCAAGACCCCCCCGAAAGCCTGTCCTTGGTATCGGTGTTGGCAGAGCGCCACAACCAATGATTCCAAGGTCTCCTGAGCTGGGGGTACAAAATACAACCAACATCCCGGGAGGAAATGCTGTCAACCCAAGTAAGCATTTCGCTGTCGCGGAGCTAGTCCACACACACAGCCTACAGGCGACACAGGTAGGTTTCGCTTCCAGTCGCTCACCTCCGGCCCGCAAAGTGTTGCTCCACTGCAGTTCAACGGCAGCATGTGCTGCAACATGACGAATGACTGCCACCGCCATCGAATGAGGCATTGCTCATAGCGAACCCTGCGGAAACACGAACCGGATCACGCACGACATCTTGGCACGCCATGTGCGCTGCTCGCGCCCAGACGCTAGACAGACCAAAAGCCTAAACATCGTATACAGGCATCCAAGACGGCTCAGATCCTCCATGTGGGTCATATAGCGATGCTACTCCGCGTAGACTGCATTGCAGGGAAGCTGTTCTTCCCCCCAACCACGTCCCGATATTTTCTTGCCCTTTTACATTTCTCTATACATAATCTTTCCAATCATCCGACTCCCTGTCGCTCAGAAACATTCGCTTTACCCACATTCGCTTGAGTCGCCTTCGGGATGAGGCTTTTCACCCTCTTCGCTGCCCTGTCGGCTGCGCTTTCCTCGGTCACAGCCCACCCTCATAGCAATTTGCAGGAGCGGCAATCAGGTGTCGTTGTCACTACGGGTGCTACCGGCAACGTTCAACCACGCCTTGAAGTCCGACAACTCAAGAATACCCGCCCTAATCAATGGATTCTTTTCATCCTGGCTCTTTCGCAGTGGCAGCAACAGCCTGAAAACAGCCCGACATCGTACTTTGGTGTTTCTTCTATTCATGGTGTTCCACGCAGAGATTACAACGGCGTGGGTCAATGTGGGAACTGTGGAGGAACAGACGGGTATTGCACCCACAACTCTGTATGTCGAACGATCGCCAGGGTTACAACCCCCAACAAACTCCTAACACTTATCCCCTAGGTCCACTTCCCAGCCTGGCACCGCGTCTACTTGGCCCACTTCGAGCAAGAATTCCTCAAAGTAGCCCGTAATGTCGCCAACTCTTTCCCAGCTTCTCGTCGACAAGCAATGGTCGACGCTGCCAATCAATTGCGCTGGCCGTTCTGGGACTGGGCTGCCGTTCCTCCCTCGAATCTTCCGGCTCTTCCTCTCATGATCACGGATGTGAACGTGGAGGTTGATGGTCCTAATGGCCGTCAACGGATTCTCAATCCGTTGTTTCGGTATGATTTTAGAGATCCGAGCCAGATGTTTTATTCGCCGCTCAATACGTGGCAGAGGACGTATAGGTGGCCTAGCAATGGGGGTAGTAACCCAGTTTCGGAAAATCAGAGGGCTGTGAGCGCTTTCGGGAATGTGAGGCGGAACTTGCAGGACCAGATATATGGCATGTTCACAAGATGTAACAACTACCTTGGCTTCTCGTCTGATCAGGCTGGTGGGAGTTCTTTCCGGTGTTCGAACAACATCGAGAGTATTCATAACACGGTGTAGGTGTAATTGTAATCCCGGGGACTCTGATATTCAAGCTAACTCTTCTACGCAGCCACTCCATGGTTGGAGGTGACCCAGCCGCGACTTCCAATCTCGGGCATCTTACTTACCTCCCAACCGGCTCATACGACCCTGTCTTCTGGCTGTTGCACTGCAACGTTGACCGCTACCTTGCCATGTGGCAGACCATCAACCCGGACCAGTGGGGTGCATCGCAGACAACCTCCTCCGGTGCTCGTACATGGACAATCGGTCAAGGTTCCGTGCAAAACGTCGACTCTCCTTTGACACCTTTCTTCAGGGACACTAACCGCAACTTCTGGACTACTCGCCAGGTGCGCGACTTCGCCGCAACTTTTAGATACACGTACTCGGATTTCCTCTCCGGCAGCAGCCGTGAAGCCATCATCAACCGTGTCAACAGCCTATACGGCCCCAACGCAAACAAAGTTGCAGGCTCCACAAAGCGCCAAGCGGGATATTCCTCTCCAGTGGACGTCTCTGCCAGCGACCCTTTTTCTGCTCTAAATGGAAGTTCCTACGTCTACGATGCCAATATCCAAACTCCGCGATATGGTCTCGATGGACCTTACTCCATCTACGTTTTCCCCCGCAAGCCAGCCTCCGAAGACCCAGCAACCTGGATCTTTGACCCCACGTTAATCGGAACCATGAGTGTGACAGCTTCCCCCGGAATGGGAGGAATGGACACCATCATCGCCGGCTCCATTCCCCTAACCACCACTCTTCGAGAACTCGTCAGCGACGCGGGATACAACCTCGACAACCTCTCCCCAGACGACGTCGTGCCTTATCTGCAGAAGAACATGGAATGGAGAATCGCGGCTTGTGGAGGCAAGGTTGTGGATCCCAGTACTCTGAGTGGCTTTTCTATTACTGTTGTTTCTTCTTCGGCTGAGCAGGTCGGTGCGGGCAAGTTGCCTGAATTTACGGATTTCGTGCCACATTTGGCGGTTACAGRGGGGCAGGCTGGAGGTACGAACAGGACGGAGGAWCTCGTGGGCGATCAATTGGTTGAGACATTGGAGATGTAATGGATTTGGGATGTAGATATTTCTTGGTGTGCGCTTTCGTGGTCGCTCTGGAAATATTCTGTACAGACGACATTGGATCGAATGGTTCCTCGTTCATTGGACACGATTCATCACTAAGTTGAGTTTGACATTAGGGTAAGGGTTGGGGTAGTAGTACGATCGTTGTTCGATGTATCTATTGGGTCTCCGAGCTCTCGTGTTGTGTGTTGTGTGTTGGAATCTTGATATTTGGACTTAGTTCAATGTACATACCGTGGAAGGGACATTTCTTTCGCGATCGTGGTCAATTCTTGTACGTACCCGAGTTTGGATGTGTTTTTCCAAATGTGTCTAGGGGTAGGAAGCCCCAAATTGCAATTATACGACGATCGAAGACACCAGTAATTCGCACATTCATATGACTACATAGTCACAAGTCCCAAAAGCGTACTTCCAAGCATTCAAGTCCGAAGGCCAGAATATCGCGAGTATGAAGACGTAATCGCCATATATAACAGAAGGATGGGAAACGTTATGACGAGTATAGCAAGATCTACTTACTACTGAGGTAGAAGAAATAATGCCCTTGGTTGACCCTTCCGAACTCGCTGGGTACGTCCCAACTCCATCCGAATCTCCAAATCATGCATCGCGATGTGCGTATGGAGACATCTAGTACATTGCCGGGAGACCAGCGAAAGGAAGCCACGATTTCCCGATTGCGATGCCTGTATTATAGATTTGTAAAGAAAGGTGACCGACACATTGCGGCTGTATGTATACTGTCATCGACGGAGCTGCACAACAGCATTATTGACCTTTGCGCTTCATGTTATTCGAGATGCTGCAATAGAACCTTCGGCCCCTCTTGTGTGAAGATGTCAAACAGCGGCGGCGGTAATGCCATGCCAAAGGTTCCGGCACCGTCTGCCGAGTCTGCTCTACCGGTCTTCCCTTCATGGTAGTGTGATACTCTTGGTAGGTTCCTATGAGCTACCGCCGAACGATTCGACAAATCCGAGAGAAGGGTTCATCTCAAGAGGACCGCACCAGGCAGTGTACTCCTCAGTGTGTGGTATGAATGGCCAATGATTCAAACAATACTGTGTTGTCTTCTAAGATACGATACTGGACGCTCAAGCCTGCCCACAGGGTGGTCGTGAGTAGTGCGAGTCAACGCAGTACAACGCACATTAAAATTCAGACGCAAAAAATCCACCCGTAGGAGATGCTCGACACCAAATAAAAATGAAAGATGAAAAGGAGAACCCGGAAGTCATCGTAACCCGGATCATCAAACGCCCTCAGCGCCACGCTTCCCATAATTCGTCCACCAGAATATTCTGTAATGATAATGCTGTTAATGATAAAAAAGATCTCAAGAGACCACTCATACATGTCCTGGAAGTGCGCGAAGAATTTGTCGGCCATCAGCACGACGGTAGTGCATACCCATGGTGCTTGTATCAAGCTCACCACCTGCACTATCCTCGTCGTCCGTGGCAGACATGGATACACCAGGGATAGACTGTTCACCCTGACTGTTGGAGGTGTTTGGCCTTGCTCCTTGTCTCAATGGCTCTGTGTGGTGTCTGTTGCTGAACACATTGCCGTAACTCCGTTTGTGTTGCTCCACAGGAGTATGTGCACTGCTAAAATACGACGAGTTCGGCGCCACAGCAGACATTGGCGAGGATGCCTCTAGCTTGCTGTTTGGCATGATTGTTGTATTAATGGGCGGCAAGTCAAAGTTCGGCCTAGTGGTGGACATGGGTGTCTGCGCTCCTGCTCGAGTTGGCGGAAGAGAAGGTTCCAGTGGCGCTGGGCGGCCATGATAGTCAACCGATGATCCGTAGGAGTGCTGAGCGGGCTGTTGGTATGCTTGCTGTGGCGGATACGCGGCCTGGACAGGTTGCTGGGGATAGCTTGCTTGAGCAGGCGGAGGAGCYGCGATTTGCGCAGAGATTCTGCGATATTCAGCTGCTGACGCCTGTGCAGAGTAGTCCACGCTGGATCTTTGCTGATGCTGCGAGGGCTCATATGACGGTTGCAGCGGTACTCCATACTGAGGCTGGGTCGGGGCCTGAGTTTGAGGTTGTGCCGGATGTGGGGCTGAGTATCCATAATACGCCTGCTTGGGTGGGCCCTGCGGGGGAGGGGGATATGCCTGTGGTGCGTATTGAGGAGGTGGAGGTTGCATTTGAGCCTGATTTTGCACGTATTGAGCTGGCTGGTACTGTTGGTTAGGTGATGGGACATACGAGGGAGCCTGGGCGTAGCCATTTTGAGGAGTTTGGGGACCGGATGAGCTGTATTGAGCGTGGCCGTACGCCTGACTGAGATCCTGCTGGGAGGGACGTCGGGAAACACTTGATTGGTGACTGGCATTGCTGGCAGAGCGCGGCCGGGGAACAGAATCCACCATGAAGCCCTGGGGAGTTTGGACTGCCTGGTACACGGCGGGATCCGGTGTAGCGGACATTCWTGCCCTTGCCTCCGCACTTTCGTCTTCGTAGTCATCCCACTCCTTTCCTCCGCCCGATTTATGGTCTCGCCTGCGCATTCTCACGTCACGCCGGATACGAACACGACATCCTTGCTCGGCGACCATCCTGCTTAGCGAGGTGCTCTCAGTAAGTCCCGGGAACTTCTTCGCACTGAACACGTGGAACGGCTCCGACTTCACCTCCAGGCGATGGGTTACATGGGGCTCCGCGGCCGGATTTGGTTTCACGCCATCCTCGAGCTTGTCATTATCCTTGGCACTCTTTAACTCCTCATACAGGCTGAAGCTCAGACGGTACTTGCCCTCGTGGCGCACAGACAGGTCCGGGAAGATAAAGTAGCCCGCAGGTGACGGCCTGTCCAAGTAGACCATACCAGCCACGGGAGTACCGGTCAACACAGGTGGACTGCTCCGCTCAGCGCTCACACGTCCGTGGGCGAGGGGTCTCGCCTGTTCCAGAGTGGCAAAGAGGAAGTAATTGGCATGCATTGTGAAGGAGATGTCATTCAAATTTTGCTCGTCCTCACCCTCAAAGATCTTCAGCTCGACGATGGGCGGCGGATCGACTGGGCGACGGTCGGCAGATGCTACAGCGAGTCAGTATACATGGCAATGCGCCGGGAGGTGGAGACGACAAACACTTTGCGCCTTGACCACAGGCTCTTGCTCGCACAGGTTGCTGGAGCACGGTCATGCGATAGGTGATTCTTTTGCCCTCGACCGTGACGCGCGAGGCAGAGCTCTTCGTCTCATTGTCCACGGGGATGACTGTGGGACGCTCTATGCGGTCCATGATGAGTGTCTATGTGAATGAGACCAGGATGTCAGCCGTGAGAGGTTGCCAGGCTGTAGTAAAAGGTTAGTTAGCGACGGCGACGAGCTTGCACGCAGGCAATGATGTTGCGAGCCATTGTAGAGCGACGACGAGCGACAGCTGTAAGGTAGGTTTAGAGGCAGCGGTTAAAAGGCGGCTCCCAGTGTCCGTTGTGTTGGTTGCGCCCGCGAGACTGGGTGGATGAGCTGGGCTACTACCATGGATGACCCAGGTAGGGCGGAAGAAGCAAGGGCACGGAAGAAGGACCACTCACTTTGCGAGATTGGCGCGAATTGTCGACGGGAATTGCAATCGCGCGCGGCTGGCAAGGGCGTAGTGTGGTGAGCAGCTTCCGGCGGTCGTCGAGTAGCGATCGGAATGGGCGTGGGAATGGGAAGCGGAATGCAGGGCTCGCAAGGTAAGGTAGGTAGGTCGGTCGAGCAGACGCGAGGCGATCTCGGGTCGCTCGATTCTCAAGCACCTAAGGCGGCCGATCGGGCAAGTTGGCAGAGGACGACACGACGAACGGTAACGGCAAAGGGCAACGCGACCTCTTTCGCGCAGCTCGAGTGCACGAGAATAAAAAAAAAGGGCCACGGCTGGAAGGCGTGCAGCAAAAGGTGAAAGGATTGAAGGAAATGCAGGATGCAAAGTTGGTGCACCCAGCGAGGAGGGAGAGGACAAGCTCCCAACGTGTGGCTATTGGTTGCGCTAAAAGCCGCCCAAGTCGCTAAAAACCGCCCAGCACAGTCTTCTGCCCGCCGCTTGCTGTGGTGGCGCATCTGCGTCGGTACGGGCGAGACGGGCCACTCAATCGCGGTGCTATGCAGACGGCGTGCAGGGCTAGCTCCTTCGTGTACGCCAGTGCCGGAAGTTGCTTTGCTCGCCACGGGCGTTTCGCGCCGGTGTGGGGGTGTTCGCCCGCCGCTCGTCATTCGCACAGGGAACGAACCGTCCCTCTTGTTCATTTGGCCATGGATGATGGCCCATGGCGGAGGACACTATATTATTCTGTGAGCTGGAAGCCACCTACCCTGGGCGACGAGGGCAAACACTGCAATACCTGTCGCTCGGTGGAGTATTGGCCCACAGTTCGGGACGAGGATCCCACTCACGAGGGATCCACAGCTGTCTCAAACTTGCGTGTGCAAGGCTGCGCAGGAGTCGACGATCGTCCACACTTTCACACATCTCAACAAGATGGAAGAGGCATGGACCGAGGCCCGTGAAACACGTCCAACAGCATCGTTGGCCCAAAGCACACGGTGGTCTCTGAACCAGAAACATTGAGCACCTGTCTCACAGGGAGCAATCCTCCTTTCCCTGTGCCCATCCAGCTGGTCGCGGAGAATTATCCACGCTATCGAGCGGACAACCCCGGTCCTTGCTGGCCGCCGACTGCATACCCGATCATCTGGCGACTCCGAGGACGACACAACCGTGCTTGTCGGGTCACGATCCGTTTCGCTATTCACACCTGTACGTTGTATATATGTAAGAAGCATGCGCAGCGCATACGTTACGTTGCAATCAATCCTTGTGTGAACCGCGTCCCACTAAAGCGAGCTTGCTCCGAACGGTACAGTTCCAATCTATAAAACGTGAACAAGGTCGTTCTGGGTCCATAATACTCTAAGTCGCGTGTATACGGCGGGAGAAATACCGACAACGGTCGACCTTGGGACTGGGAAGTGTCAAAAATGCGCTTGCACGCATCACTGGTGCTCCCGCCCACAGACCATTTCCCATCCCATCTACTCCTACAAAGTGAATTTCTCGAGCTGGGCTCGGCACGCATCATCGCTTGCCTGGTTTCATGGCTTCACGTGTTTGATCAGGACTTCGTATCACCGCCGGACTGGCGAGGCACGTCTGCACTACCTTGTGGCTTGCTCCAAGCCTGCAAGACGGCTCGTCCCAAACCTCCCTGCGTTGCTCGGATCAACTCGGGGCGCACTGGCTCCGCCAAACAGATCAGTTGCAGCTGCAAGCCGCCGTGTAACCCAAGGGGACACAAGAGGGCTCAGAGGTTGGTTTGGTGCGCTCGAAAGCCACTCAAAGTCCAAACGACGGCTCCGAGATTGGAGCTATTCTAGGCCTCTGTGGTGATTGAAGTAGTCTTCATCAGACGGTCATCTTATCAAAGCTATCGTGTTCACGACATTGACCCCATCACAAAGGTCGTGCTCATCTCACGCCGTATACCCGAGAGACACGGCATTCTAAAGCGCAGTCAATATCCTCGGCCATCTCGATCACTTGACAGATCCCGGAGCTCCTGTCACCCTGCTCAACTGTGCCAAATACAGCGAAATGGATGGTCATCGTTGTTTGCGTAATACATTTGCACAGTTCCTAATTGTGCACCAGAAGAAATGTCATTACCCATCGAGGACTGGCCAGACCCGAGGCCTACCCGTCGTTTAATACAAAACACGACATCCAATCGTTAGATTCATTCATACCAATCCCAGCTAGCGCCTGACATAATCGCGAGGAGTTGATAGATTGTAAGCYAGCCCCCGACACTTGGTCGCCACAAACTTGAAAATGGCTGTGAACGGCGCGTCAGCCCCGATTCCGTTGCGAAGGTTGTGTACCTCCAAACCCACTCACCAAACGCCAAAGCCATCACACCTTGGATGGCGTCTTGAGCGGTGAGTCGGATGTGAGCATTGCTTGCCGAGCACGGTGCCATTGTGGGGTCGCCGCAGCATTGGAAAAGGCTGCACCAACCACTCGTTCATCGTCTCTCGGAAGAGCGTCATAGCAGGCAAAAGATGAGCTGCATGGCGTTCAAGCCATTGCTGGGATGCAATGCTTTTGGAGCACTTGATGTGCTGATTCGAGCGTGCGCTGCACAGCAGAAGACGTGGTTTGCCAGACATGCGGAAATCGCCGACTCAACGGTATCCGGGCGGGAAGGCGATTTCTGAAGGCTGTGCTTGTTCCAACGCAGCGTCACATGGGATGCCTAGCCTGTGCGACTGGAGCCTTTCCCCAGATCATCGTCCAAAGCCACCCTCCCTCATCTGTATCAAGTTGTGCCGTCAGGATAGGTGAACTTTGCTGAAGCTTCGCAAAGACTCACAGCTGAAGCGAGACTGGGGCTGTGAATCTCAAAGATTGCCCGTCTCCAGCAGTCGATCAGGATGAACCCACCGGCTGCTTTACTTCCGGTTGACTCTCGACTGCACGAAGCTGGTGGCCGATGATTGTGCAAGAGCCTGCCAGGCATCCGAGTTTCCGTACTGCTGCTCGCTCAAGAACTTCAGCGCCATCACCATCATTTCCTCGTTGTACGCGGTGTACCTGAAGATTGTCCGACTTGATGGCCCTGGATACGGCCCAGTTCCTGGAGGTGGTACCAGCGCAAGATGAACCGATCCGGCACGTCCCTGARGGGCGATGGTGACAACCGACGTGGGAGATATGTACTGTGTCGGAGCATAAACATCACCGAAAGCGACCTGGACACCTGGAACGAGGCCTTCACCGAACACCGCCACTTCAGTGCCCCCAGCAGCAGGACCCTCATTCGGCGTGATACGAGTGATTATAGGGTATGACCCCTGATTTGAATCGTTACCCGCGGACCCCGGCGGACCCTGGCCAACGAAACGGGCGCCAGTTGTATTGGTCGACGTCTGAATGGGCTGTTGCCTTGCGTATGSCGCCATGTTGGCCCGAGTCTGTTGGAGCACGGGCGAGGATGCTCTGCTAGGTACCGCAGATGAGGGATGCGAGAAATAAGCCTGGTTGCTGGGTATACGCGAGAGATCCACCTGCGGCTGGCTGAAGTTGAAGGGTCCGTTTTCGTTGGGCGTCGGCGGCCCACTCCCAAAGTACTGGGCCGGGCCACTGTTCGGTATGCTCATGTATGCTTGATTCATCTGGTTCATCTGATTGCTAAACCCGGCAGCCTCAGGAGAGAATTGCGAGCTAATGGAGAGCGCCGAAGGAATGCTATTGGAGGGCGGCAGACTCGTTTCGACTCTTGGCGTCATTGCCAGGCCCGAGGGCAGTTTCCGATGGAACGACGAGCTCTTCCGTTTCTTGTTCGGCCCTGCTTGTGCAGAGCCAGAGGGAGATGCTGGTCTCGACGCTGGTCTCGACAGCGAAGTTGGGGTCATCGTTCCCGACGTGGTTTGCGATGTGAATCCAGAGCCCGACAATTGATGTACATGGCTGTGCGGGTTGTACTGAGAGCCATAGCCGAGCGCTTGGAGGTTGCCTGCAGACCGCGACGAGGGGAATGGCTGGACATGCGTGGACATGTCAACCATGGACTGTGACATGGGTAGACCATTTGGCACAAAGGCCGCATTCGGATAGTAAGCAGCCTCGCCGGCTACAGATGTCGAAAAACTCTGAGGATGTGTCTTGTGGTCGTCTGTTATCAAGATGGAATCCGACATTGATTGCGCCACGACGTTGTTGAGGTGATCCTTCAGTGTGAAGATGACCTGGAAGCCTTCTTTCTCACTCTGGTGTCTGCAGTAGCACGCAATCCGCATGGCCGCAGTTACGTTGACGGCACCATCGGGAGGAATATACGGGTCCATATCCATGCTCATGCTAGCATCTCGATGGTGCTGATTCTGGTCGCAAAGCTTAAAGGGGAGGTACTCGTTCGAGTTGAAGACGACCACCCTCTCCGTTTCGTACCGTTCCCAGTGCTGCTGCTCTTCTTCCCGCTTGGTCTTTTTCCTGCCCGCTCTCTTCCGTTCTCGCTGAATACAATTGCTGCAAATTCGTACCTCTCCACCGTTAGCAGGCCTGTCGGCCTCGTCGAGACTTTTGCCATCGTTCTTCTCCTCGTCACTCGATCCTCGCGACAGTTCTGCTCTTCGCTGAATCTCATCGTTGTTCTGTGCTGCCGCTCTGGCCAAAGCCTTCTCCTTGGCCTGCGGATTGTGCATGGCACTTGTGCAAACGAGCATTGTATGCAGCTCCAAGACTTTGGACGGATCAACCTCTTCCTTGGCTAAGAGCTTCGACTTGGCAATTGTGTGTAGAGGGAGATGGAGAAACTCGGTACCAGGAGGTGGTTGCTCAAGGGTCATGATCACATTGATCTGAGTTTCCACCCGAGACTTGGTCGAGATGGGAGCAATGTGGAGCGGCGAGCGGCGTGGCTGACCGTGAGGCGCTTGTACCGACGAAGTGCCATTTGCGCCGGGAGATGGAGTGAATGTCATACCATTCGGCGACGTCAGCTGGTTCGCGAAGTCGCCAGGCCAAGTTGGATTTTGGGCGCCATGTGTTGTCCAGGTAGGGTTGGCAGAATACGTCTCCTGGCTGTCCGAGGAGGGCGTGGAGAAGATGGCATGAGGCGAGGCCTGATTGTATAGCATGTYTGCAGGTGATTGGTCGCGCGAGCCTACAGCGAACATGCCCGGGTTAATGGTCTGCATGTCCGAAGACTGATTGTACTGGGTTGCCGTGTTGCTTGCCGGCATGCAAACTTGCGCATCAAGTGACATTGCCGAGTTGAATTCAACAATCTGTATCGGGCTGGAAGCCGCACTGCCAAAATCGAACTGCGCCATGTTGCCATTGCTCGCATGGCCCATTGACTGCTCCAAGGAGAGGTCGTGCATCGGTTGGGCGAACTGATGGTCAAACCCCTGTCCATTGTGAACACCGCCCACCATCTTGACATCCTCCAATGGCGCATGTCCCGCCTGTACTGCCATCTCGGTGATGGGATCCGATTCGGGCGAGTCAGAGCCGGTCTTACGCTTGCGATGGCTGGATGAATCGGAGGAGGAATCCTGACTGGAGCTCTCCAAAGAAGTTGTCGATTCCATGGCATTGCCCGAGGAGCGTTGATGCTGGTGCTGAACCCCGACTCCCGCAGCAGCATCGGGCCCGGACTTGGAGGGTGTTCGCATGGTGAGAGCCGACGGACTGTCGTAGGCATCAATGTTGGTGAAGTCGTGGAAGGCGCTGTTGCCGTACGGCGAGTCCGCGGGCATGCCATCGTCGAATTGAGAAGAGTTCTGGTACATTGACATCTCATTCCAATCACTGTCTTCCATGTGACCGTTCCGGGGATCCATGGCGCCTGTCCTGCCCTGCACTCCTAGACAGTCGGTGCCTCCTGCCTCCGCTGTCCGTATCCTGAGCCTATGCTCTTCCTAGCGGCAGCATGCCTTCGCGCCGGGCTGGACTGACTCTGTGCGGCGTGAGCGCGTGGAGTGGGAGGCAAGAGATAGTGTCGTGAGATCGTCGCAGTAGCGAAATTCCCCGGCGAGATGCAGCCGCTGAAGCTTCGTGTCTTAGAAGGCTCCTGTCTCGATAGAGTCTAGAGTTGGGACGGAGTACGGATGCCCTGTGCTCGTGGGCGACTAGAAACAGTGCAAAACTGAACCAAGTACACGCCAGATGCACATGGGGGTGGAGGGCGCGGAAGTYACCTACGTGCTTGAACTTGCGGGGAACGGTCACACCTCAGCTTGCTTAGGTACTCCTCACATATCCCATTCTCATCAAGTATCAATTGCCTTGCCGCTCACCTCCAACACACGTCTGCCATCACGACCATCCATACATCACGGTTCCCACCTTTGGCCAGACCAGTGCAATACTGACGCAACAGTGCCCGCCGCGTCCCATTCTGCAGCGCTCTCGGTCTTTTACCACTCCACAAAATTCGCTCATTCTGGCTATAGWTTACTTCTTCTTTTCAGGGTTGAGGAAGCTCTGGCCAGCTCGCATTGCCCTGTCACTTTCTGGTGTAACAGCCAGCCAGCCTACACAGAGAGCTCGACCCTTTTGTTAAGTGATGCACGCGCATCATTGCTTGGTACCGCTCGCGACTACTGTAGTGCATGCTGTGCGGTGCAGTAGCTGCAGAAGACGACATTAATGAAGGCCTGCCATATTAGGTGCAGTATCTACCTGCTATCGTACTCCTAGACCACCTCCGTGGTCGATCCACCCCAGGAGAATCGACCGACGCCCGTCCAGACTCAATACCAAGACACAGGTACCCGAGTTCCGTTGTATGCCGTCGTCGTGGCCACCAGTGAGTGCAGCACAATGCACCTGCAGGTCATCCGACAGCCTCCCTCCCAGCCCGAATGCACGATCCCGTCGCTTCGATATAGTACCCCAGCAAGCGAAGACAGAAACGACGTGTTTAGATGCACCAGAACTCGCCTGGCCCCGGCTGACAGCAAATCATTGCTATCGCAGGGCAGGACTGTCTCCAAACTTGGAAGCTCCACCGTTCATCTTCGCATTCGAGGCCCGCAATTCGGGCCGGCTCAGTCGTCTTCAACCTTCCCGCAAACGGCCCGACGTCTGGAGAAATCACCACTACATGTCTTCAGGAGGTTTTCCATTACACATTGAAGTACATGTACAAGCAGCCATTTATTTGGTGATTCGGTGCTTGCGCGACGAGTACCCACTGGAGACCCGCTGTTGCTAGTGTAGGTCACAGGTGGTACTGTCTGTGCGGCTGCCAACCCATGTCAGCGTCGGATCCACACCTCTGTCCTCTTTGATCGTCTACAAAAGCTGACCAGCGATCGACGACGATTGCGCGAGCTGCGTGGCGACCCCGGCCGTTGGTGTCCGGGGTGCCGTGGCAGGTTTGTGCCACGATAGACTGTCCACATTCGCTCCAAAGCTTCTTCCCAAGGACTACATACTCGCACGCCACGAAGCCGTGGAGCTCAGTATATGCAGAGCGCAGATTAACAGTAGGACGAGCTGTTCAGGGCCTGTTGCCAATACTCCTACAACGAGCAAGCCCAACTCGTATTTCTGCAGGTAGCCTTGAAAAAATGGAGCACATTGAAGCAGACAGTCACGAGTGGTTCCAGATGCAGATCTCTTTAGCGACTACTGGTACACAGCAGCAGAGCCTTCAACTTGCATGGCATAGACGTCAATGATCTTTAGACGACCCAAATTTCGTCCGCAATCATGGTAAAAGGAGGAGTCTGTGTGTGATGATGCCCTCTCTCTTGCGTAAAGTGGCACTGAATTATGTGAGAAAAAAACAAGATTGCATGTCCGCTTGTTGGTATACAAAGACGCGAACAAACAGTGGCATTGTTCGTTGCAGGTGGGCATCATATCATGTATCTCTCTATCCATGCTCTCCGCTCTTGCCAGAAGGAATCCTTACGCAATCCATCGGCGTTTAGACTTGTCAAGAAGCACCAAGCCACTGCAATCAAATGTTTAAATCTTTCAGAGCCGAGCTGCCCCAATCGGAGCTCGCAGTGCTAGATCGATTGGCAACTCGGAGTCCACCAAGTGGTCGAGGCATCTCCACGGGAGACTCTGGGGAATCCGGCCCATAATCAGCATGTGATGGATAGTCGGGATAGCCGTGGTCTGGTTGCTTTTGATATTCCTGATAGTCATCATCCCAGTCTGGTTGATCGTATTGTGGTGGCTGCGCATGGATCGCGGTGAAAGGCTGATCTATGGGTGAATAATCGAGAGTGGTGTTTAGTGCCAGCGGTGCCGGTTTGTCATTCGTCGGGGTATCATCGTTTCTGTTCATGGTAGGCAAACGTGCCTGCGTCTGTACTGTAAGGTGGTCGTTCTGAGACATTGGGGGAACCTCTTCGGGAACCGGTAGGTGTGACAAGCTTTCCACCTGGCGGAGACCGACTCGCTGGCTGCTGGCCATGCCGCTTTGTTCGCTTGCTCTGCGTATGAGACCCTCATTCGGCACCGCAGTGCCGACTGAACCTTCGGCGTCGGGGTCACGGATGCTGAATTGGGCAATGGTTCTCATCTTACGACTGACCCAGCTCGAGAGAATCTTGCCCCTTTGCTTTTCGCCCAACCTTGACCTTGGGAAGTCACCCAACGCAACAAAAGCGACAATGTCCAACACAAGTTGATGCTCGTTGAGCACGGTATTTACAATAATCGGCACAAGCGAGGCAAGGAAGGCGCGAGTCTTGACTTCGGCGATGAGGACGAGAAGAGAGCCTGCCTGGAAGATGGCGCTGTGAAGGCGTTAGATCAAATCACACCACAAAGACATTTCAACTCACCATCCGCTTCGGACGAGCGCTCGGTGGCACTTTTCGACGCTCGCCTCGACGTCCATTGGAAAGTGTTGCAGTCCATTGACTTCGAACGTCTCACCAATGCTTCCCAGTACAAACAAGACCTGCATCTCAACCATGTTGCCGCCAGGACCGATAGGCCTGCTGACAGAATGTAAGAAACCCAGATCGCCTGTCCGAACATACCGTACGCCAGGGTCACCGTCAACAGTCCGACCATTAAATCGTTCGACATCAAATGCATCTTTGGTACCGTAGAAGGAATACGCGTTCGCTTCCGACTGCACCCAGATCTCTCCGTATTCTCCAACAAGGCACAGTCGGTTGGTTTCAGGGTTGACGATGCTGATTTGCGTGCTTACAGGGACCATACCCGAGTCTTGTACGAGAAGTGCGAACGGCTCTTGATCTGGATCGACGGGCACGATGAGACCTCGCCGCAATGCTGTGGTATCGAGATAGATCTCTATCGGCTCGATGCACATGTAGCTTCGGCTGGCCACCATGGGATTGAGAACGTGACTGTAGATGGTGTTGATAGCGGTCCGATCCAGGGCGGACTGAGCGAATGCCAACCGAACGCGGGCATAGACATCGGGTTTAGGCCGTTGCTCTGTAGCAATCATGAGATTCTTCAATTCCTGGAGATGGAGCCCCTTGCCGGCCGAGTGGGCCATTGCGTGATCCAGCATTTGACTCGTCGCGTAGGTATCCTTGATCTTGTAGCGTGCGAGCGTCTGAAACAAGATGTTCGGGTTGCTCGCAAAGTCCACCGGCGAGACCAGATATGTGGGAGTGGCCAAAAATGTGCCCATCATACATGTATGCAGGAAGCCCAAGCCTATTGTACTCCTCACACATCCCAGAACCGGTCGCGTCGATGTCATCTGGCAAGTCTCCTTTTGAACCTTGCATAAAGCCATGATAGTATTGTGTCCGAGTTGAACCGCAATGCGGCGCTGGTCTGGAGTCCAGTAAGTCCAAATCACGACAGGATACCCAGGCGCAATCCATGCAGGCCGAATAGTCAACCCTAGATCTCGGCAACCGTGTGACTGCTTGGGAGGCTTTGAAGTGTTGTAAGTCGGCGGCAGGCTGACTTTCAAAATGAGAGCCGATTGCTTCAAATGCTGAGCTACAGTCTTTTGCTTGAGAAGTGCATCTACATCAGCATTGACGCAGATGGCCTTGATTCGGAAGTCGGCAATCATGTGAAGGAGTGCGGGAGCATCTTCATTCAGCCTGTTCGAGTCAATTGGTGCCATTGGTACAGCCACTGCACCCAAGCACATGGCCGCATGTACAGCAAAGACGAAATCTTCCGAATGCGTGTACATCAAAAGGAGGTGGTCACCAGGCTGGATCCTGACTTTATTCTTCAGGTACATGGCAACGCCCGCAACCTTTTGATCGAATTTTTTCCAATTCACGCCTTTGCCTTCTCGACCCCTTCCATCGACTGTGCAGTACGATAGCTCCTCAGCTTGCCGAGTGACGCGCCACTGCATCAAATCGTGAATGTTGCTGAACTGATTCAGCGGAGTACTCGTCCGATCATCAATCACCACTTCTCTGTGATCGACGCCAGAGTATTGCTTGTCCGAGTGCATTGCCAGCATGTCTTGCCTGGCCTGGCTAGCCATTGGTGACCAGATCCCGCCTGCGGGGTCGTCGCCTAGGGGCAAATTCTGCACAGCGCGCTCGACGCCAAACTTGACATGCACACAGGGCAGGTTGCCATTGTCAAACTCCTTCCGACAGAGCATGTTACCAATGTCTCTCCGTCCATTCTTTATGATGCGTGGTAAGGTGTTGGGGGCTGTCATCATCACGCAATACACACGGAGATGATGCTCTTGGTAGAGCACTTCCATGACTCTCTCGCTGAGAGAGTCCAAGAACGGTATATCCAGCTGCCGGGGTGGGCCACCTGTTGTAGTGGGTGCTGTGCTCGCGGCTTGTGTCTCGATCAGGATGATTGGCAGGTACTCCCCGTTGACGTGCGCATCGAACGCCGAGCAATCGTATATCTTCGGAACCGTCTTCATAATGCTGGCAACCAGATGCTGCACAAAAAAGTACCGATGCTCGACCTCGTATGATCCATGCTCTACCCATTCAACACGCTGCCGTATTCTATCCTCATATAGTCCCAGGACAAATATCTTGCCTTCGATGATGCATCCAAGCAATCCGGTCCGAAGAAATTCTGGTTCGACGAGTACCGGGGTCGGGCTACCCTCCACGAAGCGGTATGGTCTGGCGTGGAATATCGTCTCAGTGTGCTTAGGTAGAGCCCAAAATCCGCCCGAAAGCGATGGCGAGTCTACCCAAATCTCTCCCACAGTCAGAGGGGCGCAAAGCAGGTTGGTCTCGGGATCAACAAGAGCGAGAGTTGCATCCGGGATAGGATATCCAAAAGCGCCCGCTCGTACTGTGCCTGGCTCATTAAGCCGTTTGTGGGCCTCTTCTCCCATCGCGATGATTACCACCTCATTGGTCTTGAGACTCTCCTTGTCAAGCAAGACCTCGCTGAGCTCAGTCCTGCTTCTCTTTTGCATTTTTTTCTTGCCGCTGTTGCTCCCATCAAGTAGACTGGTGTATGCATTGGCAGTGGCCGGGCTGCCTGGAACATCACTGTCGCTGTTGTCTTCGTTGTCCTCCTGTAGTGTAAGAGGGCAGCCCATGCGCTCCTCACCACCTAGCCAGTCTCGAACGGAAATTATCATCCCTCCGTGTTCGGGCAGTGCAAGCATCGGAGCCACAAGTTCCCTCGCGCGTGTGTTCCGCATCGGTTTCAACCATCGATCCGCCAGGATATCATGGAACTCGGCGTCTACGGTCAACGAGTCTATCAGACAAATCTTGACGGAGGAAAAGTTCGGCTCCATGTTTTTCTTGAAATTCCTTGTCGCCATAGGATCTTGCTGATAGTTGTATGCGGCTCTCTTCAATCCCGGATAGTCGGCAACCATGATCGTAGCCCGATATTTGGAGATCAAATGCGCATACATTCCGGGAGTGTCTACAGTCTTGCTCTCAAACCACAAGGTAGTGTGTCCACCATAGACTCCCAGAAGCACGCCGAGAATCAAACCACAGCTCTCGCGTGGGTCTAGGTAAGAGATAATGGTCTCGTGACGGCCAGATCGAGGGACGACATACGCACCATCGGCCGTGCGAAGACTGGACGAGAATGTGTCAACGTTCTCCGTGGCTGGGATTGTGGACACCATTGCAGACAAGCAAGCCATTTGGTGCATGATTGTCCTGTGTGATAGCACTACACCTCGCAAGTCTCCCGTTGGTGCACGCGAAAACTCAATATACGCCAGGTCTGGGACCTGTAGAGGCGCATCACCATCCTTCTTCTTTGGATGGTAAGAACCAAACTCATTCGTCTTCCACCACTCGACGCCGGTTGGCCATTTCAGCCGCTGGGTGGATATGTCTCGCGAGAAGGCTTTCAAGTTGTTATCCGTAGTCAGTGCGAGATGGGCTTGGGTCGTGGTCAGAAGCAACGACAGTTTTTGGTAGTCGTTGACATCGTTGATTGGGACTGCAACTACTCCCGCAATGAAACAKCCCAACAGGGCTATTGCAAACTCAATTACCTCCGTATCGCGGTAAACGAGAGCAACACGATCGCCACGATAAAGATTTGACTTGTCGCGAATGACCTGCGCAACCTTTTCGGCTCGAGAGGCGAGCTTGTCCCATGTTATAGATGCCGTTTCCTTGCCCTTGGGATCCAGTACCCAGTAGGCCGGTTGCCGCGCCTGCATCTTGCCTCGGTGGCGTAAGATGGCACCGAGATTGTCGAATTTGGACATTGGGATGTTGTTATTGTGGGGATCATAGACTGCGAACGGAACGTCGCGCGGTTCGAGTGGTAATTGGTGCACATGTGCAGATGGAAGATCGTCTCGCATGAGTGGCGGAGGTGCCATGGCGGTGGGCGAGAAAGCCTCTCCCATGCTGTAACGTTGCGGGCCACCGTAGCTCTCGCGTGGTCGTTGATCTTCAAGCTGCTGGCCAGCAAAATCCGAAAAGTAGCCCTGCTGCGAATCCAACRTCGTGCTCATTCGACTGCCAGCTTCACTGGACGTACCCCAGCCCTGCCCCGGCACCGTGCCGCCTGGATTGAAAGCGTAGTCCGGTCCCACCATGGTGCCATTATTGGAGCTGTATCGGCTTCCTCCACTGCCTGGCCGACTTCCCTGCGCGCTAGGCGGTTGTATACCAAGCGAAGGCTGCCGTTGCTTCACATGCTGGTGCGGCGCAGGTCTCATGCCCAATTGCTGCTCTTGGAATCGCTGCACCTGACTAGGAGGCCCGCCTGTCGCATCATAGCCTGGCGTCACCGGTCGCGCCGGCCCATCGCCGTTGTACTGGGTGTGATACCCATCGTCACCACCGTACGAGGTATAGTCCTGAGTGAAAGGTCCTGCTGGGATACTGCCGTAGCTCGCGCCCCGTCCGTGTCCGATGCTCGCTCCACTCGAGTACAGGTTGCTTTGATCCGCCTCGATGCCCGCGCTTCCCAGTTGAGCCAGTGTCAGGTATTGTGACAGAATGAGGGTACGTCTCTTTTCCCATCCTTTCTTGGTGATGTCCCCATCCTCCAGCTCATGATCCAATTGTGCCAGCTGCGCTGCGAGTTCGGGATTGTCCTCCATGGTTGCTTGGCCTCATTACACCCGCCGGTGGATGACGAATTCTGCTTTGGTTCGCGCGACGCGCCTTACCTCTGCTGTCAAACGCCAACAATCGAGAAATCAAGCTGTGTTGTTCACACAGATGCCTTACCGGGAAGCGGTACATGTACAAGGTATCTTCACATCGGCAAAAAGGGTCTCCGCGACCGTCACACGTCACACAGGTAAATGACGGCCGCCGACAGAACGGTTCGTCCCGTGCGAGATACGGGCCTAAAATTAGTCGAGATGCCATCCATGGATGAGATGGACAGGACACGCAAGAGGTAAAGTAACGTCGGAGGACTAGAGATGCGGCGCATACGAAATGCTGATGAACGGTGGTTCTCATATTCTACACTACTCGACTCAAAGAGCGCGCAAGTGGGTATCGAACTCGCTGAAACGCAAAACTGTAGGCCTGAATACCTCTCCAAACCATTGAAGTCGTAATCTAATATGTGAAGGCTTCTTCCACAAAATCCAAACTGACGTCGGTGACCACGCTTCTGCAAGCCGCCCGAACGGTGTCTGCAAAAGCTCCTGGTCCGCAGACGGTCACTCCGACCGATCCTATCCGTTCAGGCATTTCTCTTTCGATGACCGTCTGCGGATTGCAGCGACCTGGAAACATCTGAACAGACCCTGTGCTGGAGACGACTTCGCCTCTATGCCGAGGTTTCGTGATGAAAAGCTGTATGCGGAGGACGTCTCTCCTGAACTCCATCCGAAGAACTTGGTCCATCCAATCTCGAACCCATTCCAACGACTCTGTGTTCGGCACACTCCAGACCAAGAGGATTTTCCTGGTGCTGYAGATGCCGGCCTGGTACTGGAGCATGAGATGATGAATGTACCCAATGCAGTGGGTAATACCAACGCCACCCGCGAACAAGATTACTGTTCCGTACGACGAGAGGGATTCGTGACCCCCATACGGCCCTTCTATGGCGCCCCAGGTGACAAAAGACTTCTTGTCTGCCTTGGCAACTTTGTTGTACATCTTTCTAGTCATGCCCGTTCTCGCGCGGATGACGAGTGACAGAGTCGTTACATTTGAGTCGCGGGGATGCGAGAGCCCTACGCTCTCTGGTTGGGGCGCTGCTGCCGCTACCTCTGCCAATGATTGTAAGGTCGCGCCCTTTTGCGGGTGGTACTGTGATGTTCGAGGGCCAAATGTCGACATCCGCGGTCCAAACGTGGACATCCGCGGTGCAAATGTTGACATGCGTGGCCCAGCGCTGCCAGGTCGATGTGTCGCGAGACTTGGTTCCAGTTGCATGATGGTGGTGCTTGCAGAAGGCACCTTCTCKAGCTGGGCCATTTCAATCTCCATTTCCATCGGCGATCCTTTTGGTCGGTTCTCTGCCCATGCTATCGAGAACGGATGGCTCGACCACAATGCCAATGCTGGGATGTAAGCATGTACGTGACAACCGGGCCTCCACTTCCAAGGTCGAGCCAGTTCAAATGTCACCCTGCACGCTTCTGACGGGAGCCATTCCACTGTGACCTTTGTCAGGCCTCGTTTGCGGCTTGCGTTGTGATATAGTATGCGGCCCATTCTCCAGGCAACTTCCGCACCCCACAGAGCAATGCTGAGCTGAACGTATGGGAGCATGGGAAGATTGGCCGCGTCCAGGTGGACGTATACTCCCACAATGCCGGCCAACACCAAGATTCGGTGCGAAGTGATGAAGGTCTCGTATGCCGCATGTCGCAGGGGCCCAAACGCTGCGAGAGCGATAAATGTAAATACGGCGGTGGCAACCATCCCCCATCGATAACTGACAGATGTCGACAAAGACGTTGAGACCTGATCATAACCTCCTGCCGATATCGCATTTGCTGCCCACATGGCCGTATGCATCACACTTTCGAGTACCATGATCCGGGCACACCAGCGGTGGAAAAGATTAAATGTATCATAAGAAATCCGCAGTAGCGGTATGAGGGGGTTGTTGCGGAGCGCGAAAAGAATTGTCGGTATTAGGTTCAGCGCTGCCAGCACGCCGGTTCGCCCGCGCATCTCTGCGATGACATTGTAAGATGAAAGACTCCAATCTAGGACCAAGCAGTACGCAATGTTGGAAGCCACGTATAATAGCAAGAGAATGGTGTGAAATCTGCTGGGCAATGTGCCGAAAGAGACCGCGCTTGTGAGCTGCAGCTCTCTGTTGTGTCGGTTTTTCCATAGCGGTGCATATAGCAAAGACTTCTTGATCCGAGGCCATAGTTGCGTGCGGTTGTGCATGAAATATCGCTGGTCGGATTCGCGGTGCATGGTGAAGAGATGGCGCATGTGCGCGTCGGCCATCTTGATCCATCGGTAGCCAAGAGTGATGGCCAAGAGCGCCATGAAGGAAATAACGAGCGTGTTGGCGAAGAGGTAATTCATGTATTGATTGACTCCGGCCAGGCCATGCGCAAATGGGGATGCCGCCGCGCTGAGGTTGAGCGATATGCCGTAGTCTGTGACCGGGCCATCTTGGACCGCAATCGCATCTGGAAACGGATCGGGGTCTCGAGACGCCATTCTTGCGTGTTCGGCATTGGCGGGGAAGTGGAAGTCGTGCGCACGAGCGTGGTGAAGGTGTGAATGAAGGTGTTGAAGGGCCATTGTCGCCCGCAACGTGGAGTCGCCCTGTGGTAGCTTCTGAMAAAGAAAGGAGACCACTGTGAATACCAACCGCTTGTGGATTAGCAGTAGCGCCGTACCGCCTTTCTTGAGCGGGAAGTCAAATGCAAAACGAGTGGCCCTGGAGTAAGATTGCAGTGAGTGGCGTAGGGTGTTTGTTGGAAGTCAGTAGGCCAGGCGGTCAGGGCGAACGGGACTGGCGTTTCGCTGGCGGCAACAATTATTGAAAATTAATAACGATTGAGAAAATAAAAGCGAGTGTCGGTGCGGTTCATGACGATGTGAAGAGCAGGTGTGGTTCTCTCCGATTGTTTCTGTTTGTTCCTGTTCCTGTTCCTGAGATCCGCGTGGTCCCGTTGCCGAGATGCAGGAACGCGGCTCGGGATCGGAGGCTWCCCGTGCTCAGGGTCGCGCAAGCTGTGCAATAGGTAAGGTACCTAGGTAGGTGTCTCGGTGACTTGCGAGTCGTGGTCGCTGGATCGCTGACAGGATGATGTATAAAAATGTCCAGCGGTAGAGTGTGACCTGTCGACTTGAAGATGTCGGAGCGAGGTTTGAAGAAGAAAGTGGTTGAGGAAGCGCTACCTTAGTAGGCTGGCGTGAGGACCCGCGAAGAGGTCCAAGCGCACGAACACCTAGTTAAAGGAGAGTGATGACCAGGAGCAAGCCAAATCCACCAAAAAGAGCTGCCTGCACGAGGCGGATTCAAACTCGAGTCTTCCATCCGCGGACGAGCTACACGAGACAAGTCTTCGACTTGTTTGCGCACGATCCTGAGACAGGTGTCACCCAATCGTTGCTCTCGCCGACCCTCACTTGGCGACAAAGTCCTGCTCGGCGCTAACAGAAGCGGCGCGGCACCGTCGCAAGTTGAGCGACGTGATCAGACGGTAATGATTGAAGTGTTGCGGAGGAGAGGCGGAACAGTTACATATACAGTAGGYGGACTGATCCCCGAATCTTCTTGTCCATCTAGATCTCCATCTCCCGAGCATGATAAACGATCGTTCCCATGGGTGAGTGCTTCACGTGCTTGGTCGGCGTATGTTTCTATATATACTTCCATTTGTATAAAACGCCAACACGTGCCGTGGCGCGTGAGCACAATTCATATACTTCCTCCAAGTCTCCAGGCTCGTGCAACTCGGTTCCGCGAGCTAGAACTTGTGAGTTTGTGAATTTGTGATATGCCTTTAGTTAAGCGGAGTTACTCCGTGCTATACAACTGCAGCTTGTCGATGATAGGCTGTCGTTGTTTCACGGGCGTGTCTAAGACCCTTTGACGATCAACACCCCTCTTCACATGGCAACCTGGAACTGGCACTTCTGACACTCCGGCATTGCTTCACCGACTTCTCATTTTCTCTTCTCTCTACAATCACCATTCTTCTGCAGCGTCGTGGTCGTTGTCGGCCATACTGTGATCGAGCAGGACGCGGATCCCGGTAGCAACACCCCGGTCGGGTAGCGTAACGGCCGCGATCTCACCTCTGAAGAATCATAAAAYGACAGGTACGTGATAGCGGAGGCTGCAGCGGTTGTGACTCGTGCGGCCGATCAAGACACGATGAACAGTCTGTACCGGCAGACTTTATTGCTAACACAATCGCAGTTGGCTCGCAACCCGCTGCCCACGTTGATGGAGTCGGAGGATTGGGAACATCCGCCAACGCCTCCGCCCAAGGACGCCCGCTACGCAGCTGCAGTCGACATTGCTGCAATGGATGGCGATGCTGGTTCGGCTCCAGCCAGTGGTTCGAAGAGAAAGCGTGCCGCGCACGACTTCGACGAGACCGTCTACGAACGACGCAATGGCCAACTAGAAGCCGTCAACGGGGACCAAGATCTGCCGACCGCGCAGAAACGTCCTCGCTCACATGCCGGCCGCCGTAACAGCAACTACTCCGACGACGAATTCGCGCCAGCCCAGCGTTTCGAAGGTGGTAGCCTGCGCCGCAAGAGAGCGTTTGGCAATCTCAGTAACCTGAACCTGCGTCATGCTGCTGCCAGTGCATTCCGTGACGAGAGTCCGACACGAGAATCTCGCTTTCAGGAAGGGAGCCTCAATGACAGACCTAGCCAGCAGCCGCCCAGCGTGTTCACCCGTATCAATCGCACCGACTCCGGTAATCTACAGCAGGTGGATACCCTCATGAACGATTACCACGAGGATATGGTGGCGCCCAAAGATTCGAGTGATGCATACGTCCAAGCCACGATCGAGTACGAAAAGGCTAGCATGCCAGCACGCGTGGCCGAAATCACAGATGAGAGGAAGAAAGAGGCGAGCAAGCATGGAATGTTCAAATTCGGCAAATCCTTCACCAACACGTTCCATCCTGTGCAGCTGTGGAACAGGATGTGGAGCGAGAGCAAGGAAGAGTTGATGGTCAGGAACAGGCTCGAGGCAGAGCGCAAGGCACGGGAAAAGGCGGAGATACAAGCAAGATACGACCAGATGAAGAGAGACGGTCTCTTCAACACACAGCATGTGCCCTTCGCCGGCAGAGGCAGAGCAGGCACCCCACCGGCTCAGGATTCTGTCATGGCCGATGATGTTTCCGAGGTCGGCAATCACCAACGCATCGATTCGTTTGAGCTACCGCGCTCACAGAGCAGCGACACTCGTGATGCTCGTGAAGATCCCGAAGCAGCAGTGCCTACAACAGCCACCAAGGGCCGATTTTCACGCTTGCACTTCAAGACGCCRTCAATCTCCAACTTGCGGGACACTTTCAGGAGCGTTCGCAGCGTCCGCTCCCACTCAGCTTTGAGTGGAGCCATCGATAGGGACTCATCCGCCTCCGGCTCTGTGTCTCCTGCCAAGGCCGACCTTTCTACGCTTAAGAAATCGATTTCCAGATATGACTTGAAGAAGGAGAGGCGTCTTTCGAATCGTGTGAGTGATCTTGAATCGAAGCTGAACAAGGCACGCATGGAGCTCAAAAATGCCCTTGATGATGCAAGCCCTATGCCAAGACTCGGCGGCAAGTATGAGAGATTCACGCCCATTGGCACGACGAAGAGATCCAGATTTGTTCCGGGCGCCTTGGCCACTTTGCCTAGTGAGCGGCTGCTGTTCCCAGAAATGTCTACTTTGCAAGCCAGCAGCGAGGAGCAGGGCAGGGACCTTGCCATTGAGGCCCGGCCAAGAAATACTTTGGCACTCAACAGTGGTATGGACATGAGCGAGGCTTTCGAGAATGTCTATGATGGGGATAAGCAGGATGGGAGGACTGTGCCAGTCCGAAATAAGAAGGAGCTGACCGAAGCTGCAATCGAAGTTCCCCAACCGGGCGAGGTGGCCACCCAAGATATCGAAGTTGAAGTTGAGACTGTGACAGTCACTTCCAACCCTCACAATGAGGCAACTATTGCCAATCAACCGGCAACCGCTGCCCTCAACGATAAGTTGAGCGCTCTCGAGGCCTCGTACAAGGCCAGTAAGCCTGGAAGGTCGAAGAAACGCCGATCTGGGGCCGCCGATGAAAAATCATACCGTCCGGATGCTGACGAGGAAGAGACATCGGAAGAGGATCTGGTTCCTCAGAAGAAGCGCAAATCGGATGGGAAGTCCGCAGGCGCCGGCAAGAAGAAGCTGCCAGGCAGTAAGTCCGGGAAGAAAACTGGCATCCCAGCCCCTGTTGCCGATGCAAAGGGCAAGAAAGGAAGAAAGACCTCCAAGGCTGCCGACAAATTCTTCACAAATGGAGGCCTGATCACCGATGATGGCGACAGTCACGACGAGCTCGCGTCCGCCGCACCCGCTGGCGCCGATTCCGATGTACCATCTCTGGAGCCGGTGTACGAGGAGGAAGAAGAGACTACGACTGTGCCGCTCAAGGACGAGCCCAGCAAACCAACTGCCAAGTCTACGCCCGCACGCTACGCAACTGATACGGCTCGACCACACTCGAGCAGCCCGCACAAGACACGTAGCGATTCTTTGCTACCTCCGGTAGTTGGTGCGGTTGTGCGGTCGTCAGCCCGGAGTCCGCCTCCCAAGGGCCGTCGGGTGGAGTCAGCAGATGCCCCCGTCAGCGCCGTGCCCGGCGAGAATGGTGTCCCGAGCATGCCCGTTGGTGACAATACGTGGACTTGGCCCGCGGATGTCTTTTAGGAGGTTGATGATTTGCCAAGACGTATTTGGGCACCTTGATTCACATAATGGATCGCTTTGAATGGACTGCACGCGGGAGGCAAGGAGTTTACCATTGGTCATGGTTTGACGAGAACTGTAAAGCATACTCTAAATTCACGGATAATGATTACATGTTGCATAGCGACGGGGGTCACATTGGGTTGGTAGTGGGACCTGTGTAATGAAATATACTCGACCATTGAAACGCTGATCGTAAATGACTCCCTGCAGATGCACCCTGCCGCCATACTCTTGGTATTGATCAACGTGTTGGAGCATTCGCGTGCGCTTGATGGATTTTGATACTGTTCTACTCGTAATCGTCGATCGTATTCTGCGCATCATCAAAATGTGGTATCTCTAAAACCCCTCAAGACATCCGCATGAGAACGCCACTAAAATGCCGCTAATATCGCCGTCACAGATAATGAACTCCAGAAAATCATATACATTGCATCCACCTTCTCAAGCGTAGAACCAGTATTCTGCGCTGTACTCAATCTCGAACGCGGCTTTCTGACCCGTACACGTGGCAGGCGGTTGACCACCAGCAGTGTTGATCCGGTAGATTTCCTTGAAGACACAGCCTTCAGAGTTCTTCGATTGTAGCTTCAACCAGGGCACAGCGCCGTAGCCTTTGCCGTTTTGTCCTTTGGCGGCGTCTGTGGGAGCAGCAGTGGCGTTGACTTTCTTGAAGCCGCCGGCGCTGTATTTTCCAACAGCAGTGTTGAGGTCGAAGTATGCGGTTGTCAGGTCGGAGAAGTAGTGGTGGCCTGAGAGATCCTTGTAGGCTGCTGTGCTCTCAATGGTTACGTCTGGTGTGGGGAGTTCGAGAGCAATGTTGGGGACTTTGTTAAGGAGCATGGGGCTGTTTGCTGATAGGCATGTTGCGTTCCATAGAGAAGCCACGGCACCAATAGCAGCTGGGACGGCCGTGCTGTTGCTTAGGTCGCAAGTGTAGTTTTGTGTGCCACGTCCTACTGCAACATGGTAGAGTGAAAGGCCAGCGGCTGGAGGCGGAAGTGGCTTCGGTGCTGTGAGATCTTAGAATTGTAGGTCTTGATCATCATGTCGAAGTTGCATACCTGCTGGCATTTGGACGGCTGCGACGTTACATGAAGGAGCAATGTTTTGATGTCCATACTGAGGGGCTTTGTTCACGCCCCATGCATTGTGGTCGGACCAGTGTTCCTTTCTGTGTGGCACTGCTGCCACAGCTGCCGATAGGGCTAGCAATAGACTCGTCCTGGAGAACAACATGGCGGTGATGTTCGTTTGTGGTGGTAAGGCGCTGTTTGATGTCTGGCTCGTCGAAGTTTCGAAGTCGATGAGGTCTTGCTGTAGGTCGCAGGGATTGTGAAAAGGTTATCGTGAGGCAAGGACAGTATGCTCTTCATTTGAAAACGGGCAACTTGGATGTATTTCTATATACATGGCCGGGGTTTGTGCCACGCGACGAACGGCCGTGTGGGTCTGTAGGCGCCCGATGAAAATAGATCTATTTGCATGCAAATTAGCCCTCTTTCGATCGCCATTCGGCAGAGACCGTAAGATAGGGCCCTGGACTTTTTAGAACCGCAGACAAGTCAACAAGCCTGCCTCTTACAAGCTCTAGTGAGATCGTTGGTGAGGATTAGAAGGCTTAGTCTGTTTTGCGATATGTACTCATTCTCTCGTCACCCATTGCCTCCTTTTTCGCGGACTTGAAAGCAAACATCGCTCAAGAGGTCACAGCAACTCCGCAAATGCACATTTAGGCGCAGATGTCGTCTATGCGGGCAGGCTATTGTTGGCAAAATTAACTACACTGAGCTCCACTGGCAACAAAGGAAGACTCCAGGCCAATCGAATGCTCCCAGCGCCTACGGCAGACAAGAGGCTGGCTTGCCCCGCTTCTGCTGATTTGACGCCTCCATCTGCTCGCGTTTCAGTCGGCCACACTGCCGTGGCCATCTTGCCAAACGGCCCGCTACATCCTTGACGATGTGAGACTAACGTACAATGCGACTCGAGACGCGCGCTCAATCGCTGCAGAAAATGAGAGTGGGTACTTGCCAGCCTGCCTTCAGCTTCGACATGGAGGCGCCGGGCACCTGCGGTGGCGTACGCGAGGCCGCTCGGTGCATTCCAAAATGAAGCCCCTCTGCGTTGCACAAAGCGCTTCCGGATCGCGCGGCCAGAGTGAGGCCTTGTCGGAGTTGAATGCGATGTTGTGGAGCGGATATAACGGATGTAAGCTCTGGACATGAGCGCCTCGCCTGTTGATTTTCGAACAATGGGATCATGACCAGGACCCCCAACGACAACCCGTCGCTAGCATTCTTCCGCCCATATGCGGCATCGTGTCTTATCAAACGTCCAACGCTGATGAGGTCACTATCGTCGGGCCAAAGGACTCGCACTTTTCGGCAAAGTCCACGTTGCCCTTGAGGTTTTGTGCAGAGCAAAGCGCTTTCACGACAACAGTCTCGTTTCTTTCCCTGACCAGCAATCTGAGGGCCTTGATGAGGAAACCACTGACAAGCTCTACCGACCAGTCGTCTGGTATAAGCTGCAAGACCTTTTCTACGTCAAACCAGCCACCAAATCTCTCCAAAAGCTCCGCACTCCTCTCGATTCTCTCTCCAACATCGTCGATGTTGAAAAACTCATTGAGAAGGTGCTCGAAAAGGACKGCTTGCTCGTCTTTTTCTGGCAACTCTGTCTGAGGTTCCGAATTTGATGTGGGGTGAAATATGCTCGATCCTCCGAGTAGACAGTATCGTATGGCTGTGTCGTAGTCGCCCAGTCCATGCGTCAACAAACGAAGCGCTTCCGGGTGCCTTCCCTCTCGTCCGTTGAGAATGATCATCTCTGGGACTAGCTCCTGACTGTACGGTGCTAGCCGCTCGCGAAGCGTAGCGACATCATATTGTGATGCGGCACCATGTGAACCTCCTATGAGCTGCAGGAGGCGGTTTCGATTATGCCACCATGCGGCATCCACAGCGTTATCGGAGATGAACTGTCGATATGTCGGTTTGGGTGGTCGCAGGGCGCGATACGTTTCGTAGGACTCCAACAGCGTCGTCTGAGCGCTGGAGTCAGGGTTGGACAGCTCTGCAAGGACCGTGTCCAAGTAGAACGAAATCAGGTCGTTGACGTATTGGACATGATTCTTTCCAAATACGAGGTGCTCCAGATAGTCTTTTACGGCTCCGGGCGCTTTCGCTTTCAGTATTGCCACAGCTTCGGKCGGTTGAAATTTGACTCGACTTGTGTCGTCTGCAAACACTTGGACGCCAAGTATGGGATTGCGATTGGCAAGCCACGCTCCATACTCCTGCACAAGGCCTTGATCGCGAATTTTCGACAAGTATTTCCGTATGACTTGCTCGCCATCGACAATCTCACCACCAACATCTTCCTCGCCTTCCATGACACGTCTCCATGTAGCCAATACCTTTGGTGCAAGTTTCCGACTTTGGTATAGCCGGCTGAGCAAGTAGAGTCGACGAAATTGTTCAAAAAGCTCAACGGCCCGATCGAAGCAATCTACGCCTTTGTCGACGACTTCGTTGATATCTGCTCTCACGCTACCAGCCACCGCTGGCCCGCGCGCCGAACTCTGGTCGAGGAAGAGCAACAGATGGAGCAACGCCGCATCTACTGTCTGGAATACAGGAGTCTCGTCGGCCACGCTACCAAAGCCTTTCTTTTGTCGCCATAGTGTAAGGTAGCGTTTCAGCACACCGAGCAGGTTGTCTGCGTAAGGTCCTGTGGGATCGCGAACGATCTTGGCCACATCCACGCTCTGGCGTAGATGCTCAACAGTGTCGCGTATGCCTTGTGGCATCCATACGCCCTCGCTTCCCTCTTTGATCTCGCCATCGAAAGGGGGGACAACAGTCAGTATGATTCGCGGATCTATATCGCCAGATATCAAAGCATCTTCTGCACGACGCTTGTCGTGCTCGTATGCGATCACACCGCGAGCAGTCTGCAGAACCAGATTGCCAAATAGGAGTACTGCAGCCTTTTGTCGGACATAGGTGAGGGTAAGGAACTCTAGCTCATTGCGAGGATCCTGCCCGCGAATACTGTTGACAACACGCTGTACTAGCGGGACGTCAATTTCAAGATTCTTGTCATTACTCCATTGCATGGCTGTGCTCAATTGCGCGTCCAGTCGTGCGATTAGTGGCGTTCGTACCACCCAGCTAACTCGATCGCGGGAATAAAGAAGGATGTTGGTGTGCGCCTGGCCGAAGCGTGCGGCGAGGGCGTCTTCTTCTTGGTTGCGTTTGGTCTCTGCATCAGAGACAGTCGTATCCGGCGATTGATGGGTCAGCATCAGGCGTCGCATGCGTAGACTAGTAGTTATTCCCCTGGCGGAAAGGTCGGCTGGGGTTACGGCGCTTCGCAGCCCAAATGAGCTCAAGCTTTTATCCGGTCCTACATCTGAGCTTCCTGTGACCGTATCGAGGATCAACCACTCCTTGCTCCTCTGTGCTTCAGAAGGGTCATCAGCATTCCATGTCTGGAATTCAATGCAGCGTTGTAGGCCATCGTCGGAGTTGCGCTGAACAATGGCCAGAACATATTCCTCTTCTGATGATCCATCCATGGCAGCATCCGGCGAAACACTATTTGACCGGTCGAGAATGACACAATGAGGGTAGCTGGCGAATTCGATCGTCCCACGAACCACATCTCCGTCCAGGTTGACGAACATGCCGACCCCTGGTTCATCCTCCGTCGTTCCGGTGGTAAGCAGGAACTCATTAGGTGTCGGCGATAGAATGTTGGGCAGGAGAGCTGACCCTCGGGCCTCTGTTGCCTGAGACTGAGATTCGATTGCCGCTGGCGCCGCAGCTTCGTCCACAGCTTGCGGCGCAGGGCTTTCTTCGCGACTTGATGTCCCTAGTGGCGAGTCTGACTGTCGCGACGATCGTCTCGCCGGCCATGGAGACCTGTTCTCCGGCCTCAATCGCTCCGCTGTCCGAGCTTGGTTGCTCAGTGCTTGACTTCCAAGACTGATGTTCCTCTGGTGACCTCGCAGCGATCTCACTGGACTATGCGACGAGAAGCTCCTGGATGGCCCTCTAGTCGATGTCGGGAGAGGAGCAATTGCTTCCGGTGGAGGGCGTGGCTCACTATATGAGGATATAGGGAACAGGTCGTTTTTCCTTTGGTTCATCACGTCCAGCAATGCGTACGTCGTAGCGTCCGCAACGCAGGCGAGATCTCCTCGTCGCTCTACCCTAGAGACCGCGCCCAGCTCAATGTCCCGAATCTTACGCGGTGCGGCTTCGTCGCCAATCATGATCAAACGCAGTCTCTGCCGCAGACAGATGATGACCACCGTACCCTGGCTACTCTGCTGATCTTCCACATCATTACGATCCAACCCGCCCACCCATGAACAGCCCGGTTGTTGAATCCTGCCTTCGTATGCCGGGCTCAGCTCCGGAAGAGTGTAAAAGGTGAGGGTGCTGTTGCACACCACGCATGCCTTGCTTGCATTGGGCAGCAGCAAGATTTGTTTGACACCTTCGTCGGCACCCTCCTGTTTCGTGCGATACGTGGGTTTGATTGTGGTTGCGAAGATGTAGCTCGGCATACCACTCTCGTCTGATGGGTCCGGTGGGATGGAGACATAGTGTAGCACTTCACCAGATGAGGTGCCAATGTAGAGGTTGCCATTCCACGCGTCAACACATGTAATGTGTGCACGTGTGCCATTCTCGTCGGTGGAGAGCGGAACATCGCGAATCAGCTCGCGCAGTGAGTAGCTGCCGGGAGAGCCATCGACCGTGATCGAGGTGAGCGCCGGAGACTCCATTGTGGCCGGTGCATCATGACATTGTTCCTGATATGGGCTAATCCATTCAATCTTCACAAGTCTTCCATGTCCCTGTATGCCATGTGATAGGGATGCGTGTAGCATCGAGTGGGAGTGGGGTCCAAAGGCAGTCTCACATGCAAGCGGAGACAGCTCCGACCTATAGAGCTTCTACGCAATCACCCCCGAGCTCCGCCGCGTCCACTTCCATCGATACTTCCGACCAGGACAAGGCATTGACAGACCACGCTGCAGTAAAGTGGCGACGACATCTGATTCGATTCGAACGAACAGAAGCACAGTTTCGGCTAGAGTTCAATCTACCTATTCAGTAATGCCACGGTGACCACATCATGGCCGACACGATTGATGATCAGAGCAAAGGCGGCGCAGATGGGACCGAAAATGAAACTTCGGGAACTGCGTCTGCTGCTGCCAGTAATGACAACAAGTTCCAGCAGGCTGTGGCAGCATGGCGTTCGCTCGATCTGACAACGCTCGTAAAGGCCCTCGATTCGACCGCGGAGGAAATGGTCACCCAGCAAAAAGAGTCGCTGGTGCAGCGTAAAGAGTTGGCGGCAAAGACCAAGGACTTTCGAAAGATGGACGATACGGCCAAGCTGGCTGAGATGAAGGACCTGTTGAAAGCCTATCAGAGTTACATCGACGTGGTCACGACCCATAACAAAGCAGTCTCATCCGCCTTCATGCAGGCATACTCTCCTCTTTCAGAAGCACCGGATCCTTACCCTCTATTGGAGGCCAGCATTGATTCCTTGATCACAGCGGATGAGGTGGTGCCGAGGTTGGAGAGTGAAAACGTACAGCTGCACAAACAAGTTTCGAAGCTCAACGGCCAGCTTGAGGAGCGTGAAAAACAATTGGAGACCGAGCGGAACAAACGTCAGTCCTTTGAAGGGTCACAGGATTCGCGGGTGAAGGAAGTGGAGGAGAGCTGGTCGAAGGTATTGCAGGAGAAGGAGGAGAATTGGACAAGCAGGGAGCAATCCCTGGAAGAAAAGGTTCAGAACCAGGAGAGGTTGCTAAAAGAGTTAAAAGCCAACTATGAGGTTTCACAGAGACTGGAAAAGTCAGGCGAGGACCAAGGCCTTGGAGAGCGCAGCAATGCGGCTGCCGCCGAATTGGAGATTGTCACATCGGAACTGGAGAAGACGTCCATCAGACTGTCGGATATGGAGGCGAGAAATGAACAGCTGAGGCTTGAGCTTGCCCAGACCGCTACGCAGTCCAACAGCTMAGGACGGAACACTTCTGTGGAAGATGATCCAGCTTTCTTGCGACTGCGATCCGAGAATTCGTCACTTCTCCGCCGCTTGGACACTGCCCGGCTCGACAGAGATGCGGACAGGACCACTCTCGAGAACAGACTGCGAAGCGTGGAGAGAGAGCTAACCACCCTCAAAACCGACCGTGATGCTCTGCAGACAAAGGTTTCTAAGTGGTCTGATTATGATGAAGTCAAGCGCGAGTTGGAAATGATTCGTGCTATCGAATTCTCCGGCGGTGATGATCTGGATGATAGTGAAGACATTTCGCACGCTTCCAATGGCGCAACTCAAGGGGGCGAGAGCCTGGAACAACTCCTCGTTGCCAGAAACAAGAAATTGAGCAATGAGCTTACCGAGCTGCGAGTGTCGAATCAAGATCTACAGCGAAGATTTGAAGATTTGCAAGAAGATCTCTCCACAGCCAACATGGATCTCGAGAAATCTCGAAAACTCAATGCAACGTTGGAGAACGATCTGCAGAAGACACAGCAGGAGGCTAGCAATGCTTTTGAGACGATGAGTGTTGCGGGAACATATACGTCTCGATACCCCAAGTCCTCCTACGGCAGTAGGAGAGGCGGAGGAGGAACCTCGCCGACATCTTCTATTATCGGCGGCTTCGAAGGCGCCGGTTCCTCCTCCCCCCGCACGCTGGATGCCCTCCGTGCCGGAGAAGCTGGTGCGGGAGGCGGCATCCTTCCAATGGTCACTGCGCAGCGCGATCGATTCAAAAAGAAGATGGGCGAGTTGGAGACTGAGCTGCAGAAGCAGTACGCCTTGGTATCCAGCTTGCGATCTGAAGTCGCAAGCTTGCAGAAGGATAATCTCAATCTCTATGAGAAGACGAGATATGTCTCCTCTTATAATCGTGTGCAACCCACAAGCTCCGGCGCAGCCTATGGAGGCAATCCGAATCCTTCGGCTGTGCAAATTGGGGGTGGAGGTGACTTGGATGGGAGATATAAATCTGCATACGAGCAAAACCTTTCTCCCTTTGCGGCGTTTAGAGGCAGGGAGAGCGCGCGGGTGCTGAAGAGAATGAGTTTGCCAGAAAAGGCCGTGTGGAGAGTGTTGAAAGTGGTGTTGGCTACGAGGTGGAGTCGGAACCTCTTTGCAACATATCTCTGCGCGCTACATATTTTCGTGCTAATGGTTCTTTTTGGGCATAACGATGTTACGGCTGGGCCGAGCATGCCTATGGCAGGCGTTCTTGGAGGTGACTCGCCACGAGGAGCTGAATACTTACCAGAGGGATTTGAAAGTGGTGGAAAGTCTTAGCATTCAAATAAATGATGATCCGATGAGTGACCTCTGAGAATATTTCATAGTCATCCCAGCACATTTCTCATTTCTGTGATGTGACAAAATCCGTGCTGTTGAGCTGAGGTTGCCCGGTCTAGCTGTCCGGAGACCCTCTTTGCCTATGTCCGCTACCAAATTTTTATCTCCAGGTGAATGACTTCACTTCAACACCAGCGCTTTCGGATTCCACATCCCTACATGAACCCATTCGGACCAAGCGCATGGCGGAATATTACTTCACTGACTAAAGGTGACATATGCCGTTCTCTATTTAACCCCACACCGACCATCAGGATTTGTGCACGTCAGCATACCGCCATGGCTCCCGTACAGCAAAAACTGCATGGCCGAGCATTCTACGAGAGCATCGGCTCGCCCAAGTATGTTGTGGCACCCATGGTCGATCAATCCGAGTTTGCATGGCGTCTCTTGACGCGCTCGTTCCTCCCGCCGGACCTACGCAGCTCTGTGCTTGCCTATTCGCCGATGCTGCATGCGAAACTGTTCACCGACTCGCCCAAATATCGCGCAACGCACTTTGAACCGCTGCAACCGCCCCTCGTTCTTGCGGCACCCGGTGATGGCGCGCAGCAGGCAACAATGGGCGCTGAGGATGCATATCTCGATGGCAATCCTGCCATCGATCGACCCTTGTTCGTGCAATTTTGTGCCAACGAGCCGGAGGTGCTCCTCCAAGCGGCCAAAATTGTTCAGCCTTACTGTGATGCCGTGGATTTGAATCTGGGCTGTCCACAGGGCATTGCGAAGAGGGGCCACTACGGAGCATTTCTGCAGGAAGATTGGGACACCATTTTCAAGTTGATCAACACACTGCACAATGGGCTGGACATTCCAGTGACTGCAAAGATGAGAGTTTTGGAGACAAAGGAGAAGACTTTAGAGTACGCAAAGATGATTCTAAGTGCGGGAGCAAGCATCATCACAGTACACGGACGACAGCGGGAGCAGAAGGGGCACAACACTGGCTTGGCTGATTGGAGCATACTTCGGTACCTGCGTGAGCAGCTACCCCCTGCGACGGTCATGTTTGCCAACGGTAACATTCTTCAGTACGATGATCTCCAGAAATGTCTGGACGCTACAGGTGCAGACGCGGTGATGAGTGCCGAAGGCAATCTCTATGATCCGTCCATATTTGCGGCCGGACCACCCATCGGCGAGGAAGGGCGGGAGTACTGGCGAGGTCGGGATGGTAAGGGCGGTTATCGTGCAGATGCCGTCCTGAGGCGATACCTGGACATAATATACACCCACGTTCTGCGGAAAGCCCCGCCAAGCAGAGAGCCGCTATTCGTATTGTCCGACCCTCGACCAGAGGAGTCTCAAGCACAGACGGGAGAGAAGCGTAGCTTAGAGAGCACAGAAGGTCCGCCGCCCACCAAAAAGCAAAAAATCGAGGAGGGTAAAAAGAATAGAAAAGGCGCAAAGCAGGAGAAATGCACCAACCCTAACCTTACGGCGATGCAGCCGCATTGCTTTCACATTCTCCGATCTCTAGTCGGGAGCCACCACGAGGTTCGAGACACACTGGCTCGATGCCGCCCAGGAGATCTCGATGCATACGAGAACGTGCTGAAATTGACCGAAGAGGCGGTCCGAGAAGGACTTCTGGCGTATGAGAAGGATCCGGCCCAATTTGAGTATCCGGATGTTCAAGATGGAGAGGATGCCTCAGACCCGGAGCTCTCCAGTACCGAGGCGGTTCGTCGGTGTAAACGACCTTTCTGGATTTGCCAGGCTCATGTGCGGCCACTGCCAAAAGAAGCATACGAAAAGGGCTCACTGAGACTCAGTAAGAAAGAGTTGGCAAAGCTCAAGGCCGAGCAAGAGGAGAAAGAAAAGGCCGGAATGCCTGCTGAGGGCAAAGTAGATGTCATTCAGCCCGAGGCCGCCCTCAATGAGGATCCGAAGCCGGTTGAAGTGCCAAGGGATGGTGTAGTCTGTGGGTGAATACCTCAATCATCCATGTCTAACCGTGCTCTCAACGCGATGAAGCCACGCTGATGAGGGAGCGTCCGATTGTTTTGCACCCTGAATACTGCAATGACGCAGGTGCGGCAGTACGCACTTCGGACTCAGTAGCGGTCTACACTGGCTGCTACTTGTCGTTGAACTCCATCTATGGTACCGCCATGTAACGCGAGCACAACGCGCTGGCCTGATCAGAACATACTCTGTCGGCGCCATCTGGCACAGCTTGAGAATACGGAGTAGCCGAGTCCCTGTAAGATAGCCGATCTTTCTCTGCTGACAAGGGATGTGCCCTCTCTTACTCCTTTCTCCCTTCTCGTCTCTTAACCAAAAGGCCATATTCTTCTTTTGCGCGTGCCTCGCTCTCGAAGTTTCATGCCTGGGATCCTGAAATTTTCGATGCTACCTCGCGAACACGAACTCGATCTCATACTCTACATGTGGATTCTTTTTCGAACACGCACGACAATGGCATCCTCACATGGGGGCTTCTGTACAATTTCACGATGCTAGTCTGGCTAGATCTAGAGGCTGCACATGCAGCAGCGCGAACAACAGCGATCTCTCCCGCGATGATTGTTTTGAACACCGGACGGACTCCATCCTTTGCAGATCAACGCATGTTTCTGCATTTGATTCTGCCGAGCTGATCGGGAAGCTTCCAGTGATGTCGCTCTTCAGCTTCTGACGGCGATCTCACGCAAACTTTTTGAACCCCGCTCGTACTTGTCCGAGTTCGGGCCAATGCTTACAATAAGTACACCAGGACATCTATCCTACCCAGAGCAACCTCTTTCAGGCACTGGAACATCCTCATCGCATCGAACCAGCAGGAACGACAAAACTGAAGACACAGACAAGATGGTGCTCTCCCTGGATCTTGAAGTTGCAACTGCAATGGCCCCTGTCATCAAGGCCATGGCGTCCATGCCACCTTTGGCAGCTGGCGACGTGGAAGGACGCAGAGAGCGAGCCGCTTCAGGACTGGCTGCTATCATTGATACCATATCCAGCAGTCCCTCAGTCAAGAGGACCAATCACGCAGTTTTAACGCCCGATGGTGCAACCATTACTGTGGCCGAGTTCCGCAAAACTGGCACTGCGAGACCAGCCAAGGCGATTCTCTACATTCACGGGGGTGGTTTGATCTTTGGAAACGTTGACATGTTTGAGAAGCCAGTARCGGCCACTGTGGCTAGGACGGGTGTCACGATGTTTTCTGTTGGATACCGAAAGGCTCCGGAACACCCTGATCCAATTCCCGTAACAGACTGCTGGACCGCCCTGCAATGGCTTTCAAACAATGCTGATGAGTTGGGCGTCGATCCTGGACGTATCGTTGTCATGGGTATATCCGCTGGCGGTGGACTTGCTGCTGGAACAGCTTTGTTGGCTAGAGACAATGGCCTGAATCCTCCTCTTGCAAAACAGATCCTTACATATCCCATGCTTGATGATCGAAACCTGACTCCACTGCCAGGTATCGAACCTCTCGCTACCTGGAAGGTGGACGACAGTAAGTATTCCAACACTCGTCGTAGGCGTCTTAACTTATCTTGTTTGCTAGATATAACTGGTTGGGGAGCACTGCTCGGCGCGAATGCTGGCAGCACAGATCCCAAAGCTGTTTCACAATATGCTGCACCAGCGCGAGCTGAAAATTTGGAAGGTCTGCCGCCTACGTACATTGAGTGCGGGCAGCTGGACATCTTTATTTTCGAGGACATGAAGTATGCGACTCGTCTGGCTGAGGCGAGAGTGCCTGTGGAATTTCACACCTATCCTGGCCAGCCTCACGCATTTCAGGTCTACGCGCCAGAGGGAACTTACACGAAGCTGTCGAATGAGAATGTCGATCGGGCCATTGCTTTGGTTTAGAAGATGGTCGATCGTAGAAAGTCAGTAGAGAAGTTCTTCAGGATCAGTTCGTTCACTCCTTGGACACAACTACAATCCTGACGGGAAAATGAGCCCTCCAGCAGCTACTGTACCTAGTATATAAGCTTTAGGCGGCCACAAGAATAAATGACCTCGCTCGTTGTCCATGATGTCTGACCAGATGCAATTACTCCTTCGCTTGTATTCCTACAACTTCGAAGTCCTCCATTCCTTCTTAGCTCTTTCTCTCAGCTCCCGTCTCAAGAATTTACCAATCGCGTTCTTTGGGATCTCATCGACAAACACAACTCCACCTCGCAGTTGCTTGTACGGTGCAAGGCGTGCTTTGACGTATTCCTTGACCTCGTCTTCGGTAATCTTCCGAGGATCTGCTGCAACGACATATGCTCGAGGCAAATCCGATGTTGGATCATCCACCGCCGGGACACCCACTACTGCAGCCTCCTTGATCTGAGGATGCGTGAAGAGCACCCCCTCAATTTCGGCTGGTGAAAGCTGCTGACCTTTGAATTTCAAAATTTCCTACGTACACAGCTTGTCAGTCCATGGCATGGCAGAGGGTCTAGACGGTGGTGATGGAACCTTACCTTTTTGCGATCAACAATGTAGAATTTCCCATCTCGTAGAATCGCGACATCTCCAGTTAAGAACCAGTCTCCGTGGAATGAATTTTTCGTAGCCTCGGGGTTGTCGTAATATCCTTGAGTGACCAAGGGCGAGCGGACTAGCAATTCTCCTTCTTGTCCAGGCTCGACGTCATTGAAGTTCTCGTCGACCAGTCGAAGCTCAACGCCAGGCAGGATTGGACTGATGCTTCCCGTATCATCCGTCTCGCCCTTGGGCATAGCAGTCACAGCACCAGTGGTCTCACTGAGGCCCCAGGTCTGACCAATAAATTGGCTCTTACCGTCACCCACTCTGGCGTTCGCTGCCTTTTGAAGATGAGTGTCCATCGGCGCAGCTCCAGTGGAAGCACCCTCGACATTTGAAAAGTGGTCTGTAATCTCTGACGACTTGCTGATCCTGAGCCAGATAGACGGCACGGTGTAGAACGTCGAGAATTTGTAGTCTTTAAGGTGCTTGAGCATCGTTTTCCACTCGTACTTTCGCATCCAATACACGGTCCCTCCAGAGTAAATTGGACCGACTAGATATCCGAATAGCCCTGCGATATGACTGATGGGAAGATGAGCGAGTGTGGTAATCTCCTTGGGCTCGAAAGTTCCAGCTTCGACTTGTTTTGCCGCCCATTCACGCCCAGCCAATGCCGTTATGTACGTCTCCGCAACCAGATTCGTGTGAGAGATCATGACACCTTTTGGTAAGCCTGTGGTTCCTGAGCTCCACAGAATCACGATCGTTGTATCTTTTAACAGCTTGGGGTCGAAGATCTTGCGCCACTTGAGCTTCTRCCGCGAAATGGCATTCACATTGCCTTCTACACTCTCCAACTTCCAAGCTCCCTTGGTAGAATCCAGGCAGACTACGTTACGAAGGGAAATACCACACTCTTTCGCGGCTTGAGAAGCAACTTCGATGTGCTCCGCTCCACAAATGATCAGACTGGATTTCCCAATCTTGACCTGTCTCGCCAGTTCGGATACGGTAGAAGAAGGACTGGCGGCAGAGTAGACACCTCCAGCTGCAATGATGGCATACAGAATTGCTGGAGCAAGAATTTGACCATGGCTGATCACCGTTACGGTGTCTTTGTTTGGACCTTCTGACCCAATCTTGTACTTGTGTCGAAGTCCATGAGCCATTTGCTCCACCAGAGTACGAAGTTGAGATTTGGTGATCTTGTTTTCTGGGTCCGCGGCTTCGACGTGCACGACCGTGTCTTCCTCGGCAGCAGAGTGATCGGAATCTAGAGCTTCGCTATCAGCAAAAAGCGATACCATATGTTGCGTTGGACAGCGGCTATGTCTATAAGCTTGGTATGTATGTAGTACAAGTATGAGAATAATCAACCCGCTGGCGACTCTCTTTGGAGCGCAACGGCGTGATTCCTATTCGGGCACTGGCAATTATGTATAGTAGGTGAATTCTCTAGTCCTGAAAAACAGCTCATGTTCATGCAGCTTTTCCAGATCAAACAAAAGAGATAAAAAGTAGTCACTGACCAAATAAGAGCGTCAACAAGTCCATGGGTGGTAAATCCACATGCCTCTTAGTGGGGTGATGGTAAATCTTTTCATTGGTGAATGCTGCCATACTTGCTTTCTCGTCTTGTAAAGTATAATTTGTTGGCTTCGATGAAAAGTGTATGAAAGTAAATGTGAGACTTACTATTCATCACTGCGACCGCCATACATACCTGCTGTGCTTCGACCTCGGGCGACATGAGGATCATCCCCGCTTTCGACTTTCGTGCAAGGGCTGAACTCCGCACCAACCATTGCTGCGTACAGCATTATGATCGAGGATATGTAGGGCATTTCTTTTACCGATCCAGTCCATCCAACTCCACCATTTTTCGCACTGCTGAGACGACCCCGCTCTCTCCCATGTCAAGGAGTGGGTCGTCGAGCTTCTTTGCCAGCAGCTCGTCAAGCATCATCCTCATCCGGCTGACGAGTACTCCAATACGAGCCCAACCACGCAGTCTGATCCATCCATCAACTAACAGTCCTCTGCCTTGCGGGTCGATGGTTATAGGTCCGGAGAACATCAACAAGCTGTAGACGTTGAAAGGCGTGAGGTCTCGGATGAAGACCTTGCTCGTCGCCATCTTGGTAAAGTAGCTCATGTAGACGCTGTTTCCGGGGAAACTCTGCGCGCCGAAGAGGGTCGAAGATGGATGAACAAACACACGGCCAWTCTCCTCGTTGAAGAACTTGAGCAGACGAGCCTCTGGATCAATTTCGACGGCACCGGATGAGGATGCCGCGTACTTTTTGTCTGGGAATTCGATTCTTGCAACTTGTGGTTGGAATGATCCGGCTACTAAAGCGCGTATAAGAACGTCGCTGTCGTTGTGACGATTAAACTCAAGTGCGGGAGGAGCATTTGGCCTGTAACCCATTGGAAGAAATCCAATCTCCTGCAACGACGAGACGTATTGCGTGCGGTTGGTTGAAATGTCCATCAGGGTCTGGTGGTTGAGAAAATTCTCATCACACCATCTGCGGAGCATTGACGTCGGCTCTCCTGCCGAGCGTCGGCCAGACCACTCCTCGTATGCCCGAAGATCACATAGAAGATCGCCATGTCCACCACCAAAAGCAGATCTCGCAGCCTTGGACTCTTCTCGTTTTGGCAGCGGGCTGACGAACGGGCTCTTGACCGTAAGAATCGCGGCAATGGTCAAGCAAGCTTCCAGGCAGCCGAACGCGGCACCGTACACCATAAGTTTGCCACATCTCAGGTCTGCTGGTATCATTGACAAATGTCTCCCAAGAGCGGTAAGATCGGTGTTGTCGAGAGCGCCCATTCGAGTCAACAGCTTCAACGCACCCGCGACTGCCAGACTCTCCGGCGGCGTAAGCGCTGATGCCAAGAAGGCAGGCACATCACTCACGCCCATGGCTCGGACAGACAGACAAAGCTGCTCCAAAGGTACTCGCCTGATCTCAGGTTCCGGGCGTTCGGCCATCTTTGTCTCTGCAGAACGAGTGTATAATTTGTAGCATTCCCCTGCACGGACACGTCCAGCACGACCGCGTCGTTGCTTACAAGCCGCTCGTGAAGCCCACACCTCTGCCAGCTTGACCATGTTGTTCGCCGGATCGAAGCTCGTCTCCTTGACACGACCGGTATCAATCACTGCCACGATGTCCTCGATCGTGATGGAGGTTTCGGCAACGTTGGTCGCCGCGATGACTTTACGCATACCACGCGGTGCCCGTGGGAAGACTCGTCGCTGCTCCGAGCTTTGCAGTGAGGCGTGCAGCGGTAGAACATGCAGATTAGGGATGTTTCGTAGTGCCCGCATCGCCTGGTCGATCTCTCCCACACCAGGCAGGAATATCAGGATGCCTCCTTCAATATCCCCTAGCCTCCGGTCAATGTGTTCGACAGTACGAGCAACTAGCTCGTAATTAATTCTGGTTCCTACTGCTCTGAGTGCATTTCCTATGCTCGGAGTGGCTGTCGTTGGGGTAGAAGTACCAGAGGCATGATAGTCTCGCTCATTGGGCGCCAGACCCGGCGCTGGTTMTGCATCTGCATCTTCAGGCTCTACTGTCCCAAACCCTGTCATGCGCACGATTTCGTCAAGATAGATATCATCGACAGAGTATGTGCGTCCTTGAATCTCCACCTTGCCAACACTAGAAACCGACCGGAAGTAATTTTCGAACGTGTCCGCATCAAGAGTGGCACTCATAAGAACGAGCTTCAAGTCTTTACGCTTCTTTAGCACATCCCTCAATAACACAAGCAAGAAATCTGTATCGAGACTGCGTTCGTGGACCTCATCAATCACGACATGACTCACATCAGCCAAGCTTCGTACCACGTCGTCAGTACTGCCTCCTGAGGTTTGCAAACGGCGGAGTAGGACTCCTGTGGTGACGAAAGTTATCTTCGTTACGCCTTGCCGCTGCTTTGCCTCACCACGGATCGCGTAACCGACTTCCTCTCCAACCTTTCCACAACGCTCATCAGCCACTCGATCTGCAAGACCGARAGCTGAAATTCTGCGTGGTTGTGTGCAGATCATGTTTGCGTGCTCACCAAGACAGCGTTGAATGAGGTCGTCCAGAATGAATTGGACCGACTGTGTAGACTTTCCRGATCCTGTCTCACCCGAGATTATGGTGACTTGATTCTTCGTGACAGATGTCACAATGGCATCTTGTAGCCTCCATGCGGGCAAGTTCTGCCTGGTCTGATTCATACGCTTTTGGTTATCGGCCGTCTGTCTGGACCGCCACGCCTCTAACATGCGCTGGCTTGTAGCCATTTGTGGACTCCAAGATATAGGAATTGGCTGCCTTCGCATTTTCTTCGCCCGAGACGGCCGGGCTTGTTGGTTGGTAGATGTTGATGTCGCGCTGGCAACTTCGCTGAGCTTTCCAGGATTCTCTATCACGCTTGGGATATTCTGCTCCAACCAATCGATGAAGGAGAATAGCATTTGCTGGTCGAAAAACTCGTTCTTCGCCACTGTAAGCACTTTCTTCAGAATGCTCAGTCTTACATATGCCGGAAGATCAGCATCCACTGATATGATGGGAAGCGCAGAAGGGTAACCGCTGCTTGGAGGCCGTGCACGAAGTACGATCGGCTTCTTGGACGGAGTCTGCAGCTCGAGTGTAATTGTGCATAATCTGTCGTGGTTGGTGTGTCTGTCACCGTAGATCGCCTGCAATGTTGCTTGTTCCTCGTCCCACAACTCGTACTCCTGCTCAGCAGTTGCTTGTGGCGCAACTGTCTCATCTAGCAGCCTTGCCTGTAAGATTTCTGCTGTTCGAGCTTCGCTGCCGTTGCAAGAGTCCAAAACCTCGGCACACAGTTCCGCGGAGTATCCAGCAGCAGAAAGTCGCTTCAGCTTTCCCTCGCGCTTCATGTCACCGCTAGCTAGACTGACACCAGCCAAGTAGTTTTCCGGAAGACACCACTTTGGAAGGTCGTCTTCGGGCACGTGAATCAGCAGCCACTCGAGACATTCCTCACGATCCTTGCAAATCTCTGCAGCCTCCTCTGCATGGCTTGGTCGGAAGCCAATGCCTGCTAAGTCATTGACGATAGCCTTGCGGCTCGCAGCACCGAGTGTGACATCGTGGGGATTCCATGCACCGCCTTGACGAACCAATCTCTCCACCTCCCGCCGGGTACGGAGACCCATCTCGACCTTCGGGACGCGCATCCAGCCCTTGAGGACGTGCTTACTTTGCACTTGCCCATCCAGACTCACCACTTCCAACTTCTTGTCTTCCACCTTCTGCTTGGCCTTGTCCACCTTTGCTTTCTCCTTCGCAGCCATTGCCTCATCGTGGCGCTTCTTTGCAGAGAACGGATCCGCATCGTATAGGTATGCCTGCCCGGACGCGGCAGCCTCGCTCTTGAGATCTTGGAAGTCACCCTTCCACAAATCACGATACTGAGGCGGCAGCATCATATGTATATTCTTCATGTTCGACACGCGGAACAAAGCATACGCAGCGGCGAAGTGACGAGCCTCAATCGGAGTCTCCTGTGTACCGCGCTCCTTGTTGTAGTCGGTGGGCGGCACAATGGGCGGCAACGCCGTGATTTCATGCGTTTTCGGGTGCTTTTGACGGATAATCACACCACCAGTGTAGCCACGCGGGTTGCGATGGATGGTGTATTCGGGCTTCTCCCATTTTGATTTCTGGCACAGCTCGTTGAAGAGTGTCATGGGCAGTTTGCCCGTCCAAGATGCGCCGCCAATCAGTGTCCGTGTATCCGGCTTCTTCTCCTCAGGCTTCTTCTCTTCTGTCGRGGCGCCATTTGAAGACGGAGTTGTTTTCGCCTTGCTTCCGCTGGCCTGAGTCGTCCCGGTATCTATAGTGGGTGCCTTTGCCTTTTTCGGCTTCTCATTTCCAAACACAATGTAACTGGTATCTTCCTCGTTCAACGCGGCGGCAGTGGGCGCGGCTTTCTTTTTGCCGGCCGCGCGGGGTGCATGCGGTTTGTTGACCATTGCTCGTTGGCCTCGGGGGTGTCGTGGTAAAGTCGGCTTGCTCGAACAATTTTAGTGGAGACGCGGCGGCGGCATGACGCGTGACGGGAGAGCACGTGAAAACTCACTAGAAGAGGGGTTCGAGGTGAATGACCACCAAGTCAAACATATGTGCATATTGATGCCTCTCTACATTAATTCATTGATCACTCGGCCTGGAGTAAACCTATGGCGTTCATGACCTACTAAAGATTAGAAGCAAGATGTAGAGGCAAACCCCAATGACCTCCAAGTGATCGCGTAGAGTCAAAGTCGACCACAAGTCGTGCGCGATCTACAAGACTCGGGAGGCTTGTTACATGTACACAAGGTATCTCACTGGTCTGTAAGATCCAGCTGATGAACCACGATTCATTGATAATCTCTATGTAGGGTTAGGGTTTGGGTAGTGGATACAACAATGCRCCGTTTGACTCGTCCCAAAGTACCTTGTTAGAAGACCCAAAACCAACTAACTGCTCTTCGAGTGCTGACACCGTTGCCACGAGAGGAGTTCAATAACACTTCAAACTGTCGAACGTGCTAAGYTTCTCGCAGATGACGCACAGTATCCGTTTCGAGTCGAGGGGACGAGAGTTGAGACGAAGTCTTCTGATTTTCCTTATCACCATACTTGAATCATATCAAAGAATGTCTGCTCGGTATGCCTATACGACACGCTCGCAAAGAAGACAGCCGCTCGTAGAGATCCCTTTGTTTTTCGCGAAGAGCATGTCCAGCGGTTCACGTCCCGAGCGACAACTTTTGCAAAGACGGTGGAATAAGCGCAGTAGAGCGTCGTTCTGACTCCCTTGGAGCAGATGATACACCTAGAGCTCATTCTGTATAACGGGCGTTTCACGCTTCTCCTTGAGCCAGCTGTCCGTGTTATGAAAGGCAGTCTTGGTCTCGGAGCTGACGATTGCGCTATCAGCAGCTTGAATTCCGGCATTGATGGCATCCCACATCTTCCAGGCCTTTTGGAGATCCTCATCAATGTTGTGGGCGTGATTGAACCAACGCTTAATGTCGGATCGGCGGTCGTTCGAAAGCTCGTCCAAATGGGATTTCACGACCAACGCCAAGCCGATATCTGGTTCGATGCCAAACGGAAGCCGACCGGCAACGTCTTTGTAGTCGGCTGCAGCTCTTGTACGCCCGACACTACCGCTCAGCAGCATGTAGCACATGTGAGACTCGGTAAGATCGCGGAGGCTGTTGCGCACAGCAGCCGCTAGCTGTTGATATCCGAGCAAATTTCTCGAGAGCGGACCAGTGTAGCCAATTTGATCGTGTTGGAAAGTGCCAAGGCATGCTATCCGACTCACGAGAAGAGTGTGTGCCTTGTCAATCTCAGTGCCACGCATAGGAGCCCCGGAGTAAGGTGGCATTGGGAACTGATTGGAGTTGAGCAGATCAAGACGCAGTAGCTCAAAGGCGACGAAAATGGCCTCCTCTGCTTCGCTGACAGGACGTGTCTTGGCCAAGTAGTCGTCACTACTGGCACGATCGAATGCGGCCTTGAGTGCTTTGCCCCAGGCCGACAGAGTGTGATTCGAGTTGATGTACCCGCGGTCTTGGAGGAACCGCCATACCGTGTTCGAGAGCAGCTCCGAAGTCTTGGTAATCACCGAATGTTCTCCCTCTTTCTTCTGAGTGACGGTCGTCTTGGCCAAAGCATCATCTGACAGTACGGCGATGGCATACTGAATTGGCGATTTGTGGGGGTCGATTCCCTTGGCCTCTGCAGACTGTGCCACCATTTCCTCTCTCACGTGCCAGGTTTCGGCATCCTTGACGCCGTCCGCACCTGGGTCGATTCCTAGCGGCTTGGCGCCACCCTCGTTGAACCAGCAGGTAAGATTGACATCCTTCTTATGGAAGAAGCGGTGCAAGGGCGTGGTCATCATCGTCATCGATCTCGCCCGCATCGGCCGCAGTTTATCTTGGACGAGATCCTGATATGCCTTGGAGCTACCGCCGTCCAGAGGCTGGGTCTCAAGGATCTCTTGATTCATTCGTGCACCAAGAAGACGCGATCCGAGCAGTCCGTATGTGTGGWAGGCTGTCACTTCCTCTGCAGCACGAGTACCGATGAATTCGTGGGCGTCTCCAGGTAAATTATCCGCGTCAAGCGGTTTGATTTCGCCATTTGWATAATGAACGACCATGTGTCTTACCGCAGATTTGGCCTTGCGGAAAATGTTGGCATAGTCGTCATTCTTGGCTTGTATACAAGCCAACATGCCGTCTTGATTGGCACGATTCATCACAGCTCTCGCGGCGTTCATTTTGGATCCTGAGACATTCGTGTCAATTTCGGGCATGGTGGCCAGGATACTCGATCCAGATAGCAGGCACAGGTCCACAAACTGTGCGYGGGTCATCAAGAGTTTGGTGAGAATTTCTTCCAGGACTACCCAAGACGCTTGCTGGTTTTCCCAGTCGAAACCGATCACGAGCTTGTCGGCGCCAAATACCAAGCATGATGCCGAACCATAACAAGCGCTGATGTGTCCTTCCTTGTCCAGGTATACCAGCTGTGCAGATGCATTATATGGCGCAACTTCAACCTGCGAAGTAGATTTCTTAGTCTTGCATCTGTGATGTCGATTAAGACGTTGTGTGACTCACCGAAATGCCCCTCTTGTGTAGATGGTGGAAAAGCCACCGTAAAATGTGTGAGGTGCGGTAGGTGCCTGGAACTGGTAAGCCACGAACACATAGACTTATGAAAGTGAAGCCCACAAGCCTTGCCGAATGCTGTCACGGCATCATCTCCTCGGCCCTGATCGTAGACTGTCCACGCATCGTGAAGTATTACGGCAGCTTTTGAGCTTTCATTGAGAACACTTCGGCGGTCTCTACACGCGGTGACCAAGCCGTTGAAAATGAAGTATGGCTTGATTCCTGCGGCCTCGAGACGGTCGAGATCTGAGTCAACATGGTGCTGGAGGGCAAACGGTAGGCCACCAAGTGCCGGCAGAAGAGGCTCTCGGGTTGTGGTGTTTGTGAGAATTGAATTAAGGTAGTCTTCGGCTTCGAATCCGATGATTGAGTCGTCAAAATTCTGCTTGACGTTGGCAGTGTGAACAAGCCCTTCGGCTTTGAGCMAATCCTTAAACGCCAGTGATTCGATACTCATTGTGATGCGTGTGGTGGATAGAGTGAGGTTGAGGCTGTGGGAGAATGTCGGGATGATTGAATGGATGTGCTGTCAGTGTGTCAGTGCTTTGTAAAACGCGCCAGCAATGTGTCTGGCAGCTGTTGACAATATCGCGGGAGCCGTTGATCTGGGATGTCAGTGGAAAGCTCAAGTCACCTCAACTTGCTGGAAGGTCGTAGTTTCCCTGAGCGGCCCGGAGCGCGCGGCCCGAGTCAACCTAGTTTAGCGATGCCTTTTTCGCCTACCTACCTTACACATGATCGCAACGCGCGCAGTTCTTCTGCAATAACCATGCCATGCTGGCTCTCAATCACTATGTGAGCAACCGGTCGAAACGAACCTTTGCCGTCACGCACCACGAGGTTGACAAGCAACCACGGCAGGCCGAGTGCGTGATGCGTAGCGTCTATGATTATGAGAGCTCCTTCGCTACACCTGGGATTTGCTCTACAAAATGGCGTCCCTTGAGACTCTGCCGGCCCCATTGCCTCTGCAAATAACGAAACATCTTGCAGACCTAATATCGCTCCACGCTCTCTGCCTCAGCTGCCCTCTCTTTGCTACAGTCTTTGCCAACCACGCCGCCGAGATTTTCGAGCATCTTATGAACAAATGCCTTGCCGAAGAAGTTATTGTCGAGCTTCGTGCATACATACTTCTTCGCACACAGGATCGGGCGATACAGGACCTCGAAGGTCTGTACTCTGCCGCGCAGAAGCCGTTGGTTCGAACTACCCCTGCTCCAGCTATTCGACACACACTGCATGTCTTCGCTATGCTATCCACTACGTGTAACTCAATCTTCGATACAAAGCTACGAAGACTGTACGCTCTACCGCACCAACACTTTGCAGACAAAAGCAGTAACAGATTTCCCGGTAATTATGAGGACAACATTCATCTACAGCCCGGACGCCTTTTCAAGCCCCCACTACTCCCATCATCGCCAGACTGGGACGAACAACAGCGTCTTCTCCGTGCAACCTGGCGATTAAAGGTATGGACCGCCCTTGGACATTCTGATGGCTCTCTAGCAGACACTGTACCTACGATAGACAGCATTCCTTCGGCCGAGTTTGCGGGCGTGGCCAGGGTTGGAGGCGGAGTCAACGAAGGTTCTATGGATGAACTTCTAGAGCTCGCTTCCAGCCTGGAAGAAATCGGGACATGCGATCGAATAGCATGGGAACCACTTGCCACAAAGCCAATTTTGCAACCCGAGGCGCGACAGATGGCGCGCGAAGTTCGCGGCTCGTATGGCTATGCATTCTTCAATCGTGCCTGTCAGGGGCTGCAGTATTCTCCTCTCATGGGTGCCGATTGGGCGGTCATGCGGCGCCTTGGTTTTGGGATCTGGTCTACTCGCCGTCTACGAATAATGGGGTACAAGTCCAAAGACCGTCAACAACTAGGACAGCGGGAACCCATAATTCAGGAGGGAGAAGAACTGGGGAAACGAGACGCTATGTTCACTTGGAACTGTCTCTATCGTACGGCTGTTGGGGAGAGTCTTCGGAGATCTGGTGCAGATATGTCGAGATATAGGGATGACGCAGAATAAAACACGCGAGATACATGTACACATTTCAGGTCCATGCCAATCCCATGCGCCTGTGTCTTGGAGCTTCAAGCCGCACAGGCYGTTGGCTGTTTCGAAAAGGTCTTAGCGGACGACGTTGGTAATCGTGAGCGCTACTGTAATGGGATTGAAGTACTTGACTGACTTTGCCCATGTTATGGCACGGTGGTGACTGGGTCCTAAAACGAAAGGAACGGGCGAATTTAGACATGCTCAATACTTAGTGTGACTTCGCGTCCAGCAGGGCTTTGACATAAACATTGTACGCCATCTGCGGATCATCTGATGGCACACTGGAGAACAGCTATGGTGGCAAGTATGTTTACTCCAGTGCTTCTGGAGGATGTAAGTCGACCCTGTAGCAAGAGCCTCAAACGGCTAATCTTGGCACGCACACTAGACTCTGCCTGCCTTGCATAGTGAGACGATACCTAGTAGTCAACGGAAAGAGGCGTGCTAACAATGCCGTGTAATATGGTTATAGCCTGCTTTGCTCTAGCAAATACTGTCATCATTGGATCTTGTTAATCTTACAGCTCCAGCCCGATTCCTGCGACAACAGAGGTAAACTGGCTCCCAAGCACCATCCCAATTCATTGCCCTTGATCTTCTTCGCGATCTTGACCTCTCTGTCAATCGGCATCTCATATCCAGTATGCAGCAATGCCAGCATGAAGTTCAGGTCCAAGCARGTCTCGGGGCGATCCTGGAGCTCCTCGAAAGCACCAGGTACTGATTCAAACACTTTCCACGCGTCGCCACCTTGGCAGACACGCGCGGTGAGCTCCTTCAATTCCCGCAAGGTAAAAGACTCCGGCATACCGAGGGGCTGAATTCTATCATAGAAGTATGAAAAAAGATAGACGTCCTCGCGCGAAAAGGTCTTCTCCAGACTAGGCTGGTGAACACCGTTGAAAGCGCATGGTGCCAGCTTGCATTCAGACTCCTTCTTAAGGGTCTTCTCAGCGAGTGCTCTGCATTGTGCTGGGCTGCCGACTGCCGGACCGGTCATGTTGACGGTTACGCTGGCACCGAGTGGGTGTCCTTCACTGAGCGGAACTTCCACTTTTTTGCTCATGCCGATTCCGAAACATGGATTGGAGATTGGCTCGGTGAGCCAAGCCTTGGACTGCTGATGGTTGTCGTACATTCCTTCAACCACAACGCGGTGGAGGTTGTTGCGTGCCTCCATCAGCCCGTAGCCCAAGTATGAGTGCTGGTAGAGCGTGAAATCGCGGCCTCCGAACTTGAGGCTGTACTTGTGGTCCCCTTCTTGCAGCTGCTCGGGCATGCCTCCATCAACGGCTTTGAATGTTGGTTGAAAGACAATCTGCGTGCTACCACCTCCGAGATCGAAGACTGCGGCAGTAGGAGTCTTGTCAGGACCTCCAATTTTGCCCAACAAGTAGTTGGTGGTAATCCAAGCGTAGACACCCTCATCCTTGCCATCCATGACCTCCACGCCACCGTTCGCCTCGCTGACAACCGGGAATGGGTAGACCGTTTCCAACCTTTCCCTGACAGCCTTCAAAATGGCATCGCTCATCTCAGGGCCCAACTTTCTCAACCCAGCAGTGGCCTTGACTGCGACGGGAGTGCAGCTCTTGAGCTTGTCCGGCACATTTTTGACCGCGACGTCCATAAGAACATCCAAGCTCTTTGCGGCCCCTTCGGCATCACCTTTGTAGCTGCTCAATCCCGAACCACCATCTCGCTTCTCGGTCATCTTGAATATCTCATCCTCCAACTCGGGCGTTGGTCCGCAGTTGTTGAAGCGGTAGACGTGAATCCGGCTGCCTGTGCTGCCGGCATCGACCATAAGCGCATATTGGATGAGCGGCTTGTCCTTGGAGTAGCTGCGCGAGCACTTCGCTGTCGCTACAGAAGGGTCGCTCGCGACATCGCCACCGGGAAATTTGCCGGCTCCAATGCTCTGTCCAGGCACAATGTAGTACAACACAGCCAGCACGAAGAAGATCAAGCAGCCGGTCTTGATGTACCGCGCGCGGGCGCCTTGATTCATCAGCGCGGACTGCACTTTTTCCTGCATCGACTCGGCGGATTTGTGTGTGCTGTGGCGGTCGGCCTTTTCAAAGGGATCGTATGTCTCGCGCTTGGGAAGGACCAGAGACGAGGATCGGCGTCGCGGGGAGGAGAAGGAAACGTACTGCCACAGATTCGGCCGTGAATGTGTGCCTGTGGAGTTGGTGGACATTAAATGGAGGGACTCGGAAGCATTGCCTATCGACAGATGTTGAGGCAAATGTGGCGACAGCGAATTACAGTAGAGTAATCAGCTGGGGCTAAGTGGTGTTGGACTGTGAAAGGGTTGAAAATGATCCCTCTCCTTGATCGCGTAAATTTGGGGAATGGCGTCCCGCAGTCCCTGAGGGCGATCATCACGCTAGCAATGTGCTGATTTTAGAAATTGGTGTGATGAGGGAGGTGAATGCCCACGGTCTTTATCATTTATTCGTTCTATCTTTTCCAACCATCTCAAAGCACGCTCGCCACCTCCTTCGCCAAGCTCTGCAGCGATTTGCACTTGCCCGAGGTGACAGTCTGCTTTGCGTCCATGACCTTCAGCAAATCTACCAGCTCGCCTTTCACTGGCGAGCAATACGCCAGAAATCCCAGAGCCAGCAGTAACAACTTTGCGGCATCAGGACTCTCTTCCTCGGATAGAGTCTCCAGTAAAGACGCCGCCAATTCCACCTGCTCTCCTTCAGCCAGCGCTTCCTGTCCCTCTTCGCGACGCACTTTGTAGTTGGCGATTGAAAGATTGAACGCGAGAGAAGCGGCCGCAACCCGTGTGGTTGGATGTGATGCGTCCAGTAGAGAGGTAGTGATGAGTTCGATGAGCTGCGCAAGTGTATCATCCTCGCTGGCCATCAATTCTTTGATGTATAACGAGGAAGCAAACGTGTTGCATGCAAGGTGTATCGTGACCAAGCGGAGATTGTGCGGGCAGTTGTCAAGCTTGCTGATGTGACGGATGAGCAATGGAACTGTCTTTGGCTCTCTCTCCTCGGCGAAGAACCCGCCGACTCTAGGATCGACCATGGCACATCGCAAAAGGTCAACGGCGGCGAAGCGAGTTTCCACTGGCAGTGCCAATATCTTCGACCGAGAGGCCTTTGCTACGAGGTGCAAGTCAGGTAATGGAGCATCTCTTGGACTCTCCGCCCTCTTCTTAACGAATGCACGTAGATTGACGATATCTTCCTCGTTTGCTGCGTCTCCGAGCTTGGCCATTAACTTGTCGAGAGGTGGTAGCTTGGAGTAGATGACATTCTTCATTGACCCATATTGCAGGCTAGGCACGGCCATATTCAGATGAGGATGTGGTGGAAAGGTTTGCTGTACCAACAACTCCACGTTCGCCTTTAGCATGTTGGGATCCGCTCCTGACCATTCGTCCACCTTGTTGCCCTTTGAGAGTGTCATGAAAGTCGGTGTCGCGCGGATTTGGTATCGCGACGCAATATCGCGAGCTTCATTGATGTCGACCTTCACGAAAAGAGCGTTCGGATGAGTTCCAGCAAGTTGATCAAACATTGGATAGGCCAACTTGCAGGGTGCGCAAGTGGACGATGTAAAGAAAAGGGTCACACAGGTATCGGTGGCGGCTGTGAGCTGCTTGTCAAGGTCATTCGAGTCCGTCAGATCCACGACTTGACCATATCGACTGGCTGGCTGGGGAGTGCTACTTGGATTCATAGCTTGCGGTCGGTTCTGAGTTGGTACTTCTGCTTGAGTGATTGATCGCATGCTGGCATCGATCTGAGGTCTTAACATTTGTCCAAAGGGAGTGTCGAGCACACGCTTCGGCAAGCTCGTTATATGGTCTGGAATTGGTTTGCCAACCAAGAATTGAACAAAGTCGTGACTGAAGTTGTTACACTAGTTTACAGAAGCATGGATGGTCAGCTCATCATTCTTTTGTTGAGTCTTCATGTACACGCAGAGTGGGCAAGCTTACATTATGAGCAAACAAATCGTAGCTTTCGGGCGTATAAACTTCCTTGAGACTTTCCAGATAGTCCAGGACGGTCTCAAAGGGTAGTTCGGTTTTTCCCATGGAAATAATCTCCATTGGTCGGCCATGATGTGTCGTTCCAGGATTGCATGTTTGTACACCGGCTCCAAAGAAGAATTCCACATCGTTCAGAACCACGGCAGTATGGTAGACAGCATCGATCTGGATTCCCAAAAACTGCTGTGACATTTGACGGGCCATGCCCTTGGTGAGGTCGTAGACATAGAGTTGAACCTCCATGTGAGTTGCGTTGATTGGTTTGGTGTCGTTTGATGATGGCCTGTTATGCTTGCGAGTGTTTCTTGATTATGCTAAAGATGAAGTGTTCATTGAACGAAAAAGGAGGAAGATATGTATAGGGTGCAGCAGGCGGCGATGGAAGACGTGGAAGACATGGAAGGTATTCGCGCCACCGACCGAATGAGGCTAGCTCAAAATCAGGGTGCCTTTGAACATCGCGAGCCCCCAGTGACATTCCATACCATGCAATCATGCCTCTGCAAGCGCTACGGACGGTAGCAAAGCCGCAAGTGAGTGCAGAATATCTCGAAAACAATGTTCATCGGCTAATACGATTGACGAAGAATGGCGTCGGGGCCTTTATCCTCCAATGCAAACGCCTGGACTTTCACTACTGCGACTGGGCCGGCAGCAGTCGAGGAATGAAGTACATGACCTCTTAGACTCTACTCGCCTCATGACAATCTAACAAATTACTCGCAGCATTTTCMTCAAGACCAAGCTCGCGACATTCGCAAAGGAAAACCCGAGCATCGAAGTCACCGTCTCGCCGCGCCCTCACAAACACCCCGTCATCAAGGGACAGTACATCAATGGACGAGAAAAGGCCATTTGCGTGCGAAATATGGATGCGAATGAGATTTTGAACAAGGCTTTGCTGTTGCGGAATGCGAATGGAGAGAAGCTGAAGAAGGTCACGAAGCCCGTGAGGAGTTTGAACGAGAGTGTCCGAGGCGTGTGGAGTCCGTTCCATGGGAATGAATACAAGATTTGAGGGATTGGAAAGTGTAGGACTATGTTTTCATGGCATTGGGTGGCGTTAAGATATGATACCCGAAATGGGAGACCTTTTGATGAATTTGCACCTCAGCCTGTTACGAATGCTGCACTCCGACACTCGAGTTTCAAGCAGTTGCGAGTAGTCCGCCCTTCACCACCAATCCACCCAGCAACGCGCTGCTCAGTGCAAAGAGGGAAAACCTCAGCGGGATGATATTGCACGTTGCCTGGACGAGGCTGTGCGTCACTCTCGCGCCGACATATGYCCATGCTAGATTGACAGCTGTGCTGTCAGTCGCATCAAGGAATGTCAATCCTAGAATGACAGCGAAGAAGACGGCTACGGACAGGAAGGGGCAGTTAGCGATATCTCTCAATACAGGGCGAAATGTCTCGAGACAAGCAGCCCAAACTTCGCTTGCAACTCGTTTTCGTCCCGCCGCTGGTAGGCTTACTGGGTTGCTCGTGTAGATGGTTGTAGTTATCAGCCGGCAGCCTGCGATGGCGCGGAATGTTCTTGTTCATCGACTCGACCTTTCGGGCGTTATTTATTGTTCAGAAATTAAGTTCTCATCCCCACTCACCGTCATATTTGGGTTGATGTCGACCTTGTATTTCCCAAAATCGGGAATGCGGTAGGCGTACCTATACCAAGAGTAAGTCATGGTATCTAAACGCAGTGGGTGTTTGCCGGGCTTGTATTCACATCCATGCTTCCATAACAAGAGTCCATCCTGCGAGAGCGAAGAGAGGGCCCAACAATGGAGCTGTTGGTGAAGACATCGTGTAATGACTGAGCGACTATGTTGTCAAATGTTCGAAGAACTGGGAGCTTCAGAGCAGATGTTACAGATTATCTCTCGGCAGTACTGCGCTTATTCCACCGTATACGAAACCGAGGCAAGAAATATTGGAAGTGAAAGTCGTCAGACGTGCTTCGTTATTGTTATCGTATCAAAAGACGAATGCTGCAGCCTGCTTGGTAAAGCTGCCGACCGAGGTTAATATGATTTGTTTCGCTGCATCACACTTCTGGTTTCTCGGCATTGAAGCTGATCAGGTTTCGATCCTACAATCAACTTAAATTGGAACCTCTGGCATCGCTGCGAATGCTAATACAGATTCTTCCTTATCCAGGTCCAAGACGAATGATTCGATGTTGAAAAGGTTCAATCGACCCGTGTCTAGAGTGCCGGCATAGAAGCATTCGACCTCTTGGCAGCGGTATCATAGAGTGCCTCAATGTCCTTGTTCCATTGTGCAAGATCAGGCCTCAAGATCCGTCGATCGTAGCTGAGCATACCATTGACCTCGCCTTCGACATCAGTGGTCTGAGTCCAAACACCACCCGCACAAGAATACAGCTCGATTTGAGAGCGAAGTTCCTCAAGCAGGAAATGACCGCGAGCATTCCAAACTTCCAAAGTCTCATCGATCTCGTAGCTGGAGTGATAGTATTATTAGTCTTCCATTCGATAGCCCGTGCTGCTCGGAAATACGTACGTTTGATTAATGGCATTGATGGCCTGATCCACTTTCCAAAGATGTTCGGCAGAGAGATTGTGTCCAGTACCGCCGAATTCGCCTTGGAACCCAATGCGGGAGGCATCGAACGGACTGGATGCAGTCGAATAGTAGGGAGTGCCGCATTGAGGGTTCGCGTAGTGATGGTTGTCACTAAAGTCTCCAGCTCCATGATCAAACCAGCCGCTATTTGCGTTGACAAGTCTTGTTGGATCGAGTTGACGCACGATATCGGTGAGTTCAAACTCTGGGTAGTAATCAGTAATCTGGGCCCATCCCTCGTTATAGATCACCCAAGCAAAGATTGAAGTATAGCTTTTGAGCTGAGTAACCATGAGCTCGAGCTGCCGTTGGAACTCTTGCTGTTGAGCGGCATCTGGCAGAATTGTAATCTCGGTGCAGTTTTCTAKCGTTCGAGTTTGAGACGGACGGAGAGCGGGCATATCCTGCATGACAAGTATTCCCAGCTCATCGGCAGCTTGGTAAAACAGCGGCGACTCCACCTTGATGTGTTTGCGTAGAAATTTGAAGCCGATCTTCTTGAGCGTCTTGATGTCGTATACCTAACGTTGAGATTAGCAAAGATCATGCACCAAGTAGTCTTGCCCATGTAACTCACCATTGCTTCGTAGGTTGGGGGCGTGTGCAGCCCGTCTGGCCAGTATCCCTGGTCCAGAGTACCAAAGGGGAAGATGGCCTCGCCATTAAACATGATTCTTTGGACGCCATTGACAGCTTCCCTTGATATGGATCTAAAGCCAGTATAACTGGTGATCTCATCTTGTCCCACTTTGATCATCACATCGTACAAGTTTGGTGAATCAGGACTCCACAGCTTGGGACTGTCGATCTTGAAGCTGAATGTGTTGCCACAGGTACCATTTTGCGTCGATACGACCTTCTTGGTATCCTTTTCGACAATCGTGACCTGCAAATCCGAGCTGTTGCTCTGTGAAGCAGCAATGGTAAGGTTGACTGCAAACGGTTAGAGTAGTGAAGGAATCAACATCACAATTTTCTTACGATTGCCATTCGCATCTCCATTGATATCAAGCTGAGTGATGTAGTTTGCCGGGACGGACTCCATCCAAACAGATTGCCAAATACCGGAGCAGGGTCGGTAAAAGATATGTGATTGGCGTAGAGTCTGCTTCCCAATCGGAATGACATAAGGATCGCTATCTGTCGGGTCATGTACAAAGACGATCCTGCAAGATTGAGATTAGCAAGGACCAAATCCGACAATTGCATATGCATACAATTCGTTCGATGAGCCTGAGTTGAGATGATCCGTAACATCAACAGAAAAGGCAAAATAGCCACCACGATTGAATGCAACCTGCTGTCCATTCACAAATATCGTAGCCTCATAGTCAACGGCATCGAAGTTCAAGAGCACTCGATCGCCAGTCCAATTCGTTGGTACTACGAATTTAGTCGAGTACCACGAGTAGAACATGTATTCTCCTTGAATGCCAGACAGGCCACTTTCAAGACAGAAGGGCACCAGAACTTCCTGAGAAAGAGTCTGATTGAATGGAGGATTGTTGACAGCATCCAGACTCGAAGCGTTTGAATACTGCCAGACTCCGTTCAGAGACTGCCATTGAGGACGCTGGAGCTTTGGTCTTGGATATTCTGGCCAGGGGTTGAGGCCGACTTTCGATGTCCATGGTGTGTCTAGTGGAGGTGTCTTGAGCTCGTACTTGGCTGGTGCAGCAGCTTGTCTGGGAACATCCAGAGCCAAGGAGATATTGGCAGTGAGGACCGCTTGCAAGATTGATGAGGCGCGCATGTTGCCTGGGGAAACAATGGCGGAAAGGGCCTCTTTGTCACAATTCACAAGAGTTAGTTAGCTTAGAGACAAGCACAGAATCGACAGAGAAGCACAACAGTGCCCTAGCCAGTTTTACCCATGTTCAGTGCCCAGGTGACGGTGAGTGATGTCTCTTTTCAGATGCGGTGTGCATCATAAGGCGAGTCATGCGGTGCCGTGGAACCCGCAAGAACATGCATCACTCTAATGAAGTCAAAAGTCTATGGTCACTGCACAGTGCTGTCAGTGCTGTCCTACCAACTTCGTCTTACCATGAGAGATCCTAGTTCGTCGGAAAATCCCAATCTGGGGTGAGCCTTCTCCATCAAATTACAAGATTAGGCATTGCTCTCAAACCTCTTGTCTTCAGAGTGATGTGCAACCATCTTTGGTACACGCAGCCTCGTCAGGTTGCGGGGAACGAGGAGAAACAGTGTTGCCAAGTGATCATCATCTCACCATCCAAAGACAGCTGAACCCCGCTTCCATCGCGCACTGTGTGATGGGCACGCGTGCATGGAGACATGTGGCTGGGGACTCAGATTGGGAACTAGGATTCCTAGCCTTTGATCTGGATCGCGAGAAAGAAAGCTCCGCCCTCAGGTAGAGCACTCACCAAGTTATAGAGACAGGTATGAGATACATACCCCAAGAGTATGATGGTTATCGATACAACATATATTTGTACAAAACAGACCCCATCGCTATGCCCCTCGGTCCCCCAATCAATCTCATACGCCGCTGTCGAAAGCGTTTGAGTAAGCAAACAATCGCACATGGTATCTCAAAGCAGCAAAAACAACTCGGATAAGGAAAGGACGTCGGTTTCCGCCCGGATGGGCGGTCCAACAGAGGCCGGCTCGGTATGAGGCGGAAATTAATCTTGGTAATGTGTGAAGTTTGGTGAGCCCGTTCCCGGGTGACCATCGGGGATATGAACAAGGTAGGCCAAGACTGGTAGTAGCCCTATAGCAACGCGCTGTTGTCTGGTGCTATGGGTGAGGAGGTATGTTTGGTGTTTGGCAATCCATTGAACGCCGGAGAAAACTGTGCGATTGAGTAAGTCCCGAGGGATGGTAAACTTGCTGCAGCTAGTAGGCCGCAACTTCAGGTGGATGTGGAGCCAGGACGATAGCGGCAGCAGCCGCGGCGGCAGCAGCATCGTTGGCTTGCTCAGTCATCATAGCATCTTCATAGCCAATGAGTGCCTGAGCGTGGAGCTTAAAAGACTCGCCCATGAGCTTGGTGATGCTGTTGAATTGTTAGCACAAGTGGATCATTAGTAGTGTCGGCAAATGTGAGACTCACCCCCAAACCACCACCTCGTCGATCATACTGCCCCAAAGACGAGCCACTGTACTGCTTAGCTTCTGCCCAAAGCCATCGACAGTATCGTCATCAAAAAGGCTCCGAAGCTTCTGGTACATGACTCTCTCCTCATCAGTGGCTGGCTCCTCGTCGTGCTCGACACGCCATAACCACAAACTGAGAATGACAATCAAGTCCAGCCCACAGAGGGGATGCTCAATACTCCAATTGGTCGCCGATGTTCGTGCGACCCATCTGATACCCTGTAGTGCAGCGACTTCGATGCAGTCGAAGCAGTTTTGGATGACCTTGAGCATCTCCTGACTCCGCTTAACGTTGTCACGGGCATGCGTCATGGCAGCCGCGACTTCGTAGGAGTCGTGGTAACGCAAGGCTTCTTGAATGGCCCTGAGATCCACCAGCAGTCTGGCGCGAGTGTTCCTGTACATGGCCATGGCGTTGAAGATCAGTGGGTGACCTTTGTGCGGCGCGCTCAGCTGCACCACCACAGTCTCTGGCTCACAGACATCCAAAGACTGCTCCCAAGTGTCCAGAGCCAAGCGGAGCTTGTACTCGGTGACCACATCCTGCAGCGCCTCGGGTGATCGCTTGTGGTACCAGACCTCCAAAAACAGGGCATTGATCATGACACGCGTGGCAAATGCACTGTAGCGTGCCGATTCACCCTGGAAGAGAGCGTCGTGCGCTTCTTGGAACGTGATGATGGTAGATGCCGTGAGATGCTCACTCCAGCTCTCGTTGTCCGAAGGATCCAGATTCCACAGCGTTTCCGATGATGGGAGATCTAGTGAATCGAACTCGTTGAAGCTGATGGCCGGTGTGTGGTTGTACGTCAACGTGAGCAGGCCAAAGAAGATGTACACTGCGAAGTAAGTACGTCTGCAGCCTTCGTCTTCGATCCACTCGGCATGAGTTGGCTGGCGGCCCTCTCGTCCCTCACTGCGCAACTTCAGCTCATACCTGTTACCGGCGACCATGTTTGCGAGGAGAGATTTGATGGAGCACGCCCACTCCAGACCCTTGGGATCGCCGCTCCAGCTCGCAAAACTCATGTTGAGCAGCGAGCTCTGCATCATCCAAAGTGGGCACTTTCGTGAACTGAAGTTGTCCTTTTTCTGTAAGAATTGCGTGACGAGGACCTTGGACCCGATGTGAAGCATGTATGCTTGGTCCTGCTCAAAGGTGTAAAGTGCTCCAATGGATAACACAGACAGCAATAGTGGAGCTGACACCTTGGCTGGATCGAACGATGAAGGATGCACAAAGGGCAGGTGGTGGTGGAAGAAGTTGAAGTATGTCGACAGGTATCTGTTGAGAACAGAGACTTGAGGCAAGCGGAACGTCTCCAGCAGCGCACCCTCACTGTCGCAGCGGCGGATGTTTTCCATGATGCGGTTGACCTGATCATCGGTCTCGATTTGCGGCGCCTTGGCCATGGTGCATTGCTGCGGTGGACCGGGCGATCGTCTGTAGTCGACAGGAGAGACAGGTCCGACCATGGAGGGGAAGGGCGACAAAGCGCCTGGAGTAGCCAAGCCACCCATCAGAGATGAGGTGGTAAATGACGGTAAGCCATCGGTTTGGCTCTCGCTGCGCTCGATGAGCGGAGCGAGGGTGTTGGAGGCTCCTGATATTGAGCTGCCCGTGGGGAATTGCAACAGATCGTTGTGGGCGTCGGCGCTGGAAGTGATGGACGATGCTTTGGGCTGTGAAATGTTTTGCGACACCAGATGGTCCCATCCCTGCATCGTTGGGAGAGTCATTGCACCAGGGTAGGTCGAAAGGGTCGGCTCCATCATTTGAGGGGTATGGGCCGTGATCATCGGACCGGTGTGGATGGAGCTGTGATCTTGGCCAGACAGGGCCGCCTTTTGTTGGAAGTTGTGCATGAGCATGGCGGCTTGCTCAACATCGAAGCCGTTGGTGGTGTCGGCGAATTGATCCATGGCGGTGTCCTCCATCTCAGGGAGCTTGCTGGGTTCTTCATTTTGAGCAGCCCTGCTCGTGTTGCCAGGGTTGCGACGTTTGGCTTCGCTCTGCAAAGGCACGCCGCCATCCTTGGCGTGGACGGTGYGGTCGTGGCGCAGGAGCAGGTCGCGACGCACAAATGTGCTGCGACATTTCAGACATTTGAATGGCCGTTCTTTGGTGTCTGAGGGAGGGATGGGTTAGCTGGAGGACATTTATCATCGAAGCGGGATGGAACGCGAGGTGAGAGGATGCCCCGCCAGCCCACTTTCGCATCGCGTTCTCATCGTGGAGCTTCACACGTGGACTCTGGACTTACGAGATCGCTCGTGGCGTGAACGGTGTTCGGAACGAGAGAAGGCGCCTGATGAAGAGGATGCAGTCAGTGGATGTCGGACATGTTTCCGAGGGTGTGGATGGACATACGATTGCAGAACTGGCACTTGTAGCGCTTCTCTTTCTCCTTGGCCTCGCCCGTCGATGCCTTGCGAGTTGTGGCAGGCGAGACGGGAGCGACAGCGGGTTCCACTGCCATGGCGGRCATGGTCGCTGGAGTCGCGGGTGCGGGTGCTCGATGGTGGAGGATGGCGGGCGCCCGGCGCAGCCAGCGACAGTGGAGCGTTAAATCGCGGAAGTATTGGCGGTGGTGATGTTGGTGGTTGATCGCGATGCGATGCGCATGGAGGGCATTAGGCGATGGAGGGGTTGATGGACGGCTTGCGCGTGGAGGGGTGATGGAGACCAAGAAAGTTGAGATGGCGATGGGTGGGCAATGATGAAAGGTCGCGAGGGGTGAGTGGAAAGGAGGGAGAGAATGGGCCAGCAACGCGGGGGTGAACTACGAGTTCACAGGATCCAAAATTAGGGTTGTGTAGAAGACTTCGAACTCTGCGCCGCCCGCGCCCGCCTGCAGGCTGCAGAAGCATCGTCCTGTTTGATGAACCACTTCCACTTCCCGTTGCCTTCTACCTTCACCGCCGCCGCATTTTACACTTGATCCACTGCTTGGCCACGCGAGCGGCGGCATCTGCAGTGCATAAAATTTCTCCACCAGATCCGACTCTTGTCATGTCCACAACCACACCGCCCGTCAATGGGCGATCAATTGTTTCCTTGTTTCTGCCCTGCGCGTCGAGCCTGTCACTGACTGCCGAAGCGCTTACAATCTGTGTTCCCCACTCCGCGGTTTCTTATTGCCGACAACCAGCGCCTCAGAGTCGCCCCGCTCCGCTGTTGCTTCCGCTTCCGCTTCGGCGAAGGCGTGCAACGGGCAGAAAAGATCTTCATCTCATGTTTCCGACAACCGCTCGAGTGGTGATGGAACGATCGACTAGTCCGGGGAGACTCCGACGGCTCCACTTGGCGACACTTTCACCGCGGCGAACAAATTTCATCGTCTTTCGGGGAGTTTGGATTGCACCCGGAGCCAAGGCTAGAATGCCGCCGGTTGACAGATCGCTGGAATCCAGCCTCTCTTCCCAGCTTTCACCAGACGTTCTGCCAGACCGCTAGTCGCCATCATACGACGTTGAGTGTTTACATGAATGGACTGAGACCGCATGCAACACTTGCAGCAACAGAGCAGCCATGGGTCATCATTTCGACCCAATGCTGCATATCATTGACATGTCGGAATTGACGTTTACGATCGATCAAATCTCGGCTCTCCCGACCGATCTTCTCATCATTCAAGGACTGTTAATTTTGAATACCAAAGTTTGTCAATACATCAGCACGTCATGCATCATACATGAGATCGAACAATGGAAGAAACATCGTGCTTTGACGAACATCTTCTCGAAAGACGATGTTTTCGAGGGAGCWTCCATGATGTCCGCATTTTGAGCCTTGTCAATGCCACCGACCTATGCATTCAACTCCACGCATCCCACCACATCACTCTAGTAAGCGACTCGCGGGTCATCCTCACCCTTTCACATTTGTGCTTTGACAAATGATGCCGAGTCCTCATTCGTAGGCGCAAGGCAGGGTAGGCATCACTTCTACCCCACCAGTACTTTGAATTAGAGTTGCTGCTGCACCTTTGGGTGCCGACGAACTCTGTAAACACGCAATGTCAACATCAGGTGTTGCTCTCAAGACGATGCTCGACGTGAACAATGCTGCTCGGGGCTTGCATCTTCCTCATCAATCCGCTGGACGGTCACGTTTCTTCCAGTACCGTTTTATCCCTTCCTCCGTTGCGCCACACTCGATGTCCCCAGTTCCGGCTTTCTTCCATCGGGCCTGTGTTCCCCGGCGGACTGGCTAAGGTCTAAGCTAGGGAGCGTGCCCTCTTCCACCCGCTAGTGTCCTTGAGTCAAACAGTTTTGGGCGATGTGCCGTTCCGGAAAGTTTGAGTGCCTCTCCGCTCCATTGTTACAAAGGGTCGTCTTGACGAATCATATAATGAAGGAGTGATGATAACGTTGTTCGAGGGCCTGCTGATAAACCTGATCCCAACGAGGGAATGAGGGGTCCGATTCTCTTATGACAGGGCAGGCTGTCGTAGTAAGAGTAGCCCGGTAATAACAGGGCGAAACATGGCTGATCAACCGCGGGGCGTTGAGGGATGATATTCCGTTCTCCAACTGTTCCTTGTGTTGGTAGTGCGGCCATCCCGAGCATCCGTTTGATATGATGTCCCGTTGATGCTCAGACGTGCATAGACGTGGTTGTATGGGCGTAGATTTGCCATCTGGGAGAATCGCACAGCACTCACGATCCAGATCTGTCTTCACGCGAGGACGATCTCGCTCGTCGCAGTCGTCCCTTGATATGTATACAACGATTGAGAGTTCAGATGGTTGGAATTGTATGTACACATGTTCAATCATCGCCATTCGAGGTTCATTGATGTCGTCTCGTTGTCTATTGTGCTTTGTTTCGTGACGAGAAGTAATTTAGCGCAAAGGTTCCCCACCCATGGGATTCGTCCAATCAATGGTACTTCCACCATATCGTGAGGGCCACCCCATTACCTAGCACAGCTCTGCACATCTGTTGCCGAATCAGCAACTGGCGTCCTCGGTTCGTCGAGCTGATCCCGCGACAGAGGCACAAGTTGGAGTTCGCTGCCAGACTGTTGACTCTAGCCTCTAGCCTTTAGCCTCTAGACTGCAGAGTGCAGACTGCAAGGACTTCGGACGGCCGCTTGCATTCCAGCAAAGCACTGGAGGGGGAACAGTGCAGAATACAAGGACACAGGACTGTCCTGAGCTGGACGCGACAAGATAACATCACCCACCACTGCTGGATGAGCGCCGTCGAACCCGTCCTCTAAAGCATTCCCACCGCGCAACATGAGCATGCTGGCCGGCAGCGTGTCGTCCTCCGGCCAGCTCTACGTTCGCGCGCTGTACGACTACGATGCCGACGACCGCACAAGCCTGAGCTTCCGCCAGGGCGACATCATACAGGTCATTACCCAGCTGGAAAGCGGCTGGTGGGATGGAGTGATACGGGGCACCCGCGGCTGGTTTCCCAGCAATTACTGCGCCGTCGTCTCGCATGGTTATGACGGCGGACTAGACGGGACGACGGGGCGGACAGGCGAGCCAGAGGCAGAAGAGGAAGCAGAGGACTACACGGAGCACGAATCGGGCGTTGTCGCTCCTGCCCACCAAGATGGGGCGGCCAGCACCACACAGGAGGAAGCGGCATTTTGGATACCCCAGGCCACGCCAGATGGACGATTATTCTACTTCAACACGCTGACGGGCGAGAGTACCATGGAGCTGCCTCTGGAAGCGCCCATATCGGCCCATGAGAGTGGCCCGCGCGATCGCACCAACATATTCGTGCCCGACCAAACACGACCGCCAGCGGAATTCCTGTCGGCGGGCTATGAGCGCGACGAAGACACCGACTATGCTTCTGCTTCGGAAGCCGAGGACGCGTCGGTAGCACAGGGATCAAAGGCCTCGAGTGTAAGTCCCACCCCTACACGTGTCGCCCATTTGCAATCTACGTGACACCCACTAACGTACATGAACTGTCAGCATCGACGCAGGCGCTCATTTCTGTCCGACGGCGTGTCACCCGCAACGTCCATGGATTCTTTGACTGCTCCTTCTCCGATGAGCCGCTCTCGCACCAATCTTACGGAAGCAAGCAACTTGTCGCTTTCGGCTATGCAGCAGGGAATCCCGCCCATTGGTACCACCATGAGCTCCTTCGCTAACGCGCCCCCCAGCGCATCAAGGCTTTCGTTATTACCTCGGAGGTTTTTCGACGATGCCCATGCGATTCCTCTAACGTGGAATACCATGGTGGAAGACATGCGGCGGGCTGTACAGCGATATCGCGAAGTCATCACCAACGGCGATCGATCCGAATACGTGCGCAAGGCAGAGGACATATCGGACCACTTGCGCTTGTTACTTGCCGCCGGCTCCGGCACCACGGACAATCATTCGGGCAACCCTTCAATCATTTCGACGAACAAAGCACTGTACCCGCATTTCAGAGAAATGATGTCAAGGTTTTCCAAACTGGTCCTTTCCTCCCACATTGCAGCGGCCGACTTCCCCACACCAGACTCGACTCAGAAGTGCTTGCAGGAAGCTGAAGGTGTGCTGCACGGTGTCTACGGTTTTGTGGAGGTGGCGCGACAGCAGCGTGGCGAGGAAATTCCCAGATTGGTGCCGGGCTTTGTTTCGGGAAGCCGGACGGCGGGTAACTGGCAAAGCAATGGTCTCGATCCTCGCAACAATCTGGCTCTTTTCTTGGACGACGAGGCCGATACTGTTGCAGAACCAACTGTTGCCCTTGACTCGGCCTTGCTCACACGCCTAGACGACCTCAAGCGGCTCATCTACTCGTCCATCCAACGCCTCGACCAGCACCTCATCATACGGGACAAGCTCATCACGCATCAAAGGCATCGCCAGATTAGCGATTCCATTTGTAAATCGGGAAGTCAAGTTGTCGAAGTCTGCCGGCCGTATTTGTCCACGATTGAGTCCATCAACCTTGCACCACTCACATCCCCATTTCAAACCCCTCAACTCAACGACTTTTCCGAGCACAAGCAGAAGCTATACGACTCGACTTCCGACTTGATCGTGGCTTGTCAGGCGGTTGCCACACCACTGGGAGACGAATGGGCCGAAGTTAGAGGGCCGTCATTAGAGGAGCGCGTGAGCCGCGTGAAAGGAGTTGGGCGAGAGCTTGACACTTCGGCTTCGCAGATATTATTCTCCCTACAGCTACTCTCCGAGTTGATCCCACAGTCTGAAACAACAAGCAGCAGCTCGCATCGTCTCACCGACGGCGGGGCAACGTATGAAAGACACATGAGGAATGGCTCCCAGAATCTTAGGCCTCAGCTCGCGGATGTTGGTCATTCAAAGTCATACACAGAAGGTACCCCTGCTCCCGCGGACTCTGGACCCGCACCGGGGTCTGCTGGGGAAGTGTCAAAAGCTATGCGATTCTTTGGAGAGGTACCAGGGCGAGACTCGGAAGAAGAGCCCAATTTTCTTAGATTGGATCACGAAGGCGAAATTGCATTTGACACCAAGACTGATCCTCCACAACTTCGCGGGGGGACTCTGGTCGCGCTTGTGGAACAGCTCACACGACATGATCGACTGGACTCACCTTTTAACAATACCTTCCTCCTCACATATCGATCATTCACCACAGCACCGGAGTTGTTTGAACTGCTAGTCAAGCGATGGACAATACAACCTCCGTATGGCTTGGGCGGTGCGGATCTGCAGACGTGGACCGACAAAAAGCAGAAGCCCATCCGTTTTCGGGTTGTCAATATTCTCAAATCGTGGTTTGACAACTACTGGATGGAGGCGAATGACGAGACCAGTCAGCAATTAATGCAGCGAGTCTATGCTTTCGCAAAGGATACCGTGCAGTCGACAAGTACTCCAGGAGCTGGTCCACTCATGACAGCCATTGAACAGAGAATGCGTGGTCAGGATTCCTCAAGCAAGCGGCTGGTGCTCACACTCAACTCACAAGCGCCGCCTCCGATAATACCAAAGAACATGAAGAAGTTGAAGTTCCTCGACATTGACGCCCTGGAATTCGCCCGACAATTGACCATGATCGAATCGAAGCTGTACGGAAAGATCAAGCCTACCGAGTGCCTCAACAAGACATGGCAAAAGAAACTCGCCCCGGGCGAGCCAGACCCTGCCGATAATGTCAAGTCTCTGATTCTCCATTCAAATCAATTGACCAACTGGGTTGCTCAAATGATCCTGACCCAAGCTGATGTCAAACGGCGTGTTGTGGTCATCAAGCACTTTGTCGCCATTGCGGACAAATGCCGATCGTTGAATAACTTCTCCTGCTTGACTTCGATCATTTCCGCACTCGGCTCAGCGCCGATTCATCGATTGAACAGGACATGGTCACAAGTGAATGCCCGAACCACACAGACGCTCGAATCCATGCGCAAGCTCATGGGCTCGACGAAGAACTTCAACGAGTATCGTGACAGTCTACACAAGGCCAACCCACCCTGCATACCGTTCTTTGGAATCTACCTGACCGATCTAACCTTTATCGAAGATGGTATTCCAGGTGTCATCAAGAAGACGCAACTCATCAACTTTGCCAAGCGAGCAAAGACGGCAGAAGTGATTCGGGATATCCAGCAGTACCAAAACGTGCCGTATGGATTACAACCAGTTCCTGAGCTGCAAGACTACATCTTGAGGAATATGCAGAGTGCGGGCGACGTGCATGAGATGTACGAGCGTAGTTTGCAGGTTGAGCCGCGTGAGAGAGAGGATGAAAAGATTGCAAGGTAAGTTCGGATGTTGATGTGGAATCTTGCAACGACTAACCATTCCATCGCAGATTGCTATCGGAATCAGGCTTCTTGTAGTCCAAAAGCCCTGGAACCGTGCCCATCTCCGCCTCTTCACCCTCTTCGCCTTCGTGGTCGGATTCCTTCACAATCCGAGCTCTTCGAAGAGACACGTCGGTGAAACGTAAATCTGTCACTTTACAAGCGCTGGACTCTGCATCGAGCTCCAGCAAGTTCTGGCTGTCTTAAAACATGAGCAAGTGTACTCTGGATTATCCATAATGGTCGATGCTGTCGAGRCAACGCTTTTTGAAATGAAGGTACGAATGAAATGAAACGAGTCCGAGTCCGAGTAGTTTGTTTACAACTCATTGCTTTGTGGGATGTGTGGTTTTTTGCTCCGCGGGGTTGCATTGTCGTCACACTCTTGAACGCTCAGGTGGTGTTTTTTTTCTTCCTTCTCCCCGGCAGCATCGATCGCGTGGCTGAAATTAATTCTGTCTGATGTTCTGTAGACAGACATTGTATCTTCAAAGCATCTATTCTGGTTCGAAATACCGCATTCGTTACACGGCAGATTGATTTTGTTTTACTGCGTGTGGAAAGTCGTTCGCTGTGGTCATGCGAGGGCTACTAAGCCAGGCTACTGGAGAGGACTCTACGCCTGTATCGAGCGGAATGGAAGAGTGCTGGGCTGTTAAGTAGGAGGATTGTGACTGCTGCGGAGAAGGGAATTCTTAACTGAAGGTTTCTGACGAAAGATTATCTGCTCTCTATAGCAACAATAATAACAACAGCATGAGTAATAACAACAACACGAACAAGAAGACCTGTTGTGCAGGAAATGTGGCTGTCCACAAGGCTTTATATTTCATGCTTCTAGCTATTTATTAGGGAGCGTGATCGTCGATTTACTATAACGAGAGCCTATAACCTTTACTTTTACTAGCCTCTCAAGTAATACTAAGTATCGCAGCGACATAGAAAGCCTAGTAATAGTGCTATCTAGGTATACGATCTAGTAGGTAAAGTCCTGGTTATATAGAAGGTATTTAACAGTTAGTGTCTTATAGTAAGGATATAATATCTAAGTACTTCTTCCTTACCTCTAAGAAAAATAAATTCTAGAGCTATCGATATAAGGATCATTTATCGTGACAAGACCATCTCTATAATATCCCTAGCCCTCCCGCTCTCTACAGACTTTTGAAGATTCTATGCTATCATAGATCATCTTCTCATATACACACATCAACAACTCTAAGGATTGACAATCACAGCGCCACCGCCATCTCCTTCACGCGAATCATTTTCTTAAACCGACGAGACCACTTCCTCGTAGACCCCTGAACCTTTCCAACTGGCTGCAATATATCGCCCGCGCAACAATCCCCGCCGCCCTCGAGATCTGTAGTCCTTGCGAGGATTGAATCAAAGGATGGAGAAGAATTGCCCAGATTTGTAGAAGATGCTTGACTGGACACTCCGTTTTGTTGATTTTTATAAGAAAAGGGTGTCAGACCTTGCGATTCTGCACCTGAGAAGGCTTGATGTCCCTCCATCTGTTTTTTGGCGGATGACCTCACTGCCACATGCGCGAGGTAGATTTCCAACCCATAGCGCTGAGCGAGAGTAAGAAAATCCCCACGGGTCGTCGTCGTGATAGCGCCATCTCCACCCCAAGGATCATGACCGAAATGCTCGCCGACGCGTTCCAATTCATTCAGAATCCGCCACGGCGTCTCTCCATATCGAAACTCATACGAAGCAGCCGATCGCAGAATCACGCCCGAGATGCGATGAAAAGGGACCATGCCATCTTCATGCCGGACGGGATTCAACCATTTCGCCAAGGCGAGATATAAGCGACATGTCGAGAGGGAAGCGCAGAAATCTTCTCCCGCGCGGGACAAAAGGCTCTCCTGAATACTTCTCGTCATGAGGAAGTCTCGCACGGTGCGATGCAGAAAGTCGACTTTGAAAAGCTGCGCCATGTCCCCGAAACTCCCGCTCGCGGGACTCCAGACGACTTCTAATAAATCTCGACACCATTTTTTCAGACGGGCGGCGACGACGCCGCGGCAGGTTTTGACGGTTGAGTCCGGGAGGGGTTTAATGGGGAGGGTGAGGACGGAGGTGGGGTCTTCGAGGTCGGATTCCAGGTACCAGAATGCTAGCATTGAGAGGGGTTCGTCGGCTTCGAAGACGATGAGTAGAGTGCGTGCTGTGTAGCGCTGATAGACGTCATCGACGGAATCGAGCATGAGTTGGAAATATTGCTCGAGATCTGTCGGGAGTTGTCGTAGGCGTTTTTGCAGCATAGGAATGTCGTCGAGATCGGTCAGGCCGCGGAGGAGAGATCTTACGACGAGGAATACCCAGAGGAAGACGCCCTGTGCCTTTTCTTGGATTTCCACCGCAAGATCGTGGGCTCGATCGTCTTGCTGTGCTAGCGGCTTGAATCGAGCGTCGTCTTCCAGCATCTCTTTAACGTAGTTATGGACGTCGTTGTGGGTGAGATCCTGCAGGACAAGAGCGCGATCTGCAGTTTCTGCAAATGCAGCGGTGAATGCATTCCACGGTCGACTCGAGACGCAAATCTTCACTGCGTGAGAATCGACCAGTAACTTGAGGTCCTCGACCAGTTTATAGTGATCGCCCGAGTACTCATCCAAACCGTCGATGAAGAAGCAAAAGCGAGTGCTCTGCTTAGTATGAGAGAGGAGAGATGTGAGGGCCTCGGATAATTCCTGCCTCGTCCATGGGTCGGGATGTTGGTGGAAGATCTCATCTTGGCTCCATCTTTGCGGTACAGATTCGCTGATCAAATTAGGATTCTTTCGCATGACCTGAAAGAGGAGGCTCTGCATGAGGCCTTGCTGGGACTTTTGCAGTGGGAATCCGGAGTTCCAAAAGTAGAAGCTTGCCGTGGCCAACGATTTCCTTCCCGCCCATTTACGGAGCAGTCTCGCGGTTGGACCATCTCTAGTCATCTGTCTCGCCAGTGGATCCTCTTTGACCGCGTGGACTTGCTTGCGAAGCGCTGCGTGGTCGACCATGTTATCACTGACATATTTCATAAACGTCGATTTTCCGGAGCCAGCTTTGCCATTCACCCAGAACAGACCATCAGATCCCTCGAGCCACGTTGCAAAAGTGCTCGCTGTCTCATCGTAGACCCACGAGAATGTACTTCTATGGGCCTCGGTAATGGCCGAGTGTCGCATATGCATTTCCGGGAATTGGAGGCTGCTGAGAATGTGCAACTGCTTCTGGACATCATCGACTCTTCTTTTGGTACGCTCCATGGCCTGCGTGAAAGCGCGGATCGAGTTGTCGATACTCTCAAAACCACTCCGACCAAAACTACTGCCACCAAGAACACTCCCACCAAAGCTACTCTGACGGATCGGACCAGCCGCTGCGATCTGGGACTTGAAATTACTCAATTCGCGTTCCTGACGCGCCAATGCCGTGACTATGGAACTGTGCGACATTCGTAGTTCTGCAATGTTTTCTTTGTGCATTGCTTCGGTCGTCCTCGCAAGCGCATCAAGTGATAGTTGCAACGACGATTGCGAGGTCCTACAGATCGAGTTAACAATCCGATGTATACCATTCAAGAAACGAGGTTATGAAGACCTACTGTATACTCTTCAAAAGATACGAGTCGAGAAGGCCTTTGATATCAGCCAAGGCATCCTGCATACTTGCAACATGTCTCGATTTCGCCGTCGCTCGGATGGCTTGGCGGATGGCATCAAAGGACCGCCACACGCCCGTTCCATGGACTTTGAGGTCTTCTAGGACTTTCAACAGCTTCGTGGCGAGAGCCCGACATCTTTCCGCCATCTCGATTATGGATTTGGTATCCTGGTCCGTGATATCGGCAACGGGGGCCCGGTCTCTGTACGTGACGGTCAGGCTTTTGCAAAAAGTCTGGAGGTCGCCTGTGAGGCTCCCGAGGTGGACATTCTGTTCCGTCGCCCCGGATGTCGCATTGTAATCTCCATGTGCTGTAGAGATCAACTTGGAGGCCACGTCGATGAATTGCACGATTGCGGACGCAGCGCCTAGAGCCGTCAGAGGGTCGGCCATGAGTGGGAAGCACCATGAGCTTCTTCAGCAAATGTGGTCCTTGAATTTCGAAACAAGTGACGACATGATGTCGAAGAAAGGGAAGGTGGGATTGGTGGCATCTCGCCTTTTGATTTGCCATGTGAGGCTGTGTCGAGGGATGGATGGATGAGATGGTGTACAGAAGCCTGCTTAGCGTCATGCAGTGATCGAGGGGTACCTTAGTATTGACACACACCATATATAGACCTAGAGTCCAGCAAGCTCATTCCTTCAACTCCGCAGACCTCTCTGCCGTCCTCGCCGTCCTCGCCAGTCCCCAAAAATCATCTTCCACCAGATCATCCTTTTCCAAATCCAAGTATCCCCGTTGGGAGACGCTCTTGGGTACGATGGAAATCGCGCGACCTGAATATACATATACATCCGTTAGACCGTTCATATAATTGAGGCTAGAGATTGTGAGAATGCAATGCGTACCGTTGATAGACTTGTCCGAAGCCAAATGCAAAACCCCATTGCCCACATCTTCAATCTCCACGAATTCAATCCCGTGAGCTTCAATCTGTGGTCTGGCGCCCTGCATGATGCGTGTGTCTGTGAACCTGAATTGACACAATCACCACACATTAGTTTTGGCTCTCATCTTCCAATGATCGAGGAAGTACTAACCAAGGCGCAATCATATTAATTCGAATCCCCTCCCCCGGTCCCGTCCTTCTCAAACTCCGCATCAAGCCTCTCACACCGAATTTACTGGCATTATACTGGGGACTTTGTGCGTGATCCATGTAACTCGCCATGCTTCCCGTGATGATGATACTGCGATCTCGATTTTCATCATCCTGAGGTTGTTGGGGAAAATAGTAGAGGGCTAGTTTGGTGGTATACATGACGCCTGTGAAATTCACGTCCAGGACGGAGAGATCCGGTTCGACTGGGTCGCCGTTGGGGAGGGAGGCGGTTTGGAGGGTGATGTCGTCTGAGCGATTGATGCCTGCGTTGGCGAGGACAATATCGATCGTATTGGAGGGAGAGTGGGAGAGGGCGGTTTTGAAGAGGTGCAATTGGTCTTGGATGATTAGTTGATGGTTGGAGGAGGGTGCGGGGAGGGACAAGACATGCCGCTCCATTTCGTCACATCACAGTGAACGAATGCGACCTTTTCGGTGCCCAAAGAGGATGCGATGGCTTCTCCGAGATCATCTGCTACATCTCCAAAGGTTACAAATGCTCCGGCTTTGACAAAGGCTTGCAGGCATTGTTCTCCGATGCCACTGGCGCCGCCTGTGATGATGACGCTTTTGCCTTTGAGGGAGCTTGGGTCGTGTTTAGCATCTGGAGGGATTGCTTCACTTTTGGTGAATTTCGTGTTGGCCGTCATGTTGTGGAGGGAGGGGAGAGATGGGATGAGATGTCAAGAGCAGAGACGGAAGACGAGGTGAAGATTGTGTGATATACATACACACCTCACGCATGAAGCGGGCAGGTGTTGTGATCAGCTGTACAAGAGGAAGGTAGGAGACTTCTCCGCAGCGGGGTGCATTCAAGCGAGATAGTTGGACGAGGCTTCCAAGGTTGTAAGATGAGGAGAACGGAGGAGGAGGAAGGAGCATTCCGTCTCATCTGACTCCGTGTCAGATGTCTCGTTGCAAGCATTGATTGCATTGCCGAGGCTATCAATCAATGGACAGCCGAATTTCATCAATGTAATGATGACACCTCTGAAATGATGATGTTCCAGGTTGTTGAGGGGTGAGAGGAGACGTGAGGTGAGAGATGCGATGGATATTTTGGAGGGAAGCGGGTTAATTCCGTCAATTCCGTCTTACCTGTTTTCAATTGAACGGAGCTGAGGCCGGCCGACGCAACTTTTTCCTCGGCGGACCCTTGAGCCATCCATCTCTTCACCATCCCAGCTACCTTACCTTATTCCTCCAAGGTAAGGCATTCCTCCACCCTCACAATGGGACAGGACAAGAAGAGCGCCAAGGGGCGATTGGACAAATACTACTACCTGGCCAAGGAAAAGGGCTATCGCGCTCGAGCGGCCTTTAAACTGATCCAACTCAACAAAAAGTTCAATTTCCTGCAAAATGCCCGCTGTCTCATCGATTTGTGCGCCGCGCCCGGCTCCTGGCTGCAGGTGGCGGCGGAGATTATGCCCCCCAAATCCCTCATCGTCGGCGTGGATCTCACCCCGATCAAGCCGATTCCCAAGGCCATCTCCTTCCAAGGCGACATCACCACCGACAAGTGTCGCGCCACCATTCGCGGCCATTTGAAGACGTGGAAGGCGGATTGTGTCATTCACGACGGTGCGCCCAATGTGGGTACGGCGTGGGTCCAGGACGCCTTCTCCCAGAACGAGCTGGTCTTGTCGAGTTTGAAGCTGGCCACCGAATTCCTCATCCCCAACGGCACCTTTGTCACAAAGGTCTTTCGCAGCAAGGATAGCGCCAAGTTGGAGTGGATCTTCAAGCAACTCTTCACCAAAGTCGAGCAGACCAAACCGCCATCCAGCAGAAATGTCTCCGCCGAGACTTTCTACGTCTGTCGCGGCTTCAAGGCGCCCAAACACCTCGATCCTCGCTTCCTCGACCCCACCCACGCCTTTTCCGAGATTGAGGAGAGTGCGCCTAACAATGAGGCCAAGGTCTTCAACCCGGAGATCAAAAAGAGGAAGCGTGATGGGTATGAAGAGGGCGATTGGACACAATTCAAGGAATGTTCCGCCAGTGACTTTATCCAGACCAACGATCCCATCGCCGTGCTGGGGAGTATGAACAAGCTGCATTTCCGGCAGGAAGCGAATGGAGACATTGCACAGGCCGCGTTGGATAAACTGCCGGAAACGACCGAAGAGGTGCGTTTGTGCTGTCAGGACTTGAAGGTGTTGGGACGGAAGGAATTCAAGGTCTTGTTGAGATGGCGATTGAAGGCGAGAGATCGTTTTGGTTTCCGCGTGAAGAAGACGGCCAAGGAGGAAGCCGAGGCTGCAAAGCCAGCGGTGGACGCACCACAAGTCAAGGAGGGTGTGGAAGGAGAAGAGGTGGCCGTCGTCGAATCCATGGATGGTGAGATGCGTTTGCAAGAAGAGATCCAAGCGATGAAGGACGCTCAAAGCAAAGTCAAGCGCAAGGAGCGTCGCAAGGACAACGAGAGGAAGCAAAAGGAGACGGTGCGCATGCAGATGGGCATGACAACCCCCTCCGAGATTGGTATCGAGGCGGGTGATCAGGGTAGCAGTGAGGCCGTCTTCCGTTTGAAAGACGCCGACAAGCGTACCGACATTCGACAGGCCATCATGCGTGGACGGATGCATACTGCCGTCGAGCCTGAGAAGCCCAAAGAGGAGAGCGAGGAGGAGAGCGAGGATGAATATGGCGATGCGTTGGAAGCACAACTGGATGGCATGTACGAGCAATACCAAGAGCGGGTGGAAGATCGTGATACCAAGGCTCGTGCGAAGCGGGCGAGGAAGTTGGCACGTGGGAATGATGTGGAAGAGGAGTTTGAGGGCTTTGGTGCCGAAGACAAGGATCCCAACGATTCCGATGCATCCAGCGATGATGGTCTGCTTGAGGACGATGATGACTCTCTTGACAGTGATGATGGGGAGGGTGCTCTCACTACAGATCTCCAACCAAAAGACCCAATGGGAGGTGGTCTTACTCGACGAGCGGCCAGTTTCTTCGAGCAAGACATTTTCAAGGGCATTGATGGGTTGGATGAGGAGGATGAAGAGGATGAAGAGGATGAACCCGAGCTAGACAAGGCACGAGACAGCGGTGTGGATGTGGAATCTCCTAATCTCAAGCCCGCGACGGAGGAAGAGGAAGACGACGACTCGGAAGACGCAATGTCGTTTGCCTCCGACGATGACGCCGCATCAGAAACCTCCTCCATCGAAGCCGTGCCCTCCAACATCCAACCCGAAGAGGAAGATTGGGAAGAAGGCACCACCCGTCCCTCCGCACCCGGGGAAAATCCCGCCCAACCCAGCATTTCCATCATCACCGCCGAAGCCATGACTCTCGCCCACCAACTGGCCACGGGAAAAGTCACCAAACAACAACTCCTCGACGACAATTTCAACAAATACACTCTTCGAGATGTCGATGGTCTCCCCGAATGGTTCCTCGACGACGAAAACAAACACTCCCGTCTAGCGCGCCCTGTATCGGGCGAAGCAGCCGCAGCCATCAAAGAGAAACTCCGCGCGCTCAACGCCCGCCCCATCAAAAAAGTACGAGAAGCCAAGGCGCGCAAAACCCTCCGCACTGCCCGTCGACTGGAGAAGTTGAAGAAGAAGAGCGAGGGGTTGGCGGAGCAGGATGGGGAAGGAGGAGGGGAAGCGGGACGGGATGCGATGGAGCGCATGAGTAAGATGATGGCCAAAGCGAAGAAGGGCACCAAGAAGAGGAACCCTGTCAAGGTGGTGTTTGCCGGTGGGCATAATAAGGGGGCGGGAAGGCCGAGGGGAGTGAAGGGTAAGTATAAAATGGTCGATTCGAGATTGAAGAAGGATGTTAGGGGGTTGAAGAGGGCGGAGAAGAAGGGGAGGGTAAGGCGGTAGGCGGTAGCCTAGGAGATGGATGATGGATCATTGAAGATCTTGTGTAGATGGCGCCCGTTTTTCAAAAGTTTCATGGGCCTTTTACCTTGCCTTCTCAAAAGCCTTGCGGCCGGCTGGAAAAAATGCGAGAAAAAAGTTCGCTATGAGGAGATTCCCGTCTTGTAGGTTTGTTTTCCCCCAAGTCGACTCAGCCTACCTTACCCTTGCATGAAAGAGGGATCAGAGCTAGGTAGATGAGTCCCAATTATCCCAAGATCAACGGACGGTCCGCGCCGGAAATAAGCTACTAGATGTCATGTCGAGTGAATACCTAGAAAAGAGGGACTGTATAGATTCGTTTCCTTCCCTCCCTACCCTCTCCCCTTTTACATATATATATATATATATACATATACATCACCGCCTTGCAAAAGCCAGAAACATGTCATTGTTATTATTATCGAAAACCTCAAGATAAACATAAGATTACCCCCGACATCGTTAGATAGTAGTAGGTAGAAAGGCAAGAGTAAAGTATCTACTCTATAGACTAGGTTATCGTAGATCGTATATATCCTTCTTCCTCTTCTTTTGCTCCTTCTTCTATCTAGTTTATTCGCCTTTCGATTCTCTATATAAAAGAAGTTTCCCCAAGTAGTTTATCTATGTTATATTAACGTCTAATTCGAACACGTAGATATATATATACAGATTCTTCTCCTAAGTACTACTACTACTACTACTACTACTACTACATTCCCTACTTCAGAGCTCTAACTCCTCTCTAGTGTAATTATAGGAGTGGCATCTAGGCAGGTTGTAATTCGAACTTTCTAAATGGGTCTAGAAGTGAAAATTTCATAGATAAATATATGAATATTCTACTAGATAATCTAGGAACGATTATTGAATTATATCAATAATGATGTTGGATCAATCTTCAGAGACTAAAGGAATGGGAAGAAGGTGTGCCGCATTGTTACTTGACTTGACTTGGTTTGATTTGTGGAAAGTCGAGGAAGCGGAATCGAACGCTCTTCTATAATTTGGACAGCGATTAAGGGGGCTGTGTGCTTTGCCTTTCCAAGACGTGAAGCGTGTCGAGCATGTTATATTTTGATTGATCTTGCTACTGCCAAAGTCGACTTTGATGGCACATGTAAACGTCCATTTCGGCCTGCTGCGACGCTGCGGGGACGAAATGCGTCCATGTGATGGATTCTCATTGCCTCGAATGGCGTCTTGACCGCGGGCCCTAATTCGCATATTGATGATCACGTCAACCTGCATCACATCCTAGATGTTGCAATCTCGCCGGCATCCATCGTATCGCTCAACGGCATCCGCTCTGCCGGAATGGTCGAGTTGGTAGAATTGGCCGAGTTCCCCAGCACCCCGACCGCCTCGTATCGAATTTCGATATACGTCACAGATGCCTGAATCCACGAAGTAACCCCCACCGCATCCGCTTCCAACACCACCGGGATATTCGTCCTGATGGAGAGATCCACGCACATACTGTCAGCGCACAAAAAAAAAAAAAAAAAGGGCTTTCAGATGGAAAGGATTTTCAAGATCAAGGACGAAGAATGCGATCTGCGATACCTGCTGCATCCGATGGCTCTGCTTCTCGTCGGTGATTCTGTGTCAATGTTCCATAGCCAATGGCACCGCTGGCGGGAGAAGGCCATTGATCGGGAACTTTGGCGAATGTTTGGGTGACGACGATTGGTGCGTAGGTTACGGTCGTTCCTACCGAGACTTGCATGTAGATTGTTGTTACGGCGGGAGCTTGGGTCGGTGCTGCTGTGGCGTCTAGGACAATGTCTTTGGCCTGGCGGGGTCTGGAATGTGGTGTTAGTGGGGTGGGAGGAGAGGGATGGTGGTGGAATGTACTGGAGGTTTTGGTGGGATGCATCTTCGCCGTTGAGGATTTCTGCGGAGACAACGCAGGCGAGGGTTGCCAGGAGGTTGATGGTTGGGGAGAGCTTCATGTTTGTTGGGTGTCGGTTGGCACTTTCTTTGGTACCAGTTGTGTGGTCGTTATGATTCTTCGTAAGAGGATCAAGTCGAGGTGTATGTAACTGAACCAGTGTATTCTGTTGGCGAAGATTGAAGTTCTGTAGTCGTCGTTGTTGTTGTTGTTGTTGGTGTTATTGTTGTTGTTGTTGGTGTTATTGTTGTTGTTGAGGGATCCAAAGGTGCAAGATCGAAGGCAAGTGGTGTTTGCTGCTGTTGGTCTAGACTAGACTTGATTTCACCGGCAGGCAGGTGTCGCACAGCATTCGGCTCTACTTTATTCCAGCGTCGTAGCCAATGAATTGGACGGGAAATATATTGCAAGAGCACTGGAAGAAGCGGCGGAATGAGGAAATCGCTTTGAACGCTGCACACGAGGAAGATTGAAGAATGATTGGGGGAATTGAAGAGGAAGAAAGATTAGAGAAAAGATTGAAGGGGATTCCAAAAACGATCAACATTTGATCTCACTAAAAGATGGCCGAGTCGAGCATGCCGTGCCGCACTACAGCCGGACGGCGAGCGAGCGAAGGAAATGGAGTGGAAAGAATTGTCGTCGAATCGTCGAACGCGACGCGACGCGAGGTTCATCTAACAAGAGTGGAGCTCAACGTGCGCGGAGAAWATCAATCTTTTCGGCCCCTGCACATCATATCAACGGCCAAGGAAGGTTTAATCAACATCAAGCATTTGCCTAGTCTCGGCACCATCCGGCGGCGGCAACGACACTCTTGACAATATCCGCTTGGGGAAGGTATGGGAGCATCTTCACRAATACAACATCCATCTATTTCAGACACATCCTTTCGTGCGGATTTCCCAGCCTTGTGACGTCCACAGAAAGCGACATCGGCTCGCCAAGGTAACGGTGCAATATGCTTACTTGGATAAGCAAAGTGGGGCGTTGTCAACATCACCTTTCTTCAACTCCACCTTTCTCATCTTCTCCTCACGTATACAATACACATATTTACATGACACAAACATGCCTCCCAAACAACCCCCATCACCACCATCACCACCACCACCCGGTCCCCTCAACCTCCTCTTCCCCCTCCGCATTCTAGCATTCAGCGCCTACTACATCATCCCCACAATCATCTCCCTCCTCCTCCACCTCCAAATCAGAACCCTCCTCTCCCCAGGAGCATTCAAAGAAGCCTGGTTCGCCAAATTCTGGAACTTCTTCGGCCCTCGATCGCGAGAGCATGCCGGACCCAAAGTCATGCCATTGCTACAAAACAACGCCAGCGGCGTATGTCTAGACATTGGTCCCGGATCCGGTCAATGGCTCTATCTCTTCGCTCGCGCCGAGAATCCCTCCATTACGAAAATCTACGGCGTGGAACCCAATCGAGATTTACACAAATATCTTCGCGAGAATGCCATCAAAGCGGGTTTGGGAGATGTTTATGAGATTATTGGGTGTGGAGCCGAGGAGTTGAATTCCAAGGGAGGAATCGAGATGAGTTCGATTGATACTATTATTACTGTGCAGTGTCTTTGTTCCATCCCTACGCCTGAGTTGATTATCAAGGAGTTGTATCCGTTGTTGAAACCTGGAGGCACGTGGTTGGTGTATGAACATATCAAGACTAGATATGAGGGGTATTTTGTCGACTATTGGCAGCGTGAGTTTTGTCGATTTACATCCTACACTACATTGATTGATTGAGTTGATTTGTACTGACTGATTCAATACTACAGAGGCGCTCAATCTCATCTGGCCACATATGCTTGGTGGATGTGACATCACTCGCCCTACGGATACGTGGTTGATCGAGGCGGGAGCGTGGGAGAAAATCGTGCTGAAACCTGGTGTTGGTGAGGGTCCTTATGATACGGTTCCGCATGTTACTGGATATCTTGTCAAGAAGCTTGTTCAGCAGCTGAACTGATTGATCCATGGACTTATCTTAACTACATTTGAGATTTTCAACACCAGATTTGCGGTATGGGAGTATGGAAGGTTAGGTATTGTGAGAGAAGTTCCAGATCTTCTTTAGATCAAACAGAATGCGTTTTTGACTTTGTTGTGTATGCCGGAAAGTACTGTCGAATCAGCATGTCTATCAAACCTTTCTCACAGAATCCTATCATTCTCAAAGAAAATGCCGCCGTCCCTGAGAATCAGAAAACTCAATGCAATCGATATTTCCGTTTCTGAGAAAGTACGAGCAGCACATCCTTCAAAGCGGGTGGAATCTTTGGGCTTCTTATTCTTGGTGGTAGCTAGGACTTTCCACACGATTTTCATGTAGCTCCTTTCATTGTTTTAGCAAACTTCCACTCGACTGGTCTTTAGTATAAARACATGAAGACTGCCAGCCACTACGACATACACCTCTACAAACCCACCTTCAGATCACAATACAATCACAACATGGTGGACTCCGAAAAGGGCGACGAACCCAAAAGTCCAAAATCCGCCTCTGCGTCAGAAATCTACCAAACACCCCACGCAAAAGGCAAACTAGTCACCCCAAGCACTCCTCCCCAAGCACCCCTCGCAGCAGCAGACGAAGTCCTCTCCCCACGCACGCAACAACACAAACCATCACTTCCCCTAGGAACAAATTCCAAGTCCACAACAACCCTCCTCGGCAAACCCCCTCGTCCCACCCCCACCACAAAAAACCAAACCTGCAGATTCTGGGCCAATGGCGATTGTACCTTCCAAGCAGCATGTCGTCACGCCCACCATTTCTTCCCTATGATTGTGCAACGTGCTCATCSAGGCGGAGTGCAAGTCCAAACCTGCCAGAACGAAACTCCGACTTGTTTCTGGCCGGATGCCGTTTGTGGGTATAGCCACCACAAGAATCATCATCTTCTCGACGTGGTGGGAGAAAGAGAGAGAGAAAGAAAGAAAGGCGAAAGTGGAAACTATGGTGAAACAGAAGGTCGAGAAACAGAAGTGGAAAGTCCGCATGGTTTTTGAATGTGAAGTTTGTGGAGTTGTTATTTTTGATGGGGAGGATGGTGGTGATGGTGATGGGGTTGATCGCATGAATTTTCATTGTGAGACGGCTCATGCTGAGGAGAATGTGCAAGTGCAAGTTCAGACGGGAGGGGGGGTTGTTAGACGTGGTATGTCGTCTGTTGATTATGGGAGGGGTGGAGGAGCTTCTTCGACGACGACGCAGCAAATTCCACGCGCTGCTCTTTCGCAGTGGCCGCCGAGTGGAAGAGAGGCGTTTGGGGAGATGGGTAAGTTTGCTACGAGGCGGAAACCTGGGGAGATGTAGTTAGTGGGTTGGATGGTGGACTGGGGAGGAATTTTGAGCGGATTTACGTGATTGAAGGATTGAGAGGGGATGATCATGAGAGGGGATGATCAGAGAAGGCGTCTTGATGGAATGAAAGAAACGTGGTATAGGACTTTCCTTTCCCCTCCCCCATTTTTTTTCTCTTTGAATGGGGAAGTAAACGTAAAAGTCTACAGACATGGCAACAAGACTTGGAAAGTGCGGTCTGCGGTCTGATGGGCGGCTTCAAATGCATGGAGTTCTGGTCATCGAAAAAGAGATGGGGCGTTGCTCACAGACCGGTCGTGTAGAATGCGGTAAGCGACGGTGAATAACAAAGATTACTGTACTGTACTGGTGCCAACGGATCCAGTTGTCTCATGTCGACTGACGGATCAAGATCGTTCGTAGTCTTTGAGGGTAGTATTACAGCAAATTTCTCTAGCATTGTCGGTCAGAAAGGGGCGCTGTCTAGAGATTCAGGGGATGATTCATGAATTATTTCTAGAGCAGCGTCGTTGTAAACGGTAATGAACCCTTACAGCAGTAGACAGCCATGGAATACATAAGATGTTGAAGAAGATCCTCGAATATTCGTCTCCTGTTTAATAGTTAGCGACCTCCTAGTCACAGAGAGGAGAGTCGGTAAAGGAGACGCGGAATTCTAGAGAAGGAAGTAAGAGTAATAGAGTATAGAACTGTATTTTCTTGAAGTATAAGGAGTATAAGAAGTTTGCCTTAGCGGTCTTTTAAACGGTCGATAAGTTATTAGGAGGATTTTTTATAGGAGGAGTATACTACATAGGAGATGCTAATCGGGTACATAACTCGTAATATGTTGATTTTAAGGGAGAGGGCTAGGAACTAATTGGGGAAGTCTATAGCGATGTCTAAGAGCAGTAATTTGGAATTAGGAGATAGATTAGAGTAGGAAGAAGAGCAAGAGAGAGATCTTATACTCTATATATCTTCCTCTCTCTCTCTTGGAGTAACTACGTTCTCTCCGTTAGAGTCCATCTTATCCTGTACTCCCTTGCTATATCCTCCGTTCTCCCTTACCTCCTCCCTTACCTCCTCCCGTTACCGGTACATCTCGTCAGATTAAACCCCCACCCCATCAACAAAATCCACAAACTCCGCCCCCTCAAAACACCCCACCCACTTCTCCTTGACAACCTCCAACAATTTCGTATGCGCGACATCCTCTCGATTATAATACTCCAAATCCTCGAGGTTGGCGAATTCGATCACGAAGGCGTGGGTTTTCATGTTGGGCTATTGGACCCAAATTTTCCTCGGCGTTAGTTTTCAATCTCTAACAAGTCTTGCGATTTCTTTTTCCATCTCGAGAATAGCTATAAGTAAGGGAGAAGGCGAGGGAAAAAAAGACATACCGGAGCCCCTTCGGAAACTCTAGCTTTCCCCCCCGCGACGGATTTGATATATATGCTTCCATCCGGTTTTTTACAATCTTGTTTTAGAGAGAGGATGTTGGTGAAGATCTAACCAAAAATCTCCATTAGCATTTGCGTGTGGTTGTTTGGTTAGGAAGAAGGAGGGAAGACGGCGAGGATCGGGATGGTTTCAATGAGACTTTAGGGCGATGTCTAGGTCGTCATGATTTGATTTGATCTTGCTTTCATGACACTCACATTCTGTAAATCTTCGGATTGGGCTGCTGGGAGGGCTTGGAAGAGGACGAGGTGGTAGACGGACATTTTTGTTGCTTGTGTGGTACCCAAGGGATGATGATGGTAGTAGGGAGGTGATGTGATGTGATGTTTTTTTCCTGTTGGACTCGAAGATTGGAATTGCAGAAGGAAGAGGAGCGAGAACGTAAGCTACTTGTACACAGTATATATATACATGCTCTCGTTGATCGCGGGGTTCGATTTCCTCCAACAGCAGTAGTAACGTGGTGTCCAGAGGCAGGGATGCGATCCTTGATCCTTGCTGACTGCTATATAACCCGATGGCGTTGACCATGTTTGATGATGCTGTCATTGCATTGCATTGCATGGCATAGCAGAGTATAGCGCGGTGAGTATAGCGCGGTCAGTGGGATTTTGGGATTTGATGAAAGTCGTCATTCTTTTTACCGGCCGCACTCATGGATGAATACCTATGACAGACACACATACACGCGCTGGAAACTCTTTCTGGTCTCCTTCCCATCTCTTCCGAAATGTACGAGATTGCAATGCATGTCTCAGAGTACGTGATGGATGCGAACGGCAGCGCGCATACTGCATGTCTCATATCCCGAGCTCTGCAGGTCGGTCAAGTTAAATGACAAACACTCATTCCTTTCCTCTACCTCGTATTCGCAATCATCGCAGGGAATACACCAAGACAGACGAAAGAGCGCAAAACATACCTTCCAGCCATGCCATTTGCACCCGGAACACCATATCGCAATCCGAATGCCACACGGTAGGTCTCCCACCACGTCGACCTAGCAAACAATATTGACGCCCATGGTAGAGAGGCAGAAGAACGGGAGACGTCACCCAGCAGCATCAGTCCGACGAGCCACATACCCAGCGACGGAGGACAATGCCAGATGGTGGAAGTGGAAGATGTCCCCTTGGGAAATCTCTACAAGCGTCGCCAAAGCCGCAATCTCAGTCATCAGGGACCTGAACCACATCCATCACTCATTCCTGGGAATGATGCTCTGCGAATGAAGAGGGTGGAATTACAACACCAAGACAATCATCGACCGGGCTGGTTCAATCCTTCGGTCGACTTGCCTTTGAGACATGAACAATTTGAGGGTACGCATGGGTTGAGACGACCGGAGGAAGMACATGTTTCCACTCCGGAAGTGGAGTTACATACTCGTCGGTATGATGTGAGTCGAAGGATGGAGAGGGATTTGGAGGCCGATGTTTTTCTTACGAGGCGGGAGAAGAAGGAGTGGGCCGTGTTGATTTTGGTGGGGAGTTTGTCGATTTGTGGATTGTGTGGACTTCTTGCGGGGTTGATTGTGACTTTGTGATGGAGGAATGGGATTGATGGGAATGGATTGATGGTGCTGATGATGCTGGGATGAAGATGACGATGATGGTGATGATGGTGACGATGATGATGGTGATGATGATGGTGATGATGATGATGATGATGATAACGAAGGATGAGAGGAGACTGGATGTAGAGATATGCCTGCCAAGACAAATGTCTGCCTCAGGATAGATCTGCCAAGACAAATGTCTGCCTCAGGCTTCCCCGCGGGAGTGCCATGCACCTCCATGGATWGATCGATTGATCGATTGATGCATCAATTCCCACCCCCATCAACCCACGATGGTCCGCCCGCGGCATAGCAATGTCGTGCCCGGCCAACACATCTACGCGTATTGCAACGTCAAGACGAAGCAAGTGCTGTATTCGCTGACACGCGCGCTGCAACACCGCCAACTGCAACAACTGCCGGACACGGGCGCCAACAACAACCCGCCGAAGCTGCGCAAGGATCTCTGGCGCCCGCTCTGGTCCCTCCAACTCCCCGAAGGCGAAGATGGCGTGGCTCAAGGGCAGGAGGCCTATCGAATGCTGCGCGATTTCCGCACGTTGCACGAGGTGGATTGGGAGCCGCCGAAAGCGATGAGTATCCCCTACACGCCCAAGCAAATTGAGACGTTGGAGAAGAAGTTGGATCGGCGAGGTGGGAGTAAGAAGGAGAGTCCGTATGATTTGATTGCCCGACGCAAGTGGAAGATGCGGACGCAGATGGTCATGGATCAAAAGACCAATTCCATTGCCGATCTGGCCGCCGTCTTGTTGYTGCAGGAGAAGAAAGTGGCCGAGCAGTTGGAGCGCGCCAAGGCGGCGAGGGATCGGGAAATCATGGAAATGGAGCGGCTGGCCGACGAGTGGGAGCGCGATGATGGGGCGGCGAGGAAGGAGTTGGAGCGCCAGATCCAGGAGTGGACGGGCATGAGAGATGCTCGGCAGCGGGATCGACGATGGAGGAAGTTGAATGGCAAGGTTGACGCCGCCCAGCTGCAATTGGGCAAGATGAAATTCGCCGCCGAATGCGTTCCCCGCGCGAAGCAAGAGGCCCAGGCCGCCAGGGAGGCGAGGGAAGAGGCCGAAGAAAAGGCTCGTCGAGCAAGGGAATACGCCCGACAGAATGCTGAAGCCAAAGCAGCAAAGGAAGGCAAACCTGCTCCACCCGCACCATCACCACAAGAAGAAGAAGAAGAACCAACACCCCCACAACCAGAAATCATCTGGACCTCGTTCCAATTCCTCCCTTCCTTCCCCCCCGAACTCACCCGTGCCCCTCTCTCCGCCTCCAAGACATACATCCGCCCCGGAGACCCCATCCGAAGGCACATCCCCCCCGTTTTTGCCCTCAATGGGGAGGGCGTCACCGTCCGCTGGGCCAACACCTTGGACGCCGAATACGCCGCCGAATGGCCCGCACTCGTGCGTCACGAACCCATGGGCATGGTCCGCAACACCGCCCCGCGCGCCGATGACGAGAATCCCTTCCTCGAAGTTGCCGAGTTCAAAGCGGTGGGATGGAAGAGCAGAGAGCAATCCTTCTCCATCGAACCCACCCTTGCCGAGAAGGTGGAGGCGCGGAGGAGGGAAATGGGCATGGTCGCGCATCCGACCTTGAAGAATAAACTCACCCGCATCGAGGGTGGGGCCAAGGGCGTGAAGATGGAACTCAAGAAGAGGGAAAAGCAAGCCGAGAACAGGGAGGGGAGGGAAGTCTCCTTGGAGGAGATGAAGCRGGGGGCGTTGAAAGATGTGAGAGGAACCATGCATAAGGACCTGATGCAAGGTTTGGCGGCTGTTAGAAACGCTGAGCTGGCTGCGAAGATGGAGGAGATGAGGGTTTGAGTGTAGATATATTGGAATGAAAGAGTGTACAGTAACATATATGTTGGGTGTCCACATCCAATGCCGGAATGATTACATTTGTAGAAGGGGGATGTCAGTCAGTTAGTCGCTGATATGATGAGTGTTTGTATAAGAGATATAGGAGTGTCTGTTTGTGAGAGATGGAATGGAAGCAGGTACTCGAAATGAAGTACTTGTGTAATCAATCTCTAGGTAAGAAGTTGCACCTTGGGATTTCATGTGATATGCCAAGCTTATAACTACTAGCCCTCCTCCACTCCTCCTCCTCCTCCTTATCTGCTATCTACGAGAAGTAGCGACTTTTAAAATTTATAGACTATATGCTTAGGTATATATACTATTCCGTTGTAAATTTTACATATTCCCTAGCCGGCGAATTTAGAAGGGGATCTATAGAGTACTTAAAAGAGTAGAAGGGTAGACTATATTATATAGTACTTACTCTGAATATGTATCTCCTACCTAGTATTTATCTTACTTAGGTACTTAATAATATTTCTTCAAAAGGATAATTAGTTAAGTACTTACGACAACTCTGTAGAATTACGGTAGGCGGTAACTATACCTTACTAGATGTTACTTTATGTCGTGTATAAGTAGCTAGCTACTCGAGTGGGTCCGCTTACGAGAGGTGTAGCTTAGAAGCAGCTGTAGTTCGATTCTGTGATCATTCTCCACATCAGACGGATGTTTAAATTGCTAATATAAGAAGTTCTATTGTTTCGTTCGCATGCACATCATGAAATTTTTCTAGCAATGCAATACGATATACCCAAGCACGACAATTCACCTCCAAGGAACGAAAAATCAAAAGCCGCCAGAACCTTCAAAAACTCCCCATTCCAAATTCATCATCTTATAACCGCACATCCCCCTCATCTACGACTCAACATCTCCAACGCATCTAAAAACTAACAACCATCTCCCCATCAACCACCTCCCCAATCTCAGCAATAACAACCCCCTTCCCCAAATCCTCACTCCACCCAACATCCGTCCTCTTCTCCATCCCACCCTCCCTCCTATAAGAAGGAGCACCACTTCCCCCCTCACCCCCCAACAACAAAACCTTCGAAATTTTAAAAGGTTCGGCCTCATATGCAAAACTCCCCGTGATAGCCAGCTCCCCCCTCTCATATGTAAATCGAATCTCCGAAGTACCCTCCTGCACCAAAGAATCCCCATCATCAAGATACAAATTTCCCCTAGCTTTCCCATCTCTCCCCGGAGCAATAAGGATATCAAAAGGGAATTTCCTCGTCGCGGTAGTAGTATTCCCTGATTTCGAACGTAAAGGAATAATCTTTCCTCCTCGGATATGTAGCGGGATTTCCGTGAACCCCACATTCGTAAGATTAATAGATTCCCCTCTCCCCTCGATTCTCTCCCATGAACCCCAGACATAGAATCTATCTTCAGGCAAGTAAATCTGTACGCTAGTGGAATTCTCTTCTGTAACGGGGGAAACGAGCAAAGCGTCTCCGTAGAAGAATTGCAGGTCGTTGGGGAAAGTCAAGGGGTCGAGGGGGTAGATGTACCARAGCGGGTTGAGGAGGGGGGTTCCGTCTTGGGTTTGTTGGTGGAGGGCTGTGTAGATGTAATCTAGGAGACGATAGCGGATGTCGAGGGCGTTGCGGGCTGCGGCGGCGACGGTGGGCCAGAGGTAGAATTCTTGGGGGATCGAGGTGTCGCCGTTGTGGTTTCGCATTAGGGTGTTGAAGGCGCCTTTTTGGGGGGGGGGTTAGCGTTGATTATAATGAGGATGATGGTGGATTTGGCGATTCTTGATATGAAAATCTGTTGGTATGCGTGGTAGGTACTTACCCAATGTAACCCATCGAGCACAGAGCGTCTCAGTCGTATTCCCAGCAAAACCACAAATATCAGAACCAACCATCGGCATCTACAAAGAAAAAAATCTCATCAGCACTTCCCCTTCTCAAAACCATCCCACTCCACATCATCAGCAACAACTCACCTGAAAAATCGCCGCAAAATTCAACATCCCCTGTATAGAATTCCGGTWCTGTTCCCAAGTAGAATAATTATCCCCCAACCACTTCGCAACATCCCTTCCCGCCCCCGCAAACGTCGAGCGAGTGACAACTAAAGGCCGTCTCTCGGGTCTACGAACAAGCATGGCTTTGCGGGATGCAGTCGACATCATGGAGCCGTATAAATTATGCACGTCGAGTTCTACGTGGCCGTCATAATGGATGATGTCTGTGTCTGCGGTTGAGTTGGATAGACCGCCTAGTGGGGACATGGTATTGGCGTTGGAGATTCGGTAGGGGGGGGAGAGAAAGTTGCGGGTTGGGTAGCCGATTAGATTGGTATTYGATTGTGAGGTTGGGGTTTGGCGCTTCTTCGTCGAGGGATTTTGATGAGCTTGTGAGGATGAGGGTTCGCGACGTTTGGATACTGCGTTTGGGTCACTGGGAGCTGCGAGCCAGGGTGGGGCGTATGCGAAATTATCTGGGGGGTAGGGTTGTGCTCCGGGTTGGAATTCGGGTGGGAAACCGGGGATGAGGCGTGGTTGGGATCGGAGAGCTGGTCGACGGGGAGGCATGCCGCGGTCAATGGCGGATTCGTATACATCATCGCCGAAGWAGTTGAAGTTCGCCTGAAGGAAGGGGGAAGAGTCAGTTGGCTGGAGTGACACGATTTTGTCCTTTGATAACTCACCGCCTCGTTCATATCAATCCAAAGAGCATCGATATCTACTCCGGTATCCCTATCGAAGAAAGTCAAGWATTCATCATTCCAATATTTTTGCGTGCCGGGGTGGAACCAATCCGGGAAAGCAGTGACGCCAGGCCAGACGACTCCTTGATAAATCTCTCCATTCTTGTACATGAAAAGACCCTCATCTCGAGCTGTGGTGAAGGTAGGGTATGCCAGATCATCATACTTGGTCTCGTTGTATGCGACGGCGGGCTGGAGAGAATTAGAACCACATTCTGATGTTGATTGGGATGGGGGGGGAGACTTACATCGACCATGACAACGTAGTGTTGATCGTGAGCATGAAGGTAGTCCACGATATCCCTGACTCTTTCAATCGGGAAACGATCAGGATCCTATTAGAAATCCTGTCAGTATGTATTTAATGTAGTTGGAAGACCAGCTATCCTTCCTTACAGTAGTCATGATGAATCTCGCAAACATGTAATCGATATCAGTCCACATCGTCTCAAGCGGAATACCCGCAGCAGAGTAATTAGCAATGACTTCAGCCACGCCATAGAAATCCCRATAACCATATCTATACAACTCCAATCGTCAGCATGCATCTCAAACCTGAAAAATAAATCTTCAACATACCTGCACTGATGCAACCCAAAACCCCAATAAGGCATCATAGCCGGCAGACCCGCAATCTCCGCATACTGCCTACTAACCTCAATAGGACTCGGCCCAGCAATAACATACAAATCCAACACCCCAGACAAGAGATTATACTCCAAATACTGTTGCCCACTCTCCGTCCTATTAATTTTAACATCCATTCCCGAAGAGGAGAGTAAAAACACCCCATTTGTACCTCTATCTCCCCGATGATCAACATAAATCGGATGATTCCCATATAAATTACTCCCAGAAGGAATCCCATAAGAATCTCTCGACCAGAGCGTCCTCGTGTAGTCTGTGGTATTCAATCGAAAAGTATCGGAATGTTCTCCTAGACCGTAGAGGTTGGGGGCTTGGGGCAGAGAGGTGCGGAGACGGAGATATTCGTCTTGGAATACCAGAGATGCTGCGGAGGAGTCGAAGAGGATTTCGGCGTTTGATTTACGTGTCACACGGAAGGTGAAGGGAGATTCTTCGTAGGAGAATTGTAGATCGGCGGCGTCTGCTGGGACGGAAGTGGAGTTGTCTGGGGTTGGGAAGACGGAGGTTGGGACTTGATAGGCGATTGTCGGGTTGTCTTCGATTTTGATATGCAGACGTTTGGCTGTTGTTTGTTTCTCATCCATCAGTTCTGGAATTTTATGATGAAAGGGATGGTACAACACCTCACCAGTATCATAATTAACAATCAATCTCAAATTCTCAATATCTTTCCCAAAGCTATTCGTAGCCGGCCCCGCCAAAACCAAATCAGCTGTCAAGCCATTCTCCGTCGTCTGGACGTTGCTGGCCGTATATCCCGGAGACTCCTCAACACCAGATTGTCTGGTACTCAACACCACGCTCGAAGATACAGTCGCCAGAAGAGCTGCTCCGGAGAGGAATTGGCAGAGCATATTTGAAAACGGCTCAAAGGAAACTGAGGGGAGGAAGAAAGAAGAGGCATTGGCACTCAGGCCATATATAGCTGTAGTGAGGTTCTCCATCATCATCTTTCATCAGCAGACAGACTGTCTGGTAGTCACTACTCGGCGTATTGGCGCATGAAGTAACAAGGCCGTGCTATCCGCATGCGAGAGGGAATTTAGCATGGAAAATGGTGCTGGCACTCCGCAGACAACTCCCACGGGGAGGTGACGTCCCCACGCCGCCAAGTCGTTTGCCAAGGGCACTTTTTGAGGGGCGAATTCTTCCGAAAATGCTACCGATTAACATGTGAAGTCGTTGATGAGGTATCGTTCGACGCAACAGCTGCATTTTGTGGAGACTTTTCACAAGATGATGCGTCTGCTGATCTGCGACGACGTCCACCTACGTATGCCTTGCAACCTGAGTATAGCTTACCGCCCACGTGTACGCTGGCCTCGCTACCCATATTAACAACCTTGATGTGGTGGGGAATGCTGGTAGCCATTCATATCTGAGGTGAGGTACAGTACAGCTCGACAATCATATCAAACAGCCACGRCATCCTCCCTCATACCATGGCAGCACTTTTCATCATCATCACCTCCCAAATCCAAACCACCCCTTCTTCTGCGGTGCAGCAGCGACCTTTTCTTCCACACCTCCATTCACTTGTGCGGATTGAGGGGCAGCTTTCACAACTTCAGCCGCACGACCGGGATATTCAATGTAATTGAACGCAACATCCAGGAATAGTGGTTTCACAGGAACAGGCTCGATCTTGGGTGGATAGGTGACCAAATTCTTCAGATCAACCTGTGTGCCTGGTGTCGGGTAATCATTCAACCGCTGAACCCATGGTGCGGCAGATGTCATATTCTTCGCGGCAGCTTTCGCGGAGTTGGCTTCCAGTGCACGCATCTCAACAATGGCGTGTAGTCGAGAGGATAGAGCGGCAGTGTGAGCTTGAAGATGTTGTGCGCTCGTCGTCTGAATGTCCAGAGTAGGTGGCGCATTCTCGGATGCATTCTCGGATGACGGTGACGATTGGGAGATCAGCTCTTGTGCACGTGTGAGGAGAGCGAGCGCGTTGAGGTGATTTCCAAGCAGGCTGTGCGAGTATGAAATGTTGAGACATTTCAGCGCGCGGAAGTAGTTGGCCTTTCCATCCAGCTCTTCGACAAATGTAGCATCACGCATGGCTCCTCGAAGTTCTTTGACGGAGTTGATGCTTTGAATCGTGGCATCGTAGAGCACAGTACGTTCTCGGAGTCTTGCGAGCTTCCTCCCCCTACCCTCTTCCTGCTCAGGATACTCGGTCCCGTCCTTGCGTGCTCGTTTAGGTTTCTTCTGGCGCTGTGGCTCGAATGTCAAGCCATCATCCTCTCCAATCAGAACACGATTCCGCCCGACTCGCCATGAAACCAAATCATAATTGACTGAGAGGCTCGTGACTCGCAGATCTTGCATTCTTGAGTCACCCTCATCCACACGCTCCTTCTCCAGCTCATCCGTGGCACGTTTGGTTGCATCTGCGGCGTCTTGAGATGCAATAAGAACTTCGTCATAAGCAGCAGCCTTGTCTCGGGAGGAGGCGGATGCGTTGGAAGAGAGGTATGATCGCAGACGGGCCTCCGCAGCAGAGACGTTTGCCAATGCCTGTCCAATCGATGCGTCGACAATGTTGGCTTTTCGACCTCTCCACGTGACACTATTGGGGATTTCCTGTGGAGCTGCCTGTGCTTCCTCGTCGGTTTTGGGTACCGGCTTCTCCTTCAACGCATAAGCATCGAGTTCCTCCACAGCCTTGACAAGCTCCTGGTCTCGTTTGGGAAAGTGTCGCTTTGCAACCGCAGGAATGGGGATGGTCCGAGAGATGTGAGCTTGGTAGGCGGCGTATCGGATGGTGGGGTCGATGGTGTTGGCCAAGATGTCCCTGTAGACATCCTTCTTCTCCTTTTCCAGCAGCGCAGCATAGATGACCCTCGCTTCCGAGTAACTTTGTAGACAGGCCTGCCATCTCTGCTCACCAGCCTGGCCATCGCTCGGCCTCTCTCCCTCCGACTGCTTCTCAAACTCCTCTGCTCCAGCCATTGAAGCTTGATATGCCCTCGCCTCGAGCACATCCTGTCCATTCGCCTTGCTCGTAGATGTGTCCTTCAACAGCTCGGTGAATTCCCGCGCGACCTTGGCGGCCTTGCTCAGGCGGGAAATGATGTAGCTGCGGGTGGATCCTGTGATGCCCTTTCCGGCATTGTCCGCTGTATGGGTGGTCTTGACGTGCATCGCATGCGCCCATGCCCGCTCCGCGGTGAGGAGGAGAAGATGGGCAAACTCATGATTGCTGGCAATGTCCTCGGCGGTSATGGGCTTCACTGTAAACTTGTCCTTTTTGTGGGTTGCTCGGCCCAGTCGTTTGCGGGCGGCCAGAAGTCGGCGGGAGAGTTGGGCGCGGTAGGAGTTGTAGTCGCCGATGAGGAGCGCCTCCCGATTGGAAGCTATGAACTGCGTCACATTCATGATTGTCGTGGGAGAGGGAGGGGAATATGAGCTGGCGTGGTTGGAAGTGGGATGATTTTCCAGGTTGGCGGGTCATTCTTTTGATGGGTCTTGTGAATGATGCCAATCAATATTTGATGAGAATTGCGAGGGCCGGCATCAACAACGCCTTTGTCTACGACATCACATGTCTGTCCTTGAAGCATCACAGGAAATACGAAGCAGCTCGGCAAATGACAGACCAGAAGAAGTCGAACAAGACAAGACGCAGGTCAAGAGCCCAACTGCTTGATGTAAGGGTAGAGTGGCTTGCACATCTGACCTTGATGCACCCTAGAACTACCCGATATGGAGCATTCAAAGATGTTGTGATTTCCACCACAATGATCATCCGAGGAAGAAGGCATCCTCCAATCATACCTACACTTGGCTTTCCGCAAAGCTGTTTAGTGTTGTGCCTACAGCTACCTGTTCGCAGGCAACGTCGTCTATCCACTACGAGGAGAGCCGGCAACCTTCAATCCCACCGGCCGTGGCCTTCATCTATCATCTCCACGCCATCAACCGCGCCTTTGTTTTCATCTTTACTGTCCCAACAAGAGCTAGGTTCATAGCCCAAAGGCTTTCTCTACAATCGCCTGCACACCCTGACCTTGATACAGAGACATCGTCCTTCTCCCGCTGCCAAGCCTCGCTCTTGATAGACGGTGTTTGCTCAATTCTGTCTTTGGGGATGGTCTCAAAATCAACAAAGGAATCCGTCTGCTTGCATGTTCGGCAATGCCACTGTCTCACTCACGTTGTGAGACAATGCTTTGTACATCAACATTGCATCAAAAGGCCATGGCCACTATATCATTGCGATCCCTCCGTCATCATCGCTACAGTCCTTGCATTCTTATCATCTTGCCGGTCAAGATCACAAAACGATACAAGTCAATCTCCCTGACAACACACACATTTCTACCGAATATCATAACACAAATCCGCCGCCATGGTTCGCCTAACTCTGCAAGAGAAGCGAGACGAAGCTACTGACAAATACCATGCCCTCATCGAAATCATGGAGTCTCTCAGAAGAAACCTCGACCAGGCTTACGCTCTGGTAGACCTGGTCGCCAACGATGTCAAAACCCTCCGAGAAGACCTTGAATCAGCAAAGGACTCGGATGAAAAGACATTCTTGGAGAAAGAACTTCAAAAAGACATTGTCAAACTCAAAGAAGCCAGAAGTCGGTCCGGACAGGTCAGAAGACAACTTCGTCAGGCAAAGGAGAGAGTGGATGAACAAATCGACACCGTCAACCGTCTCGAAATCGAACTCATCAAGAAACCTTCTATGGGCTAGACGAAGCTCAGTTTCGACGCCATTGCATCTGCCCCTGCACGATGGTATCGACATTATGTTGCGAGTGGTAACTATACCTCGCCGACTCGATCGTCCATATCCAAAGAGCAACCACTCCTCTCTACTCTATATCATTGATCTCAATGTATAATGCAGCTTCCTTTCAATACCATTGTAAGCTTCCTGTCCATAGTCAATATCCCAAGCTAACCCTTTCACAATCAGATCACATCCATACCCAACAAACAACCACCCCTCTACTCTATACCATTGATCTCAATACATAATACGGTCTCCGTTCAATACCATTGTAAGTAAACTTCCTCTCCATTATCAACGCCTCAAACTGACGCTTTCACAATCAGATATCATAAACAATCCATTTGTGAGGCATGCTATTCATCCGTCGCTTCTTGCTTGAGTACTCTCGCAAGACAATGACCACCAGTAGAGGTCCAGTCATAATGACCTTGTCTTCAAGCAACAAGAGCATTATCTCTACAGAACAGTCCATGTCTGATCCAGGTATTTATGCTCGCAACATGCTCTCCAGACAATTCTCCATCCATCACCATCGATCAACTCTGCGCGAACAACTTCCACTCACGCAAAAAACGATCATTCACCCACTGCGAAAAAAACTCCACACCCGGGTTTACAACATCTCTGCTGGTCAACATCCATCCCAGCACTCAATCCACCACAACAATGTCGGACGCTCCACAGCAACCACCACAAACCCCAACCCACCAACAATCCGCCCCTCCAAACACCCCCTTCGCCCCACCAATCATGGTCGCAGGCCCAAACATGCTGGCCGACCTCGCGGAGGCCCTCGACTCAATCCCRGACTCCCCAACCCCGACATTCAACGTCCAGGCAGCAATCTCTTCCCTACACACAGTGGAAGACAGCACTGACTTGGTAACAGAACAACTCACATCAGGTAAATGTAACATTTGCTTCGAGGATAAATTCACAAGACCTTGTCGGACTCCGTGCAATCATGTTTTTTGCGCCGAGTGTATTTTGATTTGGGTGGCGTCGAGGAAGAATTGTCCGGTTTGTAGGGCTGGGGTTGGGGTTTTGGGGTGTGTTTTGCTTTTTGTGGAGGGATAGGGGGTAGATAATTCATTTCTGAAATTAAAACTAAGTTTAACCATATGCATCGTGCCTTGTTCTTTTTCATTCTCACATATGTGACTCATTGTGTGTGATACGTGAAACTAATCTGTTCGGCTCGTTATAAGTTCGTTGTGCCCAGTGATATTGAGAATCGCCGCCCTGACTACTTACTTAAATCCACATACATATATGTGCACGACAACAGATACGTCTTGCCTACCAGCAATCTTCTTGTAACCTCACGCCCCAACAACATCGTCGTACTTAAGCCCATGTCGTACAGATTTGTATTGCATGCAGGTTTCGATTAATCTCAACCGAAGGCTGGCGGGTTAAGATATTTGTATGTATGCATCCTCGACCGATTTTATAGAAATGCTTCTGACATGTTGTTAATCTTGGAGGCGCGAAAAAGTCCGCGCAGACCATCGTGTTGAGTATTTTTGGGTGCCCCTGAGGCGAAGTTGAATTGACGGTGGGTAGATACTTTATGAAATCGAAGAAAGATGAAGGGAAGAGATGGAGCAACGTTATCAGGTTTGAAGCAAACGACCTCAGCTGCAAGGCTACCGTGCGGTACAGAACCAGGCTCGACGGTTTCTCTGGTTAGTTAGTCGTCGATTATCTCTCTGGCATTGTATGTAGCATGATAATCTCGACCTAACCATTCACCTCGCTGCAGCAAGCATACCCGTCGTATCATGACACCCAACATACTCAAAAAAGTGCTGACCAGGCTCCAGCACCATAACCTCATGAAACAGTCTTAAGCTAACATTCCCCTGCAATTCGCCCGCATACTTCATAAACTGCCCAAAAATATTCAAATGAGTGATGTGGCTCTTACTCCACCCTTCCAAAGATGCGAGTTCGTCAAAGTAAGCCAGTCCAAAAGTCTTGTCAGTAGTCTTCTTCTCATCCTTTTCATCCTTGGGGAGCACTTCCATGAATCGGCAATCAATACATCCAACCTCTTCGCCTTGGTCGCGTAAAAAGGTCATACCAGTGACGAGAACCGGATGCATTTCCGTGAGGTATTTTTCCCGCTCATGGGGGTTGGTGTTGGACCAATCCTGTCCGCTGCGAATGATGGCGAGATTCTTCTTTCCCGCGACTCGGACACGCTGATGAAGGGTAGTATCGATCCTCTTCGCCGAAGAATCCTGCCGCGCCGCCAATCCTTTCTCACCATCCAATTCGTCTGTTTGCGCAATGGGCATGCGATCTCGCATAGAACCCCAATACCTGCCATTAACGATCAGAACCATCATTGGAAATGCATCATGCCAAAATCGATGCTCACACATGTTCCCGGATAGGTCCCGAAACACCAGATCGCATATAGGCGGCACCTTCGGGCTCGGAATTGTCGGAAAAGACGGTCTCGAATCGATCAATCGATGGTAAAAGGACCTCCAAGAACCACCCATTTTCTTTTCCGGCTTGGAGAGACTCCCACCAGACCGCGAATCCACTTTCCTTAGACCATCCTTCATAGTCCACTTTGGTCTGCCAGTACGCAATGGCCGTCTCGTTGAAAGCGCCGCGATTGTCCGTCATCGCTGCAGCTTCCCAATAGCGAGGTTTGTACTTCTCCACTGGCTTCTCAACGAAAGATACAATCTCCTTGAAAGCTGGACTGTTCGGTTTAGCATTGATAGATCCTCGTGTTTGAACTCCAGTAATGCCGATGACTAGCCCTTTTGTATCGAGAGGAAATCTGGCACTGTATGCAGGCACTGGAGGTTCATAGTCAGTCTTCCCTCGTAGTGGTACCGTGCGAGGCTTTTGGAGGTGCTCCGGAATAGCTGGTTCGAGTACAGATGCCATTTTGGTGAAGATTGTGTTCGTGTTGTTTGATCACACTTGATCRCTATGTGTTGCGGGAGGTACTAATGTGGATTGACGCGGCTATCATCGCGGAGCATTTCCGAACGTCCTAATGGCAAAGGCGGCTCTGTTCATAGATGAGGCGGTATTAAAGTTATCGCTGGACGTGAAAGTCGAAGTCCCTGGCCAATGACAACCGTTCTTCACGTCGTCTTGCGGGGGGAGCTTTTATCTTAAAAGTATCCCGATTTTGAAAGCACGGCTAGGTTCATTGGAGATCCTGCGAATTGGGAGGTCCTCGCCTTATCGAACCGGGTTGCAGTAACTCTTGTTCGACAAAGTCTAGATGTTTGAGCGGAAGCTCTGATGACACCCCGCTTCTTGTCTTCAGCTCTGACGATCGTAACGGAAGTAAATCCGCTGGCTGTACCTATATCGACTCTCCAAGATAACACCAAGTCGTGAAACTGATACTACCTTGACTGAAGACAGCCCTTCGCTACATTCCATCAAAAGCAGAGTAAACCTTCGACTTTCAAARCAACATGACGACCGCCCGAACTGTTCGCGTTGCCGTGAGTGTTTCCATTGGCTTTGCAGTTCATCCCGCTGATAGTCCCTCCTACAGGTCACTCAGCATGAACCTGTATGGCTCGATCTTGAGGGAACGGTCCAAAAGACCATCAAGATCATCGAAGAAGCTGCTGCAGCAGAAGCCAAGATTGTAGCGTTTCCAGAATGTTGGATTCCAGGGTGAGTCCAACGTAACACGGACGAGAATCCCAACTGACAGAATCCAGATATCCTACTTGGATTTGGTATGTAGATCGCTTTGTACTCCCCAAAACACACATTGATCAGATCGCACCCCAGGTCCAGACCAGTTGACTTTGACCTGGGTACGAAGTATGTTCAGAACTGCCTAAAGGTCAACAGCCCCGAGATGAAGCGCATTCAAGACGCAGCCCGCGATTCGAACATCAGTGTAGCTTTGGGCTTTTCAGAGCGAGATGGTGAGAGCGTCTATATCGCCCAAGCCTTAATCGACGCCACAGGAGAGATACAGATGACACGCAGGAAGCTGAAGGTGAGAAGAAGATGGGGAGAGATCATGACAGAAAATCGACCTAATACTCAAGCTTAGCCAACTCACATGGAACGAACAATCTTCGGCGACGCTTCTGRTGATTGCTTGGCCAAGGTCGTTGATCTTCCTGAAGTCGGCAAGGTCGGCAGTCTTTCATGCTGGGAGCACATCCAGCCTCTACTCAAGTACTATACGCTCTCGCAGGGAGAGCAGATCCACATCGCTGCTTGGCCGCCTCTCGATCCGTTTGTTGATGGCAGTCCTGGCTTCTACAGTGAGTCAACCGCATTTCTTGTTTCTGCACTTTTGCTGATCTGAAAATAATCTAGGTATGTCCGTAAGTAAAGCCCCTCTCTCCACGACGGAATAGCAGACTTCACTATGGGCAGGGTCCCGAGTATTCATAGACACTTCGGAAAGAAAGCTCCCAAGTCTTTCCACCGAATGGTCTTACAACTTTGCGACCAACTGCTGACCTTCTCGCCTTATCTTCCAGGTCGAAGGTTGCAGGAACCAAGCCCAGTCCTATAGTATTGAATCTCAGACTTTCGTGCTGCACGCCACGACAGTTCTTTCGCAGAAAGGAGTTGATACGCTGAAGACCGCCGGCGCACCGATCATGGGGTCTGCCCAACCAGGCTCCTCAGCCGTCATCGGCCCCGACGGTCGTATCCTCTCCGAGCCTGGCACTGCTGATGGGAAGCTGATCATTGCCGACCTTGACCTCAATCTCATTACCAAAACGAGAACTTTCGCGGACGCTGCTGGGCATTGTATGTACACTTCGATTTCATGGCATATGCTCTGGGGCTAACATTCTGCAGACTCTCGCCCGGACTTGATGTGGCTTGGTGTTGATGACCAGAAGAAGTCCGTGGTTCGACACGAGACCAAGTGAATGACGATGAGGTGTTGACGTGGACAGCGATGATGTAGTCGGGTGTCTGAAATGTCGTTCATCGACAGTGGAAAGGGAAAGGGATGAAGATGTCAGAGTCAAATACTCTGAGTCCAAGTCCGTGCACGATGGGAGGACTTCGGACGATGAGGCTGGTATAACAAGTGTGGCTGTGTAAAAACATCGTTGTGAACATCACCATTGCTTCCATGTCATGATGTCTGCTATTCCGTATCACTTAGCGACCGCTAGTGAGCTGAATTTAAGGCTCTGTAACGCGTTGAATGTCACTTGCTGCCCTGCATAGCACCATACAGCAACTCCAAAGGACGTGGTCKAAAGCTTGTGACCCCAGAACAGCATTACAACGACGAATGCATATCTAGCGTCTGACAACTACCAGAAAGACTAGGTACTTCAAGCAATACAGTCTCGAAATAGACAGCACAGGTAGACAAGGCGCTCGATTCCCACAACCCTACCATCTCATTGGACTGGAGTTGAGAGGTAGTGAGGCGACTCGGGGGATTTGTTCATCACAAAATCGAGGACTAGTGAATGATATGCGTGCATTCGTATACATTAGCCGCGATGCCACGGCACATCTCATATAATCGTAACAGTGATATCTCCATAATCTTCATTTAGTACCCCATATGTCCCTTTGTAAACGCCGACATCATCGTGAGATAATCTTCAGGTCGGCAGTAATGTTCCCCAGAAATGAAACTCAAGGTCTTCAATGACCCCCACCTCTCATTCCATCTTCCTCAGCTTCCCAGAGATGAAGTCAAATGTCTTGGATGACCACCTTTCATTCCTCCCGAGGTCCTTCCTCAACTTCCCAGAGAGGAAGTCAAATGTCTTGGATGACCACCTTTCATAACTTCATCCTCAGCATCCCAGAAATGACACAATACCTTCAATAACAAGCATTCACTCCTTCTTCCTCAGCAACGCAGGTGTCTTGACATTCCTCCCCAGACTCTGCATCTGAGCGACGGCATCACCAAGCAAAACCCTCACGGCGCCTTCCAGCCTACGGTCTTCCCTCCTCCGCATGAACAATATGACCAGCCATAGAATGACAGCATCTGCCACGACCAACTGAACAGCCCATCCACCAAGACGTAAGATCCACCCGAGCCAGCTGTTTTTGCGTTGGTAGGACAAGTATCTCCGTGACTCGAGTTGCTCCCTCAGAGCAGCAATTTCCGTGGTCAATCGGATCAAAGAGGACTCGATTCGCCTTCGCCATCGATTGTCGGAGACGGAAGGCGTTTGCCGCTGCGATGCCACGAACCGGCCATTTGAAGCACCATCGTCGCCCGGTTCGGAGGGATCGTGTAAATCWCCCTCATCCATCTGGCTCACGGGCGCATCCACAAACTCCTCCCGTTCCTCCTCCATAATCTCATCCTCATCGGCTTGACTCACCGGTGCAAGCACTCGTAAACCCTTACTTCTCCCTTCCAACGCCGCCGTCGAGGAGCCAACTCCTCCACCATTATTCCCCGAGCTGCTCGAGTGATGCATATAATCCCTCCGCTCGAGCGCCTGCAAGGGAGAAGAGTTGTCGGAACTCGAATGATTGGAATTGTTACGGATCTGATCCCACACAAACTCCAGCTCCTCCACCAGGATCCTGGCTTCCGGGGTGGTGGATGCGTATTTGTGCATGGTGWCGATGAGTTTTTCGATATATCTTCGCTTGGCCTCGGTCCTGCTGACACCCTCATTCGCCTTCCATGCATCCCATTTCTCCTGCTCCTTTTTCAACGTGTCGGCGGAGATATTCGGCTGCGAGGTCGGTCGCGAGGCGATGAGAGCCACATCGCCCTCCATGCTCTGCTTGTACAGGCCATATAGTGCGAGTCGATCGGTGGAGGGAGGCTTCTGTGAGCCGGGCCGGATCTTGTTCACCTGGGGAAAAGGTCAATGAAATGATTGGAAGCAACGTTGGTGGCGTGGAGATTTCCATACCGTGTTGAGGGCATGGCCAAAGACTCGATCTGTACGAGAATCATGTCAGATATCCGCAATGTATATGCGACACGTGAGGAGGCAACGAACCGACCGAGTCCGCCATCTTTATACAATACGAACTGCGCCGGAGCCCGCTCAAGAGAAGGTAGATAAATGGATGGTGGGAAGAATATGTAACAATCACGCGTACTCAGCTCGGTATCACGTTGTATGCTGGCGAATGCCCGAATAACATGATGTGTGYAGGCGTGAGAGGTGCTCGTGAGACCAAAACGCCTCCGCGTGTCGATACCTTAATGCTGGCAATCAATTTCATGTGATGCAGGGAATCTCCACCATGAGCCGCGGTCTTCCATTGCCGATCATGCCAGCTGGTTTTGGCCGTAGAGTTTGGTACACGCGGCGTAGCTACCATACGCGCGTGATCAAGTCTGTCTCCGTCTCCATCCACTCCTCTCCTTCTCTCCAATCCATACCATGGATAACTTCTAGCTCGAACGCTTCTAATAGTGGGTAAGAAACCTTCATTGACTGCTGTGAGATGCGCCGGACGGAAGGGCGTAATTCGACCCCACCATCCATCGAAGAGCTTCACCTTGCTAGAGCAGGGGAGGAACAAAGGTCGTTCTCCTCATCAGACACATCACGCAACGCAATGACAACGCTAAATTCAATCTGCCCTCACGCCCTGCTAGGCCACAAAGATGCCTGCGTTGCTCATTGTTAATCGCCGCTTGGACCTGGCKAGATTCATCATCAACATCTTCACCATAGCAAAGACAAGAGAGCGGTCGATAGCAATGGTCAGTTACATGGTAGTCGCCGATACAACGGCACGGAATGTGACCTTTCAATGCCTCTGTGWGTATCATCATCACCTACGTTGTCTCAATAGCAAATATTCCGTATCTAGCCACTTCGACTATCTCGTCCAGCAATCAAGTCGGAAAGGGTCTCAAAAACGGCATCTTGACGTCTTCGGAGGCGCCTGAAGAGAGCCAAGGAGATGCGGGATCGTTCCTCCTCGATGAAGGAGAGGTCTTGTGTGGAGATGAACAGCTTTTCCAACGGACAAGTTTCCAATGCCTGTCAGTGCTGGCCGAGGTGACGCTTCGGCATGCACTTGCCTTCCTACGCGGAAGAGAGTCGGTGTATGACATCGTGGCGAGGTAAAACAAGACTCGTGGCAATCCAGCTTACCTCTATACGGTTCGCGGTCGTAAGTCGCGAGGAGCCCTCGCTCATCCTACCTACCTCGTTTTGACTCTGATGTGTCAATGATGCGTGGAAGCAAAGACGCGTTTTGTTGCAAGCAATCACCACATGCTGTCGTCTGACATCTTCGACGGCACTGGCTTGGCAATTATGATTCAACTGAGCATGGTGAAGATAATACACGTTACTGCAGGTGCTTGCTGTACTTGAATCGGGGAGACACTGACTTCCTTGCTATGGAGATGGTCGACAGCCTGCTGATGTCGCTTGGAAGTTGACAAAGTTGTGCCAACATAGCTGACAGTAAACCTCGCAGGAAGAATCAGATCAAGACCCGAGAGTCTTGGTTGCGCCGTTCCATCCAATGTGCTGTGTCAGGACTTCGTTCCATGATAGATGGCCGTCGATACGATTGTCCAGGAAGTCGACGCTTCCTCGCCAGAAAACGAGCGTTCAACGCTGTCAGATCGCCGTGAGGATTCTCTTTGCCGCTGCCGCTGCCAAATCGGAATCTGTTCTCGTTAAAAACGCTAAAGCAGTCGAATGCTGTTTTGCACGACATGTTCACAAGGCCCGTCGCGTGAAGGTAGAATTGATAGTCCATCTTGCCAAGGATCAAGAGGGCAAGGATCGTTGCACGCACTCGTCATGACAGACTCCTTTCCCCCCGACAGCTCAGATGCAAGTGCAGCGTCTCAGTTGATGATCCTCATAGCCACAAAGTCCGCTTTCCAGCATTGATTCGCTGCCGAAGTCCCAGAACTAGGATGCTTGAGAGGACTCTGTGGGTTTGAACAAGCTCCAATGCAAAGAGATGCTGTACTGTACCGTACTGCAACAACTCACACACCAAGTGAAGAGATTATGAATGATACATGGTGAGAGGATGACCACAACTGTCGACGAGGACCAACAACCATCTGGACTCTTTCAGKATCGCAGCTTGTTCAGATGTCTGCCAGCCCAGAGAACCATCGAAGACGGATACAAATGCTTCCTCGGCCACATCGAACTTCTCATCGCTCAAAGACTCGCGCAGTCGTCTGGATCCGGCGTCTCGGCATACATATTAGAAGGTGTTCAGAGCATAGCAAGGAAGTTTACCGCTTCTCGGAGACGACATGCGCACCGGCCACCCGTTTTCGCACAAGAAAGTGCGAAGATGGATTGCAACCGTCATTTACCGCGTCAACCCCATTTCCTTGGCGCATAGGTACGGTGGACTTTTAGCGACTTCCCTGCAACAACGCGATCTAATATAGCTTAACGCTACTAAGTGGAGTAATTTCACACCTCGCTTATTGATTTAATTGCCCGTACAATTACATATAATAAWCGTCGTTATTTGCTTGTGTGTGTGTGATATTACCGTCCCGTTATTACTTAGTTACCGGTCCTAATATATTACGGGTTTCGGTTACCTATATCTTACTTTAATGCTACTATTGTGCATATACTCCTACTAGTAACTTATTATACGCGTAAGAGTAATATTTATGTACTATAAGACTCTTCTCTCTACCCTTCTACCGTCTCCCCTAGTCCTCCTAATAACTACTATATTTAATACTCTAATTAGCACTCTTACTACCTATCCTCCCCTTTTTGCTCTATTCTACCTCTCCGTATAATAACCGAGAAGGAAGTTCGCCGCTTCGGTATAGGCGACGTCGACCTATTAGATATATACTACTCGTCGGACGATAATAGTAATCTATGCCTTATAGTTAACGACGGCAATATAAGTAAAGATAATCGCCTTACCTAGACGAGACTAACTAGTATAATCTAGCTTAAGACTAGTAGCCTCTATATTACTAAGGAATAGGCGGAGATAATCGATACGGAGAGTAGCTACGCCCGGAAAATTAAGAAGACCTAGGACCCGGCGAAGTAGATAATACTTAGAGACCGTAAGAACACTATAGACTCGATAATTATCTAGAGCCGGTTAGTACAATTACTTCTAATTAAGATCCGAGCATCCTTACTAACAGATTCGTAGCGGTAATATTATTAACTAGAAATACACCGCCTACTAAGGCCGGCCGATCCTAAATAAGAACGAGCGAAAAGAGGGTAGAGGCCCTTAGAAGGTACTCTTTCTCCGCCTTCCTCCTATATAAAGATGTTTAAAGCTAATAATAGTAGGAATATGTAAAATAGGAGCATATAATAGAGGGTGCCTATAGAAATTGCATCTAGAATAGTAAGAAGAACTTATACTCCGTAAACACCTTAAACGACCGCATCCTTAAGCATAAATAGAGCGAGAATGCTAGTAATAACCCTAATATAGTAGGTAATGCGGCAGATCCTTAGTATAAGGGCATAAGATTCCCCCGTAAGGYAAGTRYRAAGRAGGCGAGCCGTAGTAAGGGAAAAGGCAAATAGTAGAGGCTRTCTCCTCCTCTAGGTAGTATAATAGTACTAAAGTRGTTTYRGAGGTAGGTATARAGCTAGCTCTAGAGYTTATTATTTCTTTCTCTCTYCCCTTTTCCTTTTATAAGATATTCTATTTCYTTTATAGAACTAAATTAATAATCGGAGTATATACCCTTTCTCTAGTACTATTATACGGCTACTATTTATAGAGAGAAGGGTTTTATCTCGGTAGAATRYAGGTGTCCCTTTTTAYATACTTTATATTTACTTTGCTTATTTTCGAAAATAAGACTATRTCGCTATTCCGCCTCTCGTATTCCTCGAGTATRCTATTATTYCCTTTTACTATTATACGYATACTCCGTAAGGAGAAAGYATAAGATATTTRTAAAATAGCTAAGTCCCYGTTTTATTTACTTTATATGTTCTCTCCTAAGTAATAATACCTACCGGGGAGCGAGCACGTATATTACGTATTACTTACTTCCGACCGGTATAAGTAGCATTAGGTGCTATTAT